CATCATGATTTCTATATAATGTACTCTGTGGACTGAAGCATGTGTTTGATGTCGTTGAATCTGATTGGATTGGATTGGCTTGTTTTTTTTTTTTTTTTTGCCATAGATCGGGATTGGATTGGCTTGTTGGCTGCAGTAAATTCCTCTGCTATTTTGAACTTGGATGATGTGGCAGTGATTCTATAGGCTTAAATCAAAGTATTAGGTTTGAAGTTCGAAGATGCTCTGATACATTCATGATAGTCTAGGTGCAGAAAATTGTTTTGAATTTCTATTACGAATAGGGTACACACAAATATTACACGATTCAAACTTCATATCAATAGCGTTTGTAGTCCACGGTTAGGATAATTGCCTTCCAAGCAATTGACCCGGGTTCGACTCCCGGCAGACGCAAGTTAATACATTAAACTAGATGTAGAAAATTTGTTTGAATTTCTATTACGAATAGGGTGCAGACAAATATTACGCGATTCAAACATCATTCTCAATAGCGTTTGTAGTCCAACGGTTAGGATAATTGCCTTCCAAGCAATAGACCCGGGTTCGACTCCCGGTAGACGCAAGTTAATACATTAAACTAGATGTAGAAAATTGGTTTGAATTTCTATTACGAATAGGGTGCAGACAAATATTACGCGATTCAAACATCATTCTCAATAGCGTTTGTAGTCCAACGGTTAGGATAATTGCCTTCCAAGCAATAGACCCGGGTTCGACTCCCGGTAGACGCAAGTTAATACATTAAACTAGATGTAGAAAATTGGTTTGAATTTCTATTACGAATAGGGTGCAGACAAATATTACGTGATTCAAACATCATTCTCAATTGCGTTTGTAGTCCAACGGGTAGGATAATTGCCTTCCAAGCAATAGACCCAGGTTCGTCTCCCGGCAGACGCAAGTTAATACATTAAATGTTGAATGATATATTTTTTACTCAAACTATATGTAGAAAATTGGTTAGAATTTCTATTACGAATAGGGTGCAGACAAATATTACGCGATTCAAACATCATTCTCAATAGCGTTTGTAGTCCAACGGTTAGGATAATTGCCTTCCAAGCAATAGACCCGGGTTCGACTCCTGGCAGACACAAATTAATACATTAAATATTGAATAATATATTTTTTTACTCAAACTATATGTAGAAAATTGGTTTGAATTTCTATTACGAATAGGGTGCATACAAATATTACGCGATTCAAACATCATTCTCAATAGCGTTTGTAGTCCAACGGTTAGGATAATTGCCTTCCAAGCAATAGACCCGGGTTCGACTCCCGGCAGACGCAAGTTAATACATTAAATGTTGAATAATATATTTTTTACTCATCCAACCACACTAGTTACATTAAATGTTGAATAATATATTTTTTACTCATCCAACCACACTAGTCGTTTGTAACAAAGTTTTGAATGAATAGTACCTCATGTACGCAAAATAGTATAAAATTTATTCTAAAAACTTTTCAAACATTCAAGTTCTTGGAACTAGGGGTGTTCAAATGGTTACGGTGGTAATAACCAAACCAATTAAGCCTAAATTTCATTAACCATGGAATAAAATGTATTTAACCAAATCGTCCAAATTAACACAAAAATCAAATTAACCAAATCAAAGTTTAATTGGTTTGGTTAATCGGATAATTGATTAACCAAATAACATAACATTACATGAAAACAATTATTATCATATTAATGAATAAAACATAACCAGATGGTATTACTATCATAAATTATCATTATATATAAACAATAATAATAATACTAACCGTCCATGATTATCATCTTTCGAGTTAATACATCATTCATCATCTCTACACCTAATATAGTTAGCTTACAACAAACCCTTAACATAAATATTAAATACATACCAATACCACTCATCAGGAAGTTAAAACTCTCCTACAAAACACTTAAATTATACATAGTTTGAGGTGGCTGTCATGATATTGTACGTAATCCTAAAGTATAGTAGTTGTCCAAAATGTTTTGGTTTAGTAAATAGGCAGACCCATTTAATTTTGACCCATAATGCTTTGGTTTGTTGTGCACGTGAAAATAAAATAGGGAATCACGAAAGTTTGGTTTGGTTGGTTGCTTGGAAGTATAAATAATTTTGTATATTAGGCGTATCATTAATTGGTTAATTGGTTCCATTGGTTGGCAGTGTTGAAACCAAACCAAACCATCTAAACCAAATTAGCTAAATTTTTTAACCAAACCAAATCAATTATCCAAATTAACCAAACCAAATTAATCGAATACTACCGATTAATATGATTAACAAGATAACCAATATGTTTGAACATCCCTGCTTGGAACCAACTTATTCTCTACAACAGGATATAAAGTGCATTGAACTCTACTAGATTTGTGCCCGGCCCATTGGCCGGGGTGTGTTTCATTTCATACATTTGGTTATTATATAAATTAATTTAACACTTATATTTAAATTATTTTGGATATTTAAATATCTAATTCGTGTAAAATATTTGTAAAAATTAATCTATGATTTATGTGTTTCAAATGCAGGTTTATAAAAGTTTGATCTGTTGGATGACATTTCAACCAACCACTCAATACTTACTCGATAACTTTTTACCTTGAACGATATCGATACATTTTCATAAGTCAAAATATTCAACTTGTAATCAATACATATTAGATATTGATTAATTTGGTCATAGACATACATAATGTGACAGTTTGACCTTGCTGTAGTTTTTGTAAAAGCGTCTTCTTACGAAAACTTTAAGTTTTTTTCTTTGAAATCACCCGAACGCTGGAAAGGTAACTCTTTGAAATCTGCCCAAAATTGACCCGGAATAAATCCACCCAAATCGGTGCTTAATGGACTTAATAATCGTTGAAGAACAACCTTAGGTTGAATCCGTGATCTGTAGCTTTCAAAATTAAAAAAAAAATTGACTTTCGTCCCCCAAAAAATTCGGAAATGTCATGCGAAATTAAATTGGCCCAAATTGGTGGTTAATGAACTTATCATTCGTGGAGAATAAGATCAATAGACTTCATTATCGGTGGAGAATAGCCTTGGTCTAATTCCGTGATCTGTAGCCTCCAGAATCGAAAGAAAATGGCATTGCGGAAAAATCGCCTGAAATCTAAGATGGTACCCCTTAGGAATTTGCCAAAAATTGACCTTGAATAAATCAGCCCAAATCGGAACTTAATGGACTTAATCATAGTTGATGAATAGTCTCAGGCTGAATCCGTGATCTGTAGCCTTCAAAATCCAAAAAAAATTGCCTATCGTTGCGAAAAATTACGAAAATGTCATCCGAAAATAAATTGGCTCAAATCGGTGCTTAAGGGACTTATCATCCGTGGAGAATAGGATCAATAGACTTCATTATCGGTGGAGAATATCCTCGACATGATTCCGTGATTTGTAGCCTCCAGAATCGAAAGAAAATGACATTTCTGAAAAATCGCCCGAAATCTGTGATGGTACCCCTTTGGAATCTGCCAAAAATTGACCAGGAATTAATCCGCCCAAATCGGTGCTTAATGGACTTAATCATAGTTGAAGAATAACGTCAGGCGGAATCCACGATCTGTAGCCTTCAAAATCCAAAGAAAATGGCATTTTGTCGTCCAAAAAATTACGAAAATGTCATCTGAAACTAAATTGGCACAAATCGGAGCTTAATTGACTTATCATCCGTGGAGAATAGGATCAATAGACTTCATTATCGGTGGAGAATAACCTCGGTCTGATTCCGCGATCTGTAGCCTCAAGAATCGAAAGAAAATGGCATTTCGGAAGAATCGCCAAAAATCAGTGCTTAATGGTCTTAATCATCGTTGAAGAATAGCTTTAGACCGAATCTGTGATTTGTAGCCTTCAAAATCCAAAGAAAATGGTCTTTCGTCGCCCAAATAATTACGAAAATGCCATCCGAAAATAATTTGGCCAAAATCGGTGCTTAATGAACTTAACATCCGTGGAGAATAGGATCAATAGAATTCATTATCGGTGGAGAATAGCCTCGGCTTGATTCCGTGAACTTGCAACCTCCAGAGTCGAAAGAAAATGACATTTTGGAAAAATCGCACGAAATCTGTGATGGTACCCCTTTGGAATATGCAAAAAAAAAAGAACCCAGAATAAATTCCCCAAATTGGCGCTTAATGGACTTAATCGTCGTTGAAGAATAGCCTTAGGCCGAATCCGTGATTTGTAGCCTTCAAAATCCAAAGAAAATGGCATTTTGTCGCCCAAAAAATTACGAAAATGGCATTTTGTCGCCCAAAAAATTACGAAAATGCCATCCGAAAATAATTTGGCCCAAATCGGTGCTTAATGGACTTAACATCTATGGAGAATAGGATTAATAGACCTCATTATCGGTGGAGAATATCCTCGGCCTGATTCTGTGATTTGCAACCTCGCGAATCGAAAGCAAATGGCATTTCGGAAAAATCGCACGAAATATGTGATGGTACACCTTTGGAATCTGCCAAAAATGGACCCGGAATAAATTCGCCCAAATCGGCACTTAATGGACTTAATCATCGTTGAAGAATAGCCTCACGCCGAATCCGTGATATGTAGCCTTCAAAATTCAAAGAAACAGAAAAATTACGAAAATGCCATCTAGGGATGGCAAAAATATCTGTAACCGTGGATATTCGCCCGAATCCGGCCTAATCAGGTAGGGTAAAACCCGAACCCGAAGGACATTTAGTGGGTACGGGTAAAATCCGAACCCGAATATTGCGGGTTATGGGTGGGCATGGGTTTCTCACTATCCAACCCGAACCCGCCCGATTATACACATGCATATGTATTTTGTCTAGAAATAATCAATATTTTTCTCTACCATATTTTATATTTAGCATATAAATATAATATTTTCATAAAATTGTGTAGTTTTAATTAATTTACTTCATCCTAGTGAATTATTGTCATACTTTTCCTCTTACGTAATGTGAGAATACGTATAAATGTTAACATATTGGTTGAAGTTATGAAGAGAAATTATTACCCATGGATAATTGTGGATACCCGAAACCCGAACGGGTATGGGCATGGTTTTGATTTTCTACCCATTTCACATGTGGGTATGGGTATGGGTAAAACCCGAACTACTATGGGTAGGGTAATGGATATGCACTATCCGCGCCCGATCCGACCCATTGCCATCCCTAAATTGCCATCCGAATATAACTTGGCACAAATCGGTGCTTAATGCACTTAACATCCGTAGAGAATAGGATCAATAGACTTCATTATCGGTGGAGAATAGCCTCAGCCTGATTCTGTGATCTGCAACCTCCAGAATTGAAAGAAAATGACATTTAGGAAAAATCGACTAAAATCTGTGATGGTACCCCTTTGGAATCTCCCGAAAATGGACCCGGAATACATTCTCCCAAATCGGTTCTTAATGGAATTAATCATCGTTGATGAATAGCCTAAGACCGAATCCGTGATCTGTAGCCTTCAAAATACAAAGAAATTGGCCTTTCGTCGCCCAAAAAATTTCGACAATGCCATCCGAAAATAATTTGGCCCAAATCGGTGCTTAATGGAGGTACCATCCGTGGTGAATAGGATCAAGAGACTTAATTATCGGTGGAGAATAGCCTCGGCTTGATTCCGTGATCTGCAACCTCCATAATCAAAAGGAAATGACATTTTGGAAAAATCGCACGAAATCTGTGATGGTACCCCTTTGGAATCTGCCAAAAATGTACCCGGAATAAACTCGCCCAAATCGGTGCTTAATGGAATTAATCATCGTTGATAAATAGCCTCAGGGCGATCCGTGATCTGTAGCCTTCATAATCCAATGAAAATGGCATTTCCTTGCACAAAAATTACGAAAATGTCATCCGAAAATAATTTGGCCCAAATAGGTGCTTAATGAAGGTACCATCCATGAAGAATAGAGTCAATAGACTCCATTATTGGTGGAGAATATGCTCGGCCTGATTCCGTGATCTGCAACCTATAGAATCGAAAGAAATTGGCATTTCGAAAAAATCGTCCGAAATTTGTGATGGTACCCCTTTGGAATCTGCCAAAAATGGACCTGGAATAAATTCGCCCAAATCAGCGCTTAATGGACTTAATCATAGTTTTAAAATAGCCTCATGTCGAATCCGTGATCTGTAGCCTTCAAAATCCAAAGAAAATGGCCTTTCATCGCCCAAAAAATTACGAAAATTCCATCCGAAAATAATTTGGCCCAAATTGGTGCATAATGTACTTAACTTCCGTGGAGAATAAGATCAATTGACTTCATTATCGGTGGAGAATAGCCTCGGCAAGATTCCGTGATCTGTAGCCTCCAGAATCGAAAGAAAATGGTATTTCGGAAAAATCCCCCAAAATCTGTGATGGTACCCCTTTGCAATCTGCCAAAAATTGATCCGGAATAAATCCACCCAAATCAGTGATTAATGGACTTAGTCATCGTTGAAGAATAGTCTCAGGCCGAATCCATGATTTGTAGCCTTCAAAATCCAAAGAAAATGGCATTTCGACGCACACAAAATTATGAAAATGCCATCCGAAAATAAATTGGCCCAAATCGGTGCTTAATGGAGGTACCATCAGTGTAGAATAGGATCAATAGACTTCATTATCGGTGGAGAATAGCCTCGGCCTGATTCCGTGATCTGCAACCTCCAGAATCGGAAGAAAATGGCATTTTGGAAAAATCGCACGAAATCTGTGATAATAGCGGCCCATAGGCGCAAGATGTACCTTGTGGGGGGGGGGGGTGGTCCCCTGGACATAGTCCTTTCAGGCGGTGGCCATTTAGTCCATGGTCCATTTGATGGTCGGTGCAAGGCCAGAAATTTGAACACATTGATTCCGCCCGTTCCCGTCCTTCGCTTCAGGGCCTGTCCCTCAGTGTGGTCAGTCTCCATACTGTCGGGCAGCGAAGCTTACACTTGTTCACTAATTATGACGGTTCGCCAGGGCCTCTTTCCTCCTCCCTTTTCTGCTCACTCATAGGGGTTCGGCCCCCCACAAAAGGGGAGGGAGTCGACTGAACATCTCAGCCATTGGCGAGAATTTCGCCCGCATCCGATCCCCAATTCTTGTTCACCCCGGATGATCGTGTTGGGTGAATTGTGACCACGTACGATCGTGTCGGGTGAGCAACAGCCGCTTCGTCACAGTACTTACTTATGGGCTAACGGGTCACACTTTGCCCTTTGGAATCTGCCAAAAATGGACCCGGAATAAATTCGACCAAATTGGCGCTTAATAGACTTAATCATCGTTGAAGAAAAGCCTCAGGACGAATCTGTTATCTGTAGCCTTCAAAATCCAAAGAAAATGGCCTTTCGTCGTCCAAAAAGTTACCAAAATGCCATCTGAAAATAATTTGACCCGAATCGGTGATTAATGGACTTATCATCCTTGGGGAATAGGATCAATAGACTTCATTATCGGTGGAGAATAACCTCGGCTTGATTCCGTGATCTGCAACCTCCAGAATCAAAAGAAAATGACATTCAGATAAATCGCCTGAAATCTGTGATGTTACCCCTTTGAAACTAATCATCGTTGGAGAATAGCCTCAGGCCGATCAGTGATCTGTAGCCTTCAAAATCCATATAAATTGTCCTTTCGTCGCCCAAAAAGTTAGGAAAATGCCATCCGTAAATAATTTTGCCCAAATCGGTGCTTAATGGAGGTACCATCGGTGTAGAATAGGATCAATAGACTTCATTATCAATGTAGAATAGCCTCGGCCTGATTCCGTGATCTGCAACCTCCAGAATCGGAAGAAAATGGCATTTTGGAAAAATCGCCCGAAATCTGTGATAGTACCCCTTTGGATTCTGCCAAAAATGGACCCGGAATAAATTCACCCAATCGGCGCTTAATGGACTTAATCATCGTTGAAGAATAGCCACAGGGCGATCCGTGAACTGTAGCCTTCAAAATCCGAAGAAAATGGCCTTTCGTCGCCCAAAAATTACGAAAATGTCATCCGAAAATAATTTGGCCCAAATCGGTGCTTATTGGAGGTACCATCCGTGGAGAATAGGATCAATAGACTTCATTATCGGTGGAGAATATCATCGGCCTGATTACGTGATCTGTAACCTCCAGAATCGAAAGAAAATGGCATTTCGGAAAAATCACTCGAAATTTTTGATGGTACCCCTTTGGAATCTGCCAAAAATGGACCCTTAATAAATTCGCCCAAATCGTCGATTAATGGACTTAATCACCGTGGAAGAATAGCCTCAAGCCGAATCTGTGATCTGTAGCCTTCAAAATCCAAAGAAAATGACCTTTCGGCTCCCAAAAAATTACGAAAATGCCATACGAAAATAATTTGGACCAAATCGGTGCATAATGGAGCTACCATCCGTGGAGAATAGGATCAATAGACTTCATTATCGGTGGAGAATAGCCTTGGCCTGATTCAGTGATCTGCAATCTCCATAATCGAAAGAAAATGGCATTTCGGAAAAATCACCCGAAATATGTGATGGTACCCCTTTGGAATCTACCAAAAATGGACCCGGAATAAATTCGCCCAAATCGGCGCTTAATGGACTTAATCATCGTTGAAGAAAAATGGCCTTTCGTCGTCCAAAAAACTACGAAAAATGGCATCCAAGAATAATTTAGCCCAAATCGGTGCTTAATGGAGGTACCATCGGTGGAGAATACGATCAATAGACTTAATTATCGGTGGAGAATAGCCTCGACTTGATTCCGTGATCTGCAACCTCCAGAATAGAAAGAAAATGGCATTTCGGAAAAATCGCCTAAAAACTCTGATGGTACACCTTTGCAATCTCCCAAAAATGGACCCGGAATAAATTCGCACAAATCGGCGCTTAATGGACTTAATCATCGTTGAAGAATAGTCTCAGGCCAAATCCGTGATCTTTTGGCCTTCAAAAAACAAAGAAAATGGTCGTTTGTCGCCCAAAAAATTATGAAAATGCCTTCTGAAATTTTTTTTGGCCCAAATCGGTGCTTAATGGAGGTATCATCCGTGGAGAATAGGATCAATGGACTTCATTATCGGTGGAGAATAGCCTCGGCTTGATTCGTGATCTGCAACCTTCAGAATCGAAAGAAAATGGCATTTTGGAAAAATCGTACGAAATTTGTGATGGTACCCCTTTCGAATCTGCCAAAAATGGAACCGGAATAAATTCGCCCAAATCGACGCTTAATAGACTTAATCATCGTTGAAGAATAGCCTCAGGCCGAATCCATGATCGGTAGCCTTCAAAATACAAAGAAAAATGGTCTTTCGTCGCCAAAAAAATTACGAAAATGCCATACGAAAATAATTTGGCCCAAATCGGTGCTTAATGGACTTATCATCCGTGGGGAATAAGATAAATAGACTTCATTATCGGTGGAGAATAGTCTCGGCCTGATTCCATGATCTGCAAACTCCAGAATCGAAAGAAAATGGCATTTCGGAAAAATCGCCTGAAATCTGTAATGGTTCCCCTTTGGAATATACTAAATATATACCCAGAATAAATTCGCCCAAATTGGTTCTTAATGGACTTAATCATCGTTGAAGAATAGCCTTATGCCGAATCCGTGATCTGTAGCATTCAAAATCCAAAGAAAATGGTCTTTCGTCGCCAAAAAAATTAAGAAAATGCCATCCAAAAATAATTTGGCCCAAATTGGTGATTAATGGAGGTACCCTCCGTGGAGAATAGGATCAATAGACTTCATTATCGGTGGAGAATAGTCTCTGCCTGATTCCGTGATCTGCAACCTCCAGAGTCAAAAGAAAATGGCATTTCGGAAAAATCGCACGAAATATGTGATGGTACCCCTTTGGAATATGCTAAAAATGGACCCGGAAATAAATTCACCCAAATTGGCGCTTAATGGACTTAATCATCGTTGAAGAATATCCTCAGGCCAATCCGTGATCTGTAGCCTTCAAAATCCAAAGAAAATGGCCGTTCGTCGCCCAAAAAATTACGAAAATGCCTCCGAAAATAATTTGGCCTAAATCGGTGCCTAATGGACTTATCATCTGTGGAGAATAGGATCAATAGAATTCATTATCGGTGGAGAATAGCCTTGGCCTAGTTTCGTGATCTGCAACCTCCAGAATAAAAAGAAAATGGCATTTCGGAAAAATCACCCTAAATCTGTGATGGTACCCCATTTGGAATATGGCGAAAATGGACCCGGAATAAATTCACCCAAATCGGCTCTTAATGGAATTAATCATCGTTGAAGAATAGCCTCAGGCCGAATCCGTGATCTGTAGCCTTCAAAATCCAAATAAATTGGCCTTTCGTCGCCCAAAAAATTACGAAAATGCCATCTGAAAATAATTTGGCTCAAATCGGTGCTTAATGGAGGTACAATCCGTGGAGAATAAGATAAATAGACTTCATTATCAGTGGAGAATAGCCTCGGCCTGATTCCATGATCTGCAAACTCCAGAATCGAAAGAAAATGGCATTTCGGAATAATCGCCAAAATCCATAATGGTACCCCTTTGGAATATGCCAAAAATGTACCCAAAATAAATTTGCCCAAATTGGTGCTTAATGGACTTAGTCATCGTTGATGAATAGCCTCAGGCCGATACGTGATCTATAGCCTTCATAATCCAAAGAAAATGGTCTTTTCTTGCACAAAAATTACGAAAATGCCATCCAAAAATAATTTGGCTCAAATCGGTGCTTAATGGAGGTACCATCCGTGGAGAATAGAGTCAATAGACTCCATTATTCGTGGAGAATATGCTCGGCCTGATTCCGTGATCTGCAACCTATAGAATCGAAAGAAAATGGCATTTCGAAAAAATCGCCCGAAATTTGTGATGGTACCCCTTTGGGATCAATAGACTTCATTATTGGTGGAGAATAGCATCGGCCTGATTCCATGATATTTAGCCTCCAGAATCGAAAGAATATGACATTTCGGAAAAATTGCTCGAAATCTGTGATGGTTCCCCTTTGAAATCTGCCGAAAATTGACCTGGAATAAAACCATCCAAATCGATGCTTAATGGACTTAATCATCATTGAAGAATAGCCTCAGATCGAATTTGTGATCTGTAGCCTTCAAAATCCAAAGAAAATGGCATTTCGTTGCCAAAAAATTACGAAAATGCCGTACGAAAATAAATTTGCCCAAATCAGTGCTTAATGGACTTATCCTCTGCGTTGAATAGAATCAATAGACTTCATTATCGGTGAAGAATAGCCTCGGACTGATTCCGTGATCTATAGCCTGCATAATCGAAAGAAAATTGCATTTTGGAAAAATCGCCCAAAATCGGTGATGGTACCCCTTTGTAATAAGCCAAAAATTGACCTGGAATAAATCCGTTACAATCGGTGCTTAATGAACTTAATCATCGTTGAAGAATAGCCTCAGACAGAATCCATGATCTGTAGCCTTCAAAATACAAAGAAAATGGCATTTTGTCGCACAAAAAATTATGAAAATGCAATCCGAAAATAAATTAGCCCAAATCGGTGCTTAATGGAGTTATCATTTGTGGATAATAGGATCAATAGACTTAATAGAGTTATCAATTAGCCCATTATCGGTGGAGAATAGCCTCGGCCTGATTCAGTGAATTGTAGCCTCCAGAATCGAAAGAAAATGGCATTTCGGAAAAATCGTCAAAAATCGGTGATGTCAGCCAAAAATTGACTCGGAATAAATCCGCTCAATTCGGTGCTTAATGGACTTAATTATCGTTAAAGAATTTATTACACCCCTTTGTAATAAGCCAAAAATTCACCCGGAATAAATCAGCCCAAATTGGTGCTTAATGGACTTAATCATCGTTGAAGAATAGCCTCAGACGATATCTGTGATGTGTAGCCTTCAAAATACAAAGAAAATGGCCTTTTGTTGCACAAAAAATTACGAAAATGCAATCCGAAAATAAATTAGCCTCAATCGGTGCTTAATGGAGTTATCATCAGTAGAGAATAGGATCAATAGACTTCATTATTGGTGGAGAATAGCCTCGGCCTGATTCAGTGATTTGTAGCCTCCAGAATCGAAAGAAAATGGCATTTCGGAAAAATCGTCAAAAATCGGTGATGTCCGCCAAAAATTGACTCGGAATAAATCCGCTCAATTCGGTGCTTAATGGACTTAATTATCGTTAAAGAATAGCCTCAGACCGAATCCGTGATCTGTAGCCTTCAAAATACAAAGAAAATGGTCTATTGTAGTCCAAAAATTACGAAAATGCAATCCGAAAATAAACTGGCCCAAATCGGTGTTTAATGGACTTATCATCTGTGGAGAATAGGATCAATAGACTTCATTATAGGTGGAGAATAGCCTCGGCTTGATTCCGTCATTCGTAGCCTCCAGAACCGAAAGAAACTGGCATTTCGGAAAAATCGCCCGAAGTCTGTGATGGTACCCCTTTGGAATCTGCCAAAAATTAACCTGGAATAAACCATCCAAATCGGTGCTTAGTGGACTTAATCATCGTTGAAGAATAGCCTCAGGCCGAATCCGTGATCGGTTGCCTTTAAAATCCAAAGCAAATTACCTTTTGTTGCAAAAAAAATTACGAAAATGTCATATGAAAATAAATTGTCCCAAATCGGAGCTTAATGGACTTATCATCCGTGGGGAATAGGATCAATAGACTTCATTATCGGTGGAGAATAGCCTCGCACTCGTTCCGTGATCTGTAGCCTGCGAATCGAAAGAAAATGGCATTTCGGAAAAATCGCCCCAAATCTATGATGGTACCCCTTTGTAATAAGCCAAAAATTTACCCAGAATAAATTCGCCTAAATTGGTGCTTAATAGACTTAATCATCGTTGAAGAATAGCCTCAGACGATATCTGTGATCTGTAGCCTTCAAAATACAAATAAAATGGCTTTTTGTCGCATAAAAATTACGAAAATGCAATTAGAAAATAAATTGGCCTAGAATCGAAAGAAAATGGCATTTCGGAAAATCGCCCAAAATCTGTGATGGTACCCCTTCGGAATCTTCCAAAAATTGACAAGGAATAAATCCGCCCAAATTGGTGCTTAATGGACTTAATCTTCTTTGAAGAATAGCCTCAGACCGAATCCGTGATTTGTAGTCTTCAAAATACTAAGAAAATGGCCTTTTGTCGCCCAAAAAATTACGAAAATGTCATTCGAAAATAAATTGGCCCAAATCGGTGCTAAATGGACTTATCATTTGTGGAGAATAGGATCAATAGATTTCATTATCGATGGAGAATAGCCTCGACCTTATTCCGTGATCTATAGCCTCCAGAATCGAAAGAAAATTGCATTTCGAAAAAATCGCCTGAAATCTGTGATGGTACCTCTTTGGAATCTGCCAAAAATTGACCCGGAATAAATCATCCCAAATCGGTGCTTAATGGACTTAATCATCGTTGAAGATTAGCCTTAGGCCTAATTCGTGATTTGTATCCTTCAAAATCCTAAAAAACAGATCTTTTGTCGCCCAAAAAATTACGAAAATGTCATCCGGAAATAAATTTGTCCATATCGGTGCTTAATTGACTTATCATCCTTGGAGAATAAGATCAATAGACTGCATTATCGGTGGAGAATAGCGACGGCCTTATTCCTTGACCTGTTGCCTCCAGAATAGAAAGAAAATGATATTTCGTAAAAATCACTCGAAATCTGTAATGGTATCATCACCGATTTCGAGCGTTTTTTGGAAATGACATTTTTCTTCGATTTGAAGGCGATGGATCACAGATTCGGCCTTAGAGTACTCTCCACTAACGATGAAGTCTAGCAATGGCCGATTTGGGCAGAAGTTTGGTCGAATTTTTCCGAAGGCCATTTTCGTTTCTTTTATTCAATTTTTTTTCGAAATGGCATTTTTCTTCGATTTTGAAGGGTGCATATCACGAATTCAACCTGAGGCTGTCCTTTAGGGATGGATAAGTCTATTAAACAGTTATTCGAGCAGAAAATTCCCGAGCAATTTTTGCCAGATTCCAAAGGGGTACTATCATCGATTTTGGCCGATTTTTTGGAAATGCCATTTTTATTTGAGTTTGAAGGCGATGGATCACAGATTCGACGTTAGGGTACTCTGAACCAACGATGAAGTCTAGAAATGGCCGATTTGGGCGGAAATTTCGTCGAATTTTTTCGAAGGGCATTTTCGTAATATTTAGGCAATTTTTTCAAAAGACCATTTTCTTTCAATTTTGAAAGGTGCAGATCACGGATTTAGCCTGAGACTATCCTTTAGGGATGGATAAGTCTATTAAACACCGATTCGGGCAGAAAATTTCAGGGGTAATTTTTGCAAGATTTCAAAGGGGTACCATCACAGGTTTCAGTCGATTTTTCGGAAAGGCCATTTTCGTTGGATTTTAAAGGCGCTGGATCACATATTCAACCTTAGAGTACTCTCCACCAACGATGAAGTCTAGCAATGGCCAATTTGGGCGAAAATTTAGTCGAACTTTTCCGGAGATCATTTTTTAGTGATTTTTTTGAAAGACCATTTTCCTTCGATTTTGAAGGGTGCAGATCACTGGTTCAACCTGAGGCTATCCTTTAGGGATGTATAAGTCTATTAAACACCGATTCGAGCAGAAAATTTCCGAGGCAATTTTTGCCAGATTCCAAAGGGATACCACAACCGATTTCGGGTGATTTTTTGGAAAGACCATTTTCTTTGGATTTTGAAGGCGATGGATCACAAATTCAGCCTTAGGGTACTCTCCACCAACGATGAAGTCTAGCAATAACAGATTTGGGTGGAAATTTGGTCAAATTTTTTAGGAGGCCATTTTCGTAATTTTTAGGCGATTTTTCGAAAAGGTCATTTCCTTCGATTTTGAAGTGTACATATCACAGATTCAGTCTGAGGTTATCTATTAGGGATGAATAAGTCTATTAAACACCAATTCGGACAGAAAATATTCGGGGCAATTTTTGCCAAAATCCAAAGGGGTACCATCACCGATTTCGGTCGATTTTTTGGAAAAGCCATTTTCCTTGGATTTTTAAGGCGATGGATCACAGATTCGGCCTTAGGGTACTCCCCACCAACGATAAAGTCTAGCAATGGCCGATTTGGGCGGAAATTTGGTCGAACTTTTTCGGAGGGTGTTTTCGTAATTTTTAGGAGATTATTTTGAAAGGCCAATTTCCTTCAATTTTAAATGGTGCAGATCACGGGTTCAGCATGAGGCTATCCTTTAGGGATGGATAAGTATATTAAACACCGATTTGATCAGAAAATTTCCGGAGCAATTTTTGCCAGATTCCAAAGGGGAACTAGAACAATCATCTTGAAACATTCATTTTTTCACTTATTACACTCTATTCACATTAAATTCATCCGAGGAATTTTACAATGCTATAAAGCATTGGTGCTATAGGTTTTTGCCTTTATGGTACAACTTGAAGTTGTACCTTTAACGTTATGGTACAACTTTAGATTGTACCTATACTTTTTGTACAAATTCTTTTATGATACAACTTGAACTTATACTTTTATGTGATGGTACAACTTCAAGTTGTAAAGTTGTGCGATAACATTATGGTACAACTTCAAGTTGTACATTAAAGCACCAATACTATATAGCATAGTAGAAGTGCTCAATTGATCCAATCTCTCTAGTCGTTTGTACCGAAATTTTGAATGCATTGTACCTTATGTAACAAAAGCGTACAAAACCTATTCTAAAATCTTTTTCAACAATTCGAATTATCGGAACCAAATGATTCTCGATAATGAGATATAAACGGTATTCAACCCTTACCTTCTTTTCCCCCTCTTCCCTAGTGCAGAAAAAGAAAGTTCTGAAAATCCAATCCATATTCAGGCCAGACCTAACAATATCAAACTCATCAGAAACCCTAACCCCTCTTTGTCTGAACAGAAACAACACCCCTTTTACTTTATCTTTCCTTCCCTAATACTCCCGTACTGTCAGCTTTTGGTAATACAAGACAATATGGAAGGTATAATACTGGAGAAAAGATCTTCTGGTCAATAAAAGAAAGATAATAATATCAGTAAGCAAGACAGTAACAACACCAATAACAATAATAGTAATATGATTGCCGATAAAAGTAGCTATAAAGCTGCAGGTTGAGGAGAGCCCCAATGCGACAAGGCAACAGCATCACCAGAGTGCCATTGGGTAATGCATCATCTGGCAATTTATTATGTATAACAGTGGGAGAGAGGCCCCCCAACCCCATTTATGTGCATTGATGCAGCAAAATAGTGGTGAATGTATGTACATATGGGGGCTCAAGAACCCAGAAAATGCAACATTGAATGCAAGTTCTGCAGCAAAAATAGCAGCAACTACTCTTCCTATTGCATCACCCAGTTAGGACTTAGTAGCTAGGAGGCCTGTCAATTTGATCCCCAACGACAGAGGGAGAACCAAATAGTGTTTGCAGGTATCAATACTTACTGGCTAGGGATGTACATAGGTTGGTTTGAATCGGGTTTAGTCATTTTTAATCACTCGAAGAACCCAATCAAATCGAATATGCGATTAGTTCGTAAATTATTGTTTAATATGGTATATTTGCACTAGGTGAAAAACCCACCCCAAGTACTGGCTGCCTGGCTTTTGCATGTGGGCTAGCTGACGCTGTTGTGTGGTTTATGTTATGGGCTCAAGAACCCAAAAAATGCGAGTGAGTAGTGAGTACTGATTGTAATTAATAAATGGCTAGCTAGATATAGCTTAGAACTGCCATCTCCACCAAACTCTTCTTCCCCATTTGCGTTCCCTTTTAGGAAAGACCGAAAACCCCACTCAGCTCCCCATTTTTGCCTTGTCAATTTTTACAGAAACTCTCTCTCTCTCTCTCTCATGAAAAACCAGCAAATGAAACAAAAACGGGGGAAAGGTAAACTTGAATTGGGAGGTAACATTGCTGTCAAAGCCCGGCCTCCAATCTGCAGGCAGGAAGCTGGCTAGCTTTCTCTATCTTTATATAGCTAGATTTGGAAGATGTGAAAAGCAGTTCAGGTCACTGTTTCGGTTTAGGGTTTTATCTCTCTGCCGAGAAAGAAAGAAAGAAAGAAAGAACAACTGCAAAATCTGCAATATCGGTCATGCATGCACGTTACTTTCTTCTTCTGGCCTTCTACTCTCTTTATTCTTTCTCCCTGTGTACCGGTGGTGGCATTTATTTCAAACGATACTTCTTTCTTCTTGATTTCCCTCTTCATCAATTCCACTTGTTCAAAATTGTATCTCCGAAATGTGATGGTGCGCAACTAAAAATACACCGTATGTATTTTTTTTTCTTTTGTTTCTAATCTATATTAGTGTCAAATCGCTTCAATTTTTTTTAATGTTCTAATGGCTCTCGTATTAAACAAGTATAGAATCTGTATAACACATATTTAGTATTATATTTGATAATTAAATGAATGATGTGTATATACTGTATATATGTATTTTTTTTAATAATTAACTTTATATAAGTTTTGACCACGTACTAATATATGTGTCATTAGCATAGAAATAAACTAAAATGTTAGTATTATATATCTAACTAATCAACACATTATTATTAAAGGTGAGAGCCAAAACCCATTGTTCCATTTCAAATTTCCTGCATCACATCGAGAGTGAAAGTAGGAGGGACATTTTTGTCTTCACAACTACTTATTTCTTTCTTATTTATTCATAAAAAACACATACATATCGGAATTTGAACCATGACCACTTTTAAGAGAGGGAAAGGTTACAACCAATCACGCTACATATATTTGTTGTATCTTTTATAAGAAAAACATACACAAACCTAAAATTTCAAAAATCAGAAGAAATTTTCAGCGGTTAGCTAGCAACTAAATCTCTCATAAGTACTTATTTGGTGATTTGATACTTCGACTTTCATATTTTTTAATATTTTAATTATATTTTAATACTTAATTTATATTTCAATGTATATTATAAATAGATGATAACTTTAAAATTGCAACCCATATCACTTGGTTGAGTATTGCATATAAAATTAGAGTATTAAATAGGTTGAAGCAATGTCAAAATTTTAAATTAATATTAATTTTTAGAATTAACTATGAAGAAATCATATCCTTATGCAGACTATATGAGACTGGTTTTTTTAACGTTTTAGCCGGGTTAACTGCTAAGCTTTCAACATGTTCGTAATCTGGCATGATTAACAAAGACCATATATTTGGATTGAGACGAAAATATATTTGGATTGAAACTTGGTGTGATTAACAAAGACCAATGTCCTCATTTGTATATATACATGAAATTGAATTGGAGAAAAAGAGTAAGAACATTGAGAATGGAATATGATATGCAATGAAAAGAAGAAAAGAAAAAACTAGAAAATGAAATGGAAAAGGATAAAAAGAAAGAGGGAAGAGATTTAGAATTAAAGCATCTTTTTAAAGCATCAGTTCCAACTTCCAAGTGAGAGAAAAGTATAAAAATGAAACTCAATTCCAACGAATAAGTTATATTAAATCGTCATTGTATCTAAATTTATCATAGAAATTTCATAAATATCTAAGCATAATACATGTGAAATCAATAAAATTTTCATGCACCTGGGTAAAGTTAGGCTTAACCAGGTTTATCCAATTCATCCATTAATCCTTAACCCACTTGCTTAAACGACTCATTGGTGGAATCGAGTGACAACCTTGGTCATAACAAATTAGACTGAACAAATTTGTTGTATATTTTTTAATGGATTATAGGTATTGTTAGGGTACAATCCAAGTACCACATCGGAAATACAAGGGAAGGAACCCTTGTATATTAGTGTCCACCAAGCTCATTAGTACGAGGCATTTTGGGGAGGACACCCAAGAGTAAAATCGTGCAGGCTTGGCCCAAACGGACAATATCGTACTAATAGAGCATCCCGATTTCGACAAGTGGTATGCAATTTTAGTTTCCAAACATATTTTACTCAAAAACTTTTATATAACAATGAATGACTCCCTAAATTTCGCTTAGTTTTCAATAAAAGATGAGATGCAGTTAATAGATGTATGAGCTCAAATATACCTACATACCACTAAAGCTACAATCATTGTGATCTTTAGTTGTTCACTCACCTCTGCCAATGTTTACGGGTTCATATTTTGCTATGAAATTTAGATAAAGAAACTTTAAATCTCACACGTTTAAAAGTAGAAGATGGAAACTATGTAAATAAGTAATTGCAAAATACTATTTTGAAACCCAAAACTGAAGGAATTTAGATCATCTCATTTCGTAGTAAACTAAAAAGTCTTATGGGAAAGTGATACCTTAGTGTTGGTTGTGGTGGTGAATGAACAACTAATGTCAAACGTGGCCTGAAAAATTCCCACTGCTATGAATTGCAAAAAAACATCCTTCCCAAACCCAATTTATTACCAGTCAAATCATATTTGGTAATATCACTTGAAGGTCATACCAATAAACAACTATTTAGTTTGAGTCTAAATTAGACCCATTACATTGGCTAAAAAAAGAATATCAACTCGAATGTAATTTTTGCAATTATTTGGTATAACAAACATAAATGTGGAAACACGGATAATGAATGTGTGAATTGGTTTAATACGAATAGCTAGATGGTCGATATTTCTTTATAAGTATAATTATATGGACTCAAATAAATTCAATTTGTGGGTTCGACCCAAATAAATGTTTTTCTACTCTAGCTCTCTTCCCCATTCAATAATTAGGAAATTAAAGTAATCCGGCCAACGGGCCGGATGAAAGCTAGTTTTTTCTATTGGGATGTAGTAGTCATCGTTTTCATACTGTTAAAGCTATATAGTCATCGCTTTCCTTTTCCCATTGTTCCACACAGCGAAGCCCATTATGGGTCATAGCAATGCATAATGTATGTAGTACACTAGTAAGTACCCAATAAGTATAGGTTAGTATAAATGAATTCCATAAGTTTTAAGGAATTCATTTTGAAATGAAATCTTTTTGTGTTTGGTATCTGAAAGAATTCATTTTCAATTCTAAATTTTGAATTCTACGAAATTGGAACTAGTTATAGCAATTCCTAGGAATTGAGATGGAATTTCCAAATGAATTCCACAAGTATTTACTATTTTTAATAGAATTATATAATATCCTATTTTATTAACTAAATTACTTATACATATGACATACCAAACACAGAAATTCATTTGACAATGAATTCTACAACGCAATTTATTGTATTTCTAAAGATTTGAATATGACATACCAAACACAAGATTTCATTTGAGAATGAATTCTACACGATAATTCATTTTACAATGAAATGAATTCTTGATTCATTTGGTACCAAACAGTGTGTTAAAATACTACTTAAAGAATTTGAATTTGAGACATTTTGACTAAATGCTAGTGGTATTACAGTTAGACTAAATCCTTTTTGTTTTTTACTTTTGTTATTATGAAAAATTATGGGATCACATGTGTGTGGCGATGCTCATTTATTCTGCTTCACACGCCTCAACACGAATATCATGAAGCTTATCATAAAACACAAGTCAGAAACACAACAAACCACACAACAAATAACATAAAGTAGATAAAAACCTTATAAAACAGACCAGATGCTCACTGCACCACAAAATTTATAAAACATAGAAGAAAACTCGAAGCATATCACAAATTCCCTGAAGCATAATAGAAAACTCATAAAACAGACCATAAGTTCCCTGAAGTAGAACAGAAAACTCATAAAACAGATCACGAGTTCCCTAAAGCATAACGAAAACCTTATAAATCAATCTACTTTGATTAAAAAATCATGTTGCATGGATCCCTATGGGCTCCTACATCTATATACAGCGGCGGATCCAGTACATAGTAGAACACTAGGCCACATTTGAATAGAAAATTAAATACCTACTAGCATTGGCCCGAAAGAGACGGAGAGGACTGGAAGCAAGCAAGTCTCGTTTGCTATACTAGCTCTGAATCGAGAATATGGTTGGGTTGTGGTCCGGAATGGCCACCCCTTAAATCTGCTACTGTCTATAAAGAATTTTTGTTGGTCACATGTTGTGAGTTGTGACTTGCGACCAAACACCTTACTCAGATTGAGATCCAGACACAAAACTCGTTTTACCTTGATATCTTCATCTCCCTCTCTTCAAAATAAAACTTAAACCAAGTTCATTGAAATCATCTTAATCCTGTTTCATTTTTATTGTCCAAACCCACTTGTAGTAACTAGATTGGAGCTATTTTATATTTTTTATAATGTGCAAATTCTAGTAGGAGGTGATCTTGAATGTTCACCTAAATGCTATTAATCTAACAGAGTTGGACACACCACCGCATTGGCAACCTATTCTTTGTAGTAATGTGACAATTCATTATGTCTGGTAGACATAATTCCTTATTCCCTTCTTAATTAGTTGATTTGGTTGCTGAGTATATTCCCTTTAGGCAAGTCTTTGCTGGAATGAACCAATTCCATTTTGTTTCTACACTTTGCCATTTGTGGTTTTACAATCCCCTTTCTTATTAACCTCCTCCTGCTAGGGTTGGAAGTTCGGTATGAGTATTTGGGATAATCGAATATCGTATCGAATTTGTCGATACTTGGTATGACGAAATATATGTATTGTTTTATGAGATTGAAATTGAATTGCAAGTGTTATTTGATATTAGGTATTACGATATTGAGACCGGTATATACTGATAAATTGAATTATACCGAAATATAAGTTAGTGAGCATTTTATTCTTATCAACTAGGCCTCCCTCATTCACTGCTGTCGGACCTTTAACGTAAAAATTAATTCTATTATAAGATCTATAATTAACTTTCTCCCATGAACAAGGGCTTAGTCTAATGGTAATATCACAAGTATTGAACCTAGAGGTCCCAATAGTACCTTACCGCAACAATAAAGTTATCACTAAGCTAAGTTTATGATTCATCGTAACAAGGGCTTAGTCTAATGATAAACCTGCAGCCAAAGCCAAAGCCAAAGAAGGTATCTTGTCACAGCCCACAGCCATTAACACTAAGCTAGAATGCCATCTACAACACTCAATCGCCCGCCACTCGCAAACAAACCTCACCAACAAAATGCTTGAACTTGAGCCCCGTTAGATCGATTAACAGAGGGTGGGTTGAGCTTTGCTAAGACAAAGGACAGAAAGACGCAGGCCAACCACCTATTTCACACGTCCGCTCCTCTCACTATCATCCTGAAGAGGGCTGCGTCACCGACTCCCACCTCTACCAATCATTAAAAGTAAAAGCAACGTAAAGCCCTCTGCTTTCTTCCTTCTTTTCAGAAAAAAAAAAAAAAGCACCATATATGGCGAGGGATTACACAGAAGAAGAAGAAGAGTGCTGTGGCGATGTGGGGAATGTTTGGTTAGCTCCAAGAGGAACAAGAAAGGGAATAATGGAGCGTCTGGCGGCAAAAGATTATCGCATTTCTCTTATTTGCATAACGTAAACCAGAGTAAGAGGGGGGAAAAACAGAGTGCTGGTATATATATTTGTTTCGGTTATGGTAACTCGAAACCAACTCTCCATGGCTCCTTCTCCCTTCTTTATTTCTGTATTGAGTAATTCCCACCACCTTCGTGAAACCCAACAACAAAAGAACCCAACTTTCGAAAAACCCACTTGTTGAATCCTTCCATTTCTCTACTTCCCCTGCAGTTGCTCTGTTTTTCGTTTTCTGCTGCCATTTTGTCCCGTTTCTGGGGTGTAGTGATTGTAAACTTGTGACTTCCTGCCAATACCGAAGCCATGTTGCTTAGAAGCCCAATTTCCAACACGAGACGCTTCTTCCAGAGAACCCTACAAAGCGTCAAGTCTCTCTTCTCCAACAGCAGTTCCAATGCGGATTACCGCAAGATCCCCAAACCCTCGCCTCCTCCTTTCACCGCCATGGACCGGACATCCGGCGTCGGGGGAAGCTTCGGAAGACGGAGAAGCAAGGACGGGTTCGACAGGCTTTACGTAGAGTATGGCGAGCGATGGGAGAAGAAACCGGCTGCGAAGAACAGAGAAGGAAACTGTTTGACGAAATGCCGAGCAGAGGGTCATGCGAGGGTGAAGAGCCAAAGGTATCATCAAGCGAGATCGAAATCACTGCCCAAGATGGGAGATGGTGGTGGTGGTGGTGAGAATAATGGAGAGGAGAAGCTCTTGTCGAGGGAGGAAAGGAGCTGGCTTGTGGCGCGGAAGCTGAAGGAGCTCGAGACCGTGGATATGAGCAACGTGGATCATGCTCTGGACATCGAAGAAATTATGCACTACTATTCTCGACTCCGCTGCCCTGAATATCTCGACCTCGTCGACAAGTTTTTTATGGATGTTTATGCCGAATTTTTCTCTGCGGCCGCTCCTGTGAGTGTCAATTCACGATCGAGGTCCAGCCGGCTGCTGCCGTCGTAATTAGAAGTCGTGAGAGGGCTTTGTTGATGTGTACTTGTATCCTAGTGGAAGACTTTATCGATGAAATAATTGTACTTAGTTCTTCTATGTACTTCGCTTCATTTTCTCGCCCACTGTATTCATCTTTCTAATTGAGTTTCCTTTCTCCAATAACTGAGCTCCTAACCACAAGAGTGTTAATTCCTGGTGCAATTCATGATCATTGGCTCTTTATTCTAGTGTTATCGAGTATGTTATTCACTCCTATAAGGTATTGCTCCTTCAAAATTCAGATAAAGCCTATATACCGATCCGAATCTAATACATTGGTTTGATAGAATCTTCGCGACAAACTTGATAAACACTCTACCAAGGAGTTTCTCATGTCAGGACACAGAAATCGACAGATGATAACAAGGGCACAGAAGCAGAACCAGAAGTATTGCACTTTCGTAAGATTTCCAATCCAACTAGCAGATGTCAAAACTGAAAACTTTGAAACAATTCGAAATGCAAATTCTAAGCAAAGGCAAACATTGGATTACTACACCATCTCAAGGCTAGGCCTCCCTCTCTCTATGCCTCAGCTGCCCTGAACTCGAACACAACATCCTTGCCGGTAAGCTTCCTGTAAACGGAAGAAAAGGTCTCCAGCTTGTACTCGGTGTTGATCTGTTCCTTTGTGTCCAAGAACACCTGACATAAGCGAAGAGTTCTAGTTATCATCCAGTGGCCTCAGAAAAATAACCTCACAGTTGAAGTAAGTTGAAGAAGGGTGAAACAACATACCTTCATTATCTTGGATCCATCAAGACGATACCTAGTTCTCTTCCCAACAATCTCAGCAGGCGCCACAACATCTTCCAGCATTGCCTCATGGACAGAGGTCAGTGTTCTGCTGCGTGGCCTCTGTGCAGCTGAACCCTTCTTTGGTGGCCTCACAATCCTTCGAGTAGCAATGACAACCACATCCTATAGCGAAGTGACAAAAGGAAACCACTTTAGGGCAATTACTCACGAGGGCACATCATCAAACAGGATATAAACGGAAAATTGACTAGGATCATAAATATTATACCTTCCCACTGAACTTCTTCTCAAGCTCCCTAACAAGCTTGACATGAATCTTTCTGTAACCTTTCCTCAACCTGTAAGGAACGTGGATAACCACTGCCTTGCGGTTGTTTGAGACATCCAATTGACTGCAGGGTAGAGAACATAATTCCTTGAGTAAGCAGAAAAATTGACCTTGCAATGTCGGAAGTACACATCTAAAAACCAAAGTACTTACACTGCGGAGTTGATGTAGAGATCCTTCAGATCACTCTTCAGCTCAGAGCTGGAATTCTCCAAGTCAAAAAATACCTTCAAGAAGGAAGGAAAGCTCCAAATATCAGGCATTAACACTCAAGCTACGGCTTAACCCAGCAAAGCCATTAGCAGAGCTACAAACCTGTGCAACAGACTCCTCAAACTCGGTAGGTTCGACATCCTTATCCTTATGGATCTTCTGCCTAGACGTGTACATCTTGATGGATCTAACATAAGCGCAAAAGGGTAAGTAACAGCAAATGGTGTTAAAATGAAACCTAGCCACCCAATGTCGAATCAGAATCAGGAAGCCGAGACCGCATAAATGGAAGCTCAACGTTCAAACACGAAATTACATAATCGAACACTATGATTGGAGAACTGAAGCCCAAGAGCTTGATTCAGACGCCTCAACTAACGACTATCTTGAGACTATACAGCGAAAGCTGGTCATTCAAGGAGATAACGACTAGCCGGCTAGATCCCAAAACATGACAGTCGAACAGTAACTGAAAACATTGACCACGACTGCTGTATCTAAAAAAAAAAATCTGAGCTCAAGCAGGTGAAACGAAGGAGATGATATTGAAGGGTGAGATTGCTGTACCTGGAGCAGAGAAGAGGGCCGAAACAGCGGACAGCGCAAGCTCTGAACGCCGGAGACTGGAAAGAAGAAGACCCTCTAGGGTTTTGGCGATGAACTTCGGTTAAATATAAGGAATCTAGGGCCAGGTTTACTTCTTGCATGACATTGGGCCTACTGAATCCGTTACTTATTGATCGCGAACTCCTAAAAGGGTTATAGCCCACAGATGATGTCATGAAGCCCAATGTTTAAACTAGGTATAGCCCAAGGCTTTTGCACTAGAAGTCTGAACCAGTAATGACCTAGTTGTAGGGGTGTACATGGGTCGGGTGGTCCGGGTTTAGTCATTTTAATCACCCGACCCATGCACTACGGTTTGGGAAATATCAAACTCAAACCCACCCAAAAAAATTTAAACCCTACGGTTTGTTTCTAATTGGGTTGGGTCGGGTTGGCGATATTTTTAAGTAAAAACTCAACCCAACATAAAATATATAATTATTCTACATCATAAAAATATTTTATACCTAATTAAAATTTCAAACGAATGAACCAAAGTGAAAGGTATCAAAATTCACAAATGTTATTTAAATTTTAATAAAATGTGATTTACTTCAGCATATGTCTTTTTTTTTTTCACGATATTTGTTGAAATAGGCTAAAAATGTTATAAACAAACGCATTCATCATATGTTATTCTATTAAAATTGTACACAAGAAAAAGGATTACGTGAATCATAACTATATTCAATTTATGTCTAAATTTTAAGTCGAAAAATGCATTAGATTAGGGAGACCATGAGAGAAAAACATGGCGAAATATCTTAATTTTCTCATAAGTATATGACTATATACGACATAAATATTTTTTAGATCCAAACTCATACTAATAGTTGGAACACGGGTTGGGTCGGGTTCTACGGGTTGTGTAATCCAAAATCCAAACCCAACCCAAAGGAGGCGGGTTGTACAAAAGAAAACCATCACCCAACCCAAAACCTTCGTTTTAGAGATAAATACGGGTGGGTTGGGTCGGGTTGGACGGATGGGTCGGTTTGCGGGTGTATTTGTTCACCCCTACCTAGTTGTGTAAGAGTAGGGATGACAATTTTGACCTGATCCGATTTACTCAATCTGTTTTGCCTGTTTTGGGGCAGGTTGGACCCGTCCCGTATGCGTGGCGAGGCGGGCATGGGTACCTCTCATCGACCCGACCTGCCTTGACTCGCCCCATTATCGACCCGTTCTTGTCTAAATTACATGTAATCTTAGTAAAATTACTTAGGATTTTCCTCTTATAACATTATATTTAGCTATAATAAAGTTGTAAAAAGTCGAAACATCAATTTTTTCAATAATTTAACTACATTTTATCGTATTATGGTTTGTTTTTGGTCTTTTAGTGAAAATAACGAATAATTCTAATTTTTTCGCATAAATTACGTACCCATTGGGTCGACCTGCCCCGATCCGCGCCCCGTGATAAATTACGTACCATTGAGTAAAAAAAAACCTTAAAAAATGAAATTTTTTATTTTATATTATTTTCTTTTCTCTTTTGCTTAATTTTCTATAATTTAAATATAATATTTAATTATATTTGCAATTTCAAATTAATTGCATTGATGTAGGTGAATGAAATAAATGTGATGTGAATTGAAAAAAAAATTGAGTTGACAATAAAAATGCAATTTGCAATTGAATTCATAAAGATGCTCTAAAAGAAAATTTCAGGCTTTTGATATCTTTAAGGTTATGAGTTGTTTTCCCTATTCATGTTCCACATTTGAGAATGCAGATTTCCTTCGCAAGGAAAACCTTGTACTTTCTTGGAAAACAAAGTGTGGGATTGCTTGGCTTTGTTGCATACATTTTGAATGATATTTGTCATTGCTTTAGTCAGTATTTTATTTAAGGTGGATGTGACGTAAAAACTAAAATAAATTTTATTAATATTTAAATGACTTACAATGTGATTTCATAGCTTTTTGATAAAGTTTCGTTTGAGAATGAAGAATACACACATTCATATAATCATTCATTTAGACTCCTAACTTTTAAAAAACGACCCATTTTTTGAGGTACTTAGCTAGTTTTTTTTTTTTTTTTTTTTTTTTTGAGAAAATGGAGGCAGCAAGTGCGAGGAAGAAAACAAACAGAACACTAATTCTCCCAGCTAGGCAGAACCAGGCCGAGAAACAAAAGCAAAAAGAGCGCTAATCAAGTCTCATTGTCCAGCCTAACCATTCTAGGGAAGCTGGTACCGGCTTCATCTTCATAGCATATCCTATTCACTTCCAAAGGAGGAGCCTCAAGCTCATACATACCGAAGGGATAGACGAGACTGTGCTTCGAGAGCCAGTCCGCGACTCTATTCCCTTCGCGATATGTATGAACTAGACGCACCATCCAATCCTGACTAAGAAGCCTACGAATAGCGCCCAAGATAGTAGCATAGGGGTGAACCTCATCTCTTCTTTGTTCGATCAGCTGAAGAGCCAATTGAGAGTCTGTTTCCAGGACGAGAAAACGAGATCCTTTCTTCCAAGCAAACTCTAAGCCTTGCAGCACCCCCCATAGCTCTGCCAACAAAGCAGTTCCTGTGCCGATTTTGCTGCAAAAACCGCCTAGCCAAGTGCCATTATGGTCCCGAAGAACTCTGCCCGCCGTGGCCATGCCCATATTGCTTTGATTCGCGCCGTCCGTATTCATTTTATGCCAGCCAATAGGGGGTTTCTTCCAACCAATCAAAGCCTCTGTCCTGTTACCTCCCTCTACCATAGCCAAAGCTTTCCTGGCATCAATCCAGGTCCGAGCCCAATCGTTGGCCTTGGCTGTAACATAATGGTGAAGAGTGGAAGATGACAGCTTGATGCCCTTGAAAATCCCATCGTTTCTACACTTCCATAGATACCATATAACTAGGATGAAGAAACTTCCCCATTCTCCCGTCCAATTCCCGGTAGAATCATCTAGTATATTGGATTTCATCCAATCTTGGTGGCCAGCATTGAAAAAAGCTGCCCTTCTATTAGCATCCAGGATTTTATTCCAAACCGCCTTGGCTTTCCTGCAGTCCCTGAGAGAGTGGACAATTGTTTCCGAAATACCTTCACATTCAGGACACGAGTTGTTGTCAGTCAAGTGTCTGTCTTTTCTGATCTGATTTGTAGTCAACTTGCCTAGCATTGCCATCCAAACAAATACCTGAACTCGTTCTGGCACATGAAGCCTCCAGATTTTCTTCCAAATCGGATCGTTCTGAAGGAATTGAGAAGATTGCTCTGCTTTGAAAGCTGAATTGACTGAAAAGTGACCATTGGAGGTGAGATTCCAAATGATTTTATCACCTCCCACCGTCAGCGGGTCGAGCAAAATAGCTCTGATCCTGTCGACGATTTGTGGTGGAAGAAAAAAAAGAATCCTAAAGTGAGATTATTATGGATATTTTAGACATTTGTATCGCTCAAACCAAGGTTCGACCATAATTGACAATTTTTGGATGGAGATTTTAACAAAAAGACATGTTTGATCATTAAAAAAAATAGGAGATGTAAAATAATAGAAGAAAAACAATGTTTGATAAAATGACTTAATATAGGACATATATATTTACATATAACCCAAATCAAAATGAGCAAGCTGGAGGGCACGTGGTGGGACCTAAGTGGCTCCATAATATTTTGGTGGCACAGTAAAGGCGCACTCCCATTGGCTCCTCGAACAGCGCAAGAGGCGTCGGAAATGCTAACACGTGCCCTCTTTCCACTGCCCACGTGGATCCCCTGACGAGTATTGACTGACTGACTGGGAGCCAAAGTGGTCCCCACCTTCCCAACTGTCACCGAGAGTGAGCGTGTCAAGATGCTGAGGTGGACCCTTCGTTTCCCGTCCCGTTATTTTGTTTTTTTTTTAATTTCTAACTAATATAATAAATAAATAGTGATGGGTTAGTTACTGTTACCTTACCTTCACTCCTTCGCTCCGACACCCGACACGCGTCCCGGGTCAACTTCCCCAAAACGGGAATGTGGGTTGTTCCTGGTGGGACCTACCAGTTCCCGCCACCAAGTCTCCTCCATCCGTTATTTATACCCGTCGTCATCTTCCTCCGGCAGCCTCGACGCTATCGGAGTCTATATGGATGACCCCGCCGATCAATTCCCTTCCGGTACCCGCTTCTGTTCCGGCGATTGACTTTCTTTACTTACCGCACGTGAGTAACAAACCTTTCCAAATCAAGGGGCGCAAAGCTTTTCAAGTGTCTGTCGCCCACCGATTGGCTAACCATGTGAGATAAGAGGAACACCAACTTTTCGAGAAATTTTACAATGCTATATAGTATTGGTGCTATAGGTTTTTGTCTTTATGGTACAACTTAAAATTGTACATTTACGTTATGGTACAACTTTAGATTGTACCTATATTTTTTGTACAAATTCTTCTATGGTACAACTTGAACTTGTACATTTATGTGATGGTACAACTTCAAGTTGTAAAGTTGTACCATAACATAATGATACAAATTGTTTTATGGTACAACCTAAACTTATACATTTAATGTTATGGTACAACTTTGAGTTGTACATTAAAGCACCAATGCTATATAGCATAGTAGAAGTGCTCCAACTTTCCTTGTCCGGAGACAAACAAATTACAGCATTAGATTCCTTTTCCCTCCATGTTCAATATATATAGTTTTGTATTCGATGCACACATGTTTGTGCATTACTCATTTTATAATCGTCATTTTGAGTAGATGATTCATGTCGAAACGACGTTAATAATCACTTGTAAAAAATACACGAATTTGCATAAAATTCGTTAAAAATTTACTTTGACTTGAAGAATTTAGGGTTTAGTATCTATGGTTAGGGTTTATAATTGGGGGTATTGGTTCGGTGTTCAAAATTGAAAAATTTAGGAGTTAGGATAATGGATTGATTAGTTGTGAATTGTGATCATATGTTATATCATCATATCATACTATTGTTGCCAATTAAAATTCAAAATTCATGTATGAAATGCTACTTTTGCTATGTATCCACTCTGTCGTCGGTCACTAACAATACCCCATCGGTTAGTAAACTTGATTTTTCTAAGAATGGGTGTAAGACAAAAGTCGTTTACAGGCCAACTATTACAATTTTTCGAAGATAATCTTGTATTTGTACTTTGAATGATCCGTTATAGGTACATAAATAAACATTGAATTCAAAACAAGAGTAAAACATCCTATGAGGAACTAGCCAATGATTGAAAGGAAATCGTACTTGAGAAATACAACAACAAAAAACGAAACACCAAACAAGAAACAACTCGTGAGATCACCAACTCTTACTAATCTCGATGTGTGTTTTTCTCACACATGAATTTTTATAAAATTTTCTCACTTTTTTCTTTAAACAAAGTTCAATTGACCATGAGTTTGTCAATGTTTGAATACCCAAAATCTTGTGCTTAAATCAATTACTAAGTATGGACATCATGAACCGACTCGTAAGTGATAAAATGCACGGGGTTGATATGATATACTCTTAGGATCGATATCCAACTTACCATTGACAGAGCTATATGATTGAAATGCTAGCTCTTATCGATTTGTCGGGTATTCACGATATCTTAATAGTATTGGTTAGTTGTGTATGCATCAAATAACTGGGACAAATCCAAAGTATGTATCAAGTAGATGGAATAAAAATCATTCCTTATATAAGACTTTCTCTAATATGTTTCTCCATTACCAGCCAATTGTAAATCATATCGGAGATTGTGTGTCGAAAACTTCAGCCATATCATATATTGCATTGAAACCGTAATTCATTCGTTTCAGACCTCCAAAAGCTGCCTACCAATTCGAACTACAATACAATATTTTTCCAGTCTATTTCACAAGCATCGATATTTTTGCAGGTCATACACTTCCACAGGGCGTTTTGATAAAAGGCCAAAATGAGAATATCGAGAGGACAAATATTTCACCCTTAAGTTTCCCATTTTACGTTCGTTTCAATTCGAGGAGAAGTTAATATTATGCTGCGCAGTTCTGTTGTCTGTTGCACACTCTACTTGGATTGCCACTTGCGGTAGAGCTGGGGACAGTGCCCGCCGCCCATCCCCATGCTTTGCTTAATTGCTTTCATGGGGACTCTGTGTCACTGTGTGTGTTTTTTGCGAACCTGTACAGTCGCCATTCTCCAGCTGTCATGCCCCCATTCGACAATGAAATAACTTCATCCTATTCAGGATTCTGTATTCCTCGCCGGAAAATGACCACTTTGTCCTGGCCGGCCTTCTCTGTGTCTGTGTCTAGGGAGATAGGCCCTGCTGACCAGATGTCGGCCGCTTGATGTGGAGGTCAAAATGAGGGTGAGGATTCAATGATGTTTTTTTTTTTTTTTTTATGTTAATGTTACGTTTGAATGCTATGTTTCTATAGACGATAATTACGATAACGAAACCCTAATCGATAACTATAATAATTGACATTAGTCTAATCGACAACTACCGTCTTGATCGACAACTATAACGGTCATACAACACTCTATCGACAACTACATTGCTCCCCTGAAGGCCAGATCTCGACATAGGAACAAGAGAACTCAGATCTAGACACCATTCGACACTCTATGAATAAACGGCGCACAGGGAGCATTTTGTAGACATTGGTGGTTAGTGGGCATTTTCCATGGGGGCATAGAGAGACTCCCTCGACAGTCGGTGGTGTAGAGAGCAACGAAGCGACGCATTGACTTGTTTTACGAGATTATGGAGGCGACGGGGAAAGAGCGAGTGACACGAAGAGGGGCGACGCTTGCGTGGATGGGGGGAGGGAGGGAACAAGAAAGAGAGAAGGGGAAGATATGCCAGAATGGAGATATCTTAATTGCAAAAAAAGAAATTTCAAATGGAGAAAAAAAAACACCAACTATGTTACTATTTAATGAAGAAGATGAAACGAGGGAAGAAACTGAATCAACTACTACAATAATGATTAGAATGGCGCTAACTACTTAGATGTTAACAAGATAACCTCTAAAGCTACAGTTAGGAGTTGTCACAGTTTATTTTGATTAATCTCCAATCTAGCAATGGAGGAAAAAAAGCTGCATACAGAAGTTATGCAACATCCAATATCCTAACCCTAATTATCAACATAATTAGAGCCAAAAAAATATTATGAAATGAAGAAGCAAAGGGGGAAATGGAAATTAAGAAAGAAAAGGAAAAAAAAGTCCACGTAATTAATAAACAAACAGACTAACAGAGCATCTAAAACTCACCACCTAAAAGTGAGAACGGATAAGGCGGAGGCGGAGGCGGTGGTCTGGATTCCGCCGCCGCCGCCGCCATCCCTCCGAAATAACTAACTTCCCCACCACCACCATACCCGCCCCCACTCGACGTCGTGAAAGCAACCCCACTCCCCCCACCGCCGACCGGACGACGGTAGCTAACCTCCCCAATACACCACCCGGAACCGCTCACCGTCTCCGGCGACGGTGAAGGTTCCGGCGACGACGAATACTGCACCCTGCCGAACCCTTTCTCCGGAGACGACACGAACCCTCCAATTCCAAACCCCCCACCTTCCACTTCCTCCTCCGACTTCACCGACGCCGCCGCGAAACCGGCCGATGAAGACGACGACGAATTGTTCGACGAAATGTCCAGCCGAGGCTTCTTCTGCCCCGCCGCGAGGAGCCGCTGCCGCCGATTACTCCGCTCCTTCCGCAGCATCATCCGCGGGAGGAGGTCAGGGTCGTCCACGACCTTGTAGAGGAACGCCATCATCTGCTCCGGCCGCCGCTCCGTCGCCTCCAATCGCTTGCTCATCCCTTCCAGCTGCCTTTCCATCGCTCTCTGCTCCTGTTTTAACCTCCCAATCTCCATCGCCATCTCCTCGTTCCCCTCCATCATGAACTCCTCAATCGACCTCGACCCTTTGCATTGCTTCCGCCTCACTATCTTCCTCAGCAAATGCTTCTGTCCCTTTAGAAACCACTCGCTCGCAAACTCCCACCTGTCCGGATCTACTTTCCTGAACCCCTGCAACAATTGAAAAAAGAAAAAGAAAAACAGAGGAAGCTCAATAAACAGAGGAATCCCAATTTCAATTTCAATTCCGATTCAATTCGTTTCGGTGGGTTGTGATTCGCATACGTAGGTATTGAGCTGGCGGACGAAGCTGGAGAAATTGTTGTGCTTGAAGTAAGCGGGGAGGATTCGCTGGGAGAAATCGAGAGGGTCGACGACGAGGAAGCTGTTGTTGGCTTTCCCCCAGGAGATGAGTCCGTCCGTCGATGGGTCGTTGACCATCTGATACGTCTTCATAACGAACGGCGCGATGGTGTTGGTGCTGGTTTCGCCGCCGTCGCCGCCGTTGTTCCCTTCCATCCCATAAACGGTCAAGAACAACTCCTCCTCCTCCTCCTTCCGAGCTTTCGCCGTCGTCGTCGGCGGCTTGTTGCTCTGTTTTCTTCTTTCTTTTGTCTCTTTTCAGGGAGGGAGAGCAGAGTGAAAGGCACACGAGGGCTAAGTTGAATGGCTGAGTCCTGAGTGCCCCTTTTTTATTTTTCCTTTCCGGTCCCGTTTTCTTTCTAACGAAACGGATTCACCGTTCCGTAATAAATATATAAACGGTGGGGAGAGCAAAGACGGCAACGTGGCAGAGATCTTGACGGTTGTGATATTTTCGCGAGATTGGGTGGTGGGCCCACTGGGCTTCGCTTTTTATAATCTTTTGTGGGTACACGTCAGGGTTGGGCTTCGGCTTTGCTGTTAGATATTTTCAGGGGAGGTGATTAGTTTAATGATGAAATTAATGGTATTGGTTTGAAAGGAGTGGCTGCACGCGCGATTAGGTGGAGCGTGGGTCGTGGAATCCTCCTTTCTTCTTTGCTGCGTTTTCGGATTTTGATTGGCTGTTGGGTGTTGTTAAATGTTAATAATGGTGGTCCCACTTTGATAAATTGTAATTAGCTATCCTACTGTCGATTCGATCGGCAAGCGCTACTTTTTTTTTTTGACAAGAGATTCTGCATTAAACCAAAATCTAAAAAGGTTTACAATAGTGGTGACAATACACTCAGAACAGAGATCCAGTCTTGAGGCAAACGCCTAATCAAGTATAGAATTTTACTAGTACGAAAGGGCTAAATCACAAAATGTAATATCATCAACTTATCTGGTACAATTTGCGGGTAAAGGAGTAGTATATCTATATTTAGACATTTCAGATAGTGAATACTATAGTACGATTTGAGGTAGGGGCAAAACCAATACACAACAAGGTGGGCCCAGAGATCCACCTCGATTCGAGAAAACAACATATTGATATGCAGTTGGATGCTAGTGAGAGTTTAAAGTTTGAACTCTAAATCTCGTCAATATTAGTTCATATTTCTATCACCTAACCATAATTAAATAATAAATTTAAGTTATCTTCATTTATATACAATACATTCTAGTTAATATTACAACTTCATCATTCATGTCTCAAGGTGTCAAATCCTAATTTTATTCATGTTCTTCGATCAAATCCTCCTTTTGTGAAACTTGCTAGCTTCCTTTTATCCTAATAACGAGTTCACGCATTACAATATCTTAGCTAAAGTAAACAAAGTAATAACACAATAATAATAATAATAATTAATAATTCAACGTAAATAATAATAATTAATAATAATAATTTGGGCCATATATATTATACATTATTTTCCACCTATCAAACCATATATATTATCATTTGGGCCTTTACTTTCGTAATTTAAAAATGATTTAACGTGGCCTCTTGGCTGGCGCATCACAGGAGGCAGAGCAGGGGAGCCAGCCAATCCATAGTACGTGTCTCCTGCCTGCTCCGCCACGTACACCGTATTCCTTAAACAAACATTATTAGCGACATCATTATGGTTGTTTTAAATTACTGCTTTGGCTTCTGATTGGCCGCTCCTTAAAACCGTCGATGTTTGGACCACAGGGTGCAAAGCAAACCCAACCCCGTTTCATTCGTCACTCGGTGCGTTTGGTTCTGCTAATACAAAATTAGAGGGCCTTAATTATTAGTTTATAAGTGATTAAGAAGAGAAGGGGATTGTGGGGAATGACTGTCTCGTGGCATGATGCACTTCTTCTAAGATGTGATTACTTGTAAGTATGTGGTTGTTGATTTTCCTTAGATTAAAGTAATTATTGTGGCGGTGTTTGAACTTATCACGTTAATTACACCAAAGACTAGATGTGTTTCGATAAAGTAATTAACTTTGGTTTGGGTGGAGAACATAACTTTGGTTTCGATAAAGTAATTAACTTTGGTTTAGGTGTTGTTTATTCGATCTAGTTGATGTGAATGAGAAAGTTGGGGGAGGTCTCTCGAGCTAGATTTCTTACAGCCGAATTCATAAAAAATTTCGAAGTATGTTGCAGAGGCAAGTACGGAGGGAAAACGTAGAGAGATATAATTTGTAAAACGATATGACTATTATTTGACCATTTCAATTGAATGAAGGAGAGAAGAGCTCTTTCGAAAGGTGTAGGAGCCCTCATATATGTCGAGTTTTAGAGATTGTGTTGAGTGGATACATACCTCTGGAGACGAGAGGTTCGTGAATTGTGACATGGTTTAAGAAGTAAGATTAAATTTATCACAAGGTTATTTCTGGTTTATAGCCTTCTCTTTAATTGGGTTATTGGAGGAGAAAACTAGAGTATTTAATTTGTTTGAGATAATGTGACTTGTCAAACATAGTTGTCATGGGTCATACTTTCGAATCGAGTCCCCTATGACTCGATAATGCGACTCGATAATGCACTCTCTCGAAAATCTCTCTTTCACGATCTCTTCGGGGAATTGCTTAGATGTTCACTCCTAATGTCGGGGAGTTTGGGCATTGTGCCATTTACGTGCGAAAGACCTTGTTTTACACCGACAGTTACATCGCCATGGTTTCTGATGGCTACCATCAACCCGTTTATCTCCGTCGTCGATTTGCGAGATTGCTCTTGTGGTTATCTAGTTATCACACAGACGATTCCATGACGGTTTTCCTCTTATTCAGTTACTTGCTCACCTTTATCCTATCAAGTATCATCCTTGTATCTACGTGTGATACTGCTTCATTATTACCGACTATACACAACTCTTGTTTTCATTGTACCATTGTACTCGATCTTGAAAAATTCTTAGCTCAACCAGCAGTTCCAACCATCCACATGCCAGTTTGTTATTACTGGACTCACCCTTCCATCTTTTATGGCTCTATGGCTCGATCCATCACTATAGAAAACAGGGCCAATCCTCCGTACGGACACTGTGTTTCCTTAAACAAACATTATTAGCGACATCATTATCGTTGTTAAATAACTGCTTTAACTTCTAATTGGCTGCTCCTTAACCGTCGATGTTTGGACCACAGGGTGCAAGCAAACCCAAACCCCATAGATTATATATTATTTTGTCCTCTCTTCTTCTCATCGTCTCTCCCAAGCTCACACATTCGTCATTCGGTGCGTTATGTTCCGCTAATACAAAATTTGAGGCCCTTAATTATTATTTTTGGGTACTTAATTAATTAAGAAGAGAAGGGAATTATGAGGGTTGAGTGTTTCATGGGGGAACTTCTCGTGAGATGTAAGTATGTGGTGGTTGAATTTTGTTTGGTTAAAGTATAATTGTAATGAACTCTTAAACTTATCACGATACACCATGGCTTATACGTGTAAGTGTTTTGATCAAGTAATTAACTTTGGGTTGGGTGGAGAACATATTGTGTGGAGTTCCAAGCTAGGTTTTGTTTGCTCGATCTAGTTGGTGTGAATGAGATCCAAGGAGGAGGTGGGGTAAAGCTACAAATGGGACATAATCCGTGTTCAATGATATGTAAAATAATATGTCAATTATCAGAGAATTAGTGATAAGTTATTAATGGATTCGCTCATATGTTGTTAGTTTGGGGTTGCTTTAATTGTTAGCCATAGTCATGTCGAGCCAGTGCATAGCTCAAGACGAGCTGGCTTAAGAGTTGAGTTCAATAAGCCATGGAGGCGAGCTAGATCACGAGCCTTAAGAGCCAAATAAGGGTTAGCTCAAAATTGGATTGTTTACTAATTAACGAGTCGTATGTAGCACGTACGAGTTTTTGCCGAACCGGACGTCCAGCCGCTCATGAGCAGTTTGGCTCATTTCCAACCCGAGAGGTGGGGCATTCTCGCAATCTAGATTCCTGACAAACTACACAACATATATAATTTGAAGTATGTTATAAGCAAATACGGAGTGAAAATGTAGAGAGAGATAATTTGTAACGATATGACTACTTGTTATTATCATTCCAATTTAATGAAGGAACGAGTTGAAAGGTGTATGAGCTTTCATATGTGTTGAGTTTTAGAGATTATGTCTGAGTGTATCCGTACCTGGAGACAGTGTTTCGTGGATTGTAACATGGTTTAAGAACTTGATGCATATACGAAACTAACATCACCATGAGAGGATTCATGGGAACAAAAGTTATAGTGTCGGACGCACTTTTGACGAAAAGTACATAAACCGTGACAGATAGTGTCGGACGTCTAATCGTAGCATTAATGATATGACATGCCCCAACTCATACCCACTCCCGACTTGTATATAAAAGTTCTCTCATGTGAGATAAACAAGCCATATGCATTGACTACTACTTCTCTCTACTTTCTATCGCTCCCGATCAATCTTCATATGCTTCTTTATTTTCCATTCCCCTACACCCATCAAGGAACCCAAAACATTTGGCGACAAAAGAATGTCCGACCCCTCAAATATCTTTGGGTTCAGCCGACCCTCTGCTGAATGAGCTCAAACAATATCCTTCTCTTTAATTAGGTTACTGGGTGAGAAAACTAGAGTGTTTGTTTGTTAATGTGACTGGTCAATTAAACATAATAGTTGTTATGTGTTCATTTGTGGAGGAAATATTATCTATTTTTACAATTTAAAAAAATCAAATTTTGAAGTAAACAAATACGTACACATTTTCTCTTAAATTCAATAAAAATAAATACTGCATATATACGAATATACTTAATTTCCCTTGAAGAATATCCAACTAGCTAGCCTAGCTAGCTTGTACTGGTACAACGGCTACATGTTAGAAAATGGGATAAATTTTATATTCTGAATTTCCATTAAATAAGTAAATGCACAATAGTTTTTGTTTTGTATTTGTTATGTATACAGAACAAACGTGTATATTTAAATTTGTAGACAAATACGTACACATTTTCTCTGAAATTTAATTAAAATACATCATATATACGAATACATAAATATACTAACTAGTAATTCCCCTTCACAAATGGCCACCTAGCTAGCACCGGTACAACGGCTACATGTTAGAAAATCGGGTCAATTTTATATAGTGATTCTCAATAGATAAACGAATGGACAATAGTTTTGGTGATGTATATATTTGTATGTATATAGAACCATATCGTATTGACAAATTGTACCAATTTAATACTCATTGAATAGGAATATCTTTAACATACTATTACAGGGGTTGTTTGGATGATAAATTCACGAGATGAGATAATTTGACACAATTGGCTTACAATTATCTCATCTCACAAAAAACGTTTCAGCTCACAATATTTGCCTTTGTCATGTCAAATTAATGCAAACGAAAGAATTCAAATTACCTCGTTCCAATTCTTGCATTCCCATATTGTTGTCCAACGAGGTTATCTGATCCAATTACTTCATTTTGAGACCTCATTGGAATATTACATAATGACGAGTGTTCTTTTCAACTGTATCTTAAATCATTAACCTAACATGCACCAGTGTGACCTACGATAAACTTTCAGAATTCTACATAGAAAACACGAGTTGTGCTTTACAGGTATGCACACAAATAATTTGTACCTAAACCCACCATCTGAATAAAGAATAATAACTTTTGGCTATACCTATGGTGACTTGGAGAAAATGCTCAAACGTTTGCCTTAGTTAAAGGTCTACCACTTTCAAAAAGCGATCGATCACTTCAGACAACTAATCTACCACTCCGAGCAAGAGGTCGACTGCTTCCCAGTTCCCACAAAAAGTCGACCTGATGACACGCTTACTTCCAACTTACACATGCTTTTTGGAACGATCTGCAAACGATCTATCGCTTTCGCTGAACGGTATGCTTCTAGCTAGCAAATGAGTGACAAATGACAAAATTATCTTCTACTTACGTTAGGAAGCCTAAAATACGAAATTGTTTTGTAGTAATGCAACATCCTATTACCCGTGGGCAACCAAATCATTACACAGATTATAAGCCTAGATAAAAATAAATAACACCATCTTTTAGCACTCGTTCTGGAATAAAAGCCCACAAAAGCAAGATGATAGAAGATTTATTGACGTTGGAGATGACACAATAAATAACAATTATACCTACTTGTTAGATATCTTCTTAACGACAATAGCAACAAAGTTGCTCTGTCATAAGACAACTAAAGGAGAAGAAACAAGCCAACTTAGAATTTGAATGAAAGATGGAAGTCTCTATAAGGAAGTTAAGTCTAAGAAATGAATATGCGTAGCATTTTCCAAACCTACGGAAGAACAATGACCAGAGAAACTTCTCATCTATACTTCAACCTTTGTACTAACTTCAATTCTTTTATCAACAAGCATATCTATTAATATTGTACGTCCCTAATTAAATGGTTGACCACTTAGTGAAATCGGTAGACCGTTTTCTCCATATCATAATAACTTGTAAATCATCGTAAAAAAATAACTTTTGCATGTGTAGTTTTTTTTTTATTCGTTGAATCCTGTGTACTTTTTTCCCCCGCTATTAAGACTATAAGATTAATTGGAATCAAGCTATCTTTAAACAGAAGAAATAAATCTATTGGTCGAATTAAGTATACTAAAGAATTAGAGAGGATATGGACGGTTGTCCTAATTTTCTTCCCTATAGTAGCAAATAAATCTTCATTGTTTCCCCAATTAGTAGTAGGGTCGACCAATAATGCTAAATAAGTTGCCCACTAAATAAAAGTAAGCCAAACACAACTAATTGTGATTAAACAATTAAGCTTCAACGAAGAGGAAAATAGACCAAAATTGGCAAGCCAATGAGAATAAAAGTTGTTTACCCACCACCTCCAATCAAACAAGGAAGATTTGCAAATTGGCATTATGTACCATCTATATATTAAGTACCTCAACAACAACAAAAGTTCTACCTACGTGACACGTATAATGAGGATCGAATGGCAACCCGACATGGCGAAGGCCTTCGCGATTCGATACCGGTAAAATTGAGATTTGGATTTTTTTTGGGAAATTGAATATGACTGCCTCTTCGAATGATACATCAACTCGTAATGTATATTTTTGCAGGGTTAGAAAAGAAGAATGTTTGTTTAGTTTCTTTAATAAGAGAAGGATAAATGAGCATTTAACCAGTTTGGAGCAAAAATACCACAACCATAATGTCATTTTTGTACCTCCGAGAGCACTAACGGGCCTCACTTAGATTTGAACCTGGGAATTGCAACTCCCAAATCTTCACTGTCGCGATAGCTTTACCGTTAGGCTATCTTACCCTCGGTGAAGTTTTAACCCTGTTAACTAACTTAATTCGGTTTTTGTAAGAACTCGAAACTGGGATGAAAGAGTCACATGCTCGAACGGTTAAAATTCCACGTAAGACATGTAGCCTAGAAGAGGTTTCACAGAGCAAGAAGGGCCAAAGTTCAAGAACAGCACACTGCACAATCCTACCAATTGGCCCAACTCGTGGCCCAAGAAGAACAATTTTATTTAGACGAGAGCCCAAGAAGAAGATATTTAAGAATCCTAAATTTACCAAGAGAAAGTAATACTGTGGAGCAAAATGATCTCAACTCTCAAGTCAGTCTACTAATTACAAGCATCCAAAAAATTAAAGAACCAGAATGAATATTGAATGAGGCCAAAAGTTGTAACTCAATTATGTCATCTGCTGCCAAACACATTCCTTTCTACAAATAACATCTGATTACTGATATGATCTGCAACTCAGATGCATATGCCATCATCAATCAGTGGCTGATTTTGCACACAAACAAACAAACAGAGATCACAGAAAAAGGAATAAATAAATACAAACGTGTCACTCCACTCCATCAGCATGCCCTTCCATTTGGCATTTGGTAACCAGGATAAGTCACCATGGTAACAGAGATGAAAAGATTCAGTAACCAGATGAAGAAGATACTATGACATTATGCTCACTCAAATGGCGTTGAAATTTAGCCAGCCGGGTCTGCAGCTGTACGATTCCCGCAGCCTTCTGCGAGAGAATTGTGTTCAGCTTGGCGACATAATCGTGCAGCTGGTTGCCTGGCTCGTCAGCTGCAGCTAGCAAGTCCATCTCCTGAGGTTACATAGTGATGGTTGTATCAGTATGTCATCAGGTTGAGTATATTTGGAAGAGTGATATGAGCAACATGCTATTGAACAAATACGTCGAGATTATTAATGCATTGGAGTGTATTTGGAATTCCATAAGCAATCTTAAATGCATCAAAATGATACAATCTCGAATACGCGGAAATAGGAAGCGATTGGAAGTTGCAGTGCAGCAGCTAGCTAACTGACTTACCTCCCTGACTGTGCTGATTGTCTCCTCCACTTGTTGCCGGTGTGCAGCTATAAGATCTTCCTCTTCCTATACCAAAGATTAGAGCAGCATTTAATGTATAGTCTAAAAAGATGTCGAACATTAGACAATCCGATTAGAGGGTAAATTTACCATCAACAAAGCATTCAAGTCCTCGTCTGGATGAAAATCGTTGGGTTGAGGCGTCAGGATCTCAGGCCGTTTCGTTGGAGCATCATTTCTCCATCTATCATCAGATATAGAAACTTGGTAGCTCTGTGATCTTCCACTAGGCACACGTTCCAGATTATGAGGTGGAGATGATTCCCTATCGACTGACTTTGACCAACCAAACCTGTTCTTATCACTGGGGAATTCGGTTATGCTATCATCAGACATCTGCAGCAAAGCAGTCGAGTCTCTGAGGTTTGGAGTTGAAGAGGACAGAAGATCCCTCTTGGAGCCTCCTTTTGATAGACTTTTCACCCTGTGGAAAGAATGGCAGTGTCAATTCAAGCTGCAAGCGAGATAGGACAAAGCTAGTTTCATTTATTTTATTTTGTAAGTATCTACTTCATTATGCACAGTCCTCATACCTATCAGCATATCTCAGAGTGTTGAGAGTATGCTCACAAGAGCCTGAGCTAGGCGAGATACAAGATATCATCACAGTACGTGAGTTGCCAACGAATGAGTCTCGTAGTACTTCAGTCAGTTTACTCCCTCTAAATGGAATATGACCCTGGTCGCTGTCGAGAGCTCTTATGCATTCTTTCAGAGCCAGCAAGCTCTTGTTGATTTCAGCTCCTTCCATCCTCGTCTGTTTATCATTATCAGTGGTATCGGCACCACGCTCACTTCCAGCAAGATCAATGAAAGACAGCTTTCCTACAACCCGGGCAGGTTTTGATTCGGATCCATCAGCTGATCTCTTGATCACAAGCTGAAGTATAGCATGTGATCTAGAAGACTCCTCGTTTGCACCAGTTGTACCTGTGCTTCTTGTGGCATTTCCTCTTTCAATGAGCTCCCTGATTGTCTCCACATCAAATACTCTGTATTCCTGCAGACCCACGATGCACACCTGTTGTTTCCCATCCTCCCTCATGCAAAGCTTTCTGCAACGTTACTGAGCATCAGACAACAGACTGCAAAATGTGAAAGTTCTTCCAGTTTGCCTCAACAAACATGATAACGCTTACTTCCTATCGTTGAGTAGATCGAAAAGCTTTCCACCATATATTTCGAAGAAGCTGACAAACAATTGAAAACCTTGATTCCTGTAAGTGTGAATCATTAGCCTCAATATATCTTGTGAGGCCTTGATTGGAAGTGGTTGCATGGTATAGGTCTTGCCGCTTCCTGAAAAAGATAAATGAATATGAGGCAAGTTCATTATAAATCAATGGAAAGTGGACTACTACATATGCAAATGTACAACCAAAACACTAAACATGGTATAAAGACATGGGTAATACAATGTTCCCCCATGAAACGAGCAGGGACACAGCAAAAGACAGTCGAAGTAACTTGCCAGTTTGCCCATATGCGAAGCAAGTTGCTTTTGTTCGTTGGAAAATCAAAGGCACGATTGGTTGAACCGTCTCTGCATAAACCTACAGACAAAATGCTCCAACATCAGTCAAATTATCTAACAAAGTAACAATGTAGGCACCCACGATAACCATTGCAACATTCTTACTTCATCATTTGAAACACCTTCATCCAGCACAGCATCGAAAACAAATTCGTGTTTCTCCATATACTCGGTCAAGTCCACCTGCAGGTTCAGTCATAGGGTTCATGTTTCTTCTCCACACCCAGTAACATAGTCCAGAATAAGGTCAATATCACCAACACCAAGCAACAAACCTTGAGCTTGGTCTCGTGAACAGTGAGAGCATTCGAATTCGGTTCAATGGCAATGATATCGTCTTCTTTCTTCGTCTTCTCTTTCCTATTCAATGGCCTCTTTCGCACCTGTGATCAGTAAGATTCATCACAATGAGAACTACTCCGCCATAGGGAGATTCCTCAACACAGACAACTAGTGGAATGTCCTCAAAACAAACCTACCACGACTTTGATCTTGGCAACATTGTTGGCTCTCTCCTTATCCGAAGAAACAGAGAAGCTCTTGAGAAGGCTATTCTCAGGAAGCCCCTTAGCCGATCTGCTTCCAACTTTGCCGGCCAAGAGATTCTGCTCGGAGTCATCAAAACTTCTACCACGAGAGCTTCGTTGATCAAACGAGTATCCTTCATAACGGCTCCCAACTTGCATCTACAGACCAACAATTCGCCAAACCGCAAATCCTAAAAATCGTCATCCGTTCTCATTCTCAAATACACAATTTGTTTCGTTTCTCAAATTTCAAAAAACCCTGATCCAATTCAGCTCCTAAAAATGGCGGCTACTACTCCAATCAAAACCGGAATGCAGTTTTTTTTTGGCAATCATATATTGATCCAAAATAAATAGATAGTTACAACAAACAACAAACAAACAAACAAACAAAAAGAACACCATAACCAAACCTCGGGGAGAAGCTCGGTGTCGAAGGAGTGGAGATCAAGCAGGCCCGGCGATACTTGGCCGTCCCCAGCGTGTCGGAGGCTCGACGACCGCGAGCAGACCGGCGGAGTCGACGGGTTTGACTGCATGCTCCGATTCATCTTTGACCCGTACCCGAAGTCCTACAGCACCATTCAGCCGAAGTTAACAAAAGAGAAAACATATAACAAAAAAAACTTCCCCAAAATGTACCCGCGGGCCGGCGGCTGGTTACCTGAGAAGACGATTGGAGCCATTTACTGGCGTCGAGGAAGTTATCGGAGTACTGACGGTGGTGGTGCGCCGTGGAGTGAGATCGCGACATCTGTCTCCCCACCAGGCTCATCTTGTTCCTTCCTTCCAGTGAAAGAGCCAAGAAAAATAAACAACTCAGCTCAACTCCAACCAAGCTCCGCCGCCGCGTTCGCCGCGAAATCGACTCGGAAGAAGAAGAAGCAGCGGAAAGCAGGAGATTCAGAGAGATGGATATCGACGATGGAATGGATGATTTTTTTTCTTCTGTCTCTTTCGCATTAAAAAACCAGAAGAGCCCTGGAATAAGGGGAGGAGGAAGGGAACGAAATGATGAAATTTGAAACTTTCCTTTTTTTCTTAAAAAAATAAGTGGAAAACGAAAACCAAAAACACCCGCGATTGTACGTCACCGGGCGCGTGAGATCAGCGGCAACATGGGCGGAGAATGGCGGGTGGGCCCCCGGGCAGGACCCGAAATGTGTTTTCTTTCTTGCCGGGTTTTGTATGAGAAGGGAAGGAAGAGTGGGCGGCGGGCGTTGTGTTTGGTGGGCCTGGGCCGGATTCAGGGCAATTCTTTTTTTTTTTGACCGGATCCGGGTCAGCAGACAAAAAAGGATGTGAATGGAAAGAAAGGAGAGTGGAGAGATGTGGGCCGCCACGCGCAATGGGGTAGTTGAGTGAGACCCATCACGCGCGCGGATGGTTTGGGTTGAGTACTTGAGTGGTTTGGATTGGAAGAGGTCAATGGGGGAAGCGGGTAGGGCCCATCGGGTCAGAGCGTTGGTTTGTATCAAGGTTGTCAACCCGCGGGTTGACCCGGACCCGGTTGAGCTAGTGAGTTAAGGGTTAATGGGTCACCCGTTTTAGTCCGGTTTAGCCCGGAAATATGGAAAGCGTCACTATATTGTACTTATCTTGATAAATTATATCAAATCTCATCTAACATATGAGTTATAAGTTATACATATAATATTACACCAAAATAACATGTCGTACTTAGATTCAGCATATAATGAAAATTCACACACACTTATATAACATTAATATTCAAATGTTCAACTTAGAATTCCAAAGATTAAGTTAGGCGAAAAGAAAAATCGGAAAATAGGCGCATTTCGCAAAACAAAGAAAAAAATGACACAATTTGACCTCCAACCCGATACTTTGTAGTGGTCAACCCGGTAGGTGCGTGCGGCCCGTTTTTCTCACCGGATCAGAGTCAAAGTGGGTCAACCCGCGGATCGACCCGCGGGTTAACAACCTTGGTTTGTATTTGTAAATTTGGGGCGAATATCGAGATTGTGGGATTTTGCAGGTGGTCACGACTCACGTCTGTTTCCAGTTAGGTGGCCACTCCGGATTCAGTGATTTGCGGAGCTTTTGATTCTCCAAATGGTATCAAGTTCTTCCCCTCGCCCATCGGTCAAAACTAAAAAATAAAATAAAAATGATGTTATTCTCAACAACTCAAATCGATAGTAGCAATGTAGTTAAAATTGCATTTTAAAACTAAAAATTTTGCGATTTTATGCTTATAGATCAGCAAAGCGATTTCGTTATCGTGTAAAATCTTTAGTGTATAAAATCGGACTAAATTGCGCTTTATAACTTAAAAGTTTATGCTTTTACGTTTCTAGTTCACCAAAACGCTTTACACTTTTACGCTTTTATATACTTCACTGAATGAGTATTCTTTTTATGAAATTAATTATAAGAGATACATTTTAAAGGCAAATCATCAACAATATTATACATTTAAGATTAAAAAGATATGTACCAGTTACTTGGATGCATTATCAGTTTCAACAGAGTAATCTAATTCGCCAGCTAGGCTCTTCCCAAATTCATTGGCATAGAGGGGAAGATGACTTATTGTTAAGATATATGTTTATGAACTTATTATTAAGATATTATAAGTTGCTCTACTTTAGGCATGAATTGCAGGTTTTTTTGTTAACTTATCTAAATTATGTGCACTCATATTTTACATAGAATATGTCATCCTTAACATATTTTTACTTATTTTACATTATGCGTCAAAAACTTACGCTTGTACGCTTTGATTTTATGTTTTATGATTTGACCCCTTTTTCACTTATAGGTAAAATTGCGCTTTTGACTGCATTGGATAGTAGTATATTAGATGTTTAAATACCTAATCTCTATGATATCCTTTCAAATAACATTGTGATTTGACCTAGACATCGTATAGGTACAGTTTACAATGTGATTCAATCAAGTATTATTAGAGATCCCGATGATTCGAACATGATATTAGATATATCGATCAAGGATTCTTATGTCATATCAAGAGAATCGTTGGTCTCAATGACTTTAATTGTTATGAAAGATCAAGAATGTTTATTCTATCGTTTCTATTGACAACTAGGACGTAGTAATTTATCGTCGCTTATTTGTACTAGATTGACACTCACGGTTCCTGCTAACTTTCTATATTTCATGAGAGTTGCTGGGCTTGTGTCGTTTGACTAACATCTTCTGTATTCCAAGTAGAGTATTTGCTTAGCTTTTTTCCTTTTTTAGTACATACGATACAACCTTATTTCTATAAGCAGCTACATTCCTCTATGACCCCCGAGACAATCCTGGATAATATATTTTCCAAAATCGGTTCAACAATATGTTATCTAAGCACTTTAAATCACGCCTTTGGTATTAAACAAACACAAACGATGGCATCACGATTGGCGATCAAACTCGTATGTCTTTCTTCTATGTCTATTCATTTTCGATCTACGTCTAGTTTTTTATGACCTCGAAAGAAGGATGAGGTACAAGTTGAGTGTCGCGCGCGACGAACTAATGTGTGATTGCTTGTTGTTTTTATAACTAGGCTAGCAGTTAGTTAATGGGAATAAGTTGGTTGGTCGTAGATCATATGTAGTAGATAGATAATAGATTCATGGGATGTGCGTGATTTTGACGTGACGATTAATGCGATCACATTTTGGGCAATTTTGTTGGGTGGTCGGACTCGAAACTCGCTGGGAACGAGCGTTTGGACTTTTTAGGGAATCAAAGATTGTGAAAAGCGCAGGATTACTACAATAAGTACAGATGGTGGAGGGAAAGCTGAGTTTGAATTAGTCGGCATTTCGTGTATAGTGGTTGGCTGGTGGGGAAGGTCCATTTAGATGGGGACAACAAAATGTTGATTTGAATATGGAGTTCAAAGCTTAAAACAAATACGAATTGCCCGGCAAATAAATTCAAAGCTGTCCCTCAAATTGTAAGGTAAGAGGTAGACAATGTGTGTGTTTTTAGCAGGATTTTCAACTCATGGCATTGGTTGATTCGGTACAAGATCGGATCAAATTATCCATAGACCGGATCGAAATTTCTACTAAATCAATGACCAAAGTCGAATTGTTATTACTTCGATTCGGTCCGGATCAAACCATATATGGTTCGATTCGGTCTGGACCATCCCATTGGACCGACTAATCTTTCGTTCAAATAAAATCACTCTAAAAGGACAACACAAGAATTTTAAAAAAAATGTAACTACATAAAAAGAAGTAATCAAACTATCCCAATTTAAATACTCCACAATTATTAAACTCACATGTTCAAAAATATTATGCAAAAAGCTAAAGGAGAACTACTTAACTAAAAGACAAAAGTCTTTTTATTCAATCTTAAATGTAGTCTAACTAATTGCCTCTCTAATCTTCCATTTTCATTTCCAGAGTGCACGTTGGACCTCCCAATCTCCAGAATTTCCATTGTTCATTAGAAAGCCTTTCTTCTGCAATATAAGCACATGATATAAAGCATTAGAAAGGAGTTTAACATAGTGACACTTACTCCAAGAACTAGTGCAATAAAACAAATGATTCTTAACCTTGCTAATTTGTAGTGGTGTTGTCAGACTTGGCAGAAGTCTCTGTGGTGTCATTTATTCGCATCTTCTCCATATATGAAACATTAAACAAAAACAAAAAAGAGAACACGATATAAATACTTGGTTCACAGTGTGTAGGTGGTAAGCCGCTTTCTTGATCAAAGCAACGAGGATGAGAACTCTAATTTGAGGTTAGGACTATAGGAGCGGGAGCGGCGAGTCAAAGTCAGGGAAAGCCAATCATATTTATAGGTAGTTAAGTGTCATGTAGGGTACTAGGGTTTTCAACTCCAAGTCGATTTGCCTTCTCAGAGCCTAATAAAATAGGCAATTAATTTAATTAAGATTATGTCCGGTTCTTAGCTTGATTTTACGGTTTCGGTCAGGATCGAACCAAAACCGAAATGTCCTAAATTCAGGAACCAAAGTCGAATCGAAAGATAAACAGTTCTATCCGATTTGGTGTGAGAGTCGATTCAGACCGATTCAGTCTGATGTGAATCGAGTCGTTGCCCATCCTAATTACGAGGAGAATTCATTGATTGTCATTGATCACATTAAGAGGTCATGAATCTGAATCATCTACCAACATGAATTTGTCGAGTACTTATGAGTGTCATGATTCTGTGATGGAGAAGTCCGAATGAGTTGCTAAAATAAGAAATACAAGAAAGTTAATTTTTGAAAGGCAATAATGAAATATATTGATTTTAAGCCCATAATTTTTTACAAGCACAATACAAGTAGAAACAATATTCTAATATCAAATTTTTTTTTTAAATCTACAATGACTCAAATCCATCACCAACCAATCATTCAGTTTTCAAATTCCACTAACTAACATACCCTGTAAATAAGTACGTTAGGGTAAATGGAAGTTGGGAGAGACTGCCAAAGCTAACACAATTTATATAAAAAAGTTGTAGAAAATATATCATTAAATGTTGATATGGCCGAGTTGGTCTAAGGCGCCAGATTAAGGTTCTGGTCCGAAAGGGCGTGGGTTCAAATCCCACTGTCAACAAATAATTTTTTTTGCCCTATCTTTCCTCAACAGAACTTAAGTGGGCCTTTTGGATTATTGAATCAGCTCGAACCGGGAAGATAACAGAAGTGAAATGGGCCGAAAATTAGGCCCATAATGTTACAAGCCCATAAATATTTTGTAGTCTGATAGGAAACAATGAACGTGCGAAGGAGGCGGTGGAGCGGATATAATTTTGCGCCTCGGAGAATAAATTGCGGTTGTTGAAGGCCGGAGAGGAAGGCTACTGGTTTTTTTTGCCTTGTCTGGCTGCTCTCGCCGGCGACTATTCCGAAATCTAGGGATTCGAAGAACTCGGGATAGAAGGGGAAAGCCAGCAGCTTGGCCGTATCGATAGCTGGCAGGGTGAAACGGAGGGGGGCGATGTCGTCTATTTGCCTCTCCGCGTGTTCTACTTCCAGACCGCTAGCAGTTCCACCTTGTTCCGCGGCGGCGCGGGGCTTCTCGTCCACGGCGGGGAAAGGTTGCGAGTGCTCTCTCTCTTTCCGTCCTGCGAATGGCTCCGGCTGCCTCCTTTCTTCCGCGGGTGATAGGGGAAGGTTACAGGTTGTTCGTATGGCTCCCGACGAAGAGAAGTTGACTCGTCGAAATCCTCTCGATTTCCCAATCGTAAGTCTAGTCTCCCTTCCTTTGTTCATTCAGAGCAACTCACATTTCGATTGGAACTTGCAATATCGAGTTCATATTATGATTTACTGCTGCTGTTTTCGTGATTTGGGATTTGTTTGCTGTGTGTTCGGATGACTTTGTTCAACTTCAGTTCTTCCTTCCTGGCAATGTTAGCTAATTAAGGTTTGGGGTATGGAAAAAAGAATTTAGATGATAATGTTGCGGTTTGTTAATGTTGATTGGGAAGTATTCATCAATGAATCAAGTTGAAGCTAGAAGAGTTGGCAAACTCAAGCCATTTTCTTGTCAGAATTTGGATGGAGTGCTTTGTCCTTTAGATTTGGATTTCTTAGGTAGAGAGGAAATATGGCCATCTCAGCTCATCAATTTTCGGGGACGATTAATAGCAAGGCCAGTAAGGTTGTTCAACCACAAGTTCCTTTCAGGCTGCTTGAGTTTGTTGTACAAATTCATATTTTACGTCTGGTTCTGATATGATTGAAGACTTTGCTTGACCTTGATCAATTCTGGGCTGCAGTCATTGGCTTTTGCCATTAGATTACTGCCTTAGCAGTTTTGTTCTGATAGTGGGCGCAGGCTTGGTATCTGTCTAGCTTAAGAGAATGCAATCAAATGTCATTCCTGCTGGAATAATTTTTCATAATTATGGGGGGAGCAGATGCCATATTTCTTGTGAACAATTGGATCCTTGCTGTTTTTTCTTTTGAAAACGAATCAACGCCCTGTTCTTAGGAGAATGATGTGTTACTGTTCTTGCCTCCACTGATAGTATGGTTGTCATCTTACAATGACAACTTTTAGGAGAATGATGAGTTACTGATCTTGCCTCCACTGGGGAAAGTAAGGTTGGCATCTTACAATGACAACTTTAAGCGTTGGTTGCCCGAGTTCCAACAGATATAGATTTAGGATCTGTCCTATGAAACAATTACGAAAAATCCGGAATGCTCAGATCTTGACAGGTGACTCAAAACTCAAAACACTGCTGACGAATGTGGATGAATGGGTTTATATCATTTAATGTCTTGTTTATGTTTGATAACATCCATCTCATAGCGAAGGTCAAGTGTACAGCTTACTTAACCTATGTGATTAACTATCCACCTGGTAATGTGGTCTCGCGTGTCTTTCTTGTATTACAATTCTGAACTTCGGCGTTGCAGGAATGGGAAAGGCCGAAGCCTGGACGAAGACCGGACATATTCCCCCAGTTCAGCCCAATGAAAACACCGATCCCGCCACCACTGCCATACGATCCTCCCCCGGAGGAGGAGGAAGAGGAAGACGGAGACAAGAAGAAAGAGGAGGAAGAGGAAGGAGATGAAAATCCTGATAAGGAGGAAGAGCCCGAGAAACCCGACATTTAGTAGATAGAAATAAAGGGCAGCTACTCGACTCGAGCAAAATAGAACGCCGAGCGCAGTTCTGAGTTTTCTGTTTTTTGGATCTGTGAGAAGGAAGTGTTCTGACGGGAAGCTGTTTTGGTTATTGTATGCCTTATTAGCTACACCTTCTATTCTTACGTTCAGATTTTGTGCCTCTCAATGGAACAATTTTAGCTCTCGGTTCTTGTATGACACTATTGCAGTGTTGCTCTTCTTGAAGCAGAAAGAACCTTCTTAATTGAACATTTTTAACACCTCTGGTGTGAAGTAGTGAAGGTGTTCCTGTTTGTTTCTCCTTCTTTTACTTCCCGGTTGTAATCAGAAATTAATTGCAGGACGTCTCCGTAACCTTGGCAATTATTTGATTTGGATGAGTTCCATTTTAGCTTTGAATTCGGCATTATTAAGCCTTCAATTATTACACTTCTATCTATTATTATTTGTGTTAATTGACTGATTGGTCAATTTGGGCCTTTTAATCCCGACATTATCATGTGCGATGAAGCTACCTTTCGGCTCCCATCTCGCCAATTTGACGTGGACTGCCCATCTAATCCAGTTGTTTAATTGAAACAGAATTTACGAGGGGACTAAATCAGAAGAAAGACGCAGGGCAGGCAGGGATGAAAGAAAGAAGAGATCTTATGTGTCAGAACAAAACTGTGTGCGACTGTGTTCCTATTTGCTGCTAATTTGGATTCCCTAATTTAGGGGTAGTTTGGATATGGTAATTTAGTGTGGTAATTGGGCTCAATTTCCACGATATGCAGTAATTGAGTTCAATTACCATGTTTGGTTGTAAAAAAAAAATCATGGAAATTGAATGATGGAATTTGGGCCAATTACCACAAATGTGGAAATCCAAAATACAACCCCTCACCCCCCGCATTTCCAATTCCCACGTTTAAAGACTTTTTATTTCCAATTGCCCCCCTGCTCTTTTACATAAATCCAAAATTAACCCTTTCTTATTTCAAGGGTTATTTGCTCCGTTCGTGTTTTCTATCTTCTTCCTTTTGCTTCGTCCCTGCAACCGATACAAAGATAAGCAAAAATCTCCTCCGATCAGCAATCAGTTAGGAAGCGAGTTTGAGCCTTTGCTCGTCGACAAAATGATGGTGGTCAATGATTTAGAAGAAGTGAACGCTCTTCTAATTAGCAATCATGGAGGCAGAAGTTCTAGTATGCTCCCCGAAACTTGGATCTGACTAGCGATGCAAATGAATTTGCAAGCACTTGAAGTCTTTGATCTCTGATCCCCATTTCGTTCATCGTTTTGTTTGTCGACGTCGTATCGAACATCTCTGACATTCTTTTTTTTCTCTCGAGTTTGTTGATCTCCTCCCTTGACGCCCCTGATTGGTTCCTTTAGTCAGATCTGATTCCAAACAAGTCTCGAAATGTCGCGAGAGAGTTTCATCTTTTAATTGTTATCCTTCCTAATCTATGTTTTTGTACCGTTTATCATATGAAGTTGCAAGAGAGTTATGTAAAATGTAAATTGCATAACTGAATGTTGTGGCTGCGTTGAGTGGTATACCCTGTTGCTAAAAAAATATATCAACATGTATAACTAATGAAGGAGGGTATTTTTGTATTTCCTTAAAATTCCACACTGCCAATTTCAACAAAACGGAAACCTTTCCAAACGTGGAAATTGGTGTCCAATTTCCACATACCAATTTCTTGGTTTTGTAAAACGTGGAAATTGAGACAAATTCCTAAGTTTTCAAATTTCCACATCCAAACGACCCCTAGTAATTTCAAACCGCCATTTTTTCTTGTGCCCCAAGTTAATTCCGGTTGCTATATTCACAAACCATTTTAATTAAAAAATGCCCTCTGGTTGATCAACACAAAACTTGATTTTTCTCATATGATTTGATTGCCACGATGTCCATTCGTCCTGTGAATTCATCTTAAATTCAATCGTATTGACCATTCTTTTCTGTCTAAACTCAACATAAAATACTATACCACTAACGTTTACGATAGTTTACAAGGCTTGGGTCAGGGTTAAACAGAAAGGATTAGCTCAATTTTCCCCCTAATCCACCTGACGAAATGCGGTCCACATCAGCACCCTAGATTCCCCTCCCACCGTCGACTCCCACGTTAAATAATAAACTAACCCAACTTTGTCCAACCATCGGACGGCCACGATTAAACGTGCCCACCTATTCCCCCGCCGCCTGTTCCTCCACAGGATTACCCTCTTTGGCTCTTTCCCCACTTTGCCCCTCTTGTCTTCTTGCGTAGCTTCCCAACCACAAGCCCATTCCCGTCATTTCACGCAAAAAAAAAAAAACCCAAGCGTGAAATGGGGGAGAATGAACTCGGTTGGAGAGACACTGAGTCAGCCGCTTGACTCACCAGCGACACGAGCCGAGTAGTCCGAGTCTCCACTGATTTGAAAAAAGTGCTTAAGAAACGTATACTTGCCACCAGATAGCGACAGACGGAGAGAAAGAAAGAGAAAGAGAAAGAGAGAGAGGAGAGAAGAGAGAAGCTCTTTGGTTTCTCCTTTTCCCATTTGTTAATCGAATTCTTTTCCCCGTTTCCCTTTTCCGAGCTTTCTCTTCTCTTCTCCTCCTTCCTCCCGTTTAAGCCCCTGCTCATTACTGCTCCTCTCGCGAGCACTAACAGCTTCATTAATGGCGGATTAGACCTCCTCCTCTATCTCTCTCTCTCTCTCTCTCTCTCTCTCTCTCTCTCTCTCCGTAGCCTTGGTTTCTGGAAGCGAAACCAAAGCCGGTGTCTCCAGCTGGAGTTCAGCGAAAGAAGTAAGAGTATAGAAGGAAGCGAAATCGGGAAGAATGCTGGACGGACTGCTAGGTCGAGGCTTTGCTGCGAAATGGTATGGCGTTCTTTTTTCTTCAGTGTCGGTTGGATGTAAAGATCCCCCGTCTTTGATTTCTGATTCGCCGGATTGGTTGCCTTCTCTATTTTTTTTGCAGCAAATCGCTGATAAAACAGAGCAAGAGCCGGATCGATGTGATTCGAAGGAAGAGGAGCGCGACTCTGAAGTTTCTCAAAAAGGACGTGGCTGATCTGCTCGCCAATGGACTCGACATCAACGCTTACGGCAGGGTTGGTTCCCCCGTCGATAATCATCTTCTCACTATTCGTCTCTCCTATTCTTGTGGTTGCGCGTCGATTGATCTGATTGCTTGCTCAGCTCGATTTCTCCCCTGCTTTAGCTCTAGCTCCTGCGAGTTTCTTACTCTATCGACGGCGATGAACAGAAAACTTTTTTGAGTTTGAAATTCCTTTGTCATCGACGGTAGCTAGCGGAAAACGTTTTCGATGTGACCTCCGGCTGCCAGTCTCCGTCCAGTGAATTACTCAATTTACTAATACGTCGGCGACGATAAGTTAAATTAACGACAGTGTCGAGCTCAGAGTTTTGTCTGTTCCTCGTGGAACAAATTTCTATTTTTAACATTGCTGATGTTGAATCTTGTTTTTGTCTCTGTGCTTCTATTTTTAGTGCTATGGCGATTTTGCTTGTTCTTTTGTGGCTCACTGCCTTGATGATGTCTTTGTTCGTGATGGTGTAAAATTGAACAGGCTGAAGGACTTGTTGGAGAATTGGTCTTATCCTCTTGCTATGATTTTGTTGAGCGCTGTTGCGATCTTGTGCTGAAGCATCTCTCCGTTTTGCAAAAGATGAGGTAATGAGATTCTGGTTCAAGTTCGACCCTCTGTTCTGGAAATGATTTTCAGACGGTGTCTTTTACATTTCGCCCCGAACGAGAGTATGGTTTGCATGACTATTGTAGATAGGCGTGGTCTGATTTCATGAGCTGCTGCATTTTCCATCAGTACAAGTTCACAAGGATTGGAAATGTATCATTTCTAAACTCGATTGTAATTGTGCATGTCGATGCTGTGTTTGTTTTTTTGTCGAGTGCATGAGGATCGCAACCATTCTGTTCATTAGGTGTATGGTGAAGGAACTCTTACATGTGTATTGTGTTACTAATGGCGACTCATGTTTCATTTGAGAGGTGGAGTTTTAGTTGTTGTCACTTGCTAATGTTAGGTTTTGTGTTCCATTTGTGGCTCATGGCAGACATTGTGCAGAGGACTGCAGGGAAGCTGTGTCTTCCTTGATGTTTGCAGCCGCAAGATTCTCAGATCTGCCAGAATTGCGAGACCTTAGGCAGCTTTTTCTGGAGAGATATGGCGATTCCTTGGAATTGTATGTGAATCAAGGGGTAATACTCGAAACAGATCGTTGGCATTTGCGGAATAATGTTTGCATTTTGTCAGCTCCTGAGAACTGACATGTCGACAACACTTGTGGTTGATATAGTTTGTTGACAGTATTTCTGCGAAACCTGTAACGACGGAGAAGAAGGTTCAACTATTGCGAGATGTTGCATCAGAGTTTTCCATTAGATGGGACTCCACAGGTTTTGAACAGAGGATATCTAGACCTTCTCCTGTGAAGGTTTCACTCTCTACTTAGTTTCTATTATGGCCTCTCTCTCTCTCTCTCTCTCTGGTTGTGAGAACGTTTTCGAAATTGCTAACTCAATTCTCTTTATGAATGCTCCTCTATGTCATTATGTTTTGCAGGCTCAACTTAGAAGTCCTTCACTTGCTGGCTGCAATAAATCGGACTTAACTAATGCCAAGGACAACATCAACATAGGGGTTAAACAGGATGTCCCATCCAGAGCAGGGGAAGAACAAAATGATAACCGTGGATTTCGGTTAATCAAAGAAGAGAAACCCGACTGGAAAAGAGACAACCCGAATCCTCCACATCAAAGGAAAGAAGTTCCCAGCATGGTCAACAAACTGCAGAACGGAGGGGAAAATGAAACTACTTTGAGGAAGACGAAATATGACTCGTCTCCTCCAGCAAGGCCTGAAATCCCTGTGGTGAAGAAGCATGAAATTCCTAAGCAGGCTACTCCTCCGAAAACGGTGGGTTTGGGCAGTTCCTCTCGGAGGACACAGCAGGCAAGCATTGATGACAGACTGAGCAACACTCCTCCCAAATCAAATGGCATCGATACCACAACTCATGGAAAGCCAGAACCTTCTCCTAGCTATGCCGGAATGTGGGCAAAGGTCAACAGCAAAGATCCATTGACTGTTAATGCATCTCCTGGTCAACACTCTGCAGCAAAAATTACTAGAGATGCACTGGAAGACGAAGCACAGAAGTTTAAATCTTTCTACAACAACGCCATCCCGCCTCCTTACACTCGACCCAATACCAAGCCGAAGGATACCAAGTCTGCAATCAATGCATCTGCATCTCCAACTACGGTTTTAGACACCGGTGCAGTTGATACATCCAGGGCACAAGAAAGGAGCAATCATGGGTATCGCTCGGAGAACAACGATCCACGACCAGCTAAGGGTGCCGATGAACATGTCTTCGACACCAAGGTGTACTATCAAGGCGAGACGGTAGTCAACCCCATACCGAAACCACGGCCCTCTTCACGGAGACGACACCAGAAGCCACAACCTAGCCACGACGCCGCCGGTGGCATGGAAAGCGCGGGAGTGGCGAAGAGGAAATCGAGAATCAGGAACCGAAAGGACGACTCGAGGCGAGGCCTGCAGATCCTGTTTGACGACGAGGAGCATCAGAACGACGAGGAGGAAAAGATAATCGACAAGCTGCTGATACACTACAGCAAGAAACCGACCGCATTTGATCCCGAACCTTCCCAGGTTCGAAGGAAGTCGTCAAGGAGTTCCAGTCGTCATCATTCCCGTGATCCAACAGCAGCAGCACGCGATGATGTGCCTGTATCTTCCCATCCATCCAGATCATTTTCTCTCCCCAGCGAGCAACCATCAGCGGCAGCACCACCTCAGGGGAACAAAGTGTTCGCTCGTGCCGCTACCCTCGAGCCGGACCGGTCAGCCGCGGCTCGACACGTGCATCCCAAGTTACCGGACTACGACGACTTGACCGCCCGGTTCGCAGCTCTGAAAGGGAGGTAAAAGTAAAAACTGTGAAATTCCTCACAATTTTTTACTTCTCTTAAGCATTGATTTTTGGTCCATCTCTCGCTGCTGCATTTTTTACTCTCTTCCCCACCACCACCACCATTTGGTCTCCTGTCGTTTAAATTACAGCACTCACACCCACCACCACCACCATAGCCAGGAAGGACGACGACAGCTGCACCACCACCATTATTACGATGTTTCCATTTACTTCATTTGGCTTCGTAGATTTGTACTTCCCATTCAATCTCCATCCCTATCATTTTGTAATAGGGTTCTTTGTTCCTTTTGCTCCTGTGCGAGAGGCCTAGGAGGATCAGGCGGGATCTGAATGTGACTTCCTCCATTAGAGGAGTTGCTTCTCATTGGTAGTTTGATACACAGTATAAAAGAAAACAATGCGTGCAAATAATTCTCTTTTCCTGGTTTCGTTTCAGTTTTTTTTTTTTTTTTTACCGCCTTTACATTCCTCGTGCTTTGAGAAGATTCCCTCCTGATGTTTTTACTTTTTACAATCTCCCACATTTACTTTCCCTTCGTCAAAGGAAAATGACTGTTCTTTCCCGCCAAAACCTGCCTGGCCTTCCCTTTCCCTCCTTCCATTTTTTCCCCTAAACTGTACCCTCCGTCTTCCCTTTTTTACTGCCCACTTTCTTCCCTCCTTCCCATCTCTCCTCCCGAAGTAGCCAGCTAAAGCTAGAGAGAGATGAAGGGAGCTTCCAAGGTGATAATGGGAGCCACGGTGGCGATGGTGGTCGGGCTAGGATTCGTGCTCACCCTAGTTCTGATGCTCCTAGCTGAGCTCTACTGCAACCTCATTCTCCGCCGCCGTCAGCACCGCCAGCAGCCGGCGGTTTCCTCCCCTGATACCACCGCCACCATCTCCACCTCCCCTCCTTCCAACCTCCTCCACAACCACCACCACTCTACCTCTTACCCTTCTCCACCGCCGACGGCGGTGGGTGTCCTCCAACCTCCGAGAAGCTTCCTCTTCCCCATCCCCGCAGCCAAAGAAGCCAAGAGACCGATCTACAGCCGCCGCCGCAACGACGACGAGTCTCGCCACCACCAGCTGATCCACCACGTCCTCGAGCTCTACGACGGCACCAGCCCGCAGCACATCGGCCTCCTCCGCACCCCTTCTTCCCCTCCAGAAATCCGAGAAATCCCCGCCGACGTCGTTGGCAAGGAGTCCCCTGGCAACGCCGCCGAGCATTTCATTTACATCTCCAATCCCATCTACGACAACCGCCGCCCTCCCCTCGCCGTCGCCAAGGCTAACGGCAACGACGACGGTGCCGATTACAGCAGCGGCAGTGACACCCCGTTCGAAACCCCAGACTCGTCGCCGTCACGCCTGGAGAGCTGCAGCGACGAGGAGATAACCACCTCCGGCGGGCAGCAGCAATACTCCTCCGCTGCTCCCGGCGGAAGCTACTAATACTATTTCGGGGAGTACTGATTCCAATTGTAACAACGGGCTGCTTTCTTCTCCGTCCTCTATATGCACAACTTCTCCGTCGTGGTGATTCGTAGTCAGTTTTAGCTTTTCCCCTTTCTTCGTTTCTTTCTTTCTTTCTTGATCTCGGTAGTTGTAGTGTGGATATAAGCAAAACATAAACGAATAATAATAATAGGGGGTATTATGGGTAACTCCTAATTGCTTTTTAATATTTTTAGCTCCCTCTGTTTCTTTGTCTTTTAATCTTTAGAATAGCTCTGTTTTCTTATGGGTTTTTGTAAACATTGGTTATTTGACCGGTTGCCGTGGTATTTGTCCAGTTTTGAGGTAATTTATGACAAGTCAGAGCTGTAAGTCCACATACCACAGTTCAGTTGGGCTTAGGGGTGTAAGTTCGGGTCGGGTTCGGTTACCCAAACCCGAAAACTCGAAACCGAAAATCACTAAAATCGAACCTGAACCCGATAAGGAATTTTCGGGTTTCGGAATTCCTTATTGGGTTCGGGTTCGGTTAAAACAAAACCGAAACTCGAACGCCTAAAAATACGGGCTGAGTTCTATTCATTGGAGGTTTTTAGCCGGAATCCGAAAAACCGATAAGCAAAACCAAACCCGAAACCGGAAAATCCAAAACCCGAAACGAACCCGAACCCAAAAAACCGAAAATGTATATAATTGGGTCGGTTTCGGGTAAACCCCAAAAACCGAACCCGAATTGTAGTTGGGGTTAAGAGAAGCTTCAGTTTTCCGTAGATGTCTCCATTATCCTTTTTTTAATTGACCTTGCTCCTGCTCTGTTGCCATTTGTTTATGACCAAAAAAAATAAAAATAAAGTACAGTCTCCCCATTGCAGTGTTTAGTTACTATCCTTGTCTAAGATAAACGCAACAATGCACTGACATCTCTGATGTTTCTTAATTCTTATGGTTGGATAGTGGATACACATAAATTTGTATCTGAAATTATATCGAACAATTTAGTGCAATACTATTTGGTGCTATATTTATGGTTTATTTATAGCATATAGCCATATACGTATGATATCGTTGTTAAAATAATACTAAAAAAGATAATATATTTTGCTGATATGATACCGATCAAAACCAGTTAATGAATTGCGAATAGATAGATAATCCGATCACTGATACAATACGATAACACAACCATGGTATTTGCACTGCATTCGAGTGCGGAAATTAAAATTGAAGCCTAGTTTAGAAATGATAATCCGACCACCAATAATTTCATCAATCATCTCACGATCATTAGGATAGGTGATTGGCATTTATTACACCTCATGTTAAGTCCCTAATTTAGGTGAATCTCGTAAATCAAAGGGGCAGAATTGGGCAAGGTGTTAATGAGGGGATTGGATGGTTTTCAATTGGGTTTTCGAGTGAAGGGATGCTGCTAATTGAGGTTTGATTCCCCAAAATCAAGGGGGTAAATTTGGATATCGTTAATCAATCAAACAAATGCAGTACTTCAACGATGTTAATTTACAACGAACATATTAACGGACTTGATCCCGATAGTTATATAATATTGTTTGTATTTACACAATACATTTTACATATATAAAACAATGAACAATGCAGCGCCAAAACAAGATTGCACATTTGATCATTTAGTTTTGATTGAAGGTTTCCACCTCCTGTGATTCAGGAGGAGCAACAAAAGAATACCCTCCCGCCTGTTTCCGATCCTCTTCTATTGCTCAACGTCATTCCACCTGGTCGTGAAGGCACAATTTTTGCCAGTTGATTTGCTGCGACAAATTCACATGCGACCAAATTGTTTTTATAGTATAGAATCAATGTAAAATCATTTGTATAACTTAATTTGATTTAAAGGGAAAGAAGAAGGACTTTTTTTATAAGATAAGAGTTGGTAACTTGGTATTGTTTGGATGGTTTACGCGGAGTTATTGTTTTCCAAAATTCATATTAGAGAAGAATAGACGAATTGATTCCCTTTTTACCTATATCGTAGAAGAGTTCGTTTACGTTCTGAGCCGTTTTGGCGGAGGTTTCAAGGAAGGCCAGTCCATTTTCTTGAGCATAATCCTCCCCTTCCTGTAAACAATTTCCAGAACAAATCATTTCACACTGGTTTATGTGCCTGGTTCAACTTCTACGGCTAACATATCAATGGAAGCTGCAAAGAGACATAAATTTTGGTAATATTAAGTTATTAACAAAAATTACAGTACCTGGCTTCCAACTTGCCGCTTTCCTTCCAAATCAGCCTTGTTGCCCACCAAGAACACTATCAAATTTGGCTTCTCTGCAATATTAACATTCACAGGTATAACCTTAACCCAGATAATAAATTAACAACACTCACCTTGGAGTTTTACTGAAAAAGGGTACCAGAAAAGACCCTGAAAAGGCTGAACTAAAAGGTTTTGCTTCTTGAAAAGCAAGAAAATGACCAAAAAGCTTAGGTTTTTGTGTGATAAACAAGACACTACCAACAACAACAACAGTAGCATCATGTTCTAGTACCTTGCCGCTGCAATTCCAGAACCCAGTTCTTAGCTCGAACAAACGAATCCTGCGACGCAGAGATCAAAGCTTCACACGTTAAGACTCATTTGTGGGATTTTCATTCACCTTGAGTAGAGGATATCAAACACCATATGTAATGTAACAACATACCATGCTGGTGATGTCATAAACTACAACAGCTGCTGCAGCTCCACGGTAGTACATGGGAGCCAAGCTGTGGTACCTTTCTTGCCCAGCAGTGTCCCATATGTCAAACTTGATAGTTGCTTCGTTCACTGCCAGCACCTGTGTGAAAAACGCTGCCCCTATTGTCGATTCCTAATCACACAAACCCCAGAAATCAACTCACTACAACTGTCTAAAGACTGGAAAGATGTTTTGCAGTCAGGAATTCGACTACAAAAAACAGTAACGAATCATCACCTGGTAATCATGGAACTGACCCTTCACAAATCTCAGCACCAGGCTTGTCTTCCCAGTCCCCATGTCCCCCAAAAGCACCTGCACGAAAACAGAGTGATTTCGGCTCTACAAGGTTCAGTGAGACAATTTAACAAACATCTTGCGGGTAGTGTAATGAAACGTTGGAAGAAAGTGATGATGATGCATGAAACGGGAAGACATACCCACCAGCTTGGCTTGTATGATCTTGTTGCCTCTCATCGCCATAATTGCTGAATGATGGTGATGGGATCTTAAAGCCAGGCCAAGTTGCAGAGGAAACCAGTCAGGAATCCAAAAGGGTCACTGTGTGGATTGATTAGGTGAGAGTACTAGGAAGTAAAATATAGTGGAGGCAGGAGGATTTGGACCGGTAAGTTCAGTTTCCATTTCATATTAATGGCTAAGGTTGGACTGGTTGTTGAGGAAGTGGCTTCATGATGGCTCAAGCGAAATTGCAAATGGAAAAGCTGATCATAATTGTTACTCAATATAGTTGGGATTTGGAAATTTTGGGTTTGAAGCATCATTCTTAGCAATGTGTCGATGAATAGAGTAGAATACTAGGATTGTGCAAACTAGAAAGTTGTTTGTCTAGATGTAATTTGGAGGACAGAGATTTATAATCACGTGAATGCAAGTGAACATCGAGGAATTTTACAATTCTTTATGGTATTGGTGTTTCCGTATAAAAAAAAATTAATGATACAAATTGAATTTGTATATTAACGTTGTGGTTCAAATTAAACTTGTACCTGAAAAACATCAATGTTTTTGGAGCATAGTACTCGAATATACATCATCTTTTGTTGAAATTTCTATATATTTGAGTATGATTAGGATTGAGGCATCCATTTTCAGTTGCATCAAAATGATCCAATTTCTGAATTCAATTACCTGGCTCATTTTTCATTTTTCTGACACAATTTTCATTACAGAAATTGTTTTTGTACAAATGGGGCATTGCCCAGTATTACGTCTAACGGAATACTAACCGGATTAGGAAACTTCTAATTATCCTACTGCATTTCAATCCGCGTTCTAAACAAAAATGGGCCAGGGCCCAGTTTTGTTTTCTATTTTCACTGAGACACAAGACCAATCTGATAGGATCAGAGCCCAACCCTTTTCCTGAGGCCTGGGGCCTGTGTGTTATTTGGATTGGATCTGATAGGCGATAGCCCACCAACCAGCTGAAACGTTCTTCTTTGAAAATAACACGCTTTGAAAAATAACACGCTTTGAAAAATCGTGGAACAAATCGGATTGTATAATTTGGTCCAAATCATACACCATTAATAATGGTCTACCATGATTCATGGTCTGTATTGTATATTGTATATATTTGTAGGTCTCGTCTAGTTCAGATTGCGATTTAGTAGATCAAAACGTGAATTCTGCTCACTTCTTATTGGTGTTAGCATCTCACTCGACCACTCTCTCAACTCCTCAATTAGACCCAAGTTTCAACCCAAATTATGCATGCTTGATGGAATTTATGTTTTAAGAATCATTTTCGGTGTAACTAAACAAACTGTTCATTTTCAGATCATTGTGGTCTGCATGGTTCAGACAGCACAAACCGTCTATGCTCCACCTTCCCAGCTCGACCATAAACCGTCTAAATCAGACCTCATCATTTCCCACCTGTACGAATCTTTTCAAATTATAAATGAATGACAATGAATCTAGAACTGGTCGATTGGTGCAAAAACACTTGCACTTTTATGTTATAAAAAATTGGATAACACCACCTCTAAAGAAAGTTCATCATATTCAATAACTTGAACAAACATCCTAAGTTTTTAAGTTCATAGGGTCAAAGATCGGGATCCTTTTCGATAACAAATTTGAACATCAACCCTTGTTTGTTCACTAACTCATTTGCAATAAGGGATGCCTTTGAAACCTACCTCCGCCTAAACAAAATATTGTTATAAATTACATCAGCCACGAACATCTTTTAACGCAAACAAGTTCGAATGATGTAATGCCGAAATAGTACTACAAAGATGATTGTTAATGAGTTGGACTAGTACAATGAATCTTGTAACAAGTACACACTATTAGAAGGTAAAAATATGTCACAATGACAAGGATTGTCAATTCATACCTCTATCTCCCATGATATTGTCATCAACAATCAATTCCAAATGAATATGACACATTTCAACCATTCCATAAAAAACCTAGGCCACATCCCAATCCCACCCTCTCAAGAGTAATGTTAAGCCATCCAAATGTGCCTAGAGTTTAGTGAGAAGTACCAATAATTGAAGGGTAATTAGAAGGTGGTAATTGGTGAGAGAAAAGGGGTTAAGATAGGTGGAATTATGAGGAGGTGGTGACTCACATTTGAAAGAGATGACAAAGACAAACCATAATTTGGATAGTGAGAGAAGTTGAGCAAATTGGCATGTAGTGTGGAAACTGAGAGAGAGGAATGGATGAAAATCTGAAACTTATTGGGAATCGGTCCATTGTGTGGATTGAGTTGAGTGAGAGCTCCAATGGTGGAGGGAACTTTGATTGACATGATCAATTGCCCATCACCTTACCCACACCCTGCCCACAACTTCACTCATTCCTAAAGGGCTTGTAAGAATATTGAGTTGACAAGGATTGGTTTACGTTGGGATTAGGTAAACATATTTTGTTATTGTGTGAGTTACTTACGAGCAAGGTTGTCAAACCGGTTTATGCCAGTGTGCCGGTTTAAGAAGTGGAATGGTTCGACCGGTGGTATATATCGGTTTGTGCCGGTTCATACCGGTTAATATTACAAATAATTTACAAATACTCATATTTAAACACGACATTTAACGTCAATACCTAAATATTTGTACTTGAATCCAACAAATAACATCAACATTTAACTTTTTAACCCATAAAATAAATAATAAATTACTTTTTATCAATTAAATTCACTAAGGTAAGATTATTTTACTTGAAGATTCGTATATCGATCATGCCGGTTTTATGACTGGTATAGGTTGAACCAGGTTCAACCAGTGGGACGCCGGCCGGCATGACAACCATGCTTACGAGATTCAATCCAATTGTCCGAAAAATGCATCGTTCCGAAATATCTGTCTTTTTCTCTCTAGTCGATGTAAACTCATGCAAAAAGAATCTATTTCAAATGGTCTCAATCCAATTACTGTATTCCTATTATGTATTGTTAAACGATACAATTTGACTCGTTTGCTTCATTTTTGAGACAACTGAATTAAATTGGTTCATCCAATTCCATCATCCAAACGACCCCTGCATAATTGGAGTGTACTTGAATATATTCTTATACTTATTCGATTGCTCGTTCCGCCATAGCAAAACTTACATCCAACCGACCCCCTAGGTAAATTGGTGTATGTTTGTATATTCTTATTTCGTCGATTACCTATTTCGTTACAGCAAAACTCGGAGCTAAAAATCTTTGCTTAAAAAGGATTATTTATTTCTCTTGGATAGTGGGCTAGGAATCTGGATCAAGCCCTAGCAGCTGACACTTGGCACGATTCTAGTACTCAGATGGTGTGGTAGTAAATTAGTAATAACTAATTATTGGTGTCAAATTGTCAATGTGGGTGGCAGTAATAATTGGTGTTAATGTGACTTAAGATATCCAATCTCGACATATTATATTCATGGTTCATGTTTAATTGTTTTTAGGATCGAATGAAATACGTGTACAACCTCCAAAGTAACATTCCTAGCTCCCATGTGAATCTGCATCACCATCTCTGTGTATATATATGTCTTATACGATCTGATGTGTGTTCCACCTGCGTTCATGTGCATTCATTCTCTTTTCTCATGTACCTTCTCCACTTTCACTCTAGATCCTACTCACTTTTTTTTAAAAAAAAATCCAAGATGAGCATGTTCGGACAACAAATCTAAAGCGTTGATGGTAAAAAAGAACGGTATTCATATGCAATCTGACTCCCAATGAAAGGGTCTGTTTTGTATTAAGTGGGCAATTATATGAAAACTCCGAGAAACAAAAGGAAACAAAACCGACCCAAAGGATGAAAAGAGAGAATGACGAACCTACCTTTGCATGGCTCTGACTTTAGAATGCGGCCGGGAAGACTTTCTCGATGTAGTATCTCTGATCACCGGTTGAGAACCTCCGCAAAAAATAACAATCAGACATTATCAGTAAGATACTATCTAATAACATCCCGAAAGATAAGTAGTTTCCTTAGAGAAGTATATAACTGTATAAGTAATCCCATAATATAATTTACCAAAAGAAAATGAGACATTTCCATGACCTAAAAGATCGTTGAAACTAGTTGCATATCATTGAGAGTTCGTTCTGCCCCAATGAGTAATACATTCGTAACACTATGATTGTCATGCAAAGTGGCAAACTAACACTCATTGGGATTCTTGGCCGATTGTTATGGCCACAATGAATTTACATATATATGGTACAACTTTTCGTTAGAAATCCCGGCGGATTGTTATGGCCACTAGTTTTTGGAGCTTAACCTAACCACATATATATGTTTCTTTCAGCCAGTTCATTTGTATGATACTTTAGTTTTTAGTAAAAACTTCAACCTAAGTACCCAACATGCATGTGAACGAGAACCTAAAATCGAGGGACAAAATTATAGGAATGGCATTGGGTCACGACGGTGTGGATAACTCGCCGCTCATGTTTGTCTTGTGCTAAACGGTGATCATATCGGATAATACTTGCACTAGTATAAGGTGGGATAAGTGAATTCATTCTCACGTATTATTTAGAGAAAAGAAAAGTAATGACTTGGGAGAAAACAAAGAAAATCACTTGGCAAATGAGAGAGGAAACAAAAAAAATAGTATATTAACATTGAGTATGATAATTAGTTTGAAAGATAGAAATCTTGCAATTCAAGATTTTATTTGGGATGAAAAATATGATTTAATAAGAGTCTATAGATGAGAAAAAAATAATAAAACAGGTTGAGGATCATGATATGCCCCTCTTTCCATCTTACAACGAGGCAGATAATACCCGCATCAAAATGTGTTAGGACAAGTCGAATTGCGATAGTCAAATCAGAATTATCGTCACTAGAGAACAAACAGGCAGTCTAGTTGCTCTAGTAAATCGTAGGAGGAAAAAAAAAACAAGCAAATCATCTAGATCTAATTAGTAAAGATCTAGCTGTGATCTAGATTAACTAGCTAGCGTTTTGTAATTAACTACCCATTGGAGGCCACTAGTTTCCAATCAATATCCATACATGAAAGAAGAAAATTTGCACACAGAAATGGCCAAATGGGTAGGGAGTCGATCTAACAAGACTTTTGTCGATACACTAAAAAAAAAAAAACTTGGGACAAAACACAAATGACCCCACTACTCTTGTGATTTAGGAATTATTGTACAATTTTTGTTTATTATATACAATTTTAATAACCTCATACTCTTTTTTTTTTTTTATTCCTAGGATATTATATAATTTTTCATACATATCCTTCTTCTTCTCCTCTCCCACCGTTTTATATAAATCAGTGTTCATCTACACACTTCACCCAAGTTTTTTCTTCACACACAAACATCCGATATGGCTTCCCACGGCAGCCTCACCGTCTCCACCGCCGCCGCCTCTCCCAAGGGCGGCAGCGACTGCGGCAAGACGGCGGCCGGCGGCGGCGGCGGAGGACAGTGCTTGTGCTCCCCAACGACGCACCAGGGATCCTTCAGGTGCAGGTTTCACCGCGCACCGTCGTCGGGCTGGAGCAAGATGATGAAGAGATCTTATTCCATGCCTGCGAATGGTTCTTCTGATAATAATAATAACAACTCATCTTCTCCTCCTCCTTCTTCTGCTGCTACTCCTTCTTCTGCATCTATGGCTGTTGAATCCACTTGATCCTTCTTTTCTTTTCTTTCTGGTTTTGGGTCAAGTTTGAGATGTGTTCGGTGATGATGGTATAATAATATATATATTATGTAAATTCGAGCACTTTGATCCCAAATTGAATTTGTTTAATCTCTGTTCTTGATTGCTCCCCTTGATCTTGTTTTTATGCTTAGTGTAACCCTTTTGAGGGCTTGCAAAAAGATTATTGATAGTTTAGTAGTGTTTACTATGTGATATGTTGGATATTTGATTTAGTAGTAATGGTTGGTTATAATTGCTGATTTTTTAAGGTGAAACTTGGTTAGTAAGGGGAAAGAGATGATTGCGATTGGGTTGGGGAAATCTGATGTGGTGGGTTTCGGTTTGGTTTGGTTTGGTTGGGCCGATCAGTAGTCGCGGGTTGAGTTGAAAATTTGAAGTGGCGGGTTGGGTTGAATTTTTTGGGTGAAAACTGGCTTACTAAGCATTTTGGTTAGCCACATCGGTAAAAAAAAATGAATTATGTTAACACAGGCTAGCGAAGGTTACGACCAGTGATCAAACTTGGATTATTGAACTAATCTTTTATGGCATTAATAAAATAAAAAAATTAAGGGATAAATATGAAATAATTTAGTAATTTCAATTAATGAATTCGTAAGTTATCCAAAAGTTCGAATTATCATCATTGCAATGCTGGCATTTATTGTACGGTTACGAGTTTTTCGAAATGATCTTACAGCAAGAAATTCAAACATGTGTGACTTGAGATTTTAATTGATCAGTTTAACATGATTTGAATTGTGACGGTGCCAACATATTATGGACATAGATGTCAATATGGCTAAGTTATACCGGTTTGTTTTGTTTGCACCGGAAGATTTTAACTTAATGAACATTTACTTTATAAAACAGATTGAAAAAATTCTCCCTATTTTGTCGTCCTGCGCCCTTGCTCTCTCTAATCAACCATCACAGAGGAAACTAGGGAATTCAAAATTTTGTGGATGGAGAATTGTGAATCCATAGTTTCATTCTATAGAAAAGAGGCCTAAAAACTAATTACCCATGGAACATTTCATTCAACTTGCTTAACACTTCCCTCAAAACTAAGTCAGTAAAAGATGTTGGGCAAGGCAAGAGCTTCAAGTCCGATTTTTTGTGGATCTCTAAGAGTTCGATGTAGGGTTCGTAAGATCAAATAGGACTAGTTTATTAAGAGCTGTGTTCTTTCTAACAAAATATAAATCATAGTGAATTCTTTTATTGTTCTTTGTCTTAAATCAAAAGAAAAAACATACAAAACTAAATGCTAAACATCTCTAAAGCGGTTTGGGACCATAGCCAAATACATTGGAATGAAGAACTTCTAATGAGGATGATGGATGATCTAGTGCATTATTGATTCCACCATCCATATGACTAACTATCGAATAGTTAGACGTTGTTGTCATCATCGTTGGCATCATTGTGAGTCGTTGATCCACCCTCTGAGCAGCCGACGTTGCTATCGATCCCATGTTCACTAGTTGATGGTAAGGGTGCATAGCAAAAGTAGAGGAAGTATTGAAACAACCATTCATATTGACATTAAGACTAGTCATATAATTTCCAAGACTCACTATTTCCATTCTCCTCTTCTCCACCCTCGCCAACAGATCTGAGTAGGCAAATTCGAGATCCGAAAGTTCGCCCACCTGTATCTCTTCAACAACTTTGTTCCACCAGTTATTTAGTGGCTTACCCTCAAGATTCCGCCTGAACGTCGCTTCTTTCTGGTTTTGCTCTTCCATCAAGTCGAGTAGCGAGTTATGTGTCTCGTTCAGCTCCTGGATCCTCGCTTGCATAAACATCTCTCCATTGTAGGATTGTAATTGTGGTTCCGTTTGTTGGCCCAGGTATCGGAGTACAAGATCATTGAATGATGGATGACCAAAACTGAAGGGTTTTCCTGCAGGAGAAAACACCAAAAATCCCACCTTATTGCCAGTTAATGTGATAAGTTCATGTACTTTCTTAAAGATTCCTGACTTTCGTTTGGAAAATGTGATTATCATGTCTGATTCTTTTTCGATTTTTTTCATCTCGATTTTTTGCTTCCCTTTTGTTTTCTTGGCAACGATGTTGTTGTTATTGTCTGCCATTTGAAACAGTTGGAAAGCAAAAGGAAATTGGTGGGGATAGAAGGTTAGATGGTATATGGAGACAGAAAGGATATTGTTGATTTCGTCGGATATGTTTGATACTTATTTATACTGGACTGAAAGTGTAGTGAATTGAGTAAAATAATATAAATTGGGTATGATAATGAGTTTTCCATCACTAAATGGAATAATTTTTATAATTAAAAATTAATTTTACTGCCTTATTTATTTTTTTCTCACACTAAATGGGATAATTCTTATTGAAAATTAATGTAATTGCCTTATTGAATTTTTCCCACACTACATGGAAAAATGTTATTGGGAATAATTCATGTACTTGCTTATCTTTTTTACCAAATTAGAAAAATAATTATGATATAGATTTACTTGACAAATATAAAAAATATATATTACCTTAATATTATGGATAATATATTTTTTGTCGAATATCTATATTATATTGTATATATAAATTCTTAAATATATAATATGGTCTTATGTTCGAGATGTCTGGTGTGATTATACATTTGTTATCTATAAGATTTAGAAAAAAGGAATTTTGCCATATCTAATACAAAAATGGTAATGCCAATCAAACAGATACGAGTTTTATATTTTTCGTCGCTTGATTGGAAATATTTTTGTGTATTTGTTAGCTAAATTAGGACAAATTTTATGTTTACCGGGACAGACTGGCACAAAAAATTCTCTTTTTAATAACTCAATATTCTTAGTAGACTTGAGAACTCAAAGTTTTAAATGAAATTCATAGTTATGGTTGTCATTTCAAATAGAAAAATGTCTACAAAATGAGTACAAGAACCTTGTATATTGTGTTCTCTTTCTTTTCATATACTAAGCATCTATAATAGAATCACATCCGACCCCGTAACAATCATGTTGCCCTACAAATTTTAAATAACACAGCAAGCAAATATTGTTAATCGTAGGACACTATCAACTTTCTAAGCAATGTTTTCATACCCGAACCCAAGGATTAACCGCTGTAATGAGTGGTTCACATTTCACTGGTTATTTAGTATAAAACCGTCAACAAACCTATACCTTACATCAAGGAAACATTAGGTATCCATACAAGAATGACACAATAACCATAATAATTCAATCTCGAAATTTCGAAAGGAACTACAATTGTTATGAAAAATGCAAGGCAACAAAATTGTTACTAAGTATTTGGAAATGTTAATTTCTTTATAAAGAATTAGTATAGAGTTCAATGTTTTATATATTAAATGGTCATAATATCTTCACTGTGAAGCTTGTAGTACAGTTGGTAAACAATTGAAGAAGATGTTAGTGTGTTCAAATTGTCACTCCAAAATTTTAAATATAACAAATATTGGGGACAGGCTTGAACCCGTCAAACCGACTAAGTGGTCTAAACAGTTTGTTATATTAACTACTCAAATTCATCAAACTAGCTCTCAATAAGCGATCACAAGTATAACCTTGACTAGACTAGGGTTCGGTAATCGATTCTATCGATCGAACCGGCCAGCTCAGTCCGACTTTAATAATACGGCTTCTAAATCCTAACTAATATGCATCTTATGATTAACCATAGAAAATTCTTGTATAAACCTATTTTGGAGAGTATCTTGACATCAATGCAGTTAAAAGCGTGATTTTACCTAGAAGCGGAAAAGGGGTAAAATCGTAAACGTAGAATCAAAGCGTAAAAGCGTAAGTTTTTGACGCATACTGAAAAATAACTAAAAATGTATTAATTAGGACATATGCTATGCAAAATATGAATGCACAAAATTTAGATAAGTCAATAAATACATGCGATTCATGCCTAAAGTAGAACAAATTATAGCATATGTTATGAAAATATTATTATCATTATGGATGACCAACATTAGATGCTCCATGGTATGTTACAAGTTCTATGTAACTCATCTCCTTATATTTATTTCTTCATATGACACATTAGATGCACAATTGGGTGTTACATGTAACCCCCCACCCCATTTCTATTTCACATTCATTCTCACATTCACGTATATTGATTGTAAGAATGTAGAGGTTATGTGATGTGTGCCTATAAATAGATGATCTCCTTGTACTAAGGAATACATGAATAAGAAAGCTCTATTCCCCCACTCTTCTTGTGTCTCTACTCTTACTCTTATGTCTACTGCTCTTCCTTGCTATTTTACAACACGTTATCAGCACGAGCTCTGCCAAAGTAATGGTTGGTTATTGTCTCTCTACATAATCACATATACTTGAGTAAGATCACAACACGATCAAGATAATGAAAATTGCTCTTGTAGTAGCAAAATCATTATGGGTTGACTTATCGATTGCTACATTGTACATATAGAGAAATGAAAGTCTAAAGATCTCATTTTCCTCGAAGTGGAAAAATGAAGAAAAATGTATCATTGGTCTTGAACCCGATATATGAAAAGAAGTTTTCTTTGTCCAAGAATCAATGGAAGGAAAATGAAAAATCTATATGTGCTCCTGCAGTAGCAATATTATGGAAGAGGTTTTATAAAGCATACGTTATTTCTTGTTTGTTAAAGGTGAAAAGTGTATTGGACTTGTGATGATGAGAAATATTATATAATTTGATCCAAAGGCTGTTGTTTCATTCCTGGAAGCGAATGAAAACAAACCATTCTTAAAAGTGAATGGATCGAGACACACCATTATATTAATATAATTTGGTGTTTGGATAATGACAATCAGCAAATGTATCTTTTCACCGGAAGTGAAAGATAAAATAATTATAAATGAGGATGACAATTCATGTAGCAAAAGTCATGATCATATACTTTAACCTTTGTATGCCGAAATGTGTTATGAAACACATATATGTTGTTGTTATTATTATTATTATTATTATTATTATTATTATTATTATTATTATTATTATTATTATTATTATTATTTTGTATGCTTTTGTATAGAATGAATATTTGCAAAAGTCAATATTGGTATTATATCATATAGTATGAAGTAAGCAAAAGCTCCGGAAGAGATTGTGGTTTGTTAGTTGAAGTAACTAGACAATATATTGGTGATATCTATAGTATGAAAATATTATTATCACTATGTATATGCGCTTACAATAGTTCACCGAATCAGAAGGTGCCTCATGGCCAAAATGTAGTACACGTGTATGTGAAGGCTCCGGAAGAGCTAATGTTTTGAGACGTGAATGAACTAAACTGTCAGTTGAAGATGCATTACCGAATTATGAAGATATTCGCAGAAAAGAATATCATAATTGATATTGCATCAGAAATGTGTTATAAGAGAACATATACTTAACTAGAGAAATTTGTACTACATGTATATTAGTACATATGAAAGTGTAAACCAGAAGTTTGCAAGATCGGCTAACTTTTTATTTTGGCATGTCCGGTCATACGATCCCGGATACAGATGCGAAAATGATTGAGATATCATACGAAAATTAAGTGAGAGTTCATAGAATTCATCAATCAAAGGATTGATTATGTGATACATGGTCTCGAGGAGAATATACTCATGAAAATAATTGATTCTGTTGAGATTTTATAAAAGTGTATGCAGAAAAATACACTCACCGTGCAAATCATATATGAATTTTATGATTTTGATTGATTCATAAACTATATCGTCATATATGTCTGTTATCTAAACGCAACCTGATGTTTGCTAGATTAGTTGCCGAATGATGGATATATTTTGATGATTATCCAATCAAACAGAACTTCTCTTATGAGAAGAAACTAAGTCTATCGATCTCTTATCGAGGCATATGATATCATTAATTCGCATGAAGCCAGCAAGTTATCATAAGTTCCCCCCTTTCATACAAATGGTTTTGGTTAGGGACCAAACATTTAAAATGCTAGAAAATTTGGGTGTGCAGAATACATCCCAATTGCTCCACCACAACACGTTATGAGTTCCATCAGAACTTATATTGGACATGGTGTCCATTGCAATGAGAGATTTGTTCATGACTCTTTTTGCTAACATCATCATTTTGATGAGTTCCTTTTCGAACGTTAAGGGGGAGAAAAGTAAACAGTTGGGCATAGATATGAGTTGGAATCATCATTATCGCATTTTGATCCTCAAACGAAGAAACATGAACCCGAAGTTCATATGGTGATTCATGGAAGAAAAAAAAAGTATTGATTGCCAAACGCTTTTTTACTCACTAAAAGGAGTGATTATGTCACATGCCCAGTTGTGAATGCTCCAATACAAATTGATGTCCATATTGGATAATCTAATAAGTCTAAACGAGCGCATGAAGCGTGGTAGACCAATCGGTTCCAAGGATAAAAATCCTCGAGAAAGGAAGGAGCTATAAATTAAGATGGTAAACTCGAGGATAAAATAGCTCTAGAAGAGTCAAGTCATAAAATTGAGATAATAGTTCCAGAAGAATAGTAGGTACCTGAATGTTTTAAAATGAAGAGATCTCAATTAATTGGCTTGTATGAAAAAAGTTGGAACCGAAGTGTATTTATTGTCGACAAGGGTTTTGATTATGCTGTAGCACTGAACGTGATAGATACAAAGATTATCAAAAGTAAAAGTCTATTGATGCATGCAAAAGAATATATATTGGCCAATATAAAAGGAGGCATTAGGCTATTTGGTATAAGTTTTTGACCAGAAGTCCTTACACCTGAAGATGTAAAACTAACGGGATACAAATAGGTTTTGTGCAAATGCGTATGGAAATTGCGAGAGATATAATACAATTTCTCATGAGAGGTTTCTGGTAGAAACCTGACATCAATTATGAAGAGACATACTCTCTTGTGGTGGATGCAACTATGTTGTGCAATTTAAATAGTTTGGCAGTTCAAAAAGCATGAAATTTGCATTTGGTAGATATTGTGATAGCCTATTTGTATGGATCCCTTGATAATTATATTTATACGAAACTCCTTGAAGGATTAGTTTGCCGGAAGCAAACATGTGAAGTTCTCGAGAACAATATCGATCGATAAAACAATCCTTTGTATGGATTGAGATAAAATGGATGAATATGGTATATTCATCTAAGTGAATATCTACTAAAGGAAGTGGTCGAATAAGCCTTGCGTGATTAAATTCGAATAAAGTGCATTAGAGCATTTGCATTTGGCATGTGTGATTGTGTAATGACATATAGGCTTATGTGCGTGATATTGTGATTTTAGTTATGAGTTTGATTTATGAATGTGGTTTGGTTAAGTGATGTTGTGTGTATGACGTGCATTTTGCTTGTGACCTTGTGTTATGAAGTAATTGTTTGCATACAATTGTGTTAGCTAAGTTTTATAGTTATTTGGAAGAAAAGAGTCGAGACATTATTTTATAATGATCTCATATGTTTTAGTTGATATGAACTCCAGAAGAGCTTCATAAAGCATGGTTTGCTTAAAAGAAAATTGAACATGGAGGATTTAAGAAGATTCTTTTTGAATCAAGACGACAATGTCGAAAAAGTGAAAGAACAATTTTGTATGAAAAAAATTGCATACGTTCAATAGCCAAATGATCATAAGGTCACTAGAAGTGAACAAAGATCAATTTAGGCCTTAAGATAGAAGCGAGTTATTAAGGTCCTGAAGTACCATATGCCAATGTCGTTAGAGCAAAAATGTATATTGCTATACTTCATTAAGTTATACTTTGTTACCTATTGGTAACGATGAGGATCATAGATGAGTAATTTGTTTACTCATGGCCGTACAAGTATCTCATGGAGATTCCAAAGAAATCACAATAACAACATCATCTGATCATGAACAATGGTCAACAATTCATGAGACTTGTTATGAATTGTTTGGTTAAGATTTGTGATTCAACACGTCTAAATGACTTGTGGTTGCGGATTATATTCATAGAAAATGATCTTGAAGATCATGTATGAAGAAAATGGTCCTAATGGATCATGCATAAAGTGGCAATCTAGAAGATTTGTTCACTAAGAAGCTTACCATGACAATATTTGAAAGATTTGTTCACTATTGATGTTGTCATGAGGGGGAGCATATACGCACTGCACTCTTTTTTCCTTAACCATGGTTTTTCCCACTGGGTTTTCCTGGTAAGGTTTTTAACGAGGCAGATTCAAATAGCGTATTATGATGATTATGTACTCTTTTTCCTTCACTAGGATTTTATCCCACAGGGTTTTTCCTAGTAAGGTTTTAACGAGGCATATTCATGTCTAATGGTCATCCAAGGGGGAGTGTTATGAAAATATTATTATCATTATGGATGACCAACATTAGATGCTCCATGGTATGTTACAAGTTCTATGTAACTCATCTCCTTATATTTATTTCTTCATATGACACATTAGATGCACAATTGGGTGTTACATGCAACCCCCCACCCCATTTCTATTCTCACATTCATGTATATTGATTGTAAGAATGTAGAGGTTATGTGATGTGTGCCTATAAATAGATGATCTCCTTGTACTAAGGAATACATGAATAAAAAAGCTCTATTCCCCCACTCTTCTTGTGTCTCTACTCTTACTCTTATGTCTATTGCTCTTTCTTGCTATTTTACAACAGCATCTTAATAATAAGTTTGTAAACATAAATTTTAACAATAAGCCACTTTTCCCACTATGCTAATGAATTTGGGAAAAGCCTAACGGGTGAATTAGATTACTCTATCGAAGTTGAGAATGCATCCAAGTACCTTATATGTAACTTTTAATCTCAAATGTATCATATTGTTGGTGATTTACTTTTAAAATATACTTTTCATAATTAATTTCATGAAAAGAATACTCATTTAGTGAATTAAAAGCGTAAAAACGTAAAGCGTTTTGGAGAACTAGAAGCGTAAAACCGTAAGCTTTTAAGCTTTAAAGCGCAATTTAGTCCGATTTTATACACTTAAGTTTTTATATGGAAACGAAAGCGTTTTGGTGACCTAAAAGCGTAAAATCGTAAGTTTTTAAGTTTTAAAGCGCGATTTTGACTGCATTGCTTGACATCAACACAACTCTTCATGGTTCCCTTCTACTACGCTCTAAACTATTGGTACTTTAAGATACAAAATGAGTTTTTAACATAATGTTAATTGGTACTTTAAGATACAAAATGAGCTTTTAACATAATGTTAAACCGTATAGTTCAGTTTGTATCACAAATAAATTTCTACATTTATGTTTGTGATACAAGTTTAGTCTGTAGCATAACATAAAAGTACAAATTCAGTTTGTATAAAATTGTAAAAAAACTACATATACAAACTAAATTTATACAGGAACATCAAAATTTGCAAGTTTTAATTTCTACCTTAAATGATTTTTTTCACAATTCTAATATTAATTCAAAAGACATCAATTGGAAAACCCTACAAATCCACAACCACAAGTCTTGCCATTTGCCGAGGACCCGGATGGAAGAGCTCGAAGACTGGTGTATTCTAACCCTCTGTCTTCTCCACCTGTCGTCGGGTTTGTTTGGTTCTCGTGGTTCTCGGCGGGATGGGCTCGACATTCGGCATGGGAAGGGAGGTTTGGTGGTGGTTCTCCTCCGATTCTCGTCTTCCGGGTCGGATGGGTGCATGTTCCATGACTTAATTCGGGTTGGTGGCGGCGACGGGTCAGGTGCGGGGCGGAGCACAGTCGCGGCGGTGGAGGAGACTTTGAGGGGGCACATTGCGGTTAGGGTTTGGGAGAGACCCAGATCTGTTTTGGCTCTTGGCCTGAACCCTATTGGGCTCTCGGGTTTTTCTTTTGGGCCTCTTTTTTTGGGTTTCTTTTCATGTCTTATCTGCTGGTTTGCTTGTACACTTCCCTTTGTGGGCTTGGCCCAATCGTTTATTTAATGAACACATCTTTCAAAAAAAAGGTCTTGCCATTTGCCGCGTGGCAGTAGTAGAAGAAAGTCAGAAACCAACAAATGCGTATTTGATTTTTCTAAAGCAATCCTTAACCAATACGCCATCGTTTTCTTCTTAAACCACTCAATTCCTCAACTACAATTAGTCAAGTAATCAAGCTCCAGAAGGACCGACCCAAAAAGAAACCGAGACAGACGGAAACACATAGCCAATGCCGTGGAAGACCGCCGCCGCCGCCGCCGCCTCTCCGGCGGAATCCTCCGTCCCCTACACCGCCCTCCCCGCCGTCTACCCTCAGAACGTGATCGTCCTCCCTTACTACCGCCCTCACCGACCAAGCCCAACCCTCCTCTTCCTCCGCCGCTGCTCCGCCTTCACCGCCGTCGTCCTCCTCCTCTCCGCCGCCCTCTTCTTCCTCTACCCTTCCGACCCGGAAATCACGGTCGTCCGGGTCGGGCTCAACCACATCCAAGTCCATTCCTCGCCGAAGCTCACGCTCGACGTCTCCTTGTCCCTCACCGTCAAGGTCCGGAACCCTGATTTCTTCTCCCTCGACTACGATTACCTCTCCGTCTCGATCGGGTACAGAGGGCGGCAGCTCGGCGTCGTGAGGTCGATCGGTGGCACCGTGAAGGCCAGGGGTTCGTCGTACGTTGACGCGGCGCTTAATTTGAACGGGCTCGAGTTCTTCTTGGATGCCTTCTACTTGCTCGAGGATTTGGCCAAGGGAGTCGTCCCTTTCGATACGACGACCACGATCAGCGGCGATCTTGGGCTCTTGTTCTTCGAGATCCCCATCGAGGTAAGCTCGCTCTTTCACCCCACTCCATGACTTTTTACGAATTACAATGATGGGGAGCCGCGAGCTTTTTAAAATTTGTTGTAGAGATTGCATTGGGTAGGATTTGGGAGGATTGCAAATTTAGGGTTTTACTGATCAAGAATTGGGCTTTTTGATGGAAGTGAGATCAGCCTGCAATGCCTCTGATGGAGAGGAATGCCATTTTGCCATTGAATTGATTCTTGACTAGGTTCTATCTATCTACGAGAGTAAGAGTTGCTTAATTTGGATTCATGCTGTGGCTTGTCAAGAGGGCTCTTGGGAGTGTTGCTGAATTCTGACAGATTCTACAGACTAGTCGAATGCTTGCTTTAATGTTGCTAGCAGCTTATTGCAGTTTCTCCATTCAACTCTGTGCGAAAGGGGGGGGTTTGTTCGTTTTGTTCAGCGATGATTCTTCTGGTTTTTAGCTTTTGGGGTGACATAAGTTTGTTTACACTGTTGCAGGGGAAAGTATCCTGTGATGTTTATCTGAGTACAAGCAACCAGACTGTTGTGCGGCAAAATTGCTACCCTGTGGTAAGGAACTCTGATTCCTTTGTGGCTTTGTGATCTCTTGGTTTACATCGTAGTGAACCAACTCGAAAGGAAAGTGTGTGTGTGTGCTTCGTTAGTTGCTATATCATTGCATCATTCATGCTGTATATATGGAAACGCACAAACAAACAAGGCTGAGAACATAGACGTCAATCATCAGGATTGCATCCATTGATCTGTTTTGGAAGAGTAGCATTCAAAATCGGAAACAGTCTTCACATATCTGCTATATCTTGAACCGACGATTCCAACATTCGTTCTTTTTCTCCCTACATTGTTTGTTCTATATTTTTCCGTTGTCAACTTCACTGATCACTTGATCCATTCCTACTTCCTCCTGTGCAACTCTGTCAGTGACCTCAGAAGCTTGGAATCAGACAGCACAACGCTTGTTAAACCCCCCCAGGTATATATGGTGTAATGTTCGTGAATCCTGATCCTTGTATCGCGTATTGGATAGAAGAGCGAATTCCGGCTTCTCCTTCAGCCAGAGGCTTCACGTATTGTGCAGGTGTGTTATTAGAGACTTTCAAGTCGTAATCAAGCTTTGTGTTTCACTACCTGCTGACAACCAACTTCAGTCGGATTGGAAGCTAACTGATGCGTATTACATGAACACATTATCCTGTACATATACTGAATTACTCATAGCTGATCCCATCAGCGAAGTTTGTTACGTTGTGTAAGTAGCAGAATTGTTGTCCTCCTTCTCAAGGAATCACGGGTTACAAATTTTTGTCGATCCTCTTTGTTAAAGATGTATTTTGTTAGAACTTAGAAGTCTTCAGTGTTGTAGATTGCCGATTGAGGCCTTTTTTGGCAACATCACATGCTTCATGGTTCTTCGCCGGAATGATATTTTTTTCTTTCTCTTCACGGGATCAGAATGAGTCCTTTTTTCACAAAGGAGAAGCTGGAAAGCAAGATTACATCAATTTGAATTGGGGGTTCAGCACTCCACTTTGTGTTGGATCGTTGGAAAATGGGTTCATGAATTATTGCAGTATCGGAATAAAGTGTAATATGGCGCCAACTCTGGTTCTGATCCTAATTTTCTGACAATTGGTGACCAGAATATGGCATCCATTCAAAAAAGAATGCCGGCGATTCAACTTGCCAACATGCAAATTCTTCTATTCCCTGCATTTGGAACCTTATTCCTTCCTTCTTAAAAAAGCCCCTTTAGCTAAAAGTCATCTCCATTGCCAATCAACCCACAAAACTTCCTTCGAATCGAGAAAATTCATTGGACCTTACAGGCTAAGTAATTATCGACGGAGAGATGACGATGAATCGTTAAAGTCATCTCTCTCAAACAGCTCGGCCTTCCTCAGAACAGAGCCCTGCCACTTCCTTTCAAGCTTCAACTTGCATATTGGTTTCTAATTACAGAGAGTTTCTAGTTCTGTGATACAGAGCAGAGCAGAGAATAACAGCAGATAAAATGGACTCTGTTTTTCACTATTCAAATACAAAACCCTATCTTGCTCAATTTCTCTCTTCCCCCCACACATCTTCCCGTATCTTCGCTCATCATCTGCATGCTTCTGCAGTGGTAGTAGCCATTGATCTGCTGGCCGCCGCGCCGCCGGCGGCGCCCCATACATAACCAGCTCGATGATACCTGCACCTGAACGACCCCGGGTGCGTCGTCGGCGAACACACGCACCACCTCATCCCACCGCCGCCGTCTCCGCCGGTGACAACTCTCCCTGCCGCCTCCCCTGCATCCTCTGCCACACGACCATCAATCCCCTGCACCACCACCCATCTCCGACCCATCGCCACCACATGGCAACGACGGCCGCCGCGAGGAGGAACAACTTGGAGACACATTTTCCAAACTTCTGATCTCTCCTATCCTTGAGGAATTGAAAGAAAAGAAAGAAAAAAAAAAGTGGGAAGCTCTCCTAACCTCTTGAGTTACAGCATCAGAGGTTTTAAAAGAGAAGAGTGGGGGAAAGAATCTCTCTGCCCGACTTGAAGTGACCCAGAGAAATTGGGGGTTGTTTATGCAAAGAAGTAAAGAAAAGCAGAGCTTTTTAAGAAAGCAGAGGGGCCAACCCAAGTTCTACCCGAATCCACGAAAGAGGAAGAAAAGGTGGAAGGGAAGCTTTTTGATCGCTGCTAATAATTATATTCCTTCATGGAAAAAAAAGGGTTATGCTTTTTTTCAGAGACATGGGGTTCGTTCGTTAATCGTTACAGGTGACCTTATCTATCTTTGCGCCATCAACCGCCATGAGTGGAGCTCCTCAGAAGCAAAAGCAAAGAGGCCATACGCTTCCATTTATGTGGATAGCTGTGGCATAACAGAGATAAAAAAACGGCCGCCGCTAGCTATCATCTCAATTGATGTTCGTTTCTCAGTTTTTTGAGGTGGGTTTGGGACAGGTGGCGCCATGGATGCTTCCACCTGGCGATACAGTGATCTGTGTGTGCATCATGCATTCGTGTGCCTTTTAATGATTCTATCCGCTTTTCTGTTCTTCTGAGAGGAGGACGTATCTTTTTTGTGCATGGGGTTTTGGGGAATTAGTGGATTGGCTTTTTGTTCTGGTTGTTGCTTGTTTGTTTGTTTTTCCTAGTCAGATCAGCGTCAGCTCTTCTGGTACTCTTTTCTCACTTTTTTCTGAGAGATCTGTGGGTAGTGATGATGCCAAACCTAGCCCATTGGTTAAGAAATAATAAGTAGTTCTAGTTTGGATTTTGGACCCATTCTTTTTGAAGTGGGCCGCATTGGACATGGATACTCAAATTTTTAAAGTTCAAGCCCAACCAAAATCTCCAACACACGGAACATGGATACTCAAAATTTTAAAGTTCAAGCCCAACCCAAATCTCCAACACACCGAAGATGGAGTGGACTCACGGGTGTTCAAATGACTATCATGTTAATTATTAAATCAAATAAGTTTAAATTCGATTAATTATGAAATACAATATCATAACCAAAACGTTCAAACTAATACAATAACCACATTAATCAAACTATAAGTTTAATCGGTTTGGTTAATTGGTTAATCAAAATAACCAATATATCATTCAGTGGGAAAATTTTCCGGTTGGTGCATCAATTTGAAATTTATATAATGAATAACACGTAATTATAGTTAACCCTTGACATTGAGTTTTGAGTGGTTATGCAAATTATTAAGTATGTGTGTATAATATATTAGATATATGGCTAATTACTTAACTGGTTAATTTGGTTTGATCTGTTAGGAGTGTCTGAAACCAAACCAATGCACCTAAATCAAATAACCTAAAATTAAACCAAACCAAATTATCCAAATACTACCGATTAAAACGATTACCACGATAATCACTCTGTTTAAACAAACCTACTTATTGGGCCATGACCGAGTTGGGAATTAGAATAGCAAACGAGTCCTACTTGTTTTCAGCCTTTTTTGTTTTGTGCTAATTGGAATTTAATTGTCTATTCACTTTACTGTATTTTGGATGCGCGGCTCGATCACAATTCACAAACTCAATCTGAATATGAATTTGTCGGCCTAACCAAATAAGCATATATATATATATATATTGGTGCCTTCTACGGTACCCCGGGTGAAATCCTGAGTACTGCATACCTTGAGTATGAAAACGCTATCTAGACCTCGAATTAGCAGAATTTTTGGGCATGATACTATACCCTAACCCTTAATGAGTGAACCCTAGGTCCTAATTATCTAAATTATAAGCTATAAACCCTAAGATGGTGCATTGATTTTTTTGCCTATATTTGGACGAATCATAACCGTCGATTATTGTTTCTAATTAAATTGATCCTGGGGTATAAGATTTAGAGAATTAAGACCTAAATTTGGATCTTTAAGGGTTAGAGTATAGTATCATTCCTAAAGATCGGTCAATTCAAGTTCTGGATAGCGTTTTTTTACTCAAGGTATGCGGTACCCCGGATTTCACCCTGGGTACCGTAGAACTCCCCATATATATATTTTTTCTCTGTGGCAATTGGCAAATGGATGACTTCCTGTTAAAAAAAACAAAGAAGGAAGAGGACAAAGTCAAGTCTACGAGCTTCATAATGTACTCATGTTCTAATTGAATTGCTTGTCTTTATAGGAAAATGGGTGTCTTGAATCACTCATTTGAACTCACAAGGAAGCTTGATGTCGCTCTGCCATTGGGGGAAGAAGAGAAATGTCAAATATGTTTTTTTCTTCTTCTTATTCTTGTTGTAGCTTTGAGAAGAAGAAAAAAACACCACAATCCTCTATGTATATGGAAATAACACAATCTTGAGTACATCAAGTACAAGGTAACTCCTCACAAAGTTAATACGAAAAACGAGTATGTGGGTTCTTTCTGTTGTTTAAGACATGGGACCGTGGACGAGTTCCTCCACCGATAAACTAGCCTAATACTTTCAACTTGCGCTCTTTGTTTACTGAGATCGTGAGGTCACAATTTCATATTCTCAAAAAATCCCATGAAAAATGAATAACACAAAAGAGAAAAAAAGGTCCAAATAAAATAGCAGTCAATCGATCCAACTCAAAATATTTCTAGAACACTATCTATATAATTCAAAGTTCAAACCCGTTTTGTCAAACGTGTAGGGAAAATGGCAACACAAAAACAAAATTTGACGGGAAAATTCAACGTGGCACGAGCCAATTCCTCAGTGGCGGCCGCCCCGCCACCATCTCCGGCCTCCGAGTCCCGACTCACCACTAATCAAACTCACTCAGCGCGCTCGACTCAGTGAGTCAGTGGTGCGTTTTCTTTACTCTCCCAAACGCGTTCCTTCGTTCCTACTTCCCCTGTCTTCTTCTCTGTCTCCACCGCAGCCCCCAGCCTGGAAATTTCTCTCTGCAGCGCAGAATTATCATCGTTATTATTATTAAAAAGAACATTCCTTTTCCCCACTTATATAAATACATCCCCCGTTTCCCTCCGCCCATCTCATCGTTTTTCACTCCTTTCATTCATTCCCCTCATTTCTGAACCTCTCTCTGTCTCTGTCTCTGTTTTTCGTTACTTTTCTCCCTTTCTGCTCTGTTTCCCAATTCACCCACCTGCAATCCCCCAAAACATGAGCTCTATGAAGTTCTACGCAGCTCCGATCATCGGCTTCTTTCTCTTCGCCCTTATCCAGCTCAGCTACGGACAAAGCTTAGCTCCTTCCCCTGCCGCCGAGGGCCCGTCCAGCGATGGTAAGTTCCCTTTTTTTTACCCTATTTCAACTCCCAATCTTTGTTTTCCGAGAAAGTCTCGAAATCAAATGGGTTTTTTTCTGGGTATTTCCCGGATTTGTAATTGAAATTTGCTTGAATTTGTTGCAGGAACGGCGATTGATCAAGGGATTGCTTACCTTCTCCTGATGCTGGCGCTTGCAGTCACATACCTCGTTCATTGATTGATTCTGCCTTTTTCAGTGATGATTACTATGGAGCCGATTGAATTCATAGTCGTAGATAGGCGGAAAAAAAACGAAACACAAAATTGATAATTCTTTTTGGGTCTCTTGCGTTGATTCTCCCCATTTACGGAGACACTGTAGTCTGTAGCCTAGTTTCTTTCTTCGTTCTTGGGTTGTTGTTGTATTGTATGGATTCGTTGCGGTGAATATTGAAAAAGGAATAACGAAGTATAAATTCCTCCATTAGAGGAAGAATTTGGCAGTTCCAGTTTTCGTTTGGTATCTTTCTGTGTTTTTTTTTCTTCTTTCCCGTTGAAGCTTCTGTGCGCTAACAGCTGGCCAACAGGGAAGAAAAAGACGCGCAATGACCAGATCAACAGGCCAGCGAAGTAGCTTCTTGGGTTGACTGGTGTTAGGTAGCATATTGGGCCAAGTCCAGCAGACTTCCCACCCACGGCTTGGGCCCAGTTTTGAACTGCGCAGATATTTTCGGGCCCAGAGGTCGATTATAAAAAACTCTCCAAACACTAGCTCAGCAGGCCAGCCCGGTAGGTGTTTGAGTTGACTGGCCCAGAGATGCCCAACTCGGCCCCATTTTCAAGTTAAATAGATATTTTTCTCAATGGCCAAAGCCCGAGGCGGTAGATTCATTGCGGTTATTCATTTACAACTTCTTGTGATCGTATTGTATCGGCTAAATTTACAAGTTGAAGATAAGCGAACTTTCTCTAGCGTCAATCCTACAAAACGAGAGTGACATCAATCTACCTAACGAGCGGGAACACCAATATTGGGCGTTGGGGAGTTTTGCACAATAAGGTAAAGTGAAGGAAGTCGTCTAACCCATAATCTTATGCTCTTGGGTTGATACATATGTGTTGCTCTCGACATTCTTCATCTGGAGCCTGGAGGGGTATGCTTATACTTTTCATATGAATTTTATCGTTCCTAAACGAATACTATTCCGCAAGTTTAACATCCACATAAAATCTTAACCTAGCTAGAACTACAAGTATAGGTTCCTTGAGACAATTCTTTGACGACCTAATCACATACGAATATCCAAGCCCGGACCTCTCGATAGTACTTTCACCACAAACAACTAACTCGTTACCATTAACTTTTTTTTTTGTCATAGAAGAACTATTACCATTTTAAATTATTAATCAGTCAGAAACGATAAATTATAGTTGCTAGTTAGTGAATAAAACTACCTTGCTAAAACTGACTCAACTCCCCCATTAAAATCAAGGAGATGTGGTGGTAAGTAATGAGTTTGCTAAACTTTGTTTTTTCATCCATTTGGAAAAGGTCTAAATCAACCAAATTATTTCTTAAGATTACAATCAACCAAAATCAATGCAAGAGAAGAAAAGGTCTAAACCCTAAATATGAAAAAAGGCAGGAAAAAATAACAAAGCCCCGACATTATTTAAGGATCAAACTCATCAACACCACAAGAAGTCTGCAAGCCAAGATGGCCTCGTCTCTCTTTTTCGGCCCATCCCCAATTATCTACCATCCATATGGTTAGTTTTAGTTGGCAAAATTTGGCACATAGGTTAGTCCACACATTTGCAAGACTAGTCTCTTGGGATTTTTCAGCTTCAAAATGGATTGATATAGATATGAATGGGTTTAGAGTTGAAACTTTGAAACGAACAAGTCATGTGGCTGATATTTCATATCAGACAAATAGTAAGTTTATTATTATATTATCTCGTTGTTAAAGAATGTTGTGTGCAAGTTTTATTCAAATGATACGAGTTGGTTTTACTTCGTTGTCGTCATTGCGGACGAAAATTAAGACACTGAATTCTCGTCGAAACAATTATGTTTGAGTCGAAATCTATATATTGTACGTCGTACTCCTGGAATAATGTGTAATGTGGACAAAGCAATGAATGACATTTATATAATATATTAAAATAAATCATGTTGTTTTTAGCCAGAAACGGAACTATAATAGCAACTTCGATCAGACATAGCACCTTTCGGACTCGACGTCCTCGTTGTGATCTGCCTCACCATCATCCAAGAAGAACGCGGAGAGGATTTGATGCAACTTGTTACTTCCAAGCATTTTTCTTACAAAGATAGTGTTCGTTTTGGGTCTGCGACAGCATATTGTTTTACTTTTGGGCGCATCATGATAACTTCCCGGGAGGCCACTCATCTATTTTACTCCAAAATTGCGTCTTGTAAGTTAAGGTAGGATGTTCCTTATGAATCATAAATCTCTCTCGTGTTTTGTCAATACAGAGTTCTTCCTAAGGTGTTGACATACACTCCTTTGGGTTGGGACTCAAGATCCTTGTTGAGTTTCGCCCCCAACATCACCCAAGAGAGACTGTGACACCACTTGTAATATCCAAACCTTTTTCTAACAAAGATATTGGTCGCTTTGAGTCAAATGTCACAATATTTTGCTTTCGAGTACACCATGATGACTTCTCCGAGAATCACCCATCTATTCGCCCTAAAACGCGTCTTATCAGTTAAGATTGTATTTTCTTTATTAATCACAGACATCTCAATGTGTTGTATTGGGATTTATATGGTAAAAAATAGTAGTGCAAAAAACTATATTAATTAATTATTAAAATCTCAGGGGAAAAAAAATACAGCTCGATTCATTCCACATCTCAATTTTGCCACCGCAAAGTAGAGGTCTTTTGGTATTGGACAACCGTAGATGAGGTTAGCTAGATGCCAGAACGAAAGTTGGAAGTCCTTGCCATCAACTTATATACTCGTGCCATTATCACCATCCCTACCAATCCAAGAATTATTTATTTATTTATTGCATTTATTTTCCCATTATTATTGTTTATTTAATTCGCCACTAAACCGACAATTATTACTATTTCCGCAAATAATTGGTGAGGCAATACAGAAATTGTTTTTCTTCAATTTTATTATTATGAAAATCCTCGGATGTTGATTATATTTCCCATGCTACAAACATTGCTTGACGATTTTAAAAAGCAACGCAATTATCTCATGTCCCCAATTAATTTTTTCAATTGGGTAGAAAATGGAAATGATGAGAAATAGTAAATCGTTGATCTCGACTTAACCTTAACATGGCGAACGGGACCGTGGTCGAGTGATCGTACAGCTGGTTTTCAGTCTAGAGTGAATCTTAGGGACAACGCTTATTACCCCTCCCTCCACCTCTTATAGTAGCACCTTGTAAGTAAGTTGTAACAGGTTTTTGTTAATAAAAAAAAACACCCCTAGCATAATATGTTCATTTTGTTCCTTAAATTGATTATTACTTATTGTTTACTATCGATCAATTGTCCATTTAGATGTAAATTCCGGAACTCCCAACGAAAGCCAATGTCGATCCAACCTGATTATATAGTCAAAAGATACAAATGGCAAGGCAAGCGTCAACATAATCCGGTGCACCACTTTACGAGTAGCTCGATTCGTAGCATGAAGAATCACGCTAAACTCTCATATACTTGCGAAGAACGAGAGAAGCTACTTGCACAAGTGGAGAGAATGGCATCCCCGTGAGAAAGTTCAATTTCGCATCATGTTGAAGTTGTCGGATCACTGATCATTAAGCATGGCTCAAACCTCTATGAACACAGTTCAGACGAGGGGCATTTGATTTTTTGATGGTCTGTGAACAAAAGATGCATTAAATTATCCTTACTTTTACGGAGATTCAGCGAGAGCTCCAAACTACGACGACGATGACTACTTATCGAGAAAAAAAAACAGTAAAAACTTGATGAAGACATCGAGTTGTTGGTTTTGTGATAACTAACAGAAAGAACCAACCCCTTCATTGGAAATGCCCTTCAAATGGGGGTAAAATGGTAAATTCTCACCTCGCAATGTGATATGCCTTCATGGATCGACCTGGATGTTCAACGGTGGGCTTTGCGGGCCGTGGGCCGGATCCGATACTAACGACGCCCACGGTAAGCCATCTACACCGTCAGAATCGCGACCGTCCACGTCGTCTCGTGCTAAAATGCGCCGCGAAAGCGCACTTAGGATACCGTGCACCGTCCGTCTTCCCCTTCGCCCACACCCTCCCCTCGCCCTCTCTCCGTACACACACAGTCACAAAAACACAAAGCCATCATTTTTTTTGGCCATGTTTAATACAAAAATGTTGGGTTAGTTTACACAATTACGATACCAATCCATACTTACACACCACCACCATCACCAAGTCACCCACCACCCAATCCCTTTTTCTCTCTTTTATAGCTACTTCTTCTTCTTCTTCTTCTTCTTCTTCATCGAAACGAAAAAGAAAAAGAAGGGAGACCCGATAAAGAAAGAAACAACAAAATACCAATCCTCTTCTTCTTCTTTCATTGTTCACCCAGTTCCCAGTTCTGCTCTTTTTATTTTTTTTTGCTCCATCCGTAGCTTGTTCTATCCGTCCAGATTCTCTTGTGTTGTGTGTTGGTTTGATCGGTTGTTCTATGTGTGCTGGTGGGGGTGGAAAATATCGGATTCCCTTGTTGGAAAGGTGCGTTCTTTTGTTTCCCCTTTTGGCCCCCTACCATCGTTTAATCTTCCATTTATCTGTTGATGGGATGGGTTTTGGTTGGGAACACTTTCCCGATGGAAGTTGAGGAGGGAACGAGGTGAAAGAGGAAGACTTGGGTTCGCCCGATTTCGGGCATTTCGGTGGTAGTTTGGCCGATGATGCATTGATGAGGGTGAATCTGCATGTGGGCAGATGATCGCGTTGTTGGGTTTCTGTGGGTGCGATGATATGAAATGAGCTTTTGGTGTGGCATTTTGGGGATGATCGTCTGTATTTAGACATGTTCAATCAATTTGTGTGTCGGTCTCGCCCTTTTTAAGAGCTGATGCCGTTGTTGAAGGATCGTGCGAATCTCTAAGTTAAACTGATTGTTGACGCTTTTGATTTAGCTGGTTTCATGTGTTCTTTCATGCTCTGATGGTTTGCTTGCTGGCTCTGTGTGTTTGATTTTCATGATCGGGTTTCAGTTTTGCTGTTGTTGGTTGATTGGGGAAATCTGGATATGATCTTGGGTCTTTCTGCGATCGTTCAATTGGTATCAATTGAGTTGGCACTATGTGTTTCAGTTAGATGATTCTCATTATCTTGTGATGTAAATTGGGTGTCACTGGTTAGGAAGCTAGGCTACTCACAATGTAGGTTGCAACACATTGGTACTTATAGGGTTAGAATCCTTAGGTTGATTATTTGGTTGGCAGATCATTGGTTTTATGCAATCCAGTCTTAATTAGTGTTGTGATTTCGATAGGAGGCGTTCATTGAAGAGTGACTGCCAAGTGGCACATTTTGAATGAAATTTCAATGGTTGATGTGCCTCATGCTGTTGTTTCTCTTCGATGAATTGTTGTTCGTTGCCGTTTGTACGCTGGTTATCCACGTGTACAGATTTTCAGACGATTTGTGAGTAGAGAAATTGATATAGTTTGTTAACTTTTACAGGGTGAAGCTAAGGAGTGCCAGCTTTTTGATTAAATCACTTTCCAACTGGAACTAAGGTTCTTGGTAAGAAGAGTTGTTTTTTCCTGCTTCATCTCATTGTTGTTTTCCTCTGTACATATGATTTCTCATAATTGCCTGTCTTACTTTTCCTTTTAGGCTATTGTTATTTATTGTTTCATTGTTCTGGAGGATAGAGATATAAAGTGCTTGGCTTTTGCATGGGAAAAGAATGCCAGATTTGCAAGTTGGAGTTCGGCGATCACAGAGGGTCAGAAATAACCAGAACCCTTCTGGTGTAGTTGCTACGGCGACACGTGGTGGTAGGAGAGGTACTGTGCTCCCCTGGTGCTGACTTATTATCAAGTAAGACATTTATAGAAATATCTTAATTGTTTTTTTTTCTTTGTCTTTATGAAGGACGTGGCAGAGGAAGGGGCTGCAGAGTGATGAATCACAACGATAATGGCAAGCTTTTGGGTCACGTTCGCCCAGGTTTGGAAATGCCAGTTAGGCAACCAGTTGAGAGAAGTGCTGAAAAATTGGTCGTTGGTGAAGACGAAGGCAGCACAAGTCCTCTACCTGAACGGGTACTGATTTTCTTAGCCAGACTGTGGCAGTGCCTTAACCTTGTTCTGTTATTTCGAGCCTGGTCAAATGCAGGTAGTATAAGCTGATTGCTGTAGTGTCTAGTATTCAACTAAGGTACACTGGAAATTTAGGATGGAGAAAATTTACATATTGGGAAGTTAATATAAAGTGTTACATTCGTGTTCCTCTTGAAATTGTTTAGGTAATATAAAGTATCTTTCCCTTTACTCTTCTTCAATAGGTGAAACTTGGGAACTCTCCGGTGTACAAGGTAGACAGAAAGCTTGGGAAAGGAGGCTTTGGGCAAGTTTATGTTGGAAGAAGGGTGTCGGGCGGCGCTGGGCGCTCAGGCCCTGATGCTTATGAGGTTTATCCCTTAATCACTTTATCAATTCACACACATTCTTTTCTCACTTAGCTTTGTACCTGATGACCTTTGTCACCTTTATGTTTCTTGTTGTCTCATTTCTTCTCCAAATTTTGTAGCTTGCTTTGAAATTTGAGCACAAGAATAGTAAAGGATGCAATTATGGTCCTCCCTATGAGTGGCAAGTTTATAGGTATCATTTATGAGGGGTTCAGTTGAATATATGGTTTAACTTAACATTCTATGACCTAACAATCATCCTTTTTTTGTATTAATTCTTTTGAAGCACCCTCAATGGTTGTTATGGGCTTCCCTTAGTCCATTACAAAGGCCAACAAGGAGATTACTATATCCTCGTAAGGACACAAACTCTCTCTATAATTATCTGAAACTCTCCTCTGATGCTTACATCAGTATTTCTGTCTCTTTTTCTGGAACTTTTGTTTTCTTCAGGTAATGGACATGCTTGGGCCGAGCCTGTGGGATGTTTGGAACTCTAACAATCAAATGTACTTGATATATCTATTATCTTTTTGGCACTACCTTCCTTCAGATTTTGTTGTTGTTGTTCATAGAGACTTTTATAACGATGAATGTTACAGTCTTATGCTTAACTGCAAAATGCATATGATGCAGGCTTTCTGAACAGATGGTTGCTTGTATAGCAGTGGAGTCAATATCCATTTTAGAACAGCTGCACTCAAGAGGGTATTGTGAAATCATCAATTTCTGGCCCTTTTTTTTACCATACCAAATAGTATGTAATGCATTTCGTATTGTTCCTTAGCTTTGTGCACGGAGATGTTAAGCCAGAGAACTTTTTGCTCGGTCAGCCTGGAACACCTGAGGAGAAGAAATTGTATCTAATCGATCTCGGTTTGGGTATGTGTCCGTCTCTTAAATTTTTAACTCGGGATCTATGAACCTCCATCTTTCTTAATGGGAGAACTGACACTGTAACAATAATGCTACTATCCATTTCAGCTTCAAGGTGGAAGGATTCAGCATCTGGTCGCCATGTGGATTATGACCAAAAGCCTGATGTTTTTAGGTGATCACCTCTGACGTTTCATGTCTCTTGCACTAATGAATGATCATGATTAATGAGAAATTCCAGTTTTTGTTTCCGGAACTTATGATATCGAGTTATGGCAGCAGTTTGTCATGGAACTGCTCTTTTATATATTTTGAGATTTCTGAGAATTCTTCAAGAATATATTTATACATTTTGGGAGTTCTTTTTTGGGTATAAAAAGATGAATTAGAATAACCAAGTGATTCAAGAATATATTTATACATTTTGGGAGTTCTTTTTTGGGTATAAAAAGATGAATTAGAATAACCAAGTTCTTTTAGTGTTACTCTCCTCTGAAAACTTGGGCTGAAGTGAGTGTCAATTTTCCTGTTGGCCCTGTGCTGTTACTTAGTTAACATCCAGAAAGAAGATTATGTTGTCTGCGTCTAATTGATTTTCCTTTCCCCCGTCATACGTTTGTGGGTTCTTGATACCCAATAACTGCATTTCCCCCTAATTTATGCAATAACCATACTTATGTTACCTTTTACAGAGGCACCGTGCGCTATGCTAGTGTACATGCACATTTGGGTAGGACAGGGAGCCGTAGGGATGACCTTGAGTCCCTAGCTTACACCTTAGTATTCCTTCTTAGGGGAAAGCTTCCATGGCAAGGCTACGTGGTAACTATATATTCCACAAAAATCTCCATATCTAGCTTTTTCTTCTTCTGCTAAAACGTGATCGTTTGGTTTTGATGCAGGGTGAAAATAAAGGATTTCTTGTCTGTAAGAAGAAGATTGCTACTTCTCCTGAGATGCTGTGTTGCTTGTGCCCTCCTCCATTTCAACATTTTCTTGAAATGGTCACCAATATGAAATTTGACGAAGAACCAAATTACTCAAAGCTCATATCCATTTTTGATAACAGTATAGGCTCCAATGTCTTGCTACGGCCGATTCTAACTGATGGGGCCATAAAGGTTGTTTATTGGTTGCTTAATTGGTATTACTGTCGTTTTGCTTTAAGTGGTCATTCAGTTTCTAAATTATGCTTTTGGTCTTTAATGTGCTTTAGGCTGGCCAAAAGAGGGGAAGGTCTCTTGTTGACTTGGGAGACGAGGGCCAACCGAAAAAGAAAATTAGGCTCGGGACCCCTGCCACACAGTGGATTTCAGTATACAATTGTAGAAATTCAATGAAGCAGAGGTATGTGATGCAAATAATACAATAATTCAAATCATACCGAGGCTGTACATCCTCACACGGTGGTATTGTGAGCATATACAATAATACAAATAATTCTTATGTGCTGGTTGTGAATTATGATCTTGTATATCTGATTAATATATTTTTATGTTAACATGGATGCTATTTCATCCCAGTCACTCGCTTTTTGCATCATTTAGCCTATAAGAGCACCTATTTCTGCCATGGATTTTGAGTCTTAAACACCAATTTGTTGGATTTCTAATCCGGTGATGGGAACTCTTGACATGCAGGTATCATTATAATGTTGTAGATTCAAGGCTTGGGCAGCATGTTGACAAAGGAAGGGAAGATGGTCTATTCATTAGCTGCATCGCTTCATCTGCCAATTTGTGGGCAGTTGTCATGGATGCAGGAACTGGGTTCAGTGCCCAGGTTTATGAATTATCTCCCATTTTCTTGCCCAAGGTTGGTATTCTTCACTTTTCTGGAATACATATGGAAGTTCTTTCTTAGCCAGCAACGTTTTCATGCTTTGTTATTTTCTTATTATCTCATCAGGAGTGGATAATGGAGCAGTGGGACAAGAACTTTTACATAACTTCTATAGCTGGGACAACTAATGGAAGTTCGTTGGTGGTTATGTCAAAGGGTATAGATATATTTTAACAAAATGTTTGTAAAATCTTTTCAATATTTTTCGTTTGTTTGATCAATCTAGCTGCTCCAGTATTTTGACCTGGGAAACTCTTTTTGTTTAATGATCTTGAAGGATTTTGATTGATTGGGGGCTTGCTGAACTTAGACAGACTGGACTAGGCTAGCTGAGGGTTGAGGGCTTGTATTATTGAAGGAATTTGCCCTGATTTTGAAGTCTATGATTTTCATGAACAAAGTTTGATGGCTTCTGAACTAGGTGGGATTGGATTAGGCAAACCCTACTCCTTTCAAGGATGTGCCTTAGTTCACTATAGTTGGTTTCAGAAGGATGCTGTTCTATCTCTTTCCTACTAGAATAGTGATGTTTCCTATGGCGGGTGGCAAGTTATGATATTTTAAGAGTTTCCCAATGAAGCAAAAGTAGTATGGGTGTGGAAACATGCCCGTGCAGTAGAAGATCATGAACAGTGCGTGATGAGGAAACAATAGTTTCCTTACTATACAGTTTTCAAAGTATTGAGTGTTTTCAACCAACAGCTTATACACATTTCGCTAACCCTTGAGTTCATATTGGCTAATATGCTAACTGTTTTCGAAGAGCTTTTTGCTTAGTAAATCTGACATTTTCTCTCTTTGTTTTTGTAGGGACTGCATATACACAACAATCCTACAAAGTTAGTGATGTATTTCCTTTTAAATGGATCAATAAAAAATGGAAAGAAGGATTCTCTGTTACCTCAATGACAACTGCAGGCAGTAAGTGGGGGATTGTCATGTCCAGGAATGCGGGTTATCCAAACCAGGTTGGGCTAATGATCTTACCATACTCCTTGATACATCTATTTGTGAAGGAATATCCGAATATGGATCAAAATGCTAATATGTTGCCTCCCTGCTCTCTCTCGACTAGGTGGTTGAACTCGATTTCCTTTACCCTAGTGAAGGGATCCATAGAAGATGGGAGAATGGATACCGAATTACTGCAGCAGCAGCTACAGCCGACCAGGCTGCGTTCATACTTAGTACCCCCAAGAAGAAAACACCAGAAGTTGCTCAAGAAACCTTGAGGACTTCTGCTTTTCCTAGTACCCACGTTAAGGTAAACCAAAAAGTTTTAGGCTTTTCTGCTCTCATGCTCCTATGTGAAATAAATAAACTCTCCTTATTGATTTATCCTTGGAAAACAAACCCTTTGGCTTGCTAGACTGTTAGGCTAATCAACCAATTGATTAATCTCTTCTATCTTTCGTTTTCCTTTCTGTTGTTTTCATCTAATTCACAAATAAATTTGGTCTACTGTCTAAGAAGGAAGGGTTGTGATGTTTTTCTTGTGTGATGATGATAGGATAAATGGTCAAAGAATCTGTATATTGCCTCAATATGCTACGGAAGAACGGTATCCTAAAGCTTCCGACTGGTTGGAGGAGGCCACCTGTCTCCCAATCCAGAATCAGGTACTCAATCTCTATCTCTATTTCTGTCGCAAAGCCCGCCGCTAATGAATGTACTGAGCATTTTTTTACATATTTGGGGGCGGAAATAGCTGACACTCTCTGTTCTAACCTAATATAGGTTGTTGGGTTCACTTCTTAGCACTGGTGTATTGCCTGCCTAAGAGTCTCGGGGGAAGGAGCAAGAGTAATATCAGTATGGCTAGAGAATTCTGTTTTTGGTTGTTGTAGAGGGGTTACCATATCCATCAATGATGATGAAGAAGACATCCTTAAAGCGCGCGGTAGAATGAGCCGCTGCCAGCATCAGTATTCATGTCTCTTGACTGGCTCATTCTGGTCTTTGCCTTATTTTGAAAAAGAAGCCAGAACAAAAAGAAGTTAAAATGTTGTACAGTGACTAATCTATATTATGACGGAGAAGGCTATGATGGCTGCCCTGTTGTTTGGAAACTGGTGTAATAGTCTGGAGAGAAAACCAGTAAACTGGTATACACAGTCCGAAAAAGGAACATGGCGGGTTTAGTGTATTTCAGTAAAGGCAAAGTCTGGAGGGTGTTAGGTTTGCTACAAGGAAAGGTTCCCCTAAGCCTCCTGTTGTAATGTACCTTTATCCGAGAAAGAAGAAAAACATACTCTGCTCCCCGCCCTCCCACCTATTCTGCTCATTATTATGTATGGTCAGATTGACTTAGAGATTCATCTCATCCATGTGGTTTCCATTTCTCTTTGGAAGATTTGATGACGTGCTTTCACATCACCAAGTTATCAAGCAATGTCGCCTTTTCTTGCGAGTTGGTTTAGGGTCAATGCGGCTGTAGGTTTTGGGTGTGCCTAATCCTCCATCGCCTCTGCAGTCGTGGAGAGCGTGTTCGTAGTCATTTGCGGATGTGTTTTCGAGACGAATCGGACTATGTATTCCAGGTGCATTGAGTGCTCACTGTTGCTGCCGAGACAACCTCATGCAAGGTTTGTGGTCTGACCACAATGGCTGAAGAGCTCAACAATCAACATGGAGAAGTAGTATGTAGTCGTCCCATCGGCTTCGGAAGTGTCTCTCCTATGGTCTGATCCGGCCCACGATCTCGGCCCACGGTCTGAGGTATGATTTGGGCTTGCAAGGTCCACATTTCGGACAAGATTGTGTTCCTTCTGCAATGTTCAGACTCTTTGTCTTCCTCACACTGAAGCTCCGCGTCAGAACACGCTCCTTCCCATGTGTGGGCAGCCAAATTAGACCGTACGAGAGACACTTGTTGCTGAGTAGGCTCCACTTCGACCTGTATCAACAGCTACTGTTGAGATATTTGAACTTTAGTCTATATATAAACAAACAAACGCAGAGCAGAGCTCCATGGATTTCAGTCTCCATAGTGGGAATACAAACGAAGAAAGAACAATCTCTCTCTTCTTGCTACTCTTTTTTTACGGCCGGAAATGGGTATTGGAGAATACTGGTGCGGCAGTCCAGGCACCGAGACTATTCAGCTAGGGAGGAAGAGCGGCGCTTCTTCATCTTCTTCTTCTTCTTCTTCCAGTGGAATCATGCGCAAGGCGAGATGGAAGCTGGTTTTGTTGAATCTGGTGAAGGAAAAGAGTGCTACTACTGCTCAATACGATGAGTTCAGTTATGCCCTCAACTTCGATCGAGGGGATGCAGCCGCTGCAGAAGCAGCCATGGATGAACCAGAATACTTCCGCCAAACTTTCTCCGTCCGGTATGCCGATCCCTCCACCCACCGCCTCTGCAGCAGCAACAACAAAAACCCCTCTCTGCTTTAATCCTTTCCTTCCTTCCTTCCTTCCCCTGCCTTTGTTTTTAGCCCTTTCGATCTGGTAGGTAAATGTATAGCAGTGTAGGAGCTGTGGCATTCTGCTGTAAAAAAAAGACTACAGTTCTGTTATGCCATTCATAGATAGATGCTTGCAATCTTCTGTTGCTTGTCTACGTTTTTCCTTGTCCTTCAATGGATGATGCTGCTGACAGAATCAAGATGTGATCTGTGTAATGATCTGCAATTGCGTGTTTACAGGTAGGCTACAAATACAATTATACATAGTACGCTTTGCTGTGACTAATGTAGATTCCAATAATTGCGCTTTCTGGCTTATGAGGTTGTTCTTCTTCCTCCACGGCAGAGCAGCTCAGCAGGTGGCCCTTTTCATTTTAAGTTTCGTGGGGTTCTTTACTTTTGTTGACACTTTGATTACAAGATTGAAACTTTTCTTTAGATATCAATCACCAGTACGTGGAGTGAGAAACAAGCAAGGAAGAAACTGCATATACAAAAGATGAACATAAAGATGGTGACATGGTTTTTTTTTTTAGTCTGCAAAATTTGACAGGAGCCATTGGATTCTCAGATCCAACAACCATATGTGCCGACTGATTAATTTCAACGGATGTGAATTCATGTCAAACTGTACTTTGGGCACCATGGCACAAAGAATATGCTGAAAGTTTCCACATCGGGCAGTGATTACAACACGGTTTAGGACTGAAGGGTCCCCCCGCTCTCCACGCCTCTAACTCCCAAGACTTATTCTTCCATGAAAGCTGCTGGGAGATTTGGCGATGCAATTTCAGTAAGAAAGAAACTGCAAACTCTTTTAATGCCATTTTTATCGAAACGCCTCCATTAAGAAACTGAGGCAATCAATAGAAAGATAGGAAATTTCAAGTGTTTCTGTCAAAATCCGGGAACCTTCTGCAAACAGAAACCGGGAGAGTAGCTTTGAAGAGCCAGAGATTGGTTCTGATACTTTGTCTCGGGCTTGCAATTGTATAACTGATTTGAGTCTTTCGCTAACTGTAGAACTCAGGCTTCAAGACACCAACATAGGGCAAGTTCCTGTATACTTCAGCAAAGTCCATTCCATATCCCACCACAAAGTAATCTGGACACTGCAAAAATGCACAAAACATGAGCAGCTCAGGCAAAAGAGACCCACCAAGTTTAGCAAGCATCATAGATGAACTTCGCATTCAAAGGCGCAAACTTAATCAATCAAGTTTGCAACTTCGACGATGAACCCTGTTAGCTGTGATGTATGGAAATTAGAGGGCTACAGGCCTGCCTAATTCTGATTTGCTCTTTGATTGCTACTGCTGCTTAAGGATTTTCTTAACGGTGATAACAATTACAAGGAAATGCTACCAAGCCAAGGTCGTGAAATTCTCCATGTTCCCTGTTCCCTTCACAAATTTGAGTTCTTTTGCAATGCAGGCAGAGAAGCATGTTAAAATAGAGCAAAGAAAGCAAAAGCCCCAAACCTCGAATCCTCTGTAGTAATTTCCACTAACCACAACCCGAAACTCAACTTTCCGTCTCGCCGGCTTATCCAGAAAAGCACAAACCGACACCGACGACGCCCCCTTCTTCTCCAAGTGTCCAATCAGACTCGCCACTGTGCTCCCCGTATCCACAATGTCCTCCACCTACACGGAAAGAAATTCTTAATTCCCCAATCCCCAGTTCCAATTTTTTAAACAGCTTAGGGCAGTGATGGGGAAATCGCTTACCAGAATGACGTGTTTACCCGTGACGTCCAGCTTCAGGTCGAGGGAGAGCCGTGGAGCGCCGGTGGATTCTGTTCCGGCACCGTAGGAATCGGCGCGGATGAAATCTACTGAAACCGGCAGCTTGATTTGCCTGACTAGGTCGGCCAGGAAGACGAAAGCTCCCGTGGCGACTCCGACGAGGACCGGGGCCGGAGAATTGCGGGAACAGTCGGAGGTGATCTCCGCGGCTAGCTCGGCGACGCGGTCGGAGATTTCGCCGGCCGTCCATAGGACCTTCTCTATGTGAGAGTCCAGAGCCATTGGCGCTCAGAAGACTGAAACCCAGAGAGGTTTTTATTTACTTATATAGTTATATTTTAATCGCTTTTCTTTGTTTAAATACGACGGCGTTTCAGTGATGTTTTGCCATATTCATAAGAGCACGCATTTGGTTTATTATAGCAAACCTGCGTCCATTAGTTCAGCATAAACTGTGAATCGTCATTAAGAATTTAAGATTAAGATTAAGGATAGTTTAGAGAATATGATTTTAAATTTATAGATTGTCAACAATCTCTCAATTATTATATGATGATTATGAAACTTTCCACTCTATTTCGAAACTCATTACTTAGGTTTTTCTTTTTTTATTCATTCTTATAATTCCAATTATTGTATAATTCATCAGAAGAGAATTTTTCTGTTTTGAACATAGACATCTTTTTTTCTAGCATTTCCCTATGGATGGTCACCCTAAATACTAACTTGAATTCAATAACAAAAATTAATTGCATTTGTGACATGGTTTGAATACTTTGTTAGAATTTTCTAGTGATAGATTGTATGGATTTGAATTTTTTATGGTTTTTTAAAAAAAAGAATTTATTTATGGTTAATGATAATTTCACTTCGAAATTAGTGTATTATACAGATATTTTATGTTATAACTTATAACACATGAACTTATTGGTTAACTATTAACCAACGATTTTATAATAGCTAACCATTAAATCATCAATCAGAAATTTTTCCAGTTCAACATCGGTATGATTTTAAATTTTTTTTAAACAATTCTCATCTCAACCACAAAATATGCAGGTGCTCATTTTCTTTAAAGGATAATCCTTTTCTTTAAGAAATTAAAATCCAACCCTAATTAAGGAAAATTTATGGAAACACACAGGCCCGACAATTATTATTATTGTTATTGTTGTAATGGTTCAAACCTTTTCTCAAAAAGAAATTTTTCGCTTTGAATCTAGATCCACACGGGTTGTGCCTTGGGATATATATTAAGATAACTTCTCATAATGTCACTCATCTTTTTAGTGCTTCATAATGGGCACATTTAACTTAGAAGTTCTTAAAAGTTAAAAGAACTCTTCCATTTCACCCCAAAACACGTAAAATTTTACTTCTTATGATAATACGAAAGAGAAAACACTTTATGAATGGAAAATATTGATAATATATAAACATAATGGGTATGAGTCTGATTGTTGAAAATCAAGTCTAACTAGTTGAAGAAAAGTCAAAATAGGAGAAATACGAATAGATACTAAGAAATTGAGATATAATGAGGCAAGAACGAGACAGGGCGGAGCAGGGGCAGGGCCGGTCGGAAGTAGATACCCATGCCTCGCCTCGCGCTACTACGGGTCGGGTTCAAATTTTCATCCCTACCCAAAACGCATCTTCTCAGTTAAGATCGGTTTCTTACTTATAAATCATAGATCTCTCATGTACTACCTTTGTACAATTTTCTTAGCGTTTTATTTACTATCCCCCCCCCCCCCCCTCTCCTTCAGGGACTCAGTATCCTCGTTGAGATTTGCCCCATCATGATGCCCCAAGAGGGATGAATAGAGTCTCATATACCACTCCACATGTAACATCGCCCGAACCTTTTTTTTTTTTACAAGATATTGTCTGCTCTGAGCCTGCACCTGCACAGAGTTCGCCTTGGGGTACATATCAAGGCGACTTCCCATAGAGTCACCCATCTTTACGGTACTTCACAGTGAGCATGTGTATGAACTCTTTCATTTCAGCCGAAAAATGCATCTTATCAATTAACGTCGGGTTCTTACTTATGAATCATAAATCTCATTCGTATTCGTACTTTGTCGACGTGAGATTTGCCTACCATATTACAAAATTTTTACTTTCTATTTGGTTGGGTAAGAAATTAAATCCAACTCTAATTAAGGAAATTTCTGGAAAGACATAGGCAAGACAATTATTATTATTATTAAAAGAAAAGAAAAGGAAGAAGAAAAAAAAAAGGATTGCATGCATCATGTCTCTGTCGGTTCTATCGACGTGGCTCAGCCTCCCTCCGTCTATATAAATGAACGACCCCTTCTGCCGATCACTTTTTGTTTCTCCAAACCCCAGCAGAGAGATGGCAAAACACAGCAGCAACGGAAGCTCCGACGACCTGACCTTCCCCCTCGAGATCCCGCCGGCCAAAATTAGGTTCACCAAGCTCTTCATCGGTGGCGAATTCGTCGACTCTGTTTCAGGTAATTAATTAGTCACATTAATCAATCAATCAATTCCCAGATCTTTCCATTCCCCATACGTACGTACCCTTCTATCCATATCCGATCAACACTCACGCAGCCGGCCGGTCCGGCCTCTTCTTGTTCTCTCTCCCGGGCATCGGTTGCCGTATACTTTGTCGATCGGTCGCTTCCGCCGGTCAAAATTCTCCGGGGGAGCCCCTATAATAAATCCATTAAACCAACCTCCAATGTTTGTGAAACCGTACTATACCGATGGGTCCCGGTCGTGTAATACGTTTGCCCATAATATTGCTCAACAGTCTAAATATATCGCGCTCCAGAGGTTCGATCGTGGTCTGGTCCTTCTCCTTTCTCAGTAATGGCGGACTCAGAAATTACAGCAAAGGTATTCAACGATAAACCAAAACTAACAAAGGGTTGTCAAATAGTCTTGTGCTCAAATACTATCACCACTAAAATAAAAAATTTACGAAGAAATTTTGTCCCCAAATTAGATAGAGTTTTGTCAATTGACAAACCATTGGCTAACCTACGTCCGCCTCTATTTCCCAGTGATTTTTTTTCTTCTTAATTCTCTTTTGCAACTTCGTACGCTTGGTTGAGCACGGTGAGCTGGTGGCTCTCTGATTAATAAAATTTTGTGTTCAACCAAAAAAAAAAAAAAATTTGTGGATTTACCCCTTTTCGAGTATGTTCTATCTTAAAAAATGAAAAACTGGAATTCACTTTAATCCAGATTGTCTTTTAAAGTACTTTTATCACTTACTTTTCTAGTATAAAATATGTGATATGAGTTTACAAACGTTCATCATCGATTCTTTGTGAATTCCTGGAGTGAAAGTGAAGTTTTTTTTTTTTTTTGCTAATCAATATTCAATAGACCAAAAAAAAAAAAAAAACTTGGAATGCGCTGCCACCGGCGCCGTACACTCCAAATCACCGGACCGGTCGACCGTCCCCGTAAAATCCGGCTGAATTTAATTACTATACGGTCCTTGTCCCTCCTGTAATATTGGACGACTGACATCTGGACGCCATGCCGGGAATTTCGGTTCCTCTAGCCGACTGAGTATTATAACTGGCTTTGGCTATGATCGGCGGCCTAGCATCACCGGCCGGTGACGTTGCCTCGCCACCGGCTGCCGCCCGTACGTACGCATATTGTCTTTTTTTTTAATAAATAAGTGAATTTGAATTTTGTGGCAGGGAAAACGTTCGAGACGATTGACCCGAGAACCGGGGAGGCGATAGCAAGCGTGTCGGAAGGAGATAAAGAGGACATCGATTTGGCCGTCGGAGCTGCCCGCCGTGCTTTCGACCACGGGCCTTGGCCCCGCTTGCCCGGCGCTGTACGTATTAATTACTTCCTCTCATTATGTTACTTACTGTGATTATTTAGTACGTAGTAAAATTGTTAACGATCGGTCGAAATCTCATTGTCATATCATGATATTTTGCTTTCCTCGTCGAAAAGTTCAGTCTCTTAATTGCATTACGTAATAATTTGTGGATAGTTGAGACAATTCGTGGGAGAGTCTTGCTCTCTCAAGTCTCAAATGTCTTTTTCCCCCCTTCCCTTTAGTGTCTTGTTTGGGATTAGCTATCATACGATTTGGAAGGAGCTATATAATATACATATAATTCATTTAATTAATGACGAACTTAGGGGTTTAGAGCGAGGACGCCCGATAAGGAAAAAAAATTTACAGCACTGCATGCAATTTCTCGAGATTGAACCGAGGTTTAGACGAGGGACTAGTAACCCATCATTTTGTCACACTTAAGGAGAGACCCTGACTCTTTCACGAACTGCACGTAGTTCCGCTGCTTTCTAACACTTGGTTTGAGATTATAAATATTTATACATATGTTAACTAACCATCGGAAAAAATGACATAATAACATACTAAAGGCTCCGGTACGTCAAAACCCAAATTTTAATTCCCCCTCGTTATCACCTCATTGTTGATAGTTCCTTTGAAAAAAAAAAAACAAGTTGTGAGGAAGAGAATTGGAGGCGTCAAAATCAACCCATAATTTTCAAGATGGGGTTGAGTTGTGTTATTAATGGCTTATGGCCTGGTGGTGTGGTGTGTAGACAGTGGCAGAGTCACCTTGTTGGTAGGTAGCTAGAGCCCATTTACTCTTATGAATAAGTACACTTAGATACAAATTTTGCAAGTGTGGAAGCCCAGTGTTGAGGCCTTATCTACCATCTAACTTGTTAGGTATCGTCCAGTGTTGGACTACATGATAAACGAGATAACAATTTACAATACGTATGCACTTCAGTTTAAATGATTGATAACTTAACAACAATGATATATAGCTCACGAGTTGATAGAAATCATAGCTCGTTAATAACTCCCAGAAATTATGTCAAGATTGAGATTGAAGATTGATTGTGTAAATAATGTTAATTACCCCTTTGATACTGACTGTCTAGTTAGCTTCATCTCATTATACTTAGGAGATATCTTGATGTCGCCTTACTTCGTCTACGACGTGCTATCTATACCTAACCCATCAAAATGATCAATCAATAAATTTGTGATGTGGGTGTGGTATTAATTACTTATGGGCTGGTGGTGTGGTGTGGTGGTAGGTGGCTGCAGCTCCTCCACTCTAAAAAAAAAAAGTAAAATTATCAAGCAAATTTTGCAAAGTTGAAGAAAATATTTGATGTAAGGTGGACGAGTCAGGATTTTATCATAGTCTAATATATATAGTTGCTTGAGCTATTAAAAACATTGACATAGAAGAATGATTGTATAGATTATGTTAATTTCTCCCCTTTTAATATTAATTGTCTTAGTTTTCATCTGATTATGTATAGTAGATACCTAACTCTTAACTGTGGCCTCACTTCGCCTACGTGCTCTCAATACCTAACTCGTAACAAAACCTCTATGCGCGGGGCGTTTTGACAACGTCTAGTGCTTAGACGGGCCTAATTATAAGGTGCAACTATGGTTGCAAATAGGCCGAGTCGAGTCGAGTTTTACCCCAATTTGAGCTCGACTCGTTAATAAACGAGCCGAGTCGAGCTCGAGCTAGCTTGTTTATTAAAATCTTAATTTTTATTTGGTAATTCATTTTGTATATCATGATACATATGATTTATTTTGTTAACTAATCTCATATTATACTTTGTTGGTATCATATATCATTTAGTTAATAAATTTTAACTACTCCAAACCATGTTATTTCATAGTATCGAAGCAATCTATGATGCATAATTTCATTTTAAAGTAGAAAATAAGATATATTTGCTCACATACTCAACGTGTTAAACTTTATATACGGTGAGATATATAATTTAACAACCATATGAATTAAATCATAAGATATAGATTGATTCGTCCATAAGTTGATAATCGAGTTGGCTCTCTAGCCACATGTTAAGACATATCATGAGCTCTAAACGAGCCAGCTCACGAGTTTAGCTGAACAAGCCACTGAGTCGAGCTAGCTCGCGAGCTTCACAAAGGTGAGCTCGTGTTCGGCTCGAGTCGAACGCAGCTCGGCTCATTTGCAGCCCTAGGTGCAGCACACTTTTTTTTTAATAAGAATTTAGCATCCTTCCAATTATCTTTCAAATCTCTTGAACGTAAAATTTTTTAAGTCCCTCATTTCGATTTCTAGATTGTTTACTTAGACAGCCTGCCGCTGGTCCCATGGCCGTGTTTGGCGTTTTCCTCTGAGCTTCTAGATTGTTTTACCAAAAGCCTTTTTTCCTTCCCCGTCGTCACGTGTCTGCCTGGAGAGCTTCCGATTCGTAGATTCCATGCACAGCTTCTTCGTCATGCAAAACCCAAAACAGAGCAAAAAATACCAAAACCAACTATGTCGTAAAAGTAGAAATTCAACCCAAGAATATGAAAAAAGGACCGGGTCTCCCACCCACCTCTCACGTCTTGTTGATTATTTATTGCCGACGGTGGGAGTTGGATAGGCGATTGTTATTAGTTTTTCGCCGCCGACGGTGGGAGAGAGAACCTATCAAAAACATTTATGAACCGGGGACCAAAATCCAATTGATTTAATTCAGTGAAGATTTTTACTTCAATCTTTCCAGTGAGTAAAGATTGAAATGTTTTGTTAAGCGGTGAGAGCGTGGATAATGTTACACGTTGCTGGTAGCTAGTTGTTGGGAGAGATATAATTGGAACAAGCAATTAGTTACGACGATCCCTAATTGTAGGATTTGTAACAACTTCTCGTCTTCTCGGTGTTTGGATGTTTGTTTATATCGAGCACGTACATTGTGTGACACACCCACATTATTATTATTGTCTTGTTTCTTCATATATATCGTAAATTGTGGTAATTAAACTCTCATTGACTTAATCTGGAATTTAGTGAAGATTTTTTCGGTTGATCACATTATCGATTAGGTTGATATATTAAGTGACGAGAATATTGCTAAATATCTACCTAGACAGTTTAATAGTTAACCATAAAAAAAAATGTTACATTTCTTATTTCTTAATTGTCAGGCAAGGGCAAAGATAATGCACAAATTTGCGGACCTGATCGACCAACACATCGAGGAGCTGGCGACCCTCGACACCCTGAACGCCGGCAAGCTGTTCAGCTGGGGCAAAGCGGTCGACATCCCTTCCGTGGCCAACACCCTCCGCTACTTCGCCGGCGCCGCCGACAAGATCCACGGCCAGGTCCTGAAGATGTCGCGGGAGCTTCACGCCTACACACTCCTCGAGCCCATCGGCGTGGTGGGGCTCATCATCCCGTGGAACTTCCCCAGCACCATGTTCTTCGTGAAGGTCAGCCCCGCCTTGGCCGCCGGCTGCACCATGGTCGTCAAGCCCGCCGAGCAGACCCCTCTCTCCGCCCTCTTCTACGCTCATCTCGCCAAAGAGGTATGTATCCTGGTTAATACAGGTAGGGCTGGTAATCGGTTCGGTTATAATCAGATCCGTATAGTTGGCTCTCGATTAATTGTTAACCACTTTGAGTTTACGATTAACCTTACCGTTTATATTAGTTTCGTATATTCGGTTTGTCGGTTACATACATATGTGTTCCTTTTTTTAATTTTTAGCATTAAATAAAAAAAATATAAATTTCACTTCATATAACAACATCAACTTTGATTAAAGAAGTAGACAAACATAAGAGGCCTAACAACAATTACTTAACTAATAAACCCCACTAAATTATATGGAAGTTTAAATGTTGCTTATTGTTGTCAAGCTACTATGCTCAAGTCAAACTTTCTACTCTACTCTTTCTATAGATCTTCCATGAAATTATTCTCATTTAAAGTTAAGTCACTATTACAATTAGGGTAGGCAAGAGACCTTATAGTTCTTCAAACATCGCATTATTTTTTTTGTATATATCTATGGCTCATCGAGACTTGTTTTTTACTCTAACTATGAGGATGTTGTAACCAGTTATTCACTTTATCGTTTAACCATTGGTTAGTAACCGTTTAACTGTCATTTAATAATTAGCTAAATATGACTATCGGTAATCGACCATTTTTACTAATTAATCGGTTATCAGTATAACTATTAACCATAAATTTTAGTTTGGTTGTCGGTTACACCGTTAATAGGATAATCGTTTACCAGCCCTAAATACTGGGAATTGTTTGTTAAAAATCACTGGTTAGGGATGAGTTTGCAATGACAATATATTACATGGACTAAGTGCGCAACCCAAAAGATATCAAGAAATATCATTTTGATCCCTAAACTTAACCAAGTGCTCTGTCCAAGCACCTAAACTTTCAAATTTTGTTCACCGGTGATGATCAGGCGGGAATTCCTGATGGAGTGATCAACGTGGTGAACGGATTTGGTCCCACCGCCGGCGCCGCACTTACTTCCCATATGAACGTCGACAAGGTACAGAATCAATTTACCAGATGACTTGCTTAAATTAACCGTTGGGTAATTTATAATTGTATCAATTGATTGTGTCAAGTAAAACTTACTCTGTTTTTTCCGGGTGCTCTGTTTTCGGTTGGCAGGTGAGTTTTACAGGGTCAACTGAAGTGGGCCGGAAGGTGATGCAGGCAGCAGCGGCCAGCAATCTGAAAACGGTATCGCTCGAACTGGGCGGGAAATCTCCCCTCCTGATCTTCGACGACGCCGACATCGATCAGGCCGCCGATCTCGCCCTCTTGGGGGTCATGCACAACAAGGGTGAAGTCTGCGTCGCGGGCTCGCGAGTGCTTGTACAGGAAGCGATCTACGATGAGTTCGTGAAGACATTGGTTGAGAAAGCCAAAGAATGGGTTGTTGGGGATCCTTTCCACCCAAATTCTCGTGTTGGTCCGCAGGTGAGAATTAACGAATGCTCTGTTTTTTCCTGCAATGGCGTGTGGTAAAAAAAAAAGGTTTTAACGAATGCTCTGTTTTTCCTGCAAGCAGGTTGATAAGAAGCAGTACGAGAAGGTGATGTCTTACATTGAGCACGGCAAGAGAGAAGGAGCGACCTTGCTCACCGGCGGGAAACCCGCGGCCAAGAAGGGATACTACATTGAGCCCACCGTCTTCACAGATGTCACGGTAAGCAACAATTTCCCGACCTTCGTGAAAACAGAGTCGATAAAAAAGCGAATCGCCATCTGTTGGTGTGAATAACTTTTGAAAGCGCGCATAACAACCTAGTCCGCGACTCGGCCAGATTGGTAACCCTAATTTTTCTGTTCGTATACTGTGTTGAATGAATGCAGGATGATATGATGATAGTGAAGGACGAAATCTTTGGCCCTGTCATGGTGCTAATGAAGTTCAAGTACAGCTTTTCCCAGCTAAGTAACTTGTAATTGATGAATTGGTCATTATGCATTGATGTATCTTTTTTTTTTCTTCTCTTCCCCCCAATGTGGATGAGCACAGAACCATGGAAGATGGGATAAGAGCTGCAAACAACACGAGGTACGGGCTGGCGGCAGGGATCGTGACGAAGAGCTTGGATACAGCGAACACGGTGTCGAGATCGATCAGGGCGGGAGTGATATGGATCAACTGCTACTTCGCATTCGACAACGACTGCCCTTTCGGAGGGTACAAATCGAGCGGGTTCGGGAGGGATGAAGGGATGGTGGGTCTTCAGAAGTACCTCCAGGTTAAATCTGTGGTCACTCCACTTTACAACTCTCCTTGGCAATGATTCATACAATGGATCATTCATGGAAGGTGGGTTGCCTTGGAAATGAGGGTTCTGTAGCTAAGGAGAGAAAGTGAAAACAGGGGAGACAAACATGGTGTTTTTATTTTTCGGTTTATGGATAGGAGAAGTCATACAATTCATAAAAAAAAAAAATGTGTAATTGTGTTGTGAATAATGATCTATATTACAGTTTACATTCTATGAACTTCTATGAGGATCTAGCTACACCCACTGCAATGGTGCATTCCCTATAAAGAGAGATGAAACAAATTTGATTCCCTTTAGTTTGATGCTGAAGTTTGGAAGATGTTTATTTTGTTTGATTGTTTCTCTTGTTTTATCTTCTTGTTAATATTTTAAATTGGCTCGAACTTTTACTTAAATAGACTAGTTTGATCTGTGGTTTATTAAATACATATACGGCCTAAACTATGCACCATCTGTACTAATCTAACTCGATGAATTGGTTGACCGTTAACACGCCCTTTCCTAGATACTCTGTATAGTGTACTATAAATTTAGTTCCACTACTGAAGTGCAAACAATTTCTTGTAAAAAAATTATTGTAGAGTGCATAAGAAAGAACCATATGACATTTCAATATTCGCTTCCAGATCCATGTGCATGTAGAAGTGGAGGAAACATTTCAAATTGGCCTTGCTTTAAGTCTATAACTTTTTATCCATACTACCCAAAAATATCATTTTTCTACCAAAATACTCAAGAAGTGTCTCATCACACAAGTCTGATTCCATATACGAAAATTTCTCACTCGAAAAATTAGATAATATCGTCAGCATGAACAATCTCGTTTATTAAAGTTGTTACATGGGTAATCTCATCAACAATGGTATTCGTATTCGACGAGAATACTAGTGTGAGGATAATACTAAGGAGCGGCGATTCAAGGATTTCTATAGGAAAATAAAACCAAATTTATAACTAGTCATGTGTAGTCGAGGCACTAGGGTTTAGAATTGCAAGTTGACTTGCCTTTCGTGGAGAATAATATAGTAAGAAATTAATTTAATTACGTCTCGATCGGGTTATTATTAGTTTGATTTTATAGTTTTGATCTGAACCGTATCAAAACTGAAAGTTCCCAAAATTTAGGAGCCAAAATCAAATCGAAAGATGAACGATTAGATTCGATCTGATGTGAACTAAATTGTTGTCCAAGCCTATGAGTTCTTCTTACAATAAATTGAACATCGACAAATTTAGGTTCCTCAATAATCCAAAAGTAAACATGGACCATCGAATACAATGAAACCTTATTTTTTTAATTAATGAAACCTCATTTAATTACAACTAATGAATGAAAAAACGAGAAACAATTGGAAGCGGCTGCCCTACTCTCTTTTTCTATATAGGAAACTTCTGTGGCCGGCCGGGAAACTGCTCATCAGAACGGCAAAGACAAAACAACGGGAAACGCCAGCGAGGTTCCGTCGTTTAATACAGTTAACGACGGAAAAATCCCGTTGAAGTCTCAGAAAGCATCCACTTTCTGGCTTTAACCAAAAGCGTCTTCACGGAGAAGCCGTCTGCAACTCTACCAGTCTATCTAAGCATCACCTCCATTCTTCTCGTCGTCATCCCTTCCATTCCCATAAATATCACCGCTACAGAGCTCCGAGCTTTCCCAAACAATTACAGACCCAGAAGTTGAAAATGGCAACCAGTGAACAAATCAGCAACGGAAAGACCAGCTCCTTCTCCAACCTCATCCCTACGATCAAGTTCACCCAGCTCTTCATCAATGGCCAATTCGTCGACGCAGTTTCAGGTTGCTCCATCTCCACTCCCCCTCTTATTCTTTCAATTTGTTATTTCACCACCAGGAAATAATCAATTCATTAATTTCGTCATCAGGAAGAACATTGGAGACGATATCGCCAAGAACAGGGGAAGTAATCGCCAGAGTCGCCGAAGGCGACTCCGCTGACGTGGATCTCGCCGTCGCAGCAGCTCGCCAAGCCTTCGATCACGGCCCATGGCCTCGAATGTCCGGATTCGTAAGCAAAGACTCTGACTTTCCTTTTCTTCTTCTCTTTCTTTTCTTGATGTCTAACCCAAAATCGGATGCTCTGTTTTTTTTCTCCAGGCGAGGGGCAGAGTCCTGTCGAAATTCGCGGACTTGATAGACCAAAACGCGGACGAATTAGCCGGACTGGAATCCATCGACGCCGGCAAGCTGTTCACCTTCAACAAAATGGCCGACATCCCTTTCGCGGCGAACCTCCTCCGGTACTACGCCGGCGCGGCGGACAAAATCCACGGCGACGTGCTAAAAATGTCCAGAGAGCTTCACGGGTACACTCTGCTCGAGCCGATTGGAGTCGTCGGACATATAATTCCATGGAACTTCCCTTGCACCCTGTTCTTCTCGAAAGTCGCGCCCGCCCTCGCCGCCGGCTGCACGATGGTGGTGAAGCCCGCAGAGCAAACCCCTCTCTCGGCTCTTTTCTTCGCCCATCTCGCCAGGGAGGCCGGAATCCCCGACGGAGTGATGAACGTGGTGGTCGGGTACGGCGCCACGGCCGGGGCGGCGATCTCGGCTCACATGGATGTCGACAAGGTGAGCTTCACGGGCTCGACGGAGGTCGGACGGAAGGTGATGCAGGCGGCGGCGCTGAGCAATTTGAAGCCGGTGTCGCTTGAGCTGGGTGGGAAATCGCCGGTGCTGATTTTCGACGATGCTGACGTGGACAAGGCTGTTGATCTTGCTCTCCTCGCCATTTTCTACAACAAGGTGAGTCCTTTGTTTCCCTATTTAGCTCTCTTTTTTGCCGGGAAAGGGACGTTCTTGTGATTCATTACTTCGGCAGGGAGAAGTTTGTGCGGCGGGGTCCCGTGTGTTTGTTCAAGAAGGGATCTACGACGAGTTTGTGAAGAAATTGGCGGTGAAGGCTAATGAATGGACCGTCGGCGACCCTCTTGATCCCACGACTCGGGTTGGACCTCAGGTAAGGTGGTTACCCGGTTTTAGTTTTCGATTTTAGCCTGAAACTGAATCGATAAAAGGTGTTAGACGTATCTCCTATATTTAACGTAATCGACACACGGTTTTGGTTTTGGTCGCAAACCATAAACATAATGCGAACTCATGTTATATTATAGGTCAACAAGACACAATTTGAAAGAGTGTTATCTTACATTGAGCACGGCAAGAGAGAAGGAGCCACGTTATTAACTGGTGGCAAGCCGGCAGCCGAGACAGGGTTCTACATCCAGCCCACTGTTTTCACTGATGTCAAGGTTTGGAACCTTCATAAGTCTCATTGGATTGATTGATTGTAGGTCGTAATTCGACCAATGAGCATAAGCGCTTGTCAAATTTTGTTTGTAATTGACGTTTCAAAAATCCAATACCAAACAATCTCTACAGGAAGACATGATGATATCCAGGGATGAAATCTTCGGACCAGTGATGGCTCTAATGAAGTTCAAGTAAGCACAATGCACCTGACTCAAAGACGCACAAGTAACCTAGAAACATATAAGCTAAATCGATAATTCCTTTCATTTTTTGTTTTGATTATCAGGACGATAGAAGAAGGGATCAAGTATGCAAACAACACGAAGTACGGCCTTGCTTCGGGGATCGTTACGAAGAGTTTGGACATCGCGAACACGGTGTCGAGATCGATCAAAGCCGGCGTCGTTTGGATCAATTGCTACCATGGGTTCGACATTGACTGCCCCTTTGGAGGCTACAAGATGAGCGGATTCGGCAAAGATTTTGGAATGGAAGCCCTTCACAAGTATCTCCAGACCAAGGCTGTCGTCACTCCTATCTACAATTCTCCCTGGCTTTAAACAAACCCTAATAATCCATCAATCCATCCATTTGGTTATGAAAAATGTTTCCTTGAGACTTTCAAACAATGGCAATTTTCATTTTACCGGTACCAAATAAGCAAATTTCTTATGCTATGCTTTACATCTTTTTTTCCCTATGTATTATCAAAACATTTACAGCAGAATATTTCTCATTTCAATCAACGCGAATAAATTACAATCAACAAACAAACACCATGTCCAAATCCAGGCTGAATCGTCAAACAATTGTAATGAAAATCCAACGGTGGAGATTGATGGTGAAGTGGCGCAATAGCAGGACCCTCTGGCTGACTGTATTGACACCTGGACTCATTCCGGCCACGTCATTCATTAGAAAGTATTGCGTTGAAAAGTCAAAATGAGTCGCCCAAAATCGAAACGGTGATGGATTGACGACTGGAAAACCACAGCTCACATCTTACGGAGCCCTCTTCGTCCCTCGTCATCGGCAGCGGGAAATTGGAAATTGCAAGGCAGAGGATTTTGGCGCCAAAACTTTCTTTATTTCCCACTTCGTATATCAGAGGCTTTTCAGTTTCCACCTCTTTCAACATCGCGAGGATTTTCTATTCGAAAAAAAATGCAGCGGCAGAAATCGCTCCACGCTTTCTTCCAGAAGTCCTCGCCGGCTAATCGGAGCTCCGGCCGCGAGGACGTAGCTCACGGTCACCCGCCGTCGATTGTTTCGGCGAAGGAGCGGAATCTCCAACCCGGCCTTCCGAGTCAGCGTGTGGCGAACTCATCCGATGATGTCACAGGAACCGGCACACCTCCGGAGAAGATGCCGCGCCCGATCCTACCGGCGAACTTCTCCGCCAGTACCGACGGCGGAGGTTCTTCGCTTTTCTCCAGTATTATGCACAAGTTCGCTAGGGTTCCAAACAGGTTAGCTCCTGACGAGCGAGCTATCTTCGCCATTTGCCAGTGTTACGTTGCTGTTTTCTCAAAAAAAAAATTTAATCATACTAGGGTTTGGCTCTGCTGCGAGATGTGAATCTGTTTGAATGTATTCATTTTGCGAGTGAATTGAGTGTTGGAGTTGATTTAGGGTGATGGTGGTATTGCAGGAACCAGGCTGATTCTGGAGGTGCTCGCTTGACTTCAGCTCCATCATTAGGCAATTTAGGATTTCATAAACTGGGAACCATTGATGAGAATTCAGTCAAAGATAGTGCTACTAAGTCCAATAAGGTAGGAGGCGTATTGCCCTCTGATAGGGGCGATGATGATGTCCAGGGTCCCGAGACACCTGATGAGCAACCACTTGCTCGGCGAATGAAGCGAATTCATGAAGACATTCCTAAGTTAGGTGATATGACTGATTGTTCGTTGCTGGATAATGGCAAGAGGGCTAAACTTATGCAAGGGTCCACTGCCCAGGGGAAGAATCAGGGAGAGATTTGTAATGATCTTGCTAGCAAGTTTGAGTGGCTTAACCCTTCGGGAATCAGGGATGCTAATAGAAGAAGGCCTGACCATCCTCTTTATGATAAAAAGACGCTTTACATACCACCTGATGAGCTAAAGAAAATGTCGCCATCTCAGAAGCAATACTGGACTGTCAAATCTGAGTACATGGATGTTCTGCTTTTCTTTAAAGTGGTCAGTTAATCTCACTTGTTTGATGCTTTCTCAATGTGTATCAGTTGTTCATGGTGTGGCTTACTCTTGAGCTTTACTTATCACCACATGCCTTACACTTTGGCTCATTGCAGCCTTGCAGAGAATCCATTTTGTTTGCTCTTTCATGATTTTGTATTGTGTTTGTCTCAACCAAATCTATATGATAACCAAACCGTATATCTGAAGTCCCTTTTTGCATCTTACTGGCTGAGTGCTGGCTGTTGATTTCTTAATAAACCCGGGTGTTCTAAACTCAGCAACTTTACATCCACAATAGGGGAAGTTCTATGAGCTTTATGAGCTGGATGCTGAAATTGGTCACAGGGAGCTTGATTGGAAAATGACATTCAGTGGTGTTGGAAAATGTCGGCAAGTAAGTTCCATATGAAGTGTATACTTCAATGCAAGTTTGTAGCCACTTTCGATAGTTGCTTTCTCAGAAATGATAACACTTTTTGAGCGCAGGTTGGAGTATCCGAATTTGGGATTGATGATGCTATAGAGAAACTCGTTGCTCGGGGGTAGGAAAACAGTAACTCTGTGAAATTATGTTCACATATTTCTTTCATGTTCTTGGTTAGTCTATGCCCAAGGATGAGTCAGCATGTGTTCTTGCACGAGGTAAAATAAAGGCATTAAGATAATTCTCCAGTCTAGCAAGTTACTGCTGGGAAATTGCACGTTAGTGGCTGGTACTTAACTTTCCTTGATTAGTACAAATTCATACTCATTAAAAGATTTCATGCTTGCAATTAGAAATTCCTAGAGGTATGTTTTTTGTACATTGTCTGCATGATCCCATGACCCATGGGCGAGTGGATTTCTTGCTTTAAGTTTCATTAGACAGAAATAGGTCAACAATCTTGTCAGCCAAGGTTTGGCATTCAAATATCAGCGTTTGGAATGTGTAGAAATGCTTTAACAAGGAGACAAAGAAATGTCCCAAAATTATTTTCCATGATCTCAAATTGACTGAAATGACATTGCTTCTTATTGTCAATCATTCTGCATGTCTTATTTTCCTGCCTGAGAGAGTGCATTTGTTTTCTCTATGATCGTTTCCAAGATATAAAGTTGGGAGAGTGGAGCAGTTGGAGACATCTGGTCAAGCAAAGGCCAGGGGTCGAACTTCGGTACATTCACATTAATTTACAAGAGCGTTATATTATATTTCTAAGCTCTTTTCTCCCTGGAAAACTTTTATAATTTGTACCCTTGATGTTGAACAGGTGATCACCAGAAAATTAGTCCAGGTTCTTACTCCATCAACTACAACTGATGGTATCATTGGGCCAGATGCCGTTCATCTTCTTGCACTCAAGGAGGTAATTTCAATAATCATATGTTTGTAAAGCTTTTCGTGATGAACCTATAAATGAGACTGCTGTTGTCAGTCTTCTTGGTCCTAGAGGAACAATAACATCTCTGCAATTTTCCACGATGAAGTTGTTCATCTTCTTTGTACTTCCTAAGGATGCAAAGCTTATAGGATTCTATGGTTTTGCTAATTAATTCTTTATATTCAATCTTAACGGGATTGCACTCTATGGATTAGTTCTTATTTAGCATTTCCATTAATCCTTCTATTATCATCTGGTGTATGCCAAGTACCCACTATAGCTGACACTATTAGTCAGTTTGTTAGCCTTGTTAAATCGTCTTGTGAATTGTCATCAGGGAAATTATGGGCTTGATAATGATGCAACAAGTTATGGATTTGCTTTTGTTGATTGTGCTGCTCTTCAATTTTGGATTGGCTCCATAGAAGATGATGCTTCCTATTCTGCTTTGGGAGCACTGTTGATGCAAGTATGATCCGTTTCCGATCACATAAAGTTGTTGCACTGCAGCTGGTAATCTTGTCAAATACACAATCTGATGGCTTCTTTGTTATTTTACTGCAGATCTCACCTAAAGAAGTTATACATGAAAGTAGAGGTACATGTGTTTTTTTCTAGTTCATCTTGGATGCTGAATTCAGTAAAATATGAAATTTGAATAGGTTAATTTATACAGACGGGAAAAATTGAAGATAATAGACGGAGATTCTTTGGTTGTCCACTTCGGATGTGCACTTATATGATTATCCATCCAATGCTCATTGTCAGCCAAGTGTAGTCAAAGAATTTGTCTAAGTAAGTGTAAAACTGAGCCTTTACCTGATCCTTACTGCCCTTAAAACATGCAGGGCTGTCCAAAGAAGCCCAGAAAGCACTGAGGAAATACACATTAACTGGTGCGTGCAGTTATCTCTCAAAAAGCACTGTGGCTGCCCCAGAGCTAGAAACTTGTTTCTGTGTATCTATTTTTGTTGCTTGTTGGGGGTAGCCAGAAAAGATTATGTGGTGTACTCCCTAGTTTATGTTGTGTTTCCAGTCTTCCATTTATACGTTTCCGGATTTCCTGTAAAGGTGTTGCTGGCATGGCTCATGTTGATCTCAATCAGTTATCTTTCTTGAACAATATGGTGAATATGTTCTGGATTCTTGCTTAACTAGAGGGATTTGATTGCACTGAGCTCCGTTTCCCCTACATCTGCCTACATTTCAGGTCCAGCAGCACCACAGTTGACTCCAGTTCTGCCTGCCACTGATTTTGCTGATGCTTCTGAAGTAAGAAATTTGATCCAGTTAAAGGGTTTCTTTACAGGGTCTTCTAGGCCAGTGAATAGTGCACTTGACAGTATAATGCACCAAGACCTAGCCTTATCAGCTCTTGGTGGTCTTATTGGTCATCTCTCTCGGCTGAAGGTATGCACAATAACAAGCCCCTCAGCTTGTTCCGTGCTTTTAGGTATTGTCATTATCTGCTGTGCTGATTTGTGTTTCTTTGGGTACAGTTAGATGATGTTTTGCGCAATGGTGATGTTCTACCTTACGATGTTTATAAGGGTTGCCTTAAAATGGATGGGCAGACTTTAGTTAATCTTGAAATTTTTAGTAATAATGCAGATGGTGGTTCATCAGGCAAGTCTGCTCTTCCAATCACTTCTCCTTTTCTTACTTCTTTGACTGTAGTTGTTCTGGTAAACTAACAACTCATAGAGTTTTCTACTTATTTGAACTTCAGGTACATTATTTAAGTATCTTGACTACTGTGTTACATCATCCGGGAAACGACTTTTGCGGAAGTGGATCTGCCATCCATTGAAATGTGCTGAAGGCATTAATAATAGACTCGATGCAGTTGAAGTTTTGATAGCTCGTCCTGAAGTTACTCTTATCATTGCTCAATGTTTGCGGAAACTACCGGATTTGGAGAGGCTGCTTGGACGTGTTAAGGGTAGCATTCAGGCATCATCCTGTCTAATACTGCCCTTAATTGGCACAAAAATATTGAAACAGCGTGTAAGTAACCTGCACCATCCTGTAGTCCTCAAAATCTAAGCTTTCAGAATGTAATATTACTTTGAGAATGATGAATTCTGTAAATTCTAACATGTTGACCTCTTATGTAGGTGAAAGTATTTGGGACTTTGGTTAAAGGGCTACGTGTTGCTATAGATTTATTGTCATTGCTGCAGAATGAAGAGCAACTAAAATCATCTCTTAGTAAAGTTATCAGAACTCCTGAGCTCAAAGGTAGTTCTGGCCTTGGCAAGTTTCTGTCCCAATTTGAGGCCGCTGTGGATAGTGAGTTCCCCGATTACCAGGTGTGCTCCCCTTCAGTTTTAGGATTTCTCTTGGGAATTCGACAGCCTTTCTCTGGAACTATAACTTTTTCGTTGCTCAGGAACTTCCTATTATGTACTAAATTCGTACTTGTAGTTCTGAGTCTTGGTTCTATGTCCTGACATGTCATCGACTTAAAAATTTGGACAGAATCATCAAGTCACTGATGCAGGGGCAGAGACGCTTGCTGTCCTGGCCGAGTTGTTCATCGAGAAAGCTAGAGAATGGTCAGAAGTCATCCATGCCATCAATTGCATCGATGTACTCCGATCTTTTGCCTTGAAAGCAAGTACATCATTCGGGCCGATGTCTCGCCCCCTTATTTTGCCACGATCAGCAACAGCATTAGGCCAGGACACTGGGGGACCTGTACTGAAGATTAAAGGGCTGTGGCATCCTTTCGCTCTTGGAGAGACCGGACAACCTGTCCCAAATGATCTGTTTCTTGGGGAGGATCCGGTTGGCTTTCATCCTCGCACTTTGCTCTTGACAGGACCAAATATGGGCGGGAAATCAACACTTCTTCGATCCACATGTCTGGCTGTGATACTAGCACAGGTTCGTCTCATGTCCAGACTCAGCTTTTAGACTACTCTAAGGGTGGCAAAACGATTTTTGGTTTCAGTTTCACTGAAATCAAAACCCAATTTTCACCCCTACTCTTTGAAACTTTGGAGTGTTCAACAAGTAATCAAGCAAGCCCCTGCCATTCCTTAACGTCGTCTCTGCTATCCGCAGCTGGGTTGTTTCGTGCCAAGTGAGCAGTGCGAGCTCTCGCTGGTTGATGTAATCTTCACCCGGCTTGGTGCCACTGATCGAATCATGGCTGGCGAGAGTGAGTTCTCTGATTCTATTTAGCATAACACGTTTTTCCATTTCAACACTGTTCTGTGCAAATTATCTTACTGTTTTGTCTTCATTTTTTTGTTAAGGTACATTCCTGGTGGAGTGCTCAGAAACAGCTTCCATCCTCCACAGCGCAACTCAAGACTCTCTGGTCATTCTAGACGAACTAGGCCGCGGAACCAGCACTTTCGACGGATACGCCATCGCTTACGCCGTGAGTATTACCTTGCGGTACAAGGAAACTTTCTAGGTTTCTCCATCTTAAGTCCACCTTGCGTCTCATATCAATTTTTCCATCCTCTAGGTGCTCCGCCATCTCGTCGAAAAGGTGAACTGCCGACTGCTCTTCGCCACCCACTACCACCCTCTCACCAAGGAATTCGCCTCCCACCCCCACGTTTCCCTGCAACACATGGCCTGCGCTTTCAAATCGACAGACTCCGGAACCGGCAGCAAGCAGGACCTGGTCTTCCTCTACAAGCTGGCGGCCGGAGCATGCCCGGAGAGCTACGGGATGCAGGTGGCGCTCATGGCCGGGATCCCGGAAAGCGTGGTGCAAAACGCCGCCCGAGCTGCCCGCAGGATGCAGAAGTCGGTCGGAGAGAGCTTCAAGGCGAGCGAGCAGAGGTCGGAGTTCTCGACCCTGCACGAAGAATGGGTGCGGAGCCTGATGAGCGTGGATACTGCCAGAGATAGGAGCAATAGGATCGGGCTGGAGAATGGCGATGTCGATGACGACGTTCGTGACACGTTGATTTGCCTGTGGCACGAGGTCAGGAATGTCCCTGGCGGGCTCTGAGGAAAATGGTGGGTGTAGAAGCGAAGGCGGGAAGCAATGTTCTGGCTTTTTAAAGGGGCTGCTGACCATGGGAAGTTGGTTTTGGGATGTAAAAGAAAGCTTAAAAGTTAAAACCTTATCAATGGCGGTTTCCCCTTTCAGGAATCTCACTTGGCAAAATCTGGTCCAAACAAACAAAAAAAGAACAATGCTCCGTGTAATATGCAGCAGGAGAGGTGACCCAATTTTCCCGCCAATTACGAGTAACCTTTGACCACTCACTCTTAACAATTTCAATCCTGATCAGTTTAATCCGTTTTCCGAATATGGAAAGCAAAGACGATTCCTGTTCCCGCCACTGATTTCTCTCCACTTTCCCTCAGAATTCTCATCGGCCGATCACCGGAAACAGAAAATGGACGGGATGGAAGCGGAACCGCCGGCGAAGAATCGGAAGAGCAAGAAGAAGAGGATCGGGCTGGGGATCTCCTGCATGCTCAACACGGAGGTCGCCTCCGTCCTCGCCGTGCTCCGCCGCCCGCCGCCGGACCTCATGGCGGCACAATTCCTTTCCCAGGAGGAAAGCTACGACACCGCGCTCGTCCACACGTTCAAATCCCTCCGAACCCTGGTCTTCAACCCGCCGCAGGACTGGCAGACCATGGACCCGGCCGTCTACCTCACCCCGTTCCTCGACGTGATCCAGTCCGACGACATCCCCGCGGCGGCCACCACCATCGCCCTCTACTCCGTCCTCAAGATCCTCAACGTCGGGATCTTCGACGAGCGCACCACGGGGGCCCGCGACGCGATCAACTCCGTCGTGATGGGGATCACGGGCTGCCGCCTCGAGCGGACCGACCCGGTCTCCGAGGACGCCGTCATGATGCGGATCCTGCAGATCCTGACGGCGATCATGAGGCACCAGGCCGCCGTCCTGCTCACCGACCAGGCCGTCTGCACCGTCGTCAACGCCTGCTTCCAGGTCGTCCAGCAGTCCGCGAGCCGCGGCGACCTGCTGCAGCGGAGCGCTAGGTACACGATGCACGAATTGGTGCGGATGATCTTCGCCAAGCTGCAGGACATCGAGGTGAGCCCCGACCAGGAGTCGGAGACGGACATCGACGACGCCGATTTCGACGGGAACTTGGACTCCGGGTATGGGATCCGGTGCGCCGTGGATATCTTCCATTTCCTCTGCTCGTTGCTCAATGTCGTGGAAGTTGTGGAGAGCGAAGGGAATTTGTACAGGACTTCGGATGAGGATGTTCAGCTTTTCGCCCTGGTTCTGATCAATTCGGCGATCGAGCTGAGTGGAGACGCCATTGGCGATCATCCTAAGCTCCTAAGGATGATCCAGGACGATCTGTTCCATCATTTGGTTCATTATGGAACTTCTTCCAGTCCGCTCGTTTTGTCCATGATCTGCAGCACTGTATTGAACATTTACCATTTCCTTCGCAGGTCAGAAACACTGAACTCTGGCTTTCTCTAAATGAACAATTGTGTCACTAGCCAAACTATCTATTATGATTACATTTTCTCGTCCGAAACCAAATTAGTAATGCGAGAAATCGGGTACATCCTATGGTTCGATCATTCTAGTAATCAATTTCGTGTGGATTGTAACATAAGGTGAAATGAATTCTTCATTTCTTCTTGTCAATTCATTCAGGTGCATGAGTACATACGTTGATATGAAGGTTTTATGATCATTGATCTATGTGTAGATGCCTAATGTATGACGAAAAATCGATAACTATTTGACTAGTGGGAGTTGTTCCTCTCTTGGTGGGAATTGCAGGTTTGTTCGTCTGCAGTTGGAAGCCTTCTTCAAGTTCGTGCTACTACGAGTGGCATCAGCTGGAATCTCAACTCAGCTTCAGGAAGTGGCAATCGAAGGAATCATCGACTTCTGCAGGCAACCGACCTTCATCATCGAAGCATACGTGAACTACGACTGCGACCCACTCTGCATCAACGTGTTTGAGGAAACCGCGAAGCTGCTCTGCAAGCTCTCGTTCCCGGGGGCCAGCCCGTCCCCATCACTGCAAGCTCAAGCCTTCGAAGGTCTCGTCGGAATCATCCACAACATCGCGGAGAACATCAACCGAGAGGGCGATTCGACCCCTTCGGGTCCCTACCCGGTTCACCTGACGGAGTACAGCAAGTTCTGGATGGACAAGCCGCTCGACGGCAGCGAAGCTTCCATATCGTACCTCCGAACGAGGAAAGCTCAGAAGCGGAAGCTCCTGATCGCTGGAAACCATTACACTCGAGACGACAAGAAAGGGCTGGAGTATCTCCGGTTAAGCCTGATGTTCCCCGACCCACCGGACCCGAGAGATTACGCCTTCTTCTTCCGGTTCACCCCCGGGTTGGACAAGACCATGATCGGAGATTACCTTGGCGATCCTGATGAATTCCACATTCAAGTCCTGAAGGAGTTCACCTGTACATTTGAATTCTCCGGTATGATCCTCGACACCGCCCTACGTACTTACCTTGCCACGTTCCGGCTCCCCGGAGAGTCGCAGAAGATCCAGAGGATTCTCGAGGCCTTCTCTGAGCAATTCTACGAGCAGCAGCCTTCCGACATCTTCGCCGGAAAAGATGCGGTCTTTGTCCTCTGTTACTCTCTCATCATGCTCAACACCGACCAACACAACCATCAGGTTAAGAAGAAGATGACGGAGGAAGAGTTTATTCGGAACAACAGAGCAATCAACGCCGGCCAGGATCTGCCGAGGGAGTACTTGTCGGAGCTTTTCCAGTCCATCGCCAGCAAGGCGATCTCGCTCTTCGGTCAGACCGGTCAGCCGGAGATGAACCCGGGGTTATGGGTCGAGCTGATGGGCGCTTCTAAGTTGCTTCAACCTTTCCATCTCTGCGATTTCGACCGCCGGCTGGGGCGGGACATGTTCTCCTCCGTCGCCGGCCCGGCGGTGGCAGCTCTCACGGCTTTCTTCGAACAGTCCGAAGAGGACGAGATGTTCCACGAGTGCGTCGAGACGCTGATCTCCGTCGCCAGAATTTCTCAGTACGGGCTGGAAGACACGCTCGACGAGATGATTGCGTCGCTCTGCAAATGCTCGACTCTGCTGAACCCTTACGCCTCGTCGGAAGAGACTCTGTTCGCGTTCAGCCACGACCTGAAACCCAGAATGGCCGTGCTCGCAGTGTTCAGCATCGCGAACAATTTCGGCAGCGCGATTCACGGAGCGTGGAGGCCTATTTTGGACTGCCTGTTGAAGCTGAAGAAGCTCAAGCTTCTTCCACCATCGGTGATCGAGCTCGACAGCTCGTTCTCCGATTCGGAACAATCTCGAAACGACGGAAGCGGTGGCAGTGGCGGAGGAGTAATTTTCCCTTCTTCCTCTCAAGATCAGAGATCGCGGCAGCAGAGCTCCACCTCCATGATCAGCAAATTCACGCACTTTCTCTCCCTAGACAGCATGGAGGAATCATTACAACTCGGGCTGAACGAATTCGAGCAGAACCAGAAGGTAATCAAGCAATGCCAAATCGGGAGCATTTTTACAAACAGCTGGAACTTGTCCGACGAGACTCTGCTCTACCTCGGCCGCTCTCTAATCTTCGCCTCTGCCGGGAAAGGTCAGAAATTCGCTACTCCGGTCGAGGAGGAAGAAACCATCGAGTTCTGCTGGGATCTAATCGCTGCCCTCTCCTTCGCCAACATCAACAGATTGCAAAACTTCTGGCCAGCATACCACGAAAATCTGCTCGAAGTGATTCACTTCCCTCTGTTTTCACCAATCCCATTTGCAGAGAAGGTGATCATCGCCCTCTTCAGAATCTGCCTGAAGCTCCTATCCTCGGCGAGAATCGACAAGCTCCCAGAAGAGCTCATCTTCAAGTCCATCAACCTGATGTGGACGATCGACAAGCAGATTCTGGACACGTGTTGCGAATCGATCACCAAGTCGGTCAGCAAGATTCTGTTCGAGTACCCAGCCAACTTACAGAGCTTTCTGGGCTGGAAGTCGGTGCTGCATTTGTTATCGATCTCTGGTCGCCATCTGGAGACGTACGATCAGGGGGTCGAGACGTTGATCATGTTGATCTCCGACAAAACCCATGTGTCCAGGACGAATTATGCATTCTGCATCGACTGTGCATTTGGATTCGTCGCCCTGAAGAACAGCCCCCTGGAGAAAAACGTGAAGATTCTCGACCTGTTAGCCGAATCAGTCACGTTGTTAATAGACTGGTACAAGAACTACTCTGACCCGGGCAGTAGCGCGAATTTCAGCACAGCAAGCACGGGGAGCAACCCCGATATCAGCCCATCCACATTCTCGATCAACCTGTTCATAAAGCTGGGAGAGGCGTTCAGGAAAACCAGCCTGGCTCGACGGGAGGAGATAAGGAACCATGCCATCAAGTCTCTGCAGAAGAGCTTCGAGCTGGCCCAGGAGCTGGACTTTTCGCCTGCCAACTGCTTGAACTGTTTCAACCTCGTGGTGTTTGCGATGGTGGACGACTTGCACGAGAAGATGATCGAGTACTCGAGGCGGGAAGGGGCGGAGAGGGAAGTGAGGAGCATGGAAGGGACGTTGATGCTGGCGATGGAGCTCCTGACCGATGTCTATCTGCAGTTTCTGAAGCAGATTGCGGCGAGCCCCGGGTTCAGGACCTTCTGGCTGGGTGTGTTGAGGAGGATGGATACTTGTATGAAGGCTGATCTTGGGGTGTATGGGGAGACCAAGCTGCAGGAGGTGATTCCAGGGTTCTTGAAGAAGATGATTACGAGGATGAAAGGAGATGAGGTTTTGGTTCAGAAGGAAGATGATGATCTGTTTGAGATTACCTATATTCAGATACAGTGGATTGCCCCTTCTCTCAAGGAGGAATTGTTTCCTGAGTTGGAGATTTAGAGGGCCAGTTTTTATTGTGGTTTTTAGGTAGGAAATTTTGGCCAATTCTTTTGTTCATCTGTGTAATTTATTGAGCAAAAATAGATATGAGTTGTGGTACTAGTTTGGCTAACTGGAATGAGCGTGTATACAATCAACTAGCGACGTTTGGATCCAATGTGGTCAAATTCAAATGGATATGTATCTAATTGAAAAGTGAAATGAATGTAATGCGATCGAATGAATTTTTTTTTATCTGATTACAATCCTCCTAATTTTTTTTTATCTGAATTGAATTGTTTTCAGAATTCTTGCTCTTCTTCACACAAGGATGTCCAGAAGAAGAGGACCAAACCATAGCCTCAACACAACCCAAGTATCGAAAGAATCCATTAGAGGCTTGCTTCTACATCCAACTTGCTTCCACTCCATCTCTGTCTTCCTCTTCTCCCCTCTCTCAATCTCCACTACTTGACACCCTTCATCGATCACCTGCTTCGAGGCTATGTACCTCCTCCCCTGCTACTCGAGCTCCTCTTGAAGATGTCTCTTCGTGTCGTTATCTGCTTCCCATCGCCGCCCAACACCTTCTTGCCCCTGGGGAAAGCAGCAACAATTCACGTCGTTTCCAACAGTCACTATGGAGCCATTCTAGACATGAAGTGGGATTCGAAGTAGAGCGGTTTGGATGAGGCTTCTCCGCACGAGTGTATGCAAATTCCTTTTCAGTCAGTGTCTCTCTGGAGGTTTTTGCAGTTAGCTTGCCAACAATACCAATCGTACTAGCTGCATGCGGTTTACTTATGTTCACACATCATGGAATTTCTAATAGTTCTGGCGCTCCTTGGGTCCCCATTTTGTCTAGGGTTTGCACATCTAATTGGTTTTAGGTAATCTGGCCAAGGTTGTGGGCTTGTGGCTGCCCTATGACCAGATTTTAGGGGGTTTATGGCCTTGGTTGAGGGCCAAATGCTCTAGCAGCCAAGAGGCGGCAGACAGCATTGGCAATGAGCTTGTTGGGGAATAAAGGGTTTACAGTAGTGGAGCTTTTGTTTGAGGCTTTAAGCTCAGAATGCAAAGAGGGTTCAGTTTTGGTAAGTCTCTTTGTTGGTTTCTATCATTCTATGTATTGTTTTTATCTTTCATGCTGGTTTTCAACACAGGGATGAATGTTGTGTTCTACCTTGCATGTAAATTCTAGGCATGTCAGTACTGAGACAATGAAGTCTGGTCCTTTCACTGCAATTTGAAAACAATTCTAGTCCTTTTTATGTTCTGAAAGCCTATGATCATGATTCCATGTGGGCTTTTAGACTGCAAATCATTAGTAATTCGATACATGCACAACAAATAACATTGAAACAGGGCTCGTGAGAAGTACAAAAAATGATACAAAGAGCAGCGGCAGAAGAGTTAAATTTAGCTATTTTCGGATGGTCATTGCAGAACTTCCAATCAAATCAAGAGCGTGGAAAACCATGCAATCTCCATACCTCTGATCGAATACATGGTACAGCCTGCCTACCTGTGTTTGCTTCTCTAGGATTGAGGTACTTGTTGGCATTGCTGGGTAGAAGAGCATGTTTTTTCTTCAAAAGACTGCCAGTTCAGGACTCCGCTGCATCTCTATCGACCATCCACAGTCGGAAGGCGAACACCCTTGGATTGCCCTGTTTAGTAGCAAATGCAATATGAGCTACAACGTTATTCAGAAAGTCGTTGAAAGAATATGATGGACCAAACAAACCCATTCACAAGGTTGCAAGGTTGTAATCACTTCATTACACCGACTAATAGCACATTATATACCACCAGAATGTAGGTCCTAAAGCCTGGGTACTGGTTAAAGTGGTTTTATTATGAAGGTTGCTAAAGATCAAATCTCCACAGAAAACTGCAGTTGCTTGCAATTACTAACGCACATATCAGGATCAAATCTTCAGAGCAAGAGAATGTGGGTATTTATGGATTAAATGTAAGACAGTCATTATCGAACACACAGAGTGTCAATTATCGAACAGCTGGGGCCTGGGAACACTGTTAGCACAACTTAAGAAAGTTATAAGGTAATAGGAAGTATTCATACATCAAGCTGGATTTTATGAATGCAGTTGACACCAGTTTCATACTCGAGTACAGTTAACAACCGACAGTCCAACAAGCATTCAAGTCTCAACTGGATTTTTAATTTAAACAATCAAGCTCCATCATCTATGTTGATAAAAGCTTGCTGCTCAACCAATGTGTTTCATACCAGTTCTCGCGTTTTCTATGTTCCTTTCAGTTCCTAACTATGATCTTCACATCATATTGCACAGACTCATGTCAATTAACCACCTCCAGTGGCAAAATCAATATTCTTTCATTAATTTAAAATGAACACGAATTTCATCACTGCATAAGAATATCACAAAAAACTGCAACGAGAAGCTCTTCCTCCAATATAAGAGCCACAAGCATCTCCAGATTTCTCAGCAATAAAGTCTAAAACTAGGTGCAATTATACAACATTCTCAACAGCCATAACCAGTAATATTACTCACATTATTCGCTGACATTCACACCCGAATCATTGCCGCCACTGTCAGTGTCCCCTTCCGTCTCCACCCCATCTTCATTGTCACCACCACCACCATCACGATCAGAACCCGTATCACTATCCTCATCATCATCATCATCTTCCTCCTCTTCTTCCCTTTCTCTGATTTTAGCAATCTCACTTTGAGCCCTCTCCAAGATTTGCTTCTTCTGCAACTCCAATTCCCTCTGGAAATCAACCCGCATTCTCTCCAATTCCAACATCTGCTCCCTCTTACTGCTCTCTATCTTCTCATATATCTCACCAAACTTATGAACCGAATCCGCCAACACAGTCAGACCTTTGAACATATCACCACTAAGCTCCCCCGCATCCTCTTCTTCCTCATCATCTTCATCTTCCTCGTCGGATTCACACGGACTATCCCTCATCTCATCATTCATGTTGGCACGTTCCAAATACACTCCAGTATCCGTAAAAACATACTGCCCTGAATCCACACCACAAGACAAACTAAACCCACCACTACTACTCCCTACATGTCCATTCTCTTGCCTCATCAGCATATCCATCTTCCTATAAAACGCCCATTTAGAATTCAACCCACCTTTGCCCTTCTCCTTCCTGTACCTCCTCTTCAGAGAATCCATCATCTGCCTGCACTGGGCTTCATTCCTTTGGATCTTCAGCGCCTCGGACACTTTCGCGGCGACCTCGGTCCAGTCCGCGGACCTCAAGCTGTTCCTGCCCAACTGCAGAAACCTCTCCCCCCAAACCTCCAAAAGAACGAACTTTTCCTGCTCGCTCCACCCTTCCACCGCGAAATCGGCTTCCCCGTGGTTGTGAATGCTCGTCGTCCTCGGGGCCCGCGCCACGAATTCGTAATTGGGGACCGACTTCTTGAGCTTCTGCCTCTTGGGGTACCTCCCGTACTCCTCGTTCTGCTCGAAATCGTTGGCGTCGTCGTCGGAGTACGCGACGCCGTTCTCGTCTTCGAAATCGTCGTCCTCCTCGTCCTCGACGTAATCCCGGCGGTTGTAGTAAGTGGCTGCCGGACGGTGGGAGTATAAAGGCGACTTCTTTGCTCGATTGTGGGGGTATGCTTTCGGTGGATACCTAGCATCATCTTCGGTATCGTCCATGGCTAAAAAAAAAAAAAATTCAACTCAAGCGAAAGAGCCGATCACCAATCGAATTGGGAAGAGTAATTTTTTCTATAGTGGTGGAATTTCGGTGGAGCTAAATGGAGAAGGAATCCCCCAAAATTTCTAGGGTTTATCAGAAGCTGGAGAGAAAGAGAATGGATTTTGCTTGAGACTTGAGAGAGAGAGAGAACGAAGAGAGTGCGCCAGGTGCACGCGCACCGGTAGATTCGTTTTCTTTCTTTTTTTCCTTATTCCCTTTCGTCGAAGTTTGCAAGATGGGCCAATCGTTTTTAATTGGGCCGACTGGCCCATACAGTGAAAGCACGAAAAGTCCATGTGCAATAATAGCCCAACGCGGCCTCTCGCTCGTATCGTAGCCCAGGCCCCAGTGTGCAAAGCAGGAAAAACTCGAAATAAAAAAAAAAAAACAATTGGCCCATACAGGTCTCGAACCTGTGACCTTCGCGTTATTAGCACGACGCTCTAACCAGCTGAGCTAATAGGCCAGTTGATATAATTTTTCACTTTAATAAATTCAACTTAACCATCATCATAACTTTATGCTAACAAACGTGATATCTCTCCCTGTCCCATCTCTGCACGAGGAGACATTGAATACGACAGAGAGAAAAGCTATTAAACGCTTGAATAGGCAAGGGAGTGATATATTGATGAAGTGGATGCGATGGTGATGGGAAAAAACAGCGGTGGCGGCGCGTGAATGCAATTACGTACATCTCTTTTTCCCCAATTCCTTTGCAAGTAGTATATAGGTCACGGAGAACGGGACGTGAATCGATCTGGATATCTGTCGTCGTTACTGCTTTGCATGTGTTACACTATCTACTCTGCATGCATGCAACTTGCAGAAAATAGCCCTTTCCGTTGAAACCGTTTTTGCGCTAAAAAGAACGAGATTGATTAATTGGCGTGGCATGCTAGCTGCAAAAGCCAGCCAAGTTGCATACGCCATTAGTAGGGCAACAGCTAGGTATATATGTGGCTTACTATAAATAGGGATAATGGGCTGAATTGAGAGAATGTGTGTAGCTAGAGAGAGAGAGAGAGAGAGAGAGAGAGAGAGAGAGAGAGAGAGAGAGAGAAAATTCATAGTAAGAAATAAGAATGGTGATGGCGGGGAGTGGTGTAGTGAGGTTGAGTTGGGGACTGAGCTGGCTGTTGGTGGCTTTGCTGGGGAGTTGCGGCGGTGGTGGTGTGGTTGAGGGCAGGAAGTTGTTGATGGTTCAACAACGTGAGGATGCAGGTTATGATCTTAAGCAACCTGATTGTGTTGGCAAAGGTGGTGGTGAAGGACACCACCTCAAAAAGAAGAAGAAGAAGGAGCATCCTATTAATTATAAGGGACATCACGGTGGTGGCGGCCATGGGTTTGGCAAAGGAATTGGCGGTGGTGGCCACCACGGAGGAGGAGTTGGTGGAGGAATTGGAAAAGGTGGTGGTGTTGGTGGAGGCATAGGCGGCGGCGGTGGCGGCGGTGTTGGTGGAGGAGTAGGAGGTGGTGCTGGTGGAGGGGTAGGCGGAGGAGCCGGTGGAGGCCTAGGCGGAGGCGGTGGCGCCGGTGGAGGGATAGGCGGAGGTGGTGGTGGGATAGGCGGCGGCGGCGGTGCTGGTGGGGGCATAGGCGGTGGCGGTGGAGCTGGTGGCGGTGTAGGTGGTGGAGCCGGCGGAGGGATAGGAGGCGGTGGTGGTGGAGGCTTGGGTGGCGGTGTAGGTGGTGGAGGAGGGATTGGTGGCGGAGGCGGAGCTGGTGGAGGGTTTGGGGGAGGAGTTGGTGGCGGAGCAGGTGGTGGGATAGGGGGCGGTGGAGGAGCCGGAGGAGGGATTGGTGGCGGAGGCGGAGCTGGTGGAGGGTTTGGGGGAGGAGTTGGTGGCGGAGCTGGTGGTGGGATAGGGGGCGGTGGAGGAGCCGGAGGTGGTGGTTTTGGAGGAGGGTTTGGTGGCGGAGCTGGGGGAGGATTCGGCGGAGGCATAGGTGGCGGCGGCGGCGGCGGAGGGGAGGTCCCAATTGGGGGATAATCTCAACATAAATGCACTCAAGTGATTCGTCATTTGCTTTCCAATTTCCCTAATTACTCTTGTAATTCATTCCTATTGTATTTGTGATTTTATTACCTTCCAACTTCTCACCCCAATAATTCTCACCATCTGCAATCTCTGTAAGTTCTTTGTAACGTTAATAATGGAAAATTTCCTGTAAGACATGCATTCAAAAATTAATTATATTTAAATGTCCTTTTTCCTAATGTTTATTAAAACCGTCGTACCAAATCAATCGATAGATCGTGTTATTGGCATTATGTACTAGCGTTCAATTAATGACAATTTAGTACTGTTGTATAACTACAGGTTTTTTTTTTTGGTTGTTGACTCTAAAATTAAAACTTATAATGTGACGGATGTTCTCATTCACATTGACACTAGACCAACACATTAGCGTCATGGTATTGGTGTGGTCAATCCAATTTCAATCTATAACAATTCTATTATGTACCTCATAATGTTTTAAACTAGAAGAAGTCTCACCAATTTAATCTCTTATACAATATAACAATCTGTTTACACCCTTTGTATTTCTTTTTATTCTTAAACTAATCATAAATCAAACACTTGAAGTCTTGAACAAAAATTCCCAATGTTTTTTTTTATATTCCTCAATTACTACAAAAATACAATTTATTTTTAATATTCCAACTTCTCCAAAATCCCTATAATAATTGTCTACAAAATTGAAGTGTACAATATTTTGTACTAGCAAGGGTTTCAATTCCTCCATGACGAAGACACATCAGACACAGCTTCTCCAATGGTCAAATAAAGCCCTCTTGCGTCAAACGTTGCAAGAAACTTGGAATTCTGAAGCCTCTCCATAACAATTGCCACCGGATTCACCAGCACAAGCTACATTAGAAGAAAAAAAAATTCAAATTTTGGTCAATCTTTTTTCTTGAAACCCCAATAAATCACGTTGTTATTAGATAAATTGTTCTAGGAGATGTGTCCATGTTAATTACATGGAGTAAACTTCTGTCCATGGTTCTCTTCAACTGGTACAACATCTCGATCCCACTGCTGTCTATGTTCGTTACCGCTACAAAATCCACAAAACAATCTTTAAGTACTCATAATATTTTCAAAATTAGCTCGTCGATCGATTAATCTGTATTTTTCAAAACAGTTTGTACCGGTAATGTCCAGAATGACACACTTCAGGATGGCATCTCCGGTCTCCTGAATCCTCTGTTCCTCCTCCCTTATCCACCTGATTATCCTGGAGGAAAATTTTTATTTAGTTGACCCGTAAGTAAATTAGCTCAATCGATCAGAATGTCGCGCTGATAATTAACAAGAAGGTCATCATATGTTACGTACCTTTCTTGGAGGTACATGGAATTCGCGAAGTAGATCGGAGACTCGATGGTGAGAATCAGGAAAGCCGGAACCCGACGCGCGTTGTTGTAACACGAGAGGTTGCGGTAGATTCGAGTCCCCGGAATGTTGCCCAGCTCCGACGTGAATGGCCTGGAAACGTTGAGGATGATCTTCAAAAGTGAAATTCCAACCTGATTGACGATGGAAAACATTTCAAACATCAGTAATTATATGAGCCTTGATGAAGAAATCAAAGAAGAAGATATGAGCGTATACACATACGGCGATTGCAAGGCCGATGGGGACAGAGATGAAGAGCACGCCGAAAAAAGAGCACATCGAGATGAGGAAATCGAGCTTGTCGAGCTTCCACAGATTATAGGCGGCTTTCACGTCGATGAAGCCGATGACGGCGGAGGTGATGATGGCGGCGAGGACGGCGTTGGGAGTGTAGTAGAACAAGGGCATGAGGAACAGTAGGGTTATGAGGATGGCGAGTGCCATGACGACGTTGGAGAATGCGGTTTTGGCTCCGGCGTTGTAGTTCACCGCCGACCGAGCAAATCCACCTTGTTGGAAAGAATTAAGGAGGAAAAAAAAAAAAAACAACCACAGTTTTTGTTACAAACTCAATCGAGTTATTGGGAGAGAGGTCGAGTATAAAAAGTGAATCTTGTAGCCTCTTCATAAAAAAAGTCATTTCATGAATTGAAGTTTTATCCAAAATTATCATATAGTTTACATAATATGTCAAAAACATGCGTTATTGCTTAATATCTCGAATTGTAAAACGTAGCGATGATAATGAGTTGGCTTGGGTTGCTGACTTTATTTTAATCCGAATTCAAACCAACTGGTGCATTCATTAGGGGGGAAAACCCGATAAAATACTCGTTGGATTTTAGAAGTGAAAACTCAATCCAACACAACCCATGGGTGCATGGGTATTCGGGACTTCACGAACATAACAATATATTATTTTTTCTAGCACCAAAATCTTAATGTTATGAATTTTTTCCTACAAATGCTAATAACATTCATAAATTGTTCATATTGTTCTTATTAGATACAATATGATGTTTTGGTTTATGTGTGCGGGTCAGGTGGAAGGGGGTTGGGTTTTGGCAAAATACATACCCAAGTCATTTTCAAAAAAGTGAGTAGAACCTATACATAACTTAAAACGCGTCAACATTGGGTGTTACCTACTTTGACCGGACAAAATTCAAACCCAAGTCAATTTCAAAACTGAGTAAAACCTACACCTGACTCAAAACCTGTCTGACACTGAATTTAACCCGCTTTGACTGGGTTATATATTGGGTTCGGATTTAACTATCATCCCTAGTTAAAAGAGGTTCATAAACGCACCTGATACGACGTAACAAGAACATAGGCAGCCACAAACGTTCATGGCACCAATTGCTATCATCTCCTTGTTGCCATCAATTTGGTAGTTGTTCATGCTGGCACATGTTCTTCCCACTGCAATTCCTTCCTGCAGAATACGCCTTCAAGCTTCTTGCAAGCCATATATATACAGTAAACCCTAGACACAAGAAAGCTTTAGTTTCCATATGTTACTCACGGTGAGGGAGAGAACTCCAGCCAAGATGCCAGTTTTAATGGCGAGAGAGAGGTAAGGCCCATGGAAGTACAGCTGATGCAATGAAGATGGGTTCACTCCTTCAGGCAGCTTCCCTATCTGTTCAGACAACGATTGAAACAGTTTTTTAGGGTTTAATCCATCAGAGAGAAACAGAGTACTCTGTACTTTTCATGCTTACTGTGGCGACTTTATGGAGCTTTGATCTGAGAATGAAGACGACGAGAGTTGAGATGATGACTGAAGTTAATGGAGCTAGTGCAGATACCCAGAAGAGCTTTGGCTTCTTTGCACTCTATAACATGCCAACCCCCAACATTAGTTGTTTATTTTAAGGTATAAGTGAAATTAATTTAAGTGGCTAATGATAGTTTGAATGATCACTTACAACTTGTCTTGCAACCAATAGGAGTGCTAAGAAAGAAAGACATATCACCACTGCCTGCCATGTCCACTGCATTCAATGAATATTCTTTTTATTAGATAATTCGTTCGTGGATGGTAATTTCAGCCCGTCCCGTTTGAGTATTACGTCAGACCCAATCAATACTGGGACATGGGTATCATCTGATCCGTAGTAATGTGAAGCAGGACATGGATTTTATTATTCTCAACATGCTTCATCTCATCTCGTTGCGCCTGCTTCATTTTTCACCCGCTAAATCTCAATTTTCTTCGATATGCATTTGTATTTATACTATTTTGATTTTTCTTCAATCATATTTTCATGAAACTTTGATTTTTCAATTATTTAAACTCAATTACTCATTATTATACTATCATTATTTTTTCATACGAGAAGTGTTTTCCCTTACGAGAATAGGTCGCGACCTGCCTCGACTTGTACCACTACCTACGAGTATTACTGGGTTTGACCCGCTTTTGATACAGAGCGGGACTTGAAATTGAGATACTCGATCGATATTACTCAACCTGACCCATACTTAGTACTACAAAATGTATATGATGATCACCTCTTTTTCCTCGTGAATCACGGATTTCAAAACAGGGATGATCTGCATCTCCTTGGTGAAATGTGTGATCCCAAAGAGCCCCTTGAGCTGCTGGAGGATCACAATGACTGCCGCTCCAGCCATGAACCCAGTCAAGGTTGCCTTTGACAGAAAATCGATGATGAAACCCAGCCTGATGATTAAGGAACAATCAGCCAGGAAAAGAACATATGCATCAACCCTTAATTACCAAAACCCCTTGTTTCTTAAGCATCATTAATCAATCATGCAAAGGAGTAGTTAATAATATTAGCTAGTGAATTAGACAATTAGCTTACCTGAATATACCTAAACCAGTTTGGAGCAAACCGGCAAAAAGGGTCGTGGTGAAAGCCAGGCTTACATACAGCTCGGTTTGTGTTTCAGGGGAGACCGATTGGCTCAGCTCTGAACCTATGATCAGAGATGCTACAGAGACTGGACCGATCCCCAGGTGTCTGGAGCTTCCGAGGACAGCATAGATCATTGGTGGCACAAAGCTTGAATCTGTCCCAAACGAAGAGAATTTTAGAGGCTAAAACATTGATTTAAGGGGGATTTAAATGGGAAATGCTAGAGTGAGAAACTCACATAGTCCAATTATTGGTGGGAGGTTTGCAAGTTTGGCATAACTGATACCCTACAAAAAGATATGCAGCAAAACAAGGGTTAAAAGACTATTTCATGGGCTTTGAAATTTTTGCCTCACTATATTGTGTGCTTTAAATCAACTACTATTAATATTTAGAGTTGAACACGTGACCTCAAGACCAAACTAACTCTGCTATCGTATCACAAATTAATTGGTTACAACAACTCGAGTTGTTAGGGAAAGTCCATGAGTGGATCTTAACTACATTCTTACATGGACCCGTAAATGAAAATAAATACGGACTTGAAGTTTATATAGGGTCTGAATATCATGTACTTAACAAAAGAGGGTCGTCAACACAAGATCTCTTAGTTATCGAAGGCTTTGATAGTATCTCATAACCCGTTTTGATCCCAATAACTTGGGTTACTCGGAGGCAGTAGCGGACCGATGGGTGTTTAGGGGTGTGAGGTCACACCTAAAATTTGGAATAAAAAAAATATTGACCCCTCGATAGTAGTTTGAGTTTAGGGTAGATGTTGATTCATGATCGTTTGAGAATGCTCGAGACAACCCTAAAATTCATGTAGAAATTATTGATCCTCTAATAGTAGCTTGGTTTGCAGGGGGGAAAAAGAGTAGATAGTGGCCTTTGTGATTTGATCCAAAAAACAACAATTATTAGAGTAAGTATTATACATTACACTACAAACCAATAATTTACTGTTGTATTTAAAAATAAATCCAATTATTATCTAAAACAAAGTTCAATTAGACCGAATATTATATTATTAATTTGTATGATAACTTGTCGCAGCCCAAAAAATGAGTTTGTTGCTTTTGACAAGGAGAAGCTAAAAAGGCTTATTCGATTTTACGTGACCGAGTTTGATCACTTTTCTAACTCTTTTTTATTTTAACACTTTGAGACTTCTTATCAAGAACAAGTTTCGAAATTGAATAAACAATCAGTTCGTGAATTATGGTTGACCAGGGGAAATCACGTTAAATCGAACGAACCTGAGGGATGGCCAAGCTCGCAATGGTGAGCCCGGCGATGAGATCGGACCGAAACACATCGAAATCGTAAGTCCTCAACCAGCCGATGATCGGGAAAACATACTGCACCGCCTCCACGAACTTCGTAGCAGGACTCTGGTTCCTCTTCCTGAAAACATGGAAAGGATCCTCCGGGAAAAAAATCTCATTCAGCCTCCCCTTCAGCTTATCCCACATCGAAACGTGCGGCGGGTGGCACACTTCATGTATCTCCTCGACGGCACGATCATCAATGACATTGATACCATCATCACCGCCGCCGCCGCCGCCCTTCTTCCCACCGCCGCCCGGCGGCGGCCTCAGGGGAGGAGGCGACGGGTGGTTGTGGGATCCGAGGAAGGACCCGTTGTTGGAGATTGTGATGGCATGGTGGGCCTCCGGGAAAGGCGGAGGCGGGGAGCGTGACGATAGCGGGAGTGGGATTGGGCCTTCGGGGATTATGGGCTGGTTTGTTGGGCTTGGGCCGACGGCGGCGCGTGGGGTGCCGTCGATGGAGAGGCGGAGTGGGGTGTAGAAATCGATGGAGGCGATGGAGCTTTGTGGCTGGTGGTGCTGCTCGTCGAGGTGTTTCTCCGGCGGTGGTGTGTTGACCATTTTTGAATTTGGGGAGAATGGAAAGGAGGAAGAGGAGGAGGAGAAATGGTTTGCAATGGATGCGTGGGGGATGGGGAGGCATATATTGGCGGTGTGTGGGAGAATTGTTTGTAGAGAGGAAATGGCGGGAGGATGGTTAGTTTCCAAATTTAGTGAGAGGAAAGTGGTGGCGGGTATGATTTGAACATGTGAATTTTTTTTATGTCGGATAAGTTTAGACATCGAACAACTCAAATACGATACGAATGAGAATCGATATTTTATTTTGGTGGATCATATTGGCGGATTTCAAGAAACAAGTAGTGGTGAAATTGTTAGCAAGAGAAATTGAGGGGTTGGTCGAGTGTACCGATTATACTAATAAATAGATCAATAGATTTACGATTTTTTTAACGAATTTGCTAATGAAGTTTGAGCTAGCTTACTAGTGAAACAAGTCGTTTTCGTCGTTATCTGACCCTTGGTCCACTCGACACGTGTTCAGTGATTTCGATATATTGATGATCAATGATATTGGGCTGGCCACCAGTCCAATCATTCATGAAGGACATGCTCAAAAAATGATAATCGATCCCCACTAAGAAGAACCAATAAAAGACAATTCACATAAACATTATCGACATTAAGAGAATAAAAGGATAGATTCCCATCAAGAAGAAGAAGAGAGGGAAGATTAGGGAGTTAGAAGGCCATGGAGGACCGATGATTGTGTTCTATATAGGGTCGTCAATTCGGTTTCGACTTTTTGTTTAAATCAAACCGAACCGATAAGGTTCTCTTATTGGTTTTTCTATCCATGCCAAATTGTTTTTTACGTATTGGTTTTGATTTGATTAAAATCGGAAAAAATCGATAAGAATTGAAAACCACAACCCTAGCACACAAGCATCCATTACACAATCAATTTGGTTTCCTGTTCCTCGAAACCAAACCAATCATTAAGAGAAAGAATTGTTTCGGTTAAGCGAAATCTTTAAATCTCTTAACAGTTCGGTTTCAATAGAATGACTTGTTTCGCTTTTTTAGTTCGTTTTAATTAAATCGAACCAATATCCCACCCATAGTTTACCTATCCTTCAGCATGATTGAACAACACATGGAATTCGATGAGAAGTCTCATAAATTGAATGCTACTTCCCTTTCCACCAAACGTTTGGTGGTGTATTCACTGCACATTTATATAGCTAGAGTCCCTAGTGTTCTGAGTTCTTTCCCTTTCCCTTCAGTTTGTTCAACAAGACCCATGGCTGCCAAAACAAAGCCCACCCACTTCCATGACAGGCCTGTTGCTTCGAGTCTGGGCGTGGCCCAATAAGGACTCCCGAAAGAAAAGCGATCTACTCAAACTGCTGCAAGTCCACTCCATTTCCATGCCTCCCGTCTAATTTTCCTTCTACTCTACGCTGTTCGTGAGGAGAGCGGGCAAACTAACAGCACAGATCTCGTCACTGTTCAGCCTGCGTTCCTTCCCCTCCTCGATCACTCTAAATCCTCTCTTCTTCTGCTGCTTCTTCTTCTGCTCCTTCAACGCTTGGTCTCCTCGATTCGATCAATCAGCTTCGTGGATCAAGTCTCTAGTCTTCGCCGCAGCGAAAATGGTGAGAGTTTTCCCTCCCAATTCAATCTGGCAGTAGATCTGATGTCTCCACGCTGTACATTGCTCTTCTTGTTCTTCGCATATCCGCTGTTTGCTTGCCGAGAAACTGAGGGGGAAACTCTTCGTCGAGCTGTGATTTCCGATATCTGTACTGCTTTTTGAAAACCGTTTTTTTTTCGGCGGCGGAGTGAGCGTAATTGTTTGGTGCAATATCAGAAATGGAAAGCAAATCTCGAGTTTGTGATGTAGAAGGATTTACACTTGGTTGTTCCTTTTTGATTCGATTGTTTGAAGTCTCAGTCGTAATGGTGCTTGGTTGAGTTAGATCAGCTAGGAGTTTTGGAGTTGCTTTCAGTTCAGTTCTTAACTGCGAGCTAATGCGTTTTTTTTTTGTTTGTTTGTTTGTTTGCTTCCTTGATTTCGCAATTGCAGCCTGTGAAACTTGATATCAAGGTAATTCATCTTCTGAATTTCGGAACCTCTATCTTCTTTGTTTGGTCTCCATGCTTAATTGTGCTAATTGGTAATGAATCATCAGAAAAAGTTCCTGCAAAGGAGCGAGAGGGTCAAGTCTGTAGATCTGCACCCGACTGAGCCATGGTAATTTCAATCTTTGGCTCTCCTGATTTTTTTGCGTGTGATTGACATTGACGAATCCTCGAGAAGTCTGTTTTCTGACTAGCTGATTGGTCTGGCGTTGTGGCAGGATTCTTGGCGGTCTTTATTCCGGGACGGTTTACATATGGAATTACCAGACTCAGGTTAGGGGCACTTTGAAATTGATCTTGCTGTTAACGTTTTGCCTTCTCTTCGCTATGCCGCATTGTATATTACATGGTGGTTTGATGGCTAAATTGCACGGTTGGTTTTGTCTACCGGGTTCTTTTTCTGCTCAAGCTCGTAAGTTTTTGTTCAAACGAACCACAGTTGTAGGTTGATAGCGTGATTTTCAATAGCTTAGTCAGTTTTACTCTGATAAAAATGATTGGCCGGTGTAAATAGTGAATGGCAGAAAAAGAAGGGAGAAAGATAGGTATATTCCAGAGTTAAAAATTACAGATGGTTCTGCTATTAGTAAAGTATAGTTTGCCTCTTGTTGAGTTTGTCAACCAGGGATACAGCCACTGATCTTAGGTTACGCATCACCATGTCGATGTTTGATTATTCTGTTTGTTCATATAATTCAATACTTTAGAGAAAAACCAACTCTTTTTCTCTGAATTCTTCAGACCATGTCAAAGTCATTCGAGGTTACGGATTTACCAGGTGTGTGTATTGCCTTGACGTTTCCTCTGTCTAAATTCTCATGTTGTGGATATAAGTACCATTTTGACATTTAAATAATGTGATATTGCAGTGCGGTCTTCAAAATTTATCGCACGCAAACAGTGGGTTGTTGCGGGAGCTGATGACATGTGTATTCGTGTGTATAACTATAACACAATGGACAAGGTTAAGGAGTTTGAAGCTCATACCGACTATATCAGAAGTCTTGCTGTCCATCCGACGTTGCCATATGTTTTGTCCGCATCCGATGACATGCTTATTAAACTTTGGGACTGGGAAAGGGGTTGGATGTGCACTCAGATATTTGAAGGACATTCACATTATGTTATGCAAGTAACATTTAATCCCAAGGATACCAATACTTTTGCCAGTGCATCGCTTGATCACACCGTAAAGGTTCGGCAGAAGAGGCAGTTAACTTATGTGTTTTTTCAGACACTGGGGAAGCTTTGCAGAGATGTTAGCGTTGACGTGAGAATATTTTTGGAGTTTGCAGATTTGGAACATTCGGTCTCCTGACCCAAACTTCACTTTGGAAGCCCATTCAAAGGGAGTAAATTGTGTTGATTATTTCACTGGTGGGGATAAGCCTTATTTGATTACCGGTTCAGATGATCAAACAGCTAAGGTTTACTTGCTTATATCCCTTTCTTCTATATCTCCGTTTAATGTGTGGTTGGATTTATCTTGTTCATCTACTTAAGGTGGAGATATGTGCTTGTCCTTATAATAGGTGTGGGACTACCAAACAAAAAGCTGCGTGCAGACACTTGAGGGGCACACCCACAATATTTCTGCAGTATGCTTCCATCCTGAAATGCCTATTATATTCACTGCTTCTGAGGATGGTACGGTGAGGATATGGCATGCCACTACTTACAGGTACTTTCATGTCCTGGTCAGTAACTTAATTAAAAAGATAAACAAGTTGTGGTTGTTGCAAGTGCCATTTGCCTAAATTTATGGTGTACCTGAATTGAATTAGACCCATGGAATTGCATGTACTTTTCTGCGAGTTACCTGTCTCTTGTGGATGAAAGTTAGGTGGCAAAGTTACTTATCTATGTTCTTCCTTCGACATGTGTATGTTTAGCATGTCTTTCCCCTCAGACACTGAATCATACTCCATTCATTTTCAGGCTTGAAACTACTCTGAATTATGGACTTGAACGAGCTTGGAGCATTGGGTATATGAAAGGGTTGCGCAGGTAAAGATCTCGACTTTCTTTTTCAAGTTCAATTTGATTGCTGAATTTCGTTGATTCCTGCAAAGCATGGCTTTAGTTACCGTTACTATGGTTCTTCATGATCATGATGTTATAATTAAATTTCAATTCATTACATAAGATTGTCACTATTCACAACTTGTCATTTATTTGAAACCTTGTTGTGAGGGATGTGCCTATGTACATTGCCCTTTAAAACTTATGATTGTTAATGGTTTTTGTTCCTCTATTCTTTCTCTGTTCTCTTACAGGATTGTGATTGGTTATGATGAAGGATCTGTCATGATTAAAATTGGTAGAGAAGTACCAGTGGCCAGCATGGATAGTAGTGGAAAAGTTATCTGGGCCAAGCATAATGAAATACTAACAGTGAACATTAAAAGTGTTGGAGCAGAGAATGAGGTTTTTCATATTCTTTTGTCAAATCTGAGATCAACTGAACTCCGAATAGCTGTCTTACTAGTCTATACATAAATCTTTGAACCTCAGATTGCTGATGGAGAGAAATTGCCGTTGGCAGTGAAGGAGTTAGGAGCCTGTGAAATCTATCCCCAGGTAGGACTGTGTTTCTTTGGACACATACCAAAAATTTGTTGCCATTTATTTTAAGGATAATGCGCTTGGACCAAAACGCAGGATGAACACATTGAAATTTGATATCTTACATGTGCATCTGCCTTGCCATTTTATGCTAAACTTGTGTAGGGTATTGGTTCAAGTATATCTTATAAATCTACTTCAGTTGGTCTCACAGACTAAAGGTTATATTTCATTTGTATACTTTATCTATAATAATAGTAGAAGCCTCTAAGCCTCCTATGAAAATTAGATCTTTATAGGAGCAAAAGCGTCAGATTCGGACCTCCACTTAGTTCTTTCCAAGCTTCATCAAGGCCCTTGGCTGAATAGCAGGAAAAACTTCTACTTTGTTATTTGATTTCAAATCTAATTTCATGACCATAATCTACATTTTCTGACACAATGGATCCTTTTTGTCCATGTACCATTATGAGATAAGTTACTGCAATTATACTTGTAAATTGTCTTTGTTCCATCTGTGGAATACATTCATGCTCTGAAGCAAACTATTTCTGCTTTTGCTTGATTCCAGAGCTTGAAGCACAACCCAAACGGAAGATTTGTGGTTGTTTGTGGTGATGGCGAGTATATTATATATACAGCTCTCGCCTGGAGGAATAGGTCATTTGGTTCTGCATTGGACTTTGTTTGGTCCTCAGATGGAGAATTTGCTGTCAGAGAAGGACCTACGAAGATTAAGCTTTTCAGTAAAACATTTCAGGTGCTTATCCTTGTACACTGCACAGCCCATTACTGAAATTTGAGATGCATAAATCATTCAATATGGTGAGATTACTTATCTTGTGAGAGGAAGGCAGAAACACTAGATCTCTGGTCTAACAGGAAAATTAATATTTTCCATATTCAGAAAACTCTATTCATATGGTTAATGCATTTTCCATATAGCATGCTTTTTCTGTTCGTTATGTTGGTGGCTAAGGTTGCTCAGTGATAAAGTTCCTGCGATCTAAATGGCTGATATACTTTCCAGGAAAAGAAGAATATTCGTCCAACATTCACTGCTGATCGCATTTATGGGGGCACCTTACTTGGTTTATGCTCAAATGAGTTCGTCTGCTTCTATGATTGGGCAGAGTGCCGGTTGATTCAACGAATAGATGTTAACGTCAAAGTATTCACTGAAATCCCTGAGCATCTCCTCTCTGTTAAATTTATGAATGCAGAATTGGAGTCTCATAATATATTTGGTGTTTGATTGTGCCAGAATATTTACTGGGCTGATAGTGGGGATTTATTGGCAATCCCTAGTGAATCATCATTTTACATCCTCAAATATAATGTAAGATGGTTTCCTGTTTCGCCCTGACCTCATTGTGTCACTTAACAATTACTTTCCGTTTTATGAACTCTGCTATGATGTGGTTCGAGATGTACATAACCAGAAGCTTCTTTGATGTGTTGTAGCGTGAGGTAGTGTCATCATACTTCGACAGTGGAAACACTGCGGATGAACAAGGCATTGAGGATTCTTTTGAACTCCTGTATGAAATAAATGAAAGAGTCAAAACTGGAATCTGGGTCGGAGACTGTTTCATCTACAACAACTCTTCTGCACGCCTCAACTACTGTGTTGGTGGTGAGGTATAAGATACTTATCCCCTGGTTTAAGTATTATTACATAATAAACAAGTGTTGATGATTGCTGAATCTGAAAATCTTTTCTTCCTGACACTATATGTAGGTGACCACTATGTTTCACCTGGACCGGCCAATGTATCTATTAGGATATCTTGCTGCTCAAAGCCGTGTTTATCTTATTGACAAAGAGTTTAAGTAAGTTTCTGCTTGTGAGCTTGAAATGTGTTTAGTTGCTTAAACCTCATTTGTAACTATTTTCACTGGTTTTGTGTCATGATGCAGTGTTGTGGGGTACACATTACTTATCAACCTGATCGAATACAAGACTCTAGTAATGCGTGGTGATATCGACCGTGCCAATGAAGTTTTGTCCACAATTCCTCAGGAACACCACAATAGGTAGAAGGCGTAATGTAATGCATTCTAGTATCTGATGGATACTCTTGATTGTCAATCTGATTATTGTTACATTTCCAGTGTGGCTCGTTTCCTGGATTCTCGGGGTCTGCAGCATGAGGCTCTAGAAGTTGCCACTGACACGGACTACAAATTTGAACTGGCAATACAATTAGGCAAACTAGAGATAGCTAAGGTAGCTGCAGTATCATTAATCAATATCCAAAGTCTGTTTTGACACATTTAGATTAGAAGTTCCTGACATGTAACCAAACTCCAATATAAGTTCATGTCTGAAGGCTGCTTAATCATGTATAGGAAATTGCTGAAACGGCACATAGTGAGAACAAGTGGAAGCTGTTGGGGCAGCTAGCTTTGTCTACCGGAAAGGTAATTCTATGCAATTTAGATTTGTCTATGTACTAAAGGTCTACATCTTATGATGCCAATTGCCATGTTCTATTTCTATTTTTATTGATCCTTCACCTTGTGGAAGTGTTGCAAAAAACACTGGCTAGATTCTAGTATTATTGTGGAGGACTTTGTTTTGAGATGAAATGATGAGTTAGAAGAAAGGCATCCTTTATTATGCACAAGAGGATGTTAAAATATCAAATGGTTTTACAAAAAGAAAAATTATTGAATGCCTCGCGCTGAAATGACTGCCGACATTTTCAATTGGTTGTTAATATCCTTTATCACTTTCACATATTTCCTGTGTATCCTCTTAATTTTCTTTGTGCATCCAAGTTGGCATAGATGAAGCTGGTATTGAACATCACTTGTTCAAATTTTAAACCCTGGCTTTTGCAGTTAGAACTAGCTGAGGAATGCATGCTGAAAGGAAAGGATTTGAGTGGTTTGTTACTCCTCTATACTTCTTTTGGAGATGCAGAAGGAGTCGCAAGACTTGTATCTCTTGCTAAAGAGCAAGGGAAGAATAATGTTGCATTTCTGTCTTTATTCTTGATGGGTAAAGTGGAGGAATGCATCCAGCTGTTAGTTGACAGGTATTTTTGACTTGGAGAACATTTCGTTTTTTCTTCTTGAGGGCGGAGATAAGGATTTCACCTTTGCCATTTCTTCTCTTTTCCCTCATCTAATTGTTGCCTATTTGTGTTGATCGTGGTGTCATTACACTGCAGTAATCGCATACCTGAAGCTGCGTTGATGGCTAGATCTTACATGCCAAGCAAAGTTTCTGAGATAGTCTCTTTATGGAAAGATGACCTAAACAAGGTTTTGCTTGCTTAAACTTTCCAATCTTTTCACCAGAACTTAATTAGTAAAGTACATACAGATATAGGAAGCATGAATATTCTGTTGTCATATTGTTTGGACCTGGGCTCAATCCCATTGGGTTTAGCCTGTATCTCAAGTTCTTGAATTCTGATGTAAAGTTCCGATACTTCCAGGTTAACCTTAGAGCTGCTGAATCGTTGGCCGATCCCCAGGAGTATCCTAATATGTTTGAGGACTGGCAGGTTGCTCTTGCTATTGAATCCAAAGTTGCCGAGACACGGTATATGCCTACTTTGTATAAGTATGGAAGTAAATTTTCTTTGGTTGTGCCGCTCCTTGACTGTCATATTATTGTTTCCCAAGTAGTGCTACATTCATATGAGAATTGGTCATGTGCGGAAAAGGATGTTAAGCTAGGGAATTTTATATCTAAAGTTTTCTGAGTCTTATTAAAAAAAATGGTTTCCACGTTATTGTTATTATATGGTTCAGAATAGTTGTTTCAAAGCATCAGCTGACATGCCTTCTGTTGAGACCTGTTTCTAGTGCTATTTTCTCGATTTTGTAACAGAATCCTTTAGCTGAGGTTATATGCGGTAGAATTGCCTGCATGTCTATGTTGGAGAAGGAATTCCATATGAATATATTTTATACAATAGTATCAATAGTCTTGCACTATTTGGTGTGTTGTGTAAACTTCTGTTTGATGATCACTAACTTAACAAGGTGTCCCATCTGCAGAACCACACATCTTCCAGCTGGCGACTACTTAACCCATGCTGACAAGTCAAACATGAGCCTTGTCGAAAGTTTCAGAAACTTACAGGTTGAAGATGAGGAGCCAAGCCAAAATGGCGATCTAGATCATGAGGTACTTATCCACAAAAGCATTTTCAACTTGGTGAGATTGCATAATGTAGTCTGAGTTGCGAAGTCTCTAGTCAATGCGAAATGACTATTGTCATGGCTTCATTCTTCGGTTTTCAGCCATTGTTATGCCGTGACTTCGTGTAACTAAAATTCATTTTAAGAATGCTGTACTACTTGCTTCAGATGTTGCAGTGGCATGCTATAAACTCAGGCCTTAATACTACTTCTTAACGTGTTCAAGTCTGCAGTTCTCTATATCATTACATAGATATAATGCTACTTGATAACGAGTTACTGTATTTTGGCTACATATGAAGACCTTAAATTTTTGTCTGATTCTTAATCACAAATAACAGGATCTAAAAGCTAAATCACAATGGTTAACTGCAAAGGTCCCCAATCATTTTAGTACCCTTTCTAATAGCGTGAACGTGAGCCTAAAAAAATCAATTTGATTTGCTTTGTTCTATAGGAATTTGTTGAGGATGTGGATGCAAATGAAGACGATGAAGCCGCCGAAGAACCCATGGAGGAGGGGGATGCCGACTCAACAAATGGTGCTGTACTCGTAGATAGCAACGAAGCGCAAGAAGAATGGTCTGCTGATAAAGAAGAAACCTCTTCAGCCTAAATAGACGATGGTATGGTACTAAGTCAAAATCAAACGTGCTTCTTAAATTGCTGAGCTATTATTCTTGATTCCGTGCTTTCATGCATGCCCATATGTTGGCTCCTGCCATCTATTGGTGTATAGGATAGGTCCCTGTCAGTATATGTTGCAGCTGCTTCGCTTTACCCTTACAAAAAAAATTCCCTTTGGAATAGGGTAACTTATACCCTGAAAATTTATGACTGTCCAAGCTGTAGATTAGTAAAAGGTTTGATAATCTCTGATGCTCAACTACCCTAGTCACATACTTTTCTGCCACCTGCTTGCATCTAAGTCGTCGTTTGGATGATCGATTGTTTGGTCCGGTATTGTCCACGATCCATATCTGATGGATTTCACGAGTTTTACCCATTTGCAAAAATTGGAAAGTCAGTCCCTTCAGTGACTGTAACTGTATTTGAGATATGCTTCGTTTTACTGCTGTCCGAAAAAGTGCATACTTTATGTTCCATACCAAATCAGAGTGCTGACTTGTGTGTGGGACTTTGTTAACATATTGAATACACTAATGGACTATCCTTTCCGAGCCTTATTTATTTGAAGATTTTGATGCACATTGCTAGAATGTGGGTGTTCAGTTCCTATTAATTTTAACACTAGTGTCCCTGTCCTGGCCAGAAAAAGATCCATGTACTGTACAATTGTAAACCAAGCGACACTACTTGCGTTAAAGTGGATCATAATTAGAAGAGAATCTAGTTTGGACACAATTGTGCTGTCTGTACATATTGTAGGCGCTGCATAAACTATATGCCTGAGGAATAAAGCACAGATGCTCAAGCTTTACCACGACTTGTTCTTTTCTTGGCCTGTGTTAAAGTGGATCATACTGTACTTAACTTTGTGAACTTGTTAACAGTATCTCTTTTTCCTGATCATCCTTTTCGCAGGATTAGGAACGCGTCAATTTTCCACCTACGAGCTGTTGACACCTACCACCTATCTTCAAGGCCATTGGAAATTGCTCATCGCCATGTTGTAAGTCTCCCCTTCTCATTCGTTTCCTTAGTGGGCATCCTCAAAGAAAAAAAGTAGAACAGGCACTATGCCTAAAAGCTAAGGATAGCCAAGAAAGATGGAGAATAGCTGTATCTATAGAAATGTCGATGAGATTCTTCCCCTTATGTTGTGCACCATATACTCTTTACCGAAAATAATCACTGTTTTTTTTTTATAGCTGCATGAGGACATTGCATCAGCACATGTAATCAATATGTCCGTCCTGTTCGAGAGTTGTACCTTAAGTTAGCGAGTGAGTGTTTGTTTGCGATGACCTGTTTTTTTCCCTAGAGAATGCCCGCTTTTCCAGCTTCATCATTTGTATCGACTTGAGTTGATCATAGAAGTTACATTCTCCATTACTGTGATTCATTTGGTGTTAAGCGCGGGCTGTTTCCCACTGGCCACGCGACACTAAAGTTGTCGAACGAAATCGAACTACCACGAGCATGTTTTCTCGAGCATTTTGGCGGCCTTTTGTTGTTTACGAGGAGCCTTCCTGGGTACATGTTATCAGGGAAGCGAATCTTTGTTGTTGGAGGATTACCTTTAGAGAGGCTGCACAAATATTCGATAGTAACTTCCCTTTTTCAAAAGGTGAAAGAAGCTAAGTTGGTTCTCACTGCGCTCCCAGTACACGATGCTTCTCCTTAATTGGTTGCTGGAAAGATTGTGTTGGGAGAGCTAGTGGGTAGAGGATAGTTTGGACAGATCACCTGCCTAATCAATCCAAAAATAAGGCTTTAATTGGTTGAGCCAAATTTTAGCCCAACTTGGGTCAACTTGTTAATAGCCTGACTCGTTTACTAAAATTTCGGCTCGTCTTTGACTCGGCTTGACTCGTTAACAAGCCCACCAGCTCTTCTCAAATTCAAGGCTCGTTAGTTAGCTTGTGAGCTCCACTCGAGCTCATAGATCATATTATCAGCGTTTGTGAAACTTTACCTTGTTGACAGTCTGTCCAGAAGAAGACATAGCTCAACCTCGACTTATTTACGAACCAATCGAGTGTCAAAAGAGTTTTTCTTAAACTATTTGTCGAGTTGCTAGTGAGCGCAATGACTCAGTTCCAACCCTTTTACTGTAATTACTAATTCAAACTAGTTATCCCTCTCTTCATCGTCATTTTCGTCAAATATTGTAAAATCCCAACATAGACACAAATGGACAGTACTCCATCATCAGTTCATCCATCTAGTATCTGTGGGTACTATCTTCATGCACACGTGGCATTTTCTCATTGGTTGGAGATGACACCTCACAATACTCCATTAGTCCATCCATCTAGTATCTGTGGTGCTATATTCATGCACACGTGGCATTCTCACATTGGCTGGAGATGACACCTCACAACATTTCCATGAGATTTTTTGCACTCTTCAATCCTAATTTATCTTAGCCTCAAAGAAAATCAAACCTCCAAAAATCCCCAGCCAATAAGACTTGGATAAACAGATCTTCCTGGATAAGGACCCACACTCCCCCAAGCCCAATATAAATATGGACCCATCATCGTAAGCCCAAAATATCCAAACTCACACAACTCTGCAGGCAACAGACACAGAGCAACACTCTTTACTCTTTCAAGTCTTTAGTTTTTTTGTCTCTCCATATCGACAATGTCTGCTGCAGCCATGGCGCTCTCCTCCCCATCCTTCGCCGGCAAGGCGGTGAAGCTCTCCCCTTCCATCCCCTCCGAGCTCATCGGCGACGGCCGCGTCACGATGAGGAAGGCCGCCGCCAAGCCCAAGACCGCTTCATCCGGAAGCCCATGGTACGGCCCAGACCGCGTCAAGTACCTGGGCCCATTCTCCGGAGAAGCCCCATCCTACCTGACCGGCGAGTTCCCCGGCGACTACGGCTGGGACACCGCTGGCCTCTCCGCCGACCCCGAGACTTTCGCCAAGAACAGGGAGCTCGAAGTGATCCACTGCAGGTGGGCCATGCTCGGCGCCCTGGGCTGCGTCTTCCCCGAGCTCCTGGCCCGCAACGGGGTCAAGTTCGGAGAGGCCGTGTGGTTCAAGGCCGGGGCCCAGATCTTCAGCGAAGGTGGGCTGGACTACTTGGGCAACCCGAGCCTGGTCCACGCGCAGAGCATCCTTGCCATTTGGGCCTGCCAGGTGGTTCTCATGGGCGCGGTCGAGGGCTACCGCGTTGCTGGTGGGCCGCTCGGTGAAGTTGTGGACCCGTTGTACCCGGGTGGCAGCTTCGACCCGTTGGGCCTGGCCGACGACCCAGAGGCGTTCGCCGAGTTGAAGGTGAAGGAGATTAAGAACGGGCGGCTGGCTATGTTCTCGATGTTTGGGTTCTTTGTTCAGGCCATTGTCACCGGAAAGGGACCGCTGGAGAATTTGGCCGATCACATCGCCGATCCCGTCAGCAACAATGCGTGGGCTTTCGCCACCAACTTCGTCCCCGGAAAGTGACGTGGGGGTGTCGATGTCGGTGATTGGAGCTGATATGTAAATGTGTTGAAAATGTTGGATTTGGATTTGGATTTTGGAAATTTAAGGGTTTGTCCTTCTTGCTTGGTTGTTTCAGCCCCATGTTTCTATGGAAATTGTGAGTTGGTTTAATGATTCCTTGGTGTCTTCTGTTGGAAATGAATGCATGGAAAATTGATAATTGTAAATCAATCAATTAAAAAGATGTGATTTCACGATAAATTGATCGTCCGGAATAGTTTGTTTTTCGAAATTGAAAGATCGCATTTTAGGTGAGATTTGGCTACTCAACCGTTGATGGACTACGTGAATCCTTTAAGATTTGGCTACTCATTGTGTAACTAACTAACTATGGTTGGTTTTTTCAATTTTGAATTGGAGTATTGTGTTGAATACATCTATTGCTGAAGTGTATTGTAGATTACAATGATAGGTAGTCTTGATTGTGTTCTCAATAATTAAAAATAAAATTAATTTTTTAGCAAAAATGTCACTTTCTAAATGAAAAAAAACTGGAAAATAAAAGATACAGCAATTTCAACTGAACAATCCCTAAAAATCACAGTTAAAAAATAAGATTGCACAATCATGCATTTCGAATTATTGTTTAGTTCACATCTAGCAAACAATATATCTAGTATGTGTACATAAAAATAATAACAAATAATACATTGCAAAGAATGCAAGCATTGTAACAATCTCATTAAAATAACACAGTCACAAAATTTCTCATTTTAAAAAATAGATTGCAATGTGAAAAAAATATCACGACGGTGAGATTGTGAAATTGTAAAAATGGTAAAAAAATAAATATATAGATTAAGGGTTATGTTCATTCTCATAGAAAAAATTGTAAATCATTCGAAATTTTGTTCATTCTCTCATTTTCAATTGTAGATTGCATAAAAAAAAAGTAAAAATTTTGTTCATTCTCATCATCCAATTAAGGGTAGGGATGACAAAAATATCCGTAACCGTGGATATCCGCCCAAATCCGGCTTAGTCGGGTAGGGTAATACCCGAACCCGAAGGACATTTAGTGGGTATGGGTAAAATCTGAACCCGAATATTGTGGGTAATGGGTGGACATGGGTTTCTTACTATCCAACCCGAACCCTCCCGATTATATACATGCATATGTATTTCGTCTAGAAATAATCATTATTTTTCTCTAACATATTTTATATTTAGCATATAAATATAATATTTTCATGAAATTGTGTATTTTTAATTAATTTTCTTTATTCTAGTGAATTATTGTCGTACTTTTCCTCTTATGTAATGTGAGAATACATATGATGTTAACATATTGGTTGGAGTTATGAAGAGAAATTATTACCCATGGATAACCGTAGATACCCGAAACCCGAACGGATATGGGCATGGTTTTGATTTTCTACCCGTTTCACATGTAAGTATGGGTATGGATAAAACCCGAACTACTATGGGTAGGGTGACGGATATGCACTATCTGCACCCGACCCGATCCATTGCCATCCCTAGTTAAAGGTCGTGTTTCACGACAAGGACACAATGTCCCCCGTCACAATCTTACATCCAAACAACCCTTATGATCAAGGGCATATGTTATTAGCTATTCCTTTCCCATTTCACCTTCCCTTTCATTTCAAGGCCCTCTAATTTAACCTACATGATTACTATTATTATTATACCCCTAATCTCCCCACCGCCTTGAGTTATCAGTCTAGTTTAGAATGGGTCCCAGAAAGTTGGAGCCTCCAAAATAGAATCCCTCTTTGTGGTTGGCTCTACAACTACAAGGAGCTTTCCTAGCAAACGCGTTAATTGGAATCGAATCTTTGTCATTTTGAGGGTTATCTTTTTGGAGCTTGTACCAACAAAAAAAAATTCTCTCCTTTTTCCCAAAAGAGACTGGGGAAGAAAGAAAAGATAAGAAAGAAAAGGGGAGAGGAAGTGGTTGATGGAATCTCTTCGACGGCATGGTTTAGGGTTTTTGGAGATGATGCTTCCCTTCGAATATGGGTTAGTGGGGAAGATAAGAAGAAATTAGGAGAGGAAGTGGTTTAGGTTTTCAAGGTTTAGCTATATTGGATTCAGAGGTTCAGTGAGCAGGCACTCAATAATGTAGCCATGAACACCAACTACCATTATACACCCATCATAATTATGGCCCAAAATATTTTAAAAAAAATTTGGACCCAGTTGGAGATTGGTCATAAGTTTGTTGTTATGTGTATCCACAATGAGGTGGAAGTTGGTGTTATAAGATATTGGGAAAAGGAATAGCAACAGAAAAAACCTCTTATTAGAGGATAAATCGGCAGGTGCGATGTCAGCGTAAAATATGCTATCGTTGACTTTTTCGGTACAATTTTACAATCCTTGAGGAATAGTTAACTAGAGGCACTAGTGGGAAGAGCTTAAGAGATAGTTTGAATTGAAGATACAAGATAGTTTTAACAACACGATGTTAAATGGGGAAAAAAGAGGGATTAATGTTTTTGTAGGGAGATACTGCTGCAACTCAAACACAAATTACTGAGTAGCAAAACTGTCATTTTATCGTAAATAATACGTCGTTATAAACAAAACAAACTTGTACTATCCATGATATCATTGTCAATACGATTAAGGTGGTAGACTCATACAATGGAGGGTTCGAATTGGAATCCGTTATTTGACAAATTTTCCCAACACCCTTTTCCCTATTCTAAAAAGCAAAACAAGCTTGTTTTACAAAGTTAAAGCAAGGGGTATAAATTAACAACTTATTGGACGATTATGATGTGATATGTACAAATAACAGCAAACATAAATCATGTTAAAAGCCATCAAAATCTTATTAAAGAAACCCCTAAAGAGGCAAAGAACCTTTCCTTTCTTCCTTTATCTTAACATCCTAATGTGAATGTATCCTCTTGAAACATATGTCTCACACTTCTCTATCAAGAAATGAACTTGCCAGTTTATTATTGCATGTCGGGTTATCAATTCTTCTCATAAACAAACCAATATGGGAAGCAAGACATTCTCCCACTTAAAAGAATACAACATATGTACATGTTTATGTTCTTGTACATCATTTTCTGCCCTTTCTTCTGTGTTCGCCTCTTGATCATACTGTGATATGTTACCAAATGAGCACATTCATTCACATTCCTTTTTCAAACTTCAGAAAGCTAGCTCCTCCTATTGTGACCCAAACAATCCCAAACTGCAGCATTCAATGGAAACCCAGTACTTCTGTTGTTTTTTTTCCTGTTAGAGAGTCTGATTTCAGTCTTCCATTGCCTGGAAATGGAGGGGGAATAGGTTGAAAGTTCTTGGAACATGGGGGTATGTACTATAATCTTCCTGCTCATCACTGAAACAACAGACATGAGAATGCATAATGTTATGAGAGCCACATGTGATATATAATTGTGTAGTCATGTGACTGTATTTCAGTATACTCAAACATATGCACTATGTGGAACTGAAAAGCATTCTTAATTAGAAGTCATGATTCGTTCAGTTTACACCAGCAGAATATATTGTCCGCTTTGGGCCTCTACACCCGCACGGATTTCGACTTGGGGTGCAATTCAAGGTGACTTCCCATAAGGCACCCATCCTTGTTGTACTCCACACTGAGCACGTTTAACTTTGTAGTTCTCACAAGAACTCTTCCATTACACCCCAAAACGCGTATTGTCAGTTAAGATCGGTTTCTAATTTATGAACCATGGATCTCTCTCGTGCTTTGTCGATGTGGGATTCGCCATATGTGTTACAGTTAATAAGTTCAAACAAAAAAAAAGTTAGTTTCTTTAGTGACATTCGGGATGATTGTCGCTGAAAGATACTGACCATGATTTCAATCCTCTCGCTTAACCCTGAAAAATCATAGTCGGGACAATCCCTTAAGACATTAGAGCAGATTGGGTAGCTCGATCAACTAGTGACTAGTGAGTATTATTGTATTACCATAATAACGAGTTCATAATGTAATTGTGGGCTAGCTTGTGGGATTCCCCTTATCTTTGATGTGACCAAGTTTCCCAGTTAAAGGAGATGAACCACCACATGGCACAAAACAAACAAGTTTACAGTTTACAGTTGTGGGTTAGGTTAGTTTTAGGGTCCACTAACACAGTAACAAACACAAAAGAAAAGGGAATGTGGTACTCATAGGAATATTATATATGAAATAAAAAGTACCATAAGAAGACTGAAAGCCAACGTGCTTTCAGAAGAACCACTCAGACGTCTCAGACCTACGAGAGAATTCATCATCCATCCATCCAAACATTGCCTAATGTGTATTTGTAACTCTTTTTTTTTTTTTAATTATTCTTGTTTCACCAAATCATGATCCACAAGTGCAAGTTGTAGCTTGACCTGGGTCTCAGCAGATTTTTGTGTTTTTCAATTAAACCAAGCTCCAGTTAAGATTTTGGATGCTCTGCTTTAAGGGGTTTTTGGTTAGTTTGATTCATCATTCGTGGGAAGTTTTAGTTGCTTGATTGGGAGGTTTTAACGTTTTGATTCATGGGTTTCTTTGGATATTGGTCAATTAAGTTGGGGGGTTTTGGTTCGTTGGTGTGGGTATCTAGCTAGGAGAAGGAGAAGAAGTTGTAATTTGGTTGATGTGGGGATTCTCGAATCTCGATACATTAGCGTCTTCTGATTCTCTATATTCGTGTGTTTTTGTTCTTCTCTTGCTCGTCCAAGAAATTCGTGATAAACGTTGATCTTTGAGAGATATAGCTCGAGACTGAAGTTACGTTCTTGATGAAATCGTTTTCGTTTGTCTGAGCTTTTTACGCCGAGTTGGATTCTATTGCTTAGCAGGAGCTCTGAAATTATGTCTACTAGGTTGTTGCACGTTGAGGTGTTAATTTTGTTAGATGCGACGTTATGATAGTAATTTTCAGAAAATATCTCATTCTAATTATGTTATTTTTTAAAACGAGACATTTGAGTCAAATTGTTTCATTTTGAAATTACTTCATCCAAAACCACGCATAGATTAAAGTACCATTAAGAGATGTTCAATTACGCTAATGTCATCTCTAATCATTTGGAACCCCAAAAAAACCCACATGTACACTTTAATTTCAAGAACAAAACGGGGGAAAAGTAGAAAACAACGTTTTGTGAGCATGACGGAACATAACACTTTGCCCACCACAAATTAAATGGTCATGGCCCCTTGTAGTTTTTTTTTTTTTTTTTCATTCTTGTGCCTTCTGTTGACAAGTAGTAGGTAGTCTTGTTGTGAGTTGTAGGGCTGGAAGTTTGGTACCGGTATTTGGGATATACCGAATACCGTACCGAATTTGTCTATATTTGGTATTACCGAATACACGTATTATTTTGTGGGATTGAGATTGGGATTGAATTTCAATTGTTATTCGGTATTAGGGATTACGGGATTGAGATCGGGATATACCGAAATATAAGCTAGTGCGTAATTTATCCTTTGAACTAGACTCTTTCATTCACTACTAGGCGACCATCAACTACCAAGAGTGTCATTTAATTATGCATAGATCATTCCATCACTATTTCACACTAGTATTAGTCGTCTCTCAACCTCAAATTCGTCAAATTAAAGATTACCAATTACAAGAACTTGAGATATTAGCTCTATGTAGGGGTATTCAAATGGTTACCATGGTTATAACCAAACCAAATAAGGCTAAATTCCATTAACCATGGAATACAATATTATAACCAAACCGTCCAAACTAATACAACAACCAAATTAACCAAACTAAAGTTTAATCGGTTTGGTTAATTGGTTAACCAGATTAACCAATATAAAATCACATTATCATTGACGATGAAAATTTTCCGGTTAATGCAACAATTCGCAATTTATATAATGAATAAAATATAACAACCAACACGTAGTCATAGTTGACCCTTAACAAAAATAGATGCAACTAGGACAATTATCTTACGATTAGTATAGAAGTATTCACCTAACAAAATTTTATGACAATGGTATGGGTTAATGAATTGTTGTGTTTGTGTAAATTGACTTAGTCTCTTAGCAATTATCATAGGCTGGAAATTACCTTCCTTTCAAGTTTTCATCCATCATAATGTATGAAATTTATCTTAATTAGGCGTTCATATGTTGTGATCTACATTTTACATATACAAATATACACTATATGAACAATATTGAGCTTTATATTTTATGAGTCTAAAAGGGATGAAGGTTAACTCTTAAGTGGTTATGCAAAGTATTAAGTATGTGTATATAATATATGTTAGATATATGACAAATTACTTAACTGGTTAATTTGGTTTGACTGGTTAGGAGTGTATGAAACCAAACCAAACCACATAAACCAAACAAGCTAAAAACTTTAACCAAACCAAACCAATTATCCAAATTAACCAAATCAAATTATCCAAATAGTATCGGTTAAAACGGTTACCATGGTAACCAAACCGTTTGAACACCCCTAGCTCTATGCAACTCAAGACTCTTTGCTTAGTCACTTTCCCTAAATTAAACAATAAAATCTAATTTATATATTTAATTACAAAGGTAATTAATTTTGTATTTGATAATAACGATTGAGATACCGAGGTACCGATTGGGATACCGAAATATTTAGGGATTGGGATTGGGATTGAGATTGGGATTGGGATTGATTTTAGAGTATAATTCGGTATTCGGGGTTTCGGTATTTGGTATTGGGATATCGATACCGTACCAATTTCCACCCTAGTGAGTTGTGACGCCATTGGCCTGCATTTTTTCAGATTTGTTATTAGCCTCTTAAATCTCAATAATCATACACACTTTTGAGTCTTAACACAGAAAATTTTTAGTCATAATTTAGAGAGAGCGAGAATAGTTATAAGAAAATTGTTGATGTGACTTGAATCGGACTATCAGTCGCTACGACTGGAATAGTACGAGCTCAATGTTATTTGGATTCGGATTCTAGGCCTGGTTGTAACCGCTTTTTCTTTACCATATTGGATTCGGGTGAGATCTAGGAGAAGTATTATAAATACTTCTCATCTCCTCTGTAATTTGTAATCTACTCGATATAGTGAAACTGGCTCTCATGACCGTGAACTAGCCAAAACACATTGTATTAGTGAACCACGTAAATCGAAATTAGGTTTCGAGTAAGAGAAAGCAAGTGAATAGCTAGTTGCTATCTTCTCGCCAGTTTCGTTGGCTCCTGGCTGGCTTGATGAGTACGACCTTTCACTAATCGGCGGCGATACTTGCAATTTCCATTTTATATTAACAATAATAATATTCGTCAATAGCGACGTTAAAGCCTACTATACGTTGCATTATAATGCCTTTTTTTTCTTTCTTTCTGGTGATCAATAATACTAATATATTGTGGTGGTTAAGCGTAGCTATAAACAAAATCGATGGATACAGCTGTACGCCGGCGCCGGGACACCTGTCTTTTTCGCCGCCGGTATACAAGCCCAATTATGCTACGAACACCCATAAAAGAAATATATTTATTTTTTTATAACTAGAAATATATATATTTATTTGTTCATAAAATAAAAATGTTTGTTTTGGTGGGGTAAGAATTCATGTACATTTTCCGATTTAATTAACTTTTGTCTCATATAAGTTTTTATTTGTTTAAATAACTACCATTCTAATAATAAATGCTAAATATTATAGGGATATAATGACGTGCAATCGATAAAGTAAGAGAAGTAATCAAACACACAAATTTATATGATTCACTTGCATAATTTATATCACCGATTAGTATATGAGCATAATATAATTTTTTTTATATTAATCTTACATTGATAATGGCCCAAAATAGGCACCGAAGCTTGTTGTTGTAAATTGACTTAGGCCTCGTCTAGAAAAGGAATCGTGACGGGTTGGTTTAATTTTTTTTCGTATTTTTAAGATATATTATGTCAAATTGATCCACCTGATAGCATAAATCAATGCATTCATTTCAAAAAAAAGTATGATTATCTGGATGTAGATGATTTGAATCGACTTATTTTATGAATTTGGGACAATAATTCGAATTGTATCGTATATTTTTTTTATAAATTAAATTGCTTCGTATATTAATGAATTCATTCAAACCACATCTAATGTAGTCTGTAAAAGCTGCCACGTGGGCAAGAACCTTCTGCCGGATTGGCCAGGTCAAACAGAAACCGCCAATCTTTGACCCGAAATCAAGGGGAAATCGGTGGCAAAGCATAAAACGACGAAGAAGATTACCCCGTCCAATAAAAACAAAAAACAAAAAATCTCGGCCGTCCGATTTGATTGAACTAATTAGCGTTAGCCGTTTATCCCAATCCTTCAAGACGACAACGACGACGTATGATTTACGCTACAGATACAGCTGGCGGTGCCGCCGGCTGGCAGGAGTTGGGCCGTTTTGTGGGCTTGCGGCTGTCCTACTTGGCAGGTTTCGTGGCCGACGTGTGATACGCGGCTCTTTTCCCAAATCAACACAAAAACTAAAATTGACTGATTAATTGTGCCGTTGTAATTATGTTGCTTAAAGTTAAACCGAAAAATAATGACGTGATTAGGGTACGATGAACGCGGCGCATGTGTCTCAAGTCAATTGCCGTCTTAAATTTAGTTGGTTCGTTCATTTTTCCAGTTCGAATTTTAATGTTTCTTTTTGTTAATGACAATTAGGCTGTTGGAAAAGAAGAAGAAAATCATGAAAATGAAGCTTCGAGTGCTTTTCATAAATAACGAAAATGTCGATTTTTTGGGGTGCTGGATAATGATTGGAGTTTAAGGAAAACATGGTTATTGATTCATAGCACAAGATGCAATTTTATGCCATAATCAACACAAGGAGCACTATTCTAAACTTTCTGATCAATTCAAGAGTTCATAGTATGTAATGGAGGGTAAGTCTGTTATTGATCAAAATAATAGTAATCTCCCCGTAAGTCGAATTATTGTCTTATTGGGACTAACTGATTGATTCTATATACAAGAGCATTTCATAAAAAATCCTCACGTTGTAACTATTACGATTGATCAACTTCAAAGTAAAAAATCTGAGCAAGGGAGGAGGGAGAATTGAGCTTGTGAGATCATATATCATATGCATTTGGGAGTTTGGAGGAGGACAATACCTCCATAGCCTTAACATGGCTCCACTATTGGAGTCACGAAAACTCGATATATATTACCGAATTATTTAAAACACAATGTATGATGCGTTAACAAACATCAAACCAAAATATATTAGCTTTCTATTGAAGATACATACTAAACAACTGCATAAAATATATTTTTTTTTATATTTCTCAACAACTCAAATTACTGATCCCACGACTTACTTTTGCAATTTGAGCATTATGGGTTTAAGGTGAGATGTCGATAAGGAAGTGGTCTAATGCTTGGTCGAGCTAGCTATTATTCATGCACCTTCCAACTACACATATAAAATTGCAAATGCAAGACCAAATCATATATAATGCTCTTTAATCATCATGTAGCCTTACTTTGCTCCCTACGTACGTAATAATAATGGGTTGGAATCGATCATCAATTTCTGGTAATCATACCAACGTTGAAGGAGTTGCAATTTGTCAATTCGCAATTGAAGATTTGATTCTACTATAACAATCAAAATGAACCACCATATATATATATACGCGTCTTCATTACCAAATAGGCATCTAATTAACCACACTTCTTAACTAATTATAATTAGTGGTTGCTACTTGCTAGCATTATTATTGTTGCTGGTTTAGGGATCGATATATGTCCCACTCCAACAATAACATTAACATCCCCTCGCTTATTAATTGTCTTTTAATTAATCGCGACACATGCAATAATATAAATCTAGTGGTGCGCAATGAACATTTGATTCTACAAATTCGAATTGTTCAAATTCGGACGATTCATATTTGAGCAATATCATTTTTTTGGGCATTTTTTACTCAATTTTCTTAGTTTGGGTCTAAATTAGACTCATGATGTTGGGTACCGAAATAAGTGGTTTTTATCTTTTTATTGTTCCGCCATAAACGGACATGTGAAAACACATTACCGAAAATGTGAATTGGGTTGAAAACAATTAATGAGATAGTCAATATTATTTTGTGTGTACAATCATCTAGATACAAATAGACCCATCTGGGTACGAACCAAATGAGCTAACTCAATCCAAAGTCGACCCAAACCCAAAACCTTTTATAAAAAAATACATATGAGCACAATCGAGTCCAATCCAACACCTCATATAGATCATGACAATTGAGTCCAATTATATATAATAAGTCGATCCATTGTCATTCCTAATCGGTTGCAAGAAATTAATTAATAACAATAAAGTATAAAATGAGTTAGATTTTCATTCCATGATCACAACAAACGGTCACAAAGCTTATCGCCTTATCCACATAGTTGTCATTCTTCACATTAACATCACACATTGCAAAGAAAAGCTTAGCTATCACCATAGTAAGTGCCAAACTGAGTTGTATACAGCTTTGATGCAACACAACGTAACGACGTCCAAAAAAACGCGTAGAGAGCTACCGCTTTTTCCATATGCTAAGCTTCCCTTTTCATAAGCAAACCTCATGGAATTGGTATTGAGATAGGTCCACTTGCAAAAGCCTTAAAATGAGGTAGGTTGCTTCCATTTCTTTTTTTGATAGGGAGGAGAAAGTATGATTCAAGATTGTTTGCATGCATGAACATCTATAATAGAGGAACACATATGTCAAGGAATCGAAATTTATGTTCTAGTAATGTATTGTGATCATGTATTTTTGTGAATAAAAAATAAAATTCACGACTACGTACGGTCGATGTTTGTCACGTACTTGTCATATTTGTTCCGGACGGTTCGATGATTATTTGTTGGTCAGTAATGTTAAGAATCAGTTATGTCGTGATAATTCAAGTTGCTGAAAGCTAAGAATCAAATGTTATATCATTTTCTAATACTGTATCCTCTTGAAAGAAAGTCAAATGATGAGTTCGAAATTCATATAAGCTCATTATACCATATGATAGTATATATATCTTAAGCTAGTGATTGAATAACCTCAGTACTATATCGAAAACCAATTAGATATGTTAGTTTGGTTTTTATTTTTCGGCTTTAACTAAAATCGAACTGATAAGAAGTTTGACGATTTTGGTTTTCGGTCGTAAAGCGTTTAACATCTTCATGGTTAGGGTTTTGGTTAGAGCAAGAAAAAAAAAATGAACAAGAAACCAAGAACACTCTAACTAAGTCAATACTCATTAGCAGCTCTCGTTGTTGTCACAAACTTATGAGTAGTAGACCTCTTTTCTATCTCCATGCTTCTTGTTGTCTATTTTTTTTTTTTACTCCACTTTTGCACTTCCCGAAATTATGAGTTTGGTTTATCCAAATCAAACCAGAACAGTTACCAGTCGTACCGATTATCGGTTAACTGAAAATCCTATCAATTTTGGTTTTTGGGAACGTGCGTGATTTGATTTTTGGTTTCCCATATGCTTAATGGTTTGTGTTACTGAATCGAACCAAATTGGCAACCTTAATCATAATAATTCGAGTTGTTAAGATGGACTTAAACGGTCACACTCGTAGGAAAATCTCATTTATTTACGGATTCTAAATACAAAATACCCATTGTTTCACAAGAAATTTTATGTCATAAGCTAGCAAATAAATAAATAACATTGGTATTATATGGCAATTGGCAAGTGATCGACATGGCCTATCTAGCTTATTTTTATTTCCAATATTGCACAACATTGTGGCAAATGCAACCTTCATGGCAACTCTCTTATGCGACCTCTTTTATGTTTGCTATTGATCGCCGACTGTCCAGATGCCGGCCGGCAGGAGGTGACTCGTCGGATGTCGTTTTCTCTCTTCCTCTTCCCCCATTGGCCACTTCTCCGGTGATGGATTGTTTGGGCCCACCGACGTCATGTTCTCCGTCCTATTAAAAGACGCGGCCCACTAAGCCCGCTGTGCTAACAGTTAAAATTTCAGTTTTCTACAAATAATAAAAAAAAAAAATCCAGTCTGGCCTAGTGGCCTTGTAAATTTTTGCAACATAGATTTTACAGTTTATTATTCCAAATTTAGACTCGAGTTTTTCCCCCACCCAATTAGGCTGGAGAAAATGAATTACAATGTATATGATGCTAAAAGTTGGTGTAGTAAAACATAAAAAGTTGGTGTAATCTAGTATTTCGATAAACTTCGATCAATCAATTATTATTTGAATATGACCGACAACCGCAAGCTTATAGTACCTTCTCACCATAATACATATGAACTATTTTGTACCATAGACATATAACTACCATGGTAAAACTAGGATGGCCACCAACACCTAATTCACTTTTTATGCAATTTTGTGCCTATTCACTCCACATTGGGTTTTTTATTCGCGCAATAGTTGTAGTTATTTACACAGACATTAATAGTTGTTCACGCAATTTGATATTTATTCACGCATCCTAATATATATTCACGATATTGCAAAAATCAATTTTGAAATATATCAAAATGAATGTCATTGTGTAGATTATGATCAATGCAACTCATTTTAATTAAAAAAATTGAAAATCGAAATTCCAACTCCTTAAAATATGGCCAATACAAATTATTAGGGAACAAAAGTAAAAAAAAGAATCTGGGTACCATTTCCATGATTAACCACAGTTTTACATGAATAAACATCGAATTACGTAAATAATCACCGAACGAACGACTTAAGTCAACTTTGAATTAGGGTTTCATGTCTCATACCACAAACCTTTTTTTCCCAACTAGGATTTACATGCAACCTACTGAACTAGCTAGAATACAAAGACCATGAATTCAGAACCCTGCCCTAGCTAGTAGTGTTAGATCAACTCAATTCATTAATGGTGCCCAACCACTAGCCAAAAAAATGGTGCCTTTAATTGGTTACTCTGTTTCATTTGGCAGCTTAGAGGGAGGATCTCTCTCATAAACTCATTCATAAATCATAACCGCTCAGCTAAAAAAAAAAAACCCATTTTTGCTAGTTAAAAAGCTCGTACCTTCTGCATTGTTCACAAGTGTAATTCATGCAGTAACAGTCTTATTTAAGCTGAGGGGGAAAAAAGGCTCCTCAAATTCTTCGACTGAATTTAATAATCCAGGGGAAGTCAGAGATTTCTTTGTCTATGCATGTTAGTTCGGAGTTATGTTAAATTTTACTTGAAGTGAGTTTTATCAATTGATGATGTTTCAACTCGAATAAAAATGAGGTTGTAAAAAAATAATTAATATCCATGAGTTACCGAGATTAACTAGTTCTCAACGAATTAAAAAAATTTAGGTATGACAAGAAATTAGGTGAAAATGCATGTACTCTTTATTCATCGGAAAAAAATTAGATTTAAGATCAAAAGATAAATAAACATAAGAGAATTGAAAGGCGACGACTCTCTAGTTTCTTTCACCTTGCCCTCTATGATAATTAAAAATATGTGTGTTATGTGTTTGACCATGTCGAGCAAAACTATGGGTTTGGTGAAAGAGACCGATTTTGAGTTATGGACTATGAAAACTTGTATATTTAAACTATTTGTAGCGTTTGAGTAGGGAGGGAAACTAAGATATGATAATAATAATAAAAAGGATTCTAACCAATGACCATTAATAGGAGGAAAATCAGAATGAAAACACCATCAATAATTTTTTTTGTAAACCAAAGAAAATAACGTATGTGAATACCGTGAGAAGTTTTTATTTATTGAAAAAGGATAAATTAAGCGCGTGGTGAAAATGTTGAATTAGATGGAGAGTCGAAGTAGAGTATAATGACAGTGGAATTAATTTTATGGACAGTTTTTAACTCCAGGATTAGCTAGAGACCATGTATAATTTAGTGCTAGTTTCACCTACGCGTTGATCTTTGAAGGCCTTAAGTAGTGATTGTGCTTCAATCTGACGATGTTACCAGTAAAGCTGTAAAGCTCAAATATAGAGAGCGTGTTAAAGAAAGACATGAGTGTTAATACTCGCCCACCCTTTGGGTGGAGCCTCTCTCTAGGAGCGCTCATACTCAATAGTTACATGAACTTGTTGACACAAGGTATGAATTCGACAATGAATCAGTATAGTCGTTTCAGAGTTTGTTTTGAATTTGAGTTCATAGTGGAACAAATGTTTTAATTTGTAATATAACACTTCTCTAAAAACAAAAGCACCCATTCGTATCCCTCTTTAACACAGAAAATAATATAATTTATAGAATAAAATTGCAGAAATTACATAGATTTTCAATCTTGTCCCCACTTGTTTAACTTGCCGTCCTCTTGGGTCTCGGCCAAAACAACACAGAAAATTATGAGAAAAGAAACCACACAAGAAATAAATAACGAAAGTGAAATGAATAAAAAAAGGAAAACAAAAAAAAATTCGTATTTGTCTGGAAAAATAAAAGTCTTATTTAATAGGCCCCCCAACATTTGCAGCACCACCCACCACTCCAAAATTTTGGCCCGTGAATTTTCTTTTTCACTTCCATCTCGTGATAACCCATGATCGATTTTAGTCACTATTTTTTTGTTTTGTTTTAGTAAAGCACAAAGGAAATATGAAAGAAAATTGGTGAAATAATTTTTTTAATGTCCAAATAGGAAGTACATATGTAAAACTACCCTAAACCTAATTGTCTTTGACATTCGTGTTAGGTATTTAAGCGAGATATTTGAGATAAAAAATGATTTAATGTGAGAAATTGTCTCGTCTAACCGTTTCTCAAATATTGTGTTTGATCTTTAAACATCCTTTGAACCTAATAATTGGTCCAGTTGGCCTGATATCTCGTTTTAGAAGTGGGAAATGTGATATTTTGACTCAAAGTAGCCCATCTGAGTAGTTTTCATATGTTTGCAAAGGGTGCATAAATATCAAAATGCATTGCTGTTGCGATATCTGACTCGAAATGTCTCATTTTCTAGGCACTATTTGGACATCGTTTTTTTGGCAAATTTACCCTAAATTTTCATTACTCTCACCAGTTTGTTTGCATAACTGTACTAAATGTTGGTATCGAGAGGAGTTCGCTGGTCTAAGGTGAGCTTCACATCTTAATATCATAACATGATAGATGAGGTTGTGATTGTAAATCTTGTCAAACTAATGTTAGAGACAGCGGATGAAAATTCACAAAAGATGATAAATGTTACTATCTTTCAACCCCTAAAGTTTGTACCATACTAAACGTATTATGTTTTTATTTATTTATTTTCATTTTTTTTGTTCTTAGATTATACTTAGCGTTAACATTAGACAAAGTAAGATTTTCTTAAATAAAAAAAATTCATTGTTTATATCTTGGAGCTGCCTTTAATTGTATTTTAGTGTTCAAATTTGGTGTGGAACTGAGGTGGATCAAACCGAACCGTTCAACTTTTGAGCCCATCTTCTGGTTTTATTCTCATAGTAAAAGTTAAAACTAAAGACAAAGCACAATCCCAATGGTCAAATGGCGCCATAATCCAGCACCCTAATCCACCCTTCCATCCCCTTGTTTGCACCTGACTTTTTGTTTTCTCCCCATTTTTGGTTCCTATTCCGGCACATAAACAAAATTAATAAAAAAATAAACAATTAACTTTTGATGATTATTACTAAGCTTGGATTTTTTCAAAATTAAAAAAAGGAGCCATTCTCAAAGAAGAGGCAGACCAAACAAAAGGGAATATGCTATTTATTATTATTATTATTAATGCTAATATTTAAAGTTGTCAATCCGGTTTAACTCGTTGGTCCATTCGATAAGTGAGTCGAATGTTACAGCAAAATAATAATTCTTACTCGGACTCAACAGAAACACATTAGGCAAAATTCAAGCACACTCATATAATATCAATATTCAAGCATTCAATTTTCGAATTCTAAAATTAGAGTCAGGCGAGAAGAAAACCCGAAAAGAGGTGCAATTCACAAATCAAATGGGAAAAAAGCTACATCATATCATATAACCTCCATTTCAGGATGCGAGTTGACTCGCAAATTCGTGGAGGCCATTTTTCTCACCGAGCTCGGGTCAATCTGATCGACCCGTGGCTTGACAACCTTCCTAATATGAAATCAAATTATTAAAATGCCCCAAAATTTAGAAAAAAAAAATAATAAAAAAATAGTAAGGGTCTCACAATGGAAAGGGATGAGGGATAGAATTTGGTGGGTTTTGAGCTGTGATTTAGCTGTCCTTTTGATATTTGCATTATTTCCTTCCCCCCTTCCCTCCTCCAATTCTCCATTCCCTTCTTCTTCTTCTTCATAGCCTCCCTGCCTTTCTTTCACACATCTCCATAATCCCTAGAATCCATTAAAACCCTCCTTCCCCCTTTCTCTCTCCTCAACCCCCAAAAAAACCCACCATTTCCCCCTTCTTCCTCCTCCATTCTCAGATCTCAAAAAATCTCCACTACCCAGAAGCCAAAACCCATTTCCCCACCCAACCCATTTCTCCAAACAGGCCAAAGATTCAAGCTTTGGCTCCTGTTTGAGAGGAAAATCAAAGCAAGAACTCGAAAGAAAAGCCCCATTGGAGTGGCACTTTTGCTAGTGAGCAGTAGATGTTGCTCATTTGAAATGAAGGAGAAGAATACCAATTTGTTCCCTCTTCTTCTCCTCCTCCTCCTCTCCTTCGTTTCCCTTTCCCTTGTCAGCTCGTCTTCTGATGCAGAGATCCCACCAGCCATTTCCAGCCATGGAACACTCACTCAAGCCGAGGTCTCCTACCTCCGCCGGCGGCAGCTCCTGTACTACAAGGACGAGTTCGGCGACCGGGGCGAGAACGTGACGATCCCGCCGGGCTTCGTCTTCGAGAACCCGAGGCTCCGCGACGCTTACATCGCGCTGCAGGCCTGGAAGCAGGCGATTATCTCCGACCCGTTCAATGTCACCGGAAATTGGACCGGCCCGGATGTCTGCAGCTACGAGGGTGTTTTCTGTGCTCCGGCGCCGGACAACAAAACCATCCGTACCGTCGCCGGCATTGACCTCAACCACGCCGACATCGCCGGTTACCTGCCCGAGGAGCTGGGGCTTTTAAGAGATCTGGCGATTTTCCACATCAATTCGAATCGATTCTGTGGGATTGTGCCTCAGAAGTTCAGGAACTGGAAGCGGCTCTACGAGCTGGATCTCAGCAACAACAGGTTCGCCGGGAAGTTCCCCAATGTAACTCTATTGATGCCCAAATTGAAGTTTCTGGATCTCAGGTTCAACGAATTCGAAGGCACGGTGCCGAAAGAGCTGTTTGATAAGGATTTGGATGCGATTTTCATCAACCACAATCGATTCCATTTCGAGCTGCCGGACAATTTTGGGAACTCCCCTGTTTCCGTGATTGTGCTGGCCAACAACAATTTCCATGGCTGCGTCCCCGCGAGCTTAGGGAACATGAGGAATTTGAACGAGATTATCATGATGAACAATGGGTTCCGGTCGTGCTTGCCGCCGGAGATCGGGCGGCTGAGGAATTTGACGGTGTTTGATGTAAGCTTCAATCAGCTGATGGGTCCGTTGCCGGACACGATTGGAGGGATGGTGAGCTTGGAGCAGCTGAATGTGGCGCACAATTTGTTGTCCGGTGCGATTCCGGGGGCGATTTGTCAGCTGCCGAGGTTGCAGAACTTCACCTACTCGGATAATTTCTTCACCGGAGAGCCGCCGCAGTGCCTGGCCTTGCCGGCGGTTGATGACAGGAGGAATTGCCTGCCTAATCGGCCGGCGCAGAGGCCGCCTGGGCAATGCCAGGCGGTTTTGTCGAAGCCGGTTAGGTGTAGTGCTTTCAGATGTGCTCCTTTTGTTCCTCCTCTGCCTCCTCCGCCTCCTCCGTCGCCTCCACCGCCGCCTCCTCCTGTGTACTCACCTCCACCGCCTGTTTACTCTCCTCCGCCGCCTCCACCTGTCTACTCACCTCCTCCACCTCCGCCAGTTTACTCGCCTCCACCACCGCCGCCGGTTTACTCTCCACCACCACCACCTCCATCTCCACCGCCGCCGGTTTACTCTCCACCACCTCCACCGCCGTCGCCGCCACCACCACCTCCTCCTTCACCGCCACCGCCGTCTCCACCACCACCCTCTCCTTCCCCTCCGCCACCTTCACCTCCTCCGCCTTCACCACCGCCGCCCTCTCCATCCCCTCCGCCACCATCACCGCCGCCGCCATCACCATCCCCTCCACCTCCCTCACCACCGCCACCATCGCCATCACCACCACCACCTTCCCCATCGCCATTGCCTCCATGTACCCGTCCCCCGCCGCCACCACCACCACCAAATTCACCACCGCCGCCTCCACTCTTCTCCCCGCCGCCACCGCCAAACCATTACTACAGCAGCCCACCACCACCTCCCCATTCCCCTCCGCCCCCAAATTCCCCTCCACCGCCATCTCCGCCGCCTCCCGTCTACCCCTACCTGTCTCCTCCACCTCCCCCGCCACCGGTCTACCTTCCCCCACCGCCTCCCCCATCTTCCCCTCCGCCCCCGCCGCCGTGTATAGAACCACCTCCACCTCCGCCGCCGTGTGTGGAAAACCCACCCCCTGCGCCACCAGCAATCCCACCCTATAAACCACCGCCGTCTCCTTCCCCACCACCACCACCACCAATCCATCACCCATCCCCACCGCCGGCGCCAATCTTTTACCCATCCCCACCTCCACCGTCGCCAAGATTACACAAAAGCCCTCCTCCTCCACCGCCAGAGTACATGGGGCCATTGCCGCCAGTCGTGGGAATTCCATACTCATCCCCTCCACCACCGCCTTACTATTGATTCTTTTGAGAATTCCCTCTTTCTAACCCTTTCATCACAAAAAAAAAAAAAAAAGGAGACTTTCGTTTCAGCATCAACAACTACAACTACAAAACAGCAATTCTTCTCTTCTATTTTTACTCTTTTTGTGATGAGGCAATTCTCGTGCTTCAATTTGAGAGATGGAAATAAAGAAGAAAACTTTCAGGTATCAACAGCAAAGGGTTACAGTCAGAGTTTCCAAGTTTCTCCTCCGGCAACCAAAAATGGCGGTAAAAGGGGCTATCAATCTTCCAAGTTCATCACCGTATATGATGTCTAGATATCATTTTCATACCAGTAAGATGGGGAAAGTATTCTCAATAGATTTTATTCGAATTGTTCGTTATCACAATTGAGTCCTAAAAGAAGAGTAATAAGGTACTTTCAGAGAGAGTTAGAGAGATCTTGCAGTGGGGGGAAAGTTTGTATGTATAGAAGGTGGGAATTGGGATGGAGAGGCACCATGATCAGAGAAAAGAGAGCTACTTGCAGCTGCTGGGATGGCATTTTTATTGTTTTTCCTTTTCTTTTTTTCTTATTTATATCATACTTCTTCTTCTTGGATCTTTGTTTTGATTTTCCTTCTCTTTTTTGTTGGGCAATTTTTATATAATATAGATCATGATGAACAATTCTTACTTGTATTTTGATCATTCCCCAGATTTTCATTTGTGTCTACTTGGTTTTTCTGGTAGATGGTGTTCTTAGTCTTGTATGTGTTGCTAGAAATAATGCCTCCCTGTTCTTCCATCTTGAGCAGTCAGCAATGGCAATCGATGTTTGCTCCGACTAGTTCATCTCGATAGCTCGAGTTTGCAGTATCGAACATTTCCCCTAAATCACAAACGAAATTGCCCCTAAATCACAAACGAAATCGCTATGTCGGTCTCGCAATGTGTGTGAGATTATGTGATGGGAGATTTCAGTGCTATCAAGCCACCATGGTGAATAGAGTACGACTTAACAACGATTAGATCGTGTGTCTTGAATGATAAATCTAGTGCCTTATTTCCATTTTCCTCCTTGATTGGTGGTGGGAGAGGAGATTGATTAGTTTGCGGGAATTGGGGCAGCTGTTTGAACTTTGAATTGGGAAAGCACTTTTTAAAATGGAGATGGAGACTTTGTTGGGATTAGGATAGGGAGGGAAGCATGTGCTCGCCATTGATGGGAGTTTGAAATTTTTTCAAACAGAAAGCAGATTTTAACATTGAATTTACCTTCCAGGCCGTTAACTTCACAGCCTTAGCCTCTCTGATCAGAGGCTCTCTGTTGACTTGAATGGTCAGTTACTTCCCATTAAAGAAGTGAAGAAAAAGGAATCAGAAGGCTCCCAGAAAGGATTAAATAGGGAGGGAAGAGTCAAACAGGAGGAAATTAAAAGAGTGGCAAAACAAACATGCTGCTCATAACTATACTACTCCTCTGACTCAACAAACTCAAACAAATTGGAACTTAAACTTATGTTATGCTTGCATTTAGATTATACCAGTTCACAAAATATAAAACAGAGACTATAATGCAAATACGATGAGTCATACCTTCCCGTTCATACGAAGGCCAATTTGTATGAGCCCGAAGTTTGCTAAGGTCCGAATTTCACGTGCCTGACAGCACATATGTGAGTAACTGGAATTCGAAAAGAAGACTTTTCAGCCACAAAACTCGAGTTGTTGGGAAATGTTCAATTATGACGGTCAGAACGCTATTCGCCACCGAAGATCATTGACAGTCCATCCTTGCGACAACAAGTATACCATGTTGAGCAAAATTTTGTGTTTTAGAAAATCATGCATATTCTCTTCTTTTCTGTGAAGGTAACAACATAAGTGAATTTCAAAACAAACATAACAATACATTGGCCTTGCTTCATCTACGAGCAATCTCTGTCCACCGTCGCATAATCCCAATATTGTGATACATTGTGATGGATCGTATTCGAGCAACTCCCCAGAGGCGGGCATATGGTGTCGTTTTGTTCAACCGTCATGGTCAAGCTGATATTGGACGAGCTGAAGCCGTGCTTTGTGTTATTCAGAGGAATGTGAATGCAGAGAGTGTTTCCGATGTTGTGTTCTCGATCGAAGAAAGGAATGTCCCTCGTCTGTTTCGACCGTGCTTGATTGTATTTCTTGTTTCCATCTTCATGTTGTAATCTCCTCCTCTTCGTACCCTAATTTGTCTTTTAAAAAAAATCAGACACAAACAGAAAAAGTGTAGTGTCGTGGGGGAGTGAATTGGTGAGTGCCAAATGGGTGAAAAGAACAGTAAGTGAATCTCCAAAATGACAGACGCAATCAGACAGACAGTCCACTTTACTTCCTCTAATGCAAAAAAAAAAAAAAAAAAACAACCCATCAAGCCAAAAGGCTCGCCGACGGTCCTGCAGGCGGGAGCAGTTCAAAATGAAGAACACAGTAGAAAGAAAAAAAGGCAGCCATGGAAATGGAATTCTCGTGTAGGCTAGTGTAATTGTTCTTGGAAAGAGAAGGACCAATTGTGAAATGAAAGATACTATAGGGACCAATTGTGTAATAGTTATAAGTTACATTCTGGAGACGGATGTTTTCCTCAATCCTGAGGGTGAAATGGATAGGATGATGATATTTATATTATTTGCCCGTTTATAAAATTGTGCATCTCATGAACTTTGTCGCCAATTGGTAATCATGGTTTAGAGGATCTCTTTCTCACAACTTGCTGCTTATTATAATTATCTTAATCTGAATCTATTATGTGGAACGTACCAATCGTAATATTATCAAAGAATTTCCTACTAATAAATCTATATAAATACTAAGAACATTCGTAAATGATTCATATTACTAGGTTTGTATTATCATAAAGATTAATAGCATCAATAAATTATTCATATGGTTCAAGTTAGATACAAAATGACGTCGTTTTTGTGTTTGGATGCGGGCCGGGTGAAAAGTGGGTTGTGGTTTGGAAAAACCCAAACCCAAACCAACCCACCAATTTCCAAAACGAAAAACCCCAAACCCAACAAAATCCATCAACAATGGGGTTTACCCTCTTAGACCGGGGTGGATATCCATGGGGTTCGGGTTCGATTTGCATCCCTAATCTCAATATGTTAAAGGGCTTGATACCATTCAAGAATCAGTTGATCAGTTTCATTTTTTTTTATTTGTCGGAAAAAAGGTCAAAAATGATATGATACAACAACTGAAATCGGATAAACAAAAGCGAGCCTGTCATAAACCAGTTTGGTCTCAATAACTCGAGTTGTTGGGAGAAAGTTATACTGAATCTTATACTACTCTCTAACAGAGCCCTATTCCCACGTTGATCTTATAAGCTTGCATCCATGATCCATCCCTTAGTTCCCCAAAGTAAACTACAAATTAAGCCCATATCTAACTTACATGCCAACCCTAAATCATGCAAACTTCAGCAAAGACTCGAGGAAGGACAAGAACAAGAGATAAGTGAAAGACTACAAAACTCAAGAACACAATGATATGAAATTGAAGGGGCCGGGGAACAATCTAGTGGAGACATGTGGAGAAATTACAAAAGGTGGCGCAATGCAACAAAATGGTCGAATTCAAGGAAACTACGAAATACCCTTTCCGGCTTGAGCGGGGAAAAGAGCAACACGAAGAGATTTTGATCGATGAAAACATAAAGGAGTATCGTTGCTGCTTTGCTTGCTTTGCAGCTTTGTCCTATACTTGTTAAAAGGCTTTATCAGAGGCATGCCAAATTGCAAAAACACAATATAGTCGCAACACACAGTAGAAGAATCTTTTGATGGATGAGATCCTATCCTTATCTTCATATGCAATGGCGGAGCTGCGTTGTAGTCAGAACTTGACTACAAATTACAATCGCTTTATTTTTGTCTAAGGTTATATAATATGTACATCTCATATCGTGAAAAAACATTTAAAAAGTTGTAACATGAGGTTAGTAGTCTCCATCTTCTAATATTTAGATTCAATCGTGAAAAACTCTTAACAATAGTAGTCTCCTATCTTCTAATTTTAAGATTCAATGGTGAAAAGCTATAACAATTTGGCATCAATCTATAAAAGTTTTGCCTACATGCATTTTTTTTTCTTTTTGCTTTTTATTAACATGGGATGGGATGGAAAATTTTCACCATGTTCATAAGTTATTTTACAAGGGTGATTGGGGACATTGTTTTTCCAACTGAATTGATGAGAACTTTGTATGGTCTTAGATCAAATTAAGAAATCTGATTTGGAAGGGTTGTTTTGTAAATTGACGCTCGTTTGTATTCCACTTGATCGGCTCAGCCAATCAGTTTCCTCTACTATCTATATACTTTAGCGTTCTCCGGCTTCTCGTCACCGTCAAAACTCAAATAGCATGAGTATTACGAAGATAAATCTATAGTTAATTTTCGTGTTCATCGAGTTGGTTTTCACCAACTTTTATCACACCATCATACCTTTTTCATATTACATATTGATTATTGTACAATCCTTTGGAGATCAGTATTTGCATGAGCTTTCTTCCTATACTTCATTAGACATCATTATCATAGTTTTCACCATTGGTTCTATTTCTCATTTCACTCATATATCTTCCTATTGCATGGGTCATGGTGGCATTAAATTGGAGGCTCCATGGACAGGCTGGGATTAGGTTGAACATATTTAATATTTGGGCTTCTTCTGTCACTCAAAAATAAAAAAATAAAAAAGGGGATACCCTCATCTCCAACAAGGAGCCCACAAGTGGAAAAAACCCAAATCATAAAAATAAAAAAAGGTTAAAAAACAAAAAAATAAATAAAATAAACAAGAACAGAATAATTAGAAAGTGGGTTTCTTTCTTCCTTACCAACTCTGATATCTCTCTGCTACTTTGTACCCAAAACTATACTTCTTTGCTTTGCTTAGCCAGCCAACTCTTCTTAATTATCGCAACAGAAACCTTGATTAATAATAATTAGCAGTCTGAGGTATAAACAAATGCCCAGAGAGGTGCCAGATGGCTGATTAGAGGGAATGATTGCTTAGTTTATATAAGAGAGAGTTCATATAATCATATTTAGAGTATTGATTCAGGCAATGAAAGCCATGGACGGCAGAGACAAAGAGCTAAGAGTAGAGAATAAGGTTGAGGTAGGTATATAACTAACGGGAATCCTGTCATGTGCAGGATCGGATTATTTGTGGTTGATTGGAAGTCACGAGATTTTGATGCCTGGCCCGTTAGTCGGGATCCAAGGGCAAAGTGGTTGGTTTAGGGGGCTCAATTAAGAGCAACGACGTTGATCCACGGTGTATGAGCTTATTATGTTCTAGCCGTGTTTTGTAACATTTTTCTTTTACCGGATTGAATTATAGTTAGGCCGTTTGAAAAAACACCTATATATACTTCTCAATCCATATGTATACAGGTTTGACTTTATAATTATATAAATATCTTTTTACACATTGACTTCCAACATAAAAACCAGCACGACGGAAGTTTGTATATGAAAGAAATGATGATTTATATCATGTGCTCCATCCAATGCCATTAATCAACTTAACAAAGGAAGGCGGAAACAAAATTGAGGGCTACAACCTCTCCTCGTTTTAATTTACCTCCACCACCGTATACGGCGCGGATGAAGACACACAGTAAAATCGGAGATTCCAAACAATCAAAATCAGAGTTAATCGAAAGAGACTTCAAATAACCAACCAACTCGAATTTCTCTGTTGAATATGAATATATAACTGGTCGGTCTCGATAGTCATATTTGTTGTTGGGAGAGACTTCAAAACTAAGCTGTATACATTTATTCTCTATCCGCCTATCAAATGAAAGCCAATTTATCCGGACTTCGAATTCACAAATACCGTTTTTTTATTATTCTAAACAAATTGTTAGCTTTATATTCAGATAATTCGAACAAAAAACATTTCTCGATCGTATCATACGACATATATTAAAACCCTTATACAAATTCTATACTTAAAAACATTGAAATATCCACCTCGCCGTTCCATTTATCATTCCTAACATGTGGAAGTGAGAGAGAGAGATAACGGATATGCCGTCTGATTGAATTTACTGGAAAAATCCATTGGGATAATATGATTGATGAAGGCAGCGAAGGGGGCAAAGTCAAGCCCTCATTGCACGCTTTGCCGCGGCAGTTGCTTGATTATTATTATTATTATTATTATTATTATTATTATTATTATTATTATTATTATTATTATTATTATTATTATTATTTCATTTATTTAGTAATTTCCCCTTCTTCTTCTTGTTTATATATTTCCTTGGCCTCAATCAGAGCCTCAGACTCAGATGGTGTAGTCTGGTCAACATTCATTCCTTCCATTTCTTCTTCTTGTTCTTCATCCTTAAGCCAGCCTGTCACCTTGTAGCTGTTGCCGACTTTCTTTTTGACTCGTTTGTTTCTTTTTTACCCGTTATTATGATCGAAAATATCATATATCAGATCTCAAAAGATGAGCGATTTTATCGCTACAAATCGGTTGAATCACTTATCTAGTACGTACAAAATACCACACTATTAACTTTCTCAATACAGTATTCGGTACGGTTTCACAATCATTGATTCAACCACACAAAAACAAATATGTAAAAGGAAAAATAGGCATACGGTGCCTCTCCAAATTGTAGATTCGATTTGATTTGGGAACAACCTTAGAGAACAGAACTCCGTGTAAAAAAGGGATATTTAATGGATTGAACTCCCTCAACTAAAACAGACATTCATATATGGGGGTTTGAAGTTTGTACATGTCCGAAATTCAATCGGCTTAATAAATGGGGTTGCAAGAGTTCGATTGAAGAAGATCTCTCGTTTGGATCTAATATCATGTCAAGAATCGTATTAATCCCAATAACTCAAACTTATAAAGAGAAGCTCAATAATGAACCTTATATCACTTACCGCTGCCGTTGTGCATGGTTTGATTTTGGAGGATTGGGTAAATGAAAAACAACATTTTCTGGGCTAGGCCCTCAGCCACGGCCCCGCCGCCTAAACAATAGAAGCATCTCATCTCCAACTTGATGGACTTAGCCCAAGGCAGCCTGATCATTCTGATTTCTGAAGGATCAGTCCATTCAGCTTTAGCCACTGGCCAGCCCATAAAAAAAAGCCCACGTCGTCTCTGGGTCTCTCTTTCAACCGCGTCGAAGCGAGAATTAAGCCTGGTTAAGTTTCAATAATCAGAGTCAGTCAGGCCCATAGCCGTTGGTTCACCAATTTTGAAAGGTTGGGTCAAAGCCCAACTCGACCAATTCACATAAACACACGAAGCTTCATCCAACTAACTATGTTGCAGTAGTAATTAACAAAATGGTTTTGGTTATCAGGGAATTCAGAAAATGTTGGGATTGAGAAGGTGGATTCCACATACTTCCAAAGATGATTTGACGCAAAAGTTAATGCAACTTTTGGGTTTTTCCAATTCCCTTGATTTACGTTATCTTATGGGGAGTAAAATCAGCCATCAACGAACTTAAATAATTGGAAAGACGAGGGGCAGATTAAAAAAATAAATATATGTGAGGGGCTGGAAATAAGAAACTACTAAGGCTAGATCTTAAAAGAGAAGGGTCTATAGTTCTAATCTAATACTTTTCGATATTATGAATTCACATATTAATTACAATATTGGACCCAATGCGGTCAAAAGGGCGATTCTACCTAGAAGCGGAAAAAGGGTAAAATCGTAAAGCGTAGAATTAAAGCGTAATTTTTTTACGCATACTGTAATATGACTAAAAATCTATTAAGTACGGCGTATATTATGTAAAATGTGTGTGCACATAATTTAGATAAGTTAATAAGTACTTGCAATTCAAGCATTAAGTAGAGCAACTTATAACATCTTAACAATAAGTTCATCAACATAAATCTTAACAAAAAGCCACATTCCCCTCTATGCTAATGAATTTGGGAAGAGCCTAGCCGGTGAATTAGATTACTCTATTGAAGCTGAGAATGCATCCAAGTACCTGATATATCTTTTTATCTTAAATGAATCATATTGTTGGTGATTTAACTTAAAAATATAATTTTTATAATTAATTTCAAGAAAAGTATACCCATTAAGTGAACTAAAAACGTAAAAGCATAAATCGTTTTGGTAACCTAGAAGTGTAAAACCGTAAGTTTTTTAATTTTAAAACACGATTTTAATTGCATTGATTGTACAGTATATAAGACTATAACCTCTCCTTAGTCTTTCACTTAGATCCACCACGGTTGCAAGATTTTTGTTTTTGTTTTGTTATATATCTTCCATCCACGGATAATTTATAAGCTTGGAAACACGAGGGTTGGAAGAAGATGGGAATTAACAAAACAATATTATTCATTAGTTCAGGTACCTGATGGGTTATATTACATTTGGTGGACCAAAAGATCCAAATCCAAGACTACGGGGAAAATCACGTGCGTGCATGTGCACTAAATTTGCTGAATTTACAAAATTTAGTACCTTAATAATTATAGTCCCTCAAGCCAGCACCATGCACTTATTTTATTGTTTCTTATCAGAACAAGTGATAAACTATAGATCCTAATAGGAAAAGCTAAACAAATACTCATCTGGGCGTTTGGTCTAGTGGTATGATTCTCGCTTTGGGTGCGAGAGGTCCCGAGTTCGATTCTCGGAACGCCCCTACTTGGGTTTTTTTCGATCAATTGTTTTGACCTTTCCTAAAAGTGAAGAGGGTTGGTTGGTTTTGGGGCAACATTCTGGCCTAGAGGTATGATTCTCGCTTTGGGTGCGGGAGGTCCCGAGTTCGATTCTCGGAACGTCCCTATTCGGGTTTTTTTTCTATCATTTGTTTTGACCTTTCCTAAAAGAGAAGAGGGTTGGTTGGTTTTGGGGCAACATTCTGGCCTAGAAAGGTGCGATTTCTCTGAAAAATGTTTCTGTGTATTTGCTTTGGCTCCAGCAGTGCAAGTAAAGTGGTTGTTCTTCATGTTCATGTTTTGGCTTGCCTCGACAATCCATGGCTACAGAAGTCATGATTAATCATTGCTCTTGATTGCCTTTCCACCATCATTAACTATTATGAGCCCTTTTAAAGAACAGAAACTATTATGAGCTCTTAAAAAAAAACTATAGGTTTGGGGACGGGTTAGCATGCTAACCCCTTAAGGGGTTGGTTTTTTGACACCCCTTTTTAATTGGTCAATTTTTCATTAATTATTGACAAGTATTAATGAAAGTAAACATAATAAATGTTCTGTTATTAAATACAAAGTAAGCATTAAATACACCACATTAATTACCACTTTAATGGTATTTGTACCACTACAGTGGTACAACGTACCAGTACAGTGGTACAACGTATCAGTGCAGTGGTACACCGTATCAGTGCAGTGGTATATTTTTTGGAGGTGGTCGGAGGGAGTCTGCCGATGGGATTTTCACCGGAGAAGTGTGGCGGTCGGAGGGAGTCTGCCGATGGGATTTTCACCGGAGAAGTCTGGTGGTCAGAGACTGCTGAAAAAGGAAAAATCAAATATAGTGAGAGAATTCCTAATGTGTATTTTATGTGTGTATTTAATTCCTAATGTGTATTTAATAGTGAGAGAATTCCTAATTAATATGGTACATTTAATTCCTAATGTGTATTTAATGTGTGTATTAATATACTAGGGGGGTGTCATTTTTCCAACCCTAAGAGGGGTTAGCATGCTAACAGACCCCATAGGTTTGGAAACTACTGGTTTCCTCCTCCACTTTCTGTTCTGGGGGTTTCATTGCCATTTATTATGCGCATGGCATTGAGTTGGTGAGTAAAACACCCTTGCCCCAACTAGAAGCAAGATTGCAGACCATTTCGTAATTTCCTTAATTTAACCACTCATTAGGGTATGAGGTGTTTAAGTACTAAAGCCTTAATTAGTGTAGAGATTCTTCTGTGTTTTCTTTTTCGGTCGGTAAGTTGCATGGAAAACTGTTTACAAAGGTGGTGATTGAGCCGAAGACTTGGAGACTGGATCTAAGGAAACAGCTAGAACAGAGAGCTCGCTGACGAGGACGCTGCGGCAATAGCAGAAACCGATGGGGAGATCATCGACGAGTCGAAGCCCACGGCGGAAGCAGCTCTCAAAGTGCGGGGCAAGAGGATGAGGATGGGTGTTGATTAATTATTATTATTATTTTGATCTTTTAATTTTTTTAAATTGACATGTCATTAAGTTAACCGTCTAGTCAGCAGTTCCGTTCGCCACGTCATCAATAAACTGACAGAGTTAACGGAGACTAACGGCCGGTGACTAACGGTGAAAAAATTCGTAAAGTTAGTGGTAAATAAGAAAGAAAAGTGATTCGGGTGGCAAGCGTGAAGGATTTATGTAATTTGGGTGACCAAACGTGTAATTTTGCCCTAAAATAATCTTGTTACCAAGACTGCAGGGAGATTTTGAGAGGAAGGAATCAGATTTTGGTTGGACCACTCAATTGTATTTTTACTAATTTATTTTCGAGTTACTCTCACAGTCAATGACATGTTATAATTTCATCAATTTATTTTGTAAATGCTCTTAGTGGGCGGGTATAGATATGGAACGAAGAAGGCTAAAATGGTACCCGCCTCCATAACCATCAGACCTTTTTGCGAGTTTTACCCATACTCATTCTATACCTAGTTAATTCGAGAATTTTCCATATTTACTGGATGAGAGAGGAGAACGAATATCGCTTGTCATGGTTTTGATTGCCGATCTCTAGTACCTCCCCAATTCCTTTCTTATACCAACCAAAGTGGTTATACATACAAATCCGTATTAGTTAGCAATCAGTACTATTCATTCCCCAGTTTGCTTTGCTTCTTCTATCTTGAACTCCCCATTTGGCGAAAGCAAAAGAAACCAAAGGCGCAAAAGCAACTCCACCGGAGGCGCCTTTCCTATCCGTCTCTCCATCTCTTCCTTCCACTCCAAATCCAGATAACACGTTTAAAAGCCGCGGACCAGAGAGCGAGGTCTCGCAACTGCAGCGAGCTAGCTGGAGGAGGAGAAGAATAAGAAGACGACGACGATAAGAGAGCCGTGCAGCTTACCTTCCTTTTTTTCTCTCTCGCATGCTCTCTGCGTGAGAAACAGAGCAAGAACAAAGAAGAAAGGAAAAAAGGGCAGAGAGGAGATATTTCATTTCCCTTGGTGGGTTTCTCGCCATTGCTGGAATCTAGCCTCATTCTGGGTTATTTTCTTCTCCGCCGGGAGATCTGCTGACTCTTCCATTTCACCAGGTGAAGTGATTTAACTTCTCTCTGCAAATCCGATTCACATATGGAAATTATGCTCTGTTTTTTTTTTTGTCCCCTGTTTTTGGTTTCTTGCTACTGTGGTTTTACAATATGGCTTCGAGTTCTCCCTTCTGTTTATCGGTTTCTCAGGAACCAAACAGAGGGGCGAGCGGTTCGTTGAATTTTCACCATTCTGTGTTTACCAATTGTATGTTTCTGTTCATTGAATAGGGATGGGGAGGATTGGGGGTGGGTTTTGATTGACACGGGAGAAAGAATCATTTACGTTGCTTGTGTTGGCAGCAATCTTTATTGCACCATGAGCTCTTCTAATCTGCAACGAAATAATTGTGTTTCGAAATACAAATTGAATGGCTATCGTAACGTGTTAGATATGCAAGTTCAGTTTATAATATAAAAAAAAATCTTGCTATTATCTGATGACACAAGTTCAGTTTGTAGCATATATAAAGTACAAATTCAGTTTATATAATAATAAAAAAAATTGTATAAAAAATACAAATACAAGTACGAATTCAGTCTGTACCGTAATTTTTTTTATATCAGAATACCAATGGTATAAAGTATAGTAAAAATTTTCTTTTGTACCGTATCAATCGATAGAATTGACTTATAAATTGTAATAAGTAGTTTTTTTAATGGATTTGCAGTTATACTTTAGACTGTCATACTTATTAACTTAATTGAAGATACTACTTCGAAATTTGTATTAATTAGGCTAGGATCGAGAGATATTTTTATAAAGATCAAAGTAGTCGTCACAAACAAACATTTTATCGATACTTTATATTTGTTATCTAAAAGAAAAAGAAAAAGGAACCCATAAAAATCGAGTCAAAAGAATAAAGAGAGAGAGTAAGGTGATCTCATTAAAAGGAGCCAAATCATGATCCAATTTTTGCCCCCACCACCCAAACATCAACACTAATCACATAAGCTTAATCAGCCTCTCCTTTTACCTCAAAATGGCAATTAACCCAAAAATAGTTAAGTACCATTACATGCCCCTTTTAAATAATTAGATGGTTTTCTTAATCTCAGAATCAACACATTTTAATCAAACATGGTTAGCAGAAATCAAGCCTTGAAATTCCTTTTCATTCACTCCTCCTGCAATGCTTCCACGCATTCCCACGAAATCAGATCTCTCTTTTTGTTTATTTATTTATGAACAGTATTTAGGCCCATAATTGTCAAACAGAGAAGACAAAAAGCAAAAGAGTATGGCAGGCAGAGATTCTTGTACACTGTTCAGAAGCAAGATCTGTCTGCTCTGCTCTTCTTGCTAACCTGCTGCTTCATGTGAGGAGGTGCAGAAGGTCCAATCATAAAGGGCAGCAGCAGGCAGGTTTTCTCTCTTTATCAGGTGACAAAAGAATTTCCAGTCCTGATGACTTGTTTTTTTTTCACACTGGTGGGACAGTTTCAATACTGTTCCAATCCGGCTAAGCGTGAAAGCGTGTTTATAAGTTATGAGTCTTATGACTTTCTCGTTCGATAATCAAATGATCGTGAATCACGTCCTGTATTCATTGACGTCGTGTGATTCTTGATTAGACGGTTAAAGAAAGTAAGCACCATCTTAATATTTTGTTGCTTACACACTAGTGTGGTGGGACAGTTAAGACTAAGTCGAAAGGATAAACGTGAAAGCGTGTTTATAACGTTCTTAGTTGTCTGTTCGAGAATCAGATGGTTGTAATTCGCACGAAATGTGAATCACGTCTCACATACACTGACGTCTGACGTCATTTGATTCTTGACTATGCATTTAAAGAAAGTAAGCGCAATGTTTATGCTTACTAAGTAATGTGTATGCTTAGTTTGCATACACATTCCGCGTTTTCTCAATCCTCGGGTATTTCGGCATAAAATACCATAGGTTGTTGTGGTGTAGTTTTTTGTTATAGTTCCCAACTAAGCATACACATTCCACGTTTTCTCGATCCTCGGATATTTCGGCATAAAATACCATAGGTTGTTGTGGTGTAGTTTTTTGTTATAGTTCCCAACTAAGCATACACATTCCACGTTGTTTTCTCGATCCTCGGTATTTCGGCATAAAATACCATAGGTTGTTGTGGTGTAGTTTTTTTGTTATAGTTCCCACGTTGGTATTAGATTAATCCGTGTAGTAAGGAGGCAGCTGCCTGGTCTAAGTTGTTTGAGACAGCTGACTATTGTGCCATATGGGGATTGAGAGGAGAAACATGGTTTATTATAATAAGAACATGAATGGAGGGGAGGTATTTTAGTTAGAATAGCATTATCAATTTGATAATGTGTTTAACACAGGTTAGCATAATATTAATTTTGTATTTACACCGGTTCATGTCAAGCTAAATGGTACTTAGGTTACACTCTAACGCTTTGAAAATACTGATTTGACATGACACCTCCGAGTTGCTTCATTTCATAATATCAGTCGCGATCGTTTCGTAATTGAATCTCTCCTAACAAGTTGAGTTATTGGGACTAAACTATTTTTAACATGGTATATAAGAGTTCTCAATTATTGACAGGTCTTGTGTTTGAATTTCAGTGATCTCATTTGTTAAATACATGATATTCATACATGTCCAAACTTCAAAATCGTAAATAGGTTTTCGTTTGAGGGTATGAAAGCAAAAATCTCTTGTCCTTCAGTGGAGCATCCCACCATTTATTTACATACAAAAACTAAATTTTCAAGCAATGCTACCAATTATTCATAGATTCACCTCTATTCATGCACATGAAATTACTTAAATAAGTTGCACGAAAATGTGAACAGTGTCCCATTCTGGGATATCTAACTTTTCCTTCTTATTATTTGATTCACCAAACTTTTTCCCTTGTTAATAAATTTTGGTGGGTATGGGAAATTTTCACATGGATGGCTCCTTACATATGAATTAACCGTTGTTGTACACTTGTACTATCAATTTCGATCCTCAGCTGTTCGGGCAAGATTTCTCAACTTCAACAGCATTAGAATTGGATTTTACGGTACGTTTAATGTCATTTCAGTAGGATTATGCTTTTGGGGAATTGATTTTACGGCTAATTCAATAGCCGGCAGTGGGGAATCTGACCATTTGCTGAACAGAAAATTGTGGCCGGTGGGTTGCCAAATGACCGGATTATGCTTTTGTTAGTTATATTGTTGGATTATATTAGTTAAAGCATCGTTGGATTAGGCTTTTTGCTAATTAATAATTATTATATATTTGGCTCAATAGAGAACTCCTAGGGTTAAGATTGAATTTCTAATTATTACCAAAATAAAATTAATTTCTAACAGGTTTTAGGGTAGGAAGGAATCGTCTCGTCCTCATCAATCATCATGGCCGCTCTCTTTGAGCGACTTTCGGCGTCGCCACTATTGGCGGTTAAACATATATAGAGATCCCTTTCATTTAAATTCTATTCATACTTCAGAAAAGAATAAAGATATGATCAAAGAAATAAAAATCAGCAAAGAAAATGAAATAATTTCCCTATATATTTTGTTCACTAACCCATTAGGCAATTAACACATCTCACAATGAGTTTGATTATCATAGGCGTATCGCGCCAGTATCACACTTATACTTTCTCGAATCGTTTGATTTATGAATTGGAGATCATAATACACACGAGGAAAATGGGTGTGTGTTTGTGTCAAGGTCACAATAATTCGAGCTGTGTTGGAGAGGTTAAAAATAACTCAGAGGAAGTGTAAGCACTTGCCTTTTCATATTTTACTATATGATAAAGCAGGATCAGAGCACAACTCTAAAATCATTGAACAGTTTGGATCAATCATCTCTCCATTGAAAACATGAATTAACGGTATTTTAATAAATGCTACCATATACGTATGAATCGAATTCGAAAATCCAACAACGACGACACGTACCGAAAAAACCCACTCCATCAGCTTTACCTCATCTTGCAGTCACGCTGAATTGACTGATTATAGTGCATACTGCAACAGTAGTAGTGGTGGTGAGTAGTGACAGGCACACCATCCCCTCTGAGCAATCATGGCTCCCAACTCCAGAATCCCATGAATGAAGGTCTCCTCCCTTCGTTCTAAATTCATTATATTATATTTAATTATTTCTGTACTTATCTCCTCCCTCTTTTATATATTCCGGATATAAAATTCCGAATTTTGTTCCAGAATTCAACTACAAGTTGGATCGGTTTCTCTGAGCGCCGCTCAGGAAATTCTTCCTTCCTTCGCCACTCCTTTTTTCACAGACGACGTTTGTATTTTAGGTGGGTTGGGCTTAGCTTTCAATTGAAGCACGATAGAGAAAGATGCAATGGAGTTGGGTCACATTCAGGTTTATGTTTGGTGTACTGTAGAATAACGTCTCTCTCTCACAACGAATCTTCTTCTTCTACTTCTTCTTCCATTGTTCAGATTCAAACGCCATTGCCAAATTCAAGGTTCAGAGTAAACAGGAGGAACTTAAAACAATGGCGGCTGGGAAAGATTTGAAATTGAAATGAGGGTTTTGTTTCTCTGTACCGTTGTTGTGGTGGGTCTGGTCTGAAAACTCTTGCCGGATTAAAATGGACGCCGCCGGCGTCGTTCTCCCCGGCGGCGGAAGTGGAAGCGCGAGCAGCACCAGCAGCAGAATCGAGAGGAACAATGCGGTGTTGAAGGACCCGTCGTGGTTCGGTCAGTTCAGAAACGGGTCGAACCCATGGATGGCTAGATACGTTTACGCCCTCATTTTCCTCTCCGCCAATCTCCTCGCCTGGGCGGCTCGGGACTATGGCGGTTCCGCTTTGACTGAGATGGAAAGTAAGAAGAAATTCCCATTCCTCCCTCAGCAATTCTTTCCTTTTACTTGGTTTGGGTTGGTTGGCTTCGGATTTTGATTTCAATTTTTGGGGATCTTGCGTTTTGCAGGGCTGAAAGTTTGTGATGGGAAATCGGACTGTTTGGGAGCTGAGGGGGTTTTGAGGGTGAGCCTGGGCTGTTTCGTCTTCTTCATTCTCATGTTCCTTTTGACCGTGGGGACTTCCAAGCTCCAAGATCCGAGGGACGCGTGGCATTCTGGATGGTGGTCGGCGAAAATCGCTATCTGGGTTGGAGTCACTCTGCTAGCTTTCCTCCTCCCTTCCACCATTGTCAGGATCTACGGTTAGTTTCTTTCAACCAACAATGGAGTTTCAAGCTTCTTGCGGTAATTGGATTTTGCTGTGCTGATTCTGCTTTCCTTCTTCCTTTCTGTTTATGCAGGGGAGATTGCACATTTTGGTGCAGGGTAATGTACCAATTGGTTTCTGAATGTGCCTTTCTTTCTTTATCCAGCTGAATGAATGATCCAGTGTTCAATCTTTGTTTCTGCAGGGTGTTTCTACTGATTCAGCTGGTGAGTGTGATCAGCTTCATTACTTGGATCAACGAGCGCTGCCTGTCTGAGAAAAACGCAGAAAGATGGTGAGGTTTTCTTCATCTTCTACTACCCTTTGATTCTCCTTAGTAGTAACAAAAATACTGTACTGGTTCTTCTGTTCTTGAACCCTTTTGATTTGAAATGGTGGCAGCCATATCCATGTGATGGTGGTGGCGACAGGTTCATATGTGATCAGCCTGGTGGGGATAATCATGATGTTCATTTGGTACACACCAGACCCATCTTGCCTGCTCAACATATTCTTCATCACCTGGTCCCTAGTGCTCCTGCAACTCATGACCAGTGTCTCTCTTCACCCTAAAGTAATAACTATATCCCATCTTCCTTCATTCCAACGTTGTTCATGGTCTGGTAGAAGAGAAGAAGGTGCTGAAACGTGCTCGTTCTTTTCGCGCAGATAAATGCCGGGTTCCTGGCACCTGGACTGATGGGGCTGTATGTTGTGTTCCTCTGCTGGTGTGCCATCAGAAGGCAAGCCTACCACACACCATTGCTCTTCAAATTTTAATGGTTCTAGCTCAATTTGGTCCAAAGCTGATCTTTTTTCTCTTTTATGGTAAATCTAATAACAGTGAACCAGCAGGGGAGAGTTGCAACAGGAAGGCAGAATCTTCCAAGAGAACAGATTGGCTAACCATCATAGTAAGTAAAACCACCTTAATCAAATCAATTCCCTCATTTCCAATCAAAATGTTTCGTAACGGTGACTACTTGGAGCTCTGCAGAGCTTTGTCATTGGGCTGCTGGCAATCGTCATAGCGACATTTTCGACTGGAATCGACTCACAATGCTTCCAGAAAAGCGAGACGAAAGGTGGTGGCGGTAGGGAAAAGGAAGAAGATGAAGTGCCATACGGGTATGGATTCTTCCACTTTGTGTTCGCGACGGGAGCCATGTACTTCGCCATGTTGTTGATCGGCTGGAACACCCACCACGCCATTAAAAAGTACGCTCTCCCCCTCATCATCACTATTCTTTTCCTATCTCACTTTTCCACCCTCCAATTTTCTCTTCTTTTCACTGTGGTCCTTGATCTAATCGTGATATCATGTTTTCTTTCGTCGTGGAGCGGACTTTGGTGGGGTTTTTTCCCTTTAATTTATCATCGAGAACACTTTTCCTAAAGTTAAAGCCAATAATTAGATTAGGGAAAAGTTGTGTTCTTTTCCTGTTTTTTTAACATTGGATGAAGAAAGTGACCAATGGGTTTGTTTTTGCACTGTCTGTTGCGCAGGTGGACGATTGATGTTGGGTGGACTAGCGCATGGGTGAGAATAGTGAATGAGTGGCTGGCAGTTTGTGTATACAGTAAGTAAAAAACTCTCTATTCGTCGTTAGCGCGGTGGCGCGGTTCGTGTTCGATTTGGTTAACCGAATTTAAACTCGAATTAACTAGCGGCTCAAAATCGATAAGACCTTAACGGTTTTGGTTTTGTGGTTTTGGGCAGTATGGATGATGGTGGCACCGATAATACTGAAGAGCAGAAGGGCAGCAGGGGGATCACCGCCGGTTTAGGAAAGGGACAAAGATAGAGGAAAGAATGGGCTTTTTGTTCGTTTTAGGGGGTGGCTTGGGCTTTCATCCTTCTTCTCCTGGTGGTGGTGCTATTGGGCCAAGGAGCATAATGGGCCAAACAGAGAGGGGACATCACTAACGTTTAGGTGGTTTATACGATGATGTTTAACAAGTTGGACAAAAGGGTGAAAATGAGATTTGACATTCATTTGTTGGGTGGGTGGAGAGGAATTGGATTCCTGTAAATAATAAGCAAAAATGAATGGAGTCGGTCTCATTTGGAAGGTGTGTATTCATGGATGGGGATGGATTCTGAAATCAATGGTTTTTGGAATACATCAAAGTTAGCTTCTTTTTTCTCAGTTGAGTTGTTGGTCCATGGTCAACAATTGAAGGGCATGTCTCAAAGTCTCAGTCGATGTCATTTGAGCATTTGGAAGCATTTTCCATGGTTGAAAAAAGAGAACTCAATTCCATTCCATTCCATCTTTCTCTCCTGCCCATTAACTGCTGAGGTGTGGAATTTTCTCTGTTCAAATATTCGCTCGTGGCCCTCGTTCGTCACAACGCTTCTCTCAAGTGTTCTTGTGTGTGGATTTGGATGTCACTTGTGGCTCTCTTCCTTCGCAGCATTTCATAGCCCATTTGAAAATGAGTGATTGGCATATGAAAAGATTCAAAAGAATTGTAAGCCATTGGTGAGTGAAGTAAAACATCATTGAATCGTGGAAAGAATTGTAGAGATTTGATTACCGGTAACAGAGTTAGACTACTACAACGAGCCGATATAGTATCCACACTTAGCATAAGGGGCGTACGAGCTTAGCCTCGTCATAGGATCTGTCGCAACGCTACCTCCACACAAAACTAATCTCGAGATCATTCTACGCACCACTACTACTTCCACTTGGACTAATAACTCTTTTGTGCATGCTTGATACATAGATGACAATTTTGTATCTAATCCACCAGTCCAATTCAATCTATCCAACTAATCCAAGTAACAAAAGAAGCTTGGTATGAGTTGTGAAATAGTAAGTGAATAAGCTATGGATAATTAAGAGACCATCTTTGCGGTTGAGGAAATGGTAGTAGACTCATAGTATTATTTTTTGCAAACCCAATATTTTGCTAAATAAGAACCTTCATTATCTTAATCATCCAAATTTATTAAATTGATTAAAGATTTAACTATGAAGATTCTGTCACCCTGTACAAATTTAACTATGAAGATTAGCATTTCCGCCCACCTTTCTCTCCTGCCCATATGGAATCTTCTTTGTTCCAAACTTCGTTTGTGAATCTCTTTCGTTGCGCTGTTTCTTAAGCATTCTCGTTTGTGGATTTCGGTATCATTTGTAGCTCTCTTCCTTAATAGTCTTTCATATAAAAATGTCACACATATGCAATTGCACAAGCTTTACGCAGGAGACCAGCTGGTCCATTTCATACAATATATTCCAGACTTGAAACAGCTCGCCACGAGAACGAAGAGACTACGAAATAATACACAACCCGGATGATAAATGGAAGTGAAAAAAACACCTATCCCCTACAAAGAATTTTAACTTAAAATAGAACAAGCAAAATGGTAACAGTTTCCACGGTAGAAGACAGCACACACATTTTACCCCCTGATGAACAATAATACAACAATGGAAAATCGCAATCGAAAAGAAGAAAAGAGAAAACCCTAGACCTCTCGTTACAAATAATCTATAAATTTCCCCGTTACCCAATATATGAACAGTTGCCCTGTTGCCCAGGGAAAGACCAGCAGTTCACAATTTGCCTGGATCACGACGAGGTTAAAGGGCGGAACTTTCTTACCCAGCAGCCGTTTGGCAATAGGCAACAAGATGATGCAATTGCTGAACTTAGGGTGAAAGAAATATTCCTCCCATGTTTTGTATTTATCACTCTTCATCCGAAAGGGTTTCCTCCTGCAGAGGGGAACGGCTGCAATGTAGTAGCTGGAGCCGAGAATCCGCCACCCAGATGTTGGTCCAAATTTAAGCCACCAAAGGCAGCACCAGCACCACCGCCGCCGAAACCTGCTATTCCTTGATGTCTGTAGAAAGTAAATTTCAGAAGCATTTAGCAGCTGTGAAGTTTACTACATACCCACTACAACATAGAAACCTAGGTGTGGTTCGGTTGGTGGATTTGCCCTAGGGATCGTTTCAAATCTCAACTGCAAAAGTCAGTTTAGAAGCACGTTCCCAAGAGGTTGTTTGGCTGGTAGATTTGAAAGATCTCTAAGCTAATGGATTTGGCTGAAATTTCATGTTTGGATAGGCTATAATGGTGGTGGACTGTGGGATATAGTATAGTGATCTGAAAATATAGGAGTGAGTTTTTTCGAATGACACTTTAGGTGACACATCTCTAAATCTCTTTATTAGAGACAAGTTTCTTTCCCTGCAAATTTGAAAAATAGAATCATTCCCCTTCTAATTAGTCAAAGGACCCAAGCCAACTAATGAATCAATAAGCAACAAGTACATAGTAAAACCGGTAACTTGGTCTCTTAATATTCCTGAACACCATTTGGTATAAAATCCAGAAAGCTATCTAATCTCAACAATCGACCAGCCAAACAACACGTACGATTCTGGAAAGTTCAACTTATGCGTGATCATTAAGAGTCCTGTAGGTGGGTAGTTTTTTCATCTCCATTAATTACTAGGCGAACCCTATGAGCTTGCACTTTAGCTAATCACTAGTATTACTGGTACAGTAGGTATGGTTCGTGAATACATACCCAGGCAATGGCATGTGACTCGGTACTTGAGATGTAGTTGGCCCTGAGTTGTTTCATGAAGCAGGATAAGAATGTAAATACAATAATGCACAAAGGTGTTGAAAAGACTGAATGAGACAGAAATTTACTTGGGGGCGCTGTAGTTGCGTAAGATTGTAACTGGGTATGCAATCCTGATTGATAAGGTGATGGCTGGTTTGGCATCCAGGTTGCTGGTGAAGAGTTATCAAGACTTGAAGCGCGTTGTAGTCCTGAATGCGGCGCCACATTTGGTATAGCACTTTGCAAGGATGACATATTAGGAAACTGCATACATGAAACCAATAAAATAAGAGTAAACAGATAAACAGCAGCCTTAGGTATCTTTCTGAATACAGAAGTAACATATTCTCAACATTCCCGGTCAAGCAGACAAGAACGACCACACTAGTCTTGCCTGCTCACAGAACTCCTAGAAACCGAATCCCCCCTGAATGGATAAATTTATTCAAATCTTCTAACTATCCAAAGTCTGATTTCTCGAACTAATAATTCTACTATTCTAAGATTCAAGGAAGAACGATCTCTTTTCCAATGTAAGCCAGAAAGGACTCAAACACTGGTAGAATCTCCAGAGTGAGCTGCTTTAGCATTGTTATACTGAGATCTTTGATATGAACGTATAAAATGCTATAAGTGTCTTATCTAAAACCACAATGAACACTGCAAGCTGTGCCTAAAACATGGAAACGTTCCTTTGCTTTCCAATCTTGTTATATTTTCCTTTTGAATAACAATTTCAGCATAGACATATTGTGAAATGAAAGACAGACAGAGTGTAAGGCAAACGAAGAGAGAGCACAACACATACAAGTTGGGCCTGAGCTGGTGTTGGCTCATTCACATCAAATGGATTTGATGATTTCGAGGGTTGCTGGACGAAAGTGGGCATAGGCTGTGGTAAAAATGCAGATACAAGAGAGAAACAAATGAACACCCATAGAAAATCATAATAATCAGCGATTTTTTTTTTTTTATTACTGACAAACCTACCGCAGCAGCACTATTATATTGCATATGAGCTGGAACATTAGCATATTGCATAGGGGCTGGCACATTAGCATACTGCATAGGGTACATCATACCACCAGGTGGACCTGTTTGCCACCCTGGAGCCATTGCAGGGAAATAAGGATATGTTGCAGTGAAAAGATCCTGCAGTTATTTAAGGGACAATGTAAGGCACACATGTATTTGCAACCAATGTACAGTAGAAGGAGCTAATATGAAAAGATAGTTACCGAAGGTAATTCTTTCCTTCCAGTAGCTGTTGAAGGCTGTGCAGATGTAGGACCCGGAACTGTTCCTCCTCCAGGAGTTGTATTCAGAGTTGCTTGTACATTAGGGGGTAGTGACGAATTCCAAGGCTTGCAAAATGGACCAGCAAACAATAAGGTCCAAATGCTAACAAATATGTATAACACAATGAAAGCTAAGAAGGCTGTTATAAGGGCTTACATGATTGCCAACGGCTGGAAATTGTTGAGTGGGAGATTGAGCAGGGGTCAAAGAAGGTTGTTGATGCTGTGCGGTGGCCCATTGCCCAGCCTCCGGAACAGGGGCATTACCACCATTGCCAGTCACAGGCATTGTACCAGTACCATTAGGAATAATTTGTGCGGGACCGGGTACAGATGGTGTAGCTGACAACTGAGATAAAACAGAATCCAGCGGACTGGCGTTTACAGGAGCCTCAGAAGCTTTAGGAGCAGGGGCAAAATCAAAAGACGCCCAGTTATTGTCATTGCTCACAGCTGAAGTTGGTGGAGCAGGTAGAGTTGAAGTTGTCGGTTGTGCTTGGGGAGCAGCCGCGACAGCAACAGGAGCAGGATCAGAGTCAAAATCGATTAAGCTTGGTGCAGGTTCAACTTTTACTTCTGCAGGGGTCTCAGGCATAGACCCAAGGCTGCTTGAAGAGGCAGTTCTCTGTAATTGTTACAGCAAACTGTGGCATTAGGTCCACATCCTCCTACTATAAGACATCTTACTGGATGAAACTAATGAATGATTTCGTGTTTATACTTGAGCAGGTGCCAATAATATGATCAGGAAAGTGAATATAACTTTTAACGAAGAAAATACATGAATATGACAAGATATCCAATTTTAACGACAGGAATATGACAAGATATCCACGGAATGATAGATGACACCACCATTATTTGGAAACCAAAGTTGAAAATGAGGAAGTTTAAATGCAATTAAACACAAAATATGAGTTTTAAAAGACATGTAGAGGTTAACGGGAAGAGGCGTACCTGCGTCGCCACAAACCCATCAGCAGCCCTTGCTGCATTAGCTTTAGGTGGTTCACTTATACGAAGAGGCACTACACTATCACCCAAAATTTCTCGAACGGGCCGAACCACAGGGGGGCTAGATCCCCCAACATCATTTGGCCGCTCAGGTGACCGGCCTCCCAATTTCGAATCTCCATCAGATATTCTACGATCCTCACCTTTCCTTCCACTTCCAAATCTATCCTCCCGACGCCAATCGTTGATAACCTCTGGTCGAGCGGGACTTTTCCTGTAATCATTGTACTGTCTACCTTCTTGATCATATCCAGGGCTTCTCCTCTCATCATAACCATATCTGTAGTTTTTGTCATCACTTCTTCCACCCGGACTAGACCTTTCATTGGAGCGACGGTCATAGACATCCTCGTATGGTGGACTCCGGGAGCCCACATCTTCTCTGTCACCCTGTACAGATTTAACTATGATGATTAGCATTTCTGTGCTGCCAAAACATACCGAAGATATCAAAGCAGTTAAGAGACAGCTATATTGACATATAGTTTCAAGAGAAAAAAGAATGATGGCATCTCACCGTCTTCATTATTGGAGGTTTGCCATAGTTCTTATCACCCGTATACCTTTTATCAACATACACGTGCTTAATGAAGTCCCGAAGTCTATCCACATTACTGTCACACAAGAAAATTAGGGAAGGACACCAGAACAAAAATCATTATTAAAATGTAAGATAGCTTTATGTAAATCTGTGCCAACCTGCTGTCAGGTGAAGAGTTACGCTGAGCATCCCAGTCTTTCAGAAGAACTTCTCTTGCGTGCTGTCATGTATCCAGAATAAGGGTGGTCAAGGATGAAAGTTCAGGAATATGCTTCCATCAAATACGATTAAATTTAACATCAATGAAATACAAGACTGCCGTACCTTGTTTCCACCTTCCTGAAGCGCAGCAACTTCTTGGGAGGTGAATTTAGCCATCGATATTGATTTTACTCTGTGAGTAAACTCCCGGCTGAGGAGGGTAGCAAATCCAACAGCGTAAGTATACAAGAGAATAAAACCTACCCAAACAGGAATGCATTTAATACACCGACTTCCATAGAAACACATTCAAAGCAAAGTTGGCACGAACTGAACAAGGTTGTGCACCCCTAAATGTTTATCTGGAGATACTTACTGAATTCCACTACAGGTTGTGCAGACAAATGTCCAGAAATTCGTGCAAACATATTGCGGTCCCTGATCAAACAAAGAAAAAAGTCTTAGAACTGAAACATGTGCATTTCCCCCCCAATAACATGGTACTGCAATACTCCAAGCACATGATCATTTTCAACTAATGTAATGGTCAAAAGCCCTAGTTTTCACAGTTTCTACAGTCTCCATCATCTCTTTTGACCCAGGCAGTTTGATATGGACTACATGGGAAATATTTCCTCACCTACAGGCATGCCCCTGAGGGTACACATAAAGTTATGAGTAAACAAGACGTATACTCCAAGGTCCTTTTTACTTTCATGTTTTGCTCACAAATTTGCAGACAAACATTGGAAGTTGAATAATTCTTGCGAAGCAATAAACATAAGAACCTTTGCAAGAAAAAGATCGTATCCCTTTCAACGTATCTAAGGAACTCCCTGATGGACCAACTAATGCACTCCTGGAATCAATGTACCCGCTAAGTAAGTTAGCAGCATTATCGTCGCATCAAATGTATAATTAAAGCTTCGCTTCACTTCTCCTAACTTCATTTCCTTTCCTGCCTAGCAAATTTCCACCCTAGTTGCAACTAACACTTGAAATACAAAATCAATCAACTGACTCCTGCAACCGCTCAATTCCATGGGAGTAGAACAAACCATCATCTTAGCAGTGCCAGAATTTCTGGGCAGAAAGCATTGGAAGCAAACATTACCAGACTGTTACAGTTGATGCATCTCCGATTGTCCGGAAGCTTGAGAAGCCCCCTGATTAGTCTCTCATTTTTCTCGTCCTCCTTAACCCGACTCGCCATTTCTCCACCGCCTATTATAACATTCAAACCAGAGTCAGCACTCGCAGAAAGCAAAAGGCAGCCATGAATACCACAGTTGTTGCTTAGCAATGAAATCTAAATTCCACAGGGAACTCAATTATCTCTTCTGCTTCTTCGGCCGTAACTCCCCAGCCACCCAAAGGAAATTGCCAGGAGACAGAAATTCAACCGTCTAAAGGGACGGATCTGAAGGATCACATCCAGCAACAAACGGAACCAATGCAAAGTAAAAACAGCTCTCTCTCGACAGTTCTACTAACCGACGAAGCAATTGAACTTGAAACTACCGGAAACCGACGCTTACCTGGATTGACTAACGCCGGCAAGGGGAGCTGCTTCTCCGGTTTACACTTGTGCGGCTGGCTGACTTCAACTCAAAGATCCGGCGACTCCACGACTGCTTCTTCTCCCCCTTGGAACCCTTCAGGCGCTCTGCAATTCAATCATCAATAGCAAAAGCCGAGGAAGGAGAAAGGGAAAAGGGAAGAGAGAGAGAGAGATTTGTTCGCAGATCTTTCTAAGAATCTGCTGTAACTACAGATGAAGAAAAGAGAGAAGGGCTTTGTACAGCCAAGAGCTAATAACCAAAGTCTGCTTTCTCTTCAACGAAAAAGGAGGAACGAAAAGAAAAAGAAGCGAGTGGAAAAGAAAGGAGAAAATGGGGAATATTTATAATCGTTAGTACAAAACTACAAATCAGTCTTCATTTTACTATCTTTTACATTCCAGTCCTTTCAGCCTTAGCTTTTAACGTTTTCCCCTTTGTTTTGTAAAACCAAGCGAATCTAAAGAATCACTAAAATCATCGTTTAAAGGCGAGTCATAGTCCTAAATCCTAATAGACAAGATAATGTGGTCCAGCGTTGAGCTAACGAGACACATTATTGAGTTAGATTTTCTAGTAAAAAAATAAGTACATTGCGGATTGCGGGTATGTAATTGTAAATATATATATATTTATTTACAATTATATATATATATATATGGTGGCTACTTCAGCGCACCCACTTTTTTTGGGCATTGCTATTCGTCGCCCTAAAATAGCTTATTCGTCGCCCTAATTTTTATTAAAATGACTATGATGCCCTTTGTTTAGTTTTTTTTTAACTTAAAAATATACCAAATAAATAAAATATTCAAAAAATCAATTACAAGTAGAATATAAAATAAGTTCAACGAAAAAAAAACAAATACAATAAGAAAATTGAAATTTGATTGGGATTATGGAAAAAAAAAAAACAAAAAAACTCAACTACGGTGGTTGGATTTTAAGCGGCAAGGTTCTTCTTCCTTATTCTTCCTCATCGTGCTCCTTCATTAACAATAGCAGCGGGTCGGCAGAGAATGGGATAATGGCAGCGACTGCGTGCGGGGGAATGGCCACGACGGCCAGAATCCGGCTCGGGGAAACGCAACGATGGCGTTTGGGGGAATCGGAGTCATGGTGGGTTGGGGAAACGGCAGCGACTGTCGTGATCCGACTGGTGGACGGGACGACGGGGTGAGATTGGGTGAAATTGTGTTTGTTTAGAGATTAGGGTTTGAATTTGGGATAGGGGCATCAACGTCATTTTCATACAGTTTAGGGCGAAAATATTTAAATTTTAGGGCGACAAATAGCAATTCAGCTTTTTTTTGTGCATTCTAAAAGCGTCCATAATACATCAAATTTTGAACTTTAATTAGTACTGTCAATCTAAGGGTGAATTACACGATTGGTCACCCAAATTACATAAACATTTCACGTTTGCCACCCGAATTACAAACCTTGCTTATTGGTCACTCACTTTAAGAAACATTTCACCGTAACCACTGGACGTTAACTTCCGTCAGACTCCGTTAATGGCGTCAGATTTTTGATGACGTGGCAAACGGAAATTCTGACTGGGCCGACAGAAAGGCTGACATGGAATGGGCAGGAAAAAAAAAATCATTTCCCCCATTTTCTCTGTCATTTTGAATGGGATTGTTGTACATATTTATTTGCTTTTCCTCCAAAAGACTATTCCCTTCTCCATTTTCCTTCTGCCTGCTTCTCTATCTTCTTCTGGTTTCAATTTTCCTTTAGCCAAACCGAAATGGAAGAAAGACCCAGCATCCTTGTAGAGTGGTTCTTCATGCGATGGAAATTTTGCTATGTATTCAGAAAATGCTCTATGTGTCTCCTTCAAAGCCCTTCTATACCCTTCCAAAAGATCGCCCATCATCAAGATGCCTAATGTCCCTCTTAAGATCATTCCCAGCACCATAATGCGAGGAATTGCCAGGGTTAGCCTCTATATCAATCCTAGATGCTGCAAGAAATTCCCCCGAAGAGAGGTCAACATGAAGCTGTTGCATATATGAAATGAGGTGAGCTTGTGCTAATTCCACAGATCCAACAAGATTCTTAGAAGCTAAACTAACCAATGCATCATGCTCTTGGGGTGCACGGTAGAAATCCATTGCTTCAACCGACTCCTCATCATCGACCTCTTCCCCTTGCTCTGGTTCTTCCATTGCATCATCATCTACTTCCACTTCTAGCTTCCTCTCCGCTTCACATTCCATGCCATCTTCAGCTTTCACAAGGCTATAAAATCAATCTCCTTCCGAGAAGAAGCTTCTTCTGCTTCCTTCGACATATTTTCTTTCTGGGATTTAATCAAACACTGTAAGTGCGAGGCATAGTAACAGTTACCTAGATTCGCAGTAGCAGACAACTCCTTCTCAACCATATACCAAATCAACCCAGCCCAATACAATCTCTCAAAGTTGCCATCTTTAATCATTCTAGTCATATTGTGAATCTCCAACGGCATCAACCACGTATCGTCGTCGTGCAACAGCATCCAAGTCGAGACCAATTCGTCGACGAACGCAATCGCTTCTTCGCTCTCTTTCGCCTCCCCGGCGGAAGTCTCCGACGACGAAACCTTGTCCTTCTTGATCGGAACTTGAGCGCGCGAGCCAAATCGGGACGGCTGACCTTGACCCGAGCCTCGTTAACGTAGCTATCGCGCTGCTGCGGATCGTAACTGGCGATCAACTGCGCCACGAGATCAAAGCGAATGTTGGCGTCGAACCGGAGCTTGACGAAGTCCCACAGGCCAAGCCGCTTGAGAATATTCTTCAACCTAGACGCAATTAGTCGCTTGCTCTTTTTCCCCTTCAAACCGCCGCCGCCGCCGCCGACTAATCGACGGGTAGAGGAGGCCGATGTGGGCGAGAACGAAATCATGAGCGCTGAGCTTGTTAGATCTTCTTGATTTGTATCACTGTCTTGTGAGTCGGGGTCATCATTCATGGTCAGGGTTTCAGAGGATTGGGGCAGACGGATTCTCGGCAGAATGTTGAGGTGGTGGGTTCTCCTCCGATTGCTGCACCGGGGGGTTTTCATCCTTGCACGCTCTGCTGGAGTGAAAAGAAAGGGGGGAAGAAGAAACGCACGACAAGCGGAAAGAGGAAGGGGAACAAGCTACTTCAAAGTAAAAACAATTAATTAAAGCAAAGTAAAAAAATAAAAAATAATGGGCTCCGTCATTTTCCGGGTCGGGTGCTTTGCTGGCTCGGGTATTCAGGCTGACTCAGCCTTTCTGTGGGCTCAGTCAGAGTTTCCGTTTGCCACGTCATCAAAAATCTGACGCCGTTAACGGAATTTGACGGAGGCTGACGTCCAGTGGTTATGGTGAAATGTTTCGTAAACTGAGTGATCAATAAGCAAGGTTTGTAATTCGGGTGACAAACGTGAAATATTTATGTAATTTGGGTGACCAATCGTGTAATTCACCCGTCAATCTAATATGATGATATGACATAGAATCATAACAAATCAATCTATTACTCTAACCCCTTAACCTTCAATTTTGAATTCCAACCCGAAATCCCAAATTGTAAACCTAAACCCTAACCCTAAATCCTAAATCCTTCGAATTAAAGTAAATTTTGAATGAATTTTTTTTCAAATTCATGTGCTTCTTGTTCATAATATCATAAGCAACAATTGATACTGTTTTGACATGAATCCCATGTTCATAATGACAATTATGAGGCGGGTACACTGAGTGCACTCATAAAAGTGAGTGCACCGAATACGCCACTATATATATATAGTATTATGTGTGATTTGCATTTTGATTGGATTGCACAACTTTATAGAACTACATTTCTAAACATCAAACTCCCAGGCAAATTTGATGTTGTTTAAGAATTCCATAAATTCAACCTTTGTGATGATCCACCTTTGAGTTTGATCTTAAAAATATATGAATTAATCGTCGTTCTCCTCTCAAGTAATGTCGCTTACTCTATATATGAAGTTCATCTTCGTATATCGAATTCCCTATCTCGATTACTTGATAAGTGATTACCACAAATTATCTGCTGACAATATATTTCAACAATTTAAATCCCTTAATGGCCTAATAGGCAAAATTGGCAAAAGTGTGTATACCTAAAGATATCTATTCTACGAGGATTGAAATGTTAAAGCAACTATTTCAATCAGCTAAGTAGGTTAACGACCATTAAGAGGACCAATAAATAATATTCATGAAAATTGAAATGATAATAACATTATTAAGTGGGTTGGGTTCGGACTCGGAGTCTCCGAACCGAATTGTGGCCCTGGGTTTTTTATTGGACCCGTCTCAATCTCAGGTTGTACTGGGCGACTAACTACCCACTGCAGTTAAATGACCATGGTCTGGCTAGGAATTCATCAAAAGGCATCATAAGAATGGAGAGTATGAATGGAAATTTCGGCCTGACCCATTTTAGCTGATCTGTTTGGCCTGTTTTGGGGCGGGGCATGAGTACTCTCATCAACCTGACCTGCCCTAACCCGCCCCATTCTCGACCCATTTTTGCCCAAATTACATGTAATTTTATTCAAATTACTTACAGCCTGTTGGATAGGCAAAAAAGCTCAGGAATTGGAATTCTATTTCCAATTCAATATTTTATGTTTGGAATGATAAAAAGGTTCAACAATGAATTCCATTTAGCCTAAGTTTTGGGAATTACAATTCCTGTCAAAAGTAGTAGGAATTGAGTTTGTGAAGATGGAATTAGTGGGTCTCATCATTATTTATTATTATTTTATTAATCAACTATCACTCTACTCTCTTTCTCTATCATTCATAGTCCATTTTCCAAGATAAAAAAATATATTATATTATTAATTATAGCTAAAAGTGCAATTCATTTCCATAGTTGTAGAAATTATACCAAACACAAAAATTGGAAGTGGAATTCTATAAAAATAGAAAATGAAAATGGAATTCCATTTCCATTACTTCTGAATTGTATCCAAACAGGCCGTTCGGATTTTCCTTTTATTAAATCATATTTTACCAATAATAAAGTGGTAAATTAGTGAAAATCTTAATCTCTCCAATAATTTAACTACATTTATCATAATATTGTTTGTTTTCTTAGTCTTATAATAAAAATAACGAATATTTCTAATATTTTTTCATATAAATTATATACCCATTAGGTCGATCTGCCCCGATCCGCAACCCGTGATAAGTTACCCGACCTGAACCCGACCTGCCACGGAGGCGGGTCTGGGTACCAAAAAAACCCACCCCAGACTTGCCCATTGCCATTCCTAATGAAGAGCAAGTGGCTTGGTTGGGTTTCTTAGCCTATTCGTGAATTACGAATAGAGGTGGCAATTAGGATCCAAATCCATGAATCCAATCCATCCACCAAATTATCCACCTAATCCAATCCGTTTAAATCAAATCCATTTGATCCAAATCCAATTAGATTAGTGGATTCATGGATCAATCCATGGATCCAAATGGCAAATTACGATTTGGTACCTATACATTTTATATTTTACATTTTAGTACCTAAAATTTATATTTTTATACGAAAAATAACATTGGAAAATAACATTTTGGCACCTAAAATTTTTCATCATGACATTTTAGCACCTAAACTTTTCAAAATTTAAATTTTTGTCCAAGTCTTGGATGTCATTTGGATTCATTGATCAATCCACCAATCCATTGGATCCAATCAATTTGATCCATTGATCCATCAATCCAATCCATGAATCCGATCCAATTGCCATCTCTAATTACGTACATTCCCTTCCTCTAATTAGTAATTTCATCGAGAATATGATGTGTTTTTCAAATTAATATTTTTAAAAGCAAAAACATTTGTAAATTGGTTTGATTTTTGTATTCGTTAAATTGATGCATCGTGATTAGAGGTGGCAAATGGATTGGATTGGTGGATCCATGGATCAAATGGATTGGATCTAATGGATTGGTGGATTCATGGATTGGATCAAGTGGATTGGTGGATTATCCATGAATCCAAATGACATCCTCAACCAAGGATCAATATGTAAAATGTAAAAAGTTTAGGTACTAAAATGTCATAATGAAAAATTTTAGGTACCAAAACGTAATTTTCCAATGATATTTTCGTATAAAAAATTAAATTTAAGGTACAAAATGCAAAAAAATAAAAATTATAGGTACTAAACCGTAATTTGCCAATGATCCATGGAGCCAATCCATGAATCCACTTATCCAATTGGATTTGGATAAAATGGATTGGATTTAAATGGATTGGATTAGATGGATATTTTTAATGGATTGATGGATTGGATTGGTGGATTGGATTGAAATTGTCACCTCTAATCGTGATAAATATATGTACTATAATGTATTATCTATAAAATTGTGTATTATAGGTTACTGTAATTATTTTTATAGTTTGAAAAAATTACGTTACCAGAAAATATCACTTTAACCCGTCCTTTTTATATGAAAAAGACAATACAAATATGTAGAGATATAACTAGAATGGAAAAAGATTTAACAATCTCATTCCAAACTATAACAATCCAAAACTAAATGATTTTTTTTTCACATCAATTAATAAAAGCGTGCATTGGCTATACAAAAAAAAAATTATAAACACCGCGGAAAAATTATATCGTTCTTACTCAAACAATCAATCATCCCATAGAAACAACATGTAATTGTAGGGATGACAATGAGTCATTCGAGGGCGAATAGTGTGTTGTTATATCGTTGTTACTCAAACAATCAGTCATCCCATAGAAACAACATGTAATTGTAGGGATGACAATGAGTCATTCGAGGGCGAATAGTGTATATATGTTGTCATATCATAACCAATTTGAGTTTTATCTTTAACTATACTCCCACAAGATTTGGATAGTAAATCAAACCGTACACACAATCATTATGATTTCGAATATTAGTTAATATAACAGATAATTGTTCATTTTTATTTTTTCATCTAATGTGTTAAAATTTGCGAGCAGAGTAGCATTATACAAGTGAAAAGATTCCAGTTGGATAGTAAAAAACCATGGCTCATTATTCATACTGTTTGGATTCAAATTTATCCTAGGTCGATTCTAGGTAGGGGCGGAGGACCGGTCGGCTCGGTTATAACCGATAACTGAATGATTGGTTATCGGTCAACCGAACCACCTCCCCCCTATCGACCATCGATTACAAGAGGGCTTAAGTCTTCGGTTATCTCGGTTTTCGGTTAACCAAACAACCTCCAAGACCAAAACCATATCACCTAGCCTTCAAACACTGATCGAGTTTCGGTTATCTCGATCATCAGTTAGTGGATAACTGACCAATTTCGGTTGTAACCGGTCGATTAACCGCTAACCGATTATACGGCCCGAGGGAATGTGTGGATTTATATTTTTTTTATAGAAAAAGTGGATTTATATTTTGGTGGAAGAAAGAATGTTTCTTTGAAACGTGGCGAACGATAAACGATGGAGAAAGCAGGAGAAAAGGTTAGAAAAAGAGGGGCTAGGATCAGGTAACTAAGAGGGGAGGCCTTAGTCACATGACTAAGTCAATCGCAGCCCTTCCACCTCATTAAAATCCAAGGGCTCCTATTAGTCCAATTTAATGAAGGGTAATGTAGTCATTCCATATTTATTTTTAACTTTCAATTATTAAATAATTTTTTTCGGCTCTTCTCTCCCTGCGGCCCGTCTCGTTTTTTTTTTCCCCGCCTGGATCCGCCATCGCCGACCAGGGAATTTCTGTGCGGTCACTTTTTGTTATTCCCTGAGAGAGAGAGAGAGAGAGAGATTTTGTACTGTTAGTATGCTTTGTATTGTTTGTCGGTTTATTTTGTAATGTTTGTACGCTTTGTTATTTTGTAATGTTTGTCGGTTTTTTTTTTGTAATGTTTGTACGCTTTGTTATTTTGTAATGTTTGTCGGGTTTTTTTGTAATGTTTGTAAACTTTGTTATTTTTGTGTATCGTGTTTATCATTTTTGTCAACCATGTTTGTAATGTTTTTTATGTCTAAAAAACACCTGGGTTGACTTTGGGAAGGAGCCCCTCTATATAGGGATGGAGCCTCCAAAGTCAACCCGGGTGTTTTTTCAGTTCGTATGGATTGTCGGTATAGTTTGTCATTTTTGTCCACCATGTTCGTACTGTTTGTATGTCTAAAAAACACACGGGTTGACTTTGGGAAGGAGCCCCTCTATATAGGGATGAAGCCTCCAAAGTCAACCCGGTTGTTTTTTTCCTTTTGTATGGTTTGTATTGTTTGTCGGTCTAGTTTGTATTGTTTGTACAGTTCATACGTTTGTAATGTTTGTATGTTTTGTCGCTTTAGTTTGTACTGTTCGTATGTTTGTATGGTTTGTACTGATTGTAAATCCAGTTTGTATACTTTGTAATTTTCCATAATACCCAAACTACTCCTGTCATTAATTAAATAGCCCTTCCCACTTTTAACCATCAGATTGATGTGTCCAGATCTAAGGGGTGGGAGGGGCTTAGTCAAGTGACTAAGCACCCCCTTAGTCACTGGATCCGCACTCGAGAAAAAGGTCAGTGCGAAATCCCGCGATTGGGATTGGCTCCTTTACCCTTTTCGGCTCGGAGTTTAGCAGCAACACGACAAAACAAAATAACATGAAAAAACAAAAGAAAATCCAGCTTCCCGCTCAAGCTTTCCCCCCACCCCTCTGCCGTTGCTCAGAAACTCTCATCAGACGGTTTTCTGCAGAGCCACAGAACACAAATGAAACGTGAAAACAAAATCAAGCAACTGCAAAGAGCTCTCTCTTATTCGAGACGTATATTTTCCGAACTCAAGAAAATATATAAAAACTCTCGGACAAAGACAAAAAGAAGGAAAACCGTTCCAAAGATCGCCGTTCAGAGCTGAGAGCCCGGAGCGAGGTTTTCATGAGAGAGAAATGGTATTTTCGAATCGCTTTGCTCACTCGTCGGAAGAAGCTAGGGTTAGCTCGTTGCTAGAGAGTTCGATTTCCGAAATGGCGAGGGGGAGAGGGAGAGCGGAAGAGCGAGGTGGTGACGACGGCGGCGACGGGAGCGACGAGGAAGATCTGAAGTGGTGCCGCGTCAGGCGGAGGACGGAATCGAGTGACGACGACGGTGAGGTCCGTGAAGATAATGACGATCCGAGCGTGAGTTCCGCGGGTGCTGAGTTCGGCGACGATTCGGACGGGCTGGGAGCAGCGCCGGAGCCGGAGGATGAGGCATCGCCGTACTACTTCGACGAGCTTGGCGTTGGAGACGGAGAAGACGAAGACGAAGGAGAAGGAGCGAGTCGGACTGTAGAGTTTGCAGCAATGGCCGCGGAGAGACAGATGCGCAGTGAAGGAGAGGAGGACAAGGAGCAGAGCGAGAGAGATCGGAAGGAGAGAGAAGCCGTTGCAGTTCCTAGGAGTGGCGCGTTCTTTATGCACGACGATCGAACTAGTCATCGAGGTCGAGGCCGGTAAATATTGTATTCTCGCTTCACTCTTGAATTCGAATCTTCGCGCCGGTCTTTGAACTGATTATACGATTTAAATATAGCAGAGCCCCTCGAGCTAGGGTTAGAATACAGTTGTTTGTGAATCTTCGCGCTTGGATGCTGCAGTTCGAATTGATTTCGTTTTTCACAATTTGGTGTTCCTTTGCCTTAGCTCCCATGGAGTTTTTAGGGTAACTGAAGGTAAGAAATGCTGGCGTGGAGACAGAAAATGTGGCCATTCAGCTGATTAGCAGCTCATTTTATCCACTGCTTTTGGAGATTGTTAGTTGAATGTTTGTGTTCTTGTTTGTATTCTGTTCACGTCAGTGTCAAACCAACAATAATGCATCCATTAGAATGCAGCTACTGGCGCTTCATATACTGTGAATCCTGTTGAATCATTCAGAATTGAATGAGTTCAAGTGACGTGTATAATCGACAGTTCTTTGGCTTTGTTCTCTTCGTTCTCTTGTGGTTGAACTTGTACTTAACCAGGGTCCTGCACGTTCAGGCAAAACTATGGAGCGGGAAGATTGATTGAACACGACGAAGGAAAATGGCAGCATGACAAGTTCGAAGAAATACAGGGATCTTATGACAAGAAGGCCATGGACCATGTCAGAGTCTTGTGCTTTCTTTCTCATTTCTTGCAACTCTTTCTATGGGGTGGTTTGCAAGATATGAACATTACCGGATTATTGGTTTTGCAATTTGTGCTACTTGTCACTTACATTTATTGCTACTGTGAAGAATTATCATGACCGCTTGTCGCTTCTGATTCAAACCCTTTCCTTGATTTCCACAACAATCAGAAATCATCAAGAATTGTGAGAGGGAGAGGGCCCATAAAGTATCCGCTCGCCAGACCCTACAGCAGATATCCACCGAAGGAGAATGAGAAGTAAGTTATTGGTTTCAGTCTGAGATGTTCTCTCTTGGTGATGAATTTCATTGACTTGTTTGCTTTAACTTGTCATCAGAGCTTGGATGTCTCGGGAAACAAGATCAAATTCAGGGAGGGTGTTAGCAGAAGCTTCAAGTCAAGTTGGTTCATCTGCATTGAAGAAGGAAGTGTCTGCATCTTATGTGAATTGTGCATCACGCATGGATAATCCTACAATATCTACTTTCAGTCATGCCATCTCCTCATTAACTAAAAGAGATGTGCAGAAAAGAAATACTGAAGGAGACTCGCCGAAATCTGTCCTGTCAAAGACTGATCCATCCATGGAAACTGCCTTTGCATCTCGACTTGTGAGGGGTTTGGGTGATTCTACTGGGAGGGACCAGCGTCCTAGCAATGAGTTGATCAGGGAAAATAATCTTGAATCCGTTCAGTGGCAGGGTCAGGGTCAGGGAACTGGTTTGCCATTTGCACCGCAGCATACCTATCAGCATCCTGCTACTAGCCCAAATGGAGGTGCTCTGATGATAAACAACCATGTTCTGCCACAAACATCATTCAACAACTCATTTCCACCATATTTCGGAGGTTGTAGTCCGGAGTATACACTTTTTGGATCACCATCTAGAGCTCTTCTACCGAGTGCATCAGAAATTGGGACATTGTTCGTATCTGCTGGATTAAACACCGAGTTGATCCGTCCAGCTGCTGATCGTCAACTAGCTTTTCTGCCTCTGCAGCCAGTAATGACCTGGTCAAATAGTCCTCAATCTCTTCAATGGAATTTGTCTCCTTCACCACAGCATGTTTATCAGTATACGGGTTCTAACCAAAATGGAGGTGCTCTGATGGTAAACAACCTTGTTATACCACAAACACCTTTCGGCAACTCATTTCAACCCCAGTTCCATGGTTATGGTCAGCATTTGTATTCTCCTTCTGGATCATCTAGTGTATTCGATAACTCAGAAATGGCAATGGCTGGGAGTGTAAGTGCTGCAGATGGAAGCTATGGAAGAACTTATTCTGGACTTGATACTCATACCAATCAGAACTTTACAACCACTGAGAATCTCGTCCCTGGTGTGTTCCTTTCTACCCTTTCTACCTGTTACATCACGTCAACTCTATATTTAGTAGCATGAATGTGCTCATCTTCTGGGTTAAGAGAAGTCTTCAGGTTAGGATTGTAGACCTTAAGAGTATACTCTTGCTATAATGGTGAATGGTGGGAAGAATTTTGAAGATAAAATGTGTAGCTTGGATGATTAGTAAACAAAAGTTCATGTCCAAATCTGCTTGATATGCTGCTCATCGACAATAATCATTCTGGTTTTCAAAATTTTAAATGCTTCAAGTGCAGTAAACCAAGTTAGGGGCCAGTATCATGGATGATAAGTGAACAAATGCTAATGTCCAAATGTGCTTGATATGCTGCTCATTGACAGTAAGAAATCTAGTTTTAAAATTTTTAAATGCTTCAAATGCAGTAAACCAAGTTACGAGCCAGCATCATGGTGAGTTTGGGGAAATTGGAATATCTAACGTACCTGCATATTTTGCTGCTGAACCGAATTTCGGGAGCTCTGCTTCTGGTTTGGCATGGTAAGATTGGTTTTACTGGTACTAGTGAAGAGATAAATAAAAACCCCCTCTAAATCAGGACGCTGACATGTCCATTTTCCTATGATCATTCAGGCCGCAAGTCTGGCCAGCCAATGCTGGAAGTGTAAGCTCTGCCTATCCTTCTTCTACCTATCCCACACCCACAACCAGTGCAAACCGCCGTGCCAAGCCAACAGAACCGGAGTCTTCTCTCGCCATTACTGGGTCCGTGACCACACAATTTGTAAATTTTCACGAGGGTAGCAACCCTGTGGATGGATCTGGTTAGTTTGGTGGGCACGTTCTGTGTATGAATGTTCAAAGAATATTTCAATTTTGATTATTATTTTCCCCCATTTTCACGGGAGCTTTGCATTGCAGAAATGCCAAATACATCGCGTGGAGAAGGAGGCAACAAGCTTCAGAGGCAAGTCAAACCATTATAGTTTGCTTCAAGTACGGATTTCTCTAGACCCATCAAATCTCTGTACTGCTTCCTCAGGTACACGAAAATGAATTTCGATGATCGACGTAAGTAGATCAAGGTCGCATTAGTGTAGGAGCAGGTCAGAAACCTGGTCCCTCGAATTTCTTACATAGAACATGCATTTTCCCACTCTCTCCCTTGTTTCACTATCCTGTTGAAGTTTGTTGTGGCAGGAAACTTGCTGGTGATCATCGCAACTCGAATGGTTCGACATTGCTCGACTCTTCATACGACTAGATTACCGAAAAGGAACTTCACATTTTTTTGTAGCTATAGGGAGAGGAATTTGGTGTTTCGGGCTCGTGCAGATACCCACACAGACTCTTTTGAAACATTGGAGGAGAAGAAGGTACAGGTAAATTGGCTCCCCCTATTCCCACAAAGAAATTTTTGTAAGCACCAACCTCTCCCTAACTCTCACTCTCCAACGCTTTCATCATATATTTTCATATGCAGCCAAGCAGCATATGTTTTTTTAGCTGTTACCAGTCACTGATCAAATGATTCAAATGAGTGTCCTTACAAAAATTTCCAATCCATAACGTGGTCAGCTTGTAGAGCTCTTCATGTTCTGTAAGCCAATAATCAAATGCGTTGGCCAGTAGATGGGCATCAATTAGATGTGCCTGACACCATGTATGTGGAAATTGAAAGGCTATCTAGCTGGCGTCTCTTACATTTTGTTTAGTTGTCATTAGTATTTTGAATCCTCATCTTCACTTAATTGTCGGTGAATTTACTTGTGTTCGTTTTTCAGTTTTCATCGTCTAGCTCTTACAACTTGGATTCGTTTGGTTTTGGTGATTGTTTGGTGGGGATAGTTATAATGCATGTATTGTTCACAATGCATTGTTTTTTTTTTTAAATTTCTGCACAAACAATACATGCATTGTTTGCTTGATTGGACACAAAGTATCACTCAAAATGAGTGATAGTTAAATCTCAAGTTTTTTGTGAGATTGTTTGGTTATTTTTTCTTCCAACTATGTCCCTACCTTTCCATGTGTGTTACTTTTTTATACTAAAAGCAAAGGGTAAAAGTGGCATTTCATCCAAAAAGCAGTATAACTTGTTTAAATACTACAATAACTATCGCACAAACCAAACGATGTAAACTATAATACACCAATTTTCTTATATACATCCATATTAGTATACATGCATTGATGACAATCCATCAATTTAACTATCATCAAAACCAAACAACCAAACGACCTTTGTGTTTGTTATCTAGGGAGCGGTACTGAAATTTTGCGGCAAATTCTAAGAACTGGGATAATGCATATACATTGTGAATGAACTGTGCTGCTGTCCTGCAGCTTTTGCTAGCAAAGTAGGCAGTTGCAACTTTTCAAGTCATTGACCGTGGAAAATGATGGGCAAGCTCCCTATTCCATGTTGTCAGTCTTCTTTGGTCTGTGGCGTTTCCCTATTTGTTTTGGAGGTGTCTGAGATAAGTCCTGTCTAATTTGAGTCGATCTCGTGTGAATGAATGTTATTCGTTTCGCGGATAATTCAGAACAGAAATTTATCGCGGCTTCAATATTTTAATCAACTATGTTCATATTTTTCATGTTGAGTGTAAAAAATTTCATCACAAACAATTTACCTTCATCAGTTTCTTTCGAAGGGTTTTGTACGAGATTTCTGAATGTAAAAATATAAAATTCACTGCATTTTATATAAAAAAAAACCAATAAATCCCTTAACGTATTCGATTTCGGTCGAAAATGAACCTTAGATTGCATTAGTGCTTATTATTTTAACCGAAACCGTCAAAGGCTTTTCGGTTTTCACCTGTTGAGGAAACCGATAAGCCTATAAAACTGAAACTGAACCCACCCTACTTAAGATACATGAACTGAAGAAAGATTTGATGAATGTACGAAGCACAAATAGACACGAAATGGACAGAGAAGAGCCGTGGAGCGCAGAAATGGTGAGAACTTAACCTCATTAGAGGACACGACAGCTCCATAACTGGGGCTGGTGCGGTGCCATACCTTACCTGAAATGAAAGTTCACTGTTCAGTCAGTGTGGGACTGTGACATAAAGCCGCCAGTTTTTGTCTTCTATGATACAATTATACATGACACTTACCATTGTCAGTAGAGTACAATTCATGCACTAGCAAAGACTGCAAAAAAACATTCGTGAATTGGCATCCAGCCAGCCAGTCAGCCTGAGCCTTGTGATCCCCATAAACATTGCATCTGAATTTGCGTTGGTTGTTTTTATCGTTTTACTAAACTATCGAGCTATTGAGGCATGTTGATGTTTGTCGGTGTTTAGTACAGGTGAACTTCATATTCGAGATTCAAATCGCTGAGTGAAATTATTGGTGTTTAACATTGTAAAAGCAGCTGGAACATGCGTCTAAACTTTTAAGTTGGTCATGTTATGGGGGAGGTGGAGAGCCTCTCTAAACCACATGAGACTGGAATGAATATTGTGAATTAGCACCAATTTTTTATGAGCGCGTTCGTTTCAAAGAGCCAACAAAGTAAAAAGAACGTGTCCAATGAGGCGTGGGACTTTTGCATCTAACAATGTCGACTCGATTGAGAGTCACTAATTTGTTAAAATCAACCAACCATACAAATTGATCCATCATACACTAGATTCTAATCTGGGAGCCGATCATCATCACATAGAACAAAGCTGTTTGAGTGGTGAGACGAGTACAAAGACCCATTACCCTAAAGAGTAAAGAACAATAAAAGAATTCAACCTTTCAAACATTTTAAACCCAGGCTTAGGCTTAGAGCTCGTAGATATCCCAATAATTCAGAGCCATCATCACATTTTCCACTGTTCTATGAAAGCATCAAAGACAGAGGCTTCTCCATAACTTCGACCCATCTTATCATGCTCCCGCCTTTGCATGGTCTTTGAGAACACCTACGAATCTAGGCAAAAGAGCAACGTGTTGGACTCTAGATACTCTTTTTAGCCTCTATAGCTCATTGAAATATTAGAAAACTGAGACGGACTTTTTTTTTTTTTTGGGACTTATTCTTGTGTGGCCATAAGTAGTTAGGAAAGCTTGTTTTCTCTCTTCAAATTATTGATAAGTTTTCTTCTCGATGGGGTGAGGTGTGTGAGTTGGGGGAGAGGGGGAGAATAAGTTTGGGTATCTCGAACAACGATGATAGTCTGCAGTAATGATTTTGGGTAGGTAAGATTTTTACCAAACAAAAGAACATGTTCGACGTTAGGAAGAATGTGGGAGCAGTCAATCTATCAACATCCTTAGATGATTCGTGAATTCTTTTCCAAATATTCAGAGCTTCCGGCTCCAAGGCTTGCACTTAGAATCTCCTTCTCGCTTCCGACTCCGAGGCTTTCATTTCCAATTAATATGGGTAATTGAGTCTAACTAGTTGAAATATCAATTCTTGTACTTATTTAAAAATTCATAGGGTGAAATGTGACTGAATAAATGCTAAAATTGGAGAAATACAAATTATTATTGAGACATATTGAAAATAGAATGGGCCAGGAACGGAGTCGGGGTTGGGTCAAGAGTAGTGCCACATGCCCTATACCATACTACGAATAGTCGAGTAATACTCGTCACAGTACGAATCAGATCAAGTAATACTCGACGGATCACATTCAAATTGTCATCCTCCTTGGGTCACATGACACATGCTTTCAACATATTAAAAGGACTCGAAAACTTCTCTTCATCCTTCCACTCACTCCACTTCTTCTCTTCTCACATGAAACCCTCTGCTCCAAACCCTGCCTCCAGAATTTAAGGTGGCAGAGAAGAGAAACACCATTCCTCTGCTCCCCTCACTCCCTCCCTCTTTTACATCCAGTTCCTGCCATTTGGATTCCTTACAGCTTCTCCTTTTTATACATCTAACAACTCCAAAAGGTTCTTCTTTTCAAGCATTTTGTTAACCAGTGAGCGATTCACAAGTGGTCCTTTTGTCCTTTCTTCTCCTTCCTCTTCTTCTTATTCCCACTTCCCACTTAGTTTGACTTAATGCTCACTTCATTGGATTAAAGAACTACGAGATCTGATCTCACAATTGGTCTTGTGAAAACAGAGTAGCCTTCGAGCTCTGTTTTTTTTCAAGAGAGGGCAGGGGAAAGAAAGAGAAGCAATATACATCCATGGGGAAGCTGATGGGATTTGGGAAGGTGTTTGACCGACTCTGCCTGTCCCCATCGCCGCCCAATTCGAATTCATGCTTTTGTACGAAATCCCTGGAAGCTCATGACGATGGTGATGATTACGGGGAAGTGTTTGAGCAGAAGGAGCCATTGATGGTGATGGGGAGTACTATTGAGAAGAGCAACAGAGTGGTGAGGCTCAAAGATGTCGTCTCTGTCAACCCGAATCAGACTCTGGCATTTCAAATCAAGCCCAAGGTAGCCTTTCTTTTGTGTACGGGCTATGGCTGTAGCTTATTTAGAGAACTTCCTCCTCTGTTTCCTGTTGGTGATTCTTAGTTGTTTGTTTGTTGTGGGTTTTTGCAGATGGTGGTTCTGAGGGTATCCATGCATTGTGGTGGCTGCGCCAAGAAGGTTGAGAAGCAAGTTTCCAGGATTGAGGGTGAGAAACAATGATTTCTTTCTTCCTTCCTTCATCTTCTTGGTTCCAAATCAAATCATAGGGATATGTTTAGGATCTTATATAAGGTGAATGTAGGAATTACTAATATGTGATTAAGGCGGAAAGATATGTGAAAACTCGTAATTATAAAGAGATTTTCTTACATAGTTGTGTGTGTTTAACCCATGTACTTCGAAAGTCTGTCGAATATTCATAGGGTGAAAATGATATTTACACGTTGCTAATGCGTGTATAAACCATCAATTTTCACGTGTGTGTTGGATACTCGATGGGTCAAGGTGACATTCAAACACATACAACAGTGTTCTTTTTAAGGGTGATAATGTGAGAAATTGAATTCTTGATCTACTTGACCAAGGCATGACTACTTAACTTGTAGATCACATGAGCTTTCCATATTAAAAAGACAAGTAAATTTGGGTAAGTATATTCTAAAAAGACACTCAACGATATGCACAAAAAGTTCCAATTTTTATACTTTTATTTTATGTTTATAATTATCGCGTTACAGAGCCACCCACATTTCATCTCGTTGCTAAGCTCTAATTGATTTTCCTAATCACCACCCTTTAAAATAATTGAAGTCAATGAAAAACGTTAAGGAGTCCAACATAATTGATGCATTCACTCTCGAGTCTCGTGTCTCGTCACCGTTTGGCCTTAAAAATACATTCACCTTGTAAAACAAAAGGAAGATACTCCTCATTTTTTCCAATTTTTGGTTCTACACATTTCTATATATCATCCACAAATTATAGCCTAATCCAATCAAATGAAAGTACCAGTAGTTTTGATTTTTCATAACTCATTGAAATAGTAGAATAATGCAGAGTACATTATTTGTTATCATTAAAGGACCGTGCTTTTCTGAGTCATTAGAGCACAATAGTCCCTATTAATATTCATAAACCACATATTCTCACATTGTTAACAATTAGTTTACAATGTATTAATTGAACTAAACAGCTGATTAAGAATAATGTGTGTATGGTTTGGCTGCAGGAGTGAGCTCATACAGAGTGGACCTGGAGAGCAAGAGAGTGGTGGTGATTGGAGACATACTTCCTTATGAAGTGTTGGCAAGTGTCTCCAAGGTCAAGAATGCTCAGCTTTGGATTTAATCTCTATAATCATTCATTAATTAATCTCCCCCACCATTCCCATTTTGTTGTAAATGTATCCAGAATCCCATTATTATGTAAATTTCATCAATTCTGCCCGATCGAATGGATTTTATGTTAATAATCACGACTTTATTGGAGAATCGTTGTTATGAACTCTTTAGAGTTTAATCTAATGCAGCAGTAGTTTTCTATCTCGTTTTGTAACGGAACCCCATGTACATAGTATTCGGATTTTCTGCTAGGTTTGTCTGGCATCTGCCACTTAATTAACTTATCGAAAAAGGATGTTTGAGACGGCAAATCCAAGTGGTACCACAAGGAATCATAGAGTAAAAATCTTCGAACAGAGGGTTCTACGAGTTTTGAAGCTCGAGAGTCTGTGATGCAATGGTGGAGCCACGTTGAGATGACTTCATGAAGAAATCTCACTGTCCATGGAAATTTAAGTCGATCCAACGGTTGAAACCTAGACTTCATGAAGAAAAAAAGAACGAAGCACTTCAATGACACCAGGCCAATCTGCAAAAGCGTTTCAGTTTGTCAATTGGCCCAACCAGGCTTGCAGAACAGTTTGTTCAATTACTTATGAATGGGCCCATTCCAGCAGGCTCGCATTTTCCAGTATGGCTTGTGGGCCCAAACTGGCCTGCCTGCCTGCATGCATTGCCTTGTCGGATGTCGGCCAGGATGCTTGGTAGTTGCCTGGTTGGTACTATGACTGCAAATGAGCCGAGATATTCACAAGCTCGTTTAACGTTCGCTAGGAAAAAAAATCGTCAGGAACTCGACTTGTTCGCTAATGATACAATATTGAACTAGGTTTTATTCAGTTCGTTGTGGGGTTCGAGAGCTAGCTCGATGCGGGTGTCATGTATTGTTGAGCTCAATTACGAACTAGTTCGTTTAGAGCTCATGAGATGTCTCAACATTATGTATAGAGAGCCAACTCGACTACCAAATACCAATTCATTAGCGAGTTGAGTACTCGTTATCTTGAATACCGACGATCTTGGATTTGATTGTCATCCCTGGAAGCGATTTAATAGTCATTAGTGGCTTAGTGCTAGTTGATAACGTGGGGTCCATATCCTGAAATGGCGTCTCGTATTCTCATTGTTCATTTTTTTAATCTTCGCCGAAAAAGCCAGTCAACTCAAAAGCCGAATCCGGGAGAAAAAACAGTCCACCGGAAAAGCGCCGAATCTCAGTCAGTCGCCATGCCCGGACTCCTCGCCCTCGTCTTTTTCTTCCTTATCCTCCCACTGTCTCCGCCAAATCCGACCCGAACCCGATCCGCGTCCCGCCGACCCAAGCCCACGCCGAGCTCACCACCTACGGCTTCCCCATCGGCCTCCTCCCTACCGCCGTCCAGTCCTTCTCTCTCAACAAAACCTCCGGCGAGTTCTCCCTCGACTTCGGCTCCTCCTGCAAGATCACCCTCCCTCCCGACAACTACCTCGCCACCTACTCCAAGATCGTCCAGGGCCGGATCGCCGACCTCGACGGGATCCGCGTCCGTGTGTTCTTCAAGTGGTGGTCGATCACCGGAATCAAGTCCGGCGACGGTGAATTGGTGTTCGAGGGCGGGATGGTGACGGCCAAGTATATATATATACACAATTACACTTGGATTCTGTTGTAATGTTGAGCTGATTGTACTTTGTAGTTTGTGCTTCTGGAATTGTATCCACTCCTATGTTAATGAACTAATAACTAATTGATGGTTGGTCGCGCGACTGAATTTGGATTTAAATCTCGCATTCGAACTGATTTCATCTCGATAATTAGCCATGCAGAGTTAGAAGTATAGATGGATCACTAACAATAATGTAGAGTTGTTAGAACTGAACTCTGTCGTTCTTGCTGTCGATTTCCATAATTAACAAGGTAATTAATTATTTGAGTCTGGGTTTTGAAGTGGGCATATTTTCGATAGGACGAAGCAGGCAGGTCCGTTACTTGGAATCGTAGTAAGCGGGTTACGTACGTGAGATGCCAGCCCCGTCATTTTCTATGTGTACGTAATTATCGATCATGATTATTATTATTATTATTATTAATTAGATGAATACTGATATCAATAATAATAATAATTGTGGTCCTTGTTGGAAATTATCTCAGCCTTACAAAACACTCAATTAGTACCACGTCCGTCCGTCGTTTTCCTTATGACAATATTTTTTTTCTTTTCCCATTATGGTCGGAGCAACTCCACTTCCACAGTTCCACTGACCCGTTGTATTGGACTTGTAGTAGTACATCATAGTTGCAGTCATTGTGTTTTGTAGTTGTAGTAGTACGAATAGAAGCGGCAAATGGATTGATCTATGTATTGGTGGATCCATAGATCAAATGGATTGGATCCAATGGATTGGTGAATTATCCATGAATTCAAATGACATCCTCAACTTTGGACCAATATGTAAAATGTGAAAAGTTTGGATACTAAAACGTCATGATGAAAAAATTTAGATACCAAAATGTAATTTTCAATGATATTTTTCGTATAAAAAATTAAATTTTGGGTACCAAAATGTAAAATATAAAAAGTATAGGTACCAAACCGTAATTTGTCATTAGGATCCATGGATCAGTCCATGAATCCACCAATCCAAATTTAATTTTGATCAAATGGACTGGATTAGGTGGATATTTTTAATGAATTGGTAGATTGGATTGAAAATTGACACCTCTAAATACGAATATGGGGTGGACTACTACAACTCTTTTTTCAGCACCGTATCTGATATTCTGATTCCAAGTTTTTAACTTTAACGGTAGTTGGTACGTGTAATGAGAAAAATGGTTGCTGGTAAATCATCAATGAGCGCCTTATCCAGCAAAACCTGATCGGGTTTGCTCTCAGACCACTCAAATCTTCGATCGGGAACCGAATTATTATTATTATTATTTTATTTATTTAATTATATTTTTTTTTACTGGAGGAATCGAATTATTAATGGGCACCTTAATTTGATATAAATCTCAAGGCAAAATACACCTCCATAGCCATAACTATCCACTTTTTGCCAATAATAGCCACTTTTTAAAAAATACACAGAAATAGTCATTCCGTCAAAAACTTTAACGGACTAGCTGCGAATGCTAACTGGACTAACGATTATGGTTGACATGGCATGTTTTGATAAAAAAAACTAACCGGGTGGAAATTAGCTATTTTTATTTATATAAAATTAAAAAGAAACACAAAGAGGAAGCGAAAGGTCTTCCCCTTCAACAGACCACCTCCTCTTCTCTTCACCTGAAAAAACCCTCCACCCACTAGGGGTGGGCATGTGGGTGGTTAATCCGCGGATTGATAACGATTCACCCGCAAAAAACCCGACCCACATGTAATGGGTGATTGATGTGGGTGGATTGTGGATTGTTAAATCTTCCACCCCACTTATTTGGGTGGATGGTGGGTGGATTGCGGGTCACCCGTATGACCCGCGTCCTATTTTTACATGGAAAAGTATTATTTCTTATAGTATCAAATATTAATCATGTTTTCGAACTGCACTACAGTCTGACCATATACTGCAAAAAGTGGAGAATAAAGAATAGTTTTGACTACTATTATTGGTTATTGTGTTGTGCAATATCCATTGGCAATGGATATTGGTATGCAAATTATTTTTAATATCCATTAAATATTGAGATACAAACTATAAATTATTAATTGTATTAAAATCACAAATTATTGATACAATCTTACTAATTTGCTATTAAATATTGAGATACAAACTATAAATTATTAATTGTATTAAAATCACAAATTATTGATACAATCTTACTAATTTGCTATGAACTTATTATAAATGTTAGTCAACTTTCTTAATGGCTAGTTGGAGAATTGCTTTTGCGGATTAACCCGCGACCCAACCGCACTCATCCGCCACCCACCCAACCCAACCCGCATAAGTATGTAGGTGGATTGCGGGTCACATATATTCCAACCCGCTAATAAGCGGGTGGGTCCAGTGGCGGAGCTACTCACAAGGGAGGGGGGTGCTTGTAGCCCCCTTGGCCTGGAAAAAATTATTAGATAGTATGGAGGACACTAGGCAAAGGCATCGAACAACTATCCCTCTCAATGAAATTCAACACCCAGAACATTCACCATCTCGGCTGGACTAGTTTTTAAATAATCATACGTACATCCTTTTATTTATAATATAACTATTTGTCCTTAAATAAAAAATTTGGTCATTAGTTAAATTTATGTGTTCTACGTCCATGACAGGTTCAAAAACTCATTTGCCAGTTGCATAAGAAGCATAAATTTAATCCATATGTTTATTTGCTTATTGAGTTTACACTCATTTTTCGGTTGCAACAAGTGTGGAGCGATCATTTTCATCTATGAAGTATATCAACAATGATTTTGAAATCGAATAAATGATGAGTGGTTGAACTACGCATCAGTAACATTTATTTAACTAGATTTGCATGCTAGATTGGACAAAAAATGTGTTCTATAATGCTTTTAGTATGAAATTTTGTTACCTTTCGTTGTAAGCTATGAACGTCAAACTTTTATTCTGTAATTGTTTGAAGTTTGAGTATTATGTTGTTGACTTCTTATTTCGTTTAGAATTGACTTTTTTGTTATGTAGTTTGATTTTTTTTATGATATGAAAAACACCCCCTTGGCAAATTTTCTGGCTCCGCCACTGGGTGGGTCAATTTTAGACCAAAATCCACCCAACCCGCACATTGCACACCCCTACCACCCACCATTGTTTCCGATCGACAAAGACCCTCCAATCAACACACCCTTTCGCCGGAGACCCTTCCTTCCTATAGCGCGTTCTCCCGGCGTCCATCCCACATCATTTCACCCAGTCATCCCCAATCTTCGACAAGAGTCCTCCCCGAAATTGATTCAAGAGACCACAAGAGCCTCGAGTTCCAGCGCCGTCATCGACAACGACCGATTCTATTCTCCGACCTCACCGTCTTGATCGATTCGGGAAGGGAAGGAGACAAAGCAACTAAGAAGTGAGACCGAGAGATTTGTTCAATTCGATTCTAGGGTTCGAGATGAGATTTGTTCTCTTTCTTGGATTTGATTTACTCGCGGTGGGTTTTTCAGTGGGGTTTCATCGATTTGACTTACTTCGTGTGGGTTTTGTTTCGGGCAGAATCAAAAAGAGGTCTTAGAAGAAGAGGATTTGAGTGTTTGAGTTTGGGAAAGTGGACGAGGGAAAGGTTGCAGTTTCAACAACTTGGGTCGTCTTCTCTATGGAATTGAAAAACAAAGCAACGACAGCCCGTCGCCACAAAAGGACCTAGGAATCCGGCCGGAGAATGAGGAGCAAGGGTCGTCGGAGAAATATCTCGACGCACTGCTTCTTTGCCTGAACGAATCCGTGCTCAGCAGCCCGTCACCACCGCAGCTTCAAGGAAGATGGGATTAGGGTTTTTTGGGTGAGAGATTTTATTTGTTGGGCGGCGATGGCGTAGAGATATATGATTTTTTTTTAATTTAAAATGTGACGTGTCGTACATGTGGTATGGAGTGATGAGGTGGACATGACGTGTAGTTTAGGTTGCATCCACGTCAGTTTAGCGTCCACTTAATTGATTGAGTAATTGACGGTGTTAAAGTATTTAACGAAAATGACTAAATTTGATAAATAAGTTTTAAAATTATGGCTATATCTGTGTATTTTTCAGAAAGTGGCTATTATTGTCACAAACTCGATAATTGTGGCTATGCTAATGTATTTTGCCAAATCTCAAACTAAAAACAAAGATTGAAGGTTTGACTTAGAGAAATATAATGAATGGGGATAATCATTATCCAGCTGGGGGCAAATAAAGAAGAGGAGATAACGTGAAAAAAAAAAAAAGGGATTAAAATAGTGAAGTAAAGTCCAATCCAGAGTTTGGGTGGGCCTGTCAGCAAACTGGCCGCTTTTATGTATTTGGGTTGTTGGGGGCGCAAGTGGGCCGCTGGGCGGCATGCAATCGCCGTTGACTTGCAGCTGCCGGACGGCCGCCAGCTGAGGCACGCAGGGTTCTTCCTATTAGAGTACGAGCACAACATATATAGAGTTATCGGATTCGAATGTGAGATCTCTACGTCAAGATTCTGATACCATTTCAAAGAATTAGTCGATCCAAATAACTAGGGTTATTGAGAGCGATTCAATAATGAATAATATAGAGTTTACCCATACTCTAATACTTCTAACTAACCAAAACGGTAGCAATTTTATCTTTTTGCAGAGCGGTTTTGTGTCTGCTTGTCCTTTTGCATTTTGCTGCATCGATGCAGAGCTCGGCTCCTGGGCATTGATTGTGCATTCAAAACATGCCCGACATACTACGAGCTTTTAAGACATGTTGTTAATATTGGGGTCTGGAATGACTTGAACATGCTCGATTTCACGATCAAATAGACTCTGATGGCGTATAAAAAATAAATACGGATCTCAATGATTCGAAATGGATTATAAACCAACCGATCTCAATAAATGGAGATGTTGTGATATGTTGACGTAGGAATTAGGATCGTGAAGTCCCAACAAGTATAAGCATGGGCTGTATGACATGGCACTCCTTTGCCCTTCCTTTTTCTTTTCTTTATTGACTTTTTTTTTTTATCTTTCCCAATAAGATTCCACCGCCACGTGTCACTATCTCCTCCCCCCTTTCCCAGTTTCTATCATCCTTTTTCCTTCCTTCTTTCTTAGCCCAATGAAACTAATCTCCACTCAACACATCCCACTTATTTGTCAATTTTAATTTAACTACCTCAGATATAAATATAATTAAACTTTTCTTGATTGTATTCGCCATTTGGGTGAAAAAACAAAAATACCGTTTGGTTGTGTAATGCTTTATAACTATTTATTTTATTTTTTATCACGATAAACATATCTAACTTCTTACTCAAAACTCTTATATTATATTCTTATTTGGTCTCTGATTTCTAATTTCACCGTTACAATAAATATAGGACGAATTTTGAACATACCGCCACTGAGTTGCACTATTGCCATGTATGATGAGGAAATTGATTGGAGTGAGGAAGGGGCTAGAAATAGAAAGATCACAACTTTTTTTTGGAATCAAACTCTTGTCTTCGAAAGGGGGTCTATAGCCTATCATCCTATCACTTTTCCATGTCTAATTATCATATGATCCATATTTTATAACCTAAAATTAAATATATGTGTGTCATAAACCAGCTGATTTCGATAATTTGAATTGTTGAGAGATATTCATGTATGGATCTTTATCAACTTTCTTGCACCTACTTCCTTCCACTAGAAAAGGGGGCCTATACTCTAATACCATGACCTTCACGTACCTCCCGACTTCCTCCGCAACTCTCCCAGCAGCGGATCTAGTGGGGTCCGCCCCCGGGCCACGACCCAGCCCTCCCTTGATCCAGAACTAATATAGTACTTGCAAATTTTCGATTTTAAGATGTTTGTTTTAGTGTTTTTTTGTGTTACGGACTTACGGCCCAACCCTCTCCGCCTTTTTCCATTCTTTTACCATTCTCGTGGGCTTCGCCATTGACCATGATAGTTAGTTGGCAAGGTAATCGACTTTGTCACGCCTACAAGAAACCCTAAAACACAAGAAGTTGCAAGGTAAAGGTGTGAGGGAACTGCAAAATTGGATTCAACGGTACGAACAGCCGGGAGGGATTATGCATGTAAATCGTAACGTAAAATATAAAATAGAATTAAGTTTCTGTTTTCCTTTCATCAGACGGTGACGTAGGATTTGGTCCCGCCAGCAAAAGCCCCGGCGGAAAAATAATTATTATGCTATAAAACAAAAAAAACAAAAAAAAAAAAACAAATCTCATTAACCCCTCTACTTTCACGCGCCGTCTGTTCTGTAGGGTACCCTCCACGTACCAATAAAACAACGCGACAGTGCTTAACGTACTTTATCTGCTTCTGCTCCCACCTCATTTCCAGCCCCAGCCTTTCCAACTCAGCCCGAAAGTTTACGCGCCGCCGCACGCGCGTCGACTGTTTTCCTCCGTCCGTCCGTCCACCACCCTCTCTCTCACGCTCTAAAACGTGACCATCTCTCTCTCTCTCTCTCTCTCTTTCGTCCAAAACTAACAACAAAAGCGAAGGAGAGCCAATCTCTCTCACTCTGCATCTTTGGATTCTCGCGCAGGAGCAATTTCTTCTTCCTCCTCCGTCGTTTGGCCGTGGCTGGCCTCCCATTGAAGAAACCCTAGATGCTGCTGCTGCTGCTTCAGTTATCGACTCGCTGCTGCCGGTACGTTCTCTCCGTCCGGTTTCTCTTTCTTCCCCCCTTTTTTCCCTTCCTGCGCTGCTTGAGGAATTTCGTGTTTCGCGTTCGCCGGAAGGTCTTTTTTTACGTGAGCTCAGATCCGTTACTGCTGCTAGCTTTTGCTTTCGCTGCCGGGTTCTGGCTCCGGCTCGGTAAACGCGCTGTGGTTTCGCTCCGTCTAGTTTCTCCTTCCCCGGCTACGGCCGGGTGAAATTTGCGTGTTTTTTTATGCGGTTTTCGGCATTAGCTGATTCGCTTTTTTTGTTTTTCACGTTTGACGTTTTTTTTTTTGCGGGGGAATAATTGTGGTTTCCACGTTAAATTCACGCAAATGTATGAGAGAACGGAACTGTAGAATGGCCGTCGCAGTTGCATTGTTTCCGATACCTGTTTGGATGATGATAGAGCTCCATTTTTTTTTTTTTTGCTTTTCTTTCTCCCGGAGGGTGTTTCTCGAATTTCCGAGGGCGGCGAGAGGTGTAGGATGGTGAGTGGCTGAAGGGTTTATGATACCGATCTTCTCTAGGCTTTGGTCGATTCCAATTGGAGCTTGTTTACTCCAATCTTTGTTCTTGCTCGCTAGGCCTTTTTACCTTCTCTTTCTCGCGAAGTTCCGATTCCGGCTGCCCTACTGTTGGCTTTACTATGGGCTCAGGTAGTTTTGTTGGTGGAGTATGTGTTCGGTTTCATTGGTCATTTTGTCGTTACCAGTATCCGCATTCAGCATTCAATCTACAGCGAAATTCCTTTGTTCTATTGATGATTGAAGGCGGCGAATTGGGGACATTTCGTCCTTCCCCCTTAGCTTAAGTCTATGATGAACTTGTTCTAATTAGTTCTTCTGTTCTTTTCCCCCCTCCCTCTTCCTTTTTCTTTTGGTGTTTTGCCCCTTCCTGAGAAGACAAAAGAGCTTGGTTGGATTCTGTGGTTCAGAAGATCCAGGTGGGGATTATGTATTGACATTGTAGCTTCTTTTTTTTCACAGGACGGGCTGCAAAAGCTATTGAGCTGGCTTGTTTGAATGGACTTGGATGATAAGTTTCATGGGAAAGGTATGGCCTTTTCCCCTGTCACATGGACTCAAGGTTGGCTTGTATTGGTAGCTACAAAGTAGAGCAATTACATTGAATGAAATGGGTCGTGCAGTTATTCCAGTGATGTGCATGCTATATTGTTGCTGATCCGCAGTGTCGGTTCATCAATGTCGATGTGACGGTCAATTGGGGGACCTGGGTCCATTCTATAAATTTCTGTTAATGTGTGTCTGTACTCTGGTCCATCATGTTTGAAGTTTTTTTTTCTTTTCTAGAAAAAAAAAAGATTCTGTGGAAGCTGATCTATGGCCAGTTAGTTCTGTGCTTTTATGTTAGATGTCCTAATTGCATCGTAATATCATTTTCCAGTCTGAAGAACCAAAGTAATTCACTTCATCTTTGACTCTTGTCTTGGTTTCTTCATCTGCATGGTTTGTCGTTTTACTTTCTTATTATTGACTCCAGTTTATTGCTTGGTTTGGAGAATCTTAGAAACTTCATAATTTCAGATGAGCTTTCTGCATTTAACGGGAAAAGTTATTTAGAACGAATTTAAGTAGACTCTCAGTTTCTAATGTTGGTGCCTTGTCTCTCCAGTTTCTGGCGTTCAAAGCCTTTCTTCGAATGTCCAAAGCACCCCAGAGAAAAATGGTAACTCCGATCATGCTTCAAGAAGTCCAGAACTAATTCAAGAGTTTCCAAATTCTTCGGGTCCCAAAAAGGAACTTCTCCGTACTTGTTTTGATAAGGACAAGAAGCTATCAGCATCGTTTAAAGGCAAAATGACGGAACTGAAGTCGTTGGGTAGCAAAACAATAAAGAAGCAGGAATCCAAGAAAACGTCTCCTGCCACCAATAATCAACTTTCAAAGAAACAGAAAAGGAAGGGAGAAAACCCCATTCGAATAGTACCTGCACCAGACCAGTCTCCTGATTTCGCGAGTTCAAACTCATGGATATGTAAAAATGCCGCCTGCAGAGCTGTCTTATCCATTGATGACTCATTCTGCAAGAGGTGTTCTTGCTGCATCTGTCATTCCTTTGATGAGAATAAAGACCCTAGTCTATGGTTGTTCTGCTCATCTGAAACAGCTTATGAGGATTCTTGTGGTCTCTCTTGTCACATCGAGTGTGCATTTCAGCATGAAAAGGTGGGGGTTGTTGATCACGGGCAACTGATGCAGCTAGACGGCAGTTATTGCTGCGCTTCTTGTGGTAAAGTATCAGGGATTCTCGAGTGAGTAATTCGTTTGCAGTCTTTTATTTTATCATTCTCCACCTATCATTTTTGCTCATTCTCAAATGGTTCCAGTGGTTCCATTGCAACAGAAAAAATAATATAGCCAGCTAGAACACTGTTTCTTTTTATCACTGTGCGGATTAGGTGGTGCACCAATAGCTTTTGGCTGACATGTTTCAATTTTATACTGGCAGATCCTGGAAGAAACAGCTCATTATTGCAAAAGAAGCCCGTCGTGTTGATCTGTTTTGCTATAGGATATACCTGTGTTATAGACTACTTGATGGAACTTCAAGATTCAAAGAGTTGCATGAACTTATAAAAGAAGCCAAAGCCAAATTAGAAACCGAGGTTGGTCCGTTAAATGGCGATTCTGCGAAGATGGCACGAGGCATTGTCAGCAGACTCCCCATTGCTGCTGATGTGAATAAACTATGCACTATTGCAACTGAACGTGCAGACGAATGGCTGGCTTCAGCTTCTAATGTCAATTCCAGCTGCAGAGGTTTTTGATTCCTCTAGTTCACCTTTTGGTTCCATGTGGAAAATAAGCCTCTTATAAATACGGAAAGAATAATCAATTCTGTGTCTTTTTCATTCTCAGCAGAGGGCTCGCTGCCCGCTGCCTGCAGGTTTTTCTTCGAAGAAGTGGCAGCGTCATCAGTCATAATAATTCTCATTGAAATGTCAGCTGCATCATCCGAAGATATCAAGGGCTACAAACTCTGGTATACCAAGAGCAGAGAAGAGACTCCTCCAAAGGAATCCATTTCCGTCTTCCCCAAGACTCAGAGGAGGATTCTGATATCAAATCTGCAGCCCTGCACTGAATACACCTTTCGAATTGTGTCATACACTGAATCTGGCGACTTGGGTCACTCTGAAGCCAAGTGTTTCACCAAGAGCGTAGAGATATTCCGTAAGCTTCCCAGCTCTTCTTCAGCTGCAGCAAATGGTGGTACCAAAGACGACACCACCACCACCACCAACGAAGGAGGAAGCACCTCCAAAGCCACTACAGAAGGCAGTAGTGACCTCTCGGGGTTCAGGGTTCGAGAACTCGGGAAGATCATCCGCATGGCGTGGGCTCAGGAGCGAGCCTGCTCTGATGGCTATTGCTGTGATGCTGCCGATTCTGCAAAACCAGAGTCTACTCGGGATCACGAGCTGCCTGCTGCACTACGTCAACTCGATCTCAACGTCATGTCCGTTCCCGATTTGAACGAAGAGCTCACGCCTCCCTTCGAGTCGTCCAGAGACGAGGACAACGACTGCACACTGGAGGGTCAGGCCATGGTGGTCGCAGACGATGAGGCCGCTTCTCACGACAACGTAAAGAAGGACAGCTTAGATAGATCCAAGTCCAACGGCAGTGGCGACTCAGCCCCCGCCGTGGATTCCCGTGGAGACAGAAAGAGGCCTGCCCCGTCTCAAAGGGCCAACGAGGAGGTCCATGACTGCGACAGCACTCTCATCAACGGCTCGCCACTTCGCCAGTCGAGAGGCTCCGGTTCGTTGGACGAGAACTTCGAGTCGTGTGTGAAGATCATCCGGTGGCTGGAATGTGGCGGGCACATCGATCAGGAGTTCCGCCTGAAACTGCTGACTTGGTTTAGCTTGCGGTCCACGGAACAGGAACGGCGAGTTGTCCATACCTTCATACGGACCATGGTCGACGACCCGACCAGCCTAGCAGAACAACTGGTCGACTCGTTCTCGGATATTGTATCGAGCAAGAGGACGAAGAATGGCTTCTGCAGCAAGTTATGGCATTAAGGGAAGAACAACTTGTAGGATCTGGTGATGGAAGAAAGGGGAAACTTTTTCCCCCCCGCTTTCTTCCTTTTGCAGTGTTAATCACTTCTCTTCAGTGGAGGTGGTTTTCTATCTATTGGATGGTCGAACCCGGGGCTCCAGGGGTTTATGGTTGGTTTGGTTTTGGTTCGGCTCGGTTTGACCAAGTGACTGAGCTGTATTTATGGGGGAAATGAAGGGAAGGCAAATCTGGAAGGAGGTTTGGATCCAAAGTCTAATCCGGGCATTTGAATTGTTCAGGCAATTTAACTACTGTAGGTGTAGAGTACTTAGTGAAGGATAATCTCGATTCTGAATCTCCCATCTGTAATTGGATAAATTGTCATTATTGTATGACCTTTCTTCCATTCAAAGAAGGGTAATTGAATTGATGACATATTCTTAGCTTTCGAATATGAGAGAGTCTACGACTGCTCGACTAAACATGTATGGGGATTTCACAATTAAATGGGTTAAACTTGACAACTGATGCTTATTTGTCCGTTCGGTAGCGGCTAGTTTTGCAGGTTGCCTAGTACTATCAACTTCTTTTGTTGATAGTTAGAGCATAGATTCATTTGTAAGTGGCATAATAATTAACAAGTTACCATGATGGCTTTCTTTTTGAGATGTCATATTTCTAGATAGCACTTCCATCATATGAGTATTCTTATCTTTGGGACTTGAATTTATCAAACAATTATATATTTATGCTCTTAAGATTCAATGATTTTAACTTGTTTTAGTCATTATAAAACAATAATGAACTTGTTGAAAGTATAATTATATCATCAATTATTTTCCCTTTGATACATATGATATCAACTTCTTCTCAACAAATAGAAGGAAAAAGGAAAAATAGTAAAATACCAGTAAACAACAAGGGCATAATGACCTGGATAAGGAGAGGTGGGGCCTACTTCATATCCGAAGCGACCTTTACTCTTATTATGTTTCTAAATTATCTTTTCGGCTTTTTCCCCAAAGTGCCAACAAGGCGAGTCTCTATTTGTCAGCTTGATTTGCCAAGTCAGCAAAGAACGGCATGCAATCCGTAGCTACGACGCCGTTTCCATCGGCAGCATTATATCAGTTTGAGCTAGCAGCGAGAAAAATATGAGGCTCAGAAAGGCCCGTTGCTTCTCTCCCGCCACACTCTCTAACCCAAGAATGCAGATTCTCTCAGCTCCATCGTCCCGCTATCTCCCCTTTGAAATCTCGAAGCCGCAATCGAAGCAGCCAGGTTCAATTTCACTTTTGTGCTCGTTGAATTTCTTCCCGCCATTGATGTATCTCCTCCGTTACCCTACTCTGAGCTCGAAAATTCGCGGTGCTCGGCGTTTCAGGAATTTCCTCACCGGAGAAGTGGCTTCAGATATCGGTAACGAATCCTTCCTCGTCGCTATTTCCTCCTCTGAGAAGCAGCAGCTCTCACAAGCCGTCCTGCTGCTTTACAACGAGAGCTGCTTCTACTGAAGGTAAATTCTAAGTTGGGACTTACATAAGCTCTGGAGTGTGAAAATTCGCTTTACTATGTTTAATGGCGGAAATCGTGTGGGGAAAATGTTCAGTTGGTGCTTCCGAGACATCGGCTGAATTGAGATCATCCGCAGAGAGCGACGTGCTGAAGGCCTTGTCTCAGATTATCGATCCTGATTTCGGAACGGACATTGTGACTTGTGGATTCGTCAAAGACCTAGAGATTGATGAAGCTCAAGGAAAGGTAGTAGCAATTTTGATTGCTAATTTCTCGTTGAGAAAGATGAGTACACACTGGGAATTTTGTTGAATTGCTTGTGGTTTTTGTTGCCGATAGGTTTCGTTTAGGTTGGAGCTCACTACCCCGGCATGTCCAATCAAGGACTTGGTCAGTGGCTTAACCTTCATTATTGTGATCAATTGTTCTTTAGATATGGCTGGTGTTAATTTGTTTGAGATTTGAGATTCTACTTTTGCCAATGCAGTTTGAGAAGCAGGCAAATGAGGTGGTCGCGGGGCTTCCATGGGTGAAGAATGTTAGTGTGACAATGTCAGCACAGCCAGCTAAACCTATGTACGGGGCGCTACTTCCTCCTGGACTGCAGACCATTTCGAATATCATTGCAGTTTCAAGTTGCAAGGTTAGATTACCATGGTCTAGCATTTTCCATCGATAGTTTGCTTGTTGAATGTCATTACTGTAGTTTAGTGTTAGTGCTATTAGCCACTCATGATTCTTAGTTTCTGAGAAGTTGTGCAGGGAGGTGTTGGGAAATCGACTGTTGCTGTGAATCTTGCGTATACTTTGGCTGGTATGGGTGCTAGGGTAGGGATATTTGATGCTGATGTCTATGGTCCAAGTTTACCAACGATGGTCTCTCCTGAAAACCGGTTGCTGGAGATGGTAAATATATCCAGACCTCTAGTTTACTAAAACCAGTTCAGTTAATTGAAATGAAAATGGCGGATTTCAGACTGAATGTGAAATCTATCTATCAGAATCCGGAGAAGAAAAGTATTATACCTACTGAATACTTGGGGGTGAAGTTGGTTTCCTTTGGATTTGCTGGACAAGGTCGCGCGATAATGAGGGGTCCAATGGTTTCGGGGGTTATCGACCAGCTTCTCACGACTACTGAGTGGTGAGTTTGTAAAGTGAATAACATGTTGAAACCATCTGAAGTAGTAACTATGGGCTTGTGACCATAATTTGCATCTCCTGCAGAACATTATGAACTCAGTTTTTTTGCGATTTATTCTGGAATCTTGAATGCAGGGGAGAGCTGGATTACCTTATCATTGACATGCCTCCGGGAACTGGTGATATACAGCTTACTTTATGCCAGGTTGTCCCATTGACTGCTGCTGTCATTGTGACCACCCCTCAGAAGCTTGCGTTCATCGATGTTGCAAAAGGAGTTCGGATGTTTTCAAAGCTTAAGGTATGTATCCCTCCATTCTCACCATGGTTCCAAATATGGTCATTTCAAACTGTTTGATATTTCTGTTAAAGGGAAGCTAATGACGGATACTGAATGTTGCCCATATTATTTTTATTGACTGTTATGTTTATGTCTTCATGTTTTCCTTTTAAGCATATATAGGTGCCATGCGTTGCTGTTGTGGAGAACATGTGCCACTTTGATGCTGATGGAGAACGGTATTACCCCTTCGGCAGAGGATCAGGCTCTCAGGCATGTATACTTATCAAGCAATTCTATGCTTCCCAGTTTAAGGTTCAGACCTCAATTTAATATATTACTGCTGGTTCATGTCAAATTTCACAGGTTGTTCAGCAATTTGGAATCCCTCATCTGTTTGATCTTCCGATCAGGCCAACTGTAAGTCCATTGATTAAACTGTCTCACAGTTAATTCGATTCAACAGATGCATAAAATAACGTGAACTTGCTGATTCATGGTTCATTAGCTATCCGCCTCTGGGGATAGTGGGATACCTGAAGTGGTTGCTGATCCTCTAGGTGAAGTTGCAAAGACGTTCCAGGAACTCGGGGTTTGCCTCGTGCAACAATGTGCTAAAATACGCCAACAGGGTATGTATCCAGCTTCTTGTCTTGATTGGTAGCCTTCCGTTGCACTCGGTATAACATAATTGTCTGACCTCTGCTCTCTCCACTGTAGTTTCAACTGCTGTCACTTATGATAAATCAATAAACGCAATCAAAGTGAAGGTGCCTGATTCAGACGAGGAGTTTCTCCTTCATCCTGCAACAGTAAGGCGAAACGATCGTTCTGCACAAAGCGTGGTATGTGCCTGACGATCTCCTCTCTGAGAGTTGATGACTGAAGAAAGATGGATTACAAATATTTTGCCAGTTGATACCTGATTTCTTTTCCCTTTCGTTCGAAATAGGACGAATGGACTGGGGAGCAGAAGCTGCAATACAATGATGTCCCGGAAGATGTCGAACCGGAAGACATTCGGCCAATGGGAAACTATGCAGTCCAAATAACATGGCCCGATGGATTCAGCCAGGTACCTCTACCTTTTCCTCATCTATTCAATACTGATAGCTCTCCATGGCATGCTGTCACTAACCACTAAGTGCCAGCCAGCCAATTACTTTCGTTGATTTTTCCACGTGCACGTCTCATTCATCATCCAAAAAGAGCTCAAAAGTCTACCCAATGAATTGAATTACATTTCCTACTCTCCTTTCTGTGGGCTTACACAGCCAAGAAAAGCTTTTAACCAGATTGTTCATAATTTTTTGACCAGATTGCTCCCTACGACCAATTGCAAACGATGGAAAGGCTGGTTGGTGTTGTTCCTGTCAGTGTAAGCAGCTAAACTAGACACCCTCTCTTCATTCCCATCAACTCTCATGCAAGCTTTTGTCAAACATGATGGTCATAGGAGTGAGAAAGTTGCCATTAGCACAGGCCAGTCTACCACAGAATAGAGAGAGAGAGAGAGAGAGAGAGAGAGAGAATATACAGCTGCTGGTTTGTATAGTGAAAAAAATTCTACGTACATTTTGGTCCAAGAAAGCTTACAATACGCGCAAAAATCTGATTACGTAGCAGACTTGTGTATAGTGGCATCTCATTTCTAAGCAGTCTTTCTCTATAATTTTGTCTCGTTGGAGTCGTCGGCGGCGGCGGCGGTCATTTCAAGCTCTGTAGAGTGGGATCAAAGTCTGAACACAGTAGAACTAGAAGGCATATGCAGGCACTGCGCGCAGCCGCTGCTGTTTGACTTTTTTTTTTTCCGGGTCGGGTCGGGTTCGTCGTACCCGTCCACTAGACACTCTGGATTAGACATGTGAGTGTGTGACCAAATTGGACTGTGTGTGAGCGTGACACAAAAGATAGTACGACTTCCAACTTGTCGGCTGGCTCCCCCAAAATTCTGGTCATTTCTGCCTGGTAGTCTTGCCAATATGCTTCTTTGTCTCGTCTGAACCGGATTGAAAAGCGATAACGTTGCACACTGTATACGATAAATTCATTAACTTTTTATTTCTTCGAGAGAAATTGTATGCATTCAATTTTTTTTTTTTAATCGATGTTACGAAATGAATCCAGATCGCATGATGATATGATTCGCTGGCGCCGGTATATGCCCCGATCTGAAAAAGGAAGGGATCAAAATGGGTTCACGAACAGCAGAGTGCATATTAGCATGGTCCATGAAACCGTACCGGAAAAGTAAGCGGTGGGGTATTTTATGGCAAAATCGTGGTTTAACCGTAGTTCAACCGTTAGTACCGTTAAATACCGCCTATCGGTTTAGCCTCCGTTACTGATATTTTGTGGTTGAACCGCTGGTACTGTACGTTTTAATGGACCATGCATATTAGGCACCGGCCTCTTAAATGAAGATAGAGATATAGGAAAGAAGGAGAAGAAGAAGAAGAAGAAGAAGAGTGTTGTGATGGCGCAAGGAAGTGTCAGTTTCACAAGCTGCCTTAAGTTATTATTGATGAACATTAGTGAGTCCAGCAGCAGCAGCTGCACCAAACTCAAGCTTTAACCTTTTCGTTTTAAATGCTTCTCTCTTTCTATCTACCTGTCAACTATATTGAAGGAGAAAGGCAAAAAAGAACGGAAGAGTTTCTTTCTGGTAAGAGTCTGGCTGCCTACAATTTCACTGAGCAAAAAGTGATGTATGTATGGAAGTAAAAAAAGACAAATGCACCAGCCGGGAATCGAACCCGGGTCTGTACCGTGGCAGGGTACTATTCTACCACTAGACCACTGGTGCTATTGATGTTATAAGATTTTTGTTGCTGGCAATTCAAGAGGATTTCCCCCCGGGAAGCACTCGAAATGATTGATAGTTAAAATCAAATCCGAAAGCACGAGTACAATCTCGATCATTCTAAAGGGTTGATCAAATAATTACCGAATCCACCACAAGCCGAAAATGTTCAACTAATCAAGTAAAACCATCGGCGGACGATCCAAACCAGACATCGCGACCCTTTCATCCCAACACGTCTACTCGGGCCATAAATTATTTTCTCCATGAAAATTCTTGTCGTTCTGATAAGAATAATAATGTTTTTCATTTTGATTAGGCATAACTTTATATCTTCTTTTTTTATATAGCTTTTTTATGTCGCAGAGTTTAGCGCATACGGTCAACCTACTCCAATTCTTATGAATATAAAATAAATTTACAACAGTGGACAGTTCTGTTAGTAAATGGTATATGATCCACGATTGAACCTCTCCCAACAATTCGAGTTATTGGGATCAACTGGTTCTTGACATGGTATCAGAGCCTTCTGTGACCGTGAGATCTTCTGTTCGGTTCTCGGTGACCCCCCATCTATTTCTGTTGTTTCTGTAAAGCACACGGTGTCCGGACATGTGCCTGTCCAAACTCCAAGCCTATTCTTCTTGTCTTTTAATAAGCGATGTGTATGTAGTAATTGTATTATTTAGGACTTAGGAGTTATTAGCTGCCTGATTGACCAGGTTAGGAATAATTAGTTATATAGGTTGTTAATTAGTTTGTTATCTTCTTTGCTAGCTATCTAGAATGAATGAGTCAAACATAAAAGTCAATATCGATATATAATTAAGGAGTTAACATGAGATGCATGGATTAACTAAGTTGTTGACAAAGAAGTACGCTTATATTAGTACAACAAATGTCAATAATCCCATATATATGGGGAGAATTGGAGAAAGCATCTAAATTGTTAGCGAACTAACCACTTGGCCCCAATAACTCGAGTTGTTGGGAAAGGGATAGTTAAGCCTTTTAACCTCTTATACGCCCCCTCAAACGAAAGCCGATGCCGAATTGTAGATTTTTACGGTTTGCACAGGTTGAAACCGTGTTTCGCCAAACCACGAGGCTTTAGTTTGCACAGGTTGGACATACCATCCCTTGTGCTAAACAAATGGCTGAAAATGGGGGTCGTCATGAGGATTCGAAACCATGACCTTTCGGTTCTAGGCTCTGATACCATGTTAGCGAACTAACCACTTGGCCCCAATAACTCGAGTTGTTGGGAAAGGGATAGTTATGCCTTTTAACCTCTTATATAAATCAATGACGAATAAAAAATAATTGACTTTTCGACCAGTAAACAATACGCTATTTTCTTTCGATTATCTTAGGTCCTGTGAAACTTAGGAAGTTTTTCTCACCAGGTTTTCAAACTACAGTTTTCCATCCATATTTTGTTATCCATGAACCCACCTCTATGAAATTTTTGTAGGAACTCATTTGAGATCTGTTGCCTTCTTATCATTCAATCTAAGTAAAAAAAAAATCATTTTGAAGGATTTTTTCCAATTTAGTTGATTTTTCAAAATTAGATATTTTCTATATGGGTGGGTCTCACGATGAACGATTTTCGACGGGAAAAAATGGCTCAACGAACTACTTAAAAAAATCAAATTTCACAAAATATAAAAAAATTCGAAGAAAACGTATGATTTTATCATAGACCAAAAAACGACTTAATCCATAAATATAATACACGAATGAATCTGGTTTTAAGTTTTAACTACATTCAATTATCTAGCAAGAAATCATGGAGCCATCCAATCCACATACAAACATAATAATAAAAAAACCAACCCTGTAATTTTTTTCACAGAGGAATTACATGTTAAATTTTGTCAACTATTTGATTATTGGACTCCCACCATAATTATTTTTCTCGATAGAGACTTCACCATAAATTATAAACCTAAAAAAGTTGATTTCTTCCATCTATATAGACTATATTTGATTTGTTGGCAATAATAATTACTTATTTTCAGGCCATGGAGAGAGGTAGTTGCGTGGTCACTAAGGTATTCATTGAGATATTTTTATTTATAAATAATGACGATCCTTTCTAATCGTTAAAAATGAGGTGCAGACTTTTTCAGCAGAAACCTCCAAAATATAGCTTTTTCGATTGATCTGGAAAATTATTGGAGGTATAATAATAATAACTTTAGGTCACCATCTGTTTGGGTTGTCACTATTGGCTAGCATTTCATTTGAGATTTAGAATTAAATTTATTTTTTGTGGGTTTTCTTGATGGGGATTGGGGAGAGTTTTTTTAGACTTGTCATCCATCAGTTTTGTCATCGGATTAATCATCTTATTCACATAATTAATCATTATTGGAGAAATATGTGGCTTTGAAAAAAATTTGCCTTCTTGTATTCTACAATATCGATTGATAGAATTCATCATACCCGAAATTCAAATAATGAAAATTTTGTCTGAAAATAATATGAGATATTGAAACTAAATGAGTGGCAATTGTAACTTTCAACGTTTTCCCTCGAGGAAGGCAAAATTTGAAGGTTGTAGTAACAACATGATTTGTGGCCTTTGTGTGAAATTTGGGTTTATCTTTCTCGCGATCCGACTCTTAATTAGAATCTTTATTAGTTGCTACTAAAAGGGTATATGTTGGGGGTTTGAATATAAGAGATCATTTAATATGATGTGTCCGATGAAGATTTTGTATTACTAGAAAAATGGTCCAGATGAACATATCCAAATGACCAAACCACTACTCTAAATTAAGTCTAGAAATTCTAGCCTCAATGATTTTCATTATAAAAAAATATAATGAAACCTAAAATTCTAAATCATAAAAGACTAAAAGTATAAAGTTCCATTAAAATAAAATAAAAACGTCTAAACTAAAACTCTCAAGTGGTTCATAGTCAGCAATATGAAGTTTCATATCGGTTGCAAATTATTAGAGAAGCTAGTGGAAATAGGGAGGACACACAATACAAATTGAAATGCAAGTTGAGTCTTTGAATGTTGACCTTGCCCGTTTCAACAACTACTACGGAGATAACATTTTCAACAATGAAACATGCTAAAACTGATTTGCGTAACAAAATAAGCGATGAATTTCTTGTTGATTGCTTAACTATTTTCCGAGAGAGAGAGAGAGAGAGAGAGAGAGAGAGAGAGAGAGAGAGAGTATGCTATTGGTATGAATGAACACTCCATTATTGATGAAATTGCTAAATTAAAGTACTTTCGTATATAATTGACATTATAATGAAAATGATGATTATTATTTTTTATTATGGTATCTAATTTTCTATTCAAATGTTGTTCAATACTCCTACTATGTCCTCGATCTACCATTAATAAAATTAAGTTTAGAAATGAGGTGGAATATCCATACATATTTTATATATAATTTACCCATATCGTATTTTACTAACGATTAGTGATACTATATATCTCTGGTTTTCAACTTCAAAATTCATCGAGTAGCAAGGGTCGATACGTATCACCATGAGCCCTACATCAATCGTCATATGTTGGCCCTTTTCAAGCCGACATTAATATCTCGTGAATCATGACTATGTTTCAATCAACATATATGTTCCCATGTGTTTATTGATTAACGATGGCAAAATTTGATTAAACTAATATTGTTTAAGATACTGATATCCAGAATCTTAAAGTTTGGTGATTTAATGAGCCCTTCCTTTTAAGTTATATGTACAAGTTTAGTTTACATCATAAAGAAAGAAATTTGTACATTTATATATGTCATTATACAAGTTCGTTTTGTACAACAGTACAAGAAAGAAATTTGTACTATACAAACATAATTTATATACTAACGTTAAATGCACAAGTTCAGTTTGTAAACATAATTTTTTTTCGTAAACTAAAGCACGAACGCTATTAAGTATTGTAAAATTTCTTAAGAAGTCTATTACTTTTGTCGGATTCTTAAACAAAATGGCTATAATTGTCTCAAGGGTAAATATTTTGACTATATAGATATATTTTGTCGAAAATATCAATTTCAATAATGTGTAACTTACAAATTCCCGACTCATTTCAATATAATTGGTTTATAATTAATTTATTCCATCGTGAAAAGAGTACAAGCATGTTTATTGTCGTGGCCAATGGCAACAGAGTCAATCGTTCCCTTCAAGAATTTGAGTTGTTTATGCTAATGGCCTAAATGCACCTTTTTATACCTAATAGAAATAGTTAACTAGTTAATAACATTGCCCAGTGGAAGTGGTACCATTATATATTATATAATCGTGTTTTTTAATTATTCAATTAATTATTAGGTTCTTGATACTCACAATCTTTCGAGAATGTCAATAGTAGATATATAGCACCTTAAAATATTAAATATATAACAAGCACTGACCAGAAATACCGTTTAGTGCCATAAAATTTTCTTATTAATGATGAGATCCATTGATTAGAATATAGTGCTAACTGCTAACTAATATGTCTGATCTTCAGCATTTTCCAAGTTGTTTACCTAAAACAATTAGGCAAATAAATTTCCAATACATCCAATTTTTATTTGGCAAGGTATGAATTATCGAAATGATTACTATTGGTAGTACGCGAGGACCATAATAGCTATCATATTTTAAGTTCGAACCGTGAGGTTAGCAATCATTTGAGCAAATAAGTACCTTTTTTCCAAATCCTCGAACTTGTCGCCCATTTAAAATCCACCATCCAATAAAAAATTGTGTGCAATCTTCAATTCACCTATCTTTTTCGAATCCGTGAATTGGATGAAATTCAAGTGTGCTCTTGAGTCTTGACGTTGAAGTGAGTTAGTTAACATGTACGTTTCGATTTTTCACATGTCAAATCCACTACTAATTAAGAATTGTTGAGCTTAGATCAGATCTATCTTATTATCTAATCTCTTATCAGATAATTGGATTGACAGCCAATAGACTCTTGTTTATGGTGAATAATTGAGGTAACAACAAAATGGAATTGGTGGGAAGGATGACGTTTGACCAGTGCATTACCTTTGTCCACAAACTCTATATGTGGGTAAATAAGAAGGTAATGTTTATGTGGGCGACAAGGGAAAGAGTAAGTGTTAACAGAACACAAACAATAATATCTCAGTCGTTGTTCAATATAATTAATGTCGCTGTTCAATATAATTAATGTTGCTGCTATGCGGATTAGGGTTTGGTATAACGGTATACTGCTAGTTTTGAATTTGCCAGATCTCGTGTTCGGATTTTAGGGTGACTTTTCCCTCCGGTAACCCCAGAGATCATTGTAACATATATGATATGTGTAGTAACCTTGAGTAATAATGAAAAGCTAAAGTGTTAATTTTGCTCAAAAATTGATATTGTGATTATGCACATGGTGGTGCTTATTTTCCTTAGAGAGATTCATCTTTCATATACAAACATGAAAGAGAAGTTAACTCCGTAGCAGATCTCCCATCCTATAAAGTCGTCATTCTTTAGTTGAATCTCTTGTCGTAGACAACCAAATACTTTTGCACTTTTTCTTTCTTTTCGATAGGCACGCTACTGGAGGAGTGTGTCGCGTGTGGAGAGGGAAAGTTCGCACCGGAATCTGAACATGAAATCTCCATATTAAAACTAGCAATATCATCATTAGACTAAATTCTTGTTCACCCTTCCTTTAAACTATATATGATTAAAACAAAATTATTTACCTAATATTCAATAAACAGAGGGCCGAAATATATTTATAAAAAAATTTGAAGAAAAAGTAGGAAAAAGGATAGTTTTACCAGCTTCGTGAACATGGTGGGTCCCAGGGTCGTTAATGGCGGAAAAAGGTTGGTCTTGGACTTATCCCCTAACCACAAAACGACAAATTGGTCCTTTTTAAGTCGTCTCTCTCTTATCACGCCTCCCCCAGCTGGGTCCCGCCTTTTTGTATTATTAACATAACAAATTAACCCCACTATTCATTTATCTTAATAATAATATGAATAATTAATCACAATTAGTTATCCTAATTAACACAACGCAAGAAACGGAGCTTTCTTTCCTCTTCTTGTTGCTTCTTTCACAACCGAATTCACGGGACTTTATATAAACTAAAACAAGAATAAATTAAAGATAAAACAATTAGCGACAAGATGAGTTTTTTTTTAATCTAGATGATTAAATATTTAATTGGATAATGAGAGGACGAGGTGATGGCAAAGAAGCTAGGATTTTAGGGTAGAGAGAAAATAGAAGTAAAATGCTACCCTACTACTTCTTGGATCGAATCGAAATCTCCACGGAGATGAAAAGTTAATTACGCACATACCGATATACATATGATGACAGGCGGACCTTGAGCGAGTTAGGAGGTGTTCCAAGACAACCTTAGAAATCGGGAAAACAAAATTACCAATTTCTTAGTAGTACTTTTGAGCCTGAAAAAAAAAAGATAGTAACTTGATAGTAGTTTTTAGGGCTTATTCCACTAGAAAGCCCAAACTATTCAAAAAGCGTCATTTGTATTCTAAACTATTCAATATGACAAAACTGGCTCAAACTATTTTTTCGTTAATGTTGAACGGTGTAGACCGTTAGTATTTATCAGAAAATCTAGTCAGCATCTATGTAGTTTGTGTCAGATTTGTCATATTTAATAAGTTTATGACACAAATGACACTTTTAGAATAGTTTTGGACTTCTTAGTGAAATTAGCCATAACCAAGTGCATGAACAGGAAACACTATCCATGACTTTATTACAAAGCGTAGGTGAAATTGGAATCCTGGCATTATCCATGGATTCCAAAGTCAAGATTTTGCCTTTACTTATCCCAACTGCCCCCATAAAACTCCAACCACCTTAATTGCCTTGCCTTCCGCTTGCATGCCGTGGGGGATTATTAAACATGTTATTAATTACTTTCACAATAACATTGAATCCGAACCATAGTTTCTAGATTGGCAAAAGGATGGTAAATTCTGGGTGGGAGTTGATCAATTCCACGATCCGAATTATCGATAATTTCTATATATATATCAGGATGCGATGAATATCTAATTATCGCTATAATATTATTATCGCGTCAATATGTTGAAGTAGCTAGTGATTGTGGAGCGGTTAAGATTTCGACTATCTGTTTTGATTTCCCATGGAATTCTAATCAAGATGATCACATTGTGTTTATTAATTGGCAATGAATTATCATCAATTAAGGTAATCTTGCAGATTACAGCTTGCAAAGACATTATTTAACCTTAAAACCATTTTTTTTTTGTGGAGGGAAAAGGCAAAAGAAAAATTGCCCAAATGCCATGCATGTGACCTTACCCCAGACGACAACAAGTAACAGAGAAAATTATAAGAGCCTGCAGCTGCAAAGTACCCCAAACGTTAAGATGGAACAAAAGAAACTTATTAATTTTGTTGAAATCTTCAAAAACCCCACTCTTTTGTAATCTACTTAGAATGTTGATCGATTATCACAACAACAAGATAATTAAAAAAAAAAAGGATGAAACTACCTGGAATGTTAGTACCCAAAGCTAGCCTTTGATGAAATTTAATTTATTGTACATATAATAATTGGCAATTTATTTTATTGTACACAAATGTACACTCTTTTGAGAAAAGTACACGACTAGAAAATATGTCAACCCACGGAAAAAAGTATTGTTTAATCACACTCTTGTCAATGTGATCTTTACGAAAACTTTGGAAATGTACAATTAGTATTTTATGTTGTGACACCCAAAAGTAAAACTTGTGACAATTTTCTTTATGGGTTAATAGGGGGGAAGGGTGAAGAGGAGGGAGATTGCGCTTGTGATAAGATATCTAAGTGCGACAATGTGTGCTATTAGATTCGGTTTTCACAACTTAATTATTACCTTCTTTAGGAGTAAAAAAAAAAAAAACTTGGATTGTCTATATACTCAAATGATTAAATGACATGTATCGATCAGTTTGTTAAATATATTTATAGAATAGAGATCATCTCGAACTTATTTGTGATTGTCTATCATAATTAAAAATTTACCTCTTAGAATTTTTTTAAGATTTATCAAGGGGTCGTTTGGATGAGTAATTCCAATGGATTGATCCATTTGACAACAAAAAAATATGGATAGAGCAATTTGGCTGGGGAATTATGAATTGACTCATTTTGAGCCAATTTAATTTGTCTGGGGTGTAGGCAGGTAATCTAAATTGACTCGTTTTATAAAATGAAACAATTGGTTAAATTGTCTCGTTTTAGGATTGATGCCTCCAAACTCTTGAATTGCATTTATGATGTGCAAAGAACGTCCAAACCACCAAAGCAATAAATTTCAAAAGCCATAAGAAAAGGGCACTTTCCTTGTTCACCCCTTCATTTCACCTCCACCACCACAAGGGCCACTCTCCTCCTATATAAAGAGGGACACCAATCCAAACCAAACCCCAACCAACCCAAAAACAACATTAAAACCCTCTCTTCATCCTCTCTCTCTCTCTCTCTCTACAAATTTCTTCCCAACATTCTCCAAATCTCCCACTTCCCTCCCAACTATGGTGATGCAAACCAGCCTGAGAGAAGCCATGAACGCCCGAACCATCACCGGCTCGCCCACCACCGGCGGCCAGACCATGGTTCTGGCCCACGGGTACGGGGCGGACCAGTCGGCCTGGGACCAAATCCTCCCGGCGCTCTCCCAACACTACCGGGTCGTGGTCTTCGACTGGAGCTTCTCCGGCGCCGTGAAGGACCCGGACTTCTTCGACCCGGCCCATCACGCCACGTACGAGGGCTTCGCCGACGACCTCGTTGGGCTCATCGAAGAGATGGGCCTGGAGTCCGTCGTCTTCGTGGGCCACTCCATGGCCGGGATGATCGGATGCATTGCCTCCGTCAAGAGGCCGGAGCTCTTCAGCCGCCTCGTCCTCGTCGGCGCGTCTCCTAGGTAACGATTTTTGTAGATTTCCTTTTATCATTATGTTTTTATTTTTATTAATGGTTTTTTTTTTTTCTCAACCATAAATAATTCGGTTTGTCTGGTGTGTGAAAAAGTTGCTTTTCGTCCACAAAAGCTGGCTAGGTTTTTTTTTTATGTGAAAATAATTTTTTAAATATTTATTTGGCGGCTAGGATAAATAAGGGCCATATTAATTTTTCATCATAAATTCATAATAAGTGTAATATGATGCTTTTATTAGTGCCATAAAATGGTGAGCACACAATATTGGAAAAATATCAAGATTGTATAAATTTTTGTGGAAAATTCCTTTTATTTAATATAATGGTCCTAAAATAAATATACAAACAAAAATAAAAGAACCAATATAGACTTAATTGAGTGGTTGTTACATTAGATTTTGAATTCAGAAATTCTGATCTCATCGCCCATAATAGCTTTATATTTTTCGTCCTAACCTGACGAGACACCCATAAAAAAAATAAAAACAAAAGTAAAAGGGTTCCCTATGTAAATTTTTTTTTTTTTCTAGTTTAGCCGAACGAGTTTGGAACTTTGTTCTGGCCGGATGGAAGTGTTGTCGACGTTTACAACGTCCATTTCTGTGTCTTACTCTTTGTTTCTAATCTCTATTAGTGCTTATGATGTCGTACAATTTTTATTAATTGTAGCGCGGTTTAATCATGCACTATAGTGATCGAGCCGGCATAAAAACGGTGTTTTAATTAAACTGCTTTAATTTGTTAGTATACTATTATTATTACACTTCGAGATCTTACTCTCTCAGCCTTTTTATAATTTTGGTAGAATTTCATAAATATAGAGTTTTTATTGTAGTTTAATGATATTGAAACGACTAGAACGTAAAAATTGTACCTTTTTGTTGAATTGTATCTCGAAAACCTAACTGACACGACGACGACGAAGAAGATGATATGCGAGTGTGTGATTGAACACAATTTTATTTAATCGAGTGAATTAACACAATTCAATTTTATAATTCGCGCGGTTTAAATCGTTAAATGCGCAATTTAATTTACACTTAAAGCATCTCAACTATTGAACCATGTGCTCACAAAGAAATTGTGTGAGGAACACGAACTTTTCAGTGACGAAAGTTTACTTTTTGTGACTAGATACATGAACGGCGACGACTACGAAGGCGGCTTCGACCGATCGGACATCGAGGGCCTCATGAACAACATCGAGACCAACTTCACCAACTGGACCCAGGCCTTCGCCGCCATGGTCGTCGGCGGCCACGCCCCCGCCGCCGTCGACAAGTTCGCCGCGTCCCTGCGGCGGATGAGGCCGGAGGTGGCCCTCGCCGCCGCCAAAACCGTGTTCTACTGCGACCACAGGGACGTGCTGGAGAAAATCTCCACTCCGACCACCATCGTGCAGACGACGCGCGACGTCGCCGTGCCGACGTCGGTGGCTTACTTCATGCAGGAGAGGATCAGGGGGAAGTCGACGGTGGAGATCATGGACACCGACGGCCATTTTCCTCATCTCACGGTGCCGAAGGAGCTGCTTGGTTTGCTTGGCGGAGTTCTTGGGTTTGAAAGCTAATTGATCACAAGTTGTGATCTAAATGTTGATTATTATACGACTAAACGTTTATATATTAATTAATTAATGTTAGGGTGTGTTTGGTTGGCTATGTTTTGTTTTAGGGTTTTCTTTGTGTGTGTATGGATGTAGAGAGCAATTGGTATGGGTGATGTATGAGATAAATAATGACATTGTTGTTGTTTGTGGGTTCTCCATATATCACTAATTACCATTGGATTTTAGGGAGGAGGGGGGAGGGATATATTGTGTTTCGATTTGATGTTATGGGGTTGATTTTTGTAGAATGTTTTCATTATGTCTATATATATATATATATAAAAGATAAAGAGTGGAGATTCTAGTTATGGTGTGTTGTGTGTTCTAGGAGTCGTATAAAATCTATAATTAATATTATCTCAACATTTTGAGTTATTTTGATAAGATTGGGTGCGTGATATGATATGGCATGACAAGGGACATGTGTTTGAATCTCCATGGCTGATAATATAATCAGTAATTGATTTAAGGACAATGTATGTATGATGGGCGCATGAGTAAACTTCAAGCAGTGATTTGACTTTCGTTTGAGGGGCATGTCAAGAGAGTGATATATAATTCGTTTATGAAGTTTTTTTTCTCTCTCTTTATGTATAATAGTTAGATATTGACGTATTTTTCTTTGAATAATATATAAGAATGTGTCGACTTAGTGGATTTTTTTTTGTCTTTATGTAAAATAATTAGATGTCGACGTACTTTCTTTAAACAATTTATAAGAATGAGTCAACCCAGTGGTGGAACTATGTGTAGTTCAGGAAGGGCTACACCGCTATAGCCTCCCTCCGAGTTTGATTTTTAGGTTATAATTTGTATATTCATACATTGAGAAACCATAGAAAATGGTAGGATGGGGCTAGTAGCCTCTCATAGATTTAGGTTCAATCTTCGAAAATGGTTGTAATTTGCTGTCTTCAGCCCGACCTCACTCCAATTCTTTGGTTCTCTACTGAATCGACCTGTCCCCTCTTGTACCTGTGCAGATATTACTCAACCTGATATGTACTTAGTACAAGACGAAAATATAAATATTGGAGTACCCGCCCGCCTCATTGCGACCAGTCCGAGTTTATTGTGATGAACCGTAACCCACGATTCAAGGGTTTTGCTTGTAGCTCACAAGCGAGAGAAAGACGTTAGTGTCTATCAAACTTTGATTTATTTGATTGACATGAAACTAACGTCAAAGATTCATATTTATAGGCTTAGGAAATCCTAATACGTAACTTAATCCTACCCGAATACCCTTACTACTCGGCTACCCCTAACCCAGAACATACAAGGAAAACCCAAACCAAAAGGAAAGACACTCCTAGCCGAAATCCGAAAACAACCAAAAGCCCAAACCGAAAATACTCTCATCATATTGTATACACATTGATCCAATTTGAGGAGAATTCTGCTCCTTTGTATCTATCAATGCTTATATATGCTTATCTTGATAGGTATATACGTTCCCTTCGAAGTAATAAAGAAACGGTATTGCTTACTCAATGTGGTTGCGTAATAACTTTTGAGAATGAAGACAAATCGTCCCTTCTCGACATCAAAAGGCCATGAAGCAGCAAACGTGAGCGTAGACATATATTATTGTACGTTGCGCTAGAAAGCTGATGAAGATTCCAGTGAAATGAAAGCAAAAAGTAGATGAAAGCAACGTTATGGCAAGTAAAGTGGTTAATTAACCACCCCATTAAGTCGTGGATTATGTTATTATTACTTGTCCCTGTGCAACAATGACGCCAATTAAGTGGACTCGCTAGGTAGAAACCCTTTTTAAAATCACCGACATTGTATATAGACTCAATTAGGGTGGCTATGTGGTTCGGTCCGGTTAAATTGGCTCAAATTGATCCGGTCCGGTCTTTTTGAAAATATAAGGACCGAAGATTGGATTGGATACAGTCCGGTCTTGATCCGGTCCGGTTTTGATCCGGTCCGGTCCCAATTCGGTCTTGATTTTACATTGAGATTGTGGGATTTGAGTGGCCTAAGGCCTTAAAGGGTGAGGAGTTGGTTAAATTTTGTACTAAGTGCAAAGGTTTGTGACCGTTTATGCAAATTACCCTTAAATTTTGGGTGTTGAGCTCTCTTATCCGGTCTTTATCCGGTTTTTTACCTCAAATCTAAGCCCAAAGATTGGATTGGACTGTTTACTATCCGGTCCCGGTCCGGTCTCGGTCCGGGTTATACGGTCCGGTTTCCGGTTTTTAATCAGGTCCCCGTCCAAATAGCCACCCCTAGACTCAATCACCGACATTGTATATAAACTTATATACATTGTCGGTGATTCGTCGACGAAAGATACAATATGTGTGCTAGAAGGACCTCTTAAGTAAGAAGTTTGAATCCTTCATAATGTTTTTGGTTCGATTTTGTGTCGTTTTGCTTATATGAGATTTTGATAGAGTTTCATATTCCTTTCATAATTAGTTTGATTGTCTCTTAATCACTTCTAGTGGCTACTAAATGTCCTTTAACCCATTTTTCCTTGCTTTTCCTTCTTGGATTATATATATATATGATAATAAGGATAACACATTAACACATATTGTCCATTGAAGGACATCATACCAATTATGCGCACGACCATAAAATTTTCACACAACATTATCCATTATTCATTTATATTCACATATAACATACTTTTTCACGCACACACCACTTCTACAATATATATAAAGTAAATGGAGGTTAATGAGTAGTGGGTGAAGAAGTATGTCATATGCTCTAATAATTGATAGGATTAGGTGAAAATCTAGCTTTGTGTGTGAAAACGTGAGCAAATCCCACGAAAATCTCAAAAGTTAAATTAAGCCCACAAGACCAAATTAACGAATGAGCCCAATAGTGCTTACGATTCACCAAACTAATCTATTTTTTCAATGGGCCACATTTCCCCCCCTGAGGTCTCAAGGAAACTTGGAGGGCAGAGGAGAAAGCCCAAAAAGAAAACCGCTCTAAGCCCACTATGCTCCCCTCTTCTTTATCATATCCTCTTTCCCCAGTAGTTCAGTTGGGGACAGTGCAAAGCTATTTGCTTCATCTCAAACAAGATCGATCTTCCCGTTCTCTAAAGGCTTCTTTATGAACTTGTAGCATACAAAGGTAAGCAGATCCCGCTCCATTTCTGTTATCTCATGACTGCAATCAACGAAGGGATCCGAAATCCTTAGCATTTTGAATAGGGGCATCTATATCTGCAAGCTAAGTTTTACCAAGGTAGAATTTCTGCTAAGCATTTTACACAAAGAGCAATAGGGGAAGCTGATAAAAGTATGTACCTGTATTCAGGCTCAAAGTCAAGTCCAGAAATATACTGCCTTGCTTTGCAGATTACGAATGAATCGAGTCGTGGGGCCGGCACTGCAAATCAAATACCAGCAAATATCAATAGCAATGAGTGTTTTGGTTTATTGCAGGTATGAAATACTGTTATCCTGTTAAAAAGAAGAGATGCAAATGTCCTACAAGGCTACAACATATCCAGTAATCGTAAGGTCGATCACAACTGCAATGGAGAGAAATGACACATTTAATGCTTAGAAGAAACAGGAAAGACCCAAATCCCCTAGCATCTTTCTACTGGGGAGGAAGGAAATCATCTCGAATCCAGTAAGAACTCAAGATTCGCTTCAGAAGGAATTGCAAACCTATTACAGACGAGATCACACCAAGCTTAAGTCTACTGAATATTTCATTTGAAAATTTTCAATTCCAGAAAACTGAAGATGCATAAATCTTCAGATGCTCTAGACTAGTAAAATATCGGTTTTGGCAAAGAAAACATGTTACCTAAACAAGTTCTAGAGAGCTGAGGATACCGCAGAAATGATCACACATCATTGAATGGAGCAGCAAAAAAAAAAAAAAAAAAAAACAATGTTGGAAGAACATCATTCATTTACCCATGTCGTCCTCTTCACTTGCTGCAGACTGCTTGAGCTCAGAATTGTAGTCAGTGGGCAGTTTCGATAGAACCGTCTCCTTGAGATGAGCTCTCAGATCATCTCCGCAGCTATAGTTGTAACAGTAAAACATTAAAAACATGGATTGAATTTGAACTAATTGTGCCAAGAATTCAGATAAATCAGGCAAAATCAAAGCATTCACCTAGCAGCAAAAGTTTGTTCCTCGTCCGAGAGCCGGTTAAGAGACTCGTCAGTCTTCAGAATATGGAAGATGTACTTCTCAATCTACATCACAAATTGCACTGATTCAGCATAAACACTACACTAAGGACCCCAAACCCTAAACCCATAATTCCTACAGTAAAAAGATTGTACCTTCTGGAGGCGGACACGAAGATACGATCGCAAGAGAAACTGGGTTCTGTCCAAGTCCATCTGGTAAAGCGACATGGTCAGGGGATCTTCACCGTCTGCTTCAGATGCCTCCACATTTTGTTCCTGTAAAGACGATGGATGTGGTTAGAAATGGAAAAAATTTGGGTACAAAGCAATCCAATTTCCCCCCAATTGTAGAAAGCTAAGGGCTTTTTTATATATAAAAAAGCCATACCGCTAATTCAATTTGCTCTTTGATGCGGTGAACCAGAGCAGCTTCGTACTGAAGAATCTCGGGAGCAGCCTTCTCGTTTCGCCAGGCTCGCTTCAGTAGATCGACGTCCGTGGTGGAAATGAACGTTTCGTAATCGTCAGTGAAGCTCGTCGAGCCTTCTCCGGTGCCGGAATCCATCCTAGGTTTTCACTGCTTGTCTCGCGTTCCGCCCAACTAAATTTCGGCTTTGCAGATTTGGTGAAGAAGAAGACGACTTGAAATTAGCGGGAACTAGGGACTTTGCGCGCCCTATCCTTCCTAGGCCCTTGCTCTAATCAAAGCCCAGAAAGTCCCAATGGCCCATCAAAGTACTGTCTACCTTCAGAATGCAGCCCAATATTTCAACTTCCAGGTAGGGGTAGGGATGGCAATGGGGCGGGTTTTGGGCGGGTTTGTCTAAACCATCCTCATCCCCATCCCCATCATTAAATACCAAACTCATACCCGCCCCATACCCATGCAGGTGAATGTTTTGCAAACCCATCACCATACCCGTGGGTTTCGGGTACCCATGGGTAATACTCATACTCGTACATCCAACATTATTTGAATTGCCATAATATTATGTATAGATAGATTATATATTGTAATGATTCTTCACAATATAACGATTTAACATACACAACACATACACAACTTTCAAACAACCTAGAGAAACATTAGGTTAAAGGTCACATTGGGCCTGCACATTTAATAATTCATCTAATGAAGGTGACCATTTCTCTACCTTTCATTTCATACCATCACAACTCTTGACATCTAATATCTGCATCGTTCCAAAACAGGGGACCTTTTCTCTCCCTTATGATCATCTGTTTATTATTGGCAAATTGAAGAAAATGCATATTACAAGAATTCCAGATTACAGAAACTATGTAATGTTGCGGGAGATGCCGCTAGAAATGAGTAAGGAATTTGTTGCCGACCGACCACACAGATGGGCGACCTTCAATATCTCTCGGGAACTCGTCATATATGGAATCTTCCACACAGAGGTTCAGGTTCATCAAGCTGCCTTCAAAACAAGCTTGAATAATGAAAAAACACATCAACATATTATAATTTAGATGAATGGAAATATATGAAAGGGCTGTGTTGAAGAGCAGACCTCATTTATCTTTTCTTGGTTTTGCTCAGAACAGAGCGAATCTTGTCCGATTTAGCCAAATCTATTGGCTTCATCCCCCTCACACAAGGAGAGTTTAATGTTGGAGTAATTAGCGATGTTGGGAGCTATACTTGGCATATGTATATAAGTTATTTTTCAACATTTAACATAAACCATTAATAATTTTCTAACCTTCATTAGCATTAATGAGTGTGGTGCTTGCTCCATTGTCAAGAAGAAACTTCACGCAGTCTTCATGGCTGTATTGGAAGGCCAAATGCAATGGAGTGTCTCCCCGTTTTGTGACTGTGGTGACCAAACTTCTGTCTTTCTTTATAAGTGCCTGCATTGCGACCGACCATTGTCATGGCAGTAAAATACATTCTCAAACACATTTGCTACCTGAATTTGTACTGCCTTACCTTTAATGCTTTGCTCAAACCAGATTTCGCAACAATGTGCACGGCTGCTATTCCTGCATTGTTCTTTTTAGTAACCGAGGCACCATATCCAAGTAACATATCAATGATCCTACAAGAGAAGATAAAATGAAGTAAGAAAATATAAAGTGAAGTTTCGAAATTGGGAAAAAAGACTTGTAACATGACAGACATACCCTGTTTGTGAAGCTCCATCGCAAATTTGAAAACACATATGTAGTGCGGTGTCTTTTCTAACATCCACAACATTAACATCAAATTTCCCGCTTCCCAAAAGTATACCAACTACTTCTTTATCTCCAGCCTGTGTATCAAAATATTTTGAAGTAACAAGTATATTCTAATTCCAAATCAAACATGTAGTCTTTTACAAATTATATGTACAGATGAGAATGAGATTATACCTTTACGACCCTGAATAGCAGTGGGGTAACCCTGTTATCTTCAGGGATGTTTGCAGTTTCACAAACAAGTTGATTCGACTCAGCATCGTTCAACTCCATCATCTTCATCATACAGATAAGATTTGTCCTCCTCTTGACTGGTTTGTTTTCATTTGTCGTTGTTACTTGCACTGCTGCTCTTCTAAACTCTGTCACAGCTTCTATGACAGCATATTCATATACAGTGGCCTTTTCACCAGACTCCGAGTCAGTAAAAACTAGATCTCGAACTTTCTCAATCGCGACATTTAGCAAGATGGCTAAATCTTGTACCCACCCCTGCGCCAGGATATTAGAAATTACATCTCCTATATCTTCTGTATGTTCACAAAGGAGGAAAACTGTCGACAAATCCTGTAAAAGTTTCATGACTCGTCAGGTGAACAATATGCTCTAGTACAAAGCAAGATTGCATCATATAGTTGCATCCATTGCCACCATTCTAACTAAGTTCCACTTATCTTCCACCAAACAACCCCTTAATATATGCATCCAAAACATGGCATCTTTTCTCTCCCTTATGATCATCTTTTTATTATTGGCAAATTGAAGAAAATGCATATCACGGTTAACAGTTGAACTTCGAATTACGAGAATTCCAGATTACAGAAACTATGTAATGTTGCGGGATATGCCGCTAGAAAATAGTAAGGAATTTGTTGCCGACAGACCACACAGATGGGAGACCTTCAACATCTCTCGGAAACTCGTCATATATGGAATCTTCCACACAAAGGTTCAGGTTCATCAAGCTGCCTGCAAAACTAGCTTGAATAATGAAAAAACACATCAACATATTATAATTTAGATGAATGAAAATATATGAAAGGGCTGTGTTGAAGAGCAAACCTCATTTATCTTTTCTTGGTTTTGCTCAGAATAGAGCGGATCTTGTCCGATTTTGCCAAATCTATTGGCTTCATCCCCATGACACAAGGAGAGTTTAATGTTGGAGTAATTAGCGATGTTGGGAGCTATACTTGGCAGATGTATATAAGTTATTTTTTTAACATTTAACATAAACCATTAATAATTTTCTAACCTATCATTAGTATTATAGAGTGTTGTGCTTGCTCCATTGTCAAGAAGAAACTTCACCCACTCTTCATGGCTGTACTAGACGGCCAAATGCAATGGAGTGTCACCCCGTTTTTTTACTATGGTGACCAAACTTCTGTCTTTCTTTATAAGTGTCTGCATTGTGACGACCATTGTCATGACAGTAAAATACGTTCTCAAACACATTTGCTACCTAAATTTGTACTGCCCTACCTTTAATGCTTCGCTCAAACCAGATTTCGCAGCAATGTGCACGACTGCTATTCTTGCATTGTTCTTTTTAGTAACCGAGGCACCATATCCAAGTAACATATCAATGATCCTACAAGAGAAGATAAAATGAAGTAAGAAAATATAAAGTGAAGTTTCGAAATTGGGAAAAAAGACTTGTAACATGACAGACATACCCTGTTTGTGAAGCTCCATCGCAAATTTGAAAACACATATGTAGTGCGGTGTCTTTTCTAACATCCACAACATTAACATCAAATTTCCCGCTTCCCAAAAGTATATCAACTACTTCTTTATCTCCAGCCTGTGTGTCAAAATGTTTTGAAGTAACAAGTATATTCTAATTCCAAATCAAACATGTAGTCATTTACAAATATATGTATAGATGAGAATGAGATTATACCTTTACCGCCCTGAATAGCAGTGGGGTAACCCTGCTATCTTCAGGGTTGTTTGCAGTTTCACAAACAAGTTGATTCGACTCAGCATCGTTCAACTCCATCATCTTCATCATACAGATAAGATTTGTCCTCCTCTTGACTGGTTTGTTTTCATTTGTCGTTGTTACTTGCACTGCTGCTCTTCCAAACTCTGTCACAGCTTCTATGACAGCAGATTCATATACAGTGGCCTTTTCACCAGACTCCGAGTAAGTAAAAACTAGATCTCGAACTTTCTCAATCGCGGCTTTTAGCAAGATGGCTAAATCTTGTACCCACCCCTGTGCCAGGATATTAGAAATTACATCTCCTATATCTTATGTATGTTCACAAAGGAGGAAAACTATCGACAAATCCTGTAAAAGTTTCATGACTCGTCAGGTGAACAATATGCTCTAGTACAAAGCAAGATTGCATCATATAGTTGCATCCATTGCCACCATTCTAACTGATTTCCACTTATCTTCCACCAAACAACCCCTTAATATCTGCATCGTTCCAAAAAGGGGATCTTTTCTCTCTCTTATGATCATCTGTTTATTATTGGCAAATTGAAGAAAATGCATATCACGGTTAACAGTTGAACTTCGAATTACGAGAATTCCAGATTACAGAAACTATGTAATGTTGCGGGATATGCCGCTATAAATTATTAAGGAATTTGTTGCCGACAGACCACACAGATGGGAGACATTCAACATCTCTCGGGAACTCGTCATATATGGAATCTTCCACACAGATTGGTAAGAGAAACCTATTACTCGTTTGGTAAGAGAAGATAAAATCAAATAGACTCATTACCCGTTAGACGAAAGAGAAACCTATTCGTCTCTCAATGAAAGAAATGAAAGAATCAAGTTTTTATTTATATAACAGTGACGTGACACTCTAGAATAGTGCATCACAAACTTTTTTTTTATATAATAGTGCATCGAAGAAAATGGTTCTTGTTGTTCTTCTCAAATGGATTACATCTCTCATTTTATAAGTCTTTCTCTTTTATGTCGCAACTTCATTTTATCTTTCTTTTAGAATCTTGGAGATTTTATTATTGTTATTTTTATTATTTTGAGGTTTGTGATGTGACATGAATAAATACTGCACATCACAACTAATTTCTTTTTTATATTTTATTTATCACATCTATCATCTCCGAAATGGTTTCATGCTGATGTTTGGTATATTGGTGGATTAAATAGAGATTAAGACTCCATATATTTCACAATACTAGTTGAGAGAATGTCTTCTAAACATTTAATATTTATCTAAATATACCTCAAAGTACATGATATCAAGTTGTCTTTATCTTAAAATAGTTTACTTGATTAAATTTGGTGATAATCTTTCACAACTTTCTTTTATACAATCACCTCACCAGTTACTCGTTTGGTAAGAGAAGATAAAATCAAATAGACTCATTACCCATTAGACGAAAGAGAAAACTATTCGTCTCTCAATGAAAGAAATGAAAGAATCAAGTTTTTTTTTATATAACAGTGACGTGACACTCTAGAATAGTGCATCACAAACTTCTTTTTTTATATAATAGTGCATCGAAGAATAACCTGGTAATTGTTGTTCTTCTCAAATGGAGTACATCTCTCATTTTATAAGTCTTTCTCTTTTATGTCGCAACTACATTTTATCTTTCTTTTAGAATCTTGGAGATTTTATTATTATTGTTATTTTTATTATTTTGAGGTTTGTGATGTGACATTAATAAATAGTGCACATCACAAATAATTTTTTTATATTTTATTTATCACATCTATCATCTCCGAAATGTTTTCATGCTGATGTTTGGTATATTGGTGGATTAAATAGAGATTAAGACTCCATATACTTCACAATACTAGTTGAGAGAATGTCTTCTAAACATTTAAGATTTATCTAAATATACTCAAAGTACATGATATCAAGTTATTTTTATCTTAAAATAGTGTACTTGATTAAATTTGGTGATAATCTTTCACAACTTTCTTTTGTACAATCACCTCACCAGTTACTCGTTTGGTAAGAGAAGATAAAATCAAATAGACTCATTACCCGTTAGACGAAAGAGAAACATATTTGTCTCTCAATGAAAGAAATGAAAGAATCAAGTCTTTCTTTATATAACAGTGACGTGACACTCTAAAATAGTGCATCATAAACTTTTTTTTTATATTTTATTATTTGTCACATCCACTACCTCTCAAGTGGTTTCCTGCATATGTTTGGTGTAAGTGGATAAAATAGAGATCCTCCTTCAACTATTTGACGATGCTAGTTGAGAGAATGTCACCTAAACATTAAAATTTCTCTATATATGCCTCCAACTCCAAGTGCATGATATTACGTTGTCTATTGTCTTAAATAGTGTATTGATTAAACTTAATGATAAACATCCACAACTTTCTTTGTACAATCACTTCGTTGTACAATCACTTTGCCTGTTACTCATTTGTCACCTATAGTAACTCTGAATTTGTTTCAATTAGAGCCTAGAGGGAATCTATGTTGGACCTGTATATGAGAACGAGTTAATCGGTCGCGCTCTACGACGTGTATGAGTATATATAACAATTTGATTTAAATTGAACTTATTCAATTGATATAGTGCAACTCATTAATATATTCAATAAACCTCCAGATTCGAATCCCTTAAATATTACCTTAATGACAAACAAATGAATACTATATATCACCCTTATTAAAAAAAATTATTGTTCACGGGATTCCATCAATTCTCTAAATAACAAAATAAAAATGTAAAACAAAATCAATACCGGATGTGAACATATCAGAGCGGAAATGTTCTTAATTCATAAGTTGATACTCTAAACTCACCTAAGACATGAACAAATACTATGTCCTTCTCGCACATTAATACACATCTTGCAATACTACAACAGGTAAATTGACATACTTAATGGCCACCCTTGCTTGAACATCAAGAAAGATTCCTCTTACATAAATATGTTGAATGATGAGAGTATGTGTGAATAATGATTTATACATACTATGCTAAAGATCATAAGAATGAGATATATGGTTATTCTATAATTAAAAGGAGAATCATTCTAATCAACCAAGGCAAGTCAACAACTATTTGTGACATGTTTTTGACCGAATACATTCAAAGCTCAATAACCGCTAACATCTTTATATCCGTATTCTAGAAGTTATACAATGACAACATTGAGAAAGAAATTGTAATCAAGGACTAGCTTGGACTAGAATGGATAAAAACATTAGTTGAGAACACAAACTAGACCTACTCTACGAGCAATTACCACTCCTCAAGCTCTGCAACAGGTCCAAGTATCCCAGGCTTTCAGGGCAAATGTACCTGAAAGTATTCATACGCCCTAAAGTTAGTTAAGAACCAACAACCATCAATCATGTGCATGGATGCTATACTTAGGAGATCAGATATTAAGAAGCTGTCTTAATAGATTCACGGTGAAGAGGTTGGAAGAGATGGAATGAATAGCTCGTCATACACTGAACATGAGAAACGGAAGGAAGAGCACTCACCCATGTCGGAATAGGAAATCAATGACGACTAGGGAGCAGTTTGGTTTGTAAAAATGAGTCCTCCTTACTATATTTGCAACACTTCCAACGGGCATCAAGTTGAAACCCTCAACTTCTCCATCTGTCCCCAGTTTAGAGACCCCGTTACAAACATAATCAAAGAAAATACTGAATGAATATGAATGGTAAAATGCAAAGAACTATATGAGGGCACTCTTACCTTGATTTTTTGGTACAAAACTTTCAGGTAGCTTCAGGTCATAGCAAAATAGAACATCTCTCTTGAACCTATCGCCATCAATATCAACATAAGAAACGGCACCAACTGGCAGAGCCCTGTGATAGAAGCAGTAACCAAAGCATTGTCACTTAGGAGAATGCTGGAAATGGAATTATGGTTTTCGTAAACGTGTCTCTGCTACACGCATGGGCTGACTACATAATAAACAGTAAACTAAGAATTGGAGACCATGGCAAACTTACTTGACAGAAATGGATTGAGGTATTCCAGCTTCTTCTTCACATTCCTTCACAACATTTTCTTGACATGATATTCCATGTGGCTGAAATTGCCACCATGAGAACTTATGCACTGACTCAGCAGCATAGTGGGGATCGTAGGAAACTGATCAAAATTTTGACCATGTAGATTTTCACACTCAAACTCTTTAGTTTGTAAAACTAAACCGAACCTCTCAAGTATCTTAATCACATTTCACACCAGCAATCTGAATAACCCATCATGCACTCAAAGACTGGGACTCTGCAACTTATATTCCTAGTGGGTATAGAGTATTCCTCATTAGAGACAGGAAAAGAACCTAAAGGAGACAAGATCACAATTACCATAGAACGCTGAAAGGTCCATGATAAATGGGGAAGGCACACAATGTTCTGAAGTGGTAATAGGTAAAATGGATTGATAGACCCGAAGAGTGAATTAAAAGAGAGGAACTAGGAATAGATAGTCACAAACCAGTCCTCCGGCAACAAGATGATCCAGCATCCCAGGGTAAGTAGGTTTCACTAGACTTCTCTTTGCCACCCACAACAATTTTTCATCGCCACTCTCCACAAAGCCATTCATATGAATGCCATATGCCTGCGCAATAAAAGCACAGCCCATAACTCATTAGAATAAAGGAAAGAAACCCAGCAAGCAAACCACATTGATACCTCCGGAACACAAACCTTTATCCCGAAATACGGAACAGCAGCACGCTCCAATGAGAAGTAGACTCGCCCACCAAACGATGAAGTAACCGGGTACAGCTGATCACCAATCATAACCATTAACACTCAGCCAATGATATCTTCATTTCACAATTTCTCACTTTCAAGACCTCTCGAAATTGTATTACAGCAATAAGAATGAGAGCAGTGTTACCTCATTTCGTATACCTGGAATTAGCTCTTCTTGTTCTTCTACCAAGCATTTGATGACTTCCCCAACAGCTGCAGTCCTCTCTTCCGGCGTGCCTAGCTTGTCATGTAAAGTAACGCAATACCCAAATCGGGCTCCATGGGAGCTGCTGTCCTTGATCACGAACACTTCCTCGAACCGCTTCAAATGTTCAACGAAACTATGAACAATACAAAGACCATCTCAAGTTGAATGAACAATGTACTCGACGCCTCGATTACCAAAATTCCAGAAGAATGAGAATTAGGTTTCTGTATACTCACCGGTTATGAATGTAGCCGACTGTGTTCTCCTCGATCACGAACGGAACGAATTCGAATCGCATTTCCTGCAACGAAATTTCCGTCTCACATTTCCGGGAAACCAAACTGAAATTCGAGAAGGGGAAAAAAGAGATTTTCCAATTACAGAGCCGCGATTGCAGAACTTGATCTTCTCGAAGAATCCAGAGAGATCGGAGGAATCCCCGGGGGCGTATTCAGGTTGAGAGGCTCGGACGGCGTCATCCCAAGTGAAGCTGCTGGTCTCGGGAGTGGCGGTGGAGGAGAGAGCTGAAACGGAGGGGAAGCCGGAGGATTGCGCCGCGTGAGCGGAGAATCGGAGCGGAAACGGTGTCGTCTGGGGACTGATTGAACGAGAAATTGGCGGGACTCCGGCGACGGCGCGAATTGGAGGGAAGGAAGAGCGGAATCTGTTGGGTAGGAGGAAGTGGGAATTGAGAGCCATTGGAATGCGATCGACTGAGTGAGTTCGAGCAATGGCGGAATTCTGAAGGCGGGAGCGGACTTCGGACGAGCACGGAGCGAGCAGAGTAACAACATCATTCGGCAGTTTGGTGGTAGATATGGCGGCTTCCGGTTGCCGTAACAAATTCACACGGTCACACCTTAACTCATTAAGGCCATGTTTGGATGTGAATTTTTTTGTAATTTGTTTTCCTTTTCAAAATACGGGGGGTTTTTTTTTTTTGCAGGATTGTTTTATAGTAAAATGCATGAAATAAGACATTAGGATGACAATCGGTCAATTCGATTTTCCAAACAACGATCTGAATTGTATTGAGATTGATATCGAGTTTGATTTGATCGATTCTCAAAATTTTGAATATTTTTTGGTATTAGATTCTATGTAATCCTTGAAAATAAAGAGTTAAATGAAACCAATCAAAGTAAATATAGATCCAATTGAATGTTGTATCAATTATGATTCTAATATATACTCCCTTTTTTTTTAATCCTGTGATACCAATTTCATCAATCACCAAGGATACTGGCATTTGGCACCTTATCAAACTAAAAGACATCTTCAATTATTTTCAATTTTAGGGTTGGTAGACAAATGTTACCTTTCACCTACGGCCCTACCTGATCCTATGTTTCCAATATTGGTATCAAATTACGAAAGATTCACAGGAAGTGAAGAAAATATACTTTTGAATCTCATTTTATATAGTCATCCACTCCCCCCGATAATTAGTACTATTACTAACCTCTCTTGATCAATAGATCAGGCATCGTAAAAACCTGGACAACGTCCACAAAACTATAACAGGTCTTAGACTACAAGACCATCCACTTTTAATATGATGACCATATCCATATTCAATATTTGGTTCAAATAATGAGATTTTTTTTAGTTTGATATCTATAAGCAATATCGATTGTGTAAGAATTAAGAAATGTACCCTCCAAACAAACACGTCCTAATAAGCAACCGGCGGAGTTCCGTGTGTGCAATTAGCGGCGTGAAAAGGCGAAATTCTTTCGTTTGTCTTTTTCTTTCTGAATTGAGTCTTTCTTTCCCTTTTCCTGAGAAGTTCTCATCTCTGGCGCTCTTCTTTGCCTTTCCCGCTTCCAGTCTCCGGCGCTCATCGATTTGCTGCTTCTCTCATTTCAAACTCCTCCTCTGGTTCGTCGCTTCAATTTCGATGTACATGTAACAGCGAAGGCATGAGTTGTGGCTCAACCAGTAGTCTCCTAATTAGTAAACGTCGAGGTCGTTGCCACTCCGTGCCTCGCAGCCTCGTCGGTTCTCCTCCTCCTTCTTCTTCGCCGTTCAATAATCGGAGCCGGCGTTCCGTTCGCATCGCTTGTCAGGCAATGTCTTGCTCGTCGTCTTCGGAAACTTCCGTTCCCACTCTCAGAACTGTCACCATACCGTACTCGGAACTCAAGGTAAGCGCGCGTCTCCCAGTTCTCTGTTTGGTTGCTCTGAAAACGTAGAAGAAATTAGGGAAACTAGAGAGGATTTGAACTTGGTGCCCGTTTGATCAGGCTTTATAATAAAATTTAGCGCGGTTTTGGTTTCTTCTTGGATTTGCCGCCTCCTCTGTGAAGGATTGAAGCTCGACGAGGATGGAACGTTGAAGCTTATGTACATTTCTGTATTCTTGTTTCAGTAGTTTTTATTCTAGGAATTGAATCCGTTAAATGTGTATGGTGTTTTTTCTTTCTGCTGTTGAGCTGAGGCTGGCTTTTGAGGTTTAACCTGTTGTTGTACATATAGTTTCATTTGATGATCAATCTTTATGGGTTGATGATGATTCAGGAGAAGGATGTAGACCTGTCGAGTAAGATAGAGGAAGGCTTTGGACCAAATGGGTTAGGGATTCTGTCAATTAAAGATGTAAGAGTAATGCTTTAACCGGTATCTATCTTGTTCGGGTTATATGCTTGCTGTATCTGGACAGCACAAAGCTCAACTTCATTGGCTTGCTTGAATTTGAATTTCTTGGTTAGGTCCCAGGGTTTTCTGCATTGCGTCGAAATCTTCTAAATCTTTCTCCCAGGTATGATACATCGTCCTCTCATTTTGTCTGCTTATTGGTATTCAATAGGCTTCAATTTTCTATCTTAACTTTGCTATAATGGTCGTCCCTTATCAGACTAGCCAGCCTTCCAGAAGAAATAAAGAAGGAACTTGAAGATCCAAGTACTAGGTAAAGCTTTATGATTCGTTACTCCGCCGTCTCGGGAATATGCCACTGAGCTGAAGATTGTAGTTCATATAGCCTCAATTTGTATAAGTGCATACACAGTCAAGGACAGGATAGACGATTAGGTTTCATCATTTGGCATCTCAATTCCTTAATTAGTTCTTGGTGTCATGTGGGCCCTTTCATGCTTGTTGTGACTTTTGATGAATTGAATGCATACTTCAAGTTTTGAGGTGCTGGTTGCTAAACTTCCAGTCCCTTTCCCCTGAAGTTCAACTGGTTGTTGGTACTGGATATTATTGGAACATTTTATATGATTATTATCGAGATAGGTGAAAATGTTACTAGAGATAATAACTTAAGAATTGATATTATTTGTTTCATTCTACTTACCTTTACAAATAGGTACAACTTTGGATGGAGTCATGGGAAAGAGAAGCTTGAATCAGGAAAGCCAGGCAAGTTTTTATTAGATTAAATTTAATGTTAAGTCATATGGTTTCTGCAACTATATCCTTCAACATGATCGCTAATAGGAAATCCAGTTGTCAAATTACCATTCACTAACTCCTTTGTGCTTTTCCTTTCAGATGTATTAAAAGGATCCTATTATGCAAATCCAATAATAGACGTGCCTACAACCGATGAACATCTGATACAACGGTAAAGTTCTATGTAACATATTGGTTTCCAGCTGTTTGTCACTGTCTGTTGAGTATATCTAACATTTTGCATGAGTTACATGTTTAAGCCATCCACATGTTTCTCTTTCCATCGGCATGAGGTGGACTACCATCCATGCTTGCAAATGCTTTCCATGATGAAATGTTTCTTACTTTGTTCAAAATTCTGGTGAATGCAGGTATCCTTCATATTGTGGATCTAATATATGGCCAGATAGTGCTCTGCCTGAACTGGAAGTTGGTATGTCCAGATAGTGATGAACATATTTGTTATGGTTCAGATATTTGGCACTCTACACATTCCTGAACAATATTTCTTTGGGGATAGCTTGAGATTTCGCAGCAGAAGCTTATTTTCTTTTGAAATAGATTTCTTTGATTTACTTGAGTCTTGTTGGTGTCCTATCTCTTAGCTATACTTAGTATGAAGTTAGTGTTGTTTCTAAATTTGTAGTTTGCGCATGTGCTTGAACAATTTTTTTTCTTCTTCAAATGCAGCTTTCAAAGCACTTGGGAAGCTCATTCTTGATGTTGGATTGATGGTGGCTTATCATTGTGATCAATATGGTAAATATACATGCTTATGCTGAAATCCTACTCTCATTTTATTTCCTACTCTCTCTCTCATATTAATGATCTAAGCTAATTTTGGGGTGTATTAATTTACTGTTAAGTCCTTAAAAATCTTAATTGGGATGAGCTTTTGAACAGTGTCGAAGGGAATGAAAGACAATGAAGATGAAGGTCTTGTAAAGATACTAAGCTCTTCTAGATGCCACAAAGGCCGGCTACTTTACTATTTTCCTGCTCATCAGAAGTAAGTCCCGTTTTTTTTTTGCTCATAACAAAGTGCCTTGTTATTGATAAAGTGGTACTCTTTTGAGACAACAAGTCTACGTGCCTTGTTATTTCTCAATTTGTTGCATCAGTACCTTGTGACTTGTGAACTTGTCTTTGACTAATAAACCGTGCAAGTGATCCATACTTGACTTCTCTACATGTTGAAAAATGCCTCAATCTTCAAAAGTCACATAACTCAACGAATATAATTGTTTCACGTGTGAAATCCATTTGTCAGAAAATGTAAATACCAATGTGGATGAATCACGATAAGAGATGGCAAAGCATCATTATATTTGTTAATGATATTTTCCAAACGTGGATCACAATTGTAATGGTGATGGCAAATTATGGTAAATTTCTTCACAGTTACCTGTCTTGTATTGCTGGTTGTTCTGGGCTTTCATTTAAATTGGTATGCAGTTTGTTTGACTGTGTTAACTTAACCTTAATTATCAGTCTCTCTTTATGATCATAGTTCTACCCTGTCTGATGAATAAACCATTTGGACTTTTTTCGGATCACTATTTGGATACGCTGTTTGATACCTGAATAATTTGCAGTGACGGTTCAAAAGGTGGAGACTCCATGTCCTCGTGGTGTGGATGGCATACAGACCATGGTTCACTAACAGGTGAGCACCCTTTTCAACGTTTAGTGTTTGTATCTCCTTTTTTTGGAACAAATGTGCGTTAATTTAAGCATTTTCTTGAGTTACTTACTTTTTACTTCCCTCGTCCTCACTTTTAGCGGTTATACACAAATCGAAATAAAGGTTTGTAGGTAGCTTTCGTGATCCACTTTTAGGTGTCCAATAGATTTTGAACCTTCTGTACTTTTATTTGTCAAGATGACGGCAGATGCTTGATTGAATTAATCTTTGAATTCCTTAAGTTATGGTCTTCACTCATCGTACTTATCTGATGCTTTCTTCAACTTAATATGTAGGTCTGACCTGTGCACTGTTTAAGAGAGATGGTGTAGAAATACCTTGCCCTGATAGTGCTGCTGGTCTTTATATTAGAACACGAACAGATCAAATTGTGAAAGTACACTTTCTTAACATTAACTTTCCCCTTGCTGCAAATTGATATCATTTCTTTGCATCATTCGATTGCTGAACTTGGTCTTCATGCTAATCACTGGTTATGTGCCTTGTGTAATCAATCAAATGGAGTTTCTTGTTTCTCTCAGCCGTCGTGGAAATTCTGAAGTTAGAGGATTTGTGTATTATTATTATTATTATATATACACATTATTGATCCATAGAAAGCCATTCATGTTAAAAAGAACATGAGATATATGAATGTGAAGAATGCAAGCTGCCAGTCCAAAACAATAATGAATCTTCATGGAGCAATTGGCTCTTTAAAAACTGTCATGCCATGTTATAAGTGAAATTTATGAAAAACATTTTCCCTAGGATTTTAACTAATTTATAAAGGAGCTAAGGGAAGGTACATAATAGTATATATTCCACGTCAATGAGTGTCGGTTCTGATTCCACTTTGTGAAACTACAATCCGCATAATTAATTCCAGATTTAGCTGTGTGAATAAGTGAAGTTCTTCATTTCTTAGAAGCACTTGTCTTCATTTCTATAGTCAGTGGATACACATTCTTCTGTTCTTTTTTCCCGTCTTCTTCTTTTTCTTACATAGACTTGTTTGTCTCTCATGATTCAGGTTGTGTATGGCGAAGATGAACTAGCTTATCAAATTGGAGAAACCACTGAAATACTCTCGGGAGGCTATCTCTGTGCAACTCCTCACTGCGTTCGGGTACTTCCTTAACCCCCACGTTATTTCTGCACAACAGCAGAACTGAGTGAGAACCCATATTCCATTTTATCTGTAATGCACGTCAAGGGCAGTAAGTAACCCTTTGTTGGCTTGAAGACTGTGAGCTTTGTTCTTAGGTCATGACCTCAAATTTCTGTTTCTTCTACATCACGGTAGTGATAGCATAACAAACAGACATGACAGACTTAAAGGACAATGCAAGTTTTTTTTATTTATTTCATTTTGCCTACAATGCCATTTCACTTAGTCGCTTTTTTCGCTGTGATTTAGGCACCTAAAGGAGCAGCAGCTTCTAATGTCGACCGATCAACGTTCGCCTTATTCATGCAACCCGACTGGTACGTCCTCTATCAAGCCTCTCCCCCCACAGAATCTAATAGCGCTTCCGCGCAATGTTCCATCATGGCATCGCTTCAATCCTTTCTCCTCGGTTCATGCAGGGATCAAAAACTGAATTTCCCCGAGGAAGCGCGACTCCACAAAGAGGTATGTATGTCGTTTCATCATCTTCTGGAGCTGCTGCGACAATGTTGCTTGCCATCATCCTGTGTGTTTCCTCGGCATCCATTTGAAATCGCAGTTCTTCTCGTCTTGTGCAGCTGAAGCTGGCCAACTCTTGCCTCACATTCGGAGAATACACGGAGAAGCTCTTGGGGAAGTACTACCACTCCAGGTCTTAACCGAAATGAAATGAGTAATGACGGCTGAAGATTGTCTCTGTTTCTCTTGTTTCTGGTTTCTTTCCCCTCTCTCTTTTGTTATTCTGTTCAAATCACATTTCTACGTTAGTATCAACTAAACCTCGTTGAGTACTCTCATCGATTTTCATGGTATAATAGACTGGAATTGGCTAATGGAGAGTTCATTTGATTCTGGTAGAAGGAAATCGTATATAATGAGCTTTGTTTCCCCTTTTATATTAAAAAAAAAAAAGACAATGAATATGATATTTCATATCAACATAGGACCTAAACATCGACCTATCTATTTATGAATGTGATAATCTTTGATCATTAGTTGAATGCTCTGACATTAAGATCTTCATAAAAATTTAGACTTACCTCGACAAATTTCAAGAGTATGAATTGATATGATTAATTAAAATCTTAGAGATTTAAAGTAAAAAGCCATCAAAATGCTCCACATTATTGCCCATAAATAATATGTCCCTCTACTATGACGTTTTGATATTTACTATTTTTTACATCAAACATGCCACTGTACTTTGGAAAACTTATCAAACATGCCCTTTTGTTAAAATTTCCATCCAAAAACTGTTAGGACTTTGCTATGGTGACATGCACTTTTCGGTCGACCTCATATAGGATTAGGTCGACCTAATCTGTTGTTTCAGTGTCAAAACAGTTTCATGGTGTCTACTTTGGAGATTCATATATTACAATTAGCTAGATGGAAATTGGAGATTAAAGGCTTGTTTTGAAGCTGAAGTGTCTCTCTACACATTAAAGTACTTGGGAGCTCAATAGAAAGTCCAGAAGACAATTTTTGAACATGACCAAAAGGCTATGCCAAAACTGGGAAACTGCCTGAAAATGGCCAAGTCTGGCAACGTGTTTGTCAAGCCTACTTTGGAGCTCAATTTGAGAAGCATGGATGCGAGTCAAGTCCAGGGGCCTCTACCACGTTAAATTACGTTTTTTTTTATACAAAGGCAAGGTATTGGGTGAAAGATTGAATATCTTTAAGGCTTCAAACAAAAGGCTCGAAGTTGCTACACGTTTCCAGACTTAGCCATTTCTAGGTAGTTTCCCAGTTTTGGCATAGTCTTTTGATAAGGTTCAAAAATGGTCTTCTAGACTTCCTATCGAGCTCTCAATCACTTCAATATGTAGAGGGACACTCCAGCTTCAAAACAAGTCATAAGTCTTCAATTTGATGAATATCCAAAGTATGCACCATGAACTGTTTTTACACTGAAACAACGGATTAGGTCGACCTGATCCTATATGAGGTCGACCGAATCCTAAATGAGGTCGACCAGATCCTATATGAGGTCGACCGAATTCTCAATGAGGTCGACCTAATTAATCCTAACTGAGGTCGACCGGAAAGTGCAAGTCACCGTGACACGCATGTCACCGTAGGCACACCCAAACTGTTAACCAAGACCGAACTTTGTTTTGGGCGACCTAAATATTTAAAATATCCATAATAATTTCACTTTAAAGTTTTTTTTGTTCTTTTGTATAACCAAATAATTCTAATAATTTCACTTTGATGAGACCTGGAGAAATATAACAAGGGTCAAAACTGACATTTCCCCTCCCATTTATCGATGTCAGATCGTCTAAATCTCGGTTCAACCATGATTGATGATTTTTTCAATGAAATTTTCAACTAAAGGGCATGTTTGATAGTTTTTTCAAATTACAAGGACATGTTTGATGAAAAAATAATAAAGGGGCATGTTTGATAAAATGTCATAGTAGAGAAGCATATTATACGATACAACGGATTCATTTAGAGGAGCATATTATGATCATCGATATGCCGAGTACAAAACTAAGTTAAACAGAGAACAATTTTGTGAAGTTGTCACTTGAGGACCTATGAGTAGACACTGAAGAGATCATGATAGTTATCCAAACAGCAGATTCATTTAGAATGATGATGTCATCATATCTAAGATTATTTTTTTTTTATCTACGGCCATTTTTTTACATATCTATCAGACTATCACGTCAAAAACAATTTTCACCCTCTCTCGCAGTCGCTAAAGTTTTCAAATTAAGGAAACCAAAAAAAAAAAAAAACTGACTGGTTTCCGGAACCCTAATTCCCTCTTTTATAAAGAATCAATACGCCATCTGAGGTCTCTCAATTTCGGCCGGGGGGAGGAAGGCAGCGTCGGCAAACAGCTGAACGACTTGCCAAAACTGGTTAGCAACTAGCAAGGAGACAGGGAGTGGCGGGCGTGGTTCGTGGGGGGTTTGAGCTAGAGGATGGTCGGGGGAGGTGCCGGCGGGAGGACGAATGACCAGGTGGTTCTGAACAGTACGAATGTCTTTGCTGCGCTCGACACTTTGAGGAAGAAGAAGAAGAGCTCGAGCTCCTCTGCTGCGAATTCCGGGAAGGATCGACACGGCTTGTCTAAATCGAAATCGAGCAAGGATGGTGATAAGGAGTCGGAGAAGGTGTTCTGGTCGCCGGCGCCGCTAAACTCGAAATCCTGGGCTGATGTTGACGACGAAGATGATGATGATTACTTCGCCACTACTGCCCCTCCCGCTGTGGTCTGGGGTGAGGATGATGCTGGTGGCAAGCCTGAAAAGGAGGCCGTGGAGGTTTGTTTCTCTCCTTTTTCTCCTTTGTTTGTGGCGTTCAGTTGTATCAATATGCTTAATTTATCATACTCTTGCTGGCGGTGAATTTGGGTTTAACTTGGAGTACCTTGGTGTGCTAGTGTGATGGCCTTGTTTAATGTTAGGGAAATTGGGTGAATGGCTTATTGTTTTGGGATAAGTAGCTTTCGCTGGTTCTTCAGAGGATACTTTTCTTAGTTTCTGGGGCCTAATGATGAAAAGATGATATCAGATATGCTTTATCTAATTGGATCTCTTCTGTGAAGTATGTCTGTGCATTTGGGTATGGATTTGCATAGAGGTTTCTACTTTCTGGAGGAAGAAATGAAGCTTTGGTGATTGGCAATTCATGTTTGTTTGCGACTATTGATGCAACTACAAGTGGAGAACCTACCTACCCACTTGTTAGTACACTTTCTCCTCCAGTTCAAGTGTTAATCTCAACTTATGTGGGTTAGTCTTGGATTCTGGATGCGAGGTGGAGTTTTGGTGGACTTTGCCCGTGTTTCAGTTTGAAGTTTACACGTAGTAGAGTGTAGATTAATGGATACGGTTGATTACTTTTTAATGGTTTCCTCACTGGGGAAAATGGCCAGAATTGGTATCACATCTTGTCGTACACAGAAAGTTTGGCATGATGCTTTTGTGTCAAACTTTATGACTGTCGAAGGCTGTTAAGAGGATCTCATTACCTGTTCCATCCAACTGCTAAGGGACTCGTGTTATTAGTCTTGTAGATAAAAATACTGAGGCACAATATTACCGTTTCAACCAGAGGTTTCCCCCTAGTGCTGCGAGGAAAATATAGTCACATTCCTCAATGTCGTTGGAGCATATCTAAGTGATTCAATTATGTCATGTGATTTTTGTGACTCATGGCATAGTAGGCATCTATATGCTGCCAACTCTGCCCACCCTCCAAATATTGCTTTAGATACTGAGGGGAGCATTGCCAATTGTGTCTTTTGGTGATTAGCATTATTAGCCAGTGCATGATTATTGCCGTATTATCGATTTTTGTTTTTCTGAAACACTTGCCCACTTGTTATTGGCATGTGCACTGATGATGCCATATTCAGTTGTTTTGCAGTTGTTATTGTACGTACTGCTTATGTGGATAATGTATAATCATTTACCCAGGAGCAGTAATCGAGCAGCAGTATCTGAATTGTGTTTTTTTCTTTTTGTTAATATCAGCCATTAGGTTGGGTTGGTAATCGTGAACTGTGCTAGAACCCTGAGGTTTATAACATTGGTGTTGGATAGTCTAGTCTTAACTGCAGCTCTTTGCCTTCGGGATATATATATTAAAATCTTACTTTTATACAATGGCGGAAATAACTAGGATACTCACTGATGGTTCAGCAAATTATAGTCAAAGTTGCTGTTGAACTCATGGTTTGTGCCGCACGGTCGTTTGATGTGATTCCAAGCTGTTTATTTTCTCGTATCTGTTTGATGATCTCGTTAGAGATTGACCAGGATTTACAGCGACTAGTCTTACCTCAAATGCTGTTTGGTGTACAGGAAAGTGAGAGTGATGAAGAGGATCTTGATGAAATTGATGATGATGTGGAGGAAGAACATGAACACGAGCCTGAAATAGCCACCGAAGTCGAGCCAGTTAAGAAGCAACCCGAGACTCCCTTAGCTCCCAAAGAATCAGAAAGGCAACTTTCGAAGAAAGAGTTGAAGAAAAAAGAGCTTGAAGAACTTGATGCTGTTCTTGCTGAACTAGGATATGCCAAACCGGAGTCTAGTAGTCAAGAAGTCTCTGATGGTAACTTCTTATAAGACCACTCATTTTCTCTTCCTATTATACTTTTAATCGCTTATTGTGTATTTACCACAAAATAACATGTGGCAGCAATACTCTGTTCCCGGATGATAGAACAATATTCTTGTTTTTCATCAGATGTTTCACAAGAGAAGAAAGCAGACAACAATGGGCAAGTGAAGAATGAAAATGCTCCAGGTGAGAGCAAGAGTGCCAAAAAGAAGAAGAAGAAGGAAAAGACATCAAAAGAAGCCCCCAAGGATTCCGAAGATCAGTCTCAAAGTGCAGGTGTCATCGGAGATGTCCCAGCAAGTAGCACTGCTGAAGCCGAAAAGTCTGATGATGCATCCAACGGTGTCGATGTGAAAGAGCGGTTGAAGAAAGTGGCGGCCAAAAAGAAGAAATCAAGCAAAGAAGTAGATGCTGCTGCCAAGGCTGCCGCCAGTGAGGCTGCTGCCAGGCGAGCAAAGGTTGCTGCCGCATCGAAGAAGAAGGAGAAGGCTCACTACAATCAGCAGCCAGTGCGGTAAGCCAAGCAAAAGAAAATTTTGTCCTCAGTACTTGTGTTTGATTTTGATAACGCAAGTAGTACCTCAGGATAAGGATTGATGTCGCGATATCAATGGCAACTTTTTTTTGAGAAGGGATAGAAAGATACTTGTTCGTTTTAGCTCTTCACATGTCCTGGTTTTGTTGGGAATGCTGAACCTGGTGCTTTCTTAAACAGCCTAATATGAAATGACAGGTTCCGTGGTTCATTTCTATGTAGTTTCTGTTCTTCCAAGTTTGTTCTTTCATCAATGACCACTTCCATGCCTTTGTTGTATCATGAGCAGTTATTATCAGTAAACAACTTTCAGTTCTTCCTCATGTCTGCACTTCCGAGTTGCTGAGAAAAGAGTCTAATGTTTAAACCAAGGGTCCAAAGGCATATATATGGGTTTGCCCGTGTCATGGTTCGACCATAAAGGTGGCAGATGAAACGGGTCGCAGGATTCGATCATAGTGGCTTCGGTTAATATCTATTGCCACCGGAGTCTGGGTCGTAACAACTATGCGCCATGAAAGAGGTTTCTATATATAATCCGAGTCGGATGGAGTGTTTATTACCGTGTGTTTGGGAGGTTTGGAGAAACTTCGACGACTCGAATCAAAGCCATACGGTTCCTTGGTTTATGGTGCGTCGTAATGGAGCAAACGACTCGCGGCGACCCTTTCGTTTCTAACGTTTGCTCGAACGAAAAATCAACCAACGTGATTCTGGACCGGACCAAAATCATCATTGATGCTCCTCCGGTCACGAACCAACCAACCGTTACCTTGGAGGCTGGACCATAAACTTGCGCACTTTCCTCCTCGTGCCTGCAATGAATTCTTCCTCCCTTCCAGCTGGGGCCGTGTGAAGGCAAAGTGCACTACAAGCAAAACTCAAATTGTAGTTGTAGGGCAGGCGCTAAATGGTAGGCTGGGGGAGCGCCATGGCCATTCATGTCGGCATCACTGGACAAAAACCAGAGGTTGCCAAAACCAGCAAAATCACGGACCGTGAACCCAGACCAGACCCAATTTGCCAGGGCCTTTTGTGGGTGGAAATTAAATATCCTAGTGCAAGTGGAGATAATGCTCCACTAGTGCAGGAAAGAAACAGAGGTGGGTTGCTCTGTTTTTATGGTGTTTTGTTCTTTTTGGAGGCATTCAGTGTTCTAGAGATTGTAGTTTGACTCTTTATCAACAACCAACCAACCATGAAGCGTACCGAGATTGATTTACTGCGTTACAATTTAAGACTATTAAGGGTTAATTAATGTCAACATCCATTCGATCCTCTAGTTGTTCCAGAATTTTCAACTTTTTGGTGCTTTGGTCTTCCCCTACCAATTGTAAACAATGATATGTAGTCTTAATCAATAAATTTATTCATCCCCATTTATGATTTGTTTTAGAAACATAGAAATTGCAACCCTTTCGAGCAATTCGTTATTTGGGTCTCTGTGAAGTTTCTCGGTTGATAAACGGGTCGTTGAACTTTTTAACCAACTCGTTTCTGTACCAAATGAAATGTGCTTTGTTGGTGTGTTTTTTTTTTTTACATTACATTATATATTTTGTGATGATGGTGGCCTCCCTATTCATCTCTCGTCCGAGCAGTTTGTGTGCGAGTGAGATTGACTGTTGAATCCTGTAATCATAAGCACGTGTTCATGCATTCTTAGTTGTACAACTGAGAATTGGGATTATTGTGCTTTGTTCGGCAAATGCAAGGACATTCGAAAACCCGCTTATTTTTCCATGGATCATGTGCCTCGTCATAACCTTGTGATTCTTGATCTGGCAATGAAAATTAAGAAAGTGAAAGGAAATACCAAAATGAGAAGGGAAAAAAAGGGGCCTATGCTTCAGGTCTTTAAACGGCTGAGCATTGTTGGATTGGATAAATAATTTGATCAATCAACAAAAGTTGGCGAAATGCTAACCAAAATGTTTCATTTCATTAGTCAGTTAGTTAATGTGAGTGCGTGGCAGAGGACACGTGTACGCATGTGAAAGGGTCGACTAAGAGCCAGGGATAGGATTCAAATGATAAAGGATGGAATATGATGACGTCATTGCGTCCCAATGGATTAAACAAAAAAAAATGAAAACAAAAGATAATGCTTGCCGTCAAAGGAGCCTAGAAGCTTTTTTATGTGGTTAATTAAAAACGTGGATGGCGAAAACAGAGGGCCAAAAAATGACAAAAGGAGGTGCCACGATGGATCGGGTTTTCCGATAAGACCAACTGGATTGTGGGCCTGAATTCTCCCCCGCCCGCCAATTGCCCAAATGGGCCCAGTTGGTTTCTCGCCCGCTCACACTCACACTGTCCCTAGTAGTTGCTTTCGTTCTTCTTTCATCTTTGACTCGAAACCATCACTATGCTCATTTACCATCTTGCCCATTACCCCTTTCATTTTGTCTCTTCTCCAACTATATTGTATTAAAGCAAAATTTACCAAATTGTATGGATGATAATGGATTGGTCGATTGTACACCGGAATAATCATATGATTCTTTTCGAGATAATTTGGATGTTGATCCTATTCATATCTATATAAGAATCGGGTAAAATATGAAAATTATGTATGTATTTTTTATTGGATTTTGGATATCCATGGGTATCTATTAGTAATAACTTATCTTTGTAACTTCAACCAGAATGTTAACAATTACACGTGTGTGTTGCCGTTACATGAGTGAAAAATACAACACTAAATTACTAGAACAAAGTAAATGAGTAACAAACGACACAGTTTCATGAATATTATATATGTATGTATAGGTAGCGTTTTCGGTGCACTCACTTTTTTGGCTGCATTCAGTGCACTCGCTTCATAACCGTCATTTTAAACATGCGATTTATGTCAAATTGATGTCAATCATCACTTATGATGTGATGAACAATAACGCACATGAATTTGCACAAAAACCATTAAAGATTTACTTTAATTTGAAGGATTTAGAGTTTAGAGTTTTAGGATTAGGGTTTACAATTTGGGGTTTAGGGATAGAACTCAAAATTGGAGGCCTAGGGCTTAGGGTAATAAGCTAATTAGTTGTTATCATATGTTATATCAACATATTACACTAATTGTACAGATTAAAATACAAAACCCGACACCTTAAGACTAGTTTTTGAGGTGGGTGCATTGAACACACTCATTTTTGTGAGTGCACCGAAGTAGTCACCTGTATGTATAATATATATCAAATATGGTGAGAAAAATATTGATCATTTTTAAATAAAATACATAAGCACGTTTATAATCGTACAGGTTCGGGTTGGATAGTGACAACCCATCCATCACCTATAAGGTTCGAATCGCGTTTTATTCATACCCATTAAAAAAATCCTCGAATTCATGTTACCCTACTTGATTAGATCAAAATATTCCGGCAAATACCCTACCAAATTGTATCTCTAAAAAAAATCTGAGACAACAACGAAATTTAGTTTTAAATAATAATGAAGAGAATGATTTGAGTAATAGAGTCAGATTATTCGAAATATGAATCTCCACACACGTGCACAAATTCAATAAGGTTAATGTATGACACAAAAAAGGTCAAACAAGATAAACTATGGATATATACTCCATCAAATTAATATGAAGCGATTGAGAACAATCCAAAAGAGACGAAACAAATGTAATACGGTCATATCGATTCTCATATTTTCCCAAATTAGTAAGAAAAGATAATATCACATGTAGACCTAAACCCCAAATTGTAATGTGAAACAAAACCCAATTGTTGTTTAGGGTTGTCTTTCCATTAGACACAACACAAGTCGTTTTAGTTGCTTATTTAGCAAGGTGCTTGTGGAGAGGAGAGAAACAAAAGGCAAATAAGCGAAGGAAGGGCAGTACCGTCATTACACTAACCGCCATCCTTAGCCAAGCAATCTACCGCTGTGGTCTCCGTGTGTATTGGACCTTCCTCTTCCCTTCCTCTCTCCTCTCCTATATATAAACCAATCCAATCCCTCGCCTCCACTTCCCCCCAAAATCCGACTCCGATCTCTGCTTCTCTCTCTCTCCGCTTTTGCAGAAAGCAGAATCCCCGATGGCCATTTACAGCTACCTCCCGCCGTCCTCCTCCCGCTCCGACGTCGCCAAACGCAGGAGCCAGCAGCACCGCCGCCGCAGCGGCGGCGGATTCCGGCGACGGTGCGTGGTGCTGGTGAAGCAGCAGAAGACGCGGTTCTACATCTTCGGCCGCTGCATCTCCATGCTCCTCTGCTGGCACGACCACGCCATCCGCGACTGACGATCTTCTTTCTTTTCCTCAATTCGATCGGCGAGTCCCGACGGAATTCAAGGGGAATTGAATTCTGGAGCGGTGAAAATCGACCGGCTCGTTGAATCCCCCCCGGCGATCGGAGAAATTTTGGTGTTACACGGCTGAATTGAATTTCCGGTCTTCTGAAAGAGAAAGCCTGTGATTGGGCGATGTTGTCTGCTACTTGTAAATATGTTTATTAGTCATATACAATTGAAATGAAGCCGTCGTCGTCTTCTTCTTCTTCTCCGTGTAGTTATCTTCGAATATCAGTTTTTTGTCTCGATTGAAGGCCGGCTGCCGCCATAGGCGTGACGCCATCTTGATCTTGACCTGCGACTTGCTCGTCGCAATTCACACGGGTGGGGATTAAACTAATTGTGATTTAGGGAAGCGTTGATTCCCATTAAAATCATTAACTAAATCTAGAACTTTCGGCTTCGTTGAATTTTAGGTATTGGGGGATTTTTTTTAAATCCCCCAATATGATTACAGTTCCCAAGACCTAATCGTCAGGTTCGCTAAACCCTGATTGCGTACCACAAATCCACAATGCCAGTGCTTCTCCTTCCCGCCGGTTTGCCACTACGGCCGGCGCCGGCAGCCTTCGCGCCCCCAACCAACCAATTGGCTAGGTGTCACTAGGTGTCAATGTCCGTTGGCTCAAGCCTCTTGGTAGTGAACTAGTGATGTCAATCGGGAAAGCGGGTATATCGACAATCATATTCGTCCGCACTATATGCTGATCAAATCGGATAATAAGCACACAATATTTCTCTTTTTTTACAATAACGTATAGGGGAAACTCTTCGTAAATGAATGAGAAATATAGTAGAAGAAATAATTTAAATATAGTCTTAAAATTTCTTTTGGGATGGCAATGTGATTTTAGAAAGGTCAAATTATGTGAAATACATATAGATATCGATGCAAATCATGATCGAACGAGTCAAGAACGTGACGGGACGGTGTTGGGCTGTTTGGAAGCAATACCCATGTCTTGCCCCGCGCTACTGCAGAACAGACAATACTCGCCTCAAATAGGCCAGGGGCGGGTCGAATCGCGTGCGACATATAAAAAATTACCATCACTACAACTGGGTCCAGTGGGTGTTATGTTGGTTCTGGATATATGGTATGGTTAAATCGAGAATAAAATCATTAGTACAAATGGTTAGCGTCGTGTTTTTTTTTTGTTTAAATATATATTGTTTATGCATAACTAGGTATCAACTATTGCTAAGTCACACGTTTATCTGTAAAATATTAAAATCATATACTCGCCTAATGAGTACACGATATGAGCGATGACTATGAATTAATAGGCAAAAATAATTTCAACCTAAGTGTCAGCAATGAATTTAAATTATGTCTCCAATGATTAGACATTAATATGTGAATGATTGCAAATCATGTCTTGAATGATTATCATACAAAGTTTGAGGAATGGCTGCCAATGTGTTGTAATCAATGTGTTGTAATCAACTACAATGTAGATGTAGGAGACGGATGACTGTACACATTAACGAATAATGATAATGATGACCTTGCCTCTGTGACAATACTACGATTCTTTTGGTTGAATTAGCTATTGAAATGGAAGAAATAAGATTCCCTCAGGAACTATGAAATGGGCTTTTATTCCGAAAAGTGGGGAAGGAGCAGCCCATGGGCCTACCTGGTGTCTGGAGTTTTTTTATCTTCGGATTTCATGCTGTATTGGACCCGGCCCAAGAACTCCCCGCCGTTTTCAGTTCCAGCGCGAGCGCTCGTCGGCGCCGCCTTCTCCTCCTGCCTTCGACTTCCTGCCTTCCCCGCATTCTCTCCTCCCTTCTGCGTCTCCACGTCCCAAGAGACGAGCTTGATTGATTCATTTTTTTTCAAGTAAAAACACCCATCGGGTTCTCCTCTCTTCCCTTGTCCAATTCCCCGTACAGGCGGCAGTTGAAAGTCTTCAACTTAGGAAAACCTTGATTTGGGGGGTTCTCTTCTCAGCGAGGAATTGAAGAGTTGCTACTTCGTTAGTATCTTCCCGGTGACCCCGTTTCTGTTCAGGAAGTGGCGGGTTTCTTCTTTTTGGGTAAAGGAAAGGAAATAGGGTGGTCAGCAAAGAATGCTGGACGTGAGTAAGTTTGATGTGCATTTGAAATTATGGGCGCTCAGGATTCCTCGAGAGCTTTGCAAGGTGGCCACTCGCGTCCTCAATGGGTAAGCAAGCAAGAATACGAGACTGCTACTGTATTTCTTGTTGTTTTGGCCTTGCTTTGTATTTCAATGGAATTGCTGCTTGGGGGTTGATTTATGTTGTTCTTTGCGTTTGTTTAGATACTTGCTTGATAAGCCTCGAGTGAAGCCTATTACCGAAGACCCAACGAGCGATAAGAACCGGTACATGATATTGTCTGAGAAAGTTGAGAACCCTGGTACGTGTTTGTGAGTTTTGATTATTGGGAAATTGGTTGCTAGTGTTGAACTTTTGGTTTCATCTTGCTGTGTGGGACACAGAGCTAGCTGAAATCCCAGCTGAGAAACTTGATGAACTGAAGAAGTTATGTGAAATTGAAGTAGTTCCTTATGCCATGACGCTTGGATATTCTTACTGGAGTGCAGGTTGGTGCCTCATGTGCTATTTTTTTTGCTTCATTGTTTTGACTTTTGCGCTTGTCGTGCGAATTCAAATGTTGAACTCAAGCTCATTCGAGCGGGTGAATGCTCTAATGTGGGTTTTATGATGCATATATGGGTGTTTTTGACTGTGCTTATCTTTGATCTCAGATCATATTCTAAAGCAGGTTCTTCCCGCTGGAGTTGAGGTACCTTCATCGTTCGAGACAATAGTTGAGTATTTATCATTCTTGGGTTTTCGTTAGACTTAGGAAATGGTGTTACGTCTACCTGAGTCCTGACCATGGTTTAGCTCTAAGAGAGAAAGCTGGATACTGGTGATAGTTTTCGTGGAGGTTTTTTAGTATGTACTGCAGAAGTTTGCATTTAATAGGTAGATTATTGGAGGTGGAAACTCAGCCCTGACAAGTTTCATCTCTGCTCCCATCTGCAGGTCACATTGCTCATGTAAATATACATGATGAACTGCTTCCATTCAAGGATGTCATCGCAAAGGTTATTTATGATGTAAGTTTCTACTTTTCCCCAGAAAAAAAACTATGTTAAACACTGCACTTCATTTCGCATTCCCATCAAATAAATACTGGTCTCCAAGCTTTCATAGTTTTTGATGAAATGTATTGACTTCAATGATCATTGAAGGAAATTAGTATCTTGATTGTCGGTGAAACAACATATGGATACGATGTTATTCTGTTTTGTGAAATTTGAGCATATTTCTGGTGCTGTTCGTGAAAACACTTTCGGTTGGATCTGTATGTGCTGCTTTTCACATATTGTGATCCTATATTGTTTTAGTTGAAAAAAGAAGAAACAAAGTGATTCTTAGATCATTATGCTGATTTTGGCAGAAAAATCATCCAAGGATCAGAACTATTGTCAATAAAGTCGGATCTATATCAAATGAGTTTAGAGTACCCAAGTTTGAGATCCTTGCTGGGGACAGTGATATGGTCACAGAAGTTAAGCAATATGGAGCTACATTCAAACTCGACTACGGCTTGGTCTATTGGAATTCAAGATTGGAGCATGAACACATAAGGCTAGTCTCTCAATTCCGACCGGGGGAGATCATATGTGACATGTTTGCCGGCATTGGTCCCTTTGCTATTCCTGCAGCACAGAAAGGATGCATTGTTTATGCAAATGATCTCAACCCCGACAGTGTTCGTTATTTGAAGATCAATGCCAATGTTAACAAGGTCGATGATCTCGTGATTGCCTTTAATATGGATGCTAGGAAGTTCATGGCCCAGCTTATGATGGTTCCACCAGTTCATGAAGACAATTCAGTGGTCTCTAAAGTGGAGACCTTTGAAGAAAGGAAAAGAGACCAAGAGCAAGTGGCAGGTAACATGTTTGGATTCATATTGGTATGTATTGTTGATCACCTTTGTGTTACTTTTTTCTCTTAAAACTTCTGTCATATTCGTTAGTTGAGGCGAAGGATTCACCTGACGACGCATCCATAGCTTCTGTCAATGGGAATCCAGATTGTTGTGAAGAAGGTTGGTAAAGAACAGAGTTCGATCCGTGGGTCATTGAAATTATCTCTCTCAACATCTTGAATGCTAACATATTGTCCTATTGTAGAAAATGGGAGAAACCTTGGAATGCCAGGTAAAGGTAGGAAGAACAAGAGGATAAAGCTGTCCGAGCTGCCCAATCCTAACACTTGGGAGCATGTTGATCATGTGATAATGAACCTCCCTGCTTCTGCCATACAATTTCTAGGTACACGCAAATAACAATCAATGTACTGTGTTAATTATGCCTGTGAGCCTTTGAGGGTGAGAGGGGGAAGATGTCTGAAACAGAAAACCCTAATCAAATGTTTCTTCTCTCTCAGACGCATTCAGAAAGCTAATTCCGAGGCAATGCTGGAAGAGTGATCTTCCCTTGATTCATTGCTATTGCTTCATTCGGGCAAACGAAACCCAGGATACTATAATTAAGGTAGTCTTTATTTCTGATAACATTTAACATTTCTCCTAGAACCTGCAGCAGTAAGTGTTGATCTGCATATATAATCCTCAGCTACCCTTTTCATGATATAAGACATTCTTGAGGGATTTGATAATGCAAACAGTTTTCCTCCATGTAGCTTTCATTACAAAATTCCAATTCGTTTTGCAGGAGGCCGAATCTGCCCTGGGTGCGCAAATAAAAGATCCTATCTTGCATCGGGTTAGGGATGTTGCTCCAAACAAGGTCAAAACTCCGAACACCTCCATTTTGCTCTCCTTGCTTCTGGTGAATTGAAATTATGGGTCTTGAATGTTCTTTCCTGGAGCAAACAGGCTTTTCACATATAGCATCTTCATGACGGGTTTTCTTAATCATGAATGCAGGCTATGTTTTGCTTAACCTTCAGATTGCCAGAAGGATGCTTCACAGACAATGCTCCCACCTGCATCGAGTCCACTATTTAGAGACTTGGTGATCAAGCAACAAGCTGAAAGTAACTCTCCGTGCTTTTTTCTGAGTCTAGTCACTTATGTAGTTAGGATGTCAGTTACACCAGCGGCTTTCTAAATGTGACTTGAAGATGTTCCCCAAGTCATTTCAATCTTTTGTTTTCGAGATAGTTTTGTTCTTGTAATTGCGGTAGAGTTGTGATAATTGAAGTTACTTTTCAACATTTCATTTAGTATATCAATGTTGAGAGCGGAAATAAGAAAATAACAAGAACAATAATGTGGCATAACAAAATACGAGAAACTTGAAAGGAAAAAAATATGAAAAAATATTGGCTATAATGTTTCGGAGATGAGTAATACGAAAATGAAAAAATACCGAATGGCTAAACATCGCCCTTGTTTTACTATTATCGCCCTAATTTAAAGCGTAAAATTACTAAAGTGTCCTTAATTAAATAAACTAAATTCAACATAACAATTATCCCTAAAATCCCTAATTCTTCCTCACCACTGTCGACCTCTCCAAAAACCTTCACCGTTCCTTCTCCCCTGCTATTCATGGTAGCCCGCTATCTCATGTTACCAGCCACCATCATCAACCATTAAACTCCTCATGAAAGCAGCCGCCGGTGATGACATTAGGCTGCGTCGATAACTTATGTCGAAACGTTGAGGATCTGGAAAATATGACTCTCGAATTCCTTTCCTTCGTCGGGAAGTGGTGGATGGCGGCCAGAAGGGTCAGGTCGGCGGTGGTGGATATTTATTATTTTATAATCCCCAACAACCTCCTTAACTCCTTATTAACCCATTCAAAATTGGCCGGTGGCGGCGATGGTGGAATACCGGCGACGGTGGAATAAAGATACTGAGTTTTTTTATGTAATGTGTTGAATAAAATATTTTTTTTAATACAAAGGATAAAAATGAAATAATAACTTATAAATTAGGACGATCACATAAAACCAGGACAACAATTAGGGCCGGGGAACGGTGCGTTTAGTGTACTGTTCTGGACAAACGGCTATGGAGGCGAATTTTAACGAGTTTTTTTTCTTCTTTTTCACTTTTCAGGTTAGATAGATAGATCTGGATCTAATTTTTATTCAATTTCCGTTTCGCCATTCCCATTTCCCTTTCCTTCCTCTGCATCAAATTTCCAGCTCTCTCCAACACCGCAATTTCCCGTCACTTCGCCCCTGCCCCGTGAATTCTAGCTGTATTTGATTATCTCAGAAGCAGCATCGCCTTCGAGATTTTATCTTAGGGTTTCCAGATCTCCCGATTGCTGCCCGGCGTTTCCCGCGTCTTTTTAACCGCGTTTGTGGTGGCGGCGCTTTCCCTCGGCGGCGTTATATGATTCTGATATTATAGGGATTGGGGATTGAGGGTTTCCTGTAAATTTGTATACGAGCTTGTGAGGAATGTCGGCGGCTTTAGGTAAAACGTCGTATCGCGATCGGACGCAAGAGTTTCTCAGCGTAGCGGAGAGGCTGAAGAAGTCCATCTCGTCGGGGAACAATGCAGGGGTTAGTGGCAGCAGCAACAGCAGCAGCAGCGGGAAGCCTGACGGCACGCGATCTGCGGTTGCGGTTCAGTCGGAATTCAATAAGCGAGCTTCGAAGATTGGGTTTGGAATTCACCAGACGTCTCAGAAGCTGTCCAAGCTAGCCAAATGTGAGTCGTTCTCGTTTCCTTTTGCTCCTTGTTATAAGGTTAGGGGTTGTTGGATGCATCGTTTTGGTATTGCAATTGCGGGTTCTCGTTTGACTATGACAGTTCAGGTTGTTAGGAGAATAGTTATTCAATTGATGTGGGAATCTATCTGGATGTGGTAATACTATGAGTGCTTGCTTCATCCAAAAAGTATCATGGGAGTTTGATACTGGCTGGAGGTTTTGGAATGGTTTAGTTGGTTGCCTTGGTTGTGATTTGGGATGTGGAAATGTGAAGTGAATCGTCAGATTGAGGTTCTTGTGTGGTGTTAGATGTCTCTTAGATTCTATGTGACGTCGTAGAGAGCATCGGATCTGTGTTTTTTATTCCTTCTGGCCCCGATCATCGAGTCTTACGTGGCACAACATAACATACCATAACGGAATCGCAAAACTGAACCACGATATAGCACTCTTAGTCTCTTGTTACCATAGACGATATTAGGAAAGCATTTTTCTTTTCATTTGTAAGTGTTCAATTAGTAAGAGCTGGGCAGCTCACATTTATAGACATGGTCCTTCAGGACTAAATCATCATTGTTAGATCTGATTTATTGAAGGAGTGCATGAGGTTACTGACATGGAGAGCCATATCGGAGTGTCGCTGCTTTGTTTCTGTTCAGAATGTTGGCTACCTTGGATTGCTTATGGATTTGTTCAAAAACTGAGTAACTGACCATGAATGGTGGCCATCTATGTTGTGCACCTATAGCTTGTTTTCGGAGTAGGTTGACCGTGACTTGTACATGATTGGGCTATGGAGCTTCTATACTTTGCAAAAGCAAATTAGTAGAACTTGAAGATTTCAGGTTCTCTTAGTTACATAGTGTGAAGGTCTTCACTATGGGTAATACCAGGAAAAGTTAAATTAATGACGGAGGAGAAATCACGGAGCCTGTTTTGTCGATGCTGGACAAGGGATTTGGCATAACCCATGGTATAAAACAGTAGGGTTAGGATTTAGTATCCCGGTAATGTTTTCTTCATTTCTTTCCTGAATCAGTGTGTGGTTCCTTCTATTTTTTTCGTGAAAGTCTCTGCTGTTGGGTAAAAAATTGGGCTAATAAAAAAAATGTAGGCAAATTAATGATATTACCTCTAGAGAATTTTAAGCAAACCAATATGATCCTGGACTGTCTTCTTGCTCAGCTTAGAGCAGGCAATGTAACTTTACTTCCTTCCTTAGTTCCTTAGGCTCTCAAATTCCAGATTTCCAGTGATTTCAGTAGAAACTGTCCTTTTCAAAATGAACATCTGTTGAAAATTCTTGTATTGGTCCTTTCTTGAGTATCAGTATGCAACTTTACATGTTACTACTCTATCTGAAAAATTAATGCAATTTGTATATTATCATGTTACAAAGTCGTAACAGTTTCAGCACAATTCCTGGAAAATGATGGATTGGGGCATTGTTACTAACCCATTTTGTGATTTCATCAGTGGCAAAGAGAACATCAGTATTTGACGACCCAACCATGGAGATCCAGGAATTGACTGCTGTTATAAAGCAAGATATCACCGCACTAAATGCAGCTGTGGTAGATCTCCAACTCGTCTGCAACTCTCAGAATGAGAGTGGGAACATCTCTACCGACACCACAACCCATTCAACTACAGTTGTAGATAACCTCAAGAATCGCTTGATGAGTGCGACAAAGGAGTTTAAAGAAGTCCTAACTATGCGAACAGAGGTAAATTCAGAATCCCAATTTCAGAAAAAAGTAGTTCAATAAACCATAATGACCTGTCTTTAGTTTAGCGTTACTTTTTGTACTTAAGAAATTTTCATTCTTGAACTACAGAATTTAAAGGTTCATGAGAACCGCAGACAATTATTTTCTTCATCTGCATCAAAAGAAGCTACAAATCCTTTCGTACGTCAACGTCCACTAGCTTCCAGATCTACAGCCAATGCATCAGCAGCTCCTCCACCTCCATGGGCTAATGGTTCTTCTGCATCTTCGTCCTCATCCCAGTTATTTCCCAGGTTCGAATTACAGCTGTCTGTTTTAGCTTTTGCTTAAGTAGAAGAAAAGTTTGTTTGGTTTGATTTCAGGAAAAAGTTGAGTTGATGGAATATGACATATTCTTAAGTAATGAATGGGTTTTGGGGGAATGACTATCATGGCGGTATGCACTATTAGCCGTTTGCAACACTGCAACCGTTTGAACTTAGAATTTTTTTCTGCTTGCAGTCGACAGTCAGATGTAGAGTCTCAGCCACTCCTGCCTCAACAGCAGCAGCAGCAGCGTCAGCAGCAACAACAGCAGCAACAACAACAGATGGTTCCACTCCAAGACAGTTACATGCAGAGTAGAGCTGAGGCTCTACATAATGTGGAATCAACCATTCATGAGCTAAGCAACATCTTCACACAACTAGCAACCATGGTTTCACAGCAAGGAGAGCTTGCTATAAGGTCTGTCAAGCTTTCCTTTACTTGAAATAGAGAAAGAGTGGACCTATTCGTTCAGTGACATTTGTGATCATGTTCTGCACATTTCTGAACAGAAGGCTTCAGTACTCTTTAGCCCTCTGTTCTCATAATAAATCCTGCTCACTTGCATGTGAGAGAAAGCCAGTTTTCATATAAGTTACTGCACAACTGAACCGCCTTGTTTAATACCCATGTCATAAGATTAGCAGGGTAGGACTATGAACTACCTAGCAATAGTTGATGGGGATTTCTGGTGTGGCTGTTTTTCAGGATTGACGAGAACATGGACGACACGCTGACGAACGTTGAAGGTGCACAGGGGCAGCTGGTTAGGTATCTCAACAGTATTTCCTCCAACAGGTGGCTTATGATCAAGATATTCTTTGTTCTCGTTGCATTCCTCATGATCTTCTTGTTCTTTGTGGCATAAGGAAAGAAAGAAAAAAAGGTTCCTTCTCTGCTGTCTCTCCATATTCTTGTACTAGAATTCAGAATGCAATGGGATCTCTTCTTGTAAACAGGATTGCTTGAAATTGTGGCATATACACAAATTTTGACTCGTCATTTCCCTTTCTCCTGTATTTTGGATTGACTGAAACCAACTACTCCGTACATAATGATAATGGCGGGGCCTTGCGCTTCCCTACTGCTTTGTTCTTGTTTCTTTCATTCTCGTCTTCCGCTGATGCCAGATCGTTCAGCAGGAACTCCCACGAGACTCGAACCAAAACACTTCGACGTGATAACGTTGCGAATATGGATTTCGAAAATCGAAATGCTCTCATACTCTCCCTAATGGTATTCGGTATTCCTACCACTATCGATGCACTATGTTACATCGATCTTTACTAACGCACCCCCACTGTCATCTCGTTTTCACCGTCAGGATTAAGCATATAAAATGGATCTTATCATCTCATCTCAATTTGTGCTCATAGTTCAGTCCAAATTAAGCGCAAATTCCTCGTCTATTGCTGCGATGTATCCTAGCAGAAGGAATAAAATGTCAAAAACTTTTATCCAGGGGACTGAAATGGTAATGAAAGTGAATTCCGGGCACTGATCTATCCATTTCTCTTACCGTTACTGCGAGCTGTTAGCGGAATTCAAAATCAGGAGAGTCAGCGGGTTATTGAATTTGAATTCGTAACGGCCATCTTCTTATTAACCCCTCCCTCACCGACAGTTCACAGTCGAAGCAATCTCTCTCTTTCACTCCAATTCGTCAGAGAAGAAGAACAAACAATGGCGACTCTCACTCCGGGAATCCTCCTGAAGCTCCTCCAGACCATGAACTCAGCCACCAGAGTCACCGGCGACCACCGCTCCCCGCTCCTCCAAGTCACCGGCATAGTCCCCGCGCTCGCCGGCGCCGCCGACCTCTCGCCCAACCACGGCTTCTACGTCCAGCTCTCCGACTCCCTCAACTCCACCTACGTCTCCCTCTCCGACCGAGACACCGACCTCATCCTCTCCAACCGCCTCCAGCTCGGCCAATTCGTCCACATCGACCGCCTTGATTCCGACTCCCCTGTTCCTAGGGTTTGCGGCATCCGCCCCATCGCCGGACGCCACGCCTTCGTCGGCGCCCCCGAGCCGCTCGTCGCTCGGATCTCGTCATCCTCGAGAAAGGAATTCGTGATCCAGCCTGTCGAATCGGCCTCGGATTCCTCCATCGCCCCCTATTTGTCCAGCAGAAATTCCGACGATTCGGCGAAGGGCGACGATGGAAGGAAGTTCGAGAAGAGCGTTAGGACAGCGGCGGTGAGAACGCCCCTGGCGCCGCGAGACAATGTGCAGGCTGGAAATGCGGAGGAGAAGAATAAGGAGAGAGTTCTGCCGCAGAGATTCTCTTCCCCTGCTGGAGCGAAGAGATCTGTTTCTGCTGGAAGGAAGAATGTTTCGGCGGAGAAGAGGGATCCGTCTCCTGCTGGGAAACTGGGGAAGAGGTCTTCGTCTCCAGCTCCGTCGAAATGCGTGGTGCCGAGTTTGGCGGCGGCGAGGGAGGAGAACAGGAGAGTGGCGAGGGAGCCGGCGATTATAGTCCCGTCGAGGTACCGCCAGCCGTCGCCGACCACCGGGAGGAGGCAGGCGTCGCCGAACCCGAGGCGGCTTTCGTTGTCTCCGGGGCGGAGGCTCTCTGGAGTCAAGGATTCCGCCGGGAAGAAGAAGATCGCGGCGATTGTTGCCGGGATTTCCAAAGTCTCCGAAGCTCTCGTTGGATCCGGTAAGAGCAGTAGAAAATCCTGGGACGAAACTCCGCCACCTGCGGCAGAGCTGAGAGAGAAGAATGAGGTGAAGAAGAAGGTGGATAGAAGCTCAATTCTCCGGACTCAGGTGAATTCTTCTTCTTATTCTTCTTTCCTTTGGTTTCCTCTGTACACCAATCAGTTCCTCCATTGAAGGAACTAGTGAATCGCAATTGCTGTTACAGGCTGCCTTGTCTAGGCGCTTGAGCGACGCCGGTCGCCATTCCAATCACGATGACGATGACAATGATGATTGTTCGAGCATCGAGAAAGGAAAGCTGAATTCCCCTGGGGGATCTACTGATAGCGAGAAGCCAGCTGGTAGAGCAATTGGATTCACTGTACATGAGAAGAAATGGACCGATGGAACCGTTCCATTCGATGCAGTTTCATCAGATCTTGCTCTGCTTGGAAAGGTAAGTCATTTTGATGAAGTTTCCTGCGGGATATGCTGGTTATACTGTTAATAAATGATATATGACAGAATTTCGAATTTGTGCAAATTTCAATCTCTTGTATGATGGTTTTCGTGTATATAATTCATAATTGATTGTTCCCAACAACTCGAATTATTGGGAGCAACTGGTTTTTGACATATACGATTAAACTAGTTTGATTTTGAAATGCAGGAAGCCATCCAAAGGAGGATTCTGGCTTCTACAGCAGCAGCAGAAGCCCTGGAAGAAGCCATTGCCACAGAATCCATCATCAGAAGCTTAAGGTAAAAACTAAAACCTCCCTCTCTTTCCCCTCTAAGGAATTGGAATTACCCTATTCACTCTTGAATCTACCACAATGTCTGCAGTACTTTAATCTACCACATTCCCTTTTGCCCTTTCAATCTTTTCCATTGCAGCATATTCTCAGACCTCTCATCAACATCCAAATCCAAACCCGGGAACCCCTTGCCCACCATAGACCGCTTCATTGCCCTGTACGACGACGTTCACAAGTACACACAGACTGCTCAATCAGTCGCCACCAGCCACTCTTCTTCTGCTTCCGATCACGAAGTCATCGCACCAACGGAGCAGTCCAAAGCAGCTTCCTTGTGGGTCGAAGCCGCATTATCTACAGACCTCGAGATTGTCTCGGTTCTGAATAGAAATAGTACCACCACTACTGCTACTGAAGATCATCATCTTCATCATCGACCGAGTAATTCTCCTTCCCTCCCGAGAAGTGGCTCGAAACGACAGTCCTCCAAGGGAAACTCTTCTTCTTCATTGTCATCGCCGAACGACGGAGCTCGTGTTGCTGCGGAAAGAGGAGGGGCTTGGAGGAGAGGCTGCGGGATGAATGAAACGGTGGAGATGGGGAAGAAGGTGGAAGCAGAGATGGAGGTTTGGTTCGTCAGGTTTGTGGAGGAAGCTTTGGATGCAGGGTTTAGGGCGCTGGGTGGAGATGTGCCGCTTGAGGCTAGCTCGATTGCGGCCATCTTGTCTCAACTGAAGAGGGTGAACGGGTGGTTGGATAAGGTGGCGGGGAAAGGGGAGAAGGCCATGATTGAGAAGATTGAGAAGCTGAAGAGGAAGATATATGGTTTCGTTATTCAGCATGTTGGCACGACTTTTTGAAGAGTTTCGAAACGAAACGTTTCTGATATTCAGCACGTTGCAACGAAAGGAAAGCTATCTTGGCTTCAGAATGTGCTTCTGCTGCTATTAGGGGGTCTTTGGATGGTTTTGATAGAACCGTTTTCCCCTCACAATGTTCATTTTCCTTCCTGCTTCTTTCTCATTGCCTTTCCCACTTGAAATCAGAATTTGAAGTGTTTACTGTTTACTAGTGTGTCGTGTATGTAACTATGTTTGCAAAATCGTATCATGTCCATGATTCGATTGAATTACTGCTTATTAGAGCTTAAATCGATAAATAATTTCAGCATGGTTGACACATAATCAACCACAATTTCGTAATAATTCGCTCATTTTTATTGTTGCTTTGTACTTACTACTTAAAGTGTTGAGCCTAGAATTTCCAAGTTGAATATGAGTAATAGTACCACCTGCCCAAAGTCCTTCATCCCACCATCCTGCATTGATCGTCTCCACAAACCAACCTTGGAAAGATCTCTGAAAGTGGAGAGGGCCGAACAGAATCAAACATTTCTTGTGGTTGCCGCTTCACGATTGCCTTTTTACTAACAAGGAAAGAGCTAGAAGAGGAAACTATTGATGACTGATGACAAATTCTGCAATCACTGCAAATCAGAAGACGAAACTATTGATCACATCCTCCGGGGTTGTCAAAAAGCTAGAATGATCTGGGATGCTATGCCAAACAAGCTGGCTGATAAGAATATGAATGGTTCTTTGGATGTTTGGTTGATGAACAACCTCAGTGATGAACGAACTGATATCGAGTTTGGGATTATTTGCTCGCACTTGTGGAAGCAGAGGAACGAGGAGGTGCTGGATGGTCGTGGATTCTCTAAAAATGGTCTCATTTCCATGATCAATGCTTGGCTTAGCATTTGTTGGCATGCTTGCCAGAATGACCAGAAAGTCAAGGCTGGAACGCAGGTTAACAGAAGCTGTGCACAGGAGGGATGGGAGCCACCTCATGAGGGTTGGATCCAAATCCAATATGATGGTTCAGTCAATGCGCATAATGGAATTGCAGCTGTTGGGGGCCTGCTGAGAGATCATCTTGGGAGATGCAAGGGTGCTTTCATTCGCAACCTCGACAGCTACTCCATCACAGCAGCAGAGCTAAAAGGTGTTGCAGAAGGCCTGAATATGGCTTGGGACAAAGGCCACCGCAAGGTACAACTCAACCTTGATTCAACTACGACGATCTCTGTCATTAAAGGGAGCTTGAATGACTCTCATCGTCATGGTAACTTTGCTATTCAATTGAGAAACCTCCCGAGTCTTGATTGGGATGTTGTGTTTTCTCATGTTTTTAGAGAAGCGAATTTTGCGACCGATTTTTATTGGCAAAAAAAGGTCATACTTATAATTTTGGGACACATCTCTTCGATGTGTACGACCATGAACTTGGTCAATGGCTTCACTACGATGTAATGGGTACTACCCACGAACGTCTTGTTATAATTAATACGAAGGTGGTTTAGCGCCAGTCTGATTACCAAAAAAAGAAAAAAAAGAAAAATCCAATGTTTGTGAAACCATATCGGTGATTCGATCGCATAAATACCCTACCTATGGGTGAATTTTTACAGTATGAAATGACTGAACCATGATTTATGTACAAAACATCATACATACCATTAGATTTTACGATACAACCATCGGTTATGAAAAAAAATACGTGGGCCAAAAATCCAGGCATGCCAGCCAAATGGACCTGTACGGGCCCACTGTTTATTACCCACCTGTACCTTCCCAGTTCCCACCCCCCTACACTAAATTCCCCGGTCCCACACTCAAACCTAATCGTAACCGTCCGTTTTTTCATCCGACGGCCCTCCGTTTCTCCTCTAAACCAAACAGACAAACCCCAACCCTTATCCAGACAATACCTGCGACTGTCGTTCCCAAATTGCCCTCGTAAATTCCCTTTAGCTACGTATCCTGCCACGCAAGCCCACACGGCGCCTTCCTACGCCACCGGCCAAATTAATCATCGAAATAAATCAAATACTCAAATCTAAAATCGCTTCCACCTGTAGAGCGAGAGAGGCAAAGCCAAGGTAACAGACGAGAAGAGAGAGAGAGAGAGAGAGAGCGAGAACGAGAGTCGAGTCGAGACCGCCATTGAAGAAGCTAACAATTTTTTCCAGTTTGCATTTCTTCCGGCGGACTTCTGCCCTTCGAGGCGACGGGCGATCGCTCGGAGATTTAAAATCTTACCGGCGAGCTCGTTGTTGTTGTTTCTAATCTTTCGTTTTCTTCATTTCCCTTGGCGTTGCTTTTGTCAATCGGGGGAAACGAATTAAACTGACTGGTCCCTGGAACCCTAATTCCGTCTTAACGGACGCCATCCGAGCTCTCTCGAATTTCTGACCGGGGGAGGGAAAACGCTCGATTTAAAAGGGAGCCGGAGGCGGGGTGCGTGTTTCGTCATCGGGTTTTTTTTCGTGTGTGTGTGGATTTTGAGATGGTTGGGGGAGGAGCGAGCGGGAGGAAGAATGAGCAGGCGGTGCTGAACAATAACAATGTCTTCGCTGCGCTCGACACCTTGAGGAAGAAGAAGAAGAGTTCGAGCTCCTCCGCTGCTGCGAGTTCCGGCAAGGACCGGTCTAAATCGAAATCGAGCAAGGAGGAGAAGGAGGCAGCGGAGAAGGTGTTCTGGGCTCCGGCACCGCTCACGACGAAGTCTTGGGCTGACGTCGAGGACGAGGATGACGACGATTACTACGCGACTACTGCCCCGCTCGCGCCCGCCTGGGGTGCCGCTCCCGGTGCCAAGCCGGAGAAGGAGGCCGTGGAGGTGATTAATTCATTATTCTCTTACTGCTTCAGTACTATATCAGATATGCTCTTGGTTTTGCATGGAATAGTTTGCTGAGTGAATATGATTGCCATGTTTAGCTTTATGTTTGAGAAACTGAATGGTACAGTTCATTGGGAGAATAAAGAATATGCTTATGACTTATGAGGTCTGATCTTTATGTGAAGTATGGTGGATTTCTTTTTGGTTATGGATAGGGTATATGCTGGAATGTAATGTATATAGTTGTTCCAACAGTCAGTTTATTCTGTTTGTGTCACCATTCAACAAAGCAATCAGGGTCAGCAACTGTCTAAGACATAATTCTGCCCAATTTGTTATGCAAGTAGATGTATGGATAAACAAATCTAGCTACTTGGTAATGTCAGAAAATGATTTCGTGTCGATCTTTGGGATTCGGAGTAGAACTTAAAAGATGTGATTTTTGTGACGGATTCTCGGTGTGATGTGGCATTTCCAGATTGTTCGCCATAGTTCTGGATGCCCCTTCAGTTATTTTGACAATCGGGAACTTGCACGTGCCAAACGATCCGTTATTGAATACGTTCAATAATACTCTTTCTATAGCCTTACTGGTAAAAAAAAGGCCAAATTTGGCGTCATGTTTTACCTTTGTTGGCACATTTGTGGCACATAATTTGGACGGTTAAGGCCGTTACAAGATTGTCTCATCCAACCCCTTCAATTGATAAGCGATACGTGTTGGTAGTCGGATAGGGAGCAAGTCGGATTTTTTTTCTTTCTCTCTGAACGAAGCTGCTTCATTTAGTGCAATGAGGAAACTGTTGATAGTATCCCTCAAGACCTTTCATACTTTGTGTATGATCAGGTCATGCCGAGTTAGAAGGTACATTGTAGCATTTAAGTTAAATGCTAATGTCATGGGCTTTCGTGGCTTAGTGTATGGTAGGTGCTACATTGTTGCTGAGTCTGGACACCTCTGATTACTGCTATAGATTCTGTCACCAAGCATCGTCAAAGTGCCTTCTGATCCTCCTCCTCCTCTCCATCCGCTTCATGGCTATTGCCACTTTCTTTCAATTTTTTTGCATCTTGTTCTAGGACTGTGGAGTTGGTTCATTATTCCTTATATGATACTTTTGCTTGGTATTTGGCCAAAGTTATTATGTATCTACAGGTTTATTGATATGTCTTAGCCTGGAGTTGCGGTGGATGAACTGTAAATCTGTATTTTGCTTTCTTAGAACAAATATGCCCTCTATTATGTTAAGGTGGTAATCATTATCCATGCTAGAAGCCTGAGATCCAATACAATTCTTAGCAGCAGTTATTAAGCGTCTCGCTCTAATTCCCATTCCTTACGATAGCACAATGGATTTTGCAAATGACTACAGTACTGGCATTGACATGGTCTGTTCACGAAAATGAACTTCTATGTTAGCATTTTGCAACTCGCTCTGGTTTGATATATTCATTACTGAACTGTTTGCCTATTAACTTGTAACCTCACTCGAGGTTGCACATGAATAGCTGTGCGTAATTTGTCTTAGGATTCTATTATGTTTGCAGGAAAGTGAAAGTGAAGAAGAAGGTCTTGATGAAGTCGATGATGAGGTGGAGGATGTGGAGGAAGAACATGAACCTGAGCCTGCCACAGAAGTGGAGCCTGTTAAGAAGCAACCTGAGGTTTCTTTGCCTTCGAAGGATACAGAAAGGCAACTCTCGAAGAAGGAATTGAAGAAAAAAGGGCTTGAAGAACTTGATGCTGTACTTGCAGAGTTAGGATATGCGAAACAGGAGTCGACTGGTCAGGATGCCTCTGATGGTAACTTCTCTGTTAGATTTACTCTCTCTCTCTCTTCAATGACTTGAACATGCTCGAGCCATTCACAGCCTCATTTTTCGTATATTGATCTTTAGTATTTAGGTGCCACAAAATAACATTGCTCGTGATGAAATGAACTACTGGTTTCTCATATGTCTCAGGAGAAAAGAAAACCGACAACAATGGACAAGCGAAGAAGGAAAATGGCCCAGGAGAGAGCAAGAGTGCCAAAAAGAAGAAGAAGAAGGAAAAGACCTCAAAAGAAGCCCCCAAGGATTCGGAGGACCAGTCTCAAAGTGCAAGTGTTGTAGCAGCAAATAGCACTGCTGAGGCCGAGAAGTCGGATGATGCATCGAGTGGTGTAGATGTGAAAGAGAGGCTGAAGAAAGTGGTGGCCAAAAAGAAGAAATCAAGCAAAGAAGTAGACGCTGCTGCCAAGGCTGCTGCCAGTGAGGCTGCCGCCAGGCGAGCAAAGGTTGCTGCGGCGGCAAAGAAGAAAGAGAAGGCTCACTACAATCAGCAGCCGGTGCGGTAAGCCGCCGGCTAGGATCGAAAAATTCAAAACTGTCCTTTGTTTTTTCTTCTTTCTCACCCCCCCTCATTCCAGAGAAACCAGAACTTCTGTTTTGATTTTGACGTTGCAAATAAACCTCAGGCTTTTATCGCGAAAAAATTAAATTGTCATTTCAATATGGATAGCAAAAAAGGTTACTACTTCATCACACGTCGACTTGCTCTGGTTTTCTAGTGTTAGTATTGCTTGTTTATACACAATCACGATTTCTCGGTTCATTTCGTCGATTATTTTCCAGTTGTTTCATGTCTCTGAGTGACTATTGGTAAGTTCACGGAGTTGTTGTGCTCCGGTGTCCCTGATCGGCCGTCGTCCGGGGTCCGTGATCGGCCGTCGTCGGTTGGTGGTGGGGCAGTAGGTGTTCGACGAAATGCCGGACTGTGGGATCGTGGTAGTTGAGTTATGAGATGGGATTGGGAGGGAAACAATCTGAACTGTTTAATAGCCACAAGAGAATTTACCGTTACACTTTTGTTTTCGCTTTGGTCTATTTTTGAGATAATTATTTGGTATGAATAATTTGGAAAAAAAGGGTAAAACGACGTCGTAATGGATTCGAGAAACCGGAAAAAAAGAGGGAAAATTGGAATTGGAAGGAAATAAAGAAACTAAAACCTAATCCACTAGATCCCAAATCAATCATTTCTTCTTTCAGTTCCTCTCGCCGGCGTCGACGGCGAAAGAGGGGGGGGAGGGGGCTCAACGAACCGTCGCCACCCACTCCGAGGAAGAATTGCCATGGATATGGCGCTGGACGCAGCTTGTGGTCTTCGGTACCTCTCCTCTTACAACAATCCAACCATATCCCCGCATCCGATTACTTCAATCGCGTCCATGGGAGGAATGATGATGATGATAAGTATGAGAAGTCACCGTTCCTCCCGGCGTCGTCGGCAACAGACGGTAGCCGCTACCCCACTGGAGCAGCCTGGCGGAAAGATGGTGGTGGAGCTAGTTGGTGCTTTCAATTCTCTCACCCAGAGGATGAATGTGCTGTCCACCAGCTCTTCTCGCTTGCTGTTCAACGCCCTGAAGCTCTCCGTCCCCATTCTGCAGAACTTGGGGATCGCTCCTGATGGCAGGCCTCTTCTCGCCAAGGCCCTCTCCGTCGCTCTCCTGCTTGCCGATCTTCAGGTTTCCCAAACTCTTCTCCCCAACACCGAAAATCCACTTACCAATTTCTGCTAAATGGGTATGAACACGAATGAATTGAATGAACTTAAACGGAGTTGAGTTAATTTAGCAACGATATTGCAGATGGATGCAGAAGTTCTTTCTGCGAGCATATTGTGGCATGTCCTTGAAGCAGGTGCGATGTCCTTACACGAGGCGAGAGATCGTGTTGGCACTGCTACTGCCCATCTCCTGTATGAGACCTTGCGCCTCAAGAGGCTTCCCTCAAGATTGGAGGTGCTTGATGACGATGCTGCCTCTACTCTGCGACGGTTCTGCCTGACTTACTACGACATCAGGGCTATTGTTCTCGACGTGGCTCACAAACTCGATACGATGAGGAATTTGGATTACCTGCCACGACATCAGCAGCAGATGTTGTCTCTTCAAGTGATGAGGATACATGCTCCTTTAGCTCATGCTGTTGGAACCCTCTCGATGTCGCTGGAGCTAGAGGATCTCTCGTTTCGGTGTCTCTTTCCCTGTTCGTATCTTTATCTAGATTCCTGGCTGTGCAGCCACGAGAGTGGTAGTCGGTCTCTCATAGATGTGTATGCCCTACATCTGCATCAGTGCCTGAGAGATGATCCAATCTTGGTTGACATGGTAGAAGATGTCACTGTGAAAGGCCGCTACAAAAGCCGGTATAGCACAATGAAGAAGCTGCTCAAGGATGGTCGAAAGCCTGATCAAGTAAATGACATTCTGGGTTTAAGAGTTGTTTTGCATACAAGGTCGGGAGAAGCGGACATAGGTGAGAAGGCATGCTATAGAGCACAAGAAGTAATTCGTTCCGTGTGGAAGGAAATACCAGGTCGAACGAAAGACTACATTGCCATGCCCAAAGCGAATGGGTATAGGAGCTTGCATATGGCTGTTGATGTTAGTGAAAACAACGAGGCTAGACCGCTAATGGAAGTACAAGTACGGACTGCTGATATGGACAAGATGGCAGCTGGTGGAGCAGCCTCACATTCCCTATATAAGGCTGGTTTAACTGATCCAGAAGAGGTCAGGCAACAATTTGCTACTTCATATTTTTTAAAATGTCACAGGTTCTTTTGGTGAAGTGTGCACTCCCTAACATAGTTTCTTTTCCCCCCTGGATTTACTACACTGGTTAGGCAAAGCGGCTCAAGGCAATAATGATGGCTGCAGCTGAACTGGCAGCCATACGTCTCAAGGATCTCCCATCTACTAATCAAGGCATCGAGATTGGAGAGAGAGACAGAGTGTTTGGGCTGCTGGACAAGAACGGAGATGGTCGAATTAGCATCGAGGAACTGATGGAAGTGATGGAAGAACTTGGTGCCCCTGGGGAGGATGCAGAGGAGATGATGCAACTCCTCGATTCCAACAGCGATGGCTCTCTGAGCTCTGATGAATTCGATTCGTTCCAGAAGCAGGTAATACATTTCTGCTACATTACATATATCGTATACCCCAAGATGACGTCTGATCCAACTTGGTATGGTTTTACATGAGAATCATTTGTTAATTTATTTCGATGTGGGGCTCAGTTTGAACTCATACGTGATCTGGAGAAGAAAGATGATAGCTACCGAAGCAAGTTGGAGCAGAAACTTGAGTTTGTTGAGGTTGCAGAAGACAACAGCTTGATCCAGGTATACCGTAAAGAGCTGGGCGATAGATTATTAGCAAGCTAAAAGGAGTTTGTTAACTGTAAAGTATGTTGCAAGAAAATTGTTGTATAGTAGCAGGCGCATCCCATCTCTTTTACCTTGGGAGGTTATCAATTGCCTTTGCCATTAGAGGGAAAGACAGGGAGAGAGGAAATGTTAGTTGGGAGTTGTCATTTCCATTTGAGCAGCCAAGGAGCCATGGAAGGGACTCAATGATGTTGCAGAGATACTAACAGGGAACGGGAGGCCAGCCTATTTAAGTGTATAATGAATGATACTAAGGCTCTGTAATACATACTAGTAGTAGCCACTACATGTGGTAATGTAAATAGAGTCATGAGTTTGTACGCAGACACGGCTTTGTTGCATTTGTATTATATAAATTCAAGTTTTCCATTCTGATTCATTTATGGATGTAAGTGGTATCTAAATTTTGGATCATTATGAAAGTTTAGGTGCCAAAGAATAATTGTAAAATGTACATATATAGTTATTGAATTTGTAATTTTCCAATAATTCATTAATCAAATCAATAAATCCACCAACGACTGACAAATTAGACTCGCTTTATTGAATATTTCCCGATTCGACCTGCATTAGGGCGGGTAAAATTATATTCGTACTTGAACGACCGAATCTCAACTCGACACGCAACTAAAACATATCAAACATGGGTGTTTAGTAATAACCAGACCCCGCTCAGTCCCACCCACTCATCTTATGTGGAGAGGAGGAGATCGAAACCACCATTTATCTTCCTTAGTCCACTTATTTAAAAGAAAGATGTCCTGTTTTCAAAAGTAAGAAAGAACAACTATTGAAATCCCTAATTCATCATCTCGTTTTATTCTCCCTAATCTCTCTCAAATTCTTCCCCAATCCTCTCAGTTCTTCTTCTAATTTCAATCTCTAACCTTAATTTCACAATCCTTCTCAATTCTTACCTCTCCCCCCTCCCCACAAATACAGGCGAGAAGGAGAAGGAAAAAGGCAGAATTATAGGTCAGAACGAAGCATAGATTTAATTGTACTCGCCCCACATACCTTGTTGCCACATCTACTTATAGATGTTGAATTCCACTATTCTATCGACTTCAATAGCAAAACACAATCCATCATGAAACTCTTCTCATACCAATGAGGACGATGAAAGTCAAATTCTCTTCATACATACAACTTATCCATGATTTTTCAAAATCCAAGTTTTACCAAAACTTTATTTTTTAAATCTACTAAGCAAATGACCCATAAGTAATATATTTGATTCTTTATATGAAGATAATGCCCCAAAGCAAACCAAGCATCCAACATATGGTTTTACTATTGTGCTTACAGGTCATCTATGAAAATGCTTTTTAGACGTTCGATTTTGCTCAATCTGAAGTGACCAAACTACAATCGTTGTATGAAAGTGGTGACAATTTATTTACCGAATTATTTTGAAAGACGGTAATTATTATACCACGTTGTAAATAAACCCCAAGGTTTTGAGGTAGTGCTCCGGGTCGTTATAGTCGTCTCCTCTACATGCTATAGTCCATGAAATGGTCACTTGTGCATAATTTATAACTATTTTGTACTAAGGGGTCGTTTGGAAGTTGTGATTATTAGAGTTGTGATTATTGAATACATGTATTGTACACAGTACAATGTTTGGAAGTGTCAAAGTGTTAAACAATGCATGCATTCTTTTAGGTAGGTTTCTCCAACAATCACAAAAAATGATGCATTATACAATTTCAACTAAAAAGTTGAGATTGTTGTGATTGTTGGTTTTAGATTTGTGTCAACTTTTTCTTTCCATTTATATCCCCAATACTTTTTGTCTTATTCTAATAGTTGAGGGTAAATGTGACATTTTCCTATAAAAGTAACTTTATGTAAATCAATGCATAAAGTAGAATCTCAACAACCAAACAATGTATTGTTAAAATGCATCCATTGTATCAATACATGCATTTTATATTATGATGATTCATTACAATGCAACGATTTAACATTTGCAACTTCCAAACGACCTCTAAGTGTTAAATTTTTATAAATTCAACATTTATAACCGTTTTATACTAAGCGCAAAAGTTTATGAAAATTTATGATAATTAACCCATATATTTGCTTGCCGACGGGTCACCTGATCATCATAATTTGGCCAGCCAGCCTAAATTGCTTTCCATTTGACAGCGGTGAAGGCGGCATCGCAGGAGAGAACAACGAAGCATCCCAACTGCCTCTTACCTTCCGAATCCGATATCCCTATTCTCAAACTCCCCCTTTTGTGTTTCCTCTTCGATTCTAAAACCCTAATTCGTGTCCGATTTGCAGCTTCAATTTGCGATCGAGATCTCTATATGCCAATTCGATCAGGCGAAGCTCTCCCGCTTCCCGTCGATCGAATCCAACCACCCGCCAATCGGTGATTAACCACGACGGCGCCGAAAACTGGGGGCTAATCAGTCGCGGTCTCGCCACCAACCTGGCGTGGGACTTCTCTTCTTCCTGCGCTTCAACAATGCCCCTCGCACCCACACTCTCCAGTACCTCGAGGACCAGCAGCAAAAGCAAGCTTATCAGCAATCCGTAACCCGCCACCACTCGGTCGCCGATCACCGTCCTCCTCCTTCCATGGAGAACTCCAATTCCACCAGCTCCCCGTCGTCGTCTTCTCCTTCTTCTTCCTCTTCTTCGGCTTCAGTTCAGGAGGAGCCAGAGTACCTGGCGCGGTACATCGTGATCAAGCACTCTTGGCGCGGGAGGTACAAGCGGGTTCTTTGCCTCTCGAACGCCGCGATTGTTACACTGGACCCCGGCTCGCTTACCGTGACGAATTCTTACGATGTGGCGACTGATTTCGAAGGGGCGTCGCCGATTGCTGGGCGGGATGAGAATTCGAGTGAGTTTAATTTGAGTGTGAGGACGGATGGGAAAGGGAAGTTCAAAGGGGTGAAGTTCTCTTCCAAGTATAGAGCTAGTATATTGACGGAGCTGCATAGACTGAGGTGGAATAGGCTTGGTGCAGTTGCGGAGTTCCCGGTGTTGCATTTGAGGAGACGGAATGGAGAATGGGTACCGTATGTAAGCACTCTTTCCTCTAACTCTCTGTCCGATTGAGCGTCTTTTCTTCTTTGGGAGCCTGAGATTATTGTCCCAGTAAACTGCTATTTGTTAATCCATCGGAAGTTTGTTGTATAGGGAGAGCGAGCTTGTTGGTCTAGAGAGTTCCCCTTTAGTACTCGTCTTCAAATGTAGAGGGAAACGTGTGTAGGAACTTGAATGGATGGTATTCTGTTTGCTGTGCTCTTTCCCTACATTTTGATCGTCTTCAGAGGACAGCGTATCACTGAGTTGATCAACTATGAAGCTAAACTTATTTGCAAAATAAACTCAGCTTTCACGAAGTTCTTGTTATTGCACAGTTTGATTCATTGTTTGGTTTATCTTTTGAAGTTAGTGATTCTGATAGTTGGCCTCTTTGCAGAAAATGAAAATTACTTACATCGGGGTAGAATTGATTGATTTGAGATCTGGAGATCTTCGCTGGTGCTTGGACTTCAGAGATATGAATTCCCCTGCAATTATGCTCCTTACAGATGCTTATGGGAAGAAAAGTGATCATGGTGGTTTTGTTCTTTGCCCTTTGTATGGAAGAAAATCTAAAGCCTTCCAAGGTTCTTCGGGAACCACAAGCGCAGCAATTATCTCAAATTTGGTACGGATGCTATATTTAGCCAGCGTAGCTATACTTTCTAGCTGGTTTTATATTGATCCACTATGTAGGCAGAATTATTTCCCCACTTTCATCATGACACTGGTAAAAGGTTTATCATATGACGAAGTCAACATATTGTGACTTAGATGTTTTGGCTTAATGAACTTGTGTTTCTGCAGACCAAGATGGCTAAATCAACAGTTGGGCTGTCACTGGTGGTTGACAGCTCTCAGTCACTGACTGTGATGGAGTATATGAAGCGAAGAGGTAGCTATGAATTTTGTGGTTAACTTGCTTTCATTTCGATTTTTTACCCTAATTATTCTTGTTATGCATCTATTATTCTCATGTAGAAAAAGAAGCAGTTGGAGCCGCAGAAACCCCATGTGGTGATTGGTCAGTAACCAGGTTGCGTTCTGCTGCTCATGGAACTTTAAATGTCCCTGGATTGAATTTGGGAGTTGGTCCTAAAGGTGGGCTTGGAGAGCATGGTGATGCTGTCTCCCGTCAACTAATCCTGACTAGGGTTTCTCTTGTTGAAAGGCGCCCTGAAAACTATGAAGTAGGTGCATGAAATTTTACACAATTTGGAATTTTCTAATGTTAGATGAATGGTTTCATATTTGCAATACTCTAAAGATGAGGTGCCTCTCATTTGCGTTAACTTCATCTGTATTCTCATTGAAGTTTGTCTATTGGTGCATCATGGCATATAGATATTAAATTACTGGTTAATTATAGGTGTCACGATCACCTGCTGAGAATTTTCATTAGATGTGAGTGCAGGCTGTTATTGTTCGTCCTTTATCCGCTGTAAATTCACTTGTCCGATTTGCGGAGGAGCCCCAAATGTTTGCTATCGAGTTCAACGATGGGTGTCCAATCCATGTCAGTGTCCACAGCTCTTCGCCTCTTCCATTTTGGTTATGGAAATTCATATTTGCATTAACTTGTCTGATGTCAAATGGCATGCATGCAGGTGTATGCAAGCACATCTCGAGACAATTTACTGGCAGCTGTGCGGGACATGTTGCAAATAGAAGTAGGTATATCTGTCCTCTGTTGGATATCAGTTAGGGTCTCAGTGTAGAAGCACATTGAACTATAATGCAGTAGGCATCTTTGTGCAATTGTTTTGTGCATGGGAATCTAATGTCTGTTTTTCCTTTGTGATTCCTGTTTGCCAGGGTCAATGCCCTGTCCCTATTTTGCCAAGGCTCACAATGCCTGGGCATCGCGTTGATCCCCCTTGTGGGCGAGTCCATTTACTAATAGGACCTCAGCGCCCTATTGCGGATTTGGAAAGTGCATCTATGCATTTGAAACATTTAGCAGCAGCTGCTAAAGATGCTGTTGCCGAAGGCGGCTCACTTCCTGGCTCAAGAGCTAAACTGTGGCGTAGAATTAGGGAGTTCAATGCATGTGTTCCATATACTGGAGTCCCTCCTAGTGTTGAAGTACCTGAGGTAACTTTAATGGCACTGATTACGATGCTTCCAGCGGCTCCAAATCTCCCCCCAGAGTCTCCTCCTTTGCCACCTCCTTCTCCTAAGGCCGCGGCGACAGTGATGGGTTTTGTTGCGTGTTTACGTAGATTGTTGGCTTCAAGGGCTGCAGCTTCTCACGTGATGTCTTTTCCGGCTGCCGTTGGGAGAATAATGGGTTTACTCAGAAATGGTTCTGAGGGTGTGGCAGCAGAAGCTGCTAGCCTTGTTGCTTCTCTTATTGGAGGTGGTTCTGGGGATCCAGGTTTTCTGGCAGACTCTAAGGTTGAGCAGAATGCCACGACGATGCACACCAAGTCTGTCTTGTTTTCTCATAGTGGTTATGTCACTATCATTGTTAACAGACTGAAACCCATGTCCGTGTCACCTTTATTGTCAATGGCCATTGTGGAAGTTCTTGAGGTTATGATATGTGAACCTCATGGTGAAACTACCCAATACACAGTGTTTGTTGAATTATTACGGCAAGTCGCTGGGTTACGGCGGCGTTTATTTGCACTCTTTGGACATCCAGCTGAAAGTGTGAGGGAAACAGTTGCAGTGATTATGCGTACAATTGCCGAGGAAGATGCAATTGCGGCAGAGTTCATGCGTGATGCTGCCCTGCGCGATGGCGCTTTGCTGAGGCATCTGTTACATGCATTTTATCTTGCTGTTGGTGAAAGACGGGAAGTTAGTCGACAACTTGTGGCTCTGTGGGCTGATTCATATCAACCCGCTCTTGATTTATTGTCTAGAACCTTACCTCCAGGGCTTGTTGCTTATTTACACACTCGGACTGAATCTTCAGATACAAATCAAGAGGAATCGCTCATCAGTAGGAGACAAAGACGTTTGCTTCAACAAAGAAAATTCCGTAACGTAGGAGGTATCACATCTCAAGAGAATCCCTCGACTTATGGTAATAACTATGAGGCCGGTGATCTAGGCAGACAAGCAAAATCTAGTGCTTTTAGAGGGTCAGATAACTATCCAAAATCTGGGATAGATTCAAATTCTGGTCATTCATCTGCTGCCCACACGGTCGAAAATTTAGCTGGTGAAGTTCCTCCCCAAATGAGGACGACACAAATTGATAATGCATCCGGGAGTGATCCAGCTTATATGCCATCAACCATTTCAAACGAGGCATCAGAAGCAAATGCTTCAAATTCAGTGAACACCGATTCACAAGAATATGGATTCCAGACAGGTGTTCCAGCTCCTGCTCAGGTTGTTGTGGAGAGTACACCTGTGGGTTCTGGTCGGCTACTTTGTAATTGGCATGAATTTTGGAAGGCTTTTAGCCTTGACCATAATCGTGCGGACTTAATCTGGAATGAACGCACAAGACAAGAGCTGAGGGAGGCATTGAAAGATGAGGTTCATAAACTAGACATTGAAAAGGAACGCTCAGAAGATATTGTTTCAGGAGCTGCTGCTGGAGAGGCAGATACTGGACAAGATAGTGTGCCCCAGATATCATGGAATTATACCGAGTTCTCTGTTCGTTATGCAAGCTTGTCAAAAGAAGTTTGCGTTGGTCAATATTATCTGCGGCTGTTGCTTGACAGTAATAGCAACGGGAGAGCACAAGATTTTCCATTGCGTGATCCAGTAGCTTTCTTTAGAGCTCTCTACCATCGGTTTCTATGTGATGCTGACACAGGGCTTACAGTTGATGGTGCAGTTCCTGATGAACTTGGTGCATCTGATGACTGGTGTGATATGGGTAGATTGGATGGTTTTGGGGGAGGCGGAGGTTCATCAGTTAGAGAGCTTTGTGCTAGAGCGATGGCTATAGTCTACGAACAGCATTGTAGTGTGATTGGACCTTTTGAGGGCACTGCACATACAACAGTTCTTTTAGATCGGACAGATGATAGATCACTGAGGCACCGGCTTCTCCTTCTGTTGAAGGTACATGAGAATCGAATCTTCTTTGTTATTGTTGTTCTTTTATCTTTCTGACTATAACTAGGTTTAGTCTAAACCATTCACTAGATTAAACTGATGTTTGGTCTTTCTGTTGAGTGACTGACTATCTTCACTTGATTTATTTGTCTCGAGTTCACTGGACAGTGAGTTTAAAGTCTTTTTGCTTCTTTTTCTAAGGATTTAAATTCTCTTAGGGAAACTTGTTATTTTGCTTCTTTTACTAGTGTGTCTGGAAATTCTTGTTACTCTAATTTGGTCTGTGTGGTGCAAAAAAGTTGGTGTTAGACAGTATTATTATGATGTACTTGTACGAGTTCTTGGCCTGTTAATACTTTATTATGCCCAGTACTCTACTTTACGAGTTCTTTGCCTATTAATACTTTATCATGCCCATTACTCTACGTTAAGAGTTCTTAGCCTATTAACACTGCTTTACCTGTGTAGGTTTTAATGAAAGATTTAGCTAATATAGAGGCTTGCGTTCTGGTTGGAGGATGTGTATTGGCTGTTGATCTTCTAACTGTGGCTCATGAAGCTTCAGAAAGGACCGCTATCCCTTTGCAATCAAACTTATTAGCTGCTACAGCTTTCATGGAACCTCTTAAAGAATGGATGTACATCGATAAAGATGGTGCAGAAGTCGGTCCTGTAGAAAAGGATGCTATTCGACGGCTCTGGTCTAAAAAAGCTATTGACTGGACCACAAAATGTTGGTCTTCTGGGATGGCTGAGTGGAAGAGATTACGCGATATTCGTGAACTTCGTTGGACCATGGCTATTCGTGTTCCTGTCCTCACAGCATCTCAGGTATCTAAGAACTCTTTGGTGCATATTGCTAGGGCGTTTTCTGTAGAATCTAGATACTTGTATTACAGCATGACTGAGAGCATTTTCAATAACCATGCTTCTAAAGTTTAGAAGCATTGGTTGGCTGCATGTTGGAAATATGACCCCAATTTTCCTATGATTATTTCGGTTTGCGACCATCACAATTAGCTTGTGGCTTTGAAGATCATGGGTGCTGGTGGCTTTTTCTCTCAGGCATTGTGTTGAATGGTCCAGTAAATTTGGCATTCCTTTTCTATCAGTAGCTTATTGTTACCTCATCTAGTGCAAAAGATACTGCACCGGTGCACCGTGCACACGTACTAGCTTTGGATACAATAATAGCCATTTGTGTCTCTCTTATTTATTTTTATTTTGTTTCCTCCTCTTGTCCTCTGATTATGGAGTATTTATTGGTGATGCTGGATCTAGGTAGGCGATACTGCATTAACTATACTGCACAGCATGGTGTCTGCGCATTCGGATTTAGATGATGCTGGAGAGATTGTTACCCCGACCCCCAGGGTGAAACGTATCTTGTCTAGTCCCCGTTGCCTTCCCCATATTGCACAGGTGAATGTCTTATCAAAATCCCAATGAGCTCTTATTCCAGCAGTGCTCTTAACTTACTCCTGGACTCTTTCTATATGTTCTGGTTGTTGGTGTTAGTGGTGTACATTCTCCCTCATTTCAATCCTTTGTGCATCTTCGGTCTGATGATTAAAAGTTACTGAGATTTTGTTGAGAACTTTCCATGCTTCTTGACCGATGGTTCAAATTCAATTTGCAGAGAGGATGTTAAGCATTACTAAAAAAATTCAGAATGCTTCTCTTCGTTTACAATATTTATCTTTGGTTTAGATTTTTTCTCTGTTTAATATAGTAGGTGCTTTTATAGTAATCAACTTTTTACCATCAAAGTTTGAAAACTCGGGCATTACTTTTACTGTTTGTGGATCTTTATCATTGTGACTGTTTATAGTTGACGTGCATCATTGTCCTCTGATTTCTCAATAATAGGCCATGCTGTCTGGAGAACCTAGTATAGTGGAGGCTGCTGCAGCATTGTTGAAGGCTGTTGTTACAAGAAATCCCAAGGCCCTGATACGCCTTTACAGCACTGGTGCATTCTATTTTGCCCTAGCCTATCCGGGATCCAATCTACAATCTATTGCGCAGTTGTTTGCTGTGACCCATGTCCATCAAGCATTCCATGGTGGTGAAGAAGCTGCAGTTTCTTCTTCATTGCCTCTTGCCAAACGCAGCGTACTGGGAGGGCTTCTCCCGGAGTCTCTCTTGTATGTGCTAGAGCGGAGCGGACCATCTGCATTTTCTGCAGCCATGGTATCTGATTCTGATACTCCAGAGATTATTTGGACACACAAAATGCGAGCAGAAAATCTTATTCGTCAGGTACATAGAATTACATAGGAGTTTCATACATGACATTCTGCATTTTGTTCCTGCCTTGTGTAAGCTCCGTAATTTAGCTCTTAATAATTCCTGCTTCACCAGCATTTTTCTGTACTCTTTTCATGTTCTGTCAGGTCTTGCAGCATCTTGGCGATTATCCCCAAAAGTTATCGCAGCACTGCCATACCTTATATGATTATGCTCCTATGCCCCCTGTAACTTATCCAGAGCTAAAAGATGAAATGTGGTGTCATCGTTATTATCTGAGGAATCTTTGTGATGAAATCCGCTTTCCAAATTGGCCAATAGTGGAGCATGTGGAGTTCTTACAGTCGTTATTAGTTATGTGGCGTGAAGAGTTGACGAGGAGGCCTATGGACCTTTCTGAAGAGGAAGCCTGCAGGATATTAGAGATATCCCTGGAAGATGTATCAAATGATAACAGTAGGAGGAGCTCTTTTGATATTTCTGTAGAGAGTAATAATATATCTAAGCAGATTGAGAACATTGATGAAGAGAAACTCAAGAGGCAATACAGGAAACTTGCAATGAAGTATCACCCTGACAAGAATCCCCAGGGCAGGGAAAAGTTTCTTGCTGTACAGAAAGCTTATGAACGCCTTCAGGTAACATTTGCAGATATGTCCTTTCATTCGTGAAATTACCCAACATGAAAAATCTAATTGTGACTTGGATTTTACTTTAGTCAGTCACCTTTCTATAACTGTCGTGGTCACATGTGCTTTGCTTTTTGCTTCTAGGCCACCATGCAAGGCTTGCAAGGTCCTCAGCTTTGGAGATTGTTGCTGCTATTGAAAGGGCAATGCATTCTGTATAGAAGATATGGATACGTATTGGAGCCTTTCAAATATGCTGGATATCCGATGCTGCTTAATGCAGTTACAGTGGACAAGGATGATAACAACTTTCTATCTTCTGATAGGGCACCTCTACTTGTTGCAGCTTCAGAGCTTATTTGGCTGACGTAAAGATCTTTTTTTTTTATCCTGACTTGGGTTAGATCTACCTATGTACATGATATGTATCTGACGGTTGTCACTGTTTTGCCTCGTCTAGATGTGCAGCTTCCTCATTGAATGGTGAAGAGCTTGTACGAGATGGGGGGATCCAGCTGCTGGCAGTTCTTCTTTGTCGGTGCATGATGGTTGTTCAGCCAACTACTTCTGCAAATGAACCGCCTGCTACAATTGTTACAAATGTCATGCGAACCTTTTCTGCGTTGAGCCAGTTCGAGGGTGCTAGGACAGAGATCCTTGAATTTTTTGGACTTATTGAGGACATTGTCCACTGCACTGAACTTGAGCTAATGCCTGAAGCTGTTGATGCTGCTCTCCAGTCTATTGCCAACCTGTCTGTATCCTCAGACTTGCAGCGTGCATTTTTGAAGGCTGGGGTGCTTTGGTAACTGCTATCCTTTCTCACAGCATGATTATACTTAGACATGCAACCCCTTGCAACTTCTATTATCGCTCATGGTTAACCAGTTGTTTTATTTTGGGTTCCTTAGGTATCTTTTGCCTTTGTTGCTCCAGTATGATTCAACTGCTGAGGAATCTGATAACTCCGAATCACATGGTGTGGGTTCAAGCGTTCAAATAGCTAAAAATATGCTTGCTATTCGAGCATCTCAGGCTTTGTCTAGGCTTAGTGGGTTGTGCATTGATGAGGATCTAGCACCTTATAATGGTCCAGCTGTTGATGCCCTCAGGGCGCTGATGACTCCTAAACTTGCCACCATGCTCAGAGATCAAATGCCAAAAGACTTATTGTCCAAACTGAACTCTAACTTGGAATCTCCAGAGGTAATTTCTGTGACATCGTACGGAAGGACATTGTGAGATGAGGTTGATAACACTGCATATTGATGTAAGGTCTTCTTAGTAGTACATAAACTGTTCACTTATTTGCTTCTTTTAGGAACTGCGACAGGTTTGGCTATGAGTGATATGTTCTCCTTCATTTGACCAATTATTGGCTTAATTAATAATATAAAGATTACTACGAAAATTGTTGTCTGTTGGCCACTGTCATTATTCTTTTAGCTGTGCGATTTTATTGAATGTATCGAACGTCTGTTTATGGTTGCAGATAATTTGGAATTCTTCCACCCGAGGAGAATTGCTGAAATTTGTTGACCACCAACGTGCCAGTGCAGACCCTGATGGTTCTTATGACTTGAAAGATTCACATGCCTTTTCCTATGATGCACTCTCCAAAGAACTCTTTGTAGGCAATGTTTACTTGAGGGTCTACAATGATCAGCCAGACTCGGAGATCAGTGAGCCAGAAGTATTCTGTGTTGCATTAGTTGATTTCATATCTGGTCTGGTGAACAGTCAAACTGGTAGTGTTTCTGATGTTGAGAAGGAACATAGTCCCAGCAGTTCCTCCCGGGAGGCATCTGAGATTCAAGACAACTTTGCAGATGAATCTTTGAATGGGCAGCATGTACCTGTTGAATCGGCGCCAGCCCCCGTCTCAGACGAAAAATCGACCGATAAGGAAGAGACTACTCTGGTTAAGAATCTTCGATTTGCATTGACATCGCTTAAGGTATACCATTCACTTTTGCTTGTCAATTTTGTTGTTTAATTTTACTGGTATCTGATGGTTTTTCTTTTATAACAGAACCTTTTGATTAGCAATCCGAGCTTAGCATCAATATTTTCCTCCAAGGAGAAGCTGCTACCTCTTTTTGAATGTTTCTCTGTACCAATAGCATCAGAAAGCAACATCCCTCAACTTTGCCTGGGTGTCCTTTCTCTTTTGACTGCATATGCTCCTTGCTTGGAAGCTATGGTTGCTGATGGATTTAGTCTTCTCCTTTTACTACAAATGCTTCACTCTTGTCCTGGCTGCCGTGAAGGGGTTCTTCATGTTCTTTATGCGTTGGCCAGCACTGCAGAGCTTGCTTGGGCTGCTGCCAAGCATGGTGGAGTTGTGTACATCCTTGAACTTCTTTTGCCTGTTCAAAGTAATCATCTAATGTTCCCTTCATAAAATTTCTTGTAATGCAGCATTTATTTTGGATCTTATATTCACTCTGAATATTGGATGTGCAGAAGATATTCCGTTGCAGCAGAGAGCAGCAGCAGCTTCATTACTGGGAAAGCTTGTTGGGCAGCCAATGCATGGTCCTAGAGTTGCTATAACCCTGGCAAGGTTTCTACCAGATGGCCTGGTATCAATTATTAGGGATGGACCTGGTGAGGCTGTTGTATCTGCACTTGAACAGACAACAGAGACACCAGAACTTGTGTGGACACCAGCAATGGCAGCATCTTTGTCTGCCCAAGTTGCAACCATGGCATCAGACTTGTACCGGGAACAGATGAAAGGTCGGGTAATAGATTGGGATGTGCCTGAGCAAACCTCTGGAAACCAGGAAATGAAAGATGAACCACAGGTATCTTATTATGTGGCTTTCTACGTCCTTAATGTTGTCCCTATTATTGAAGCATTCGGTTTTGTGTTCATGGTGCTTTCGTTCTGTCGCCATGCAGGTTGGTGGCATCTATGTCAGGTTATTCTTGAAAGATCCAAAGTTCCCACTACGAAATCCAAAAAGATTCCTAGAAGGGCTACTCGATCAGTATTTGTCATCCATTGCTGCAACACATTATGAGACACAAGCTGTTGATCCGGAGCTTCCTTTGCTTCTCTCAGCGGCTTTAGTTTCACTGTTGCGAGTATATCCTGCACTTGCAGATCACGTCGGTTACCTTGGATATGTGCCCAAGCTTGTTGCTGCAGTAGCTTATGAGGGAAGACGAGAGACGATGGCATCTGATGAGATGAACAATGGCAGCAGCTATGCAGAAGACACTTCGAGTGAATTTGATGAGGGATCAAGTCCACCTGCACAAACTCCTCAAGAACGAGTACGCCTGAGTTGTTTGCGTGTCTTGCATCAGCTTGCTTCAAGTACGATATGTGCTGAAGCTATGGCAGCAACTAGTGCAGGATCACCACAGGTTAGTATCACGGTCCTCTGACATTATACTGGTTATCTAGTAGGCACTCTGAGTTGGTTGCTAAATGAAACAAACAAACCATTCCTACTTTGTTTTTTTGGTCTTTTTTTTTTTTTTTTTTGTGTGGTACAAATGGTGTTTTGAGGCAGTCAATATGCTGTTTTCGCATGTCTTGGGGTACAGTTCTTTGTTGATTCAATCATCACTTTTGTTGTTTCTTCAGAAATTCTTTGGAACTTGGTTGTGCGAAAGATTTTGCAGGAGTATTCATCATGGGATATTGAGTTTATGGTTATCAACTAATTTTTAGAGGCATTCATTATATAGCACCAAAAAAATGTATTCATACCCTTGGACTCATTTTCATTAATATTCTGGTCTCAGGTTGTTCCCCTTCTAATGAAAGCTATAGGGTGGCAAGGTGGAAGTATACTAGCTCTTGAGACTCTGAAACGTGTAGTAGTTGCTGGTAATCGTGCTCGGGATGCACTGGTTGCCCAAGGACTCAAGTAAGACTTTTACTCCCTAATTTTGGGGCATCTTTTTCAACTGCATGTTAGCTCACAAGTTCAAGCCTGTTTTAGCCAATTTGACAAAGAAATGCTAAAGTTACTATAAACCTTTCTTATGTTTCTGATAATTAGTATACATTCATTATGAAGGTCAAACATGTTGTCTGCATTGCGAACTTTAAGGTGTTGATCCAAGTTGAATCAATTTCTTGAATGAAATATTGGGATAGAAAAGGAAAATTGTTGGTATATGAAAGCCTTGCTCTATATGGACGGTCTAGATCCCCTAAATCTGCGGTTCGGATGGTCCTGTTATTTATATAGGGTTGGTCTTGTGGAAGTACTGCTTGGACTTCTTGACTGGAGAGCTGGGGGACGGAATGGACTTCGGTCGCAGATGAAGTGGAATGAATCTGAAGCATCTATCGGCACAGTGCTTGCAGTTGAGGTAGGCTTATGAACCTTACAGCTCTTATTTCACCTTCTTGGTACTTGTTGGGTTTTCTTCTCATCTGATGTCGGATTTTCAACGTTGAACGGGGTCGTATCAGATTGTACCACACCAGGTGTAGCCCTACCCTATCGAATATCACATTCTATACGGAGTTTCCTTGTCAGATGGAAAAGAAAAGTTACATCTTTATATGTTTTATTTAGGACGAATTTCTCTAATAACTTATCCATCACATACCCTGTCATCTTCCTAGTGTTTGCTCATGTTGAAAACATGTCCAATAAGACATTAAACCAGTTAAATAAGAGAGTATTGCATTGCGGCATAATAGATTAAACGTTAGTCAGTTCGGTACATTAACGATAGTTGTGTTTGTTTCCCATGATTGCTATTTTTGGGTGTAGGTTTTGCATGCATTTGCAACTGAAGGAGCTCACTGTAGCAAAGTCCGAGAGTTGCTGGACTCCTCTGATGTAAGTTTTGAATGATTCATCTCTTCTCTCGTAAAGTGGACTTGTTTAGGCCCTAGTACATTTCTGAGTTCTCTGGCCAACTTTTTACCATTTTGCTCCAGGTGTGGCGCGCGTACAAGGACCAGAAACACGATCTCTTCTTACCATCCAGTGCCCAATCTGCTGCGGCAGGAGTTGCGGGTCTTATTGAGAGTTCGTCGTCAAGACTAACGTATGCCCTTCCAGCTCCGTCAGCAGGCTCCCAAGGGAGACCGCCAGCACCCAACAATAATCAGTTTTAGCATTTGCTATGTTTCACATTTACTAGTCAGTCTCTGTATAGTCTCTCATTGTACATTCCCAAGATTTCTCTTGTTTGTGGTTTGGTGATTCCGTGGGTGTTGCTATTGGTATCTTACAAACTCTCATAGTCGTGGGTTCGACGAAGATTTGTGGTTAATCATAAGAGTGAAAGGGAAAGAACAGAGAGGGTGGAAGTCGTTTTTCGGGTTATGTAAAGATGAAGCAGCTGTACATTTTTCATGGCGGCCGATTATTTGCCCTTTATTGGTATAGAGATGGTTTTGTGGGACTGTATGTTGGGTGGAAATGTGGAATAGATTTTCTGCTGTTTGTGATGCTTTTGCATTTGTTCTTTCTAGCTCATAACTTACCATTTCCTTAGCAACTCAAAGCTGCTTGGGTTGCATATTGATTTTGTTATTTAAGTTGTTAGGTTTGTAAGATTGAGCACACAAGGAACTGATAGGAATTGATAAATTACATTGCATTAAAATCCATGGTATGAGGTACTCGATAATACCGAGACCAAAATCGACCCTAAATTCACGAAAACGCATTCTAAAATTCAATCAAATCCAGTCTTGGTACCCTGTTATTGGCACTTCACTAAGTCGAGCAAGCTAGGCATCATATGCTTGGCAAACCGGCTTAGTTATTAGTTTGAAAGACCTTCAAGTCGTTTAATTCAATTCGAACGGCCACATGCTTTAAGATAAACACGATAATACAAGTCAATCCATCTCCTCTATGAATTGATTTAATAGCAAATAATAACCCTCACAGTTGTTATGTCCAATATATGGCTGAACCAATTCGACTATCCGGAGCAATCCGACTTCACGGATACTTCCATAGATTAATACTTCTATATAGACGACACTCATTCTTTATATTCCTTTTCTATGGATGTTAAGCGCACTTTGAAACTGAACCAAATGCAACACCAATGAATTGGGTGTGTGCTCATTCACAAATGAGCATTGAGCATGTACTCTATCGATCGACACATCGCAATAAGCATACAAAACCATATATACTAAGATAAGTGGTTTTTGCACAACAAATGGAAACTAGACTGCCCATAAACGATGAATGCTGTGGCAGATATTATCCAGTCCTTGGGAGATGGAAAGAACCATTTCTCAAGAAAAAAGAGTTAAATGCCATATAATCTCATCTCTTCTTCATCCACCATCATTCCCAAATAATGTTAAATAGCTTGACAACACCTTCTCTTTCTCATTCATTACTCTTCCATAACACTGCCTTTCATATTTTTGTGATTTTCACATTAGGAAGCAAGTGAATGCACTGCCAATATGACCACATTTTCAAAAGGGGACCCCTGTACATGTGTATATATATAGCCATGTCGAGTCTCGACCATCTCAACATAGAGAGTGGGACTGAATAGCCTCTTTAGCAAACCCACTTAACAGCACTTCTAAACACACAGTGAAAGAAAAAGTGGGAGAGAAGAGGATGGCACAAGACAGAAACGTGACCTTGGTATGCCTCATCGTGGCCTCATTGGCCATCACGGCAGCAACAGCAGCGACATTGCAGGACGCCGAGACCGAGTGTGCACAGCACCTCACGGATCTCGCAGCTTGCATTCCATATGTGAGCGGCACTGCCAAGAAGCCGACGCCCGAGTGCTGCCAGGACGCCAAGAAGCTGAAGGAAACCGAACCGAAATGCCTGTGCGTTCTCATCAAAGAGAGCACTGACCCTTCCATGGGTCTTCCTATCAACACCACTCTCGCCCTTGAAATGCCCTCTGCGTGCAACATTGATGCCAAAGTCTCCAACTGCCCCAGTATGCCCGATTTCCCATGTTAAATGGTTCTTTTCATGGCATGCCTAGCTAAGAAGTTGTGCTCACCATGCATGGTCTTTCTTTTTTGCAGCTCTCTTGAACATCTCTCCCGACTCGCCAGATGCAAAGATCTTCAAACAAGCAGGAGATTCAGATTCTTCTTCCACTGGCAATTCAAGCTCCACAAAAGATTCCCCAGCGAGTTCTGCAACTACGTCACCTTCTTCTACTTCCACTGATTCCAGCTCGAAAGACTCGAAGGCTTCTCCTACTACCAGCAGCAATGACGGCCAAAAGATGAAGGTGATGATTGGAGGGTGGATGTTGATGGTTCTTGCAGCTTCGATGCTCTTCTAAAGCTGAAACAGCAGTCAACTACGGCTCTTTCATGAGTTAGTAGTATCAAGGACTTGGTATTAGAATGAGGCAGATGAAGCATTGTCCTTCTGATATATCGTAGCTTTTTTGCATTTGATCTCTCAAAATAATACCAAATAATCCCGTGCATTTTCTCCTACCTTGATAAGCAAAATATCATTATGAAGAACTACTTCCCTATCTACAAGGAACAAACCTAGATTACTGCAGAATCTCTAACTTGCTTCAGCAGTCTGCGTTGGTTCCCCTAACTAACAAATTACACCGAGTGAGTCTATAGAAGTTAGCAAAGAATTCATATATGTGCAATTCTAAGGGCATGTATTCATGCCTCTTGGCATTTTCACTGAAATGAAGTTGGACCTGAAGGTGGACCGGGTATGGGCTTAATAACCCTACATTTGCAGAGTGGACAAAATGCCTTTAGCTTGAGCCATATATCCACACAGCTCGCATGGAACAAATGAGAACAAGGTAGCTCTTTCAGCTCGTCATCATCTCGATAACTCGCCAAGCAAATGCAACAAGCCTGTTAATAACATTTTCCCCCCGGAAAGGTTGGTGAGTGAAAAAACCAACATATGATTCAAAAGGATGATTTAAATCCAAAAGAACTTACAGCATCATCCCCTGAAAGATTCCGTTGACTCTCAGTTCCTGCTCCCACAACTCCGCCATCATGGGTTTCAGCTCGTCCGTCAAGTTCTCCACAAGAACTCCCCAATTTAAATTTGTAGATTGGGAGAGCCTCTATGGTTTCTGTGGGGGCTCCTGCAATCGGACTCCGGAAACCCCCGCAGCAACATACTACCATGGCCTGTAGAACGAAAGGCCCTACATACTTGACGTAGCTACAAACGATGAGTGCGACACAGTGGCTGCACACAATACCCAATATGAGGGATTAATTTATGATGATTTGGCTTAAACAGACAACCCACACAGGAGCATATGGACAGCTTCAGCAAGTTACTTGTATAATCCAGGAGCTTGATTAGATGCATCTTCAGTGAAGACCCAGTAATTGCCAACCATGAACCACGATGCATAAAACAGCTCCAGTGCAAGCTTAAATTGGTCAATCAGTCTACAGAGCCTGCCAATGCCATCACATATCGGTCAAGCTGAAAAACGACATACAAACAAGCTGCAAAACTAGTTGGAAGAAGGAGCAACCAAAGGCTTACCTAGGATGGGGAAGGAAGCAATGCCTGAAAGCCACTGGAACACTAGCTGCACACCCGATTATATAACCGGCAATCCAAGCAAACAGTGGGTTGGAAGGAGTTTCATGCCTCGACACAATGAAGACAACGATGGAGGCGATAATCAGGATAGCATTGTATGTTAGCTTGATAGAGACTATGAGTTTGTAGTACGAGAGTGAAGATGATGAATGTGCAGCAGCAGTTGATGGGGCAGCAGGCGATGAGCAAGGTTGAGATGGCGCCTCGGCAGTTGGTGAACATTCATGGTTCGACTCTAAACCATTTGAAGGATTAGCAGCAGCGGATACTGATGGAGTAACATTGCCATGTTCGGGTATCTGAACAACTATGTGACCTTCACGGCTTTCCTTCTCTCGTTCCATGGCAGGCATTAGATCCCCTGTGAAATGAAGGACCCAATTAGGAACAGAGTCATCAATCGTTCAACTAGAGCTCAGTATTTTCTCAGCAACCAAAGACCAAAAATTTCCTCCTATCCTAGGAGAATCACAATTAACTCCTGGCCCTTTACCATCCATAGTAAATCACACATAGATTCTCGCAGCATTTCAAATCTGGTCGCTTGGAACTACTGAACGAAAATGCAGAAGCAAATAAACCCTACCAAGAACCTAAGCAAGATCATAAAAGAACGAAGCTTCCAACTGGTAACAATCCCAATCCAAAAGAAAAATTCAAACCCATTATTTAACCCAACCCCCGAGCTCCAACCAGCTAAAAATTCCCACGATCAACTCAACCTGTCGCATCAAAATCCCCCCAACGGCCCAACCCATGAAAACCCTCCAGCGGCAGCTCTCAACACAGTAAAAACCCTACCTAGAACCACAGCTCCGAAGGCCAGGAATGTCGCATAATGGAAGTAGGATACAAAGAAAGCAAGCCCGCCACAACTTTCCCTTATACACGATCTCAGCTGGGACAAGGATCAAAATAATTTGCCTGCTGACTTTTGACGATTAGCCTTTATTTTCACTGTTTCATGCGTGTTGTAAAGGTCCGTTTAACAATTTCCGTCAATGGGCCCGAATACGGGTTGAATAAAAAAAACTCCAACCCCAGAACTAGCTGCCAAGCCCACTCCGTGAAGCTAAGGTTCGGGTTTAATTGATCGCAGGCCCAAACATGTGGCTACATGGTGTAATGGGCCTAATGGCTTCTTACATCGAACATGAATTTATTGTGATTAACATTTAACGGGTTGTAGTTCGATGGTTGCTTGCATCGTCTATCGAACCATCAAGCATGAGATCGGTTCGGTCGTACCATTGTGCTAACCGGGGGTTGAGTAATGGGTTTTGGGTGGATGAACGGTCCAAAAGAAATAGTTCATGCCTACCAACTAAGATCTATACAACCTTTTTTTCAATATTACAAATTTCGTAATTGACATTGTCTCAAACGAATGTGTGTTGGGTCCTCCATCGTAAGAAAGAAACATGGACAATTTAGATGCAAAAATCACCAATTTGATTAACTCGTTAAAAAAAAAAACAGAATCCACTGATAAATCCAAAGCATAACGGGGATTTGTGTAAAGCGTATATGAAGTTATGACCTCCAAAAACCTATAGTCCACTAAAATCAAAGTTTGTTATCAAATCCATTAAATTCCTCGCCTATGAAGTCCACATTACATCATGTGTGCCACGTTTCTTCTAGCTATGAGCAAGACAAGAAACAAAGACATGTCATATATAATATAATGACTTTTCAGAGTTCCACTATCACAATTTAATTACTTAAAAGTGGAATTCCTAAGACATGCAGACAACTCACTAATTATAATTTATATGCACATATAATTATATATTGGGAATTGGGATGAGCTTATTGTTTGGTGTGATAGATCAAAGATGTATTTAGTTGATCATATTAAGTTTGATGATGCATCAGTAACTTCTGATCAATGAAATTCATACAAGTTTATGTAAAAAAAAAAAACTTGGAGAAGGTTTTGCCTCAATTAGTTTGTTTTCCCCACACAAAGCTTAGCTATGTTACGTGCATGATCATGATTATTGTCCCAAATTTCAGTCGTCATTATTGTATATATTTATATGGCTAGTTGTCGGTATTTAATTTGTTAAATTAGTTGGACGTGATTGTCAAAATTTACTAATTAGCTGTCCATTATTTAATTTTTTACATCTATAGTATTGACCATCAACAACAATATCTAATTATTTCATCAAAAGACCGGGAAGTGATGACAAACCACACTCTAAGATGACTATTTGGTTCGGGCTTTTTGGTTTTACTCGAAATCGGATCGGAACAGGATAGAAAACAATTCAATCCAATCTTTGGGCTTAGATTTGAGGTAAAAAAGCGTTTGGGCCCGGACAAAAAAACTGGATAAATACCGAATAAGAGAATCCAACAACCAAAACGTAATCAACGCCTCATTCTTTGAGTTCTCATGCCACTCAAATCCCCAAAAGCACAACATAAAATCAAGATCGAACTGGGACCACACCAGGTCAAGACCAGATTGTATCCAATCCAATCTTTGATCCTTATATTCCCGATAAAACCAAACCCGAACCGGAACCGGATCAATTTGTACCAGTTTAACCGAACCTCACCGTATAACCACCGCACAGTCCAATCATTAAACCCATGACCCACATGGCATTACCATATATATATATAAGATTTTACTTACTAGGTCACCTAAAAACGAAAGTTTTCTTTTTGATTTGATTGAGGAATCAATTTCTCAAAATGAGGGGGGGAAAGTTCAATGGAGTGCCGCCGTCTAGATCGGGATCACCCCGTCCTTCCGCGGAGTACTAACATGGGCGTTGGCGTTGGCCGGCACGGCAGGCCGACCTCGCTCCACCGTTAAATATGGCAGCAAGCCAAGGAAAGCCTGTACACCACAACTGAAAACGACACTCACTTTGTAATAACATTAATTAATTAATTCAGCATGCAGACTGCTAACCCTTACGACGATTAATTAGCTAACGATTAACCTTACTTTGTTTAGAAAGGAGTGAAAGGAAACCGTGATATATTGGCGGTTCGGAGAGAAAACATCTGGTATTAGAATGTGGTATAAGATCCAGCAGAACCTTCTCCCAACAACTCGAGTTATTGGGATCAATTGGTTCTTGACATGGTATCAGAGCCTCGAACCAAAAGTTCATGTGTTCGAATCTCCACGACTCCCAATATTAACTGTTGTCTTTCAAGCACATGGTATGGTTAGGGATGACAAATTACCCACCCATGGGTAATTATACCCAAACCCAAGTAGACTCATTGATAATGGGTTGGGTATGGGTGAAGTGCATATGGATTTGGGGGTTTATAGATGGGTTTGGGTAAGATATGAATATTGCTTCCATAATCTAAATGGGTATGGGTTAGATATGAATATCCATTTACTGAAGGGTGTTTTAACTACACATACAAAAATTGGACCTATTTGTAAAAATTGCAAAGTTTAGGTACCAAAATGTAAGACCAAAAAAATTTAGGTACCAAAACATAATTTTCCATCGATATTTTGAGGACTTATATGCAAAAAAAAATTAAATTTAGGTACTAAATATGCATATCTATTAAGTTTGGGTACCAAACTGTAATTTGTATTTGGGCATGGGTACAAACCCAAATCCATTTGATATAAACCCAACTCAACCCAAAGTAAATGGGTATGGGTACAAACCCATCAAACTCTACTCATATTCATCTATTTGGATTTCTACCCAACCCAATTGGGTTGGATAGTAAGAAACTCATGGGTATGGGCAAAGTTGTCATCCCTAGGTATGGTGGGCCTGTGCAAACTTCAAGCCCATGGATTGGCTTTCGTTTAAGGGGGCGTGTTAGAATGTGGTATAAGATCCAGCAGAACCTTCTCCCAAATTGAACAGTTGTTTCGATACAAAAAAGAAACTCTATCGCTGATTTGTTTGGTGCGAAGATGTTGTAACGTATATATTATGGCAAAGTTTGTCTTCAATAATGTAGTTCTAGATGTTGTATCGTTGCGGTCTCAAAAACTTACCTTTTTCTGTAAGAAATAAAGCGGGTACAGATTTACTTGATAATTGTAAATTGTTGCATAGTAGTTCACACTTATTGAGATTTTGGAGGTCACAAAGCCGCCATCTTAGATAATTCGTCGTGACAGATACTTCAATTATTGTTGTTTAACATCTAGATTCTTTTCTAGATAGCGTAGGATAAGGAGGATTAGCAGGCCTAATACCTTGCACGGAGAATTCAATGTTTAACCTCCTTGTCTCATTCCATCTACCAACCAACTAATTAATATCAATAATGATGTTATATAACCATCATTATTAAAGTTTACCTCATTTCATCTGTAGTACCAGAAAGTGATGGATGAATGGAGAAATTTGCAACAAAGCTTCTTTTTTTTTTTTTTTTTGTTTGTCATATGTTAAAAATGTTTCGCTTAGATATACTGATCAACCAACAATAAATTTAATGTCTTCAATGAATTCGTTGTTGAATAGTAGTCGAGATATATATAACTATAATCTTCTCTCGAATCAAAAATTCTTTGCAGACGAGCAATCTACAACAAAAATTTCTCAAATCTTTGTAACTCTACATTCCCAGATATCTCAAACCTAACACAAAAGCTCTCAAATCTCTCTATACAAGTGTGCTCTTTTTAAAAAGAGGGGACTTGTGCTGTTAATTATTGCAGCTTTCAGGGTTGGATTTGCCGTTTTACAGGTTGTAGAAAAGCCCATGAGAGGTCTGGACTATGGACGTGGATTATGATAATACGGGCCCACGAAAAAAATATGAGCGTATCGGTTAAATAACGGCTTCTATTCCCATATGTTTTGTTAAATGACAGTTTCGTCCTTCACGTATGGATTGTTTTAACGGGAAATGCCACACACAATGTTTCTTCCACATGTCCGTCCAATCATTACGTTACGGTCAAGGGGAAAACGGAAGCGGTCTAGAAACCAGAGTTTCGTTGCTGACTTTGCAGAGTGCCACAAATTCCAATCAACGGTGGGGTTTGAGGCTCCGACTTATATTTTACAAAAATCAATGTTTTTCGGAATTGGAATGAATATTAAACCGAAAAATTAGTAACTGATGGTTCAACGATTAACCGTTGATCCGTTATAGTTGTACAAACCACTAACAACTTTTTATTTTGTTGATAAATTCGGCATCAACTTGACGTATATGGCTATTATGGCAACAAACCAAATCTAACTCCATTTAACAATCAGGCCAAACAAATGTTAGCTAACTAAGCTTCATGTCAATGCGCGTTGTTTAAACCTTTATATCCATTTATCTTGTCTAACTTTTTTAGGATCCACATTTATTTCATTTTTCCCCTAGTCTTAGTAATATACCAACTTATTTATCCTCTTGACTTTTTTTTTACATCGACATTTATTTCATTTGTCTAATTTCAAATCAGCTTAAATGGATTTAACTAATCTAGATTTGACATGAGCAAACCACAAATTCAACATGTCCTTTTAAATCATAGTAGAGTAACATGAAAAAGGGGCAATGAGCGGGTCGACCATTAAGCTCACCCAAATCTACTCGATTACAATCCTCCCAATACGTGTTTGGATGGATATGAACGGTGGATGTTGTTCATTTTTCTTGTGACCCATAAAATTTGAATGAGTGGCTTGATCATTGGCCCGCAATATAAATTCTACTCCAAAGCATTAAATTAATCAGGATTAATTCAATAAAAAATAATTGTTTATATATAAATTTTGCTTGACTTGCAATATAAATTATAGGCAATTTATTTTTTTAAAAATATGATAGCCATCCATAAATTGTTGGCAAATGAGATTATTGATATTAGCTTATGCAATAAAATATGTTTAGTAGTTATTGATTCTCTTGAAATACGTAGGTTAATTTGATATATAATTAGTTTGTTGCAAGTTTTTATGATCCATAAACATTATTTTTTTGCTTCGATACAAGTTTTAACACACTAGAACTGCCAGACCCACTCATCATCAACTATCACCCCACCCCATAATGGTCCGATGGATAGGTGTGAGACATTTCTTCATCACCCACCAAAACCTTGGATCGGTGGTTTTTAGCCCAAAAACCGTCCAATCGTTCACTGCCCGTCCCCAACACGAGTGACATCGACATGGTGCTACTAGTTAGTTAATCTCCGAGCCCCAAAACCAAATGTGCAATTATGTGCAAGTAAGTATACATGAACATGACATAACTTGCTAATGGGCACTTGTGGCAACAAAAAAGAGAGATCACAAGAACAATAAATTACAAATAAAATGAACTAGAGGGCAGCAAGGAAGCAACCAATTTCGTCTTGGGCTTCTCTTTTCTTTTTAAAGCAGTAACCCAAGATCGTTCAACCACTTTCCACTTGTTTTTTTCCCCCTGGCCAAAGTGGACCTCATAGATCCAGTTTTTGTGGTCAAACTTTAGCATCCAAATTAATTAAAGTTAACTTATGAGAGCACGTATTTAATTAAAGTAATTAAACCGTTTCGTTTGGCTTTCTGCTTCTGATCCTGCATTAATTAACTTTATCCACGTCTTACAAGCTACCTCAAAAGAGGTTTTAGGGTGCACCTAATCTAGCTTTATGCTAAATCTTGTGTAATTAATTACGGGTTGACATTAGCGAGCTAGTCTGCAAAAGCAAATTGTGTAGGTTTTAGTGGTCGACTTACATCTGGAGATATGGTAAGCTGGTTTCTTCCATTGCTCAGAGAGAGAAATCCGTACCAACGAGAACTCATGCCGCAGCAGGCGACCAGAGCTTGTAGTTATCACGACGGTGGTAAAACGAAATAAAGAGCGTGAAATAATCGGAAAATTAATATCTTAGTTGATTTTTTCCCGGCTTTTTTTTCCTCGTGATTTCAACAATAAGTGTGCTTAAACTCTTCCTAACCCCGAGAAACTGGCATGATGATAGTACAGGAACGATTACATCCACTCAAGCATCGTCTTTGAAACTTGAACCAACAATTATCTAAAAAAACCGACTCACTTCTTCTAGTCATATGCCGTAATTAAATAACAAAAAATTAAGTTTGTTCTTAGTCTATGAGCAACTCGATTAGGTCATGTCTACCAACGATTCGGTTTTCGTTGCTTGTTAGAACCTTAGACTCATCAAGTTAGATACGGGACATTGATCTAATCCAGATCCCAGTTGTTGGTCACTTAGAACATTCTGTTCGTTCAACAACAACCCTTTTTCTATGATGTATAATTCTATGTTTATATATTAATCTGTATTTCAAAAGCTCGCTGATTATGATCTCACGCAAGACAAATTAGCATGTGGCAGATTATGTTAGGAAAATTAGGTAGGATCAAGAGGACGACAACACATAGGAAGAGGCATTGTGGAAAGGGAAAACATAGAAGGAAAAGAGACGAGGGACCGAAAAGAGAAGGAAAGTAAAACTTCTCCTGCTAGTTTTTTTTTTGTTTTTGTTTTCTCGTGTAATCTCGTTATATCATGTGTTTATATCGATTATTGATGATATATTGTTGTTACAATTTAAATGTGAGAGCTTTTGATGAAGGATTTATACCATGTTTTTTATTTGATTTCTTATTACGTGTTATGCGATTTTTTTTATAACGAAGTGAGTAACAACTTCGAGTAATGATACATTTTTCTCTTTCTTTTCAGGCAGTGGCTGATCCATAAGCTATGATGGCGTGGTTCAAGTTCAAATATAAAAAATAAAATATTGATTCATAGAGTATACAATTCGATAGTCGTTTCATAGCAAAACAACCCAAATTACTAGAATTCCTAACTATCCCAGAGTAGGAACTATTCGATTTTCACTCATCTTTAACACTTCCTGACTTCCTACGATGACTTTTCATATTTGAAATAAGTTTGTAACATAAATTATATATATATACTCAATGCTTATATTGCGACTCAAACCTCACAACCATTCAAAACATTGACCATTCAGAGAACTTTTTGATTACTTGCTGAAACTTCATGATATATATGAACCACATATGTGACGAAATTACAATTTCCACAACATAAAAAGTACGTGGTTCAGAATCTGGCAAATAATATGCATAAGTTTATTTAGGTTTCCAATTTCCACAGCCTCAGAACCACATACAAGTGCGTGTTGGTAACGTGAGGTTGACCTAAATAGCCAAATCCCAAGTGTACTAGCTAGCTGTTATGGGCAGACCAGCTTTTAATGTAACCAGCCTGAATTTTTGTAAACCTAGCTAGTGATCCGGAAGATCATAACTCCTACATATGGTAACTATACCTAACAACATGTGAAACAAGTAGGGATAGCAATTTGAACCCGAAGTCACGAGTATCGTATCCGATCAAATGTTGATGGGTTTTGGGTCGAGTGGGAGTTTTCCACATGCCAAAACACAACATGCTTTTCACTCGACCCGCACTCATAAAGTAAAACGACGCCATTTTGTATCTAACCCGAACAATACGAATAATTTATTGATGTTATTTGTTTATGACGATATAAACCTAATAATATGGATAATTTGGGGATGTTATCAGTCTTTATGAATATAGATTTGTATAGATAATTAGATAACATTATGATGCGAGTTTGAGTTTAGAGAAACACGACCACCAATCCAGCTCATTGACATCCCTACCAGCAAGCGAACAATACACGGTAGTAGGCTAACTTTGGCTTTTCTCAGACGATCCTGATGTTGGTATACAACATAAAACACTGCACACATCCTAGCAGTACGATAAATGTTCTCATTTCCCACATCATAACCATCAATATATTGAGACTGTCGTCGGTAGTTTTGAAATTGTTCGGAACACTTTTTTTTTTTAGAAAACCACAGCTAATAAGACGACATAATGTAATCCTCAGTTTCAAAAATATAGATATTATTTTTTTATTTATTAATTATACATTTGTTATTTTTCAGGAGTTTAAAATTAAAGTGGCGATTTGAGATTAACAAAAAAAGAAATTGGTGGGCCAAATTTTTTTTTTTTTTTTACAAAAAGGAAAGTCACCCGTCCAGGTAAAATGCAGAAACTTCCGGCCCATGGAACTTTGAACCCAGTGGCGGGAGACGGGCCCAGCTAAGCCTATCCGACTATAAAGAACCCTCCCAACTTTCCCACGACACTCCCAACTTTTTATTCCAATTTCAATTTTTATCCTCGGGAAGAAAAAAAACAAAAGGCGGGGAGAGGAAGCCATAGCCAACGCGACGGCAAGGCGAGAAAGAAAGAGGAAGAAGAACAGAATCGCGATTCGCGGACCCTAGACGAACAGTAGAAGAAGAAGAAGAACCAGAAACCAAAGGAGAAGATAGGTAGAAAGCGAATCCCTGCCTGGCTCTGTGTGTGTTTTTCCTGTAGAAAAAAAAAAGACGCATTAGTCCTCATTTTCTCCTCCTCTTTATCCTCCCACTTCCCTTCCTCGTCTCTTCCCCCATTTTCTTCTTCGTTGGTTGAGCTGCTCTCTCTGCCACCGCATAGCTCACTCCTCCTCTCTCTCTCTCTCTCTGGCACGGTACGTCTCTTCATTGGTTTTCTCGCATATTCCTCTCTCTCTGTGTGTCGCTTGATCTGTGACCTGGTTTCTTTGTTTGGATGGCGAGAAAGTTTGTTTGAGAGATAATGAGGAAATGCTAGGTTGTACTGTGCGCGCCTTCTGATTTGATGGTGAATCTTATGGTTTTCTTCGTCCAGCTCTGGTTTACGGCTTCGGAGATCTGAGATTTGAAGAATTCCGATTTTACTCTCTCTCGTTTTCTGTGCTCCTCTCCTAATTTTTCTGTCCTCCGGTTTCTCGGTTGCCAAGCGCGCAGCTCATGCATCCAGTCGTCGTCTCTCTGCCGTCTGTCACGTTCTGGTTGTGGTTAATTGGTGCGAAGCTTCTCGCATGTATCGTTTTTTTTTAGAGGTGCATTTAACTTCTTTTTTTTTTTTTGTTCGGTCGTCGTCTTGTTCCTTCCGGATGGCAAATGCGGTGCGGAGTGATAGATCTGAGCTGTGCGGCTCCGCCGTCTGATTTTTTCTCAATTGGAAATCGCTGGGCGGCGGTGCTGAATTGGCCGGATGGGGTTACGTCTAGTTTCCTGTTGTTCTTTTGTTTTCTCTAGCTGTATGGCGAATCTTCTGGTGGAAAATGAAATCCGGGAAACTGTAATAGAAACGGGAAGAAACATTTCGGTCAATTCGCCTAGAGTAAAACCTGCCATGATTTATGGTTTGCCTGTTTTTGGAGGCCGATTGGCTTCAACTAGAAGTAGTCAAAATTGCCTCTGTTCTTTTGGCGAGCTCATTTCTTCAGTAGATTCATATGTCGTAATGCATAAGCCACTGAAGATTCTAATCTTCCCACTCTCACGTTTTGCAGAAACCCGTTGCCGTGAGTAGTGGTTTGCTTCTCAGAATTGGAATTTGAGCTCCGTGTCGAGCTGCTGCTGATTGTTGGTTCTGATCCTGGGATATCGCCATGGCTGCTTCTGCTGCCGCTGCTGCTTCTTCATTATTTCCTGTTCCTTCCCCATCTGGGGATGCCAAGTCCGACAAGCTCGGGCGTGGTTCAGCCAGTTTGGCTGGGCTTAAATCAAAATCTGCTAGTTCCGGGGCGTTGCAAGTGAAGGCAAATGCCCAAGCTCCTCCCAAGATTAATGGAACTTCAGTAGGGTATGCAGCTCCTGCTGAAGTGGTGAAGCATGGGGCGGATGGTCCTTCGCAACCACCACCAAGGACGTTTATCAACACGTTGCCTGATTGGAGTGTGCTCCTTGCTGCTATCACAACCATCTTCTTGGCTGCCGAGAAGCAATTTACGATGCTCGACTGGAAACCCAAGCGGCCTGATATGCTCATCGACCCTTTTGGTCTTGGCAGAATTGTTCAGGATGGTTTCGTGTTCAGGCAGAATTTCTCTATTAGGTCCTACGAGATTGGGGCGGATCGTTCAGCTTCTATAGAAACTGTAATGAATCATTTACAGGTATGTGGAAGCATCTAAACTGTTTAATCTTACTGGGAAGATTGGTTAGGTTAGTGTATGATGGATTTTGGTTCTTTATTTACAGGAAACAGCCCTCAACCATGTAAAAACTGCAGGTTTACTTGGCGATGGATTTGGTTCCACCCCTGAAATGAGTAAACGGAACCTGATATGGGTTGTCACTCGGATGCAAGTTCTTGTGGATCGCTATCCTACATGGTAAGCTATGCAATTTGCTTAATTAACCAGGTTTACCTCTTTTAACTGAACAATGGTCAATTTTGGGTTCTTTGGTTGGACTTGGCTTACTGTTAGTTTTGAAGATCATATGCTCTCATTCATCGTGCCAGATCAGCTGTTTTGTACCTCTTATATTGAGTATGATCTGGGTTATTATGCTAATGCTATTAGGTATTTTATAGCGTCAATAGCTAGTAGATAATTCTCAGTGTTGGTTGTCCTGTTCTGTGGTTCTCAATGATAATAGAGACCATTTTAGGTTGCCAATGATAATAGACCATTGGACATTTGTTGTTCTCTTTCAGAGTTCTGAGACCATTTGATTCTTCATACCTCTGTTCAAACTTGGCATTTTGTAGGATGAGACTTTTCTTCTTTGTTTTGTCTTTTACTATTTGGAGCACTTCCTTCTCTCCGTTTCTTTAATGTTTCATCTCCGGAGTGGGTGCCTTTTGCTTGTTCCTTTATTACTTGTACTCGTGAGGATGGACAGAAGTTGACAGCTCACTGCCCTAAGTAGCTTTTCCAGCACCATTAGTGGTTTGGTTCCCAGTAGCTGTTCCGGAGGACATTGAATGTTAAGATTTTGTAGACATTCACTGCGCCTTGGAAACCGAATGATGCTCTCCTTACCACTGTTGCCATTTTTGATCGAGTGAAAACATTGCCTGGGATCGGGACTGAATTTGCTGGTCTTCGCAGGGGTGATGTGGTTCAGGTGGACACATGGGTGACTGGGTCAGGTAAAAACGGTATGCGTCGTGATTGGCTTATTCGTGACTGTAAAAATGGCGAAATTCTGACACGAGCCTCCAGGTGAACTTCTGATTCCTTTGCAGGTAACCCATTTCCTTATCTGGTTGAACCTTCAGCTTTGTATCTGAGATTTGTGCTTGCCAAAAAATATGCAGTGTCTGGGTGATGATGAATAAACTGACGCGGAGGCTGTCCAAGATTCCTGAAGAAGTTCGATCGGAGATCGAACCCTACTTCCTCAACTCCGACCCTGTTGTCCCTGAAGACAGCAGGAAGCTGCTGAAACTAGATGACAACTCTGCGGATCACATCCGCAAAGGATTAACTGTACTGAGTCCTTCTGAATCTGTGATCTATTTCTTCCATTTCGCCACTAAATGTCACACATTGACATAGCTAACGAATTTCGTCGATGGTTTTCCAGCCTAGGTGGAATGACCTGGATGTCAATCAGCATGTCAACAATGTGAAGTACATCAACTGGATCCTTGAGGTTGCTCTCCTCCTCCCAACCTGTAAAACTAAAAACAAAACCACTCTTGTTTCTCGCTCACTCCAGTGAAACTGTACTGATATTTGCTTCGTCGTTTTTTTGCAGAGTGCTCCACTGGCAATTCTGGAGAGCCACGAGCTCTCGTCCATGACTCTGGAGTACCGGAGGGAGTGCGGGAAGGACAGCGTCCTCCAGTCCCTGACTGCCGTCTCCGGCAACGGCGTAGGCACCATAGGCAGTGCCGGCGGCAACGTCGAGTGCCAGCACCTGCTCCGGCTGGAGGAAGGTGCTGAGATTGTGAGGGGACGGACCGAGTGGAGGCCCAAAGACAGGAACAGCTTCGGTGGTGGTGGTGGCGGCACTCCAGGCCACATTCCGGCGGGAAACGCCTAGACAGGACGAGATACAGCTCTCCCTTTCGTCGCCGGTGTGATACGTGGCGGAAGCCTTCCGTCACCTGCCACCTAGCTCCACCACCGCCACCACCACCTGTAGAATTCCCCCTCCTCCCCTCTTTTCTTCGTGTCTCGGTCAAATATGTTTCATTCCTTCTTTTTACTTATTTATATATAATTATTATTTATATATTCGTTTGGCTTAAGAAAGAAGGTGACTAGAGCCCCTCTGTAATTATAAGCTCTCTGTGGCGAAAACTCAAACAGTTAACTCTGTTTTTTGTCCGGTGAAAATGGTTCTCCGTTAGTGGGTGGTGCAGGTGCTGGAAGAAGAACCCAAAACGACACAGCTTCGTGTTCTGATTTCTGTGGTCTTGAATCTTGATCAGACCCGCCTGGTCTGGTCTGGTTTGGTGCCGTCCTTTCTAAATCAGGGAACTCGTGTATATTTTCTTGCCTGGCATACTTCGTTTCCAAATTCTATTATATTATTTCTTTTGTTTCACAAATGGTTCTCTGGATAAAGAATGAAAGGACATGAAAAAAAAAAAATGTAGCTCTGTCACAGGTTTCTTGGCGATTCGACCTGTTTTGATTTGTTTGGGCAGGTTATTAACCGACTCGTAGTAGTGCGGGGCAAGACATGTTTCATGTTTTGTTCTCGACTTGTACTGTTCTCGCGCTCTGTTCTATTATGATATGGATTAATACATGATATCATATCTTCATTCTAAGATTCTATTTACAATTATTTAGACTCTATTATTCCCTTCTATTATATCTGTTTCATTTATGATGTGTGTTTTTTTTTTGGTCCTCTCATAATTGAGTTAAATATTAATCTATTTTTTTAAAAATACCATACAAGAATGAGCTGACCAGCCATGCACCCCATATCCGAACGAATATTACCTGATATGACCTACACTTAGTGTGATATGAATATGGGTATATTAGGTACCCGTACCCATCCGGTTACATTGCCATACCTATTTTCCTGGTTCGTTGCTGGTTGCTTTACTTTTTTTTTCCCTTATTCGGTGGGTTGTATTTATGTTGCGGGTTATAGCCATGATCCTCATTCCTCCTCCAGCGCATAGCTAACATGATGGCTACTAGTACCGTTTTCTGGAAGGACTGAGGAGGTGACCATGTGAGAGCAATAATGCCCTGAGGATTTGTAGTGTGTTGTTGTTAGGTATAATATGAATGCTAACATCAATGATGATTGATGGAGGTGGTAATACGAGTACAAGTAGTATGAGTTGTTGGAGGTTGGCAAGAAGATGACTTTCGAGAGTGAGATACCATTTGTCCCCCTATCTTCAATGCCAGTTGTGAGAGTTTAGTTAGTTGAGAGTTTTGGAGGATCCATTAATTGATGGTGACGGTGATGGTACGGTTTTATAGACGTTCGTTGGTTGATGGGGTTTGCATTGTCCGGACGAGTGGATGAGTGACTTCAGGTAAATTGGTTTGTTGTACATTATATAAAAAAGGAAGGTTTGTTGTAAGAATTAGTTGGTTATCTGGTTGAGGTATGGTCAAGTTAGTTGCTTCTAGTATTCCATGATTTTTTTTTTTTACTTGGACATTACATGTACTTGGATATGAATGTGAATCCTAAGATACTAGAAGTCTAGAAGCAATTTCATGGGATACAATTATTGGTCTTTTGTTTCACTTGTACAAAAAAACCTATAGAAGGATGCATATACCATTTTAAGAATAGATGGCTATGGCCTAGGCCTATGAATGGTATTTCACTCATATGAGAGATACTTTTACCAGAGATTAACAAGCACCCTTAAAACACTTGTAAATTCACCTATTGATCTTATAATAATTTTTTTTATAATATATTCTTTAGATAAACAAAGGTTTACTGGAAATTAGTGGGCAGCCTAGATACAATTTGGACTCCCACTTCTTTAGCGACAACAAAGCTAAAGTCTTGTGAAAATGTGTTTTGTAACAAGAAACCGATAAATTGGTGATTATTTTGTCTCCTAAAGTGTGTTTTATACAAATAAAAAATAGATTTAATTTTTAGAAACTATTAATTTCTTTGATAATCAAACTAATGAAAATTAACAAGCTTTTTTTGGTTATTTTTGCCGATACAATTTGAACTAAACTCTGCCATGCATTATCATCTATTTGGACGCTTACGATGAGAAATGTAATGATTAATTTTTAAATCCTATGGTTTTAATTCAAATGAATTCTTCAATTATCCCTAAAAAAAAAAGAAAAGAATGAGAAGTTTCTTTTGAACTTCTGGATCTCGCAGTTTAATGGGTTCGAATCAGTTTGGTCCGAGGCCAATCCTCATTTGGGCGAGGTTAAGGTCCAAATAGAGCCCACCAGGCTTATGGGTAATGAACATGATCTTTTCCCTGGTTGGATCAGGCCACGGTAAGTAGGAAGACGGACTTGGTAGCCCAAACTTCAGGAGTTGAAGACGGGCGAGGTTAAGGTCCAAGTGGAGTTTTCCCAATGTCCAAAACGCAATCGGCAACCTGTCACTGTAAATTGTAACATCGCCGGCCGGCCAAATCAAACACGGCACAATGAAAGGCGTCAAAAGAACACGCAAGGGACGAATATGACATACGGGCCAAAAAAAAATTTCGTGCAGAACCGAACAAAGGGAAGGATATAAAACGAGCACCAACCACCAACGGGTAATCGATTTACTAGTAGTACTAGTGAAAATTTGCAGAGAAATGACAAGTGGCCGATGGGTTTCGGCAGTTTGGATGGTATTCGTTCTTGTGATCTCGGCGGCAGTAAGTATTTGTTTTGCAGCTGAGGAGTACAGCAGAGGGGATTTCCCGGAAGGGTTCGTATTCGGAGCGGGAACATCGGCGTACCAGGTGCGGCGTAGTTAAATTCGCGCTTTAAAACTTGAAAAGTATACGCTTTTACATTTTTGGATCATCAAAATGCTTCTACACAGAATTATGCATACATAGAATCACGATTTTGACTACATTGGTCAGGTTGAAGGAGCGGCGGACGAGGATGGGCGGAGCCCCAGCGTGTGGGACACATACGCCCGGCAGGGGTACGCCGGGGGAGCGACAGGGGATGTCGCCGTCGACCAGTACCATAAGTACAAGGAAGACGTCCGGCTGATGGCTGGAATCGGGCTGGATTCCTACCGATTTTCCATCTCTTGGTCCAGGCTCATCCCTGGTATGTATAGATGTGCAGAGCTTCTTATTGTTCTTTTTTGATTGATGCTCTGCATTCTGGTTCTTAGTTTGTCTTGCTCTGTTTCCCTCTCTGGTTGGTTTCATTTTGATCCAAGGGAAGGTGGGAGAGGAGCTGTGAATCCCAAAGGCGTCCAGTACTACAACAACCTCATCAATGAACTAATCAGCCACGGTAGGTACTTTGCTTCGTCGTAACCCAATTGGTTCCAATTGAAAAATTAGAAAGAATGCGTAAAAGAGAGAACACACGATTTTACGTGGCATTCTTGATTGCCAGCGAGCGACCGAGAGTGGTGTGTCGTGGTGACCGTGGCATTCGATGGCTGGCCGCGACTTCGGCTACTGCTGTTGTACGTGTTGATTCTTGTTGGGTTGATTGTAGTTGGGCCAGAGATGTATCTAGATTTAGTATCAATAAATGGATTTTATACCACATACCAATGACGCGTAGCGAGACTTTGGATTACAAAACATTTAAGCTAAAGTTGATCCAATATCAAAACACTCTAATACCATATCAAAACACAACCGATCCCAATAAATTAAGTTGTTTGGAAGAAATTCATGCAAAAATTTAGCTAAAGATGATCAAAGATTTCTTGCTTAACAAAACGGGGGTTGGTTGGTTGATTTCAGGTATCCAGCCGCAGGTGTCGTTGTACAACTACGATCATCCTCAGGTTCTAGAGGACGAGTACGGAGGATGGGTTAGCCGGAAAATGGTGTATGCACTACCGATTAACTTACTCTGTTTTTTCTGTTGGGAAAATTTCAACTGAAACTGCAGAGATGTTGCAGGAGTAATAATGAAATGAAATCGTTGCAGGGGAGATTTCCGAGATTATGCAGAGGTGTGCTTCAGGGAGTTCGGGGACAGAGTCGGTCACTGGACGACGGTAAACGAGGCCAACATCTTCGCCTCCGGGAGCTACGATCAAGGAATGGCGCCTCCTCACCGATGCTCTCCGCCATTCGGGATCACGAGCTGCGCTCAAGGGAATTCCAGTACAGAGCCGTACTTGGTCCTCCACCATATACTTCTGGCACATGGATCCATCGTCCAATTGTACAGGCAACATTATCAGGTATTCAGGTATATGTAATTGCGTTTGCTAAATCTATCATCATCGTCTGTTAGAGTGTGGTATAAGATCCAACGTATCTTTCAGTCCAACAACTCGAATTATTGGGACCAACTGGTTTATGACATCATCATCATCGTCACCATCTTTGATCGTCGTCTTCTTCTTCTGTATGCAGGGGATGATCGGGATGACGCTCTACGCTTTCGGTTTCGTTCCTTACACCAACTCTACAGCAGATGTAGCGGCGGTCAAGAGGGCCAAGGAGTTCTTCCTTGGATGGTGAGCCAGTTTCAGAGTATGCCATAATAACCCGAGTTGTAAGAAGAGGTTCATGTATGATATTTAACCGCGAACCTCACAGGGTCGCGAATCCGCTGGTATATGGAGACTACCCAGAGGTGATGAAGAGGAATGTAGGCTCCAGACTTCCCAGCTTCACGAGCGAGGAATCGAAACTAGTGAAAGGAGCCTTCGACTTCCTCGGCATCATACACTACATGAAGATGCCCGTCAGAGACAATCCCAGCAGTCTGAATTTGGAGCTCCGAGACTTCAATGCCGATGTTGGCGCGCAAATGATGGGTGAGTGAGTACTAAACATTACCACTGTCCTATTCATAATATCCCTCACTCCCGACATTGATTTCCCTTATATCACATCGTTTGAAAATCCATGGACCAGATCGGACTGCACAGTTTGATTTGAATCTTAGATCGCTAAGAATGGTTAGATCTGGTTCATGATCTGTACTGTTGTGTGTATTTGATCTGGTCGGGTTTGCGGTTTACCATATATATACCTATTCGTGGACCCGACTCACTTACCATGTTAGCAGTCCACCACTCTCCCAGCTCCTCACCGAAAGCTAAGTCGCAGCCTTAATTTTACGAATCCCGTCGCATCCTTCATTCACAAAACCTCACCCCGCTATAGAGTAGAGATGATCGTATCTTCACATGACATTATGTTAATGTTTCTTTGTCTTACTTTGACAGTGGACCTGGACAGTTTTTCGGTTGGGGTGAGTCTTTCAAAACAGCCATTTGTTTGACACTAATGGAATCGAGCACTGTTGCAATTCGTTTGATTGAATGTGTGGGTTCATGGCTTCATGCTTAGTTCCCTGTGACGCCGGGGGCTCTGGGAGACATTCTGCAGGACTTCAAGACGCTGTATGGAAACCCTCCTCTTTACATCCATGAAAATGGTAAGCTGTAACTTGAACTAGCTTGCCTTGTATTTTTTTTTTTTTTCTTTCTTCCTTTTACATTCTGGTAACCCTAGCTGATGCATTCAGGACAACTCGAGAGACGCAATGCAACTCTGAAGGACACAGGCAGAGTGGAGTATCTTCGTCTCTACATTGGCGCTGTGTTGGATTCCATTAGGTAAAACCCTATTTACCGTTTTGTATATGTATAATTGTTGACTTGTTAGTTGAAGTCATACGAAAAATTATTATAAATGGATAATCGTGGAAAAGCGAAACCCGATCTGATATGACAATATATAGGTATGGTTTTGATGTTCTTCCCGATTCTTGTATGGTTATGGGTGTAACCCAAACTACTTTGAGTAGGGTAATCGATATATTCGCCTCGGACCCGATCCATTGACTCCCTTACTAATCGGGTAGGATATAAAAGCCAAATTCGAAAGATTTGGATTGAGTATGGGTGAAACTCAGAACCCAAATATTGCGGCTAGGATAATAGATATACCAATCCTGTAATGCATTTTTTTTTTTCACAATTTAACTCAATTGTTTGCTTTTTTAACTGACAAATTTTTTTTGGGTTGAAAGGAATGGGTGCAACGTCAAAGGCTACTTCATGTGGTCGCTGTTGGACGTGTTCGAACTGTTGGGCGGATTCCAGACTGGGTTCGGATTGTATTACGTGGATTTGGACGACCCAAATCTGACCCGATATCCTAAGCTCTCTGCCCACTGGTATTCCCGTTTCCTCAAGGGAGCCACCGTCGGATCCGCCGACGATTTCAGTAATGACGCATTTGATGAGCTCGCCGCCGGCAATTTCAGCCACCTAATCACCACCCGCTCTCCACGTCGGCGTTCTACTTCCGGCTAGCCACACACAAGATTCTGGAAGGTTACTCCGTAGTAGCACCCGGTATTCTATACCGCGTATGTACGTTTCTAAAGCGTACAAGAGTATGTTCGATGTAAAGAATAGAAAATGAACATGTTTGAATGTAAGCAATATAAAATAAAATCTCCAAAATAAAAAGCCATCCAGCGACCAGCGTACATGTACAGAAAACTGAGTTGCTGAACCAGCTTTTGTCAAACTGGAAGTTGATCTGTGGATTCTTTCGTTGACTGTAAATTTTCAAGGGTTGAAATGGATATTCTGGTGAGGTATTTAGGTACAAATCTCGCATAACGTAGCATTTGAGCAGAAATACTATGTTTGACTGGAAAAAAGAAACATATAGTAATTTTGGTGTGTTTTTTTTTTCCTGAATTGCTAAATGTCACCCTTAAAATTGCCAACGGTCGCCCTTACTCTAATGATAAATGACTTATATACCCCAATAAAATTTCAAAATTTAAACAAACCAAACAATCCCTAACCCCTCAAGCTGAACCCCTCATCTGCCTTCTTCGCGAATCCCTCTCGACGCACCAGTTCGTCGGCGTCTTTCCCGCCGTCGTCGTCGCCCATTCTCTAACGAAATTTCCAAAAAAACGCTCAACCTAAGGCAAGTTTCGGTTGGTCCATGGTGCAACCGCAACTCATTTGCGGTTGGTCCATGGTGCAACCGCAACTCATTTGTGGTTGCACCATGGACGATAGCAGAGCCATGTGTAGTTCATAGTGAGCCATGTTCCTAACTTCGCGTACTGCTCACACGTAATTATATATCATCATGTTAACGTATATGATAGCAGAGACCCCGTACTCGTCTCAATAGCTTGAGTAGTTGATCATAGATGCATGTCTAGCCATATGGATAATATTATATCATTATGTCACACACCCTCTTAAACGAAGAAAAAAAAAACTAAGCACAATCAGCTTGAAGTTTGCGTACACTGGTAATAAGTAATAACTAATAACCCAAGTTTTTTTTATTCCAACTCTTGATACAGTGTTCATGATCGTTTTAAATGCAAGACCTATTAAGTATGTTAAATGCTACGATATTATATGATTGTCTGAATAATTCGAATTATTGAAACAAGTTCAAACGATTATCATCCCTTCACAAACAATACCCTTTCTGTATAATAAAAAAAATTAATTCCAAATATTTTTCAATAACCCAAGTGATATTGCAACGAAATCATATTTTTTGGCATAAGCCACTATCCATGCCAGTTTCATATATATTCAAATCATGAAAATTGTCCAATGTCAAGAGCAGAGAATAATAGGTGGATGAATGTGATAGACAAAATTACACATTTGTAGCTATACAAATAAATAATGGAAGCTTGCCATATGCTCAATTAACTTTAAGAAGAAGAAGAAGAAGTAACTATAGATTTATAATTGGACCTGTGATGGCGGCCATGTGCGCCACTTGGCAGCAGAACCAGAGACAGGGAAGATGAACATGAACATTTAGTATTATTATTATTATTATGTATAAATGGAGGTTAGGATGCTTAATTAATAATTAGGCAGGTGAAGATTCTGCAGAACAATATAATTCATATCAAACTGTTTCCATGGATCTCTGCCATTTAACTAGTTAATTAATGATATTATTAATTACTTGGTACTTCATTAACTAATTAATATAATTGGTTCTGTTTCTATCCATAGCCCAGCATTGATTGTTCTGTTCGTTTGTCCTGTTCTTAATTTCCCACCTGAAAATGTCAGCAGAACGGTTCATTGAACCCTGCAGAGCTACTCGATTGAAGAAGTAAAGGCTCCCCATGGTTGTTGAATTAGTTTCTAAGTAAGTAATTAATTACACAGTTAAGCTATAGTTAATCAATATCTGTCGGACAGTGATTAAGGTGATGAGCTGTTATGTTGAACAGTTGAGGGATACCAACCATGAACGGTTCATCCTTCATATTAACTTGTTAGATGAGGAAAATAAGTACAACTTCATGTTTGAAAATGGTTAGCTACCAAAAAATGAAATCGAACCGTTAAAGAAGTTTTACCGATTTTCAATGTGTTGAAAACCGATAAGCCCTTTAAAAATATGATTTGAAGAAACCGATAAAAGCGAACCGAGGGAGGGGTGCACTAAATAGTTAAACGTTACAAACTCATGCATCACCCCCTATAAAAAAAATGGACTTTGATTTCTTACCAATTCTTTTTTTTTCAACCAAATCCAACAAGCAAACGATCCCTACATTCCTAATAGGGTAATGTCTATTTTTTATCCAAATCTTTTTCCGATTCTTTTATATTATCCAAACCTATTAAAATGCTATTAATTAGCCAAATCTTTCGTAATGCATCGAAATATTATCCATTTTTACGTTATCGTTAATAATTTTATAACTCTTTTCTTAGTTAAAATACTAAAATTTTGGAATGCTGATATTCATGTGTCTCTTCCAAGTCAGTATCATGTTGCCAAGTCAATATTACTAACAAAATTGCTAACTGAAAGTTAACATGTGGCTAATTCTTAGTATTTCGATAGGTTTGGGTAAAATAAAAAATCTGAAAAAGATTTGGATAAAAAATATACATTACCCTTCCTAATATTTTGATATATTTACACCCACTATTTATTGAAAAATGACTAATTAGTTTTCCATAATGAAACACAACATCCGAGGTTTGTTAAATTTCCCTTTCAAAGATACAGTTAAAAGACACGAAAATCCAAAAAACATGGCAGCCAGCCCCACCCTTATGATTATTGTTCCCCACAATTTTTGAACAGTATTCTTTGTTGTTTTTTTCCCCTGTAAGAAAAAGTCTTCAATTACACTTTAAATTATAAATATTCCCCAAATAATTGGGACAAAACACAGGGACCCATGCATCTGATCTCATTTATCATTCTAAGGTTTCTCTTTCTCTATTATGTATTTTCCAAACAATAATCTGACTTTTGATTGTTTTAAAAGCAATCAAGAAAGGAAAGTGAGGATAATATTTATCATTGTGTGGATTAGGGCATTAGGCTTTCATACACAATTTTAAGGTTAAAAAAAAAGTGGAACAATCACTAGATATGAATTGATGACAGCATTATACTGTAATACAGTCTCAAATAGGTTTTGAGATTAGGATTGGAAGGGTAGATTTATAGATAGATTCCAACATTGTGCTCCGACTCGCATAGCATTTCAACCACAAATAACACGCATAGACGCATACGAGGTCGTTTGAATGAGTAATTCAAACAAGTCATTTTTTGAATGAACCGTGTAGGTTATAAACATACTTTATTTTTGTGCTGCGTGCACTCATTCAACATGCAGTGATGTAATTAGGTTGAAACTATGAGGGGTTATAGCTCTCTCCAACTTTCAAATGCATGTAAGATTTGTAATAAATTTAGAAAATAGAACACTTGGTACGAGTTTAGCCCCCTCCTTAATCAACACATATCAAATCAGCCATTCATTCGTCTTTCTTACTCTGCAACGGCCAACATGCCAATTACACAAGACCGGTTAGCTTCCTAACCTCTCTATGGGGTTGGAAAAATGACACCCCCTATTAATTATGGAATTAAATTTGTGTTGCATTTAATAATCTTTGGAAATTAAAAATACAGATTAATTACATTCATTTTTTTTAACTACCATTGCACTGATACAACTATCATTGCACATGTACACCGAACTCATATTAATTACATTCTTTTTTTTGAACTACCATTGCACCTGTACATTGATATCATTGCACTAGTAAAATTACCATTGCACTAAAAAAAAAGGAAAGTGAATAATATGGGGGTTTTATTCAGACAGATTATTAAATGCAACACAAATCAATTACCTTAAAAGTCTATAATTAATAGGGGGTGCCATTATTTCAACCCTTTTAAGGATAGTCATGCTATCTCACCCCAATTACACATATCAAGCCATATACGAATCAGAACATAATAATGGATTTTGAGTCGAAAGTCCAATTCACTCCTGGGAGAACTTTAGTGAACAACATAACTCATTAGAATCGTGAAACATAATTTAAAATTTAGTGACTTAAATGAAATTTACCTTACATGTATTATTTAATAATCTTACATTTAAGTATATATAACTCGTTAAAAATCTAGGCTCATCTCATTCGTTTAGGGATGTCAATTTGAACCCTCCATGCTGGGTACTACCCGACTTGACCCGTGACAAGGCGGGTATTACCCGACTAGCATTAGCATGGGGCGGGACATGGGTATCTATTTCTGACCCGTACTGCCTCGCCCCATCTCATTCTTACTCTATTCTCTCTCAATTTCTTATAATAATTCATATCTATTCATATTTATCAAATTTTGACTTTTCTTCAATTAGTTTGACTTTATCTTTCACTTAGTTAGACTCAATCACTCATTCTATTATCATTATTTTTCATTTATAAAGCATTTTTCCTTTCTTTTATCATAAAAAGTGAAATATTGTGTGTATATTTTTCAAATTACATGTGAGAGTAGGTCGTCCGCCCAGTACCTACGCGACGGGATTGAAAATTGAGGTACACGCTCCGCCTCGCCTCATTGCCATCACTGCATTCATTCCATTTCAAAACCACAACATTTTACGGTCGAGCCGGAAATAAATAGTGGTCCGACCAATGGCTTGCAGAAGACGATCTTCATGCCCGGTTCTGGTCGAATCTGATCCAACCGACCGGTTTGATAGTGATTTGACAACCTAAGTAGACAATTACTTCAAATTCTTAAATAATTAAATAATTTAGAGACATTGGTGGCAGACTGACGGTGACGGTGGCGATGATGGTGGTGGGGGCGGTGGTGGCTGGTGGTGATAATTTTAGCTTTAGAGGGGAGAGGGCAAAGCTTGGCCTGCTGGCAAATTCTTCAGAAAATGCCACACCTCTTATTATCCTCTTCAATCGAGGAGCTTTTCTGCCTTTTCTCTTTCTTTCTTTCTTCCTTCCCTCTCTCACTCTCTCTCTATTTCATCATTCATGGAGGATTGGAGGAGATCCAAGTAAACCAGACTTTTACCCCATAAATCCTACAGCATCATCTCCCTCCCTCCCTCTTCTCTCTTTTGTCCAAATACCCACAACAGGAAAACGTTAGCTTCCTTTTCACACCCAAAAAAATCAAATACCGGCAAGCATTTTTCCTCCATTCTCTCTCTCTCTCTCTCTTAGACTCTCATCTTGGCGTCATTCTTCTAAGCTGGGAAAGCTAAACCCAGGTTTATACTCTCCCTCCTCACTCTCTCTCTCTCTCTCTGTTTTTATGTTCAGTTTTTATTACATTAATGGCTGAATTGATTCATGATGTAAGCCTTTTTGTACCCCATTTCCGGCCGAGTGTGAAGATACATTTTCCCTTCTGAGATTGGGAATTTTTTGTTCTGGGTCTCATACCTGATCACTTGTAGCGTACAGGGTAATAATAAAGCTGCAGCCTTGATCAGAGCTTCTGCACTTGTTTCATATAGATCTTTGGTAGTCCAGTTTGCTTTTGGGGGTAAAAGCCAACCACCCCACATCTCAGATCTTGCATCCTGTATGAATAGTAATAGTAATTAGCTAGCTAGGCTAGTGTGCAAAACGAAAGCCACACCCAACAACTTCGCCACCCAGATTCCCAAAACCAACCACCCCACATCTCAGATCTTGCTCTAGCTTGTGAAGCTCCTGGAGGCGGGCAACTCAGGAAACTAGCGTTGCTGTGGACTGTGGTTGTTGTAAAGCTCGCTCATTTCGCCCCATTCGACTTCAGATCTCTAGCATAGCATTAGCAGGTGACTTACATATTTCATTCTTCATCATATCTATCTCAGTCTCACATCCAATCTCAGATCTTAAGATGAATGATCATTATAACCGTATAATATAACCCTCCCTTGTCCTATGTCTGGCAATGCTTTAGTGCTCTTCCTTAATTTGGGTGCTTAGTTTTCCTCCTCCCTCAGTTGATCGATCAGATGTAAAAAATGGGGTCTGGAGTGTCTGTCGGGTAGGGGATTAGTAAGCTAGGCGCTTAATTTGAGTTTTTACAGGGCAAATATGGAGTCTTCACTTCCAGTTTCTCCTGGCTCATAGCTTTAGTGAAGCCAGGATTCATTGTTTTTTTTTCTTCTTCAAACGCTTCCATAGTCTCAAGTGTTGGTTTGTGTGTTTACAGGTTTCCTGTCCTACATAAACCCAAACCAGTGCCATGCTCAAGCAAATCCTCAGCAAAATCCCCCGCAAGTCCTCGAAACCTGACCCAATAGATGCCACCACGGTGATCGACACTGGTACCAACAACAATCCTGTTTCCAACTCGAGCAATGGTGCCCCCTGTAGTACTACTACAAATGGAGGGAACTCATTTTCAAGCCGGCTGAATGTCGTCAAAAGGGTATCTTCAGCAGTTTTCCCTTCAAGCATTATGTCAGGGGGAGTAGATGCCGCAGTTGAGCCCCATATCTCCTTCAAAGACATCTCACCCCTACAAAAGCAGAACCTCTTTATCAGCAAACTAAACTTCTGCTGCGAGATCTCCGACTTCAGCGATGCACATCTAGACCTCAAACGAGAAGCATTGGTCGAGCTCCTCGATTTTGTCTCTTCTGGTTCTGCCAAGTTCACCGAACCAGCCATTTCTGCCATTTGCAAGATGTGTGCTGCAAACCTCTTCCGTGTCTTCCCTCCCAAGTACCGTAATTCTTCCAATGCCACAGAAACAGATGATGAAGAGCCCATGTTCGACCCGGCTTGGTCGCATTTGCAACTTGTGTACGAGCTGCTACTTCGGTTCACAAGTTTGGTCGATGCTAAAGCGGCTAAGAAGCAAGTGGATCACTCCTTTGTTTTGAGACTGCTCGACCTATTCGATTCCGATGATCCAAGAGAGAGGGACTGTTTGAAGAGCGTTCTACATAGGATTTATGGCAAGTTCATGGTGCTGAGACCATTTATAAGGAAAGCAGTGAGCAATATCATCTACCGTTTTGTTTATGAGACCGAACGGCACAATGGGATTGCTGAGCTATTGGAGATATTTGGGAGCATTATTAGTGGGTTTGCCTTGCCATTGAAGGAAGAGCATAAGTTGTTTCTGTGGAGGGCTTTGATGCCGTTGCATAAACCTAAGTCGGTGGGTATCTATCATCAGCAGTTGGCATATTGCATTGTGCAGTTTGTGGATAAGGATCCTAAACTTACCGGTGATGTGATCAAAGGGTTGTTGAAGTACTGGCCGGTGACTAATAGTCAGAAGGAGTTGATGTTTATAAGTGAGGTAGAGGAGATGCTGGAAATGACCAGCATGGATGAGTTTCAGAAGGTTATGGTGCCTTTGTTTCGAAGAATTGGTGGCTGTCTGAATAGCTCCCATTATCAGGTATACAATCCACCTAATCTGCTGTTTGTTGCTCCTTATACTGTAAGGAACAAATTGAAACTCCTGCTCATTTCTCTCCGGTCTTGGACAGCTTCATCCTGAACCGCCATCTGATGCCTATAATGTTGGTCTGACATGAATTCTAATCATGAGTCATATTCCCTAGTCATCACCAGTGGGTGCCTGTAGTTGATAAAATAACCAACTTTTCAATCAGAACAGCACAAACAAGTTGAATCAAAATGGAGCTAGCTCATTGAACCAAACTGAATCTAATTTGTCGGAAGTCATCAGACGACTCGACCTGCAATTCTAATGACCTCAAAATGACTTTTTTGCAGGTGGCAGAACGAGCACACTTGTTATGGAACAACGAGCGAATTGTCAACCTCGTCATCCATAACCGACAGGTGATAGTTCCGATTGTGTTTTCAGCACTCGAGCGCAACAGTCAGAACCACTGGAATCAAGCAGTCCTCAACCTAACGCAGAACATAAGGAAGATGTTTCTGGAAATGGATGAAGAGCTGATGCTCGCCTGCCAATGTAAGTTGGAGGAAGAACAGTCCAAGTCGAACGTGGTGGCCGAGAAGAGGAGACTGACTTGGGAAAACCTGGAAAGTGCAGCTGGTGGAGCTACAGGTTTCAACAACCCGATTTCCAACACCATCAACTTAGCTCATGTCGAGTCAGCCTCCTGTTCTGTTGCCTGCTAGTTTGGCCACTAGCACTGAGAGGACAGCAACCATTAGCTTCGCGATGCAGCATAAGTAACCACACATTCTTCTCTACGCATTCCCGTGGGTGGCGAGTAGGGATGCTGTTTGTAGTTGTGTTAAAAAGGATTGGTAAATGTTTAGGGTTGCTTGGGACATACGCAATGGGATGGATGAGGTGGTGGTGGTGAGAATTCGACGAGCCCCTCAAAAGCCTTTTGCACTATGAAAGTATGTGTATTATGAAAGGCTGTTTGTTTTCAGTTGTGCCCCCCCAATTTGTTGCAGGTTCTAACCTTAGCAAGAGAGATTATTCATTTTTATTGAAAAAGCTGTTTGCTTCGGTACTTGTATAGCTAGTTAATGCAGTTTGCTTTCCCACCCAATTTTCCAGATCATCAGTTCTTCTTGCTAGCTCTGTTGTTATTCAAAGACTGGTTGCTTCCTGCACCTGATTTTGTATGTTTAGCACGTCCTTTTGTTACCATTGCTTGGACAATCATATGCATTTTTTCGATAATGTCGGTTGAACCAAGGGACAAGTTGGACGTCCTTCTCTAATGATCCAAAGTTCTTGCAACTGCATAACCCACAACGAAAATGCAGAAGCCAACAAAATCTGCAGATTCAGAACCTGTTTCATGAGCTGGGTTTCCCAGGAAGTAGGAAAATGACTGTGAGAAATGGCGGTAATCTCTTGGTAGTGTAGGGATGTGGAAGAAGTGAGCGATTTATGGAAGTTTGGGGTATGGCCAGCAGCAGCAGTATCAGACATGGCCGACCAGCATCAATCCATAATCATAGTTTTCTCCGCAATTTCTAACAGCCCTCAATCAGGGTTGGAATCCCGGCAACCGAATGGATCATTACACTTCTTCACAAGGGACCAAAAGGGATAATTCATGAGTGGGAATCATTACCGGCATTGACCGCATCAGCTCATCATTCTAGTTATATCTGATCCCACCAATCAATAGATAGACTGCAGAAATGCTTCTCCAAGGGTTCATAAGAAAATTGTGTGCAAATGCACTTATTGGGTTTATGATATGGAAAGATTACAAGTGAGCTCTTGAAGTAAAATTAATTAGCTTCTAAGCCCTTTTACTATGAATTCATTTCTTTCTAACCATTCCGTCTAGTTCACGTCGTTGCTCCGTCAAAGTTAATGACCCAGAATTCGCGGCTACAACATGATTCTGGTATGATTTGGTAAACATTTTCGACACTATAACGATATCTAAAAACCTGCTTACCATTTGATTCATAAAATATACGTAGAGGTAAGGGCAGTGCGAGCACAGTGGTCAAGCACGAATTCGATTCGCATCATCATCCCAAGCAATTCGATTAGCATCCTTGTGAGATTGGTATAAGAATGTGTTTCTATTACACGGTATGATCGTTCATCCTACGATCCATTAAATTTATACCATGACAATTTTATAAATAACTATCATGCATTGATCACATCACTGGGCGCGCAACAGTGTACACTGTACAGACAACCCAGGAAGTATTGGTGTACATGATAAATAGGGTTCTGAAAACTAGAATGTTATGTACAATGACTCTTTCGACCTGAAGAAGTTAAAACCTAGAATCATTAGACATTGTGAGGAGGATTCAGGTCTATGGTAAGCAGAGCAAGTAAAGCAACACTCGAGACTTCAGAGCTTCGTCTCCTGGTCATTTTTCACCTGGTTAAAAACGTTGCAGTGTATGCCAGCAGTCATTCCACAAGTGCGGGAGGAAGAGAAAGGTTTGATCACTAACTTTCAACCATGTCTTCCTCTACCTCTACCACGTCCCCTTCCCCTGCCTCTCCTTCCTCTTCCTCTACCGCCACGGTCCATGCCATGACTCCCATCGCTGTCTCTCTCAAAGTTAAACATTGACATCCTGATGTCGGTTGCTACTGTGTCTGGTGGTCCTCTTTGAACCTGGACGAAGACAGGTGCGAATGAGAATATGATATCAAGGGTTCACAAAGACACCGTGAATCAAAGTAAAGATGATGCAGATAATACGAACATGGGAATCTTCCATATCGAGTTGGTTTTGCAGCTGCCATGCGAGATCCTCGTCGTTACTGGTGTCTGGGAACGCGTTTCTGGTATGTGGCTTAGGTCCACTGTTTCTATTTTGCCATTCCTCTAGCGTCCAAGTCTGAGGTTCTTCCGCGTCATCTCTCCCCCCTCCCCTGTACTGTCTGCGGCCTCTGGAACGCCGATCGAATTGGCTAGGAGGTGCCATCTTCTGGAGGAGTTTCTGAGCAGCAGCTTGGTTTTGCAGAGGTACCGATTCAGCCACTGAAAATCACACAAACATTGGTATTGATATCTGCATGCAGAATCTTAAGTTTACTAGAGTTCTAGTTGTAGAGACTAGAGAGAAATGGTGCAACCCTGTTGCATCTTATCCTAAAATTTTGACGCACTACCTACCTTCTGATTGGAAGATGATCATACCCACGACCTACCCATACTTTTACAAAAATACCACTCAAATTTAGGATCACAATCTACACATTTCAACAAACCACCTCCAAACAACCCATAGAGATTCAGTAGCTCTTCCTTTATCCTCCAACTCAAAATATAACATATCCATAAACGTAGATCCCACCATCTTCTGGCAGTATTGACGTAGATATCTATAAATGCTTCACAATAAGTGAAAATCACACAAAAAGTTTGGAACTAAAAGTAAGAGAAAAAGCTGCTGCACCTTCTTTCGGCCTAATGTATGAGGTGGTTGCCTTTGGTTCATTATTTGCTGCAAGTGGAGCTGGTTTCAGATTGCTGGTGCTGGGACTATCTGAAGCATTTTGAACTTCCTCAACAGCAGAAGGGAAGGTGGATGTGGAGGTACAAGCAGAGTAACCTGCAAAATTGGCATGTACTGTTCGTTAGTGATTGATTCCCAGAAACAAACTACTCAGCTAATCCCATAAGCATCTTTCCATAAAAAGGGGGTAAAAGCAAACCACACCCCGTCAGTAATTAACTTATTAATTCAACCTGAACCTGTAGAGTGCTCGTGAATAACCATTAAAAACAAAACAAAACCAGACAGACATGAGACATCAATTTCGTCTTCTTTTTTCTCTTTTGAATACAAAAACCAACAGATCGATGTTTCAAGGAACACCAATTGTATCTCCTTCCTTCACGTACCGTTACATTGTTACGGGCTCATCTCAAACTTCCAAATCGATAAAAACTTCTCCAATGTACAAATGTATCCTAAGCTGCATTATAGTAATCTTGCTTAATATTTTAAAATGGTTCTCTAATCTACCAAACTTCTGAACTTAAGTATAAGCTTTCCATCCAAGGAAAAGAGAGCCATAGTCACCCTCCAGCAAAACAATGGTTCTAAGGTTACAATACCAATCAAATCCTTACTCCAATGTGAAAACTTAAGCAAAAATGAAGAAGAAAAGACAAACCAACGTTCTGACCTTCCCTTGGTCTCATTGCGTAGGGAATAGGCCTCCTCTGTGCATTTTCCTTCGCCGACACTGTTTTCAGTTTGTCAACTACATTTTCCGCTTTCTTTTGAACATCATATAGCCCAATTTCAGGTTTCATCGCAGTTGCTTCAGCTACAGGCATGCTGCTTCTTGAAATAGCCTGAAAGTAATCTACAAACGAAGTAACATTAGCCATTCTAATGAGACCTGCAATATCATACCAATTTGAACACTTAAAAAGATGAACCATTACCAGAAACTCTGTTTCTTTGAGTAGAAGGACGCACGGAGGAAGCTCCAGCTTGCAACTTTGCAAAAGCAGGAGGTCCAGCGACACCGCCTTCCTCCGTCGGCCTCACCGAAGAACGCGAGAACATGGAGTACTTCTGGTTCATATGCCATTCATCATAAAGCGATTGAACAATGCCTCCAACCACAGTCATCACTTTAGAGTTCAAGCACAATATGCCACAATGGATCGGAGCCTTGTTCTCAACACGAACCTACCATTCGAAAACCGACAACAGTTTACAACAGAATTCAAACACTCTCCAATTCCAGAAAAAACAACGAGCGGCTAGCAATCAATTCAATACCTTGGCACCGGGGGCGATATCGCTTCCAATGGAAGGCAAGTGGGAGTACTCAATCGCAGGTATCTCGGTGTGACCGTCGGTGAGGACGAGCTTGAGTAGACGCCGGTGACCGGAGCTTGAAAAGGCCTCTACGGTACTGACGGCTATGTCTCTCACGGAAGATATCTGAAGGGTTTTCCGGCCTTGGAGATGAGAAGCTTTGCGCAACGAATTGGCGTCCGGCAATGACTTGCCGCCGATGGACCTAAGGTCCATATCGAGGAGCTGGGACTCGACGGAATCGGCCACTGTCGAAGTTTTCCCATCGTCGGACAAGGCTGATTGGATCAATACAATGGCGTTTACTTGATCGAGGTCGCCGATGGACCAGCCTCTGGTGGTTAGGGTTTGTATGACGTCCTCTGCGAGTTTGCTCGACATCGAGCTCTCTCCCTCCATTTCCATGGCGATTTGGTTTGTAACTGGGACTTAGAGAGGACTCTTACAGTTTCGAAACGGGCCTGTAATGTGTTGGCGAATTTGAGCCCGGCCCGTTTGAACAGCAAACGTCATATTGACAACTCATATAATAATAGCACGATTAATTACTGACACCGCAGTTGATCGTCACGTCCTTTAATATGTGATCAAGAGTTCAATTCTTGTCTATGAAAATAAAATTCACTATTGATGTCAGTCATTTACCACTTTGTATGAGAGATTAGATAGTGTTTAGAACTCACTACGATGTAAGTCATTGTGGATGTTCTCCTCGTACACGAACAACACAGTTTGTTTATCAATATTCATCATTAACTAATTCATCAAGTAAAAGCCATGGAACTTCCACGCTTGCCAATTTCGTCAAATCCCAACTCGTCAATATGGACCTTGATCCATGATCGGCGACTGGATGGCAATTTGTTTAAGCAAAATGTCTCATCTTCAAAGTCGCAGAATTACTCAGATATCTTCTTGATAGGGATAGTCATGAGTACGATATACTTACTTTCAAGCTCCAGTGTCACCGATGCCTCCTCGAGCTTGTCCTCATCAATGGTGAAAGTGAGATACCTATGATTGAATATCCTCACTAGCCGTCTATCGGAAATGATATCGCTCCCCCTACCAAGCTATTTAAATGATTGAAACTCGAGAGTGTTTGGATTTTTTTGAAAATAGTTGTCATTTTTTTGAAAGATAGTTTCGTGCGGAAAACACGACTCTAATTAATGGTGACATATTGTGCTTAAAAACCTAAATCATTAAACTAGTCACCTCTTTAAAATTTTGCTAGAAATCATTATAAACGACAAAAGCTAACACCACATCAGCATGAAACTAACTTAAGCTTGTTTTGCATGAAAACATTATTATATGAGTGTTAATTAGTCATTATAGTTGTAGTCGTGCTAATGGACTTTGCTACGGTGACATGCATGTCACAGTGACATGCACTTTTCGGTCGACCTCATATAGGATTAGGTCGACCTAATATGTTGTTTCAGTGTAAAAACAGTTTCATGGTGTCTAGTTTGGAGATTCATATCTTACAATTGGCTAGATGGAAATTGAACATTAATGACTTGTTTTGAAGCTGAAATGTCCCTCTACACATTAAAGTACTTGGAAGCTCGATAGGAAGTCCAGAAGATCATTTTTGAACCTGATCAATAGGCTATGCCAAAACTGGGAAAGTGCCTGAAAATGGCTAAGTCTGGGAACGTGTTTGTGAAGCCTACTTTGGAGCTAAATTTGAGAAGCATGGATGCAATTCGAGTCTAGGGGCCTCTACCACGTTAAATAAGGTATGTTTGTCTACAAAGACAAGACATTGGATGAAATATTGGATATCTTTAAAGCTTCAAACAAAAGGCTCGAAGTTGCTACGAAGGATGTTTTTCTGGCAGCTTGCTTATGCTCGAAGTCTGCCAAAAAAATAGCCTTCGTAGCAACTTCGACCCTTTTGTTTGAAGTCTTACAAATATCCAATATTTCATCCAATGCCTTTAATTTGTATAAAAACATACCTAATTTAACGTGGTAGAGGCCCCTGGACTCGACTCGCATTCATGCTTCTCGAAGTGAGCTCCAAAGTAGGTTTCATAAACACGTTTCCACACTTAGCCATTTTCAGGCAGTTTCTCAGTTTTGGCATAGCCTTTTCATCAGGTTCAAAAATGGTCTTCTGGACTTTCTTATTGAGCTCTTAATCACTTCAATATGTAGAGGGACACTCCAGCTTCAAAACAAGCCATTAATCTTCAATTTCCATCTAGCCAATTGTATTATATGAATATCCAAAGTAGACACTAAGGAACTGTTTTTACACTGAAACAATAGATTAGGTCGACCTAATCCTAAACGAGGTCGACCTAATCCTCAATGAAGTCGACCTAATCCTAACTGAGATCGACCGAAAAGTGCAAGTCACCGTGACATGCATGTCACGGTAGGCTCACCCTGTGCTAATACCTACTTTAATTACAATTTGCATGGACGAGAAACCCACAAGTTTCACAATAATAAAATATTAGGAAAATAAAATGAGTATTGAGTAGGCATGCTTTTTTTTTGTGCTGAAATGTGAAATCACATAGTAAATGGACCTAAATTGATATTTACCCAAATTCTATTAATAAATTAACGATTATTATTCAGGTAGAAATTCAAATATTTACGGTCTCCCTATTCTTTCGCCTTTGTCTCTCCTCTGCACACCTAAAACCTGAAGCTCAGTACTCAGTAGCTCACAGTCACACAGCACCGCCTCCAAAATCAGGATCATGGCGTCTTTCCCCCGGGTGAATGTCGCCTCAGCCAGCTGCCGGAGCTCTTCTTTCAAACTCGCTGCGCAGAGACCTCCGATTGGAGTCCCGAGCTGGGGAATCCACCGCCCTACCTCGTCGATTCTTGCGCATGCTGTTCCAGCAAAGTTCTCCGACTCACTCCTTGGCTATACTTACACTCTCACTTCTCGGAAAATTTTGGGATTAGGGTTGGTGTCCGGATTCCAGTCAGCAGCAGTCGCAAGGAGAGTTCCAGCGAATCCCAATGGCGTTTGTTTCTCCTCCAGCAACGGTGGCCGCAGCAGCGGAGGAGGTGGTCCGTTCAACCGTTCTAGTCTATTTTGGAGGCGGATCGTTCGGGTTGGCGCTGGGTTAGTTTTGGGTGTGGCTCTCGCCCTTGTGGTGTTGGCTGGTGGTCTTTTTGGTGCAGTTTCCAACTTCTGCACCACTAGGGACGTTGTTCCATACACCCATCGGGAACAGTTACTGCTCTCAAGCAAAGTGGAGATGATGTTAGTAAGATTTGGTGGAATCGGAAGTTCACGCGAAGGAATTATCCTGCCTGCTAGTCACCCAGTTAGTGTCCGAGTCTCTGGGATTGCTCGAAACATAATCCAGGCTCTTAAACGGGACTCCAGAAGGTATGGGGTGCAAGAAATGTCGATTAGAAGCTGCGATGATGACGAGGCAGGAGTTGGGCTGGAAAAATTGGGGAAGAAGGCGGGAGAAGTAGCTTCTTGGCGTTTGGACGGGCTTAAGTGGGAGGTACTAGTTCTTGATGATCCAGCTTACTATGCTTGCTCTGTACCTGGTGGAACGATAGCTATATGCACTGGTCTTCTCGAGCATTTGAAGACTGATGCCGAGGTAGCCACCGTGATTGCTCATGAGGTATGTGGGTTTTAGTTTTTTGTTCTGCTTATACCCTGATTGTGTTTTTCTTTCCATGATTTGTTAAAGTGTTGTTTGTGGGTTTATTGTTAGGTTGGACATACTGTGGCTCAACACTCTGCAGAAAGATTGGCCAGGAACATGAGACATCAGGTTCTTCAATTCCTTCTTGATCTGTTCGGATTGAATCGCATTGGTAAAGAAGTTCATGCCATCGCAAGGTTCTTTTGGCCTAGCAGTTTCTTGTCTCAGAAGTAAGTATGTGCATTATTAAATGATAGACTGCATTCTAACATTGTATCTAACTACCAAAGCAATTTGCAAGAGCGGTCGATGTAACTAAATGTCTTGAATCAACTGAGTATATAGATTTATTGAATGTATATGAGCCAGGGTAAATGTACACTTCGGCAGACTGATTCATTGTCATTGGAAAACGAAGTTTATCCAAGTCTCCAACTTGGTTTTATATGTTCAGATGCCACTTCCCCTTCCTATTGATATAATTAAACATGACCTTGGATATTGGAATTCATTTAAGAAGCTAAAAAGCATGACTTCTTCCCCACTTTTCAGGATGGAGATGGAAGCTGATTACATTGGTCTTCTTTTGATGGCTTCTGCCGGTTATGATCCACAAGTGGCACCAGCTGTGTTTGAGAAACTCGACGAGACCTTTGCGGATGGGGAAGATGAATGGCCGTACTCAACTCATCCAACTGGGAAGGAAAGGTCGCGCTTACTAGCTCGACCTCATGTCATGGGGGAAGCAATGGCTAGATATAAGGAAAGATTGTTGTTTTCGGAGGGCTCTCGCCATTGATTATACCAGGTAATACCAGGTTTTAGTTTGTGCAGTTTGTTGGGGGGGGGGGCGGCAAGGAATGACTTAAGAATGGGGGATCGATCTCACAGAAAGAATGACTTATTTTCAGAACCCATGAACAAGGCCTTTCTGTTTTCCTTTCCTTATTTTTCTCAAGTAATTGTGAAATGGGATTAAGAGAGTTTAACATCTCGTTGTTTATACTGTTGTGGTTGCAGAGCTATTGTGAAGACGCAGGAGTTGGTGGAATATGACTTTTGACCTAAAGATCAATCGGCAGTGGTACATGATATGTGTTTGTTGTTATGACAATGACTGTAGTGGAGTGGTAAGTAAGTATGGATTGTCATTTGATATTAAAAGGTAGCTTATTAGAGATGAGTTAATCAGAGAGTAGTGTGGTGAATTTCAAGTAAGTAGAACTATTACTGTAGAGTGTGGGGGGATTCGCTAGAGATAGCATCTAAGATTGCATTCTCTAATTCAACAGCGTACACTATATCGGGGGGCCATAACCCGAAACTATATCTTTTACTCTTTTCGTTCTTCATCTTCAGCTTTTCGTTCTTCATCTCGCAAATCTTTTCTTTTAATGTCTAGATGGATTCCATGTGACATGTATGTCGAATGGAAGCTATCCGTAGTTTTGCAGCTCCACGATCGGACTACAGACAAGCATGAATATGGATCAGATATTGAACCCTTTGTTCTTAAGACGATCGATATGTTGTTTGGGGGAGGAAAGAGTAGGATCTTTTATTCATCTGCACAAGTAGGAGTTGATTTTCTGTCTCTTCAAGGTAGTTCAGTTTCTTATGATGCTACTGTCGATGCAGGGAAATTGAATGAGGTAGGGTAAAGCTTGGATATTACTGGTGTGGAGGTGATCTAATTCTAACCCACATACATACATACATACATGGGTAGTTGAGGTTACATTGTGTCTGATGTAAGAAGCAGCTACTAAGAACAGAGATTGTGTAATTGATTGAAAACTTTGAAAAGGAAGAGGTTACATCTGTTTCTATCTCCCCCCGAATGTTAAAAGGGTTTGATTTCGTTTCTTGGTTGCCGTAGTGTTTAGGGGGTGTTGTGTCCTTTGTATAACGTTGGACGACAAAAAGAAAATGCACATCTAATTTCAAAAGAGAAGGAAAAAGCATCCCAATATACTATCGAAAAAATAAAAACATGATCAATCGATCACCAGTATGCTACACTCATTTGACGTACAAATTTTTTGAGTAGCAGATAGAGGTGGCAATTAGGATCCAAATCCATGAATCCAATCCAATCCATCCACCAAATTATCCACCTAATCCAATCCATTTAAAAACAACCCATTTGATCCAAATCCAATTGGATTGGTGGATTCATGGATCAATCCATGGATCCAAATGGCAAATTACGATTTGGTACCTATTTTTTTATATTTTACATTTTGGTACCTAAAATTTATATTTTTATACGAAAAATATCATTGGAAAATTACATTTTGATACCTAAAGTTTTTCATTATGACATTTTAGTAACAAAACTTTTCAAATTTTACATTTTGGTCCAAGCCTTTGATGTCATTCGGATTCATGGATCAATCCACCAATCCATTTGATCCAATCCATGAATCCTCCAATCCATTGGATCCAATCCATTTGATCCATGGATCCACCAATCCAATCCACGAATCCACGAATCCGATCCAATTGCCACCTCTAGTAGCAGAATGACATCGATCTTGCTTCGTTATCAAAGTGATTATAGATTTTCATAATAATATAAAAAAAGAGAGGACCTCAAAATATTCAATTGTATTATCTTTTACATTTCGGTCTTTGAGTTTAAATTTTGTCCAAAAATATAATTAATATTTCTCCTCATAATTTTACTTATCCTGATGTTTAGCTTCATTTCATATTAAGGTAAGTTAGTTAAAATTTGAAGAGTTAGGGGCTCAACCTATAGTAGAACAAAAGTATAGGGACCCGAAAGGACATTAACCCTTTGAATAACTATTAATTAGCGCGCTAAATAGCTTAATAACCAACTAACTAAAACGGACCTCCTTAATCCAGCCAATAAAACATGCACACGTGTACACCAACTTAATCCAGGGTCTGGTGTCACGGTGTAAAAATTTAAAAATTTAAATAATACATGCACACGATCACGCCCCAAAGCACGGTTGTCACGCCGGCTGGCGTGCCACCGGTTGTACCGGGTTCAACGGTACCGGTCATAAAACCGGCGTGACACCACCAGTATGACCGGCATGATCGATATACGAATCTGTAAGTAAAATGATCTTATTTTAGAGAATTTAATTGATAAAAATTATTTTATTATTTATTTTATGAGTATAAAAGTTAAATATTGATGTTATTTGTTGGATTCAAATATAAATGTTTAGGTATTGACGTTAAATGTCATGTTTAAATATGAGTATTTGTAATTTTATTTGTAATATTGACCGGCATGAACCGGCACAAACCGGTATGTGCCACCGGTTGAACCATTCCACTTGTTGAACCGACACACTGGCATAAACCGGTTTGACAACCTTGCCCCAAAGTTACCTGACCTGTCACGAAGCTGGGAAGATATTAATATCGAGATACTCGCGCGGACCTACCCATTGGTGCATCAATAGAGCATCAATAGACGCATATGTAATTCGAAAACCGAAATGCATGCGAAATTTCTTTCCGAAATCTCATTGATATCTACCATTGATGTTGCCGATGTATATAGTAGCGTATGTACATAAATAGTAATCCTACTCTGACAATCTGGAGTAAGATCAGAGCTCATATAAATAGCCAAAAACTAGGGAGTCTTTCTATAACGTAAACCTTGAGGGCTACGTTAGCCTGGACACAAAATGGGGACATACCAAGTCCCAGAAAGCTCCCGTCTGTCGCCTTCCTTCTACCGCAAGATATCCGTTAACCTATTAGCTATACTGTTAGGAGTAAACATGACCAAGAAGATCACTTCCAGAGCTTGACAACCATGTCATGGCTGGCTGAAGCTACCAACCCGTTGGCACTAGATACCGCCAAGGCCGAAACTTTTTTCTCGTGTGCTTGAACAGTCATCGTCTTGTTCTCAGCCATGTTCCACAACTCGAGAGTCTGCAGCAAAACCCCAAGTCAGAACCAAGTCAGACCATATGATGTTAAGAGGATGAGGCTTTGCAGTTATTATCAAACAAGGGGGGGGGAAAGGGGCAAGAGAGCTGATCACCTCGTAACATCCGATGATCATGACAGATGGATAGGTGGGGTGAAAAGCGCAAGTGTTGAACCTGTTTCCTGAGCGGTTTAGCTCGTGAATACAATCTCCTTTGCTGGCAGAGCCAATTTTCCAGACTCTGACCAAATCATCACTTACAGAAGCAAGGCACTCGCCGGATGGATCCCAACACACAGAGTTAACTTGGCTTTTGTGACCCTGGAGCAACAACATTTGCCCAAACGCCAGTCAAGACAGGAATCCACTACTTATACAGAACAATTTAAACAATCACCCAGCAAGCATCTATCAACATAAACCTGGGGGTCATTAACCATTGAATTAAAAGAGACAGAAGTGTCAAACCTGCAATTTGAGTCTGCAAACTTGAGTTTCGACATCCAGTATGTAAACAAAATTTTCAGCCATTGCTGCAAGGAGCCTCCCGTGGCGAGGTTGAAATCTCATCTTCATAGCATTCTAAGCAAAAGTAAAAAGAGACCCGGGATTAGCTGAAGCTACCAGAGAATAAAAACAAATGGGCTTTTTAACCAAATGCAGAGGGGAACCAGCAGATTCTACCTTGAAGACTCCGGCACAACTGCCATTCTTGATACTCCAGTAGCGCATCTCATTATTACTATCACAAGAGCATATAAGGTCCTCTTTAGTAGGGTGGAAATCAACTGACATGACACTTGCAGAATGCCCTGTGAAGGTCCGAAGTGAATAGCCCGGCTGCAAATTATAAGCAAGGGAGGGTTGAATGCTGTATCAGTAGAGAACCAAAGTAAACAAAAAGAAAGAAAACCCAATAGTAATATCAACACAGAGGACATAGACACTGTTGTCTAATAGTAAACATGTAAGAACCGATGCAAATATGGAGTGGCAGAGAGTAAATCAAGGTTATTATACATTATCAGCATCCCAAACCCGAACAGTTTTGTCAGCAGAAGATGTAGCAAGTCTTGACATGCTTGGGCTGAAACGGACATCAGTAATCCACTGTGAATGTTCTTCAAGTGCAGAATTTATTGTGAAAGATTCTGTGCCCCAAAGTGTTACCTGCAGTATATCATCATTCATCAACCAAAATCCTCCATTTTCAATAACTGTTTATAGGGAAGATTATTAAATAGTAAAGATTTACTTTTTTGTCATGTCCACCAGTGGCAAGCAGCTTTCCATCTGATGAAAAGTGACAGCATTCTACTTTACTAGTGCTCGCTGGCAGAACCTGGATCTCCGAAAATGTGAATCCTAGGACCAGAAAGAAATGCAAGAACTCCTGGTCACTCTGATCTGCCATTGTACTTTTGCCTTTCACATGCTAATATGCTATAGTGCAGGCAAACTGAAAACATGGGTGTCTTTTCTAGATGAAAAGTACATTAGTTTTAGTACTACCTTTAGTGACATCAGTAGACAGGCCGACTCTGTCCCTTGGATCTTCAGCATCATGCGAGAAAAAAGATTCGACATTATCATCCAGAGTTCTGTCATCTAGAATCCTATCCATATCAGCCTGCAATAACATACCACCGCTCAATGGCCGAGTATGATTCCCTGATCCAAATTGCAATTCTATAGAACAGTAACTGGTTGGGGCATGCGATCGAATGACCAAATGGTATACACTTATGTCATCTAGAACTAACTGAAATGGATCATTGTAAAGGAGTGGAAACGCTCACCAAATCATTTGTAGCTGCTGCAAGGGAACCCAGACCATCAGAGCCAAACATAAGCATAGACTTTGAGGAATTTGCATTTTGTGGTGCAGTAGGCAGTGACATAGCATCTCCAGGTGTAGAGGGAGAACTTGGGGACGGGCCAGTGGTGTTTGCAGTCCCTGAACTATTGGCAGGTCCGGAAGAAGACACGGGCTGCTTTCTCTTTCTTTTAGAAACCTTCAAGAAATAATTAGGCTTATTAAGTTAATATCATAATTCGCGACACTCAATTAAACCCCTAGTGACAAACTGGAATAGGGAACCAAGAACCCAAGTGTCACACAGAGTCCTTTTCATGAGGATAAAAAGAACTTAAAGGGCAAGAGTCACAAATACAACAAAACTAGCACTGCTGACAAAATTCCTTATGCAATCACTTGTTCAATTTTATTGAAGAAGGTTAATTCGCATGGCAGACCCCAAGTTCTGGATTAGATGATGTATTGCAGTCATGCATAAGGTAGTAAGAACGTAATATTAGGATTAGAGACATACATATAGAGTAAATAGCACAGGGCAGTAATATCTCATCCACGTACTAAGACAAAAAAAAAAAATGAAATGAAATTTTCCAACGCAAGACCTAGCTAATAAATGAAAACTCAATCCATAATTTTCACAAAAACCTGATCCGTTCCGTGAAAGGTGTTTGACATGCTGCCATCTGCTGCAATGCTACCTGAACCAATCATTCTGTCCTGCTGCTGCTGGAGCAAGGGATTTGAATTCTGTGACTGCTGACTTGAAAGTGGAAGTTGTGAGTACAGTGGTTGGTTGTTGCATTGAAGCTGTTGCTGCTGTAACTGACAGACCAACCCCAGCATTAGAGGAAAAGATAAGGCTTCAGAAAGCTTAAAAGGCTCAACATTTTCTGGAAACAACCAAGATTCTCTAGACATTCACAGCTTAGTTCAGAAAAGGTACCTTGAGTAGAATATCCGTGTCTCGTGGCATACCATGAGAACCAACTTGCATCGGTGATCCAATGTTACTAAGCAAGTCACCAGAACTTAATGGCCCTTCCTTAGGAACACCCATATTCTGGTTACCGAGAAGCATTCTTAATTTTCTTCGTTCCAGATCATTAATAGATGGGGATGACAAATTTTGCTGTGCTTGAAAGATCAGTTGTTGTTGTAACTGAACTTTGTTGAGGTGCTGGGGATTTTGCATCAACCTTTGATGCTGAAGAAGCCCAAATTGATCCAGCCCCTAACAAGGTGACCAATCAGATTGGTTTGCTCTGCTGAGCTCTAATATGAGAAGGTACTTCCAAAACATTTATCAATACATCATATCATACTGGTAGAAGACTTCACATGAAGATGTGTATGAGATTATTAGAAGTTTATGATAAGAGCAAGTCTTACAGTTAAGGGCCATCCTTTCAATGTCAAATTGCTTCCTCCTTGATTCAGCCCTAAATTAACATAAGAAGATAGCTATGGTTCAGTATACGGAATTACAACAAAGATACCACATGGGCATTCTCTTTAGCTATGCCAATTCATTAGCTTCTTTGACAGAGGATACATAAACAGTTTGAAACTTAAGCAATTTGATATCTTCATAAGAATGCAAGATCTACCACTCTGAGATGAGTTATGAATGAACATGACTTCTCCTTATGGAAATGAAATGCTCGCATGCTTCTCCATCTAGTTCCACGCACTGCAGTGATTGTTAATTTGACTTGCAAGAACATGCCTCTACTACTAAAACAAATAAGAACCAACCATATCTCCACTAGAATGACATAACATTTTAAGTCATAGACTATGGACACTGGAATTAGCACGCGCTTTTCCAAGTACAAGTACCATAATAACAATTTAACAGATACAGGGAGCACTAAATAGTAAATACCATGAACTCCGCCCGAGGATCCTTCTGCACCGGAAGACCTAGGATTCATCATTTGGTTCATCTCAGTCTTTAAGTCCTGTAGCATGAGAAAATATATATTGCTCGACTCGGAAGCACGCAAACAGAACATAATATGGAAACGAACAATATAGGAAATGGCATGCACCTGAGAGGACATAGGTAGTTGCTGATTTCGTTGCTGAGAATGTTGCGGATTTCCCGAACTTCCGGCTGAACCGTGCATAGTTTGACTGCCCAAATATACGCACAAGATTGATATCAAAAGCAGAACTCCAACCGCCCTAATAATAGAACAAAAACAAGACAATAATTACCTTTGGGGCTGGCCTCCTAAACCAGCTGCTTTCAGCAATGCAGAATTACTTGGGTCCATAAGCTGGCCCATATTATCACTCAACCTTTGCTGTTTCGGCAATCTATTATTAGTAACCAGATGAGGAATATAGAAAGGCAAAGAATACTAATTGAATCCGTCAGAAAAGCCAAAGCACCTTCATAGCTGCATCCTCCAAGGACTCTCTCTGAAGTGGATGTTTCAGCTTATCCTCATACAATTTGGTCGCCATAGCACTGGCAGTTGGAGATGCATGTCTTGGAACATCATTACCAGCAAGTGACGAATTTGCAGCTGCATTTGGATTCTGAGTGCCATCTCTTCTCTGCTGCTGCTGCTGTTGTTGTTGTTGTTGTTGTTGTTGTTGTTGTTGTTGTTGTTGTTGTTGTTGTTGTTGTTGTTGTTGCTGCTGCTGTTGATGTTGTTGCTGCTGCTGCTGCTGCTGTGCATGTCTTTGCAATAGCATCTGCTGCATCTGCATATGCTGTTGTTGCTGCAACTGAGTCTGCTGCTGAGTCTTGGGCTGTTGTCTTTCCCGAGCATTGGCCATTTGTGTCTGAAATTAGCATACAAAATACAATTAATGCTTTGACAAGGATGTACGCTTGTGAACTTTCCTCATCTCAGATCAGCAGTATCCTATAGTAATATTATAAATTTCAGGAACAGAAGGAGCTCATGAAAACTACCTCAATGTAAGATGCAGCAGTTGGTGAATGCTTTTCATTTGTCCTGGCAATGAAGATGTCCCAGAAAACAGACCACCATTCAAACAGAAAACCACCAGGTGCATCGATAGCTGGAATTGGAGAAAAATGGCAATCATCGATGTAGGTACGTTCAGCCAAAAAAGTAAAAAGAACTCAAATGATGACAGTCACCCAAGTTATATAATGAATGACACAATATTTCCCGTTCTTTCCTTACCAACAGGATCAGTAGACACTTTCCCTTCAGCTTGGAATGCCTTGGCAGAAGCATGCAATTTTCTCTTCACGAGGTAGTCATATATGTAGACATCCAACCTGAAATGAACCCATCGGTCAAAACTGTAGGAAGACTAACATAACATGAAATCCACCATAAGAATGCACAATGTTCTCCAAGAATTGTACAACATATTCCTAGTCTGGGGTGGGTTATGCTGAAAATCTACTTCGCCGGTTGGTTGGGAAACTGCTAATGACTCCAGAAATCTTATCAAACAAAAGAACAATCTCACTTCTACTTAAGAAGCCAGTTCCCATTGAGCTATAAAAAAATTATTCTCGCTGGGTAGCTATTAGCAATCAGACAAACCAGTATCAATTATCAAACGAATGGTCAACTTGTTCCAAAGCTAGAAATGCCAAAGCATCCAACTTTCTGCTGCCATTTCCAACATTTATTCATGAAAGAGGCATACCATGTGAAGAATCAAGAATGGCTAGGTATAGCAAAAGGGAAATAGGACCACTTTGGAAGGAAACACTTGAAAGGACGAGAAAAAAAGGTCACAGTAGCAGCCAGAAAAACCACAGTGAAAGCACTACAAGTCTAAACCCTAAAAGCTCAAAAAGAAGCAGGAAACAGGGGAATTCCACTCAATGAGCACGTAGAGTAGAAGACTACCCAATCCAACCAAAAATCCAGGTAGAAATTGCTTAAAAACAACAGTATCCCATCCCCAGTAAAAAGGAAGAGGTTGAAAAAAAAGAGCATCAAAACCCACAATAAACCATGACACGCCGTTTCCAAACGACAAGAAAATCGCCCAAAGGAAACACAGCCAGGAAAACCCTAGGCCAACAAGCGCCCCCATCAGTTTTTGCTCCAAAGCGGGAATGAACCAAAAACCCACTTCAGAACACTGATGGTAGTCGAAATATAGCAACAAACTCCATGGAGGAAGAAGAAGATAGAGAGAGAGCACGCACATTTTATCAGCTTCCCAGTTCGTCTGCGACATGATGACGGCTACCTCCAAAAACAGTAGCAACACGAGAAGAAAACGAACGAAAGGAGATTCCTTGAATGCAACCCAGAACCAATGGCGAACAGCTAAGAAGAACCCAGAAAAAGAAAACAACCGTAGTCGAGAGACAAAGAAGCGTTTTTTCGGGCTTGAAAGGACAAAAATTCCTTTAAATACCGAAATACCATTACCACCACTCGAAGAAAAAGAAAATCCCCGTCAAATCTCTCTGCCTCCCGCCCGCCCCCTTCCAGTTCCACTCACAACTCTCCCTCTCTCTCCTCTATCTCTGTGTCTCTCTCTCTCCAGATCGAAGACGATTATAATCTTGCGGGCCAAGAAATTAAAATGGTTGGAAGAGCCTCCTCTGTGGCTGAGTTCTATGCCGGTGCGAGTGCATTTCCTTTTTATTTCCGCTTTTCCCCTCTCTGTTTTACGATGAATCTTTCTTAGCGCTTTTTTTTTTCTTTTTTTCTTCGTTTGCTCAAATTAGCGCCTTTTTCTTCTGCCATTACAGATCCCAATTACGGACCTTTCAAAAAGAAAATATTTTTATCATCAAAACCAAAAAAAAAAAAATTAGTTGCTTAAATTTTCTCCTGGCAAGTCTTGCATTGGAAGCAGAGGATTAAAAAGGAGTAGAATAATGTTGACCTTAAATTGTTTATTAATCTATAACGTTGTCCCCTGCGGTCGCGTAAGAACAAATTATCGAATAATCTATATGAAGTATGGTTTACGATACAATTTTGGCAAGTAATTTAAGCAACCTTAGTAAGTAGAAGATAATGAGAATTTTCTGAGCATTTTTCATATTCCTAACCTTGTTCTCTGCTGTTTCTTGCAGCAACGAGGCTCCTACCAGTTGTGCTGTTCTTGTCGTATATTCTTTGTCTTTTATGTAACTGAATAAACACTTTCCATCCAAAAAGGAAATATGATGCATCTATATGTGTAGATCCATAAAAAAATATATATATAATGATAGTATTGAGTCGCTTATCCTTTCGTGTTTCATGATCGTTGAAAGCACTCGATGACAACGTTATCGTATTAAAATGTTCTTATTAGTAAATGGCATAAGAACTATAAGTGAACATCTCACAACAACTCGAGTTACCTAGACCAATTGGTTCTTGACATGATATCAGAGGTTTAGATGAATGACAGGTTATATGTTCGGATCTCGACAGCTCGCGTTTGATAATCGCGTGGTATTCGGACCTGTACGAATTCAAATGTTAATTAATTGGTTTTTCCTCGAGGATGCGTATAAGGACCATAGGTTTACCTATTGGTCAACGTTATAGAAATCCTATCGTACTGATTGGTCGACCGACAATATGGGATATCAACCCCATATGATAGGTGATTTTAGCCTTATGATTCAACCACAATTTTAGTATAAAATACGCTACCGCTAACTTTTTCGGTATAAGAACGATTTCACAATCATTGCTATTGCTAGCTCATTGGTGTATTAATCCGCCCAAAAAGGACCCGTACTTTACCAGCAGGAAGGAAGGAAGATATAGGGGTTCTCTGTTAGAAATTGAGATGGTCAAAGTTAGGAGAAGGGTGGGCAAAAATGTTGACCTACCCTGCAATAATTAGTAGAAGAAGTAGGGGTGGAAAAGTTTTGAGCTTTTCAAGTCAACCTTTATCTTGATAAGGGCATCTGCAGAGTTTAGTGGATGTCAGAATCTCTGCCCACTTTGCCATAATGTGGAAGAAGAAGAAGAAGAAGACATTAATGTATGGGGTTTGCACTTTGCATTGTTCTGCAAAAAGGATGGGCAAAGCAGTAAAGCATTTTTTGACTTTTTACCTATGGGTAAAGATTCAAAAAGCAATCAGAAGTAAATGATGGGATTGCCTCCTTTGTAAAGCTTATAGCATTGATGAGGGGGAAAGGGGAACTCTGAGAACTGAAATCAATGGCTTCACCACTTCAACTTACTGGACCATCAAAAGGGTCACCAAAACCCAAGGAATTCGATTTGCACACCACAAAACATATTCCATTCTTACTTCTACTGAAGTTTATAATGAGCTAACCTCAAACCATCCGAAAACTTCCTACTTCCTGATATGATGATGGGGGGACCTAGTACTGAATGGAGTGAGCTAAACTGAGAGAGAGTGATGGAGACTAGAGAGCTTTGTTATTGGAACTCAGCTGCATGAGATGCAGAATCAAATCAAAATGCAGGGGCAGGTAGAAGGCTTGACTTGTAGTTTACTCCTTGAAGTCATCTTTGTCATCGACTGGAATCGGCATGTTCCTCCAGAAAACAGCAAGTGCACTTCCACCAAGCTGCAGATAAAGTTTCCATGTTTAAATTGTTCACATGTCAATGTTAAGAAATTTGTGGGGCGAATGAGGCTAAGAGTGGGGTTTAAGTAGAAATCTTACAGCCATTGCAACAACACTGACAGCTGAAGGCACAGCCACGAGGGGATTCGTAAAATGCTTCTGAGCAAGCAAGAATCCAAGGGCGGAGCTCTGCATAAACAGGTCAAGGATTAACAAATGAAGACTCCATTTACCAGTAGCATGCAGAAAACCAACTGACTACAGAGTAATCTGTACTTGTGATATGTATGAAGAGTGTCTTACAGAGTTGCCTAGTGCTAATATCATACACCAGAAACCCATACAGGCATACACCAAAGATTAGCAAGTTCAGAAAACAACTACTATACAATTTAAACCATTTCCACCAGTTTAGTGCCTTCCCAAGTTTCGTTTGCAAGTGATCATGCTTATTTTACAGAAGTTGCAGATTAAAATCTAGTCGTTGAAGAAAAGTCCGCATTTTTTTGCCAATAGTGTCATGTACATAATCATATTACCCTTCTAAGATATAAGATAACAAAGCCTATGTCGTTCTGTTTAAGTAATTTAAACAACAAATAAAATTGTATGTACCTGCATTCCACATTCTATTGAGATGGTGCGTGAAGTGGATTCACCAAATGACATCTTTGAGATAAAATAACCAATTGCAAATGCGGCAGCATGTAGAACAGCCACTGGCAGTATTAGTTGTGCTCCTTGAGTTTTCAATACATCTGCAACTTGCCCAATCTTGGATATCATAGTGGAAGAAATGAAAGTTAGCATTAGCCACATAACTAATCAAGTATCAGAACTCAAAGCAGATATCTTACAGGGCTTGCACAGAGTAAGGTTGTGAGAAGGACTCCAATTAGAGGTGTCACGGAAATTATCTTTGCCGTGAACTTGGGGAAAAATTCATTTGCTAGAACTGCATAGACAAAAGAACCAAGAGTTCAGGTATTCTGGCAAGCATTAGCAAAATCTAACTTTCAAGAAGATATCTTATAGAAAGTTTTCAAACACCTCCAAGAATAGTTGGCAATAGCACAACCTGAAACGTGCTCAGAGCGAGACCCTGAAAAGAGTTCAAGAAAATAAATAAGTTGTAGAATGAAGGAGCAAAGAGAAAACCACAAAGGTAAATGCCGAGGCACCGTTTGCAGAGAATTAATGATTAGTCTGCCATTGCATTTCAAGTTTAGCATAAACATGATGGTGTGTGACAGCCAGATAATAGAACTTACTGCAGCATCAACGGGAACAAGCTGCCCAGCAAGAAGCTTCGTAAGAAGGGGTGTCATGATAATAGCACCGATGGTTGAACAGCTGTGAAATCATGATAACAGAGAGAAAACAAGTGAGTAAGAAAAGTTACAGCAGATTCTGTAGTCAATTGTGTGTTGGCCAAGATCCGAACCACAAATAAACAAGGATAAAACTGAAGGTATGTTCACTCATTAGAAAGGAAATTAACTGGACCACTCCCTGATAGTTGTATGGCATTTTCAAACTCCAATAAGAAAATGGAATGGAGACAAAGTTCATTCTGTTAAAATATGCTAAATATGAATCTTTTTACCAGATTATGAGTCTATTGAAAACAATAGCCACCTATAGACTAGTCTATTGAAAACAAAAGCCACCTATAGCCACCTATTCCCAACTAAGTAAGGCAAGCCATGAGGATCTTGGTATTCCATGAAAATAAATCTAGCTTCTCTGGAGTACCTCCCAACCCAATGTCACAATATCCTTGGATGATAAATTGCACTTACGTTGTCATAAGAACTGAAAGTGCCACATTTCCCTTCGATATATATGTTGCAACATTAGATGCCTGACCTCCTGGACAGCATGATACCAGAATAAGTCCAGTTGCAAGAGGTGCCGACAGTTTTAGGCTCTGGAGACAAAAGAGGAGTGATTTCAGTAAATCACTGATGAAAATACAAGAAGACTTTCTCAGAATACAATTACACTGAAAATATTGAATACATACTCCAGAGAGAAACCGCATAGATGATACAGGGGAAAGAATACGTCACATCAGGATATCAAAATTGAAATCGTTTTTATAGCTCCTGTCCCTCTGAAAATCCAAAACATAAGCTCATTTTTTCCCTGAGCATGTGCACTAATAGCTCAACATGAGACCCTAAGAAAAACAACACAATAACAGATGGTTTCCATGTTGATATCTGAAAATTTTAGGGAAGTACCATTGCTATCGCAAAGCCTAGCAGGGGTTTGATCAAGTACTGGGCAAGGAATCCTACACCAACCTGCAACAATTGAAGATATGCTCATCACTTTACTCATCAGAAAGAAAACCTCTATTTTAACAGAGTATACTAAGTCCTGGTCTTACAGTCCAAGGGTTCCTCAAACATCGTCTAAAATCTTCAAACGTCAACGTTAATCCCATAGAAAGCATGAGGAAACCCAGGCCAACAGTGAACAGATCTGTCTGCAACCATGTAACCTGTGTGCAGCAGCAGCAGCATTCTAGTTAACTCGAGTATAGAAACAGTTTATCATTTGCTATAAATTTCGTAGCGTAAGACTACAAGAGGAATATATTACCGCAGCTGGCTTGTAGATACCAATGATGGTGCCAAGAATGACCTGTTAATTCAATTCAACATTAAAATGTCAACCAATGCATTATCATAACATGCATAGTCAAGTTCTCCAAAATGAAAAGTCCATTCAAATTTAACCAAGTTTGCATAAAGAGGAACTTGACACTTACCCAGAGTGGGAACAGAGTTGTTAGAGTTTCAATTATCTTTTCATACTGGCTCATTTCTGCAGGACTGCTGCTGGGAACATCGCCGGACAAATTTGTAGCAGCATTGCACAAAACCACAAAGCTCCTACGATTCAGCCACTTACACGTTACCACAAATAACAAATGTACAAACCAGTTTTCCCTACTACCTAGTTCAGTGCATGGCATTGTATCAAGCACTCAAAAGGAGGGAGAAGAGGAAGTCTCTGCTTCTATTGATGATTGGAAGTGCTTTATTAATCAAAAGAAACGCTTTCTCATCATTGCCAAGTAACTAAGAAAATTCTGTCCACCATGATAATGATCAAGGTATTTAGCAAGATGGTAAAAAGAGAGGACAGGTCAGTAAAGCAAGATACCTTGAAGTCTGCATGATAGGGGAAGCAGATGAAATAGGAACAACAGGACTGTTTGGCTTGCTTTGCAATGCCAAAATCCTTCCATTCTTAGGCGCCAAGTTCCAACCTTTTAGATCTTCAAATCAAAATTGCACATCGAATTCAGATTAGAACAACCCAAAAGATAAAACCATTGCCCAAAAAACAGCCAGAAACAATCGAGCAGAAAACGAAACAACATTACCCAGATGAGTATTCAGCCTCCTGACACTCAAACTAGAACAACTGGGCTTCTGTACAGCCGCTGCAGTAGTAAAGTGGCAGTCTTTGGCCACAAATCTAGACATGGACGCCATTTTGCGGCACTTTGATCAAACACCAGGGAGGCTGGCTGGGGTTTAATCAGGCAGGCGGCTTCCTTGGAGACGGTCCAAGGGGAAGGAGAAGAAGAAACAGAGAGGAGGTGATACAACCAAAGCCAAGCCAAAATTGAGAAGGGTTTAAGGAAAAGGATAGTGATAGTGCTACCCTGTTGCTTGCAAACAAATGGGGTAAATTATTTTTTGACAATAAAAAGGAAAAAGGAGAAGGCCGTGGAAAACGATGAGAGCCACACACTCACTCCCCTCGAGCTCACACTTCTCATCCAGATGTTGCGCTAACTAATTTGGCGAAGCCGGCGCCATGCCAGCCAGAAGTTCAAATTTTTCTGCTTAATAATGGTCCCTCGGACCAGAAAGACTCCAAATTTTTCTGCTTGACTTGAGAATCCACAGATGAATTGTTTCACCACTTTTAACTCTGCGATTTCACGTTGCCTGGAGGATGAGGAAGAAGGGCCTGTGATTGGTGGGTTGTTGGATTTTTCTGATAGTGGTGAAATCTGTCTCCATCTCGTAGCCTTGGGTCGAACAATTTCTTTGTTGCTACGTAAGGTTGGTTCATTTTTCTTTGTTTCTGTTTTTGCTTATTCTTCTTCTTCCTAGTGTCACGGCTCCTCAGAATTTTGGGGTCTCTAGGAGCTGGAAAATGAGCAACATAACATAGATTTGGGTCTCCGTTAGAATTCTTATGTTTCATTAACGGTTTACACTTAAAACTACTGAATTTTAGGTCTGTTCAGTTTAGTATCATTGTTTGTTCCCGGTATCAAAATTGTTTGTATGAAATTAGGTGTTCAATTTCGATGATCTTAACATTTTTTTCCGTTGCTTTCAATTGTAATGGTTGTGATTCGCACATATCTCAACAAACCACCAACAACTATTATCATGGGATGTAAATGTAATCATGTTCATGTCTGTCTTTTCTCTATGATCCGCGAACGTAAGAATTATGTATTTTATCTTGATTATACTGATGCAAAAGGATGGATTAATTGTCGAAGTAGATTATTGTTACTCCCTTAAAAATTCACCACACTATTCTTGTTCTATGCTTTTGTTTTCTGGATTTTTTTTTATAATGGGTGCAACGGCACTCTAACTTTCATTCAAAACCAATCGTGGTACAAAAACCCTTTAACGTCATACAATAGCAGATGGGAGAGCATCGGATCGGAAATCGGAAACAAATGACAACCATAGGTAAGGTGATGGCAGGGGCGGAGGCAGTGGGTTGGAAGGGTGCCACTGCACACCCATGGATGTGGGAGAAAGAGTTAAAAATTAGTAGTTTGTAATGAAAACTTGTACATGAAACAATATTTTTAATGCTTAATTAGTATTTCTACCATCAAACTACAAGTAATAATGTATATTTAAATTATCATTAGTTATATAGATTATATCATAGTTAGTAGATGAAAAAAATAAAATCAAAATCATATGCCATTAACTCGCCATTTTAATATGTAATTTTTCAGACGATAATTATTATCTCCAACGTATAGTGACTTTTATCCTCTCACAATACAACAATGTCAACTTGTTGGGGTTCTATTATCTAACTATCTTGTCAAACATGGTTGCTAAGTCGCTCACCTCTACCATCTCATTCCAATCGACGTTACTCGGTTATCCATGATCATTAGATTGACTTTAACGTACGTAATTGTCCATGGTTTGGAATGATTAACCAACCCACAAATCATTAGTTGGTAGGACATATTGAAAATAAGGTCTTTGGTAGTCTATATGAAGAATATATATTTCAAAAGTTTATAGTAGAAAACAGTCTTAGTCATGGCAAAATAATCTCATATTAGGTTTTTTTTTTTAGAAAATTGGAACCCCCTTACATAAAATCCTGACTACGCCACTGGGTGATGGCTCTAACTAGCAAGATAATCAACACAAACATTACCCTCACGAGATACACGTGAGAGATGCGAACTTCCCAAGGTCGGGATGTGAGCTCGCGGAACCGGGAGATAATGGTTGAACAATGGTGGTCATCGATGTCGGTGCGCTGTAGGCCTGTAGCAGCTGAACCGCGCACTTCGAGTCGAGTTGAAGCAGAACCCAATGTTGATCAGTATCCCAAGCCACCTAAAGACCTTCAACAACACCCCTCAACTCAAATTATTTTGGGCTTACAAATCCCGGCCCAATTAGGCAAAAATGCTATCAAGTATGCTTTGATTGATGACTATGATGGGCTCTGGCCCTCCGTAGATAAAAGAAAATAATGTAGCCCAATAGAGTAATAGACTTGAAGTCCATGAAAACAAATATGTCCCTTGAATCCGTAACCGTTGAATCCTCTAGTGGATCCAAAATGGAAGAAGGAGACTATTGTACCTAACACGATTAGCCCAAAAAATATTCACAACCCATTAAAGGCCCAGGTTTTGCTCTTCTACTCGCCGACCCAATAACAATTTCCCATTCGTTGCCCTTATGGTTTTTTGTATTTCTTGTGTTTCATCATTCATGTGTCATGCAAATTTCAAAACCAACCAACATGCATTTCTTTGTCAATAATTTTACACTTGATATAGCATGACTATGTGAGTATAAAGGTAGTCATTTGGCTTTGTTGATAAGAAACATTCAATCTAAACGAACTATGATTATTTTGTGCTAGTTTCGAAAATCTTGTAGATGATCTATTGATACATATATTTATATGTGTACAAAGAGATAACTGTGAGATATTGGTGTGAATTAAAAATTTATGTACTTTAGTGTCTCCTGGAACGACGAAAGGAACATGAAAAGTGATGGAGCGATCCAAGTGTACTGCGACAAGGACTTTAACATGGTTCTCTGGTTGTGCATGATTTTTGCTACGCTGGAAAGCCTAATCGGGCACCACTGATTCTTTAGCAGTGCGTGTTATAGTGAGGTTGTGGAAGAAGCAAATTCGTTGGGGATCATGCAGAAGATCGACTATTGCACAGTTCGCTTCCCCACACCCAAAGTATCATTACTTTACTTAACTCGACAGAACACCATGTGTGACGAAGGAACAAATTGTGCTCTTTGACCACTATCAATCGCACAAAGATATGCCAGACAATTGAGGTGATGGAAAGCTTGCTTACAGATCTTGATCAGTTACGAATGGGAGCTGTTGAATTTCTGAGTGCTCCAAATTACTTACGGATGGTTATTTTAGCGAATGTTTTATTAGTTATAGTGGTTGTGATTGTGCAAGATCCTCTAGAATTTTTGGATGTTCCAACTCCTAGAGGGCTATTATGGTTATGCTTTAGTGACTATCGACAAAGCCAAATGACTCCCTCTATACTCATATAGTAATGCTATATTAAGTGCAAAACTATGGGCAACAAAATGAGTGTTGTTTGGTTTTGAAATTTTCACAACACATGAAATATAAGAAATACAAAAATCATTAAGAAGGAGAACCAGAAAGGTAACGGACCAAAAAATTGTTATGGGCGTATGATTTCTAGCTCAGTATGCTCGAAATTGTTAGTAGATCGACAGGTGGAAGATAATAAATTGCGCCTTTAATGTGTTGTGAATTTTTGAGCTAATCGTGTTAAGTAGACTCATATGATCTCCATAGACAAAGCTATAATGATCTCCATAGACTCATATGATCGTGATAAAGCCATGTTGGCAGAATTTTGCTAACCTAAAAAGTGATATTGTTCATCGTGGACCGGGACAATTCCACGGGAGCACGATATTGCTAACTTGAAATGTAATGTTGTACATCGATACATCATTAATGTGGACAGTGATAATATTTATGTATGAAACGTGGGGGTTAATTGTACATATATGAATTGTAGGACCGAAAGGTAATTTGGTACTATAAAAAAAGTAATTTGGTCATTGAGATTAGTAAATCGTGTTATGTTTAGTCATTAGAAAAAATTAATATAAATTTTGTTCACTCGATTACAAAAATCGGTCACATTTAATCACTCTCCTGCAAGTCCCCGTCCAGCTCCGGACACTCGAATTACTCTTTTTTTTTTGTATGAATGTCACTCGAATTACTGAAACATGTCACATTTAGTCACTCTTGGTTAGCCTCCGTCCAACTCCGTTAATGAAGTTGGACGGAAACCAACGGGAAAGTGGCTAAATATGACATGTTTCAGTAATTCGAGTGACCAAAATTAATATTGATTTTTTCTATTGACTAAACATGACATGATTTAGTGATCTCTGGCATTCACCCATAAATGAATTGGAAAATAAGAAACAATTAAGACAAAGCCCACAAGGAATCTAAATTCCAAATGCAAGAACATGCCCGAAAGACTGCTTTTGCATATTGTTTATCAGCTTATGGCGCTTGAGTGAAGTAAAGATACTATTCTTCTTATACACAAGGATGATTGATTTCCCAAAGGATTTGGAGTATTGAGTCACGAATTAAGGAAACTTGCCCTTAATTTGTCCAATGTCTAGTTTGCTTGCACACCCTACTTCGAGTTTACCATTTAAAATCTCATATTCATGGTTTAGAGCCAAAAAAACCACAAATGTCTAGTTACCATTCTAATGTCTTGCAACCCATTTGGTCAATTCTATTCGGATTTTGTTTAACCATATTCGGATCACAGATGGATTAAAAAGCGTGTTTTTGAATATCATTAGCTTATATACACAACATCGTCAAAATCGATTGTCGAGAGATGCAAAATAACCACGTCAAGAGACCAAAAAACAAACCTATTGAATTTGATCATATTCATACCCATTATTCAAACACATGCACATCCAATCCAACTTTTATGAGTTAGAAGCTCGTATTGGACGTTCGAATTTTCACCATCCTCATTCACAAGGACCATCATTGCATTTCCTTGCTTATCAACCCTGACCGAGTCCAAAATCTAAGCGATTTCATCCTTATTTTTCAAATAGATGAACACACCATCAGTCTCAATTCAGAAAAAGACTATTAAATATGGGCTCCAACATACATCGATCGATTCATTTGTAAACGTATTATGAAACAAAACAGGTATTTTTTACTATTTCTACAAACGAGTAATTTATTCTCCTCTTCCTTATCTTTTCTCCCCCACATAATATGGTACATTGATACTATCTTACAATATTCATTTAGAAGCACGGTCATACCAAATTAGTGAAGAAATCTACTATTACCGTCTTAATTTTGTTGATAAACTTTCTCTTTCCATCTTAATCTCTCTATAATTATCGTTGACCGTGGTAAATTGACAGTATATTGACAGTATATAGTGATAAATCTTCTATTTTCTAGCAAGAAATGCTGATCCTTTACCCTCGTTTTTGTACTATTAAGGAGAAAAAGGAAAAATAACAACAATAAGGAAAAGTGAAGGCGTTATGACTACTGCGGTACTGCCAGCTAGGCTTTTCCCATTTTATTTACTTATTAATTAATATATAATTATTCAATTATTATTATTATTTTTTTACGTTTTAGCTTCTTCCCCTCGTGATTCCTTCTTCTTCTTCTTCACCTTCCCCCTCCCTTTTATCGTGCCAAAATTCCAATCCCCTCTTGCTAATGGAATCTCTCCGGCGAACTCTCTTTCCGCTCAACAGTAACCGCCGGCAGAGTGTCCCGCAAGTTTGATAGCTAGCTCAGCTCAGCTTCCGTTGGTGTTAATTATTATTTTTTTTGGAATTGCTTCGTCGTTCCGTTTCTCCATCTTGCCGCATCAATGGCGAGGGTTTTCGATTCTGGTTCCGCGCTTCTCGCGTGGCTTCTTCTGGCATCGCTGCTGGTGGCGAGTGTGACGGCGGAGCCGCCGGAGGAGGAGAGGCAAGCGCTCCTCTCTTTTCTCTCACGGGTCCCACACGAGAATCGTCTCCAATGGAACTCCAACAACAACAATTCCTCCGTCTGCAGCTGGGTCGGAATCGAGTGCGACGCGGACCAGTCCTCCGTCTACTCCCTCCGCCTCCCCGGCGCCGGCCTGGTGGGTCCCATTCCGCCGCAAACCCTGGGCAGGCTCTCGCAGCTCAGAGTCCTCAGCCTCCGCTCCAACCGCCTCTCCGGCGAGATCCCGTCCGATTTCTCCAACCTCACTCTCCTCCGCAGCCTCTACCTTCAAAACAACGCCTTCTCCGGCGATTTCCCCGCGGGAGTCACTCCGCTGGCCCGGCTCACCCGGCTCGACCTCTCGTCCAACAACTTCACCGGCCCGATTCCGTTCGCCGTCAGCAATTGGACCCGCCTAACCGGCCTGTTCCTCGAGAACAACGCATTCTCCGGTCCTATCCCTTCCATCTCATCCAATTTGGTCGATTTCAACGCCTCCAACAACAGACTCAACGGCTCAATCCCTAGAAATTTGCAGCGTTTCTCCGCCGCGGCATTCGCCGGGAATCTAGGTCTCTGCGGCGGGCCATTACCTCCCTGCAGCCCCTTCTTCCCTTCCCCTACCCCATCCCCTTCCACAATTCAACCAATCCACAAGAAATCGAAAAAACTCTCCACCGCCGCCATCGTCCTAATCACCGTCGGCGCAGTCCTCGCCCTCCTAATCCTCCTCCTTCTTCTCTTCTGCTGCCTCCGCAAGAAGCAGCGACAACAACAACAACAGTCCCCCAAACCGCCGAAGCCGGTCCCCGGAGCCGCCGCCCGGTCCGTCCCCGTCGACGCCGCCGGGACCTCCTCGTCCAAAGACGACATCACCGGCGGGTCGGCCGACGCCGAGAGGAACAAGCTGGTGTTCTTCGACGGAGGAGTCTACAGCTTTGATTTGGAAGATCTGCTGAGGGCTTCGGCGGAGGTCCTCGGAAAAGGCAGCGTCGGCACCTCGTACAAGGCCGTGCTGGAAGACGGCACCACCGTCGTCGTCAAGCGGCTGAAAGACGTGGTGGTTACGAAGAAGGAATTCGAGATGCAAATGGAGGTTCTGGGGAAAGTTAGGCACGACAATGTGGTTCCGTTCAGGGCTTTCTACTTCTCCAGAGACGAGAAGCTGCTCGTCTCCGAGTACATGGCCGCCGGCAGCTTGTCGGCGCTCCTCCACGGTACGTTTATTTGGCACAAATTTTTTTTTGTTTTTTACAAAATTATTTAAATTTCGGTAAAAATATTTAATTCCATGTAGATATTTATTTTCGGTGGGTGATAAACTGATAAATGATTCCCCACCTAATTCTGTCCTATTTAGGTTGGGGTTTTCCAGCTTGACCAGAGAAATAAGTAATTATCCCATTAGGGGTTATTATCGATTTATTACTTAATATTTAACTATTCATTTACGTTAGTATTAATGTATTGTATTGTAATTAATTAAAAAGCAAATTCTAACTTCAGCAGTAGTCTACACACGGTAGAATACACCTAATTATCAATCAACGAGGCGATAATCATACAAGAAAACAACATAATTATCGTTCTGTAGGTTGGTAATTAAGTGTTTAACCATGTTTTAGACTCTTGCTGTCGTCAGAATTTGTTTCCCGGATTAATTATAATTATCGTCATTAGGCTAACGTGGATGATGAATTTGTTCGCATGTTGTAGTGGGATTTATTTATTTATTGTAGAAAAGAGGGACCATTAAGCTGGAATGTTGGTTGACAAATGGACATTATTAAGGTTGTAATAATTAAATATATACATGTGAAAATAAATTAGGGTTCTATGAGACTGGTGATTAAAAACAAGAAAACATTCTTAAGAGTGAGGTATACGAGTTTGGTTGATTTGATTATTTGTTTTAATTCCCTTTTGTGCCCTCTTGGCTCTCTGATACGCCATTGAAGGCTCATGATTTGGCACCAATAGAGACAGGGCCGGCCAAGAGGGTGTGCTGGCCCGCCCTCAGGGCCTCAGAATATTAGGGGCCTCTACTTAGATTCGTTAGTTACCGATCGTATATTGTAGGTTGTATTTTTAGTGTATGATTGATTGATTATGAGTATGATGATGTGTTTAATAGATAATTTTAACTATAATAACAATTGAAAAGGATCTCATGGAGAATAAGAAAATCTAAAAAATAATAGATAATTTTAATTTAAACAATATAGAAAGATATTACATTTTGAATAATGTTATTATAATCATTTTAGTTTTATTATAGTTAAAGGTCGATTTGGACCACGTCTAGATTTTGAAATAGGGCCTCCACGATCTAGTAGACAACCCTGCACCCACCTCTCGATCAATTTAGACTATTTTCATTTCTCCATTCAATTTTTGAGCTATATCCATTTTCTCTTCCTTCCAGATTTACTTTCCTTCCTACTAGGGCTGGGAATTCGGTATTGGTTTCTTGGTCAAACTGAAAACGAGATCGTTTATTCCTGATGTAATCTTTTTCTGAACTTAAGTATTTTTTACAATTATTTACTAATTTTTAATTTTGATAAATTTATGAAAAAAAAAATGAGGGCTACATTTTAAATTTTCGAACAGGGCCTCCAAATATCATGGACAACCCTGAACAGAGAATTCAATCACCGCTGCCACTTCCATTTCCCTCTTACTAGTTGTTTTGTTTAGTTGTTCTTATTTCCCCTTCCACTGATGGCTCTAATGATTAAAGAAATGGCGCCCCAAACCGTCCACCGACATCATTCGGTTTCTCCCTCCCACCACTTTTACTTTCCTTTCCCTTTCTTCAATATATCCTCTTCTCTGTGTCCTTTTTTTTACTGCGGGTTAGAACTTTACACACTACTTTAACTGTGGGTGTAAATGGTGATGATGAGCAAGTGAGGAACATAGGATTCAGTGGAGTTGCGCTTTCCTTCTTCCTTTCTTTTTGATCAGTGTGGTGCTGTAATGGGGTGCCAGAACTGAAGCTGTCTGAGTCCGAGCCTGAGCTTGAGTCATGACCCTTTTCTTTGATGAACTCGTACAGTGGGCAGCCATACTTTGGACTTTCTTCTTTTTGAGTGCAAGTATCTTGTTCTCTTCGCCGATGAACGTGGCCTGTTCTTTTGACCATTTTTTAACCTAGGGAAACCGTGCTTACTGTCCTCTTCTGCACTAGTTCGAACTTTGGATCCTCCCTCCCACCGTTCATTCATATATGCTTAAACAAATGAGCTTTCCTTTACTTGGGAAGAAGATACCTTCACTTCAGAAAGTTGGGGACTGTTGTGTATACTGTAATTTCAAATCCAGTCCAATGTTAGCGATGGAAAGTAGTTGTTTGGTTAGGGCTTGTAATGATTCATCAACCATTATCACGACTTTTGTGGTTGATGGGATCATTACATTTGCTTCAATTCTTGCATATTTCACTTAAAAAGTACCAATTTTACTGTCAATTTCACTGGTTTTGATTCAACTTCGTTACCATCATGAAACTGGGTTTAACTTCTAGTCCATTTGGCTCTGTTTTCTTTTTCTCCCCAATTCTGCAGGAAGCCGAGGCTCAGGCAGGACGCCACTGGACTGGAACAGCAGAATGAGCATAGCATCAACCACAGCCAAAGGCCTCGCCCACCTCCACTCTGCAGGCAAACTACCCCACGGCAACATCAAATCCTCCAACATCCTCCTCCAAGCTCACCACCACGAGGCCTCTGTCTCCGACTACGGCCTCAACCCGCTCTTCGGCACCACCGCCCCGCCCAGCCGCGTCGCCGGCTACCGCGCCCCCGAGGTCCTCGAGACCCGCAAGGTCACGTTCAAGTCCGACGTGTACAGCTTCGGCGTCCTCCTCCTCGAGCTCCTCACTGGGAAAGCCCCCAACCAGGCCTCCCTGGGGGCAGGGGACGAATCCGCGGGGATCGACCTGCCGCGGTGGGTCCATTCGGTGGTCCGGGAGGAGTGGACGGCCGAGGTGTTCGACGTGGAGCTCATCAGGCACAACAACATTGAGGAGGAGATGGTGCAGCTGCTGCAGATTGCCATGGCGTGCGTGGCCACGGTGCCCGACCAGCGGCCCGAGATGGCTGAGGTCGTGAGGATGATTGATGAGGTGAACAGAGGGGATGTCTCGACGACGACGACGACGGATGATGGGTTGAGGCAGTCTTCCGATGATCCGTCGAAAGGCTCCGACGGTCAGACTCAGACTCCTCCCGCTGAGTCCAGGGCAACTCCTGGTAGTGCCAGCGCCGTTACGCCGTGAAGTGCGGTGTTAGTTCTGTTTCTTTTTTTAAGGGAAAAGAGAAAGGAAACGTCGTCGTTTGGGGAGGAGATGTGCACAGTGTTCATAAGTAAAGTGGGATTTTTATTTTGTTTGGGTTTATATCGATTTTTGGAGGGTCTTTTGGGGGTTTCCAATATTTTTATTTGTTAGTTTCTGACATTTTTTTTTATCTATTCCCAGAAATGTCAACTTTCAAAGATTATTTTTTTTTACCGGTGGGGTGAATGGGAATTGGTGGTAGTTCCATGATGAATGAAGTGGCTGGAATTTAATTTAACCATACATATTTATTGACCAATTTTGGAATTTAATTTAACCATACATATTTATTGACCAATTGTTGGACTGTGATGCAAAAATTGACAAATCGTAATATCAGAATTTCTTTTTTTGTCGGAGTCTAAATTTATAAATGTTATTTGGCGATATGTAACTGTAATGTGCAGTGCAACTGACAGGTATTTCCGAATGGATCAACATCAAACTACGAATTAGCCAGCCACCTCCACATCCCGGTGTTTCCGTTCCAACATAGCCACCCACCTCCATATATTGGGAGACCATGCATAACCCATAATTGCTGGATCGTGTGTAGTCTATCCTTATCTCCTAAAAAGAGTTTCCTTTATGGACTGTCTTAACCAAGCTGAGGTTAATATAATTACGTTTTCTGAGTTCTTGAGAATGGGGTAAATTAGATAAATATCAAAATAAGGATGCATGTCCATGGTTTACTCTCAATTTTCGGTCCATCTGTATCTTTATCGTGTATCGTTGTCGCATGTGATTTCGTAGTGGTGATCCGACAACTGAATTGTAGGTCGGTAGAAGATTTTTGTTGGGCGGTACCCTGCTTCGAGAGTGTCGCCAATTATTGGAGCCATGTTCTCATTGTTTAGATTTTAGGACAGTTCCGCGAACTACCAACTTAACTGTGTCTAAGAAAGTAGCACGTGAAGCTCTGTCATTGGAGTTATGTTCAGTAATTGTTGCTAACACAAGATAGTGGGAAATGAGATGGACATATCATACCGCAATCACGAACTCACACACCCACCACTCTCTATGTTATGTCACAAAACATGGTCCTTTTTGCTTTATGTATCTTCTTTAAATACGGGATTTGTTTCATAGGTGGGTGTGTGTCTTCATGATGATCATATTGCCTGTCTGTAGGGCAGAAATGAAAGCTAAATTTGGCCCACATTTTCGATAAATCAATGTCATCAATCATCTATTCCCTTTCACAATAAATTAACCACTTGGAATGCATGGGGGGAACAATAAGCCAAAGCTGGTCCAAAACCCTAGCTAGAAAATGAAAGAAAGGACATAGAAATGTCAAAAGAGTAGCTACTTTCGCACACAAATTATACATTGATATTAATAACTTGTGTTTGGGTTTTGGTGATCGTGATGGTGGAAGAGGAGGAATGATATTTTTATCGAGCCATCGAGGGTTAGTTTCGAATGCAAAACCAGCATTATAGTTGAGTTGATATGACTCGAGTATGGTCGTCAAAGATACTACTTTAGACAGTTCATTCTGAATCGTGACTACATTAGCATTTTATGCCATTTACTGTGTATGTGTTTCTTTTTTTTAGCTAGCTAGCTAGATGGCCGCATTACCCCATGTGACATGTCTATCGCGATCACAACTTTGTAATATGCATTTCCTACTAGGGGCATACATCGCTTTTTGGATTTTCTTATGTATTGATAGTCTGGCTCATCGTTTGGCCTGCTAGATAATGTACAATACCTTTCAGATTCCAAAATTTCAAATTGGTTAATGATACAAGATGAGTGGTGATTGAGAAAGAAGGAGTTTAGAGAGGAGTGACGATAAACACGATGAAGAAAAAAATCGTTAGAAAACTACTAGTGTTAGTGACCATTTTGAAATTGTTCCATAAACCATGTTAAGAACATAGTGCACTCAATATCATGTGCTATTCCATAGCATCATTCATGGCCTATATAAAAAAGAAGGGAGTTGGAGAGAATGATTGGAGAAAGTAGTCATTCAATAATGGCTAATATTGGATGCAAGCAAGCCTATAAAGATGAACTCCATATGCTTTTGTTGGCTATGTAATTCCCTTTACTTTTCATAATATTAATAATACTATATCAACCTTATATAGAAAAAAATATTAGATGCAAGCAAAGCTCCAAATCCAAACTCCAAAACACAAACCTCACTCAACTCAATTTGCCCTAACTTAGGAACATTAGTTATTGGATTGTGGGCCTTGGAATAGGAACAAAGTTAAATCTGTTCCAGGCTAAGTGCCAATTAAGCAAAAATGATCCTTTTATAATCTTCATCTCCCCCAACAACTGGCCAGTAATCAACTAGTCCCCACTTGCAAATTCCTTCCATAATATCCCTATCTTTACTCCCTACACGTTCCCTTTTCTCATGTAACTTTCCAATCATACAATTAAACCTAACTTAGCTTTCCAATCTCTAACAATTTTTTTTTATGTCTAGCAATTCTTGAATCTAGTTTATATGTTGGATATGCGTCACTGTCATTGGATTGCACGACCCTCCAATCTCAACAGTTAGATACATATAGTGGTGCGTTTGGAAATATATCTCTATAAGAATCCGACAGCTGAAATCGTAGGTTGAACAATTCAATGATGTGGCCCATGCAGATACTTACACTTTCAGTATGCTAAAAAAAATTCCAAATTCCTTACACTAGCTAGTATTCGGTCAATTTCTCATACGTTTTCAAGTTAAATTACCTTCTACTCATAGTTTAATATGATAAATTAAACTTAAAACACCATGATTATCAACTGAATCACTAAGATAAATGTAGATCAAGAGTGCACCACAAGGCAAAGCAATGCCATTTATAGATGCTATGCTTTACCTTGCATTGCCTTGAGAGCTCATTAGAGAATAGTGTGTTCAATGTCAAACTGTAGCCTCTTTCCCTTTTAACCATAATTGCATCTGTCGAAACACATAATTATCAACTCATCTTAATCCTCTAGTATCACTATGATTTCTGGATTAGCTGAACTCAAATCATTCAAAGTTTGTACATCACAATGTGGGAACATTATTATATGACTGAAAGGGATTTCAATTTCATCTTTTGCTTTCTCCTATTTCTGACTTACAGGGTATATCCCTTTCTCCACCTTTTTTCAACCCTTTGGCCCCTCCCCAACAATTCTGCTCCGAATCCTATCCTACAGGCTACACAGCTTCAGCTTTTCAGATGGCCAACACTGTTACCCCAAAGCTGAAACTAGGAGCAGAAAGCAGACCTGGAGGATTATCAGTAAAGTAGTTACTGAAATTGGGAGGTTTCCTTTTCTGATAAAAGACAGAAGATGAAAGTTCCATATCAGCCCATGACTTGTGTGCCATTGTCCCACCTTCTTAGCTGGTGCCTTGTGAACAAAGGATCAAAGGAAACTCCATGTTGGGATGATGTGCTCAAGGTTTGCCATGAGATATCAAGAGGCAAGACATTAGCTGGCATTGTCAGCAAATATACATTATCTTCACTATGGGCATGAGAGATTACAAATGTTCAAAATAGTAAGAGCAGACTTGAGAGTCAATTCCTAGTGGCTGATACAAACAAATGCATGAGAGTTGTGAAGATATTCGTCAAGAGCTTCCATGGATCCTTTAGTTTGAACCGCACTGTGTTGTTCCCTGAATTCGAACTCAGACGGCCTGAAGCTTGCTCTTCAGACAACACTTCATCAGTCATCACCTTTTCTGTCGCATGTTTGTTTGAGACTGCTGCAGAGGCTCTAAATCATTCAGTTTCAGATGTAAGACACTGCTAAATCATGAATTCCAGAATTCGATCCCGAATCTTGCTTAGGGTGGCATTTAAAACATCTCTTTCTCCAAGTTCGACTAGATGCCTTAGCAGTCCATGCTTAAGAGAACCTTCATCACATGAGGAAAACATTAGGTGCAATGCCTGCATTTGAAAATTACATCTGTGTATCGTCAAATTCTTTCCTACAGGTCATGCCTTAAGACAAAGCCATATATTGCTTTCACGTCTTGCAATGATGCTCGATCCATACCATTATTGCAGAGTGTGCTAATAATGCTTATAATATTGGATCTTAACCCAGATTCTTGAATTTTCTGGACCAAATCATCACAAGAACTATTCAGAAGGAGACCGGAAACCAGACTGGTCAAAGTTGTCAAATTCGCAGGGATGTCAGCCGACTGCATTCTTGAGAACAAGTATCTGGCCTCATCCAAATCTCCATTTCTAACACATCCCAGAATAACTGCATTCCAGGCGGTGACATCTTGTGGCACACTCTCCAGCTGCATCTCATAAAACAGCCTCAAGGCCTCACCTATCTTCCCGTTCTCTACATAGGCAGTCAACATTGTGTTCCAAAAAACAGTATTTGTGTTGACTGCAGAGTCAAAAACTCGTCGTGCATCTCCTATTCTCTCACATTTTCCATACATATCCACAATGTTGCTTGCCACCACCACATCAGAATCAAGGTTGTTTCTAACACAAAAACAGTGAGCTTCTTTACCGAGCATTGTGTTCTTAGTATGAGAACAAATGGCTAATATGGAAGCGAGAGTCACAGAGTCGAATCTCAAGTTCTCTAGTCTCATCAAGCGGCACGTATCGAGTGCCTTTTCAACTTGGAGAAGTCGAACATAACAAGAGATCAATAGATTCCAGGTCACCTCGTCCCTCTCAAGCATCCTGCTGAAAACCAACTCAGCATCCTCAATCAGCCCAACTTTGGAATAGAAGTTGAGAATGGAACTCCCCATGATCTTGTCCAACCCAAACCCATAACTCACAGCAATACCATGCCCTTGCTTACCTTCCTCAACGGCCCCGACATTAGCCGAAGCCGAGAGCAAGCTCAACAAAGTGACATCAGTAGGCTCAAAATCTTCCAATCTCATCTCCAAAAACAGATCAATTGCCTCCTCGTTACACCCATTCTGCGCATACCCAAAAATCATCGAGTTCCAAGTAACCGCATTTCTCTCAGGCATTTCATCGAACACCCTCCTCGCATCCTCCAAAACCCCACACTTCCCATACATATCAACAAGACTGCTGCAGACAAACACACAAGCATTCAACCCCATCTTCAACGACAACCCATGAACCCCTCTCCCCACCCCAATCCACTGCAAAGCCCCACAGGCCTTCAGCACATTCGGCACCACGAAATTATCAACCATAAACCCACTCTCAATCATCTTACAAACACCCATCACAGCCTCCACATTGCTCCCCATCCGACTCCTCAACCCAATCATAGCAGCCCAAGAGAACACATTCTCCGCCCTCAGTCTCCCGAACAACCCATCCGCCGCCTCCAGGAGATCGCATTTCGCGTAAAAGATCACCAATTTCGTCTCGATGTACTCGTTGTTCGCGAACAGGGGTCCACTCTTCACAATCCTGGCGTGGATTTGCCGACCGGTTGAGAGATCCCTCTGCGAGACGCATCCCTGAAGCAGCTCGCTGTAGACTTCCTGCCCCACGAAGTAGCTTTTGAGTTCCATGTCGTTGAGTAGGCGGAGGGCTTCCCGGACTCGGCCCTGCCTGCAGAGGAATGAGATGCCGCGGAAGTAAGAATTGTAGCCATCTCGGCCGGTTTGGGTTGGGTTGATCAGAAGGGTTTGCTTGAAATTGAGAGATTTGCGGAGATTGAATATAGGGGAACCGGGGCTTGGCGCGGCGGTGGTGGTGATGGGAAGAGACGCCATGAAAGCCGATGTGGTGGATATTGTGGTGCGGGCATTGTTTTTCGTTGGCTCATAAAGCGAGAATCTCTCGTAGTCTTGGATAACTGATTTTAACGGAAATCTCTTATCCTTTTTATATAAATACATTTTTATTAAATAATAAATTAACAATAGTGCCATTCAAAATATCAACAGCGTTTGTAGTCCAACGGTTAGGATAATTGCCTTCCAAGCAATAGACCCGGGTTCGACTCCCGGCAGACGCAATCTATTTTTTTTTTCTGACGCGATACCAAAAGATATCGCGATATTTAACGAGTTTTTGTCGATTTATTTAGGTACCGGCGATATTTTGACACGGAAAAGAAATATAAAATCCGCAAGTTCTTGCTTAATGGGTTCAGTAGGATCGATTCGTGCCGGCGGTGGGTGAATTCCAGTCGGAGGCTTAGGTCAGTTTGGGGAGCTGCCTGACGGAAGACTACCCAATTTCCCAGCCCCTAATTCGTTCCGATTTCTCCTGTCCCTGCAACGTAATGTTGGGCAGACAATCAGGGAAGAGTAAGCGACCGGAGAAGAGCCAGATGGAAGAAGAATCAAGGAGAGCTGGGAGCGGAGAAAGGAAGACGGAGCCGCCGCGGGCTAGATAGCGGAATTGGCGCGGGGAGAATGAGGAGCGAAGAAGGGATTCTGGTGGGATCAAGAGAGAAGGGATTTCAGGGGGGGGGGGGGGGGGGGGGGGGGGGGGGGAGATTTGGATTGATGAGGGTTCTGCTGCTCTTTTTTTACTTCCCCGTCTCTCTTCTGAAGAACGTGTCAATGTGGTTAGTCCAGTTCTTTCTCTATTAGTACTGTCATCGAAGAACAATTCTCAACCGCAGCAGCCACCTTAGCAGTTTTCATGATCCCATCATCACGTTGTTGAAATTGCACATGATGAATGAGAAGCCATGGTGGCGAAGTAGTAGTCATGGTGCTGCTGTCGAGAGTAAATGGTCCGAGTTTTGTTACTGGTCGGAATCTCTGCTGCTGTTGCTACTGATAGATGGTGGATTAGTGGTGGAATTGACCACGAGGAAGACCGATAGTTACACCTCGATGTTGATATGCAGCACGACTCTGTGCCTGTGGTCGAAATGAGGGTCCTCATTGTATATCCTTCACAACACAAACTACTTCCCCTGTTGTCTCATATGCATCACAAATCATATAAAAGTGAGGAAAAGCGTTAGACATATGCTGCATATTAGTTACCTTAACCAAAGATTTCACTGATGCAGGTATAGCACATGGATCCATCTGGCACATTCTGGCAATGCACTGCAAAGGGATATTGGTTCAGGTTCTGAAGGTGCAGATAGGTATCTCCCAAGAGCAATATAACAAGGTTGTCATGTTTCTCGCTCTTATCTTGTTCAGATTCAAAGCGATCATTAACCTAAACAAGTTAAAAACTTAGCAAATTCACCATGCTCGAACTTCAAAACTTTAATTCTTAAAATAAACTCCTTCAGTAATATTCTGATCTCAAATCCGCATATTCTCAAAACATAAAGTCCAAACAAGGCATAAAGGGACAAGAGAATAGATCAGCATAGATTTTGATCCAGTTTGCTACTACAAGCTAGCATTTTTTTTAATGGTGTTTGAATAGAAGGGTCTTTTGGCTTATCTTTAGTCTTCATATTTACATAGTTTAACTTCGTATGTTTCCCATACAGAGTAACGAGTAAAAAACAAAATTGATGATGTATAATTGTCATATTTTTTAAAAAAAGGTACAAATACTGATTGAAGTCCAAATGCAACGCAGTTGTGAAGTCAACTTTTTCTATGGAAAACCCTTTTCATTTTTATCTGCAGGTCTAGGAAGCAATGATGTGAAGTATAGAAGAAAACGATGAACACATAGCTACAAAGCAGTAGACGCCAATCATAGTTGAAGTTAACTTAATTAGCCTATGTAAATTGCAATGCCTAATATAAGATTCATATTTGGACCTCTTCCTATAATTCTAGCGGGACGAATTGATTCTTGATATAGGGGGGATATTCTTATTTGCGGAACAAATGGGTTTTCGATATAGGGGGTCGGTTCTGTACTAACTTCAAGTTTATTATTGGTTTATAAACTAAGATAATAAATTTATTTTAAGCAAGATAATATCAATGAGACAACAAGACTTTAAGCCTACCCTTTCTCCTGCCTATATATGCATAGAGATCCCAGGTGATAATATGCTTGATTGTCAAGTAGTCTATAGCTAGCCATAAGAGAGAGTTTACGATCAATATGGTAGTTTCCCAAAAGACAGCATATTTTTGTTGGTTGATTGTGTTCATAAGGGTGATGGTGTTGTTTGTGATGATGACAGAATGGAAGGGCTGTGATGGTTGCTTGGAGAACGAGAGAGCTGGTCTTCTTCATATCAAGGCCTCCTTTGGTAATTTGGATTCCTGGGGCACAAGAGCAGGAAGGGCCATTGAGGACGAATGCTGCAACTGGGTAGGAATTAGCTGCAATCCAGCCACGGGAAGGATTACTGATCTCGATCTCGATGATATCACTTCTCCTGATGGTCATGATGAGTTTTACCTGAATGCTTCTGTGTTTCTGCCTTTCCAAGAACTGAAAAGCCTTTCACTGGAGTACGGTTACCTGACTGGGTGCATGGAGAATGAAGGTTTCGATCTTCTCATCTTTCTGGTTAATAACCATGGCTTTGCTTATGTATGTTCATTAGAAAGTTATCAATCTGATATTTGTTTGTTGATGCAGGATTCGAGAAATTGTTGAAGCTTGCTCATTTAGAACGTTTGGATTTGAATCATAACAGATTCAACAATGATATTCTGTCACCTTTGAGCACTCTCGTATCGTTGAAGCACCTGGAGCTTTATGAGAACGAACTGTCAACTAATGTTGCAGGTAAATTGTAGTCTGCAGCTTGCTTGGATAAAGGCCAATTCTCATGTAGTTTTTTGTTTTGTTTCTGCCATGAACGACATGTAAATTGATTGATGATTCTCAGGCCTGGAAGAATTATCAAAACTTCCTAACTTGGAGCACTTGAATCTAGGCCGTAACAAGAGGTTGGGGAACAGCATTCTATCACTTTTGAGTAGCATCTCGTCTTTGAAGTCACTGACGCTATCTGCAGTTGGATTGAATGGGACAATCAGCGTCTATGGTACACCGTGGATCTCGGCTTTCACATCATATATCTTCATCATTTGTTAATGTCATGAATGAGTTTGCGAATCTTAATGAATCTTTGTGAACCTGACAAATTGACGTTAACAAATGTTTGATGTTAGTTAGGTTTACAAACTCACTATTGACCATTTACAAATGACGATGCTATGTTGTACGTACTATGCATCCGAAATCAGAGATATATAGTATACGATAGATAGACTTGCCCCTTGGATACAATCCAAAATATTATGGTGCAAACTCTAATGCTTCGTTTTCAATGTATTTGTAAAGGCTTAGGGGCTTTGATCAATTTGGAGGCAATTGATTTAACTGGAAACGACATTGTATTGAAAGGTACGTACCAACCATATCAACCAGATAGCTTTTTCTGTTCAATGAGAGATTATAGTGATTGCTTCTTGTAATCACTCAGTAATTTGCCCATTTTCTGTTCTTGATTGATAATCTTTGTGCAACAGATTTGGATGCCTTTACAAACTTGAAGACTCTTACTATTGATGCAAGTTGTCTTACAGAACTTCAAGGTTAGTTCAAATTAAAGTAAGCTAATTCACTTTTTTGTGTAGAAAGACGATTAGACGAACGTAAAGGGACGTTCTAACCCGTATTATTAATTTTAATGTATGCACAGGTCAACTAATTGATTAACACTAATTCGACCACATTGATTGGTGGAATATATATGATCATATAGGGATTCCTCATATGACCCATTTGGAGGAACTACAATTGCAAGGCTTCTCAATGTCTGAAGACAGCACTTTGCTTCAAAGCCTTTCAACACTTCCTGCTCTTAAAATTTTGGGGTTTTCAGGATCTGACCTACATTCTCAAGGTAATGTACTTCATTACCATACCAATGAAATACTGAGTGATTTTGGATATTAATTATACTGACTGAATAAGAACATCATCTTTACATGAATAGGATGGCTGGTCAAGTTGGAAAAGTTGGAAAATCTGACCATATCTAATTCTATTGCGCAAGGTGACTTCCTTGAGACCATTGGCACCATGATGACCAATCTTAAGAGTCTAATAATTGATGGTTTGTCTCTCAATTCGACTCTTCCTCAAGGTACGTACTCTGATTTTATATATGTTTATGAAGTTTTTTTCTCTGCAGTCAGATTGGGGAATTTATTTTCTTTTGTGTCTGCATTAATGAATCTAGGTTTATGCAACTTGAAGGATATGGAAGTATTAGACCTCTCGAGTAGCAACTTGAGAGGTGAGCTACCGTGGTGCCTATCGAATTTTACTTCACTTCGAGTATTCGATATCTCTGGAAATCGAGTGTCAGGAGATATCGCCCAGTCTCCTCTTACGACGCTCTTCTCCCTCGAGAAGATCGACGTTTCTGGTAACGATTTCCGAATCCCGCTCTCCCTCTCCCCATTTTTCAATCATTCCCACCTCCAGTTCTTTGGTGGGTATGACATTCAAGAGATATATGGAGACCATCATATCAAACAACAGCAACATGGTGCACCACCATTGCTACCACCTCTGTTCCAACTGGAAGTACTGGGTTTGTCTTCAAGGCACGATGATGGTGAATATGTTGGCTCATTTCCCAACTTTCTCTACCATCAACGTAACCTAGAACATGTCTTCATATCGAACAACAGAATGAAGGGAGTTGGGTTTCCATGGTGGTTGTTGCATAACAACACTAACTTAGTAGAGATCAGTTTGGTCAATTGTTCACTTTCAGGGCCTTTCGAACTGCCAATCAATCTCCATCCCCATGGAAGACTACAAGTATTAGATATATCCAGCAACAACTACATCCATGGCCCCATTCCTCCTCATCTTTGTGCATTCCTTCCGATGTTAGGACTGTTATACATTTCCGACAATCAGCTCTCTGATATTATCCCTGAAGAACTCTCAAACTGCTCCTTTTTAGAAGTCCTAGATGCCAGTAACAATCGTCTCTCGGGCGAGATTCCAGGACGAGTTTTCGATATGCCCGAGCTCTCCCTCCTCGACTTGTCGAGGAATAATATCACTGGAAGTTTGCCACTAGGTTTCATTTCTCCATGGATATCTGAAGTTTACTTGTCGAGAAATCGACTGCGAGGAACCTTATCATCACATGGAGCAGAGCCTGGGAACTATATGTTGGAAGTCTTGGATCTTAGCCACAATAACTTGGAAGGTACCATACCCAAATGGATTGCAGGATTCCCTCAGCTAACCTATCTCTTGTTGAACAACAACGGGTTTTCAGGTGAAGTTATGATGGCTTTTTGCTTGGAGCAGTTGAGGTTGATTGATGTTTCTCATAATCACCTGTCTGGTCACCTTGCCTCTGCATTCACATCCAACACCAGTTGTGGTGATAGAATGAACTACATCTCCCCTTCTCGAAGTCTGGAATTCGTCAGTAAAACACATTTGTATACTTATAATGGTGTGCCCCTTGACTTGATGTGTGGCATGGATTTCTCAAGCAACAGTTTTGTTGGGGAGATCCCTCTGCAGATCGGTAGCGACCTCATCGAAATCAAAGTGCTCAACTTATCATACAACAAGCTGACGGGATCGATCCCTTCCACTCTGTCAAACCTGCAACAGATCGAGAGTTTGGATCTTTCGAACAACAATCTCAGTGGGGTGATTCCGCCTCAACTCACCGAGCTAAGTTATCTTGCATCTTTCAGTGTGGCATACAACAATTTGTCTGGTAACTGTCCTAAACAGACTGCACAGTTCATTACTTTTGATGAAAGCAGCTATCGAGGAAATCCTTTCCTTTGCTGCACTTTCCCTATACGACCAGAAGAACCATTACCAGGGCCATGGGGGTCTTATGACAGAGATGACGATGGTGATGGAGGAGGTTTTGTTGATATGGAGACGTTCTACATAACTAGTGGAGTGACTTATGTTATGATATTGTTGACAATTGCTAGTGTTTTGTATATAAATCCGAATTGGCGACGAGTATGGTTCTACTATGTCGGAGTCACCATTACTAGTTGCCATCATTTTACGGCGAACAATCTTCCTGTGTCGACCGAGTACAAAATGTGGAAGTTTCATGCATAGTAGTATTGAAATTCTTTCGTTTTAAGTCTTTTTATAGTGGAATTTCGTGTACCCGTCATTATATTTCCTGGTATGGAATCAAGTTGATTATGTAATTTGTCAATTGGGTTAACCGATGGTTACTAACCGGCTAGCATTCGATAAGGGAATTTCTTGTTCGCCAACCGCGCCATTAGCCGATAAATCGTTTAAAATTCCTCGTTTTTGTGTGATCTCTTGACTTGTACATAGAGGTCATCTGTTAGACCTTGGCGCTTTTTCTATTTGTTTATCATACTCATGGTCATACATTGATCGCTTGATCATGTATGACTCTATTGACGGCTTCGTAGTCCATTCGAGCAATAGTGAATAGCACATAGAAGATAGAAACATGATGATTCCATGTATTTGAGGGTCCATAAGCTGACACCAAATCAATGCATAGTTAAATGGGTAGTAATGGAATGGAGAAGATTTCTGATTACGTGTGGAATATTGGTGAGATGCTCTTATCTTCTCCAAGAGGAATTTTAGAAAGAAATGTACTTTCCAATTGACAAATTATTATGAATTTATTATGATAATAACAAGTCAAACAACAATGCACTCAGAAGACCATGCAAATGCAAAAGAAGAGATGAGGTACATAACTTTACGCTCTCCGAACAAATTGAGTTATTGAGAGCAAACAATTTATGAAAATTAACGATACCTACCACGACTCATTCCCATACTCTCTATAAACATCTCTAGGATTTGAGCTAGCTATACACAGCTCAAAGGTTCCCCTTTGAATTGCAGGAGAATCAAGACCACATAAAAGAAATACTTTGAAGAACCCAAATGGCTGAAAGAAGAACCAACACACATTTTTCTTTCTATCAAGATAAAGCATACCCAGAGAATCCAAATTCTGCTAATAAAAAACCCACTACATCTAGCCAGTAATAAAACATCAGTGCATGCATGTAACTAACAGAAACCCTAACAGAAAGCCATTATTCTTCAGACATAAAATAAAGGGCGAAGAAGAAGAAGAGAAAAGACAAGAAAGAAAGAAAGAAAGAAAATAATCCATTTCATAGCTAAGTGGATGAATTACCCAAAAGGGAATTCAAGTGCATAATCATGGAAGTAAATTCATATTCTGAGCAGAGAAGTCCAGTTTGGTGATTCTTCAGGAGAAAGCTTACTCCCGTAAATGTACCCATCACAAGCACCATAATCTCTATTAACCACAACGAATGAAACAGCCAAGTCTCTCCAGTGGTGAGGAGCCAACTTTACATTTGAACAGGGCAACTACAGATAAGTGCTATAGAAGCATATACTAAATCGGTGGCGACTTGACAGACATAAACCTTATAACAACCTGTCAGGAGTAGTTGCCGGACCGAGAACTACAATATGGCGCAGTAATGTTTTCAGAAGCAGCACTCCTCCATCACCCAACAGCAACAGACAGCAGCCAAACTGCACATTGCAAACAACATATCATCCAGTCAAAAAGTTCCACTACCTCAATCCAATTCCACAGAATTATGATTGATATAAGACTTGACTCTTATCTACTTCATTCACGATCTTTTTTCAATTGTTGAGAAAACGTCAAGTCCGTGAGCAGGATGTTAGTGTACAATGCAGGGCAAACCAGAAATCACAGCTGTGAAGCACTCCAAGAGCTTCTCTCCATTACCAATGAGCCACTTCAGCTAAACTGAGCTTGACCAGAATTATATTAGCAGAACCCTTGGAAAAATTTTATTAATTTCAGCTAGTAACTACGTCAGTTTGCGCTCTGTTTACTAGGAATCTAATGTCTCAAGAGAGAACCAGTGGCACCGCAAGGGACCCTTTGATAATTATCTCATATATTTTGAGTGATATAACAAATGCCCTGTGCCATGCTCTTGGTTGTCAGAGAAAGAGAGTACTTTGCAACAAAGGAGCAGAAAAGAGAGCTAAGAAGCGGAACAAAAAGATTGAATGCATTCAAACCTACGCATATACTTGGTGGATTTTATGTTATCCCAATTGAGCTGCACGTTATGCAACTTGCTTTGTAGTGCTCGATTGCCTATACTACAGCTCTTCTCCATCAGATCATCACTTAACAACACAGCAGAAGGCCGCGATGATGCGCCATCACGTTTTGCAGGACCAATTTTTGCAGAGGACCTAGTTATTAACATCTGGAGCTGTCTCACAAGAACTGATCTTTTGAGTCACAGAACGATCTAAAACACTACCCTTTTAACCACCTACCTAGTACTCCCACGATCCAATCCCTACCGTAATTCTAAAGTCAACCTCGCAAACATTTTGATAAGTCAACTTTCTGGATCAAGAAAAGGCAACCCTCAAAACCACTGACCGCAGAAATCATCCAGAGGATCAGCCCAAGTCACAATCGGCGAAAACCCAATTCAATCAAACCTTCCAATTTGAAGACAAACGTATTTGGGTGGGGTGGGTGAAAAAAAAGGACGTACCAGCCGCGGAGGAACGAAGCTTCGGAATCGTCGTTATTATAGTGGTGGTGGTGGTGGTCATAGCTCTGGTAGTTCTGGTATTGATTGGGCGGATGACGGGGCGGCGGCGGCTGCGCGGGATACCCCGGCGCGGAGAAATACCCTTGGTAGCCATCGTACCGGTGCTGATGCTGAGGTGGACGCGGTGGCGGGTACTGAGGAGGGTATCCGGGTCGTGGCGGCGGAGGCGGGTAGCCTTCGGTCTCGTACTGCGGTGGTGGATAGACTTGCGGCGGCGGGTACGGTGGCGCGTCCCCTGTTGATGAAAAAACAAACCCATATCAGGTTTAATGGAAGCTGGAAGATTACAAGGACGATGGGGAAAACAGAGGTATTGAATTCGATTTACCGTGAGGAGCAGGAGGAGGATACGGATCGCTGGGGAACTTCTGGTAGCTCATTTCTCCGGCAATCGGAAACCAGATTTGCGATGAAAGGAAAGAAAAAGAGGGGAATTGGGTGGAGAAAAAGAGGATTGGCGCTGGTTTTAAATAGGACTAAGAATTTCATGGGCTTTGCGGGTGGGCTTCTTGGTCTCTGGCCTGGTAAGTGTGTTACAGGCCCATAATCATATAGAGAATTGAGAAGACTCAACCCCGCAATATTGTGTATAAGGGTTGGGTGGTTCGGGTTTAGCCATTTTAATCACTCGATCCATGTACTACAGTTTGGGAAATATTAAACCTAAATTCACCTAAAAAAATTTAAATCATACGGTTGTTTCTAATTGGGTTGGGTCGGGTTAGCGATATTTTTAAGTAAGAACCCAACCCAACACAAAATATATAATTATTCTACAGCATAAAAAATATTTTATAACTAATTAGAATTTTAAACGAATAAACCGAGGTGAAAGGTATCAAAATTCACAAATATTGTTTGGCATTTTTTAAAAAAAATTGCAATTTACTTCACCACGATATTTGTTGAAATAGACTAAAAAAGTTATAAACGAACGAATCCATAATATGTTATTCTATTAAAATTGTAAACAAGAGAAAAGGATTACGTGAATCATAGCTATATTCAATATATTTCTAAACTTTAAGTCGAAGAACGCATTATATTAGGGAGACCATGAGAGAAAAACATGGTGGAATATCTTAATTTGCTCATAAGTACGGTTGTATACGACATAAATATTTTTTTTTTAGATAAGAGCTCATACTAATAGTTGGAACACGGTTTGGGTCGGGTTCTACGGGTTGTGTAATCCAAAATCCCCCAACCCAACTCAAAAGAAGCTGGTTGTACAAAAGAAAACCCTGCCTCACCCATTCCAAAACCTTCATTTTAGCGATAAATATGAGTGGATCGGATCGGATTGGACTGATGAGGCGATTTGCTGGTGTGTTTGCTCACCCTTAATTCCATCCACCAACAAAGAAGGAAAACGTTCGCATATAGAGAAAACTACTTATTTTGATAGACTTAGAATAGAATATTTTGGCCTATAATATTTCTGCAATCACAAAAGGACATTAGTTCCCCTTTCTCAATTCGCCTCTTCCAATTAATCTCCTTTTTAAATAATTGATGGAATGAATTCTGTGTGTGTACATGTTTCCTTTTCATGAACTGGGTGGTTGAGCTGAAATCCGAATTTTCCAAGGGCATCTAGCTAAGCTTCTGATGGTAAAGTTTCATCATGGGAGAGGCATGGTTGGTTGATACCATGACCTAACTTTTCATTCAATTGTGTATATACATTGAGATATTCAAGCAAAGATGTTCATATAGTAATAGACCAACATGTACAAGATTAGATATGTACTCCAAAAGAGGCCGGAAATCGTTTTATAGGGTCTCGGAGTGGGTTCGGCAACCTGAGTTGGCCGGTTAACCAAGACCAAAACTCATGTCGTATCAGCCCACTGAACCCACTTGAGGAATGAATAGTTGATGATCGATCGACATTTTTTATCTTGGTTGGGTCAGTTAGCTGGGAAGTCGTCTGCTGATGAGAATGAGAGGAGGGGGGGGGGGGGGGCACCAGTTTCGAAGAGGGGAGACTAATCACAGGAGCTATGGAGGTTAGAACGAAACCCGAGGGGAGAAGGAAATGAGATGATCATTGAATTGGACAAATACTTCGAAATGAACGCTATGTGCGAGTTCAGCTTGTTCTTCCCCGCTTCGATTTTCAGACGAGAAGCACGATTTTTTTTCCCCAAATAATGATGATTGTTGATAGTAAGGTTTGAATATAGAGTGTGATGATGAATATTATAACAGACTCATGCGCTTTGAGTTTGACACTCGATTAGTCCGAATGACCAAAAAATTCGAGTTCGGAATCGTTTCGACCGAGAACCCGGAACTATTTCCCATAGAAGATTGTGGTGGGGGCAAGAAGGGAATGGAGCCAGGATATCAACGAACGACAAACAAAAGGGATAATTCCATTCCCAGCACACTCTGTTCATCTTCCCTTTGCTTTGCTTTCGTTTGTTCTTTCTTCTGCTTTTAAGGCTTTTCACCACGTAAACAAAAGTGACCATCTATAAAAGAAGGAAAGCAAAAGATAACTACTAATTAATTAACAATAGTTTAACCTATATTTTGGCCAGATTATCAAAAGATAACCCGATGGTTATAACTTTTTACCATACTCGAATCAGGTTGATTTGGTTCAAGATTGATTGAGCTTAACGTAATTCAATTTTTTTTTTACCATAGAAAGAACGAGTGCAATAAACATTTGGCATTTGATACTCTCGTTATCAACGATAAAATGATTTCTTTCTCATTACAAGAACGGTCGTTTGAGAGTATCAACATACAGTCTCATTCATCACTTAACCATTTTTGCGAGTACCCAATTTAGATGTCTCTGCGCCGAAGAAAATAAAAATTGAAACATGTATATAATATAGTGTGCACAGCTAATCCCACAACCCTTTAGTTTTTCGTTCGTTTTCATCCGATCGTATACCGACTTAGCTTGTCCGACCCCCGAAACATTACGAGATATGAAGAATTATTTTCTCGTTTTCTATCCGGGTATAAACGGGTACCGGCCCTACCCATCGTACACCTCTATTTATGACAGGAACCAAAAGAAGAAAAAGGAAAAGAACACAAAGGCAAAAACGAGATGGTGAATGAAGGAGGAGGAGAAGAAAGAATCTTGGAAAAAGGCAAGAGTTGGAGTATTGTAGAACAAGAGACTGGAATTTACAGAAAGCGACGTGCTCTAGCTAGCTTGCTCTCGTCTTCATCATCATCATCATCATTTCTACTTTCTTTTTACACAGTTGGATGTAGCAGTGATCTCTCTTTGCTTGCCCTAATTCCCACCCCATTGGGACTGACTAGTTCGATCTTGACACGGTACTATAGAGTTCGTGATTGTCGAAATGCGCGGATGTGGGGTTCGAAACTTGGTCCTCATGGGAATTGCTTCCTAATAAATTCCACTTTAATCCCACACGACACAATCGATATGATGGATGCTTAATCGAGTCTTGAGATTAACTGGTTCGCCACCTCGACATATATGAAAGGTGCTCATATCATCAAGATGTCAGTGTGGTGTGCATTCGTATCTTGACGACTGTGGATTTCAAAACTAAATACCGATCTTTTTGTTTGCACGAACATGTAAAAAAAAAAACGTATGTTCATTCTTGATTTGTGGATACTTGGTTCCTAATAGAATTCATGTTTAATCCCAACCATGGAATGCCACATGACACAATCATTGGGATTGGGGAGGCATAATTTGGTCTTAGAATTAAGTTATTTAAAATATATACTTATAAATCACTCTGTTTAATTTTTCGAGTGAAAATCGATCTTTTTTTGTGTGTAATTTTAACTTTAAATTGAATTGCAATGTGAATTCAATACTTTCATCCAAACCGTAGTGAACATTATCAAGGGTCAATTCACTTATGTAGTCTCCAAAATTCTCATGTGATTGAATTTGATACTCAAATGCATTTTTTTTTTCTCCAGCACATTTCAAGTTAAGCATCATTATATGCCAAGATAGAAGTACATTTCCAAGGAATAAATTTATCTCTAGTAGTACAGCTATAAGCAATATTATGAATGTGATATGCTGTAAAATTAGCTAGCTAGATAGAGAAAGAATCTTGGTTACCATCTTACCCACTTCATTATTAAAAAGAAAAGGAAAGGGGAATTTCATTAGAAAAATTGAAAAAAGACAAAGCTGTAAATAGTGTAGCAGAAGAAGATTCCCCATGGGATAGGAGAGGTATAGAAAGAAAGAGAACAAAGAATAAGTGTTGCTTTACAAATTAAGCTCTCCTTTTCCTTTTTAAGGCGCTTAATTTTTTTTTTAATTTTATTTAGAGTCATAGAATTGGAATATCAGATATTCTTTTCTTAGAGGCAATATTTTTTTTTTCTCTCTTATTATCAGTGTCGTATTTGGATTAGATATTCCCTTTCACCTCTCTCTCTCATACACACAATAATATTCACTTGCAACTTTAGGAAGCTAAAAAGATAGGGTGTAATGCATGCTACATGGAATTATGATGCTCACCATTCCATTTTAATATCATGAACTCATTTCTTATCAATAACTCATCTCTATCATATGACTTGAGTATGTAGGATTCGATCATATATACAAATCATGATATATTGATTTTTAACCCAACTTCATTCTAAATCATGACTTCGTGCTATGACCTGTATACCCTTTTCCTTATGACGAAAACTTGATACATACGTTGAAGATTTACCTATACGCCACGAATACCAAACAAATAATCTATGAGAACAAATTAAACCATCTATATGGGTACAATATATATGATCACTCTTAAGTGTGAACTAAAAGAAAATTTCCCAATAATCCTCCCTTTGTTCATTTTAGTTCATTACTTTGTTAAGGTGATCACCAAAGTTCCCCCCAAAACTCACAGAAACTCACAATACATTGGAGTGATAGAAAGCTATTCCTTGGTCTCGATCTTTTGAATGGTCTTTGTTTGTGTGAGAGAAGAAGGGCCATTTATGAAGAATGTCACGTGGGCTTCAAACCCATGCCATGCAAACGTAGACCAAGAGAATCCAATGCACACTACAAGTTCATTCACTGAAAACCTAAAAACAAAAAAACCACAGCTCTTTTAACCTTACTTATGATCAACAAACAATCCTAAGACTGTAAAACAAAGTTAAAAAAAAAGGAGAGAGGTTGCAAAAGGGTAAAACAAAAGGGGACAGAGCACATGAACCACCCTATCTTACACTGTCAGAGACCAGAAGCCTCTCAGCCAGCCAGCCTCTTATCTCTGATTCCTTGTTTCAGAGCAAGGTTGTCAAACCGGTTTATGCCAGTGTACCGGTTTAGCAAGTGGAATGGTTCAACCGGTGGTACATACCGGTTTGTGCCGGTTAATATTATAAATAATTAATAAATTCTCATATTTAAACACAACATTTAACGTCAATACCTAAATATTTGTACTTGAATCCAACAAATAACATCAACATTTATCTTTTTAACACATAAAATAAATAATAAATTACTTTTTATCAATTAAATTCACTAAGATAAGATCATTTTATTTGGAGATTCGTATATCGATCATGCCGGTCATACCGATGGTGTCATGCCGATTTTATGACCGGTACAAGTTAAACTAGATTGAACCAGTGGCACGCCGGTCGGCATGACAACCATGTTTCAGAGAATATAGCCACCTTCACCCTTCTCTCTCACCACCAAATTTCAGTTTTATGGCTTTTTTGCCCTCCTTTTCTTTTCTCAACTTTGCTTCTTTTTTGCAAGAAGTTACCATCCCTCTTTATCCCCCTCCCTCCCTCCCTCTTGTGCCATCTCTTACACTCTTTTCCCTTTCTCTCTATAAATTCCCACATAGCTACTTTATTCCCTTCTTGAACCCCCCTCTCCCTCCTCTGCCCTAACTAGGCGCAAAAAACCAAATCTTTTGTTCTCTTTGCCCATTTCCCCCCTATAGCTTCAAACTCCCCTCTCTCATTACCTTGTTGAACCAAAGATTTGTGACAATCTATATCAAAATGGCTTCTTCTTCTTCTGAGCTGAGCTTGGATTGCAAACCCCACACCCATCATTCTTTGCTTCTGAGATGCTTCTCCTCCGACCAAATCATCACTCATCAGCCACAAAAGCTGGAGGAATTCCTGACTCGGCTCGAGGAAGAGAGGCTGAAGATCGACGCTTTCAAGAGAGAGCTCCCACTCTGCATGCAACTCCTCACTAATGGTAATAGCAATTGATCAAAGGAAAAAAAACCCACATCCCATTTCATTCATTTCAACATAAAGTTACAATCTTTGATGCCATTTCTTCTCCAAAATCATCATCTCATCCTCCCCCCGCAGCCATGGAGAGCTCAAGGCAGCAGCTTCAAGCATACAGAGGCAGCCATCACCAACAACATCACCAGCCAACAGTAGCTCTCGAGGAATTCATACCTCTAAAAAACTCATCTTTACCACCACCACTCGAATCTGCTTCCTCGTTAGAGATCAAGGGATGTGGCAACAACACGGACAACAAGGCGAATTGGATGACGACGGCTCAGCTATGGAGCCAAGAGACCACCAAGCCTCTGCCTCCACCAAAAGACCAAACCCGCGAAACCCATCATCATCATACGACGACGACGATGATGATGGGCTTCAACGTTAGCCCGAAATTTGGACTGGATGAAGCTCCAACTCTGGCACTTGCTTCAGCGGTTGGATCAACAACAGAGGATATTAACAATGATAACCATCATGATTATCGTCACGAGGATAGTGATAAAACAGGTGGTAATCAACCTCCCGATCTACAAGCTGTCGGGGCGGTGGACAGTAACGTTAATGGATCGAATGGCAACAACAACAACAATGGTGGTAGTGGTGGTCAGAATCATAGGAAGGCGAGGAGGTGTTGGTCGCCTGATTTGCACAGGAGATTTGTGAATGCTCTTCAAATGCTTGGTGGGTCTCAAGGTAGGAGACCAAAAGATTGTAACTTTGATGTTAATCGGTTAAGAAATCTGATAATTGGTTGATTGGTTTCATGCTAGATTGTGTATTGTAAATAGTAATGATTGCCCATCTTTTTTTTGTTTCTTTGTTATGAGTAGTTAATGACTAATTTTGTTTTTGGTTGTTGTGTAGTGGCGACTCCAAAGCAAATCAGGGAACTGATGAAGGTTGACGGTTTGACCAATGATGAAGTGAAAAGCCATCTCCAGGTACCATTCACTCCCTTCCTTCTTCTTCCCTCTCTCTCTCTCTCTCTCTAATTATACTTTGAGCATGTTTGTTTGTGCCCAAAGAAGAAGCCTTTAATCATGATTAAGCAAATTATGTAGCTTAGGTCAAATGGGTTAACACCATTTTAACAGAAATAGGACAATAAGTTTTTGCAATACAAAGTGTATAGCATTATGTTTTGAACACAGATTGGTGTTATATTTAGTCTTCAATCTCTGTAATATATACCTCCAAATTCAGTGAAACTCAGTATTTCATGTTTGTGAATTTTAGTTAACATTTAGTGAAAACATATAAATCTATGTATTCTTTGTTTTCTTATTATCTATTCCCCACAATATACTATGTACAAATTGTAAAGCAGTACAGAAAACATAGTTAGCCTGACAAATGGGACTGAACTGAACAGCTGTAGAGGAAAAGAAGAACAGAGACCATTTCTGTTTTGTCGTTTTGTTTGGACCCAAAGAGAGATCTTCTTCATAATGATCTTTGTCTCTTTTGTTTTTGTTTTTTTGGTCACAGAAATATAGGCTGCACACAAGGAGACCGAGCCCAAGCCCACAGGCGCCAGGTGGGCCAGGGCCGCAGCTCGTGGTCCTAGGCGGGATCTGGGTCCCACCAGAGTACGCTGCCGCCGCCGGACACCACTTCTGCGCCGCCCCGAACTCCGTCCCGCAGGACTACTACGTCGCCGCCGGTGGAATGCCGATTCCTCCTCCTCCGCCGCAGCACCACCACCACGCGGCGTTTCAGCAGCATCATCACCACCAGGTCCACGTGTACAAGACGACGTCGTCCCGGGGCCATAGCTCCGGCCCGGAGTCCGACGACCGAGCAGCCGCCGGGAGAGAGAGGTCGGAGAGCATCGAGGAGGATGGGAAGTCGGAGAGCAGCAGCTGGAAGGCAGGGGAGAGCGGCGACAATATCGCCGCCGGCGGCGGCGGGAAAGGGCTGGCTGCGTTGAGGGAGAATGAAGAAGAATGTGATAGGAGTGAAATCACTCTCAGATTTTAACAACCAAGAAAAGATCTTTTTTTTCTTCTTCTTCTTTTTAGGTTTTAGGATTTTTAATTTAGATGAAATTCAGAGGTTCGTTTTGTAATCATCATCGCCTAACTTCCCATTTCAGTGCCCAAATATTGTTATTGTTTCACAACCAGCCACCCATTAAGGAAACAGGGTTCATGAAAAGAAGAGGGAAGAAGGGAGCCGAAAGCATCTGATGCAATTAGGGTTCTTTCCAGCTTATTTTCTGAACTCTCTCTCTCTCCACACACACACAAGCTTCATAAAACCACTTTATCTCCCTTTTTTTGCTCAAGTTTGATTCAAAGCAACTTGCTTTGAACAAAGCTTTAGATGGAATTCTTCACACTGTGCATATGCAACAGAGAAACTCTTTTTCCATCACAAATTCTAGCAATCTCTACTTAGTACAAAGCAGATTCAACAACTTCTCTCATAAAGTATGAAGAAGGGGGTACTGCAATGTTACACACAGGGGAAGCTGCGACATTGCTCCGTAGTAGTTTTCTTCCGGTTTGCAGTGTGAACTTTCTTCCCTCAGTTCCACCATGATCAGAGAATGTTGCGTGGGTTACAACCGGAATCCATCTCAATACTCGACTTCCCCACCAGCATCACTTTCTATCAGTGTTGAATCAACGAGAGCCTGCAAAGGAAGGCTAGCGAGTTTAGTGTTGTGTAATTAGCAAAGATGAGAGAGCATAAGGGGTTTTCATACAGCTGACCTGAAGCTCATGTTCGGTGCTTTTAAGTCTTTCAGTATATTCCTTCATTTGCATGTAACACTTGTGGAGCTGCATACAATTGCCACATGAATACAACCATCTACATAAAGATCAATGATATAAGAGTTTCTCGAAGACAGCTGAGAACCTGTGGTTATTACCTTGGCCAACTGTGCCTTCCGCTGGGATGTGCGCCTTTTGGCACCAACCAATGCATCTTCCAGTTTCTGAAATCATCAATTGATTCTAAGCACGCAAGCAAAAGGTGTGAAATAGCTTAGTGAGTGAGGAAGTACCTTAGCTTTTCTCTGCAAGCCAGACACAAGTTCTTGTTTGTCTTCTAACCTTCCTTCCATTATGGAAACCTGAAGGAATGAAAGTTTCTTTTATCAATCCCTTTGTTTAATAAAGAGAAGTAAATAGAAGGGAAACGGAAACAAGAGATGCAACCAAACTCAACAGCAGAAGGATTGAAGTTCAGCAAATGGTTAGAGGTTCTAGCATGCTTTAAGCAATCAAATTCAGGACAGAAGCATAAGAAAGTTACAGAAACAGAACTTTTAAATTTGGTATGCAATTTTCTGTGGGTCATGGAAATAATTTCAACAGGCTTCACATTCCTAATCAAACAGTTGTAAGAGACAGCCACTGACTCTAAAAATCTTATGGAAACTTACAGAGAATTGCAAACTAGCCTCAACGAATTATCGTGATTTACTAATAAGTTAGAGAATAACCTCCTTTTTCAGATCGTCATGTGTCTGGATTGATCTCTCAAGCTGTACTTTCAGCTAATTTCAACAAATAGCAAACAATAAGAATTAGAAACCAAAATGCTTATTTTCCAAGTATGAACAGGTTGCAGGTTGAGCATGACCATGCTTACCTCATCATCATCATAATCATCACCAAGTTCAGATGAAATATCCCTGGTAGACCTGTCGTTGTACGTTGAACTGCCAAAGAACATGAAAGGTGAGCATCACTTGGAACTATTTTCTCATGAGATGAATTCAACCAATATATTGTCAATAAAGGAGCATGTATGCACCACATAAGAAATGCTTAGGCATAACTGTTCCAGTGTATTAACATTTGCAGGCCAGTATGATATTTGAGGCTCCACTACCCTCTTTGTATTCAGCTTCCAACTTGTGTTTTTATTATCAAATTCATGCATAAGAGTCTGGAGCTCCTCTATTCCTTTCGGGGAAAGAAAATCCTCTATATTTTAAGCTTCCATGAAAGATGCATGCTATTCTCATTATTCCAACAAGGGATGCATGCTGAAAGTCTGTAACGTAATACCAGAAATAAATTCTTGAACGAAACCTAAGACGTCTAGGTTGAAACCAAGTGACCACAATACCCACACTTCTTCCTTTTCTCCAGAGTAACAGTAAATGGTCAAAATAAGACTAGTGATCTTACCCATTTGGCTTCCTTGAGAGCTGATCCTTGTCAACAATTCTATCATCATCATTGCTCCCATCCACCTCCCTGCCTATTGAACCTGAATCACGGCCTCTTTCCCAGTTCCAACCAACATCTCTACCAGGGTCTTGTTCACTTTCGACTCTGTCTTGGATTTGATCTCTATCCATGTATCCATCCCCAGAGCGATCATGATCATGCTCATGCTCATGCTCATGCATACGCTCATATTCTCTTTCTCTACCCCCGTCAGGGTCCCAGGACCGATCATGTTCTCTTGACCTGTCACTGTATTGCTCATGATATCTGTCCCTATCATCAACATCATCATAATCCCTTTCTCGGTCTCTATTCCTTTCCCAATCCATTCTCCTCTCTACATCATGTCGGAAATGTTCCCGGCCAAAATTTGCTCTTCCTCTCGTCGTTACGCTGTTCACTCTCACCGGTCTCCCGTCAATAGGCTATTCGCAAGACAAATGTTCAAAAATGTTCAAGCCAAGCTAAACAGTATCAACGCGACGGACGACTGCTAAAAAAAGAAAGACGAAAGACGATACCTTGCCATTCATATCATCAATAGCCCCAAACACTGATCTTGGATTCCTGAAAGTAACAAAGCCATAGCATTTCCCCCTTGTCGCACGGTCATTGATAATCTGCAGGCAAGGAAAAACAGTCCCAATCTCAAATTCCAAACCCCCCCACCCCCTCCATTTCATCAAGCTGATGAGAGAAAAAGCCAGTTCTGGGGGGGAAACTGCTCCCCAAAACACCGTTCATCGTCACTACTCTAGCAGCAATGATAGTCAGTTAAACCCTAAGCAGCAACGAGACATCTTGCTCTACAACTCAACTCCAAACAAATTTTTATCCGTCTCCCTGATAAAATTCCTTTCATACAGTAACAAAAGGCAAATAATTAATGGGGTAGTACGAATTCTCTGGGGATAGAATCGGAAGAGGTAGCAGAGGGAGAAGACCTTGACGGCGACGATGGCGCCGTAGAAACTGAAGACCCTGCGAAGGGTCTCTTCGGTGGCGCTGTAAGGGAGCCCTCCGACGTATATGGAGTTGACGTCGTCCACCGTCATCGTACCGGAATGTCTCGGCCCGAATTGGGGATGCTGCCGCACGGGTTCGCCGGAAACCTTCCGCCGGTAGCGGGGGCGGTCGTCCGCAGCTCCTCCTCTTCTAGTAGCCAGTGGAACGAGTTTTTGCTTTTTTTCTGGACACCAATTTGTCCTTCTCAGTCCAGTTCACAACTCGATCGAAGTAATGAAGCAAAATTGGGCCCGCGTGGGATTCCCCGTTCTCGGGTCGGCCCATTTCTAACTGGGCTTAAATGTATCGAAGCCCATTCTTAACCGAATCGAGAGTCATGAGAGTCTGATGTCCTTTTGCTGCAACTTTTTTTTTTTTTCCCCTCTCTCCTGCTAATTAGAGATGGCAATAAAACCCATGGCCGCGGGTATCCGACCGCCCCCGACCCAGTCAACGCGGGGAATACCCGCTTTGACCGGGTATGGGGCGGGTATGGGTAAAACCCGCAAAAAGTTTGATGGGTATGGGGCGGGTATGGTTTTGACCTCCCCCGCCCCATACCCATACCCATACCCGCCCCACCAAGAGAATTTCTTCACATATAAAAAATGTGTGGATTAAATTGTAATCTATCAATGGTGATGAGGATAACTCAAGGAAATAAATAGTAGAAATGCAATTGAGTAACAATTTTAATCAAAATCTAATTCATTTCCCTCAATTCTCCTTTCACTCTTTCACTTTTCCCCTTGTCTACAAGATTATGTTAGTCAATTATTACTTAGTAGATGTATAAGAGTTAGAAGATAATAATTTGAAAAATATTATACTCTATATTATGTATTAATGGATGTTTTAGGATCATATACTTTGAATTGTATTAAGAAAATGATCGTGTTTTGTTGACTTCATGATATAATAGGTTCGTTTAGAGTAATAATTAAAACTTTTCTTGTAAATTTTAGGTATAATAATGTTGGATGTATGGGTACGGGTATTATCCATGGGTACCCGAAACCCACGGGTATGGGGATGGATTTGCAAAACATTCCCCGCATGGGTATGGGTTTGGGTATTTGAAGATGGAGATGGGGATGGTTTAGACAAACCCGCCCCATTGCCATCCCTACTGCGTCTGCTATTATTATTCTCTTTTCGTTGAGGCCATAAGCTTAGCTCTCTCCCTTTGATTTGTATACTGTTACCATGTCAATTATGTCGCATTTTGGATTCTCATCATGTCCCTCCTGTCAAACCCAAGAGATCATTGTTGAAGTGGGGGGAGGGGACATGGAATTTGGTATGATATCGATTTCGATTCTCATATTATTTCGTTTTTCAAAAACTAAAACTTTTTCGACGGGTGATGACAGGATCGAATGTCTGGACCGTCTGTGTTTCATAATTTTGTCGAATAATCATCGAAACAAAGATAGACTCGGACGTATGCATTGAGGTGCTACACATCATATAAGAAATTGTATCGTGGATGAGTTTTCTTATGGTTTATTGTCAATGGTAAGATCTTGTCGCAAAATTCAACCAAACTTTTCTCGTTTTTTGGTAGTTGAGTCGAGAGATTTCAAAGTTATTTTGATGTGGTGGATCTCATGTTGACAGATAAGGCGGGATTTTCGGTTAGATCGGTTATAACGGATAACCAAAATGTCAGTTACCGGTTAACCGCGACGCACGTCGTCTCTACCGCCAACCGCCCGACGGAAACCATCGGTTAGCCGACAACCGACCGGTCGGCTACCGGTTAGTTGCTCGGTTAACCGTGGTAACCGCAACACAGCATGCAAACCGATTTTGGAATGGCAGGGTGCAGGCCTGCGCAGAGGGGCACTGGTCGCCGTTCTGGAATGGTGCCGGCGGAGAACTGCTGGCTACTGGCTGCGAGCAGAGGAGGCCGAGGCGAGGTCGCGGCGGCGGAAGGAAGGGGATGGATGGCGGCGACTTCGCGTTGGCGGAGCAAGGGTCGTCGTCGTTGCGACAGTCAGGGAGGGCGATGGTCGATAAGAGGGCCGCCGGCGGAGGGAGATGGTCGATGGAGGTGGGTTGGGCAGGTGGCACCGCGGCAATGAGATGGAGGAGGGTCTCGCGATCAGAGAAGATAGATTGAGGGCAGGGATGCTCGATTAGGGTTTTAGGCGAAAGATTGAGGGCGACGTCGTTTTGCAAACCAATTATGAAATTTGAAAAATGGAATATTCCAAGAATATTCTGTCAACTTTAACGGAATGCACTTAGGAGTAAACTTAAGTGGTACCGGGTGCACATGAATGACGAGTAGCTAGCCAGCCTCTAAGACATGAAATTTGGTACAATGTCATCTCAATTTTATTACCATAATCTATTTTTTTCGAGAAAATCCTTTTGACGTGTTACAACGAGATCAAAATGTTCAGATCGTTCGTTTCATAACAACTAGAATCATCTAAAAAATATACCTCAAGATACCGTCATGAAAAATAGTATCATTTCTTCTAGGGGTCGTTTGGATGGATCAATCTAGAAATGAGTCAATTTGATCAATTGTCTCGTTTTATAAACGAGTCAATTCGAATTACCTGCCCCCACCCAGGTAATTGAAATTGACTCAAAACGGATCAATCAAAATTCAAAATACCTCAGGCAGATTGATCCATCCAAATTTTTTGCTGGCAAACGAAGCAATTTGGTACAATTATCTCAAAACGAGACAATTGTGTCAAATTGATCCAAACCACCCTAGTTTACTGTTGGCGAGATTCCGTCACAAAAGGTAGACTGCTCCCCGGTTACGTCCCGGTCCCACGTCCAAGTCTTGTATATCAGAGGTTTTTGTCACAAAAGAAGTGATGTGGTGACTAATAATTAAGAGGTAACCCTTGATGGATTAGTACTAATAATTTGATGCTAAAATGGAGCTATCGGTAAGGGGGAACAGATTAATAATGGTGGGAACATAAGCGTCTATTGGAATAGATTGATTGGTAATCTGTGAATTTGACTAAGGAGCTACCTAGCTCATAGTTAAGAATAAATTAATTAAAAAGCGACTATTAAAAGAGGTTGAGATTTTAAGTTCTATTTCTAGGCGGGTTTGCTTGATAGATTTGAAAATTGATGTTTTTTGGAAATTTTGGATTTTGAATTTTTTTAGATTTGGTTATGATGGATTCATTGTTATAATGAATTTGAAAGAATCTATTGCTCACTCGGGGATTCAAATTCCTCAACAAATCCGTGAAGCAAGGGTTATTTGGATGATGAAATTCGGGAATGATGCAATTGACCCAATTGCCTCACAAAAGAAAAAATGCATCGTTTCGAAAATACTTGCCCCCTCCCTTGTCAATACAAATTGATGCAAAACGAAGTAATTCAAATTGTCTAACGTCAATTGTTGCATCCCTATTATGTGTTGCCAAACAAAATAATTTGAGCAAATTAATTTATTTTCAGACAATTAGATCAAATTGACTCATCTATTGTCATCTTTCTAAATAATCGTTTTTCATCTTTTTTTCACATGTCATTGTCGTGAAAAGGGTGTTGGACTAGATAGTGCATTTAGAAATCGATAAATAGTTTTGATTAAATTTGAATTCTGACATGGTATAATATTGTAGTTAACGTGGTTTGATAACGATAGAAATGATAAATTCGTTCGTGAAAATATTTACACATTCGAGTTTCCTGAACTCCTACTCAATAGGGTAGCCCATGCGGTGGCTAGAAAGACCCTTATTTTGTACCTGTCTACGTGTCGCTCTTTTAATTTTCAGGTCTGGCTGCATTCCAGGGTGTAACTATCTTCCTATATTGAATCAATATATGATTATTTTTTGTAAAAAAAAAAAACTTAGTCAACAATCAACACTTGCACCTCATATATATCCTTAATTTTCTCCCTAATCATATTAGCAAAACTTGACACCAGAAGTTAGTGAAACTCACTTTCGAGTTTGGAATTCGAAGACTTTCAATATTTTATGATCGATACAAGAAATTCATTATATAATCTGCATCGGTTTAACATTTAAGAAAAATGTTTCAAACTGATTTTTGTTATGAAGGATGGCATCCTCCTAGGTACCCTAGGATTGTTTTGCAGGATACCAAGTTGGCAAGTTGTTTAGCCTTAATTAATTCGATGACTGGGTTTGGTATTTAATTAATCGCCACAAAGTACAATCATTTTCTAATTTTCTTTTTCTATAAAATCCAAATATCATTTTCAGAGCAATAGTTTAAGAAAATTAATTATTTTAAGAGTGAACATCATTTTCAAAGCGACATTTTTTCTTTATTGAAAAGGGAAGAATAATAGTAAATGACAACTTAATTAAATTGGTATAATCACTGTCAACACGTGCAATAAAATAGACAGGCGAAAGCAACAACCATTTCATGGCGCCGGGACGGGGAGGGTGACGGTCATGGTCCTCGCCGGCCGCCGCTCCTAGGACGGTCCATAAATATTTGCCCTAAAGAAAACTGGTTCGATTATGAATTCATGAAGTGTGGTGGGTCCATCGCTACATGTTTCGATTAACGAACACGAGTAGCGGATTATCAAAGGCGCATGTCAGTCGATTGGGTCTCGTACTACAAGCGAGAATGTGGCGATGATCCGCTACTTCTTATAGGATCATGAAATGAGATTGTTAAGATAATAAAAAAAACGACGATTGTCAAGATTACCAACCTTGATCAATCAACGACCAAATTATACTCATGGTGTGAGAGGATAAGAGGCACAAGTTCCCTTCATAGTACATAGAACGACGATTGTTAAGAAGATCACCAACTCGATCAACATCAAATTAGGCGCAAAAAAATGACAGGATAAGTGGGCAGTAAAAAAAAACGTAGATGTCATGAATTTAGGTTTGCTTCATATTAATAGAACATGTTCGATTGAATTGATCTGATTTCATGCTTCGACAGCCATAATCTCAAGTGCACAATCGAAACTCTCTCTCTCACTTTAACTTTCTCTTTATAAGAAGGTGAAAGAGTGTCCGTCCCTAAGCAAGATTTTGGTTTGAAGGGTAGGATTAAACCTAAAAATCTCGGTCCAAACGTGCCCAACATCTTAACCACTCAGACTATCATACATCCTTATTCACCGAACGAAAACGCCCTCTAATCTCAATCCCAACAACCACCCAACAATCAATCACCCAAATCCAGCCAATCTTGATTTCTTCATCAACATGATGCACAATCATCCACAACCCTAAAAGGCCATTGAAATGGCATCTTACTCTACTCATCATCATCTACCCCAAGTTGCAAGTGACAGGGGAATATGAGAATTGAGAGGAAAGTGTGGGAGTGGGGTCTTAAGAGTGAGTGAGTGAGTCAGTAATGTTGCTAAAATTGGGCGCCTGACTCACTCAGTAAGTCTCTCACAGGCTCATAGTTCTCACCTTGACTCGTCCATCCATCAAGCCTACTCATAGCAAAGTGTAAAAAACAGGGAGCAACTATACAAGCAAAGGACATGGAATGGAATTCACCATTATGCCTTTACCATGTCACTAGTGGTGGTTTGGGATCTTGAGTTATGGGTCTCTAAAAGTCTCTACTATAGTGAAGGATTTGTACAATTGTTTCTTTTTTTACTATGGTGGTTGATCGTTAAGTGGATATACATTGTTGATTTTGCACTGACCGAGCACGTAGCAAGAATTAAGTTGACTCGAAACGACTTTAATTTTCCTCATGGCCTATTTTGACAAGTCAATCCTTTGTTTGATCTATTTTATACGCGTATCCTTCGCGACCCTCATGTCATGACTTCTTTGCCGAATCCGAGAACCAATGACGACGGCTGAGGAGACCCCCGGATGAGAAAACAACGTTAAAAAATGCGATTGGCGAGATCCTGGTTGAATTAGCGGCTACTCGACTAGATTCCTGGCGTTCATCGAGGTCGGGACCGATGAGGCTCGCCTTATGGTACTGAATGAGCGAGACAGTTGAATGGACGCAGTAAAAATAGTACTAATAAATTATCAGTACCGCATCCATCCGACAGCCACAGATGCTTCACGCCTGACCTGACGATTCCCAACCTCTATGACCACGTGCTCACAACAGGCTGTGAGCACCGCATTCGGGTTGGCATCAAAGATTTAAAAGAAGAGAGAGAGAGCTAGGTGGGAGGGAACAATCGGGCAGATGTGTCATGTGACACCAAACCCTTCTTTCCATTGGGGGCACTATGTTTTCCCTTTCCATCTCAAAACAGGCTCACATCTCCCCTCTTCTTCTTCTTCTCCTCCCATCTCCATCCATCTCTGCCCTTCATTATTTCGATGGAACCCCACAGAAAAAGGGCAAGAGAGGGAGAAAGGAAATAGGGTCCCCGTTCTCCAATTCCCTTAGCCTTCTTTCCCTTGCAATTTGGTCCATGCCCACATGCTATAGTACTACTACTTGCTCCCGTTTCTCCCCACCACAACACAATCCCCGTTACAACTCATCATCCTTCTCATCCATCTCTATCTCTCATCCCATGTAATTGTGTCTTTCATAGGATCTCCTTTGATTCACTAGTCAATTTCATACACACTTGCCTTATCTTATGGTTGGAGCTTGGGACATCCTAATAAGTAATCATATCTCTCTATCGGATACCTTCTCTTCGGTTATTGGCCAGAAAAAACCCTCTGCAAATCTGGTTTCGATATGGTATTTGAGATTTGTGTTGATTGTGAGAGAAATCAAACTTGTTGTCGAATTAATCCTGATACGCTCACCAGGCTCTGGTCAGGGTACGTACGTAACGTATACCGTCATGCTTCTTCCAGATGTGAGGATATCACCGGTACAAGAATGAGGAGGGTCGCATTGTAAGCACCCCCCAGAATTTTTCCTTGCCTCAACTATCAGACTAGAAAATCAACAAATGAACAAGCTGCATTGTGCACGTCATCTTCACAGACGATTTAGTTATCAGTTATAGTTGATTTATCGATAAACATTTCTCAATAACTCAGCATCGCAAACACGAATCCGATCTAGGCACCAACACCACCCTAATTCAATAGTCAAGTTGGATGGCTAGCAACTTGCAAACCCTCCCTCTTATTGTGAACATCGATGTCACCAAATATAAAAACTATGTTTCCATGATGGAACTCCCTTTTCCCCCATATTTACAAATTTATTATACGGTCCATCTCAACAAACTACATTATCATCATCATCACATCATGTACCAATGCCAACAACAATCCATCGACGTAAATACAAGGCAGAGAACCTTCACTACGTCATGTCAAACCAAGTCCACCCATCTTCTGCCGTCCAAAGGGAATTCATACAACGCAATTGACTCAGTAATACCTCCACAGAGGATCAAATCACACCACGAATCATTCCTTCCTCTGTTCCTTCTCAGCATTCTTATCAATGCAGACAGTTCTAGTTCCCGGCTTCCGGCCCAATTCCATCCCACCAGTTCTTAAATTCCGACGGTGCATTTGCCTCGAAAGGCAGCTGCTTTACCATCGTTCAACCGTTTCAACCAATTCTACCCCGATCGAGCTTTGACTAATCAGAACTACTGGAGACAGAATTGGTAGCAGTGATTTGTATGTGGGTTTGTAATAATTAGTCCCTCTCAAAGCTTGAAACATTTGATTTCAATGGCGGTACCCTTAAGAAAAAAGGTTATGGAAAAAGGAAAGTAAGAGGAAAGAAAATGAAAGAAGATCTAATTTCCCCCAAAAAAAGGAAACCCATTTCCCTCCAAATTGCCGATTGCCGAACTTTTTTCTTTTTACATCACAGCGCCACCAACCACCGCGACATCGGGAGAAACGGCGGCGGTTTCCGGCAGCGCGTGCCAAGCGGAGGCGGCGATGAGCGGCCGGCTGTGCCACCCGAGAGTCAAACACCCTTCATTCTCCTCAACACAATACCCCTCGGCGGAGAACAGAGTCAGCAACATGCTCGCCTGCTTGAACGCGTTCGAACCCAAATGCAGCGGCCGGAACCCGGCCCGACCGAGCCGCTCCCTCCACCTGGCCAGCGGCTCGTGCCGCTCGAGCCGGGCCGATCCCTCGCAGCTCACCACGTTGCAAATCTCCCTCTGAATGTACATCTCCGCCAGCGCCTTCTCCGGCTGGAGGGCGCAGGCGTCGAGCGAATCGAACATCGTCGAGTAGTAGTACAGCGATTCGGTGAACCGGTCGAGGAACACGGGCTGGTTGTGGTCCGCCTCGTGCTCGACCACGGTCACGATTTTCGGGTTGAGGGACCGGATCCAGCCTAGGACCGCCTCGATCGGTGCGGGCCGGTGGGCCGGGTCGAGACCCGGCCCGACAAGTAGCTTGTGGAGCTGCATAATGGAGTTGACCGCCACGGCCTCCTTCGGGTTCACCTGGAGCATCCACGGCTTGACATCCTCGAGTCGGGATGCTGCGACGCCGCGGAAGGCGAACCGAACGTTGACGGACCGGGCGAGCTCCGCGAGCCGGAGGCCGATCTCGCGGAGCGAGTCGCGGCCGTCGGGTGATGGTGGGCCGATCCCCGTGAGCCGGAGGGTTGGCGGCCCACCGGGCCGTAAGGCCAGGGCCTGGATCAGGGCCGGCCACTGGAGCCCGTGCATCAGGTTGAAGTCCACCACGTGGACGCAATCGTGGCCGTCGAATGCTTCCAAGATCGCCTGGTTGGCCGTGAAGTGCGCGAACTTTAGGTACGGGCAGGCCTCGTAGAAATGGTGGTAGAGAATCTCGGTCTCGTAAGCCGAGCCCGGGATGCCGCCGCCGCCGGCGGCAAACACGCGGCGGCTCAGCGCGTCGATGAAGCACCCGGCGACTTTCCGGATGCCGCAACCCGTGTTGACCCGGGTCAACAGGGACTGCATATCCTGGATCAACGACCCGGCCAATGAGAGATCGCCACGTTGGACGTACTCCGCACACGTCATCAGCATATGGACCAGCCTTATCCCGGAATCCTCCTCCACCACCGTCAATTGCGACGGTTGCTGATTGGGAATCGCCGCCGTCGGCGGCGAGAGTTGTTGGTCCATCCAGGAGGCGTCGAGAGCCGTCGGATTGGAAATGAGATCCGAGAGATCGGACGGCAGAGAAGGGAGGGATTGAGACTGGTTGAGCTCGGAGAGCAGCGAGTCGACCCAGGTGGAGAGATCGGAAGGGTTGTAGAGGACGGCGTCGGAGGCGAGGAGGGAGAGGTGCTGGGAGGGCGAGTTGAGCATGGCGGTCTCGAGCCGCTCGAGCCGCTGGGCGACGTGGCGGAGGTCGGAGGAGCGGACCTTGTACCCGGCTCCGGCGAGGAGGCCGTCGATTTCGGGCGGCTTGGAGATGGTGGTGGAGGAGGACGAACTCGCCGGCGGGTTGGCGATTGGAATCGCGGCGGTGTCGTATGGCACCATGGTGAATAATTCCTCGGTTTGTGGGAATTAGGAATTAGGGGTTTTGTTGCTGTCCTCTTTCTTCCTGGTTTTAGATGGAATACCCGGCGGTGAGAGGTTTCGTTTCCGAAATATCAGGTGGAGATCTGGCCGGAATCCATGCCGGAGATTGGCAAAGGGGGAAGGAGGGAGGGAGGGAGGAAGTGAGTCAGCAAGTGAGTGAGTAAACGAGTGGGAATTAAAAGGGAGAGCTGAATGGATTGGGGGAAGGTAAAGGGAAAGAAAAGGAGAATGGGAGCAGAGGGATTATTTTTTAATAATTTTGATTAGAGAGAGAAGCTGATTAGTTATTTACATGAAGGAAGACAATTTCATGGATAATTAACATAGAGGCTAGCTTTCTATTAATTAATAATAACGGATTGGGTTTGTTTAATTAGTGTAGGCAGAAAAAAACATGACAGGGAATTTTGGGTAGGAGAAAAATTGGTAGGGAGTTAAATTCTGATGGAATTTAAGCAATGAAATATTTAAGTGCTTAGTATATATATTTCTCAACAATATTAAAATATGATATGAGAGTTGATTTGTGTTTGAATTCAAGTGTTCAATATTCACGATCCCCTAATATCAATCGTTGTTTTAAAGCACATGGCATGCTTAAGTCGAGGAATTTTACAATGCTATATAACATTGGTGCTATAGGTTTTTACCTTTATGGTACAACTTGAAATTGTATTTTTAATGTTATGGTACAACTTCAGATTGTACCTATACTTTTTGTACGAATTCTTTTATGGTACAACTTAAACTTGTACCTTATGTGATGGTACAACTTCAAGTTGTAAAGTTGTACCATAACATAATGATACAAATTCCTTTATGGTACAACCTAAACTTGTACATTTAATGTTATGGTACAACTTCAAGTTGTACATTAAAGCACCAATACTATATAGCATAGTAGAATTGATCAGCTTAAGTCTATACAAATTTCAAGCCCGTGATCAGTTGGAGTTCGTTTATGATGAGACTTGTAAGAAAGTGTCATACATAGATGTCTCCAACAACTCGAGTTATTAGTACCGATGAGATTATAACAGCTTTGAATTTTTCCACTCTTTCCTTTAATTGATTATTTAATTGAATATATCTATACTAAAAATGCTATTGGAAATGGAATGGGGGGAGGATCCAAAGAAACTCTTTACTGTGGAGTGTCTCAGCATCTGCAAACATTTTAGTTACCATCTGTTCCTATTGTTTCAACCCTTTCCAATTCGGTGAATCCAAGAGATCCATACACACATAGAGAGAAAGAGGAAGGATATTATATTGGAGGTGATTGAAATCGAATCGTACAGTTTGGTATGGGCCGTATACTATAAAAAAAATGGGTTTGGTTTCATGGTCTATGTTATCGGATGCTTTGATCTCCTATCTAGTCTGGTATGGTCTAGACCATGGACACAACCACAGTCCACTCGATTGCTCGAGCCATGACATGTTCAGCTCGATAAACAAGCTCGAAACACCATAGAATTAAATATAATTTTTTAGTCGAGCTCAAAATTGAGCTACAATCGACATTTTATCAGCTGAACTACTCGATCTGTGCTCGTTAAACTCGCATTTGATGAGCCAAACTATCAAGTGAGCTCGAGCTTCTATTTTTTGTACAGGGAGCCGACCTCAAGCAAAGCTTGCATATTGAAATTTTTAAAACTCTGTGTCGCGTACTCAAACCAAACTCAAATTCGAAACTATTTTAACGAGTCAAGTCCGAACCATGACAAAACTCGACTCGACTCGCCTCGCTTATTATCCGCCCCCTCGTTACAACTTACAATTGCAACGTTTCACCCGAGAAACAGAGGCAGTCTAGAATGAACAATGCGATTTTTCTCTTTTGACGAGTTCTTCAAATTTGGCAATTCTTGTGCTCAGCGATTGGGTTCCTAAATGTCATTAGAATCGGCAAACGACGAGCAATTAGAGGTGGCTTTTACATCCAGCGATCATATTGCTTGCTTTACTTTTGGTAACAACGATAAGTTACACTTCACCTACAAATAAAAAAACTTGATGGAATTTTAGAGTACAATGAATGAATATACAAAACTAATAAACAAACTAAGTGACCAAACTGACATTTAACCAAAACGACGTGCGTTCGATTAATGTTGGACATCGTCCATGCTAGCATGTAAGCATGATATACAGAAGTCATGATTAATTCAATTTGTGAACATCACATGCAATTTTTTGTATTAATTATCTGAAAATGACCCTCTAATCACAAAATAATGTGGGATAAAAAAACCCCAATTATATTGTCAATCTCATACTTCAAAACAAAACCAAACTGAAAATTTTCCAATCATTATTACTTACTTAAAAACTGAAATATTAACCAATTAGATAAGGGAAGTCGCTTTAGTTATTAGATTCCATATGTGTATGCTCTGCTAAACTTCAATTATAACGGTTTTCTGGTTTTTCTTTATCGGAAGTTTTCACCATTATCAATTATAACAACGCAATGCTGAGAATCTCTGACGCGGATCTCTTAATCTTTTCCCCATCTCGAATTTAATAAACTGCCAGAAACATCGTCTCAAGCTTAGTCAAGATAAAAAGTAAGAGATTAGGATTAAACTAAGACGGAAATGGAAAATCGACGACATAAAAAACAAAGAACAAACAGATTTACGCGGTTTATCAATGCAATGCATTTTAGCTAATCTATAAGCAGGAGAAATCATGATGATTAATTTATACCATCAAATATCCACCGACTAACTTATTCTGAAAAATCTCATATTTAGCTTCGCAAACCATAATTACAAACCCCATTCAGATAGGTATCGGTATGATGATCAGTTTAGATTTTGACATCGAACCAAGTCGAGATAAGATTGAACCACATATAAAAGAAACAAGGAAAAGAGCTCGATCACAAATTAAAAAAAATGCATTCGATTGATTCGGTCCAATCAAAATTCATATAATTAAATCTGAATCGAGTAGTATTCAATTTGATCCGATTGGGTACGTGTGTATGGAATGAACCGTTGGCCCAATGCAGGCCGGATTCCTTCAAATGTATTTTTGCCTTTCAAGAAAGCTTCAAGAAATAATAATAAGTTTAGGGGATAGTTACATCCTAATTTAATAAACAATGGGCTAATGGAGGGTTATTTAGGGTTATTTAATTAATTCAATGGGGTTGAAAAGAAGAGATTCAGTCAACATCAAGTGAAGTAGGCACTATACCCTACCAATTCCCGACCCCCAATATACATAAAACAGTTAATTAATTATTTGGATAATTATGACAAAGGGAACGAATTAATTAATCACGATTAGGGCAGGCAGCAAGTACATATCATGATCATCAACATGATGATCATCATTATCAAGAAATATCATTATTAATTGTTTGATTATCAAGCCGGGATCAAAACCCTAATCAAGCCTTTTCCCCTCCTTTTTTGGGCAAAATTTGAAATGAGTTTAGAGCAATATAGTCAAAACCACGTTTTAACGCTTAAAAACTTACACTTTTATACTTCTAGGTCAGCGAAACGCTTCTACGTAAAATCGTGCTTTTCAATTATAAGTGTAGTCAAAATTTATACTATAAATCTTAAAACCTTACGATTTTATACTTCTAGGTCACTGCTAATGCTTCTACCTGACATCACGCGCTTTTGACGGTATTGGTTTAGAGTACTGATTTTGTAAAAATGGAATATAATAAGAACAGCTGCTTGCATGGGATTGGGATCTACTCTCTGCTTTCCATGCAGATACATATATAATTATTTTAATATGATATTCTCCAGATTTGAGTGCCTTTTTTCACAGTAATCTATCAGTTATTATCCTTTGTAAATAAATATTCTCTTTCAACGGGAAAAAAAGGAATCTCGTAGCTGCTGTTGGCTGTTGCTGGATTCTTTAGGTGGCGGGAAAATAGAGGGTTTTACGAAAGTAAACAACAAAAATGAATTATGAATAATAATGATAATAAAGATATTAATAATACTCAGCTTTGTCTTTGATTTGAGAGCATCATCCATGGAATTTTATGATACTTAATTGGTTTCAGGTTGGTGGATTGATGGTTTTAAGGAAAAAAAAATTATGTCCATATTGGACAAAGTAAATTGAAGAAGAATTTGAAACTAGATTACCCAATTTACTAATTAATATATACTTAGTGATAATATATATTATATAGTTGTAAAGAAGTCTCGATAACTCAAGTTATTGGAGAGAGATTCGATACTAAATCTTATACTACATGTAGGTAATACGCTCTTCAAATTCAAGTCGTCATTCTTAAGAGATTTATACCGTTCGAAAAATGAGGTCGTCGGGATTCAAACATAAAAACCTCTGGATTACGGAATGCCATGTTATTACCATGTCAAGAAACAGTTGGCGCCACATAACTCGAACTCTTTGAGAAAGATTTCATGCAATTATGTATCTTATACAATTTAGTAATAATAGCAACATATCTTTTACATAGTTTTAACACATGGAAACGGGTAGTTTAGAACTTTAGAAGGGGTTGGCCGATGTCATAGTATGCAATATACATGTGTCAAGCAATACTTGAAAAAAGTGATAACAGTAATATAAGGGGTCGTTCGGAACCTTTCATTTTGGAAATGATGTATTACGAGAATGTGTGTATTAAGGATTATGTGTACACTAAAAATGTGTGCTTTTGAAAATTCATTGATTGATTGGAACCCATGAAAGAATGCATGGATTATAATTTGTACAAACCTAAGAATGGTTAGCAACCACATAATCATGTGGTACATAATATAAGAGAGAGATGGGAGTGGGGGAAAAAGCTAGGCTTTGGAGAAACTCAAAACACAACCAACAAGAAATTCCTTTATTTGAAAACGAATAAAAGCTGTAGCTGCCTGAAGTAGAATTCTATTTTTAGTTCATTAATAATGTTAATTAGTTTATTATTATTATTATCTAAAAATATAAGGCACGTACGTGTACAGTGCTAGTGGGGATAATTATTTATTTATATATTAAAAATCAAGCCCTCGATCCTTTGAGATTCCATTATCAAACACAAGATGGAAAATAATATAATTGAGGGCAACAGCTAGCCAGCTGCTTACAATATACAAATAATTAGTTTTTATTTAAACCATGCATCCCATATATTAAATACAATATTAAAATTCACCCAAAAAATAAATGTTAAGTATAAATGAGATTAGATAGAAAATGATTATTGTGACCAAAAGTTTGAGTGAGAATGAAGAAGAAAAAGGTTTCAACTTAAGAAAAAAAGGCTTCTCTGCTGAAAGTGGGATCTTGAAGTGGTCCATATCTGCAAAACTGTACAAATTGGGGGACCAGATGATGATTTTTGGTGGTATAGTCATTCAGAAACAAACCCCAAAAAAAGGGCTCAGAATGATACGTTACATTTATGTGCATGTGTATGTGTATAGTAAATAATAGCTAAGCAATGCATCGATCACTCACTGCATCAGAGTCTGCAGCATGCAGCAGATGACAATTGATACTAACTACTCGAAAACCCACCAGCATAGCTCCCACCTCCACATCCACCACCACATTTTAAAGACCGATCTGTACTGCCGCTCCTGACTCTCAACGACTTTCGGTTTCTGTTCGAAAGTAGATATGGAATAAGATCTGTTATGCGATCCGTCACACGAGACAACTCTCGAGTTTATGAAACCAGTTGGTTCGATTATCGAAAAGTATTCCAGTATTTGAATTCTCACAATCCCAGATGTCAAACGGTTTATCTAAGCTCATGAACGATGCTTCCGTGTTGTGCAAATTTCAACATATAATTCTGTAGCAGAAAATCGAATCCATGGGGAGCTATCAAGATCGAGCTAGGTGGTCCAAAAGAGAAGAACGTGGAGAATTGTACGTACGTCGGGGGACCATATTTGTGTATTATTATGTGATCTACTTGCACAAACTATTCTGCAAGCAGCGCCCACCGTTTTTACGTTACATATCTACTAACCTATATATAAATCGATTCCAATTGCTCGAGTTGTTGAGAGAGGTATACTTTTATGAATTTTAATCGCTTTCTTGAACGTTCCCTGGAACGAAAGTTAACTCGCGTTGGACTCATAATGTGCACCGGCTCTCCATAACGCATGTTGTGTTTGGAACATACATAATATATGGGTTAATTAATGCCACATTTGGTCACAGCTGGGATTACTAAATCGTGTTATGTTTAGTCACTAGAAAAAATTAATATAAATTCTGGTCACTCGAATTACTGTGTGAGGATCAATGTAAGGCTATTTTACTTTTTTTTTTTTTACAATGAAACATCTTCTATTATACCTAACCAGACCAGCATATGATAACCAATTTTGCTCCCGATTAAAACAAACCCAATTTCTTAATTAGTTATTATCATAGCATGGTTGTGACAATCCACCAGCAATGGATTATCGAATCACAGGCTTGAGAAGTGAACAAGAGTTTTGTGGGTGAGGTTCATATTTTTTTTTTCGGAATTCTTTTTTCTAATTTAATATGTTTTCTTTGCATGGATGATGGACCATTAGCTCATAAGTTGTGATTAATTATATTGTTGTTGGGATTTGGAAGATCGATATTCTTTGGAGAGGATTTTAGGCTAATTTGAATTATTGATGCCCAATAATCATAAAGGCTTGATATGTTCCTATCTAGCTAGCTCCCCCCACGACCCTTAAACTACATCTATATAATCTTCATAAGAATATATGTCCTACCCACTACCCACATATTATATGTATTTCCTTCACTATTTTAGAGTGTACAAAATTCAGGTTTACAAAAACCTATAAAACTCGCGCCATATACCTAGGGATGGCAATGGGTCGGGTCGGGGCGGATAGTGCATATCCGTTACCCTACCCAATGTAGTTCGGGTTTTACCCATACCCGTACCCACACGAGAAACGGGTAGAAAATCAAAACCATGTTCATACCCGTTCGGGTTTTGGGTATCCACGGTTATCCATGAGTAATAATTTCTCCTTATAATTCCAACCAATATGTTAACATTCACACGTATATTCACATTACGTAAGAGGAAAAGTACAACAATAATTCACTAGGATGACGGAAAATTAATTAAAACAACATAGTTTCATGAAAATATTATATTTATATGATAAATAAAAAATTTCTCAGGGAAAATAATGATTATTTCTAGACAAAATACATATGCATGTGTATAATCGGGCGGGTTCGGGTTGGATCGTGAGATAACCATGCCCACCCATTACCCACAATATTCAGGTTCGGGTTTTACCCGTACCCACGAAAAATGCTTCGGGTTCGGGTTTTACCCTACCCGATTAGGTCGGATTCGGGTGGATATCCACGGTTACGGATATTTTTGTCATCCCTATATATCCCTTCTACTAATCATACTATTTCATGATATGATTATATCAGGGTGGTATAATTCGTATCAGCAGAATACGCCACATAATTTTATAGATTTTGTAGTTAAGAGTTTTGTACCCTATCCTTTCTCATATTTTAGATAATATAAGTGCATGTAACCTCAATATAAATAGGAATTTTCTTATGAGAAAAATTTTAGTAAGGGGGAGAATACTTTCCCCAACTTCTGTTTGGTAGAAGAAATTAGTAGAAAATGAGGATATTCTTTGGGTGGTCATCCAAACAAAAATAGTTCGAATCACCAACATTGTAATAGTGCATCATAAATATAAAATTTTAACAAAGTTCAAAGTCTTAATCGTTTGCAACAGGGTATTGATAATTCTTAAAAGGAAAGATCATTCACGATTTGACTCTAATCGTTACGGGCTGGTCCTAGACAGACATAATATGAACATTTTAATTCGATACGCCGTAGTAGATGACAAACAAAGGGCTCAATCAGATTGACCCTATCAACTTTTTTTATTATTATGATGAACACGTGTTGCAAAGATTGATATATGTCTACGTTTATATCTATTAGATGTACTTTATGATCTAAATTGTGAAATTCAATTACAATAAGATTAGTGAACACATTACATACGCTAGGCTGAACTATCTATAATGTTAAAAAAAAAGCCATTTAATTAGTTTCTTGCTACATGTGGTTAGGGTAATTTAGAAGAGTTTTCCTTGTCAAAAAAATAATAATTAAGAAGAGATTAATTGAGAGGCTTCCAAATAACTTCCCAATTAGGATACTGCCATAGAGGAAAACGGCTATTTGTCTCTCTTCTTCTACTCTTTCCTTTCACTATATATATATATATATGCATTATGGGAAAATTGCGTTGAAATCTTCAGATGTTTGTTTGCATATTATTGGCTGAAGCCAGCAGTTCGTAGTTGGTTGAAATTTCATTCATTCATCTTCTTCTTGATTCCTTTTTCTGTTCATAAATACCATTTTACATTCCTTACTTTGGAATCTTTGGTAACGGCCGTTTGCTCTTGTGAACGAAAGTGATATATTCTCATTGGTTTCACAAGTTGCCTCTCTATCCATGACTCTATCCATAACCATAGATTCTATCATTACTCTGTACACTCATGTGGTGTTGTTTGCATTGGTTTGTCTAAATTGTCCTCGGACTATGTCGATCCGACTGTTGCAGAGTTGGGTTGCGGCCGTTACCTGTGAAAGCAGTTTTCTAACTGAAAAATCAGACATGTTTGACTAAATTTTGTAACGAATTCAACGCAGATTTAGGAATCATGTGTATACGGTGGCGGATCCAGGAATTTTATATATGGGTGTCTTTAAAAAAAAAAACTTTAAAAAATATCTTAAACAAGAAAATATCTGACTAGTACAAGTTATAATAAAAGTCCACAACGTGTTATCATATTTTGATTTTTTTTTTTAAATACACTCAATGTTTGCACAACTCAACAAATCTCTTTAAATATATCCTCCTAGACTATCATTCACGAACTACTTGCTTGTTCGATTCCGAAACTTGTTCTTGATGTAACATAATAATCGATAGTTTGAAAAAAAAAATCTTTCTTTTCACTCTAGACTATATAAATGTACAATAGTAGCTACATGTAATGTAAGAGCATCATCTAAAAATTGATTTCCTTCTACCAAATTTTTTTTTTATTTCCTATCTACAATGCAAATCAATTTGCTCGGGATCTAGTCCCGATCCAATTCAAATGAGTAGAGATAAAAATTTACCGCACAGACACTTCGAACCGATTGTGTGGTGGACTAACGCCTTACCAACTACTATATTTTATCAATTTATTAAAAAATTAACATATACAATTTTACATGAGAATTGAGCGGGCTATATCCTCCCCTACTATTAACTTAGCTCCGCCACTAGATACCGTATCGCGTGACATCGAAAACTTACTTACCGAATCATGAACTTATAGATAATTTTAACGATTAAAATGGTTAAATTTCACCAAACCGTGATCTCGACACAAAATACATACCCTGTTGTCGATTTTTTTTTTTTCATGTACAGACTCCGATACGATTTCACAATTCTTTGCCTTCAATGCTTCTGTCGTGTTAGAGCTTACGACTACAAACCAATCAGACGAGACTGAGACTTAAAAGAACAGTACGGTTGCTCAGTAGAACGCCATGAACGAGTCATCTCTCTGCACATTAATTGATCACAGTCCCAACCGCACGCCTTCGATGGTTATCATCTGCAGGGCGGCTTATCGGCAGATTATTTATAGACTCTGTTTCCTCAACGTATCTAATAAACACAGAGAAAACCAGAGCTTCATCAATGGATTCCGCCCAACGATCCGTTTCCAAGCAGAGGTAATCCACTGATTGAACGAACCCAAGTGTTCATATCCCTTTTGATTTTAATTTCTGCCAATTGTTACACAGCACTGATGAATTCAAATCAGGTTGGCAGGGAAGGTCGCGTTGATCACCGGCGGAGCAAGCGGCATCGGGGCTAGCACCGCCGCTCTGTTCGCCCGAAACGGCGCGAAGGTCGTAATCGCCGACGTCCAGTCCGATCTGGGACATTCCGTCGCCGGAGAAATCAGCTCATCGTACTCTGCCTCGCCGCACCCCGCCGCCGCCACCTTCGTCTGCTGCGACGTCACCAAGGAAAGCCAGGTCGCGAGCGCGGTGGACGGCGTCGTTTCGGCCCACGGGAAGCTGGACATCGTCTTCATCAACGCCGGCGTACCGGGCGACCCGGCCGGGAACCGGATCGTCGTCGCGGATGAGGACGATCTGCGGCGGGTGTTCGACGTCAACGTGTTCGGAGGGTTCTTGTGCGCCAAGCACGCAGCCAGGTAGTGACCGAGTCGGAAATTTGAATGAGGGAGACTTAAATGTTGATAACTATGGGGCTAAGGCCTTGCCCACTATTCTATTTCCTAAAATTTATTACTAAATTTACATGTGATTTTACCTTCATTTCAAATTTGAGGGTCGGGGCTATAGCCCCTCCTGACTTCAACCTGATTCATTAAATGCACCAGGGTGATGATTCCAGCGAAGAAAGGAGGGGTGATTCTGTTTACGGCCAGCGTGCTGACGGAGACTTACGGCTTCTTCGCCCACGCCTACACGTCGTCCAAGCACGCGGTGGTCGGGTTGATGAAGAACCTGTGCGTGGAGCTGGGAGAGTATGGGATTCGGGTGAACTCGATTTCACCGACAGGGGTGCCGACACCGATGGGGATGAAGATCTTGGGACTGGATCGAGAGGGCGTTCAGGATCTCTGTTCGGAGAAGGCAGCCCTGAAAGGTGTGGCTCTGGATGAGAACGATGTTGCGGAGGCTGCTCTGTTTCTTGCCAGCAATGAGTCCAAGTTCGTGAGCGGGTTGAACCTCGTGGTGGATGGTGGCTTCAACTTGAGAAGCGCCTAGCTGAGCCTTGTAGTTTCATCTTCCAATAATAATGAGGGTTGCCATGACTTGAGTAGCTAGTCATGACACGAGGGTATGTTGTGATAGAAGTATAATACTAACAGTGGGGGAAGTAAAGCCAAGTAGATTGGTGTCAACCTTTATTAATAAAAAAATGAATTTATTACCGAGGCAATGAAAGGAACACCTTGTCGAGGAAAAGCACTATAGGGCTCACTAGCTAACCTCTGTTCACAATGATAGATGACTAACTTCTCCAACATGGCCATATGTCACTTGGCCTTCACCATATTTTATACAAGATTGTAAAATCGTATCGGAGGTTGTATCGAAAAAGTTAGCAAAAGGGCATTATATGATGAAATCGTGGTTAAACTCTTTAGGGTATGCCTACGGTGACTTGCATTAACTTGGAGAAAACGGTCGACCTCTTTCCAAGAAAATGATCGACCTCGTCCACTAAGTGCCCTATCACTTGAGTCATTCGGTCTACCACTTTCAAAAATGGGTCGACCTAATGACACACTTATCTTCAAGCGGTCAACCTCTTCCACCAAGTGCTCTACCACTTGACTCATCCAGTCTACCACTTTCGGAAATGGGTCGACCCGATGACACACTTACCTCTAAGTGGTCGACCTCTTCCACCAAGTGGTATACCACTTGAGTCAACTAGTCTACCGCTTCGAAAATGGGTTGACCTGATTACACAATTACCTTAAGTGGTCGACCTCTTCCACCAAGTGGTCATTCCGGATTCACAAAATATGTAGACAAGTGAAAAACCACTAGCATCAAATGAATTTAAACATATATAAAAACATATTTGAAAACTATTCTAATTATAATCTAAATTCATATTTGAATAAAATATAATATTCAAAACAAAATAACAAATTCTCATATTTAAATACAACATTTAACAACAACCCCACACATTTATACTTGAATCAAACAAATAACATTAACATTTCTTTCAAATTCATGAAATAAATTATTTCACTAAAATAACATCATTTTGTTCATATATAGAAAATCAACCTTATCGATCATCAATATTTCAACCGAACTCATAACCGACGCCAATTATACCAGATTCAACCGGCCACAATTCACCCCAGTGACAACCATGGCCACTACTCACTAGCATCGTTAGTAAAATATGGTACGGGAAAGTTACATATAAAATACGTACAGGTATTTTATTTCGTCTCTAACTTAATGTTACGTTTAATAGTACGTTAATAGTAATAGATTATATAAAATTAATTATTTTAAAAATAATAAATATATAAATAATAGTAAAGTTAACAATTTAATTCATTAAATACGGATATTAAACGTGTAATATGAGTTTTATACGTGTTTAGTACATGAGCTATCAAATAAACGGGAAAAATAAAACAGATTGACAATAATATAAATACCAAAATTTTAAACAGATAAAATACGTAAGGGTACATATACGTGTATTAAACGGAGTATTTACCAACGCAGCACCATCCATCCTCCCTTTCACTTTCAACGCCATTGTCAGGGGATTCACGAACAGGGGCATGCACAAGGAGGCGATTCTCTTCTACAGAGAAATGGTGCTAGTTCATGGCCTGGTACCTGATAGATTCACTTTCCCCTCGTTGTTCAAGTCTTGTTGGGTCTTGTCGATTGGAAAGCAGCTTCATTGCCATTCCACGAAGATGGGTTTTGCGTCGGATACCTACATTCAGAACACGTTGATGAACATGTACTCTGGGTGTGGGTATATGGTGTCTGCTCGGAAGGTGTTTGACAAAATGGATGAGAGAACTGTGGTGTCCTGGGCGAAGATTATACGAGCTTACACGCAGGAGGGTCAGTGTGATGAAGCTTTCACGGTCTTCCGGAGAATGGAGGCTGAAAATGTGAAGCCGAATGAGATTACCTTGGTGAACGTGCTGACTGCCTGCCCGAGAGCGAGGGACTTGTCTATGGCGAAGAGGGTTCATGAGTACATTGGTGTGAATGGTTTTGGATCCCATTTGATTCTCACCACTGCTCTCATGGATGTCTACTGCAAATGTGGCTGTATCTCTGTTGCAAAAGAGATGTTTGAGAAAATGCCTGAGAAGAACTTGTTTTGCTGGAATGTTATGATCAATGGCCTTGTTGGGGAAGGTAAATATGACGAGGCTGTTGCACTGTTCCGTGAGATGCAGCAGAAGAAGATTGAAGGGGATAAGGTGACCATGGCATGCTTACTCCTCGCTTGTACGCATTTGGGCGCCCTGGAGCTGGGAAGGTGGTTACATGGCTACATCAAGATGCATAAGATTGAGATGGATGTTGCTTTAGGAACAGCACTGGTGGACATGTATGCAAAATGCGGAAGCATAGAGAGAGCCCAGCAAGTTTTTGAGGAGCTGCCGGAGAAAGATGTTATGACCTGGACTGCTTTGGTTGTAGGACTAGCAATGTCGGGCCTAGGAGAAGAGAGTTTGAAGTTCTTTGATCGGATGTAGGAGGAAGGACTAAAACCAGACGCCATTACATTTATTGGCGTCTTGGCTGCTTGTAGCCATGCTGGATTGACAGACAAAGGAGTTGCATACTTCAACTCAATGGCTGAGAAGTATGGAATTCATCCCACCATTGAACATTATGGAGGTTTGGTGGATGTACTCGGCCGAGCTGGCAGAATAGCTGAAGCAGAGGAACTGGTACAGAGCATGCCAATGGCTCCTGATCATTTCGTGCTGGGGGGGGCCTGCTTGGTGCCTGCAGAATCCATGGGAACCTGGAGGCCACAGAAAGAGCAGGAAAGCAACTTCTGGAGCTTGATCCGGATAATGATGGGATCTATATACTTTTGTCGAACACATACAAGTCGATGAAGAAGTGGGATGAAGATAATTTCTGGGAATTTCCAGACATATACTGAACATCATTCATTCTATTCCGTTTCATGTCAACTAATCTCTGCAAGCTGAAAGAAAACCAGCCAATCCTGCAATTCTGGCACATAATTGATGCAGGCTCAGATCAGAGGCCAATCTAAGCAAATGACCGTTCAGAAAGCAAAACAATCAATCTCCCATTCCTCTGAATATTGATCTCAATCCTAGCATATGATCAAAACAACTTTTTGGGCAGTAAGGGAACGACAGAATGAAACTTAGTAAACTGTTCATGCAACCACGAAATGGTACAATGTGTCAATCTCTCGACCTCTCAATGCTGCTAATAGAAAAGTTCTTAGCATAGCATAAATAGAAAATATATTCCAACGTCTTAGAAATATACTGCAAACATGACTTAATATGAAAAGAGCAAGAATAAAGTATAAGGTCTAGCAATGGATAATCACGTATTCATAAACATTTGGAAGCATTTTAACATTTTGTATTGAGCTATATGATAGTAACCCCTTTGAAGGTGCCTTGAATCCAACTTCTCAACTTTGTCTGTAGGACTGCTCCAACAATCAGTTTAAGAAGCATGAACACAATTTACTGAGAAAAAGGTACCCTCCCATACTATGATATAATATCAAGTGAAACCTAATGAATCGACACCGGTAAATAATCACCATTAAGACACAAAAACTAATTCCAGCCCAGTCCTGTGATCTGATAAGATTCTTCAAACAATCATAGTTCTAAACAAGCTTAAGGAACACAAAAACTACCAGTCCTCTCATCCAAGTTTTACCAGACAAAGCCTTCCTTCCTACTTATCCTCGTCGCCCTCTTTCCTCTCGATAAGAATCACATTCTCTGCATCCGGTTCGCCATTGTCTTTCGGTTTAGCAACAGGCTCAACACGTGCACCAGTAACGGACTGCTGGTAAAGAACTCCTCCACACAGCGTGAAGAGGAGGCAAAGCAATCCGAATGGAGTGGCATGCTTATCCCATATCATCACATTGATCACAACAGTCAGAAACTTGTTAACCACACCAGTCACAGTGAATGCAGTAGCAGAAATCGCCTTCCTGGCCGCGAACCCAAAGAAACTGATGAGCACACCAAACACACAAGACAATGCCACCGCAGAGAAAGCATCAATCCTGAACCAATCCCCGCCACTCGAACCGACAGCAGCAAACACTTCACGATACTCCCCAGTGAGAACCCAAAACACAGGCGATATGAGCAAAGACAGCAGATTGTTGTACAGCACCAGGCCCCAAGTGTTCAGTCCAATGCTCGACACAATGTGCTTGATGTAAACCATTTCAGACACGATTGTCACCAAATAAGCAAGTGCCCATGAATATGCAGTGAGGGTAAAAGCTGAATCAGTAGCCACATAACCCACAGCACCTCCCAAAATGATGAACAGGGACATGAAAGTGAGCTTAGATGGGATTGGCTGTTTCCTGAACAAAGTGTCGGCTATAGCAACAAGAAGCGGGGTTAAAGATCTGAACACAATGAAGGTGTCCACATTGGCATGGCGCAGCAGATTGGTGTTGGTGAAGATTGCAAGGTAGAAAACAAAGGCAGCGGGGAGAAACTTCTTTGCAGTCTCCAACTTGAAAGCATCGTGATACAAGAAGCCTAATTTCCCCAAAACCCAGACTCCGAGCGCCGAGGTCAAGTACTGCAAAGCCGTGAGAAGCCCTGGGTAGTTGAATTTGGTAATGGCGAACTTGTTGATCACGGCGAGCAAGCTGGAGCAGAGAGCGTAGCCCACCACCACGCTGCTCGTCGCGAGCTGCTTCGTCGACTCGGGTCGAATCGCAGACATCTTTTTTCACTGGTGGGATTCTCACTTACCCTTTTCTCTGTTCCCGGGAAAACAAGCAAAACCCTTGAACCAGAGGTATAAAAGGAAGAACCAGTTAGTAGACTAATTACCCAGACAGTGACGGATTTGGACCAGAACCCAGATTCAGAAATGCCCCCAATCGATCTCCAGGGACGGGATTGACGGAAGAAATGTCCAGCGGGCAAGTGAACTGGGCGGGATCCGAGAACGAGATCCCGAATCGAGGGGAAAACAGGGGAAGAGGAGTCGAATCAGCAACCCGCAATAAATGGACGGAGAAAATGAAGGATTGATTTCGAGAAGTTGATTGGCTGATAGAGCTGAGGTTGCTGCGCGGAAGAACTAAAGAGTAAATGCGGACAAGGGCAATTTTTGGAGGAGACGCAAGAACGAGACAGCCAGAGAGCCTCACCCGTCAGAAAACAGGGGTCGGTGTTTCCATTATATAAGCCATTAGAAAACTAGAAGCGGAGAAGTTTCGAAGAAGTGGCTATGGCGGAAGAGAGAGGGGGCGTCATAAATGATGGCATTGGATATTTTCATGGGGGAAAACGAAGTCTTTGACGGGACGCGCACGTAGTAGTGGTGGCGGAAACGTAAAAAGGTTTTGCTGGTTGCAGACTTGCAGCAGATCTGGGTCAATGGTTTTTTTCTATTAAAACACTGTTGTCCCTCTGTTCTAAGTCATGGCTAAAAAATGATCAAATGAAAGAGATTGAAAACAGAGTTCCTCAAACAGAAATTATTTATGGCTTTTCTTCATGAGGCAGGGGATCAGTGATTACTGTTACTGCAGGAAGAATTATCATAATTGACATTTTCGTGTTGTAAAAGATATCTTCTGTTTGTACTAATTCGAGACGATTGAAGGGTTATCGTAAGAAGAATTACATATTCTTTCTTCAAAACCCGATTCAATTTCTGTATAGACGCGAGTTTGTAATTAATTATTTAGGTCACGATACTCAACTTACAAATTATATGCATACACAGGGCCAACCATTAACATGATGTGTTGGCCAACCCATATAATATAGGGACCTCAGAATTTTACGGTGAGGCATATAATCAGTGGACATTATTATCGTAGGAAGAATTATCGTATTTGTCATTTTCGTGTCATAAAAGATAGGTTCTCTTGATACCGATTTCGAGAATATGGTAAATACCACATTTTTTTGTGTTACCGAACTACCGTAGCATTCTCCATTACTCTGGAATTAGTTAATCTCCATAAAAAAGGTTGTAGGGTTAAATATGTGGTATAAATTAAACATCACTCTTTTACAACCAGACGAGTTTGTGATTCATTCTTTACGTTATCATACTAAACTTAATTACATGCCGTTTGGTATAAATGAATTCTACAAATTTTGAGGAATTTATTTTGAAATGAATCATTTTTGTGTTTGGTATTTAAAGGAATTCATTTTAAATTCTAAATTTTGAATTCTATGGAATTGGAACTAGTTATAGCAATTTGAGGAATTGAGATGAAATTTCTAAATGAATTCCACAGGTATTTACTAAGTATAATAGAATGATATAATTATCCTCCTTTATTAACTCAATTACTTATACATATGATATACCAAAAACAGGAAATCATTTGACACTAAATTCTACTCGACAATTCATTATATTTCTAGACACAAAATTTCATTTGACAATGAATTCTCCATGATAATCAATTTACAATGAATGAATTCTTGATTCATTTGTTACCAAAACGGTAATATGTGTTTATTAGCAATGTACTGACCGATCCTATAGCACACTACCTAGGAACAAAATTACATGAGAGGGTTGGGTCTCGAGTTATTGAAAATTTGATAACTTAATCTATATAAGATGTAGCGAAAAATAAAATAAAATAAAAAGAATTTCCCTTCCCTTTGATTTGTTGGTAAACATGTTAAATGAGGCGCACTTGATTGTAGTTTCAAATCTTATTTATTACATTATTTTGTTTTGAAAAATGCTTTTTCATTGCCATTTGATTAAATTAACTTGATAAACTATTAGTTTAGTCCCTTCATTTTAAAGTTTTGATATTTTTTCATTCTTAAACATTAAGCGTGTTCATTTAACTCACATTACATGAATAGTGAATCCACAGTTATTTAACTTGACTAAAATGTCAGTATAGTCCATCCCCTTTAATATTTTGATTGTTATGGTTTTTAAACTTCAAATATGTCCATTTAACTCTCATACACGAAATTCTGTATTTTCTAAGGATACTTTTGAAATAGATACTTGTATTTTTAACCCTCGAAGATCCAATGAGTCACCTTAACTCATACAACAGAAACGATTATTTTTCTATACGAGAATTTTGGATCGGACAATGGATAGTTACAAAAAATTTCATTTTATTGAAAAAAGTTATTGGGACTTTTTTTTCTTACAAAAGATAATCATATATATATATAGGTGCACCGAAGTGGCCACCATATATATATTGACTTGAACAATAGATCAGTATATCCTGGAATTTAATCATGGCAGAAAATTCAAGAAACGACACGTAATCGGGTACAATGGAAGCCGGAAGGGCCTTTCTAGCCGCACCAAATTGGTTGATTACTACTCCGACCTAAAAATCGCACATTAAGGCCAGTGCGAATTCACCAAATAGCACACGACTTCCTCAAGGATGACCCCAACCCAATTATCCCGGGTATCTGCCTGATTTATATCTCTCTTATATCTAGAATATATATGACCTCCAAAATTTATTATTGGACCACGTTCGTTTACACATCTCACTCTCATATTGTAATTAAAATTAAAATGCCTGGTTAGATATATATATAAATCTCACAACTTCAAAATTCTATAAGTGACAATTTTGTACCGTAAAATTTGGCAGTACACACAAATTAGTTGTATGGTTTTGCTTTAAAACCTTCATACCTTACACTTTTACTTGTAACATTGATACTCTCGCACAAATTGGTACCTAATATTCAAGACTCACTCTCAGTTTCTCCTCATAAAAACTTTTCACAATTAATTCGATCGTTAGATATATTTCGGAGCACAACAATGTTAGGCCGATCTCTTAGTCTTCTTCTATTACTCCAACAGGAAACTCAATGAAAGATCAACGCTTTGCAACTTGGTGTAATTAAGCCTCCAAGCTAAGCTTCCAATTTCTTGTTGATCTCTCATTCATAAATGACCGAATATATAAAAAGACCAAAAAATTCTTAAGCTAGCTACTCCTATTTCACCTAATTATAAAAAAAAATACCAATAATTCCCAAAAACTCCCTTAAAATTTTGATAACCGATTCCAAACTCATGTTGTTTTTAGTAAATTCCAGACTTATTTCTCAAGTAGAGCCAGGTTAAACCTTCCAAATCTCGAAAACCCGTACCACCCTCCTGCTGCTGGGGAGGATACAGATCTTTCCAACTCTGCTAATGGGTTCTCTTTTCATCCTGTTTCTGTCCCCGCCAGAAATTAGTTAGAATTTATTGTATTTCTTTCCGTCCCCGTGTGGGGATCTTGAATATAGACATAGCATTAATAAGTTACTTGTTCATTTGCCATTAATTTTATCAACACTTCTTTAGGAGCACTAGGGTTTAGGCAACTCTTCCATAGCTTCACTTTATTTAATATATGTGAAACTTATTTCTTTCCCCTCCCTACTATTGTAGCCAATTAGGGTTAGCAAATGATCCGAGTCGAGTTTTTGCTTAGGTTGAGCTCGACTCGTTTATAAATTTTTCAGTTCCAACTCAAATTTTACTAATCTAGTTCGAGCTCGAGCTCGGCTCGATTGAAAATAATCTATCTCGAGCTCGACTCTGCAGAGTTTGGTAAGTGCTCATTAACACAACTTGTAAAGTTGAGTACTAACTCGGCTCAAGATGAGCTCGATTTGAAATCATTCTTGCTGAAAAATGTGACACATAAGAATTTAAATGATAAAACAACACTAGAAACCAAAAATAGTAGCTAACTTCCATACACATCCGTATTAACAAGATAATGTTCATGTTCAGAAGAGTAATTAATCTTTTCACGAGCTCTAGACAATCCAACTCTCGAGCTTAGCTCAACAAACCATTGAGTCAAGCTAGCTCACGAGCTTATCAAGCTGAGCATGGTCTAGCTCAAGCTTGGCTCGTTTACTAACGAGTCGGCTCACGAGCCGGCTTGTTAAATAACGAACCGAGTGTCGAACTATTTTTTTTTTATTCGAATGCCGTGTTGCTTGCGAGCGGCTTGGCTCATTTGCAGCCCTGTAGGCAATCCTAAATATTTAGCTTGGTAGTCTACTTAATTGGTTCATTCTCATAATTCGTGCTAGCTCTTTCCTTGTGTTCTAATTCAAGTTTGGTGAAAAGGATAATTCAGATTTCAACAAGTTTACCTTCTTGCCACAGTCTCATCTTCACAAATAGATAGGATTTCCTTTAGCTTCATGCTAGCTGCTTGGGTTGCTCGTATTAAAGAAATCAAGAGTTTGGAGAAAGAAAGCAAAGAAAGATCGATTAGGGTTTTATACTTTGCTTGTTGATCTCTCTCCTTCCACAAATTTTTAAAAATGTATCAAAGATAGAAAGTTCTTTAAACTACCCCAATTCGACCTACAGTTATCCAAACTATCAACAATTCTCTAGAAAACCCTCACGAAATCCAACAATTCCACAAAATGCTCCAAAATAAATAAAAAAACATAATTAGATGGTATGAAATCATATCACGATAGGTAATTCCAGAGGTCGAGTTTCTACTATCATGTAAATAATCTAGCCGAACAAAACTTAATCTAGTGATATAAAATAAGGAGAGAAACATTATTTATTACATCTTGATGATTTCCATGACCTCACCCTCATCATTGATCTCCCAAATACATTAATCCAAAACATGATTTATTAAGCACACATAATAAGCTTGCATGCTTTGACACCTTCGTCAAAACTGATCAACTGAATCATCGATCGATCGATCAAGTGGATGTGTATTAAGCAGCGGGGGCGATCTTATCACCATCATCCATATCGTCAACATCGTCATCATCGTCTCCTTCCGCCGCAGCCTTCTCTGCATATTGACAGCCATAAGAACCATGGTTGTGGTTATCTCCACTGATATTCTCATGCACCAGAAGCAGCAGCGTGGCAATGTTCATGGAGCTGGACAAGGAAGACATGCTTTGAAGAAGGGAGAAAGAAGAGATCAGCGAATTCTGTGATATGGGTTTTCCTTCTTCTGCTTGTGGGTGGCAAAATATATAGAGAAAGGGGGAGAGGAGGGCTCTCTAGCTCTTTGGGGACTTTGGTCGAACACGTGAGGGGCAGGGTTAAACCTGTTGCTGGAGGGAGCTGGGTGGGTGTTGGATCCGTGGTTTTAGGGCCAACTCAGCTTCCTAATGGGTTCGTCACCCTGACACGTCGGACGGCAGCCATGGCCGACGTGTAATCGCATTGTGTGTGTGTGTGTTTGTGGTCGAAAAGGAGAGAGAGAGGCCAAAAGAGCATCTTGATGATGATGATCTTTTTGTTTTCTTACACCTTGTTTGATCTCGATCATAGGGTTAAGGAATGGAGGGTAGAAATGAGAGGAAATTATGGTTCATATTGTAGAACTGTGGTTCAACGATCCTACTTGACGTGAGGATGAGATGCTTCATCATATAATCGTATCCATATAGATTCCCATATACTTTTTGAGTATTAATATCTTGAAATGTTTATATCTTTGTTTGAAGAGAAATGGGTTCACGGAAATATCATTTTACCCCTTATTCATGGAGTACACTCTGAGATTTGTCGAAAGATGTCAACCGAATTGACGAGAAAATAGACCGGACGCGGTTCGAAAAATTGTGGACCAAAACTGAATTTTGCGGTTCGATGTAGATCGCGTAGATGGTTGAAAAACAGTTTGGTTTGGTCTATAGATTGTATTGTGAGATGTTATGCTCTCTTGGTCTGGTGTGTGTGTCAGAGGTTTATCAAATGATCAGATTGTGGATTTGGCCCACTTTTTAATTTGTGTTAGTAGCCCACTATACCAATCTCCCCCCGCTCTCCAACGAAGTCCAAGTCCGAACCCTTGTTTTTTCGATCGCGTCTTCTCGTTCACTTAAAAATCACGCTCTGCCGAAAAGCAGATTCGATAACATCTCCATATGGAAATGTGTTAATGTTAATGACGTTGTGGTGGAAGTTGGGTCTAGGGATGACAAGTACATCCATGCGTAATTTTACCCAAGCGCAAGTATACCCATTGATTATGGGTAGGGTATGAATGAAGTATATATGAGTTTGGAAGATTTGTATATGAGTTTGGATAGTGTATGTATATTGTTTCCAAAATCTAAATGGGTTTGAGTTGGGTATTGATACCCATTTACTTGAGGGCGTTTTAACTCAAATACAAAAATTGGACCTATTTGTAAAATTTAAGAAGTTTAGGTTCAAATGTAATGCACAAAATTTTAGGCACGTGGATTAAAATAACAACTTCCTCATTCAACTCCTCACTTCATACACCATCTCATATCTCACTCTCTACATTTTCTCCAAACACCTAGCATCCAAAAAAAAGTTCTCATCTTCTGCTATTTCGCCATGAGCAAAAGAGGTGCTAACTGGTCCAAAGATGAAGACATAGCCTTATGTCAAGTTTGGTGCAAAATATCATGCGACGACAATAGGCAATGATCAACAATTTAAAAGGTTTTGGGAGCTCATCGATGAGGCTTTCAAAATGGCCAATCCAAGTTATGATTGCTACCAACTATCGAAGAGTAAAAAATGGTAATTTCAAGTTCCCATCGCTCCCAGATCTATTGTTGTGAATGCATGTATTATATTATACATGTATTGACGAATTTGATGCATTGCAAAATACAATGTTTGATATGTGTGATTGTGTATGTCGCCAGCTAAAGCTGAGATAAAACAATCTCAACTCAACTATCTCAACAATATCAACTAAAAGCTGAGATATAACAATTACTGATCATTTTGAGTGATAATTTCTGTCACATATATCACACAAACAATCCATGTATTGTTTGCTAAAAAAAATATATACATTCTACACAATACAAGTATAATAACAATTTCACAGAAACAATTGCAACTTCCAATCCAAGCCTAAAATCATAGTTTAGATAGTGGAAATTTAGTTGAACAAATGGTTAGACGATTCAAAAAGTGCATAGTGGGGGTGGCTTATTGCATTGTATCTCCTACTTGATGACTTTTTTGAGATTTTTTGGTGGTGCTAAGAAACATGTAGGAGAAAATGAAAAGTAATAATAATAATCATGAGGTACAAAGGAAAGCTGGTCTGATTTATTTGGTATCAATAACTCGAGCTGTTGAAAGTTGCTCAATTATGGATTTTATGTCATTTACTCATTTACTAATGCATGTGCTCAAACGAAAGCCAACTTATATATGAGTTTAGAGTTTGTACGGGTTTGAATATCACGTGCTTAACAAATGAGCGCTATCGAGATCTGAATACAAAAACTTTCGATCATCCAATGCGTTGATACCATGTCATAAATAATTTGGTCTCAATATATAACATGATTTGTTGGGAGATGTTCAATTATAGATCTTATACCATTTACTAATACAAGTCTATCTAGTAAGGATTTTTTGCTAAAACCGTTAATGGGCTGTGTCGAAATCGGGTCACTCCATTTTTAACTATATTGTCCGCTTTGGGCCAAACCTACACGGATTTACTTTTCGGTATCCTCCCCCAAAAGTACTCGTACTAATTGAGTTTGGTAGACACTAATATACAAGGGTTCATTCGTTTGTATTTATGATTTGGTACTTAGATTGTCTCATAACATGTTGGATTCGTGGATCCAAGTGGCATCTAACTTTTGGATCATTTTTAAAATTTTACGAAAATGGTACTAAATTAAGTGGCATACTAAAAAAAATAGGTACTAAAATGTAGTTTTAAAATGATATTATGTGTAAAAAATAATTTATAGATACAAAAAATTAAAATATGAAAACTATATATATATATATGGTGACATCTTCGGTGCACTCACTTTTTTGGATGCATTCAGTGCACTCACTTCATAACCGTCATTTTAAACATGCAATTTATGTCAAAATGATGTCAATCATCACTTATGATGTGATGAACAATAACGCACATGAATTTGCACAAAAACCATTAAAGATTTACTTTAATTTGAAGGATTTGTAGTTTAGAGATTTAGGGTTAGGGTTAGGGTTTAGAATTTGGGGTTTAGGGATAGAACTCAAAATTAGAGGTCTAGAGCTTAGGGTAATCGGCTAATTAGTTGTTATCATATGTTATATCATCATATTACACTAATTCTACAAATTAAAATTCAAAATCCGACACCTTAAGTCTAGTTTTTTAGTTGGGTGCATTGAACGCACTCATTTTTGTGAGTGCGCCGAAGTAGTCACCTATATATATATATATATATATGGTCTCATAAAAGCAAGAGCAAAAGTGATATTTCTCACAAAAAGTAATATAACATGTTGAATACTAAAAGAACTATCACCAAAACCAAACAATGTAAAGTACATTATACATCATTATCCTAGCAAAGATGGCATCCCTCAGATGTTTCAATGGATGGTCTAGCAAAGATAAGAAATGTGTTCTTAGTTTTGAGTAAGCATCGACATGTTTCCTCTTTGCCTGTACATATGGTTGACCACAAAACCATTAGAGAGCTTACCTAATCTCATCTTCGAGATCACATGAGATATGGGATGAATAAATTGTTAATAAAGGAAAGGGCATCTGATCCGCTGTCCATGTGATGATGCAACTTGAAAAGTGGATTCAAATGGAGATCTTTCAGTTTTCACTTTCAGAAAAACAGTGAGCAAATTAACCGGGGGAAAATTCAACTCCGTGTTCGGTTTGGCAATCCAACGTCTACCGTCCGATCCACCAACCGTCCGTCCATCTCGCCGGCGGCCGGTCAAACAACAAAACGAACACAAGAAAACAGGGTACAGTTGGCGCCGGGCTATTCCCCCACTCCCTCTGCATTTAAACACTCGCCACAGGGGGAGAAAAAACGCGTATATTCTCCTCCTTCGCCACAGCCCGTATTCTATTCCTCTCAATCCTCGCCAGCCGCCGCCATTATCTCTAGTTTCTCTGCTCTATAAATTGGATTTAGAATCGTAGCCGGCGCATATCCTCTCCTTACCCATTTCCCCATCCCCTGTTTCTATCTTTAACCCTTTTTTGAGTTTTTTTCCTCTCACTCTGTTTTTCTCGACCGCGAAATTTTTTTGACTTTGGAAGCAGCTTGCGCTGTATTCCACTATATATTTAATCGTTGTCCCCCCTCCATTTTGGGATCCGTCTCTTGGTGGGTCTCTCTCTCCTGGGAGGAGAATCGGGCGATCTCTGAGCTCCAATTCCCAGCTGGTCAAGGTGCGTAGCTTTTCAATCTTATCTCTTTTACTTTGACATTTCTTGTCCATTTTTCTGTTGGGTTTGTTGAATCTGTGAAGAGATTTGGTTTCTGGGTTTCGGTCTGTTGTTAGGAAAGTTTAGGGCTTTGTCGTGATTCTGGCCTTAGATTTGAATCTGCGATGGGTTAGACAGATTTAGGGATATGTTTGAACCTGAATTTGTCGATTGATTTAGGGGGTTGCTCTTAATGTTGACAGGGGAGGGGGAAAAGATGGCAGAGACTCAACCAAACAAACCCTTGATCCAGCCATCATCGTCTCGAAAGCTCCCAGATTTCAAGAAATCGGTGAAGCTGAAATACGTGAAGCTCGGTTACCACTACCTCATCACTCATGGCATGTACCTCTGCCTTTCCCCACTAGTAGTCATTCTCGCAGCTCAGCTCTCGACTTTCTCCTTCGAAGATCTCCGCGACTTATGGGAACATCTCCAGTACAATCTCATCTCCGTGATTGTGTGCTCAACCCTGATGGTCTTCCTCTTCACACTCTACTTCATGACACGCCCTCGACCAGTCTACCTCGTCAACTTCTCGTGTTACAAGCCGGATGAATCGCGCCAATGCACCAAGAAGATCTTCATGGATCGATCTCGTTTGGCTGGATCGTTCACCGAGGAGAGCCTCGAGTTCCAGAAGAAGATCCTGGAACGATCTGGGTTAGGCGACAACACTTATCTCCCAGATGCTGTCTTGACAGTCCCTCCAAATCCGTCCATGGAAGAAGCGAGGAAAGAAGCCGAGGCGGTGATGTATGGAGCTATTGATGAGCTTCTCGCGAAGACTGCGGTTAATCCGAAAGATATTGGGATTTTGATCGTGAATTGCAGCTTGTTTAACCCTACACCGTCGCTATCAGCAATGGTGATCAACCATTACAAGCTTCGTGGTAACATTGTGAGCTACAATCTTGGTGGGATGGGATGCAGTGCTGGTCTGATCTCCATTGCTCTTGCTCAAGATCTTCTCCAGGTCCATCCCAATTCATATGCTTTAGTCATAAGCATGGAGAACATCACCTTGAATTGGTACTTTGGGAATGATAGATCGAAGCTTGTTTCGAACTGCTTGTTTAGAATGGGAGGTGCTGCGATTTTGCTATCCAACAAGAGATCAGATAAGAGGAGGTCCAAGTATGAGTTAGTTCATACAGTTCGCACTCATAAAGGTTCTGATGATAAATGCTTCTCGTGTGTCACTCAAGAAGAGGATGCTAATGGCAAAGTCGGTGTTACTCTGTCCAAAGATCTTATGGCAGTGGCAGGTGATGCATTGAAGACTAATATTACTACTTTGGGACCTCTCGTGCTTCCAATGTCGGAACAGCTTCTTTTCTTTGGTACATTGGTAGGGAAGAAGGTTCTGAAGATGAAGATTAAGCCATACATTCCTGATTTCAAGCTGGCATTCGAGCATTTCTGCATCCATGCTGGTGGGAGAGCAGTGTTGGACGAGTTGGAGAAGAACTTGCACTTATCCGATTGGCACATGGAGCCATCGAGAATGACTCTGTACCGCTTCGGTAACACCTCGAGCAGCTCGCTGTGGTATGAGCTGGCTTATTCAGAATCTAAAGGAAGGATTAGGAAGGGAGACAGGACGTGGCAGATCGCATTTGGTTCGGGTTTCAAGTGCAACAGTGCGGTGTGGAAGGCTTTGAGGACTATTAACCCTGCAAAGGAGAAGAACCCATGGATGGATGAGATCGACAACTTTCCGGTCGATGTTCCTAAGGTGTCAACTATTGGTTAGGGATTTAGGATCCAGATTAATGTGACTTTAACAATCTTGGAGGGGAGATGAGGAGCTTGAGTTGAGCGACTGTATTGATTTTAAGGGGCGTTATTCGTTTGGCACATTCAGGCTTAAGACTGGCTAACTACATGGCCATGAGTAGCTGAGTCTAGAGTCCTGATTGACATGTTGGTCTTTTTTGAGGATCTGTAACTTGGCTTCATTTGTTGGGATTCCCACTTGGCTTCTACTTTGGTTTCAACTTGAATCAATGATGATCTTTGTTTTCTCAAAATCATGCTCTGCTAATTAGTAGCTAATTCAAGTTTCAATGCTGTCATGAACCCTGGATTATACCCAGGCAAATGCACCTCCTGGGAGTTCTATTTCAAGGTGTTTAGGTCGCAGAACTTGGTCATAGAACATGGCATCGGATATCTGACATTGAGTGATTTTTTTCACATTCCACCGCCTGCTCAAACCACTCTTAATGGATTGGATTCGATTAGTCTGAATCGTTACCCATTCAGAAAACAGAAACAGTGGCTTCACCACTGGACCAATAAATGAACATACCTCGTACTGTCGTACATTCTAATGGTAATAGCAGCAACAATTGGAACCTCGGAGAATTAAATCATCATCTCACTAAGCAAATGAGAAACGAGGCAAACTGAATTAGCTTAAAAGTAACAATGATCCAGCAGCAACCAAATCAACCTAACAAGATACAGAAGTCTGACATTTTCCATGACTAACTCTCTAAACATCAGAAGACAATCTCAGGTGTGTTAGCAAGCAGGAAACCTGCTGCTTCTACAGAAGTTCTCTATTCTTTGGATGATTTGTTGATTAGGGACTTGTGGATGTGAGGAATGACTCCACCGCCAGCAATGGTGCCCTTGATTAGGGTATCGAGCTCTTCATCACCACGGATTGCTAGCTGCAAGTGCCTTGGAGTTATACGTTTCACCTTCAGATCTTTGCTTGCGTTCCCAGCCAATTCCAGTACTTCTGCAGTCAGATACTCGAGAATAGCAGCAGAATAGACAGCAGCTGTAGCTCCAACCCTCCCGTGAGCTGTTGTCCTTAGTTTCAGGAGGCGATGGATGCGGCCCACTGGAAACTGTAAGTTATCCAACAAAGGCAAAATTGACCATTGAAGCCAGTTTCTCACATTTCAATCAATTAAGGCAAGTAATAGACACAGGACACATAACAGACGAAAAAACTATCCTGAAAAACATGCAGTGGCAAGTGAACAATGAGGGCGCTATAAAACGAAATGAGTCGCAACAGAACAAGCACCGGAAAACTGCCTCGGGTTACTTTAAGAAATTCGACCTAAATAGACTCACACAACACGGCTAGTTCACACTTTCTCAGTGTTCCCCCGCGTATGGCATTCACATATCAAGGTCTTTCGGGGAAAAAGTCGATTCAAAATCTCAAGGATATAAGCAACACCTACAGTAAGTTGAAAGAATCCAATCACTTAAAAGAACACCCAACTGCCACATTGTAGGGGGGAAAAAAATCATCATACTTTAAACAAAAATTGCAACTGTGCACGCAGTAGTAGTTTACATTCCACATACTCGACAAATGAACAAAGCCGCTAGAAGGAGATTTTAACCGACTCTGCAGCTTGGGAAATTCTGTACATCAAACTAACATGCTAACCAACTATGTTTCTTGATCATATGGGAAAGGAAATGATAAAGGGTAATAAGGACAGCATTATTCAAACTTGAAAAGTTCTCCTAGCAATACAGACTCATTCTATCAAAATATCAATGTTTCTGCTTATGACAGCCCCATGAAATGGTGAGCAGTTATAACAGTGATCGAGTTGCGTTGTTTTCAGCTAATTTGAGAAGGCTGATGACCTCATTGTCTAGGCTTGCCAGATATATGAGGCCATAATAGTTCATTAGACTAAATTAACTGGTCTGGAAAAATCATTCAGGGCAACTTGGGATGTGAAATTCTAAGAGGTCACATTACTCGATCTGTAAACTTCGTATCATCATATTGGCTACGAGAACCCTTCATTAACCTATCAAGCATCTACAGCGAACACCGAACCAAATGAGTTTGGTCACAGCATCAGCACTTGGAACCAATTCTTCTCTAAACTAAGGCAGCCTAGTTAACAAATGAATCAAACTCCGCTGGACCGGGAAAACCGGAAAAGGTTTTTGAGAACTTGTGCAACTATCACCAGAAGCACCAAATGGCAACCAAAAGCCGTCAAGAGATCACATAAGCTGTTACCATTCCAACCAATCCTAGGTACAGCAAACCAAGAACTACCGATTTTTGGCCAACCACCCACAGCAAACCGCAACATCATACAGAGGCAAGACAGTATGATGGACTGGAAAACTCTACATGAATCAAGGGCGCGGCATATCTATCTATCCTCAAGGAACTTGGAATGATTCAAACAACAGAAAAGACGTCTCATTTACCGCACTTGACTCAAGCTTTTTACATCAAAAGATAAGCAAACGAACTAAGAAACTCTCTGCTATTTGACTTCGAATTAAAGCAAGATCCCATCACATCCTCCTGCCGTAAACAGCACCCAAGATACGAAAGAAAATGTCCCCAGAACCAAAGACAAGTAAACGAAGTGAGCGGCCAAAAAAAAGGCAGCTGAAACCAAACCCAGATGAACGAAATCTCAGAGAGCGAGATACAGGGGAAAAGAAGAAGCGAACAAACAGAGTGGGAGCAAGATCTAGAAGAGAAGAGGATGGGGGGAAACCTGGAGACCAGCACGAGAAGAGCGAGAGGTGGGTTTCTTCTTCTCTTTGTCCTTGTCCTTATTAGCTGCCGCCGCTGCAGCAGCTCCCTTCCCCATAATCAAACCCTTTGCTCCTTTCCCCGACATCTTCGTTTCCCGCCAAGAAAGCTTTCTTCTTCGGATTAGAAGAGAAAATAGGAAGGAAGAATTAAATAGACAAGAGCCCAGATGCAAGGAAGGACCGGAGCTTGGTGTCAGGGAGAGTCGGTTTATTCAGTACAGCACGAACTCTCTCAAAGTCTCTATCTTTCCCTCACTCTCTCTCGAGATGGATTGAGGATTCACGATGGCCAAAGGAATCGGGGAAGACGGAAGGAGGAAGAAAGATATAAAGAGAAAACGACTCAGAAGTTGAGAATGACTCAATTAGCCCTGTTTCTTCTTCATATTTATCTACCCTGCCCTTCTGTCGCTCCTGTGGCCTGTGGGATGTGGCTGTGTCCTGTCTTCTTTCGTTTCCTTGCCAGAATACTACTTTTTCACTCCAGAACTGATTGATTGAGGTACAGGCATGAATCCAATCTTGTAAGTAAATCCAAAATAAGATTAACAATGGCGATCCGATCATGCTGTAAGGACAATTGTTCTTGAAAATGATCCCCTCACTTAGTCCCGACATTAAAACGGTAAGACAATGATCACCTCACTCAGTCCCGACATTAAAACGGTAAGACAAAGCATTGCCATTGATGGAATTAGACAATTGAAAATAAGATTAACAATGGCGATCCAATTATGCTGTAAAGACAATTGTTCTTGAAAATGATCAACTCACTCGGTTCCGACATTAAAACGGTAAGACAAAGCATTGCCATCGATGGAATTAGACAATCGAAACAAAGACAAAAAACAGGCAGAGAGAGCTTTCACAACCACCTCGCTATTCGAACGTACCACATACGTAGACAGAAACTAACATGTCTCACGACGGTTTAAGGCGGTCGCATAATCTGGAACGTGAAGGTGAATCCTCGTCATAGAAACTCATAGCAGTTTACATATACCAAGGCGATTGTGTTGGAAGAAGCTTGTACAAAAATTTCAGTGTCTTCTTTCAAGTTGTAACCCCTCCCAAATATCATGATGACTGACCAAAGCCAGAGACACCAACCTTCTCAGTCCAGCACCATTTCCATAAGGCAGAGATGAAAACGAACGACACAAATTGAGAGATCAAGAAAAGAAGAAGGCGCGAAAAGGAAAAGATAACAACAACAAAAAAAAAAAAAGTGGGTTTGGTCTAACTCGGGCAAAAAGGAGGTACATCACTCTTTCCCTGCTGCATCATCCTTCTCTTTAGCCTTCCCCTCATCACCACTAATGTGAAACCCCTCAATCTTCTTAGAAACTTCTTCTGCAGCACTCACCTTCACCTTCCCTGCCACCGTTCCATTGGCCGCTGTCGCTGCCGCCGTCGCCCCACCATCGCTCTCGTCGTTTGTTAGTGGGCCCGTCTGCCATATTCTGATGGTCCCGTCTTCTGACCCGGACGCGTATGATTCTCCACCCGGTGAAAACCGCACGCAGTGGACTGGACCATGGTGGCCCTTGTTACAAGCTACACATCCACGTTTCAGAAAATGCAGAATCAGAATGCTTTGGTTATCAAAGATCCAACACATTCTATTACTAGTAGATCCAGGAGAAATGGAGAATGTACCTATCTCCTCCCCTGTGTGAAAGTCATATACGTGAACCCACATGTCTTCTCCCCCAGCAATGAACTTATTCCCGTGCTTGGGTTCCAAGGAAGCTGATTCCACAGTGCAGGACATGTTGTAGCTCTTCACAAGCCCAAAACTGTAATAAAGTATACAGATGAAAGAAACTGTGAGCAATCGGAGAGGTGTTGGCTTAGGATAAATGATTGCTGGAGAGAGCTTACTGATTTGCATCCCAGAACTTGACGGTTGAACCATCAGCAGTTGTGATATAGCGACCGTCCTGACTGACTTCGGCACTTGTCACTGATGACTTGGTCTCAAGGGTTTGCACTATCTTACCACTTCTTACGTCCCACAATCTGTCAGATGCAAGGTAGATAATAGTCACAATAGACGAACAAAGATACGTCTTGTTGAAGAAGATATTAGTTGATGCAGAGTTCTTGGTAAACTTAGAAGAATAAGCAGCACACCTTACACCACCCATATCAGTGCATGAACCCAGAATGGTCTGATCACTATGCAGCCAAGCAAGAGTTCTAACTGAACCAGGGGATTTATCAACTTCTCTTGGAGGTGCATCTGGGCGATTCAGATCATAAATGCGCAAAATTTTCTCTAGTCCACCAGTAAGTAGAAGATGAGTGTCCTGAAGGAGAAATTGGAGGCTCAAGATGAGATGTAACCAGAAATAGAATGCAGATATCCTGAAAGCATAATAATGGCTGCTATTTCCGCATCTGTATAGTTAAGCTAATCTTATGTGCACAAAGTCATCAAACATACATTTTAAAGAAGATTTTTCATTAAAAAGAATATGGAGAAAGACTGAAGTGCATATGTACCTCTGAAAACGCACAAGCTCTAACTATGTGCTTGTGTTCAAAGGAATGCAGTTCATCCCCCGATAATGCATCCCATACTTTCCTGCATATTGAGCAGGAGTCTAAAACTAGTTAGTCTCCACTCCATCCAATCCAAAAGCCAGATTTGCCAATTAACACCACACATAGAAGCAAGGTTGATCATAATAAATAAGGTAAGTTATGGTGAAGAAAAATGAACAAAACTACATAAAGGCATCAAAACCCATACCCCAGTTCATAATAAGCCACAAAGGAAATCACATTCTTATACAACTCATGACAAAATGTTAAGAAGGGGGCTAACTGTATTGTGTTGCAATGTAAACAAGCCAATGCAGGAAGAACAAAAGTTGAAAGCAGAAGAAGAAAGGGCGAAGAAACCAGGCACATAATTACATCAACAAACAATATGGTACTTACGCAGTAAAATCAGCAGAAGCAGAAGCAGCACGTAATGCATTAGTATCCAAGCAGGAGCTCCACACTGCACCCTTATGCCCTTCGAAGGTTCCAATCCAATCTCCAGTTTCTCCATTTCTAAGCATGGGACTAGAATCTGAACAGACACAGGTTAAGATCCTTACGATTAGAAAATGCACAACGATTTGTGCAATCAACTTGAATCCATAAGTTCATACTTCTGCTCCTTAAACCAAATAGTTGATGCAACCCTTCATTGATTCAATTTAACTACAATCATATATACTAGCTAAAGCTTCCATATGCAAATCTTTGCCGCAACCATTCATTGACTCAACTTAAATGCAATAATCTAAACTAGCTAACCACTTCCATAAATATTAACACGCAGCCTCCATAATAGCAAGAAATTAGGCCCAAATTCTTGCAATAACAGTCTTGCCGGCACAATTCATCTCCAAGAAAACAAACCCAAACTCGGAATTAAACCCAGAGTTTAAAGAAAGATGATCATTACCCTTGCTGGCACTGATCAGGAAGAAACCATCGGGAGTAGTAGGACTGTAGAACAGATCCACCACCGGCCGGGAATGGCCATGGCAGACCAAAGGAACGGCAACCTTCTTCTTATCCATAACAAAAGAACTACCAAATGCCTAGAATAAAAATCCCTCCTTTTTATCCCTAAACGGATCCCTTACCGGCAAATTCTTCAACCCTAACAAATATCCACAAATTTATCCAAATCCCAACAAAATTGGGGCGAAACTGTACCGATCGGCCGAGCAACGAAGATTAGACAAAGGACGAAAGGAAACCAAGAAATCGTCTTTCTGTTTGTACAGCGATTAGATTTAGAAAGGGAAAAAAGGGTAGTAGTAGAAGAAGAAGTAGAATTTGGCACAGGTGGGAAATACGCCCCCGATTATCTAATTTGAATCCGCACCTCCTAACCCTAGCTATGCTCTAAGGAAATGAATCTATCGGAGATCTCTGCTGTAAAATATTTATTTTTTTTTTTTAAATTTTCTTTTTGTTGCGGGGGAGAAGAAAATTGGTTCTTCGGCCAGAGAGCAGTGACTCCTCCAGGGGCTAGGCGCAGAGTTCCAATGGCGACGGATCTGGTCATTTATAGCCTCTGCCTCCCATCAGCTCCGGCTGACTTTCCGGCTGCCATCTTTTCTGGGCCGCCCGGGTTGTAGCAGCACAACCCATTGGGCTTCCAGTTTGCTGGGCCGGAGACGGGCCGCCACTCTAAATCGGACCGTCCAAATGTCATCACTTTTTCCGACGAGGAAAAAGATTATCCCCTATAGAAATGTGTATATATATAGGCGGTATCGGTAGCCAGTTTCTCCGTCCGTTCGTCCGCCTGACTTGATAACGAAGAAATCTCCGGAAGAAAGATCCGCTCTTCCCCCAGAACCGTCACCGGCGGCGATCGTGAAAAGTGAAAACAGTTTCTCAAAGCTCTGTCTTCAACAATGGCGACTGCTGCCGTCGAGATGAAAGGACTTGAACCATATTACCAGCAACACAACCACGAGCTCCAGCTCTTGGTTCGGCAGAAGACGCTCGATTACAATCGTCTCATAGCTCAACGGAATGAGCTCAATTCTTGAGGTGGCTGCTCCAATCTCGCAGCTTTGTTCCTTCTAGCCCTAGTTTTTTTTTTTTTTTTCTTTCTCCGCCCGCTGTATTTGAATCTTTAGGGGAAGGCTTATTTCTTAAATGTGATTGGTAATTTTACGGTGTTTGACTTTGTTTTTGAGCAGTGAGGATGGTGAGGGAAGAGCGGCAGCTGCTTCAGGAGCCTGGGTCTTACGTTGGGGAGGTTGTCAAAGTAATGGGCAAAAACAAGGTCTTAGTAAAGGTAAGATCTTTCGTTCAAAAACTAAGATTGGTTGCTACAACTATCTGCTGCAATCCAGCTGATTGCTGTAGCACTATGTTTTCACGAATGCTATTAAGTAACAGAATTTGATGTCATGTTTGATATAGCTTCTGTGATTGGAATGGAATCAGAATGAGACCAGCTAGTGATTTGCTTTCTTTTCGGTGTTCGCCTCAGTGCTTCTGACTTGTTTCTTAGTGCTTCATATTGGAGAATTTGTTTCAGTCTAGTCATTGACGGTTTCGCTGCAGTTGGTCATTCTGGCTAAAGTTTTCCATTATGTGTATGAGGTAGGTGGTGTGACACATTGTTCTGTTGGTGTTCTGTTCAGGTCCATCCAGAGGGGAAATACATTGTGGATATCGACGAAAGTATAGACATCACAAAGATCACACCTTCGACAAGGGTGGCTCTTCGTAACGACAGCTATGTTCTTCACCTTGTGTTGCCCAGCAAGGTGGATCCTCTGGTCAATCTTATGAAAGTTGAGAAGGTTCCGGATTCTACCTATGATATGATTGGTGGGCTTGATCAACAGATTAAAGAAATGAAGGAGGTTGGTTGGCTTAGTGTTTCAGTATTCTGGTTCCTGATCCGTAATTTCGATTGTTGCGAGCTGATTGCTTGTTCTTTTCCCTATGTATTGTCAAATCCAGGTCATTGAACTTCCAATTAAACACCCTGAATTATTCGAGAGCCTTGGAATTGCTCAACCGAAGGTACGGAGAGTATTGTAATATAAGGTTTGCATCTTTTGAACCAGTTTTGCCAAGATTGCATTACACTGAGATTCTAACTTTCACATCCTTCTTTTCTTTATTATTATAGGGTGTCTTACTGTATGGTCCACCTGGAACTGGGAAAACTCTCTTGGCTAGAGCTGTTGCCCATCATACTGACTGCACTTTCATTAGGGTCTCTGGTTCCGAACTAGTTCAGAAGTACATTGGTGAAGGCTCCAGAATGGTCAGGGAGCTTTTTGTTATGGCAAGGTATGTTCCCATCTGTATTTTGACCCCTTCCCTTTAGTAAACAGGAGAGATGGAGTAATTCCATCTTGGAATTGGTATTGCAACATGTTTTTAATGGCTTGATGGTTTATATCCTTTTGACATAACTTACTCATTTGGCTATCTACCGTCGATTCTGTTGCAGAGAGCATGCACCATCTATCATCTTCATGGATGAAATCGATAGTATCGGTTCTGCCCGAATGGAATCTGGAAGTGGCAATGGAGATAGTGAGGTGCAGAGAACTATGCTTGAGCTGCTCAATCAGCTTGATGGATTTGAAGCATCTAACAAGATCAAGGTACTGCGTCTGTAAACTTGTAGAAGAATGGAATTTTTTGAACACACTAGTGTCTGATGCAGTTTCTCAGATTAGATGTATTGTTCTCATTTATCTTACAGGTCCTGATGGCCACAAATCGTATCGATATTCTTGATCAAGCTCTGCTCAGGCCTGGACGAATCGACAGGAAGATCGAGTTCCCTAATCCTAATGAAGACGTGTGTAAACGAATTCCAAACCCACGATCCTTGATTTCCTCCTCCTTCTCGTATAAAATATATTAACTTCAGTTGTGTTAAACTACAGTCTCGCTGGGATATCTTGAAAATTCATTCAAGGAGAATGAACTTGATGCGTGGGATTGACTTAAAGAAGATAGCAGAAAAGATGAATGGAGCATCAGGTGCAGAGCTCAAGGTAAGAACAAACAATCTTAAGCCACACCTCTTATATTGTTCTTCTCTCCCCTCCAGTTAGGTTAGTCTTGCTAGTCTCATGCTGATGCGAAACATTTCGCATTTGGCAGGCGGTGTGCACAGAGGCAGGGATGTTTGCGCTCAGGGAGAGGAGGGTGCACGTAACACAGGAAGATTTCGAGATGGCGGTGGTTAAGGTTATGAAGAAGGAGACGGAGAAGAACATGTCGTTGAGGAAGCTGTGGAAGTAATTTTGATGAAACAAGAGATGGAGAGCTGCAAAAAAACTACTAGTTTCTTTTATTTTCATCATTTATAGGTTATTCATTAGAGTAAACCTAAGAGCTAATTTTTATATGATACATGAGTGTCCTCTAAGTGGGAAGCATGACTATCTTGGCAGAATGATACTTATTTTGTTTCGTGGATTCATAGTATTATTTACTAATTTCATGTTCTTGATTTATACAAAAACATATCACTACATCTAACATAACAACTATCAATACATAGGAGGACAATTGGCCTTTAGGTTTGTACATACCCTTAATAATATTAAGGGTCGTGTAGATTCAAACACAAGTTCTCTCAATCATAAAGTTACTTTGATATAATCTCATAAATCATTTGGTCTCAATAACTCGAGTTGTTGGGAGAGGTTCAATTATGAATCTCATACCATCTACTAACACACCCCTCTCAAACGAAAGCCAACTCATATGAGGCTTGAAAGTTGCACAGATCTGAATACCATGTGCTTAGGGCGTCAAGATTGCGAATTGAAAACAACATCTTCTTGTTCTTGTAAACAATTTTAGAAAGAAAACAGTATTTTTGTGATCTCTATTATCTTCTAGTTAGTATATTCTACAACTGAGTTTAATGTAATTGAAAAATTCTGTATTAGTGGTGTTTATTGCTATTGGTGGTCACCGCAATTGTTGAAAGAGCACTTGCTACAATGAACAACGTGGAAAAAAATCATTCAGGAGAATGAGGGATGAAATCATAAATGGTTTATTGTTGAGACACTTTAATTAAGAATGACATTGCTCATAATTTGCATGATGAACGTATTTAGAAACTTTTGAGTATATGGAAACAGATTCTAAAACTTATCTTATATTTTTTTCCGCAAGAACCTATATTATTTTCATGTAGGACCTATATCATATTTAGATGAATTTCTGACTATGCCACTACATCATAGCTCATAGTGTCTACTCGACACACAAGCTTTGAACTATAGCTAGGAATGACACATGAAACTCGTGGTCTCTCTCAAGTCTTAAGTTATTGTAACTAGGGATGACAATTGTGCCCATAACCGTGATATCCGATCCTACTCGGCCCAGTCAATGAGGAAGATTTCCACGTTTGCTGGGTATGGAGCCGGATATAGATAATACCCACAAAGAAAATGGTGAAATGTGTGTAGATGTATACCTGCCTCATCTTCATATCAAGGTGTTTGTTTACGTGAACCGCCTCGGGCTCTGCATAATCACCAAAGTCAACCATCCACACAACAAGGGCGCCATGTGTTGAGGATATTAATTATTTAGTCAAAAATAATTAATTCCTTGTCCTCCAAGTCCCTTGTTTCCTTGTCCTTGTCAAAGAAGGAAACTTGGTTGTCATTAGGGTTTTAACCCTACGTCTATATAAGCTTAGCTACGGAGATTGTCGTAAGCAAGCCGTCACAATGTAGTCGTTTAATAAAACGTCAGCTATGAGCTCTTCCGAGCTCACCGTGGATTAGTCTCGATCAATCAATCGATCGAGGATACCACGTAAAATCGTTGTCTCGTGTGTTGTTTCATCTTCTGCATCATCAATTTCTACACCATGCGGGTCAACGATTGCTTTGGCTGGTCCAAGTACGGCGTGAGCTAGGGTGCCTCGAGAGATGATTTGCAAGTCCACCACCAGCACCACCTTGTGGAACAGGCTCGACATGTTCAACGGAGAAACCATGATGGACGTCGGAGGAATGGTGAGAGCTGCGGAGGAAGCGGAGGAGCTGCGGCGGAGCCTGGAGGAGGAGAGGGCGGAGCGGAACTGGCGGCGTGCAAGAAGGAACTGGAGGAGAAGAAGGTGGAGTTGACAACATGCAAGAAAGAAGTGGAGGAGAAGAAGGCGGAGCTGACCGCATGCAGGAAGGAAGTGGAGGAGGAGAAGGTGGAGCTGGCGGCTTGCAGGAAGGAACTGGAATGATGCAAGAGGATGGAGATTGTTACAAGGGAAGATAACCAATATAATCCAACTAGTAATGCAATAAAACAATAAAAGATGGCGATTGATTGATAAAAATATTATTGCTCATTTAACTGTAGTTCTATTAGTTTATCATTATTATTATTAATATTATATATATATATTTATTGCATTTACACTTAAAATCAAGATTATAATATACAAAGCCTAAGTATAATTATATTCATTATATAAAAAGGACAGTTTCTTATGCCTTCTTATTTTTTTTAAATATAAAAAAGTAATTGATTGCATCCATCACAAAATAACGAGTGGTTGATTAGATTACATGATCAGTTCGTTGAAATGATGATTGGATTAAATTTTGGTTGATTCGTTGATGATATTTCGTGCAGAGATAAGTTGCATATACGAAGTTATGAACAAACATAAACGATGATTATACGTTATGTCGTTGATGATATTTCGTCACACCAACTGCATCAAATGTTGATGTTCTTGTTTACGACTATGAGCACAACTGCACAAGGGTGACATGAACACTCTTCTTCGGACCAACGAAGAAGGAACTAGCATTCTTGCCAAAGCATCCGGGCGTTCGCGTCTGCCCTTCATCGCATCAGTACAAAGCAGGCACTGCAAGTATTCGGCGCCGTCGGCATCGAGGGCGAGCCGCTGGGAGGGCTGGCTCGTGAGCTCGGAGTCTAAAATCGAAAGGTCATGGTTTTGAATGCTCATGACGACCTCTAATTTCAACCATTTGTTTAGCTCAAGGGATGATATGTCCAACCTATGCAAACTATCACAATTCAGCATCAGACTTTCGTTTGAGAGAACGTGTAAAAGATTAAAAGGCTTAACTATCTCTTTCCCAACAATTCGAGTTATTGGGACAAACATAATCAAACTAGTAATGCAATAAATAAATAAAATATGGTGGTGGATTGATAAAAAAAAAGGTTGATAGTTTCGTATGGCCTGAACTTTGACCAAAATAAACATCCTGGCCAATCTTTTCGATCTATAACATCCTGGCCCGAACTATACACAAAAAAAAATGGCCAAACCCGATGTTTGACCGTCCAAGTTAACGGTCAAAAGTCGAATCTGGCCAAATCGTTTATTTATTTTTGGTGTATAGTTGGGATCAGAATGTTATAGATCAAAAAAATTGGCCGGGGTATTTATTTTGGTCAAAGTTGAAACCATACGAAAATATTAACCCTTAAAAAAATATTATTGCTCATTTAACTTATTGTTCCCAACAGTTCCCTTTCACTTCTCGTTTCTCCCCTGTTCTTCCAATCCCTTATCTAGCCAGAGTTTCTCTTTCAATTTGTCCCCGATGTTTGGGGTTTAGATTGGGGAAATCAGAGAATCGATTCGAATGAGAAGGGGAGACATAATAACTAACAGGCAAATATCTGAACTTTATTGCAACTCTTGAACAAGAATCCATGGGAAGGACAGAAATCAAAGAAGCAACAACGAGCGGGAAGAAAGAATGAATGAACCCCCCACAAAGGGAAAATCTCAAAGCAACCGCCTGCTGTTATGCTTACAGAGACAGAGAGAGAAGCACCTTGCCGGACTCGCAACTCTAATCCGCTGGGAATCGATCTTCCGACGTTTTCGACCGCTATCTCTCTGGTTTCTCCGATGTAAATAAAGTTTTTCAACAGAGGACGAAAGGTTAGTTTGGAAGTTCATAGTTCTCTGTATAATTCGCTCTATTTTTCGTGTAATTTTGCAGTATTTTTTCTGCTCATTTCGACTATTTCTCGGGAACCTAAGCTACCCGCATGGCAATATATCGCGGGAAACCAAAATATCGAAAAATATCGCGATATATCGCCATATCGTCAAAATACCGTCAATTTCAATTTATCGTCAATTTCTCGCGTTTCGATTTCAGTTTTGATCACGGGAAACGTTTCGCGTTTCGACGTTTCTCCAGCCGTTTCACCCCTCGGCCACACGTTTCTACAGCTTACCGGCTTTAGGGCCAGGGTTGGCCGAAGTTGGGCCCGGCCGAACAGGCCCGAATCTGGCATCAGGCCTACAACTCAAGCTTGGGCTTGCTCACTTCGGCCTAGCCTATACAATGTTGTGTAGCTTGAATAGCTCTTCTGGACCGTCCAAATAATGGGCCAGCGGCACCAGCTTCAGAGAAAGAACGAAACGGATTGAGACAACTCAGAAACGCGGAACGGCAGGCCGAAACGCGAAACGTTTCGGGTCCTCAAAACCGAAATCGAAACGCGAGAAATTGAAATTGACGAGATCCCGCGATATATTAATATATCGCGATATTCAACGATATTTTACAATATTTTGACCGGAATATCATTTCCGACGATATTATGACCCGCAGGTGAATTCATAAGCCAGAAAACTTCTCCGGCGAGCGATCTTTGCCGTTCTTTCCTTCCCTTCCGCCCGTTCAACTGAAGCGTTGATGATTTCGCGCCGGATTCCCCTATCTGTTCGCCTCAAATCGCTAATTGAAAGATTCCAAGGTTTAGTTTCGTGGTCTCCGTAAAGCATCAGCAGATGCAGAACCTTGAACCTTTCAAAGCAGAGACATGGCTGCCGCGGTAAGCCCCGCCGCCGTTGATTCCCTCCGGATCGAAGCTGACTGAGCAAGGGAGAGGCGAGAGATTTGTTTGAGACGGATGATTTTGGAAGGGGCGGGGGGTGATATGTGAAAAATGACGAACGAAAACTGAAAATTAGGGATTTGCAATGTAGGACAGAGGAAGAAGACGACGACGACACTGAAACTACGGATTTGCTTCATTCTAGGGGCCGGGTCATCTTCATCATTCCATTCCATCTCTTCAAAATTCAAAAGATAGATGGGCTTCAACCTTCAAGAAACACTAGTCACTAGCCCACTAACATAAAAAGATGCGGTCCATGTCAATTAGGATCAAAATAAGTCATCATTTCGAGTAAAATCCAATCAATAGAGACTAGAGAAAGGTAATAAGTTTGGTACGATTTTAGTATTTTAAGTATATTTGTATCGAATTTGTCGAAATTTATATTCTAACTATAATCTAGACTCATTCACTTAATACTTTGTTCATCCATATCCTAAAATATTATAATTATCTCTTAGACATTAATTTTTTTATTTTTTTAAATTGACATGTCATTAGCTTAACGGTCTATTCAGCAGTTATGTTTGCCACATCAGCAAAAAATTGACGGAGTTAACGGAGTTTGACGGAGACTAACGGCCGGTGACTAACGGTGAAACGATTCGTAAAGTTAGTGGTGAATAAGAAAGAAAAATAATTCGGGTGGCAAACGGTGAAACGATTCCTCCAACAAGCCACACCTTGGCTCGTTTAAAGGAGTTGCAACAAGCCCTCCCGCGGCAGAATGTGGAGGACAAGTTGATCTGGAATGAGACTACTTATGGGGTGTTCTCGGTCAAGTCTGCCTATCACCTTGCTGTCTTGCTGGATAAGTGGAAGGGTGGGTGGAAAGACTCTATCAGCTGGATGGATAAGGCTAGTTGGATTCGCCTGTGGGAGGCAAACATTCCCCCGAAGCTGAAGGTGTTCGTCTGGCAGATCCTCTCTCGGGTCCTTCCAACTATTGAGGCTCTCATTGAGCGTAGGGTCCCAGTTCATCCTCGTTGCCCGGTTTGTTGGGATAGTGCCGAAACGTTAGAGCATTTGTTCCTATAATGTCCGGTAGCTCGGGCCCTCTGGGACTACTCAGGATTGGACTATCTAGGGGAGGGGTTACCTCGTCGGACATTTTCTTTGTTTATCAAAAAGCTTTTGGGCTTAAACAATCAGCCTACTTTGTTCATGGCGGTGATTGCCATCCTCTGGAGGATCTGGCGCTCTCGTAACTGGGTGGTGTTTGAAGGGAAACAGTTTGGGATCCCAGTGTTGATGCGTCAGTTTATCCAGCAGTATGAGGAATGGGTTCGGTTGCCTGCCTGCTCCGTCGCTCAGGCTCCTTCCCCTAACTCTGGTTCGCTGGAGGAGGGGGTGATCGGCGTATGGTCTGTAGATGGGATGGGGCCATTAGGAGGGGGTCCCATTCGGCGGGAGGAATGGTTCTTCTGTCTCCTACAGGGGTGATCAGTATGGCCACGAGTGTGCAAATTGCGGGTATTGATGATCCGATGGTTGTGGAACTGTTGGTGCTTCGGGAGGCTATGCTTTGGTGTCAGGGATTGGGCCTTACTGATGTTCGTTTTGAAGGCGACGCCAAGGTCATTATTGACAAACTCAATCGGGGGGATCATGGAGATAACAAGATGGGTGCTGTTCTTGAAGATATTGCTAATTGGCTCCATGTCCTGCTTAGGTTTAGCATTCGGTTTGTAGGTCGGCGTAGTAATAGGGTAGCCCATTTGGTGGCTAGAAAAGCCCTTTCTTTGTACCTGACCATGAGTCGTTCTTTTGATTTTCAGACCTGGCTGTCTTCCAGGATGTAACTGCCTATTTTTTGAATCAATATATGATTATCTTTTGTCAAAAAAAAAACACCTAAGCACATTAATATGATATCTCCCCCTCCATCTTCCATTAATACATACGTTGCCGCCTTTTATCCCTAGCTTCCTGTAAGAATTTAAAATTTTGTTATGTTTCTCATATTTTTTGCAGTTCGTTTATGATATATAGTCTATATTCAATGTTTTAGCTCTAAAATCGCACGTGTCTTCGACTTAATTACATTAGTTTTGACTCGAGGTTGGTTCATATTTTTTGGAAGATATTATCCACGAGTATCTGAAAACCATGAAAATGGGGATTGGAATAAGAAACTTCCACCATAAATTCCACCATACGAATATAAAGAGTATGAATTTACGAGTTGAAAATGAGAATGGAGATGAGTTTAGCAAAACCCGCCCCAAATCCACTCATTGCCTTCTCTAGTTGTAGCTAGGGTGGCCTCTTCTCCTTGAATTCTTGGTAATGAAATTAGGACCAATTCATAGCAAGCAACAACAAGACTGCACAAAATCTGGCAAATGGATCGAGGAGAGAAGAAACCCAATGAACCACTTGCTCTGCCTCTCTCTCTCTCTCTCTCTCTCTCTCAGCCCCTGTTTCCGGCCGTCCAAATTCCGGCAGGGTTCTAATCAATCTTCTTGTTTACCATTTCCAGCCATGCGCCAGTTCGAACCTTCCCAAATCCCAAAGACCCTTATCTACATAATAATATTCAATCAAATCAATACAGTTGACTTCTTCCCTCTCTCTCCCCTGCAAATTAAAACCCTTCCCCTGCTTTTCTTCTTCACTATCCTCGCAAAAATTCCTCCGAACCACCATTCCAATGTCAATCCTTCCCCTCTCCTTCTCCCTCTTCCTAATACTCTTCCCCTCCGTCTGCCTCGCCGATATCGGCACCGCCGCGTGGTACGCCCCGCCGTATTCCCGTAAGCAATCACTACTGTTTTACTCATTACCCACTTGTCAAAGATTGGTTTTTTTTTAAGCTGCAATTGTCATTTACTCTGCTGCAGCGACGGCGTGTTCCGGCAGCGACGCGTCTCAGTTCCCGTCGAGCTACCTGTTCGCGGCGGCAGGGGAAGGGATATGGGACAATGGGGCGGCCTGCGGGAGGCAGTACAAGCTGCGGTGTCTCAGCGCGGTGGCCGCCGGGTCGTGCAATCCCGACCAGACGATCGAGGTCAAGATCGTGGATTACGGCCGGAGCTTGGTGTCTCCCGGGTCGGTGGCGGGGACCACCATCGTGCTGTCGCAGACGGCGTTCGAGATCGTCGCGAATTGGACCGCTAGCCGGAGTATCAACATTGAGATCCAACAGTAAGCCTAGCAAGAAACCATGCTCTGTTTTTTTCTCTTTTCTCAATTTTGATCGAATTCTCTGTTTCTGTTTTAAATCTCTTGGGTTGGAACTTTCCGTTGCAGGGTCTGAATTATGGAGAACAGTAATGGAGATGGAGTGGGTCTACTAACTTTCCTCGAGGATTCCGAAATCGCGGAAAAGGAAACCATGTCCTGGATTGTCCGGCGATAACTATGAGGAAAGTTTAGAACACAAATGAGAAATCCATTAGCATCAGCTTTCTTGGATATGAAATTCTTTCATTTGGTGTATAGCTAACAATTCCAAATCAATAAGACAAATGACTTTTTTGGCATGGAGTAGAATTCCATGTCATGAACGAGTTAGTCCCAATAAGTCGAGTTGTTTGAATAAGGTTATATTGGATCTTATATCATATTCTAACGCGCTCTCTCAAACAAAAGCCAACTCATGGGCTTGAAGTTTGAACAACTCAACCAACAGTATGCTTTACTCAACTTTTAATATTGGGGTTCGTGGAGAGTTGAACAAACGATCACTTGGTCAAACCAGCTCTCATACCATGTAAAGAACCAGTTGATCCCAATAACTCGAATTATTGGGAGAGGTGATGTTGGATCTTATACCACACTCTAACATTCACAACAACAAGTAGAATTTCAGACAACGTAAACTATTAGAGAACTAGCCAACTGAATTACGGAGGGAAAATCTAGAATTATGAGGATTAGGGGACAAAAATAATGATAAATTTTCTATAATGTCGTGAAGAAGAAGGGTTGATAAATGAATCGTGGAACTCCTGTTACAAAATTGATATAGTTCAAATTGATTTTTAGTATAATAAAATGAAGATGAACATAGCATGGTTATTTAAAATGTGATCTTTCTCTAGCGCTGTTTAAAATAAAACTATCTATTAGCTCTTTAATTTTCATAGTCTCCACGAGATCATTTTCGGTCGTTGTCATAACTGATCCATTAAAACTTTTTTCTGTTATTTTTTTTAAAACAAATAGGACTTTCGACTCCCAAACACGACTTTAAAAAACATTATACGTGTCTCGTATATGTATATATGAGAATATTGACCAATACGTCGTACTAATATTGATTAATGTAATTGAAGTCATCATAAAACTCACAATCAATTAATCATATACCAGTACACCATAAATACAATCTATAATATACGATTAAATTAACTAATGGACCTAAGTGGGCGTCTCCTAACATGTGTATTTTACGTAACATTTATAAAATGTCAATGAGTGATGACATGCACTGTCGGTACCACTATATAGGTAATCAACGGTCTAAATTGATTTTAGGATATTTAAACAATATATATTTATACAAGTTAACTAATTTGAAATTATACGGTAAGAGATCACTAGTTTTTATATTTACCGATATATCGTGATATTTTGGCGTTTTATCGTGCTCCCGAAGTATTCTCTCCCACGGGTAGCCATCATATCCGGCTCGAAGTCCGTCTCCGCAGAAAATTATGTAAAAGGAAAACAAATGAACAGATCGAAACGTTTCAGACTACATTTTACGAGCCCATCGCCTCCCTGCCTGCTTCCCCTTATCCACATATAACGAAATCAGAACACTCGATTGATTTCCCGATACGAAGACCGTCCGTCGTCGTCTCCTCTCGCCGGAGTTCTGAGTTATCCCGGCTCCGCCGTCCGATCAAGCCAAGAGACTCCGCTTCGTCGCCTGCATAGCCACATTCCTTCCTGGAATTTCCCCGATTGCGGGATCTCCGTTGGTTGTCGTCTTCTGAAGACCCCGGTCAGGTGAGATGATTTGGCTTATCATCTCGATTTGCCGTCAGCTAAATGCCCAATTCGAATTTAGGGTTCCCCAAGACGCCTGACATCTTTGGTTTAATATTACTTAGATGAGAGCGGAAGTCCAGATGGAGCCAGCAGGCGGGGAGGGTCACAGTGACGCCGACCCTCTGCTGCAGAATCAGGCCGATTCGCCTCTGTCGTCTCCTGCAAGCCCCAGCGAGATCACGAACGAGGAGGATGATCTCGAGAACGGGTCGGTCCCCACTTGCCGCATTTGCCTCGAGAGCGATTGCGAGCCAGGTTAGTGTTTCATCGGATGGAAAGTCTTGAGCTTGATCGCTTTTGGCTAACTGGGTTCGGGTGGAGTTTCTGACCCGGCTGGCTATTCGTTCCAAAGTTTCTATTTTGTGAATCATTGGATTGGGTGATTGTGGTTGAAGTGGGAATTGTTGGTGGTGGTTTAGGAAATAGAAGAGTGAACAAAGTGGTATCCTTGAACATGGTCAGAATTAGACTCTTGGAAATTGGTGCCACTATGGCTGCTTGCTAAGTTTGTGGTCTGGAATTGATGTAGTTTAGTTGGATGGAGTGCATTTTCTTGCAGACGGTTCAATTTAGGTTTGCTGTGCTTAATGTTGAGAATTTGATATTGTAGGAGATGAGCTGATATCTCCATGTATGTGCAAAGGCACTCAGCAGTTTGTTCACCGTGTGTGCCTTGATCATTGGCGTGCAGTTAAGGTAAGCATTCCGCTCATGAAGCTGATTACTTTTTCTTGGAGTTAATTTATCTTGTTCTTGGGTATACAATAAATAGATCTTCTGTCTCTTTTTTATATAGGAAGGATTTGCTTTCTCTCACTGCACTACTTGCAAAGCACAGTTCCATCTTCGAGTTGCATTGCTTGAGGTGAATTCTTGGCGTAAAATAAAGTTCAGACTTTTTGTGACAAGGGATGTCCTTGTCGTGTTTTTGGCCGTACAAACAGTGAGTAATCTGTCTACTTTCTAAGTTCTGAGTTTATAACGTGCCTTGGCAATAATAGTTGAACAACCAATGTAAATCCACAAAAAGTTTGTAACCACCCTGTAGCATCTTATGCATTGATTTGCATACTTGAATGAAGCAATTGGATATCTGTGCTATTTGACTCAAATCTCTTAGATAGTCACTTTAAGTACTGGCATTCAAATGAACCAATCTACAGCTACTCAGGTTGGCATCCTATTTCAACTCCGCAACAGGAAATCATAAAAAGAGAAACTTATAGAAGACTTGTAACCCTAGATGATATACAAGGACCATTTTCATGCCTAATATTTTCTTCTTCCCAGGTGATTGCTGCTATGGGCGGCTTTGCCTTCCTAATGGACAAAGATGGAGCCTTTAGGAACTCATTCAGTGACGGTTGGGATCGAATACTGTCTAAACATCCCATTCCCTTCTACTATTGCATAGGTAGGGGTATCTCTGTCTGTCACCATGTTATTCTCACTCCTATTTGCTGTCTATATCTCATGGCAGTGTTGGTTTTTGCTCCTTCCATTGATAGTCTGCATGCTTATGTTGCTGGTAATAATTTGCTTTTATCAGGAGTTTTGGCTTTCTTTGTGCTGCTCGGGTTCTTCGGCCTTATACTACATTGCTCGACCCTCAACAGCAGTGATCCTCGGATGGCCGGATGCCAGAACTGCTGCTACGGATGGGGAATCTTGGACTGCTTCCCTGCATCCATGGAAGCATGTTTTGCCTTGGTACTGGTGTTTGTTGTCATTTTTGCCATCCTCGGCATAGCTTATGGCTTCCTTGCTGCCACCATGGCTATTCAAAAGATCTGGCAGAGACATTACCACATCCTCGCCAAAAGGGAGCTAACTAAGGTGAAACATTGATCGTATTGCCACATTTTCCCAATCGTTTGGTTGCAGAAAGAGGAGGGGTTTCATAGTGTTGACGGTGAAACGTTTTGCAGGAGTACATAGTGGAAGATCTTCAAGGATGCTATACCCCACCAAAGCTTGACGCGGAACATGAAGAGAAGTTGAAAATGCTTAAGCTTTTGTAACTGGGTACTGGTGTAAGTAAAAAAGGTAAATGTTGGAAGTCATTTGAGAAGACAACATGGGATGTAAAACTAACTATTATGTACTACCCTGGTTTTGATATAGAATGGAGTAGAATTGGAAGGAGAGTTCTTCTCTCTCTTTTCCCACAAAAATTGGTAGATTAATTTGTGTCACAATTGTCATTTCGAAAAGTTTATACGAAACTACTGCAGGCTCTGGTTACAACTATAAGAAAACATATGTCTGATGTTTATTTAGTATTCATGCCCGAGTATGCAATTTACTAAGTACAGAGTACAATTCGAATCCAACCATGACTACTATGAATAGGATAGAGTCTACTAAATGATAACATTGATATGATTTTCCAGTACAAGCTTTTCTTCAAAGTGAAGAGAAAATAGGGACGCCTGGTATGGTGGCTCCGGCATCCACGAGGAACATATTGCCCGTCACATACTGCGACGAATCATGAATGAGGTATCGGATGATCGATGTCAGTGCTGGATCTACAGTTCCATATGTTTGTAGAGGGAGTGTTCTCTTGCCGACCTGCTTCAGCCAGTCTTTCTGCATCAGGCCTTTCGTTATCTCGGACTTGAAAATCCCAGGTGATATAGAGTTGACCCTGATCCTGTACACCCCCAACTCCCGAGCCATCGCCTGTGGCAAGACAAATCAATGCATTAAGAACTTCCATGTAAGGAGAAACACATGTGATCTTTGTATTGCAGGTGTTCGTGTCTAAGAAGAGAGCAGAGTGTTCAGTTTTACCGCTGTCAGTGCATTTGCTCCCGCTTTGGAAGTTATATAACCAACATTACCGACCGCCGCTTGACCACGAGGGTGACCGGCGATCGAAGCGATGTTGATTATGCAACCTCCGACCCTGGCATCACGCATTCGCTTGCCGACTGACTTCGAAACCAACCAAGTCCCCGTCGTATTCGTCTTCACCTCGTGGTTCCATTCCTCTTCAGAATACTCTAATGGGTTCTTAATGCTACCTCTCACCCCTGCATTGTTGACCAATGCATCCACCCTCCCAAACGCCTCCCAAGCCCTCTGCACCGCAGCGTCGATGGCCCCACCATCCGTCGAAACATCCATCTCCACAGCCACAGCGCGACGATGCAGACCATCGCTAGCGATGGTCTGCACATTGATCTCGTCGCACAGAGACTGCAGGCGGTCGACGCGTCTAGCAGCAGCCACTACCCTGCATCCAGCTCTGGCTAGGTCGAGAGCGAACTCTCGACCCAACCCTGACGATGCGCCCGTGACAAGGACCACTTTGCCTCGCAGGTCGCACCACGGCTCGAGCTGCGAGGCTGCTGACACGGCCGTCATCACCTTGCTAGCCATTGCTAATGCCTGATGAGAGTGGGGTTCCCCTGACAAGGTGAGTAGGGGATACAGAGAGAGTTCAGTCACGCAATTCAGCGAAGAACACTAGGAGCTGGTAGTACTATATAGTGACGAATTTTTTCTGGTGGTTAAAGAAGGCATGTAGGCAGTTGGCGGAGCAGTACTGCGACTACCGAAATTGGACGGCTGAAGTAGAGAATTGGGCAGCCAGCAATTGTTGACTTGTTGTCTATGTGGAATGCTACTGTAGGAGTTTTCAGAAGAAGATGCATAAATAAACAGTATACTGCGGCTGGCAGAATGGATTTGGTTTACACATTACACCTCATCTGATAGGCCTCTCCCATCTATATTGGGTATTGCCTAAATTTTGGTGGAAATTTGGCTTCAAGCCCAAGGTTGTCGAACTGTCGGATTAAGCCGTCAAGCTGGTTTGACAAATGGTTTGAAGTTTAATGGTTGGATGGGATTCAACGTCGCTCTATTCCATCTATGGTTCAAGGTTCACAGTCCACCCAATGAGTTAAAGTTTCGTTGGTTCGCTCATGGGTCACGGTTCTCAATTTGGAAAATGACATTGAAAGAGAGGCAACATTGAAAGAGACATTGAAAGAGAGGCAACATTGACACTGGCTAATGAAAATCCCCTCTTCCGCGCCTGATAGTGCCGATGGATCGAGCTATAACCAAGCTCCTACAGTCCTACTGCATTCTCCTCCCCTGCTTACAAGAACTCTGGTTCTGGTCAGTGGTCACTTCTTGGAATGCCCTACATCATTGTTTGCTTCCCAAAATAGATATACACAAAAGAAAAGGCACACCGCTGTACAATGCCCTCTCCGAAATAAGTTTATAACGGAAACCACAGTCTGCATACCGGAATCAAAGCATCAAGCAGATCAGCATTGAGACTAAAACAACATTAGGTTGCAGTTTTCTGAACTTGAAATCTGTAGGTGCTGCTGGGATTGCAGTTGAAGTTATTGTCGCCTCCAAACCCGTACTTGGTCTTGTAGCCTGGATACTCTATGAAATTAAACTTCTCCCTAGCAACAAGCATCAACCCGGTGACCGAAGCCAAGCCCTCCAGATCCCATTCCCTATGGAACGCATTCGTTTTGTGGGTGATGTGAACTTCCCCTCCATCTTCTTTCAGCAGCTTCTTGGCATTCATGAAGAACAGTCTTATCAGCTTCTGGTGCCTCCTGCAACTTCACATAAATCAGGTGGCATTCGCAATGAAGCTCAGTAAAAATTTGTTCTGGCATTAATTCCATCTCAACTCCTACTGTGGGTACTACAATGCTAATTAACGAACCGAATCTGCGAATTTGTAGATTCTGTGGGGTAGAATCCAGCGTGTGGGAAGTTGAAAACGATGCGATCAAACTTCATTCCCTTGAGCGAGCCGTGTTCTGCCATTTTGGTGGCGTCCAAACCGTGCATTATCAAACACCCTCTAGCTCTTAGTCCTGCGATGTTCGCCATAGCTTTACTGTAATTCTTGCTCAAAAACTCTGCAAAATCACAGTGCACACACCAACAAAGATTAATCTTTAGTGACACTAAGGTACATTACTTATTAGATTATTCCTGAACTCGCCTTGGGAATTTAGTGAAGTAGCAACTATGTTGAAAGCAGCAGTGCCAAAGGCCACAGCCAAACTAGCCGAGAACGAGAAATCGCCTTCCCCAACCAGTAGAATCTTGTGCCTGCTGCAGTAATACTTCTTCCACACCTCCTTCACCTCGCACAGCTTCAGCTTCACTTCCTGACGGCTGTTTAACTCTGCTTGCTTAAAGGCCGAGATATCCATACATACTTGATCATAACTTCTTCCTTGCCCCTTTTTCATATGCACGAGCTGATCGAAATCAACGGTTACACTGTCACCCCGCTGCCTACCAATTGATGAATCTCCAAGCCCATCTTGCATTGACAATGGAGCTTCAGTTGAGGGATCGACATTAATGCACGAAGGTTTTGGTGGAGTGGCGGATTCAAGCCTGATGCTGCTCCCCGGAAACAAAACAAAGGGTTTTGGAACTTGAGGTGCTTCTAAAGCAACCAACAAGCCATGCTGCTGTAATTCCCCATCACCATTGGAGATGGAGGTGAGCAGTGCATCACGGAGGTTCACATCTTCAATGGTGGCTGTTGGAGGCAGGGGATTTTCGCCTTGTTGGACCGATTTCGGCCTTGCTATTTCTTCATCGTCACGATCTTTGCGGCGGCCGCCACAAAGACAGCGAAGAACACAAGATAAGATTTGACCCATTAACACCCAAAAATCAATCAAAACATCTTCATCACAACCCCTTTGAAGTTCAGCTGCATGCAGAAGGGGTATTGCAGCACTTGTAAACTCAGACGAGAAACGACATGCGAAGCAAATGTGCAGGACAAACTAAGCATGCAAGAACACAGAAACAACTCAACAAAGTAAAAAAGATCAAAGATCAGAAGAGTAGAACTAGCTCAGTTCAAAAGTGGTTACTGTTGAAGACGAGACTGATTAAGAGTGAAGCTTGGTTCTGGGTCTAGCTTGAGTTGAGAGAAAGAGATCATCAATGGGGTCGGGCCAACAATCATCAAATCATCAAGAAACTCGAATGGGGTTTGGTTGATCAACCCATTCTAGAGACAAGGAAACTTTTCCATGAAGGAGTTGAAGGAGAAAGTGAGAGAGAGAGAGAGGCTTGAAGCCTCTTTAGTCTTTATTTAGTGTTTTATTACACTCTTCCTCTGCCTCTTCCTTGTACCTTCCCAAAGCCACTCTCTCCAATGGTCTTTCGTTCTTTCTTCAAGTCTGCTGCTTTTCAAATGTCGAGTCAGCGCAGCCTGAATAGTAGCAACTAGCAAGGCAACAAACTAGAAAATAGGGAAATATCGGTCATTACGGTGGACACCCAGCAAGTGCTTTAACTGAAAAGCTACTGTACTCACAAAAGCAACCTTCCTTCTGTTCTTGATACTCTTTCCTGCAAAAATATATTCCATGGAGATTCATACGAACAATAATTGATTGATCTAGATGTTTTTCTTACATTTTCTTTGCTTGTTGCAAAGAGGGAAAGATCAGTCCAACATTAACTGCATTTTCAAACAAGTTAGTGTACAATCAGCCACTTAACGATGAGACTAATGCAAGACTACAACATAAATTGCACAAACTAAAACCCCAGCAGTGCCACGTATCTGTTGCGAGAACCCTTCAAAGCTGACATTTTTTTCTTGTATCTAGCTATTGCTTCCTCCATGACATGAGCTTGAGCTAGCAGGCTGAGGTATTTACTTCAACATTACATCAAACACAATCTAGCCTAGACTACACCAAATCTCTGGATGTGGACGTTGAGCGTCTTCTTCGTGGCGGCGGCGACTTCAAATCTGCAATTGTCGCCTTTGTTCAACTTGTTGTCAGTGGCAAACTTGATCCAACCTCTGGACGGGATACTGTAGCCGTGGTGATCGTAAGCCAACAGCTTCACCTCCCATGTTCTGTCACCAACTCTAAGCTGCAGCAACTCCATGCTCGATTTCGTGATGTACTTGCGGATGAAATCCAGTGGAAAATTCTGCACCAGAAATCGACAGAGGTCACGAATTTCGCACAAGAATGTCCACAGACTGCTTAAATCTATGTAACTCACCGGACTGCCACGAGAAGAGAAATGCTTGTTGATCACTTTACTGAAAGAAGGCTGCTTCGTGGGAATGTTCGCGCTGGCTGCAGCGAGGCCAGGATCATTTGGAAGGTTGGAAGATGAAGGTCTCAACTTTCTTCCAGCATTGTCTGTTACAAGTGTTCATACATACAAAAACCAAACAATTAATTTAGGGTTTGGACTTTTGGAGTTCTCTTTTTCATCATTTTTTTTTTGTTACCTGCAAATTCTGCAGCAGGAGCTTTGCCTTTGGGATCTCCCACCTTCTTCATCCTTCCAACATCTGGAGCTACTTCTTCTGGGCAGGAGCGATCAACTGCGAACTTCGAGTTGTCGATCTCTGCCGCGGATCGTCCGAATACCACGACGTGGAAATGGGATTTCCCCTGAAGCTCGAAGAGCAGGAAGTGGCCGTGTTGGAAGCTGTAGTGTCGCGAGAACTGCTGCCATCCCTTCTTAAACCAAACCCTTCTTTCATCATCTCTAACCAGCTGTACGAGCCAGGAATCCCCATTTGGGAGCTCGAGAGTCACCTTACTTGGGAGACCATAGCAATGCTCATTGCTGAATTTCATGGGAATCAGCTGCCAACAAAAAAAAAAAACAGAGATTCGGTGTTTGGATGAAACAGGGACGATCATGGAAACAGAATGGGGGCCATTTTTTTTTACCATGTGCTGGTCTTGATCTATGTCTTCCTGCAGGAGTATTTTGAAGAATCGTGGGCCGACCCGTGAAGCTGAACCATCCTCCATTGTTGCAGAAGAAAGCTTGAGAGTTAGGAAAATGGCGTGTGAGTAGAGAGAACAAAGGGGAAATGAGGGTTTCAATACCCACTTTCTAATAATGGGAAAAGGATGAAAAAGATCCTGATGGGGTTTTGGATGAGACATTTCACGAAAATAGTAACGCACGCACCAGCAAGAAAGAACCGTCTTTACTTTTCCTTTGCCGTATTTTGATCGCTTCACCATATTTGAGAAGCTGACCCAGTTTGCGTAAAAAACAGAGTGCGCCAATTTATAGCAGTTCGTATTTACTTCAGACTATTCAATCGATTGAATAAAGTTTCAAAACATGAATATATTTACAGAATCAAAACCTATACATAGTTTTCTTACGTCTTCTAGTAATCTCTCTATGTAATTATACAACAAGATTTAGTGATTTACAAAACTTATCAAGACAAGCAAACCAAAACTTTCATGATCCCATTCACATGTCTTGTTTTCCTCCATCTTTTCTCTTTTGGTCTCTTTCTAGTCAGAAAAAAACTCGTCATCTTTAACCGTCCAAGAAATTCCCAGGATAAACCTGCACAAAAAGGAAAGAAACAACCTTTAGCATCTCTCAAGAAAGCATTCAAAATGCCATGCTCTGTTTTTTTTTCTCCTTGCCTGGTTGCTCCTCTCCTGACTCACGCTCGCAGATCTCAGCCTCAGCTCGCCTCTGCCAGTAGTTAACTCATCAAACACCTCAGCTTCTTCCTCAAATCCTGCGTCTCTCGAATTGGTCCTCTGCCACCCAAAAACAAAAATCCATTTTCATGGTCTTCAACACAAGAAAGTTCATCATTCTAAAATCTAAGATCATAAAGGAATTTGCTTTTCGGGTTACCCTTAACGACATCGAACGGGTGCGCATTGGATCGCCTTCGATTTCTTCATACTCGACCCCGTCGAGCTCCTTTAGATGATTGGGTTGGAAGAATTTGGGCAGGATTTTCTCCCTGATGCTTATCAAGAAGAAGAAAGGCAGAGGGAACAAGATTCCGGCGACCGGGATCCACGTCACTCCGAAGCATATCAGGAAATAGATCAGCTGGAAGATCGTGAACTTGGCTATCTCTTTGAAGGGGACCGTCTCATTGAATGATGCGTGTGGCCTTTCCAGAATCCTGATGGTGTTCAGAAGGCATACGCTTATTTTACTTCGTCTTTAAACTAATGATTACATCGAAAAGCACTAGATATATCAATCCGAAGCAGTTTTGGAAAAGAACTTACTTGTGGCGTCTGGTGGGAGTGATGAGAAGCAGAACAATTCTTTCCCAGAACTGATTTCCAGGTAGACTGTCGATGGCCATGTAAGCGAAATACCCCCACAGGACCGAAGTCGGGATCTTCTTGATCACTGGCATCGCCATCAGCGACACACCGATAAGGAGCGATTGCATGAAGTTGCTGAACCTCTGCTCGATTACACGAACAGGCAAGTAAGCATCAATCTTCTCCGGATCGAAGCTGCTCTCGCCGCCCTCTTTGCTTCCTTCACTCATCACTGCTTCTTTCAGGTTCTTCAACTCCTTCGCCGCGGATGGCTGCGACAACAAGAAAGAGAAATTCATCCATTTCTATGCGGTTTAGGGTTTGGATAAAAGATGGGAAAGTGTGTCCATTGGATTTGATCTTCACTTACAGCTGCACTTCCATCCATTTCAACAAAAGCCTCCTCCATTCTGCCGTAGGTTTTCGACTTGCTATCGTGCTGCATCATGCTTTCCTTAGCTGTTTGCACCATCTTCTTCCTTATCAACTACATTCATATATCAGCCAATACCACCATTTTCAGACCTTTGAGTAGTGACATTTAATTCCAATCCTTGAAAGAAGAACAGAGCATGTGAAAAAAGCTCCCTGACCTGTCCATTGAGAACCGAAAGGCTCTTGGTATGCATAGGAGACTGTGGGAGAACTCCATTGCAGGGAGGGAGACCAATCAATCCACAAATCAAAGTCTGGAAAAAAACAATCATCCAAAACAAAGAAACACATTTGAACTTTCAAAATCTACGAAACGAAGTTGAGAAGGATGAGAGTTCGTAAAACAATCGCGCGAATTCGAGAAAGCACGCACCGTGATGCCGAGGATTAGAATGTCGTAATGGTAAGCAGAGGGCTTCTTGATGTTGAATTCCTTCTGTTGTGCCATTTGAGAAGCAACACTATGATCGAAGAAGTAAAGCCCTGCAACCATCACAGCTGGTATGATTGCAGCCAGAATGAACCCCGGTGGCACTTTTGCCATATCCTGATGAAACAAACAAACAAACAAACAAACGAACGAACGAATCCATTCATCACTTTCCTCAAAATCCTCTGCCTTGAAACAAAATTTTAAAATTTCCCTAGAAATGGAACCAAAGAAATGATTACCATGAAGACGGTCCAGTGTCCCATTGAGGCAGGGTCCCAGGGCAGGGGAGTCTGCAGCCGCCGTGGAATTCCTTCGGGAACCTGGCGTGGCACTGTCAACGACAGTGCCGCCCATGCCATCACCACCAATGGGACGCCATAATCGGCGATGATGCTTCGAAACCATCCGGTGCCGTATTCCCAAGACCTCGCCTTTCTGCTCTTCAGAGCTGTGATGAGAACGCCGAAGGTGAAGATGACTCCCAGAAGGCCGTTTACGTATAGCCACTGGAAGCTGTGGTCTGGTGATTTTTCGTCCTCGCCCTCCGTAGGACTGAACTCACCAACCATCCCCTGTTTTTCTCCCCCAAACACACAAATGTTTGTTCATATGCTTGTTTGCTCTGATAACAGGTATTCAGGAGAAGGGGATTAATTTACCTTTACGGCCTGTTGGAAGAAGAGAACGGCGATCAACATTCCAAATGTCTCGCCTGCAAGTCTGGTGAACTTGTTGAGGATGTTGCAGGCGTCGAAGACGGCGAGGAGAATGAGCATGAGAGCTGTCCATACACATACCCTGAAGAAGAAAAAAAAACTGAGGATTTGAAGAAGAAGAAATTTCTTTGGAAGAAATCAATCAGTTATTTTTGGCAATGGGAAAAAGGTTGTTTTTTTTTGGTTGTTTTTTGTACCATCCAGCCCAAGCAAGGTAGAGCTTTTTTCCTACGGCATCGGAGCTAATGGCAAAACTGTAGATGTAGCTGTACATGATGACAGTAGGTTCTGCAACTCCCACCACCAACAATGGCTGCCCGCCGATAAGGGAATGGATGATTCCGCAAAGAGCCGTTGAAGCCAGGGTCTCCACCGTGCTCAGGCTTCCATCTGAAAATCGGAAAAAGAAAATTTGCAAGCATCAATGGAGGAAGAAGAAGAACAGAGACAAAAAGATTTGGAGAAAAGAAATCCTCATAATGGGGAACCTGTTTCCCGGCTTAGTTGTTCCCCGAAAGCGATGACGGGGAGAGCGGACGCGAAGAAGATGTAGGCAATGGGGGCGAATATCCTGGCGGGAATTTCGAATTTTAAATCAATCATATGATGGGAAAGTCAATTTAACCAATTTTGAAGAGATATTTGCAGAAAAGGAAGGGGGAAAGTTGGAGAGACCTGGGACCGGCGGCGAAGGCATTGCTCCAGTCATCTCCATAGACAGCTTTTCTTCCTTTCACGTCTTGAATTATGCCTTTCATCGTTTACAGCTTCATGGAAGAAGAAAAGGAAAATGAGATGATGCGTGGGGTGATTCAAAAACAGGGGAAGGTAGATAAATAATGCAAAAAAGAAGAATGTATGAATGCTCTGTTTTCTTTGGTTAAAAAACAGAGAGGTAATTTGCTATAATTGTACCTTTGAAGCAAGCTCGAGAGGAGCCAAACCAGACGCCAATAACGGGGAATTGGCGTCTGGGGGAAGAAATCGGTTTTGGGTGAAAGAGGGATTGAAGAACTGAAATGAGAAGAGGGGTCAGAATAGAAAGAAAGACAAAAACAGAGGGAAAACAGAGGAACAATGGCGGGAAGAACAACCGAAAGAGAGGGGGAAATCTTTGTTGTTGAATGCAGAGAGGGAGAGAAGCCGTTGAATCGTATGTGGCCGCTGCTTTGTTTGGTTACAATCTCCTTCTTCCCCTCCATTCGTTCGTTCTTTCATTCTTGCCTTGTTGGATTATGCCATAAACTGGTATGCATCATTAACTATTTTTCAACCCTCCACTCAATCATATAAGGAGATCTATTCAGAAATGTAAGGAGATAAATATTTAGAATTGAATACATGCATAACCCGCTTTATTATGGTAGAACGAGAGAAAATCACGACGTTTTATGTTTGATTGGTTGCTTGTGAATAAGGATAACGAAATTAATTTGATACTCGCTTCGATGTATACATATCAATCCGTTGTAATCTAGTTGGTCCGGATATCCGGCTAAGTGATGTAAACAACGAGGATCGAACACCATCTTCCTTCCCCCATCATCAAAAAACCAAACTATACACTTGCAGAGGTAGCAATTTGCCAATTATCAATCACCTATCATGAGTAGCAGCAGTAGTTCCTTCACTAACAAACATCAATTCATCACCATCTCTAATCACTTCAATATCATCAACCTCAACCCTATCCACAGTCACAACCTTGCCAACCCTGATCCCGTATTTCTTTTCCCCCAAGTCAAGCAACTCCTGAAACGTCTTAGGAAGCACCACAAGCTTCCTCGTATCGCTTCCCTTCTCCGGGCAGCTTATCGTCACTCTAGCTACACTCTTCCCATGGCTCGGATTGTTGCTGCCAACAGGAAACAAGGCCTCTTTGCTGTGATTACTCTCCCCGTTCTGCGCAGCAGCCGACATCATCCCGAACAGCGAGTTGTGGAAGTTGTTCGTCTTCCTCCTCGGCCTCCTCCTCGAGCTCCACGAGCTATCCTCTTCACTCGCAGCCACGGGGTGGATCGTCGGCTCGCTCGTGAACCTCCCTAGGTACCTGATCCCTTTCTCCTGCTTCTCCGGTATCGACGAAACCATTGGTGGTGTGGGCTGTAGATGATCTTTCGGTTCTTTGCTCGATGTCTTGAACATGTTCTGGATCTCCTCGTGGCCCTGCTGATCGGCCAGATCGCGAGGTGTCCACCCGTTGACGTCCGGCTTGTCAGCGTCGGCGCCTTGTTCGAGTAGGTACCTGACGATCTCGGCATTGTCCTCGCAGACCGCCACGTGGAGCGCTGTGCTGCCGTTGCTGGTCTTGGCCGCTGTGATGTCACCTCCATGGCGGGCGATCTCCTTGAGCAGGTCGAGGTTGTTCTCCTCGGCTGCAGTGCACGCGAAGTGGCCGACATCTCCTGACTGTATGGTGGCGCCGTTTTCTTGAAGCAGCTTCACTACTCCCGAGTGGCCGGCTTTGATGGCCTCCCATAGTGGCACGTTGCCATCCGAGTCTGCAACAAGGTCAACTCTCTGACATCAGGATGCTTAAAGAAACTCCATGATTGAATCTACTCTGTCTTTTTATAATTAGTTTGCTTTAGATCACTCAAAAAGTCGTGTAGGTGGTCCAAACGTGTATATGAAGTCAACTAACTTCTGTGCCGGTGATCTAAACTTGTTTTTCGAATTGTTGTATATTATACCCAGATCTCAGTCAATGCTATTACTTATTCAAGTAGTGGTTGTTAACTTGTTATAGATCTAAAATGTAGATAAGGTATAATAACAAAAAAGGGCTAGATGAATAGTGGTCAATGAAACTACAAAAATGGCAAGAAATCTTGACTTGCCTCGGCAGTTGGGATCAGCACCATAATCCAGCAGAAGAAGCACACAGTTCTCACTTCCTTTCGACGCTGCGATGTGCTGAGATTTGAGAAAGGATGTCAGAATGGACTTTACTCTTTCGGGCATTACTTGGAGAAGGGACAAGGGGGGAAAAGGTGGAAGCTTTACCAGAGCTGCTCTGTTGTTGTTGTCAGATTCATTTGCATCTAAACCACGTTTGAGTAGCTGGTGTAACAAGAGATCATCTCCTCTCATTGCAGCAAAGCATAGGCTGAGAGGAATGTCCATTCTTCCATGAGCCAGCATGTTCTCTGTCTCGAGCAGAACTCCCTCCATTATAGGATCCTTGAGATCTTTCAAATGCTGAGCCCATCATGAAACCATCAGAATCCAACAGCAATATTTACCATCCAATGTTAAATTCTTGAGGCAAACAATGATTCATGTAGTAAGGTTAAAAATTCAACTCACTAACCTGAAGAAGATTGTTCATTATGATTGTCCCATCTCCAACATTGGCTTGAACGATATTCAAGAATGTAGTTCTGTTCATTCGAAGCAGCTGACACAATCTTTTGGTCCTCACAGTAAACAGCTGTGGTTTGTAACAAAGCACTCCAATCTCACCACAAAGATCACCAGTCTTAAGCTCCCCAACCACCTGCAAGGAGTTCAGTGTAAAGATTTCAGCACAAAGCTTAATCAGCAAAGTTAAGGAGTACTGCAGTCAAGCATTTCTAAGGTGCAGGGCTTGCCTGTTCCACTCCATTCTTGAGAACAAGTAGATCCTACGAAGTAAAAGGGAAATGTCAGCAGCAGCAGACTAAATAGATAAATGCCATCCTAACTCAAATATGCACAAATATGTGAAATCTGGAAACTTTACCACGGCACCAGTGACTAGTATATAGAAATCAGTTGGTGCTTCATTCTGCAAAATCACATCTTCTTTGGGAGGGAAATACTCAGCTTTCATCTCTGACACCTTTTCAGAGTAATGGTCCATTTTTCAGTAAACAAACACCAGCTATACAGAAGATTATTTAGAACGCAAAGGGTAAATGGCTCTCTATAAACGACTTACCAACTGAAAAAGCAAGTCATTTGAAACCCCGCGAAACAGATAGACTTTGTCAACTAGAGAGTAGAACAGGTAATGTGAAATGCTTGACCGAATGGCTTTCGGAAGAGAATCAAGGGTCTCCTGCTGCTGCAGTCCCTCTGAATCCGTTCTGAATTTCAAACACAAATGTGCAAGCATTTGATCTTGTAGCCTCACTGGTAACTGGTTTCTATGAGCAAAACTTGAAGCAGCTTGTATGGTATCCCTCTGAAATATTTGTATTGTCACTAAAAGGTTCTGAAAGACACATGAATACAGTAAATGTCTACTGAAATATAGAAAAGTAAAAGATCACTCACAAATCTTCTGGTTCGACTGGTACCATGAACAACTAAGTTGGTCATGTTACCGATCAAGTACGCAGTCAATCCAAGGTTGAAGAGCATGTAGAAGATGTCAAATATCATCTCTCTTGTGTTGACAGGATGCAGATCGCCATAGCCAACTGTTGTGAGAGTAGTAATAGACCAGTACATTGAAGTAACATATCGAATCCACAATCCCCTTTCCAGAAAGTTATTCCCAAGAGATGCTCCAATCCATGTTCTTTCTGGGTTGTGGTAGCGAGCAGCGATAAGATAATAGAAGCATCCAGCACAATGCACAGCAAAAAGGGTGACCTGTGCATTGCCAAAAAGAAAAGAAAATGGGTGCCCTTCATCAACCATTCACATCCTAGTCAGAACCATAATTTGCAAAACTAAACATTTCTTCAATACTTACACAAATGAGCTTGGCACATCGAACCCAGAAGTAGTTGTAGTTCCTATCTTTCTCCAATCTGAACAAAGTATTAAGCATTTAAAGCTTCTTACAGAGGTCAAAAGAACACATAACCAGTTAGACTCTGCAGGGGGAAAAAAGGCTTCTCACTTACCTTGAAAAGAGGGAACTGACTCTCCTAAGACGCCATAGACGGAGCATGTTAAACAAGCCATATGACCTGAATGGCTTAGGGGAGAGTTTCCAAGCGAGTTCAGACGGGATGATGGAAATGACATCAAGGGCCAACCATGTCCTGGCGTACTTCCAAGCAATCTGTCTTCGGTTGTCCACTAGAAGGTAAGTTGATTTGTCGAGGTAAGCCACAAAGAAGGTGAGAATGATATCCACAGCAAAGAATCCATTCACAATGTTATCGGTAATTGAGAGTGGCCCTTCTGGTTTTCTAAGAAACCCGAACTCGAAAGGTGATACCCAAGCTGTGTAAATGACCAAGACAATGAGGAATGTCTCCCATATCCTGCAAGATTCAAATCATTCCTCAAGTTAGCAGCTCAACTCTGCCAAAAGAACACAGGCAAGTTGAAAGCGGATTCTAAATTGGTTGGTAGAATGTTTATGATGCAAGTCAAAAGTTCAAACTTCAAAGTTCAGCCCAGTCAAAAACACATGCAAGAGGTTTAGGAATTTCAACTGTAATTTCGAAAAAGGACAAATCTTTTACCAGATCGTTGAAACCCAAGCCAAAACAGAATCTAGGGACTGATAGAGGAATTGTATTCTTCGGCAGCTTCTAAGCAAAGATGATAAAAACAGCTAGCTTACAATAAAATGGGCAAAAATGTCCCTCACTTTTGCACAGGATTCAGAAAAGATAAAAGCACAGGATCCATCAAAGGAATGGGGTGAAACTTGCTTAGCAAAAACAAAATACAGCTATAAAATAAGGAACCCAAAACTTGCTTAGGAAGCACTACAAGGATAAACAAAGCAGATATACCACTGAACACAAAGAAAATTGACTACGATGGAGACGAGGCAACAGAACAGAGAAAACTTAGCCCGAAGAAAGAACCAAAGGGAAAAAGCCAGCTACAATCAGAAGATACAAAAAGGGATCACAGCAAAAAAAGGTGGAAATCGCAAAAACAGCCCAAGTTGGCACAAACAGACAGAAGATGAGTCATTGGAGTTTGGAGAGGAAAAAAGGCTAAACTCCAAAGATCAATAAACAAATCTAGGATCAGTCGCTGACCCATTTTAATCCAACTGCGAGCAACGTGGCTCACGGCACATTGCTGCCATTTGCCAGAGATCAAACACAACAACCACAACCAGTGACCTGAATGAACCGACAATGGCGGTCCGAGTCAAAAAAGAAGCCAAAATGAACACAACCAAGTCGCCAACAGTAGCAAAGCCTGAAACTTCACCTCACCAAAGAACAAACCCAGAAAGCACAACACCAGTAAGTCAAAGAAACGGCAGGAAACTAGAAGCAGGGAGCTACCTGTAACGACGATCATAAGGCGAGATAATGAAATTCTTGAGCCTGACCCTCCGGTTACTCCTGGCGCCGAGAGATGGAAGTATCCCAGTCGAGAGGCTGTAATGGCTGCCATCTCTTGATATGTGCTCCAGCTCATCCTGCCCACACACCGAGACGTTGAACATCCTTCTCCCCAGCAAACCGTCCATCTTCTTCTTCTCTTCCCTTTCTCCGAATTCTCCCACCTTCGTACACACAACCCAATATATCGCAGATGGGCTCGCGCCCTCTTGTCACGGTTTCAGTTATTACCTGTCTTGACCTTCATAAAAGGGGCCTCAGACTCTCAGTACCACCAACCCACCCCACAAAACGCTTCACTTTTTCATTGGGGATTCCATTTTTTTTTAACTGAGGCATTTTAACAAACACTTTCCTCGCATAACTCCCGCCTGCGGAAACCAGCCGATTTAAATCGCCAGAATTGAAAGCGGGGAAAACCCAACTAGCTCTGTCGCCTCGGCAGCTGAACAGAAACACAGACTGACGGTTTCAGACCTGCTCCGATCAGCTCTGCGTCAAAAGCTCTTGTGATTACTGGAGAGAAAGGGTGGAAAACGAAAAAAGGAACTGGAAAAGAAAAAAGGTGGAGGCTTTTCAGCTTTGGGGCGGGGCGGCGGGAGAGACGAGAGAGATCTAGGTACTTGGCGGCTCGTTGAGTCGGGTGGCTGTGTCCTTGTAGGAAAGGGGAGAACTCGTTCTTCAAGATTTTCGGATTTCCCGGGTATTTGTATACGGCCGCCGCTTGGCTTTCACCGCATTGGAAAGGCGCGTGGAAGCTGATCGAAGGGGGTTTTTTTTTTCTTTCTTTTATGACAGAACGGGGAAGTTGGTATGTAATAGTCTGGGGATTTTAAAAAAAAAAAAAAACAGAATTTGTGGTAACTATTTTTGTGATTTTATAGGAATAAATCATTTAAATCTTACAATTATTTTGGAAAAAAAATAGTCAGTAGTTATATTTTACTCCTAATACAATCACGCATCGATATAGTTTTAGTATTATGGAAATCATTCTATTAAAAATTTATTCTATTAAAAAAAAGTACATACAAATTATATTCATATTGTATTCATGAAAATGAACTTGTATAGTCACTTACTATTACATATGTTGACATATTGAAATATTATATAAAATTTTCGACATCCGATTGGCATATGTGTTATACCACTATTTCCCTTAATTTGCGATGATTCGACCTTATCATTATGAACATTTTTCTTTCTTTATTTTCGATTTTATGTAAAATTATAACTTTGGTCACACTAGTATGAGATGTTGGAGTAAGCACAAGATATTGCAAACTATACCTCTATTTCACTCAAAAGTATGAAGTAGGCCAAGTTTTGGATTACGGGAGGGTAGGCCTATGCCATGCAAACGGTTTTAATGGTGCAAGATAGGGGGATTCGGTGATTCCTTGGAACAATGTCATTACGAGGACTTCTATCATTCCGAAATTCGGTATCATCTTGAGGGACTTTTGTTGTTCTAAATCGACTTACAGCTTGACATGCAAACGGTTTTAATGGTGCAAGACAATTTCAGCTAACTATAGTGTGTGCTTTGCGCAACTGACATAAGGTCTTGCTCCCCACGCCTATTTTTGAATTTGATTGATCCCTTCAAGCTCTCTCTATTGCTTTCCACGCCTATTATAGACTTTAACTCCTTTAGAAACCAACTCCCTTAGCGAGCGTATTTTGTTTATTCTTCATCTGATAGTAATGATCGCTACTTCACTGAAAAATAACATATAATAGATCGAAATGAACTTACCTCAATGACGCGTTGCGTTATTTTGTCAACAAAGGAAACATGACAATATTTATTGGTGAGTTGTTGTCTCATGTCTGCATGTCGACATTTCTTTCCCTAATTGTATCAAGGTTTTTTAATTAAGTCATTGTTTTGGGTATGCTTGATCGATAAGAATTAAGTTATCAAGAAAAATTGCATGTTGAGATAAAAAGACGGGTTCTTTCATGAAAAAAGTATATCTTGCCATCTTGTGTTCGAGATCGATCCATCTATCAGTTAGTTGTTGATTCAAACTTAACCGATCGACAAACAAAATCCCTATTATTGTCTAACCTATCCAACAATACCACAAAATGCTTATCTACTATGACATGAGTGATCATATTCATATGAATAACCCAACACCCAATTACCACAATAGTTGACTTTGGAACGTTTCATAATTATATTAATTTCATATTCCACGTCCCCAATTTGATTAATTTGACTTTTGCTATTTATAGCTATTATTGTGTTTTTTTTAATTACAGAAATTAATCGACCAATTTTCAAAGGTCATGGCCTCCAATGAGTTGCTAGAATGCTTCAAATGTACAACTTGCCCACAGCACTATCCCAATTCCCAAGAGCCAATAGTACATAAGTTTCTTCAATTATATTTGTTAATTTCCCCAAGAGGGAATTTTGCCAAATTTAATAATTGATTATCCAAGCTTTCACCAGATCATGTGATGTGGCATCTCTTTGTATCATAATCTGAAATAAATTACTCATATCAATAAAATAATTCAATAATTGGACTATAAGTCTCCTAATCATGCATTGATATCCATATATTTTCTTCTTATAGGAGATAGTGTAGTTAGTATACTATAATAGGGATGAAACATTAAAACTATTTGTTTTGACTAAAACTAACTATAAATGTATTTAAAGAGGGGCATTCCGAGAATTGAAATCGGGACCTCTCGCACCCTAAGCGAGAATCATACCACTAGACCAAATGCCCTGTGTTAATGAAACATCAACCAATGATGATACGACTAGATTGAATTTCAAACTCGAGATCTTAGTACGAGAAGACAACCACCTTATCATTTCAACGAGGAAAGATATAACCGACAAGCATTCATAATAATCTTTATCTAACTAATTGATTAAGTTGTGACAATATTTATATATTCGCCATTATTAAGTATTTTTTTTACTCTTTTTTTTCCATAGACATATCTACCAAAACCTACACTAAAGGGAAGGAGAAAACCAAAGAGTTCATGGAAACTCCATGATATCGCTAGATAACAAGCTTGTTGGTATATGAATACACTCAGTTATACGAGGCTCGTAAATTGATTACTACATGGATAAGATCGATAACTACATTTCACACAAGTGGAAGAACGAAACGAACCTATATAATTTACGAGAACTTTAACTTAATTTATGTTTTAAAAAGTCACGACACTATCTTAAAATCGCCTAATTTCAGAAATCGTTGTATATGTTTATACACCCGTTGTTTGTCAGGGGTTGACACATACATAGGGGAAATAATGTAGCTTTATCCTAAAGCAAGAAGATTCAAGAAACAAGTATAGATTTTGAAAGTGGGGTTAATGTATACAATTACGATAGTTGTGTGCAAATACACAACCGACCAATGAGAGAGTCAACATTACTACATAGTTTGAGATATAATAAATTGTTTTACAAGGTAAATTATGGCCGTGGGCATTCCCGATAAGGAATTACAAAGTATGATATACATTGAATAATGAGCACCGCCGGCCACCGGCCACCGTCCATCGGCAGAATAGGATAATCCATCAAATGGAAACTAGGGAAATTGGACAATTAAATTAGTAATGTTCAATACTCAATACCTTTCAGTTTAGGGGTAACATAGCTTTCTCTTTTAAGATACCAGTACAAAAGAGAAAAAGACACTCTTGATGATGAAGTGAAATTGGGGAAAGTACGTCATGTTATATGACAAACCCTATATCGCGATCATGCAAAAGGAAATGAAATCACTTTCGTTTTGCTAAATCGATAGTCAGTTGCGTGGTTACATTCTCTGTATGTGAGAGATTTTTGTATCGCAATTTTTGTCGAGTTGTTTGACGGGATTGATATAATGATATGTCTATAATATAGTGCGGAAAAACTATTGAGCACCTACTCTATTCACCGTATATTTGGCAAAGAAAGCTTATTAATTAGGGTTATATTTCGACTTTTATGGCAGGTTGTAAAGGAACGTTTTTTTTAATGAATTTTATATAATTATCACTTTTCTTAGAAACGTTTCAATAGTACTCACTTTTAAAACTTCACTGCGTTCCTTACCTTCCGTAGTAAATAAAAGGGATAAATTCCACGTTTGATCACTAGGTCTACTAAAAAGTGCCATGTTTAATCACTAGAAATATTTAATAACAATTTTGATCACTCGAATTATTCAAGCAGTCCATGTTTGGTCACTCGAATTATTCAAACCGTTTATGTCTGGTCACTCGCAGTTACCTTCCGTTAACAACGTTAGTTTTTTCTGACGTGGCAAACATAAAAGTCTAGTCACCCACATTTAACCCGAAAAACTAAAAACCTGACTCGCCACGTCATAAAATTCAACCCATCCTATGACCCAAACCCAAACCCTACGACCTGCCATAAACAATCCATCCTCGCTCCTCTTCCTCATGCTCCGCTGTCGGCTCCTCCAACTAGGGTGGACATTCGGTCGGTTTGGTTTCGACCGAATCAAAATTATGCATACCGGGTCCCCGAATTCCACCAAACCTCAAACCGAATTATATTTCGGTTTGGTCGGTCTAAATCAAATTATAACCACTCCTTGCATGCATGTCGTGTAACCTAGCTTAACTAGCTCGTTAACTTTGTTTCGTTCGACCAAGTGAAGGGTACGTAGTAGTGTTGCCGTTTTGGGACCTGGGCCAAGCTAGCTTGCCCAAAACATTAACCTTTGGAGGGTTATTAATGAATAAGCCAAAAAAGCCTTTCCATAATGGACTCGAGCCACTTGAGAAATTGGGGTGGCAGCTTTCTAGTCCAGCCCAATGGTTGAGAGCCCATGCAATGAATAATGGATCACGAGGCCGGGTCAGCCCAAATCCCCACCCAGTTGACAAGTCACCGGAATAGCCGGTAATAAAGAGAGAAGCGTTAGATGCTCCTTTCTCTGCAACCTCCACGTGCCCTATCTTATCCATTCATCCCGTTACCCTTTCCCTTTTCTCTTTCCCCCTTTTCCTTCCTTCAAATACCGCCCGCCCCACCTCCTTCCCTTTCCAACTGTCATAACAACAAAAAAAACCTCCCCACACGCCATTGTCGCCCAAAAAAAACCTTCCCTCCTAATCTCCGACCTCCAGAATCTCGAAAACTCCAAACCAACCAACAAAAAATGGCCAGCAATCTCCTCCCCCTCCGCCCCGCCGTCGTCTACGCCTCATCCAACCCGGACCTCAACAACCGCCGGAGGCAGCTTCCCCCATCCTCCTCCTCCTCCGCCTCGCCGAAATGGTGGTCCCCGCTCTTCGGCTGGTCCTCCGAGCCGGACTACGTCGGGACGACGCCAGCGAGTCAGCCGGCGGCCGATCAGGACGAGAATCGGCCGGATCTGGAGGCGAAGCAGGCCAGATCTCGTTTCTCCCCGGGCTGCTTCACCGCCGAGAAGGCGAAGCAGCTCCGGATGCTGACCTCGGGGACGTCGTCGCACCACGACGCGATGTACCACTCCGCCATCGCCTCCCGCCTCGCCTCCGACTTCAACAACAAGAACACCAACAGCTCCTCCTCCTAGCCTCCGCCTCGCTCGCTGTTCGATTTCCCCCCTCTCACGCTTTGTCCCTCTCGTGTAATGTAATATCGATCGTTTCCTAGATCCGTCTTTTTTTTGCCCCTTAGATTTGTAAAATAGTGTTTTTCGATTTTGCGCTGTGTCATTGGCCGTCTCCGTTGTCGGCCAGTCAGTCCGTCTCTCCGTCCATGAATTTTAGCTTGGAGGCAGAAAAGAGCGTGGGATGATTCCGGTGACTTTTAGGGATCAATGTTTGTTCAATTAGTTCCTTGTTGTAACAGAAGAATTAACTAGCTTTATCCTGTTAAGTAGTGGTTGAAAAAAACAAGATTAGTGTCAGTAATCATGTTTATGCTTTGCAATCGTTTCCCGGCGATATATGCCGCGGGTTCCGCCATTGAAACGGTTGGGGGTTGGAGCTCTGCATGTAGCTGGATCGAAAAAATTCAGCGTTTTTTATTAGCTTACTCGTGGATTTATATCTTAAGCAAATGCTAAATGCATATATAATGCATAATAATAAAAATAATTAAGCCGCCCGAGGTAATTGGATTGATGGATTCTGGTATTTTGCCTAAGAATATGCTTCTTTTTTTTTATCATTTTTTTTTTAAATCGAAATCAGATTAATAAACAACAATTTTTTTCCGGCTTATTTATTTATTTATTTATTGAACTAGTAGTTGAACGATAGATCGTGTATTCGATTCCCACCTCGTTCGATGGGCTACATTCGAACGAGTTTTTGGTAACAGAAATCACGAGAAGGAGAGATGAAACCAAGACGATAGACCAACCACGACGCAGTTTTGTAATTCGTTTACGAAGTTTCGAGGATGTCAAAGGGCTGATCAGGACAAACAAAGTTTTGATTTTCAATGATGTCAAATTGCTAATCAGGGCAAACAAATGTTTGATTGTGAAGAATTGACAGAAAAAAAAAGCACCTTTTTCTCATGAACAAGACGTGTGTGTGAAAAAAAAAAAAAGTGCAGAAAGTTACAAATGGTGGTGGTGGTTCTAGGCTCGGCCAGAAGTGGTGGCGCACATGTTCACCGTCCAATTGCGCGCTTTTGTTTCTTTCTTCCAACTTAAGAGAAACACATGAAACAAGTTACATTCAGGATTGGAAATATTGTCACGGCCTGGATCGGATCTCACAATCAAGTCGTGATGCTAATGTGCCATATATCCACCGTCTTCTGGGAACAATCCGTCACTATAGCTTTCGCACTTGTTAGGACTTCTTCCACCTGTTAGAGGACTGACTCTGTTTGTATCTCTAGTATTATTTTCGACTCGTAAATGCCATCGACTTACAACTCAGAAGTCATCGAGCTCCAAAGAAGACACACTAAACTATCAAATCAACAAATCAATCTTGGTGTATGTCAAAAAAATTTAGCAGCGAGGATCCCTCCGTGCTACTAACTTCGCGCTTCACTTGCTCTCTGCATCATATAGATCAGTGCTGAAAAAATAGATCGTCAAGGAGATACTAGCAGGAGATGTGAAGCAGGGAGAGAGGAACTGTTTGTTTTCATCAAGACAACTAGTACAAGTTACACCACGTAGCATTTGCAAACATCGAATTCTCTTCCCCTGCATTTACTTAGATCAACTGTCGTCACAATTTATGCAGGTCCGGCAATTACTACGAGAGAATTGAAAAAGTTTCAAGACTCGGTCAAGAGCTAGAAGAAGCTCCAAGCTTGGAATGATAAACAAGCCAGGGAGCAAAATGTTGACAGGAGAGTTTGAAAGTAGTAACTTCAGGGTAGCAACTGGAAGAGGCTTCCAATTAGAAGAACTAACCAACCTATAGACACGAGATCCTAATTCATCCAAGATAAGAAAAATTACCAGAAATCTGAAATCCTGTTCATCTAAATGCTAAATGCATTCAGTGTGCAGGAGAAACAATTCGTCAAGAAACCAAGTCGCATTGTAGAGTATAATCTAGTCTTTCTAATTTCAAAGGCAAAGGACAGCAGAAAATTGCAAGGACACGGTGCTTTCTGTACTCAAACTTCATGGCAAGTACTCCAGAATGATGGTGAAGCGATGAGGACAAGACTAAATGAGAAATTCTTTTGACAGTTTCTCCCCTATAAGAAATGCGAAAGAGACCAAGAAGTAAACAGATAAACGAGCTATGCCTAATAGCCAACATTCACCGTTACAGCTATATACACAAAAGAGATAGTCATACTCTCTTGTGAAATTTTTTTTGCTATCCATCCATCTATCTATGCTTTGCAGCATAGCCATGCTGTCTTACAGAACAAGCTCGAACAGACATCCACGATCAGAAATCTGTAAGAAGTAATGCTCATGAACTGATAAACACCAAAAGAGACAATAAGCTATGCAAGCCATCCTATTAACAGAAGCCAAATTTTAATGCCTGTCAAACTAGATACTCCTACGAAGAGAGTGCAAATGTTGATGAGCTATCATGCTTCCCAATTCACCCAAAAGGCGGAATATATGAGCAAATGAGAATGCAGGATGCTGCAACAAAACTTCTAAGCTACAATGGAATCAGAATCTACAAAGGAGAAAGGATACACCAAGTAACCACCATGGATAAAGGCACCCGCCAACACAGCAGTGAACAACCTGTCCCTCAAGGCCGGATTCCTACGCAGCGATAGCCGAACTGATAAAAAGGAGACAACCTTCAAACACCCATCAACAGAATCGGGAAAAAGCTTCTAACTTTGAACGATAAATGTCACGAGAATAGCTTTACTCAATGGAAGAACTGGAGCGTAGATGAGCGGAACCAAGAACTTGAACGGAGCCTTCGGCTTCCTAGCAACAGCCGCCCTGCATCGGCGCCACAACCAATCTCAGACGGAATTTCAGTGGACTATACAATTGAGCGCAAAAAGGGTTGATTTGAAGACGAAGGAGAACTAACTGATTGCTCGGATCGGCCGCGGTGGACATGTTTGATTACAACAGGTCGCAAGCAAGGGAGAAAGTCCAAAAGTACCACTCTTTAAAAAAAAAAATTCCAAAAATACCACCCAATCCCAAAAAATTCCAAAAATACCACCCTTTTTCAAAAACTGCCACCCCACCCTGCGGTTTACACGAAAACCGTTTGTTGGGGGCGCGGTTTTCTATGCAAACCGCGGGCCTAGGGGGCGATTATAAAAAAAAAAATTTTGGACCAAACCGCTGGGTGGGGTGGCGGTTTGGCTCAAAACCGCCACCCCACCCAGCGGTTTGGTCCAAATTTTTTTTTTTTCCGATCAACTCCTAACTTCGGCCGAAACTTCAAACGAACGTAACTTTGCACTCGGGTATCCGATCGATGCGATTCTTTTTTTCATTTCGCATAACTTTTCATGATCTACAACTTTTAGTAGGATGAAATTTTCAAAACTGGAACTATTTGTGGATATACGGGACCTTGAGAATAACTGTACCTTTACTTTTCACAAATCCATGTACATTTTGAAATTATGATTATATTAAAAGTTGTAGATCTTGAAAAGTTATGCGGAATAAAAAAAAATTCATAACATTCAAATTTTGGAGCACAAGGTTATGACCGCCCAAAGTTTGACGAAATGCGAGACCCGACGGTATGCGGCTTGCAAGATCTCAAAAAGTTTGCGGCCTCCATTTTTTGAATCCGAATAACTTTTTGAGATCTTGCAAGCCGCAAACCTCCGGGTCCCGCCTTCGTCTCGAAAAAATGTCATTTGCCACCCCGAACGAGCTTTTTTTTTATTTCGTCAAACTTTGGGCGGCCATAACTTTGTGCTCCAAAATCCGAATGTCATGAATTTTTTTTTTATTCCAAATAACTTTTCAAGATCTACAACTTTTAATATAATCATAATTTCAAAATGTACATGTATTTATGAAAAGTAAAGGTAAAGTTATTCTCAAGGTCCCGTAAATCCACAAATAGTTCCTGTTTTGAAAATTTCATCCTACTAAAAGTTGTAGATCTTGAAAAGTTATGGGAAATGAAGAAACAAAAATCGCATCGATCGGATACCCGAGTGCAAAGTTACGTTCGTTTGAAGTTTCGGCCGAAGTTAGGAGTTGATCGGGAAAAAAAAAAGAAAAAATTGACCAAACCGCTGGGTGGGGTGGCGATTTTTAAAAAAGGGTGATATTTTTGGAATTTTTTGGGATTGGGTGGTATTTTTGGAATTGTTTTTTTAAACTGTGGTACTTTTGGATTTTTTCCGCAAGCAAGAAGATCCGTCGGAAATTTGTGACGAAGAACAAAACTCCGACTAATCAAATTTCTTCCTTGTACCTTTCCCAAATTGTGGACTTTGAGACTGGTTACAGTGTTTTAACGGGCTTCAGGGCTATTGGGCCCGTTGGGCCTTTGCTGTTCATCCAACAAACGGTGTCGCTTTTTACGGGATTACAGAGGGATTTGAAAAAAGGCTCACGAAGGCAACCGCGTAAGCGGAAAAACTCAAAAACACATTTAATCGGACGGCTGTGGACGAGCCGAGAGTATATCCTATTTGAAAAAGTCATTTCGGTAAATCGAATCCAACGGCCCAGGTAGTTGCTTAATTTTGAAGCAGCGCTGCATCTTCAAGCTACGCTGCCGTGGTTCTGCCCTATATAAAATTTCATAGCTTCGCCGTCTTCCATTCACTGCCTTCTCTTCCTCCTTCCTGCCTCCCCGTGAAGCAGCTCCTTCGGAGAAAACCCTTCGTTCTCGAGGCGTCCCTCCTCGAATCTCCGGCCAGAATGGTACGTCTCCGCTTTCCTTGAAGTCTCCGTTTGTTTCCGATTTCCCTTACGGTCGCGTCGTTCCGAATTGGCTGCTTTGCTAGGGTTTTTTCGTTTGTTGCTTTCGTGATTCGGTTTGGCTGATTCGTTTGTTTTTTTTTTTTTCCGGTTTCCCCCCTGTTGTAGGCTCTGCCGAACCAGCAGCAAGTTGATTACCCGAGCTTCAAGCTCGTTATTGTAGGCGATGGAGGAACTGGTAAATTTCCCTGTCAATGTTGTTGTGAACTGTTGGTGTCTCGCGCTTTCATTACGTTGTGGATTGGTTTGTGTTTGGAGCGCGAAAGATTATGGTTTTCCGTAGATCTCCTCTAGTTTGGAATGGTAGTATTGTCAAGGCTGATAGATCTTGCGGTGGAAAACAAATTCTGGTGTTCATTGTAAGTAATGTGAGTAGTTGTGAGTGGTTGGTTGTATTGAAGAGATGTGTTCTGGGTGATGCAGGGAAAACTACATTCGTGAAGAGGCATCTGACTGGAGAGTTTGAGAAGAAATATGAGCGTGAGTGTTTGATTCAACTGAGTTTTGATTTGAGTGATGTCTCCCTGTTTTGAGTTGGAGGGAAAGCTGAATCTCGTGCTGGTTTTGCAGCAACCATTGGTGTGGAAGTACATCCATTGGATTTCACCACCAACTGTGGGAAGATCAGGTTCTATTGCTGGGACACAGCTGGGCAAGAGAAATTTGGTGGGCTCAGAGATGGATACTAGTAAGTGTTGGTCGTGTTGTGTATCCCTTGTGAAAAGTATTTGTTGTACTTAGTACGCCTGTCTCTCTTAGAAATTTCTTGAATATGGTTGTTGAACTGACGTATGTAAAACTGATGGGCTGGCTTACTGGTTGCACTTTCAGTAGTGCCTTAGTAGTGTTTTGCTAATCCATTGGTCGGCGCATGCCATAGTTGATACGTTCTAGTTGCCACTGTAGGGATTTTTCATACTCTATGGTTCCGTGTTCTCTTTGTCCTTTGTTGTTTTGCTTATATATTTGTCTGTGATTTATTGTTCGGTCATGCTGGTATCAAGTTATAAAGCTGAGAGTTTTCTTTTGTTAAGAGTATAGTGAAGGATTTTTATCAGTTTTGCTTTTCATTTCATTCTAATGTATACTGCAGTTTTCAAACCACTGCTTGAACATTGGATTAAGTATCCCTGTTACAGTTCTCTGATGGTATTTTACTATGTCATACTCCTGTTGATTTCTTTGACTAACTTCTTGTATTCCAAAATGCAGCATACATGGTCAATGTGCCATTATCATGTTTGATGTTACAGCTAGATTAACCTACAAGAATGTTCCTACATGGCATCGTGATCTGTGCAGGTTTGTGGCTTTGTCTATACGTTTTAATCTCTGCACTCTTTCGTTAGGCTTAATATTGTGCAACATGATTTGTTCCTAATCTTTACAAAGGCTGATGTTTTCTATAATTACTTTGTTCCCAGGGTTTGTGAAAATATACCCATTGTCCTCTGCGGAAACAAGGTTGACGTGAAGAACAGACAGGTCAAGGCCAAGCAGGTTACTTTCCACAGGAAGAAGAACCTCCAGTACTATGAAATTTCTGCCAAGAGCAACTACAATTTCGAGAAGCCTTTTCTCTACCTTGCCCGCAAGCTTGCTGGGTAAATTCTAGTGTTGTTTTTACTGCTTAGTTTTATATTATCAGTCACAGGTATGATGAATTCATAAGCTAATGATTGATTGTTATATTGGTTTCAGAGATCCTAATCTTCACTTTGTGGAGGCTGTTGCCCTACGGCCACCAGAAGTACAGATTGACATGGCTACTCAGCAACAGTAAGCCTTCTTATACTCTTTTTTTTTCCCTCTGCTCATAGTTAATTGATTTGTGTGGCAGAGTTCTAAGATGTCTTTAATCTTGCTGATGTGCAGGCATGAAGCTGAACTCGCCCAAGCTGCCAACCAACCTCTTCCCGACGATGATGATGATGCATTCGATTAAAGTGTTGCACCCCTCAAAAGCTTGATCATCCCTCATGCTGGTTCTCGCTTGTGTCTTGGTCATCTCCTGAGTTTCTCTCTTTCATGATGGGATGTGCCCATTTGTATTTGCAGGTTCAACTATCCTGAGAACCTTTCTAAAGACAAACTAGTAGTAGAGTTCTGTTTGAGCAAGTGGTGCACTTTTTTTTTCTGTGGTAGAGTGGAATTCTTGTGGTTTCGTATTTGTTGGTGTTGGGTTTGTGTTGATGTTTTGTTGGATATCTGAATTTTTGGGAACCGGTATGATTGGAAAGACGGAGCAGAGTGTGTTTGCCCATTTGTTTCTCTCGAAGCACTGAATCTATTGTGATTAGTCGGATCCTTTTGCGATTGTCGACGGGCAAAACCGATCCCGTTACTTAGTGGGCCTGGGCCTGCTTACACTGACCGAAACTGGACCCAGTCGTTGGCTGAACGGCCTGACAGACTTGTTATCTTTTTCCTTAATGGATATGGGCCTGGTTGGTCTTGTGGTCCTTTCTCTAGCGGCTCGGGTCCAATCAATTCAATCGATTTTAGTGAGGAAACCTCTGATCTACAAAATACTATAAGCGGATGTCAATAAAGAGCCTTTGCCACATAAGCTCTTCCTGCGCAACCCGTACTGCTAGGGAGGACACCCCTGTAATTACTCAACCCGTCCGTTAATTAGTTATAATAATTAGGAGGTGGATTGAAAAAAAAATACGTTACAGGAGGGATAATTGGTGGGGTAGGGTGTAGGGTGTAAGTGTAACGGGTGGGGAGTGGGGTTAATTCTCTTCTTTTTTTTATTATATAATAATAACAATAATAATATAATCAATATTATTATTATTCTTAATCCATGGTTGTCGCACGTAACCGTTCATCCAACCGTCCCTTTATTAATTATTGTTGAACCTGAACCTTAAATGTTGGAGTGTTACATAATAAGATAATTTGTAGGATCAATAATCAAAATATACTCAATCTTATTCAATTCAGTCTAGATACCGATTCAGTACAATTTACTTCGATGTAGACTAGATGATTACCCACCTCAAAAAAAATTGTACCTGAGATTGCAGTTCCGCGAGTAGTATTTGGCAAAGTCCTAAACTCCGGCTTTAACTTCCTATAACTGTATGTCTATCAATTTGTCTAATGCTTTGCCAAATATGAATTCAATAAACTATTATACATGAACAAGTTTTATGCAATTCCAATAACCAAACTCCACGTCGGTCCAATTTTAGGTGATTCCGTAGCTTTTGATACTATATTGTCCCCCTTCTACTTTGGGTTAGGGATATTATTGCCAGATAAATTCTAACTTGGCCTCTTCATAGATTAACACCAATTATATACCAAAGCAATAGATTTAACCCAATTTAAACAAAAATATGTGCTCCAATTTGTGGACCGTAGATATACAATGTAATCTCATGCTTACCAAGACAAGAAAAACTTACCATGGTTTCCACAAATAGTGATAAGTGCGATAATGATCATACACCACAAAATTTGCATCCCTAAATTCGAGGATAAACTATTCAAATGTATATTCACAGAGACTAATAACGAAAAGATGTCAACTGGTTGTTGTGAAAGCCTTTTATGGATAGAGATTGAAAGTCTACAAACAAACGATATTATTTCAATAAAGAACGAAATCATCTATTTGTTGCCCTAAAATAGTTTAGACCAATCCAAGCAAACTTATATATACTGTCAATATTTAGTAGGTCAATTTTCATGTATGGGAATTGTTTCTGATTTGCGTTTTGCTTAATGCTTACCATTCTGCAAGGTGATCAATTGGAGTTTCAATGTGTAACTTTATAACTTGAAGTTGGTTTATCCAATTCGTTCGCAATTGTCAACTTCTTTAATTTTATATACACACTTTACTTCTGTCATGATAAATTTGGTATTGTTGAAGTTAAAAAGAATATATGACAAAACTTAGTTAAAATTTTGTTTCACATATTCTGTTGATATTTCACAAATTCAATCTTTCCTTCAAGAAGAAATAGAAACCTCCGCCGGCCAACGGGCCGGGCACGATTACTAGTATCAAATACAATTTATGCATATATTTTGAGAACAAACTCACTAATCTACATTTATATACTGAATCGTACTGAATCGCTAAATATCGCCCTTAAAATTGTTAACGGTCGCCCTAACTCTAATGATAAATGACTTATTTACCCCTAATAAAATTTCAAAATTTAAACAAACCAAACAATCCCTAACCCCTCATCTGCCTTTTTCGCGAATCCCTCTCGACGCACCAGTTCGTCGGCGTCTTTCCCGCCGTCGTCGTCGCCCGTTCTCTAACGAAATTTCCAAAAAAACGCTGAACCTAAGGCAAGTTACGGTTGGTCCATGGTGCAACCACAAATGAGCTACGGTTCCCTTTTTTTTGTTTTTTTTTCAATTTTTTGAGTGAACTTTACCGATTCAGAATCGCTAGTCATGATCCAGACATCATATCGACGATTCCAACTCCGAAATGACGATGATGGATTCTCTCTTTTGAATAATGTTTTATTTTCTTTACTAAGAGGTGTTTGTTTGCTAAAGGAAGAGTAAAGTAGCTAAAAGGGTAACTTTATGTTTTTTAGGCGACATTTAGCAATTTTAAGGGCGACCTTTAGCAACTCCCTTTATATATATATATATGACATTATCAATCCTCATCTTCAAATCCGGTTTTCTTAGAACCGTCTAACCGAAGGTGTTTTCCAACTGTTTATATGATCGATCTCGACCGGACCCGATTGAACCGGCGGACTGGATACAGATTTGACAACCTTTTGTCCTTGTAGCACCGACGATTGTGTATAAAGATCTAAAAACATAACAATGGCGTTTCCTCTCCCCTCCAAATCTGGACATTCATGACATGTGAAGCCCCATATGAAGAACAACCTAAAGTACCCATTCAAAAAAAGGGACAACACAGAAACACAAAACAGAGAAACAGAGGGGTGGAATTAGTGATCTCCAATTCTCCACCACCACCCAACTTAATTGCCCTGCCTGTGTCTCAGGAACCGGATATACTTAGCTAGCCCCATTTCTTCTTCTTCTTCTTCGATCACTTCCTCCCCCATCTGTCCCTTTCCATGTCGCAACCCTACTGCCAGTTTTTTTCACTGACAAGGCTGGAGGCAGAAAACAGAGCAATGGCCAGCATGTTGAGGACATTGTGGTTGGGGCTTTTGATCTGTTTGTAGGACACTGTCCCCTGAGTTGTTCGGGTGGTAAATAAATTGTCCCTCAAACTTACACCCCTCCATCCAGATTACAAAGGAGGAAGGATTGTAAAATCGTATAGGAAGTTGTATCTGAAAAGTTAATGGTAGATTATCAGTGACGGTGGGAGGCGGAGAGGAGTACCGTTCTAGGACTCCATTTGACAACAAAACCCTTTAAATACACAGAGCATAGAAAAGTTTAGTACCCAGTACTCTCGTCGATGTTAGCTCATTTAAGGATCTCAATCAACTCAAAAGTACATTAGATAGACAGGTAATAGTGTCATTGAATTTTAAAAACCCCAGTGTTCCCAAAATTTGGCTACGCTACTGTATATGATATTTTGACCTTAAATCGTGGTTCAAATTTATCAAATATAAAAAAATTACTTCCCAACTTTAACACCGATTGATAGTTTTTTTTTTCTTTCAATTGAATTGACGGTATAGTACGATTTTGCAAACACTACTCCCCTTCTTAATTTGGGCTTTCAAGTGTGGGGGAGTGAGGTGGGTAGGGCTTCTACCCTTGTGGAGGGACAGCCAGGGGCACCATGATTTCCGAAAGCCCTATTTTGTCACTAAACGCGTGGATGGATTTGTAGGTTTGTACCAATTTTGAAAAAACCACCCTAATTGTCCAAAACACGTATAAGATAGGATGATAGTGCACTTCACAACTGCAATAACATTGACTATTGTTAAAATGAGTACTTTATTAGTATATGATATTCTTCATTTTGGCTCAAGCAAGGTACGTTTTAGTTTTATTCCCAACAGATTCCATACTAATCAGGAACTTTCTTGTACTCTCCTCGGCGACGATTATCTTGATATGCCAAACACCATGTATCGACCGGACTTCCGATACAAGGATTGACCAGATGCATGCATGTCTCCCCAGATAGATTACAAGACGCGAATCTTTCCTAATCCGCCAGACAAATAACCTACCTCAAATCTATTAGGACACTAAATGAGGGTCCACCAAACTGACATCCACTGCTCCAGAATCGTAGTCCAAAACGAGCTATGATATCGCATATTGAAATTGGTGCTCAATTAGTACGATATTATCTTATTTGACCCAAATCTACACGATTTTAATTTTGGGTTCCTTCCCAAAATGACCCCGTACTTAACAGGCTATGAAAAAAATACAATAATCTTTTCCCTTATTTTTCTTATGTGATACTTGAATTATACTATAATAGTTACCATTATGATTGCGTCGTAGTCGTAATGCTACAAAACAACAATGACTACTACAACGGCTAAAAGCCTAAAACTATGACTATACAACAAAGTGACATAGTAATAGGAGTTTCGAACCGGGTAACTTATTTGTGAATGCTTCATTTTCCTAACATTGACTTAATAACTTACATCTATCCGAATGATTCATTCATTCACTCCTCTTTGAACCCAAAGAAGGACCCATCCGCTGAAGAACAAGCGAGAAGGAAGCAATTGATGAAGAAAGCCAATTCATATGGTAGGACCACGAATCGTGACAAGATCGGTTTAGAGGTACAGTAACAAAGATCGTTGAATACTTGTTATGCTATCATCTGGTGAAATCTCGCGTGAGTTTTGATCAAAGATTGATACGTAGTTTCGACACGATCGTGTTCGACGAGTGTCACAGATGGTATGTGACACAATATTGGAGGAAAGTAAAGGAGGGAAGAACACAAAACAAAAGATACAACATTGCAAAGAGGATTGTGGGATTGTTGGATAGGGACATAAAAGTGGGGGGATAGAGGCATAAATAATAGGAAGGGGAAGATGGGAAGCAAAGTGTCCTTGTCTATGATCCCTCCAACCCACCATTCTTGCACATATGTTCAAATACTCTGAATGTGCATTAATGCCTAGCTACAATTTTCTACAATTTTCTGCTACAGCCTATACCTAAGCCACTTTCCCTAGGTCCATTTCTCCTCTGATTTCATGGATTATGAAGTCCAACCCTATCAAGTATTGCGGAGCGTTACTCATTATTCGATATGAATCGGCCTTATCGAACTCGATGTTCCATTGAAGATAGCTAAGCTAGTTTCTCTGCGACCACGTTACATCCGCCTTTCCTTGATTTCATGGATTCTCAATTCAACCTTTCAGAGTGTTATGAACTGTTACTCGACCGATTTGAATCCTCGCATAGCAATGAAAGAAGTTCCATTTAAGATAACAAGTCAACGATAAGAAGATATACGAAAATAATAATAGTAACGATGTTATCAATACGGATACTATTTCACGAAGTGATGACATATCTAAGAGCATATGGGTGTGTTTTCATGTCGACTAATGGGATGACAATGAATTGATAGCTATATGGATTGGCGGCTGGCAGAAGCTATATATTTGTGATTGCCCTAATTCTTGTGGTGTAATGGTGGTGGGCTTTATCTAGTTGGGTAGGTTTCTCTTCGCTTCTCTCTTGTTACATTTTTCATTCCCACTTGGGATAAAATTGGTGGGTCTTGACGAGCTTCAATCATACATGAAATCGGTTTCCTATGGAAGAAAATCGGTCGATGATTGCATGTTAAAGATATATAGCTTCGATGGATGGAAAATTGTTCGAGAAATATTGCTAGTGTCCTTCACTTGGAGGGTTCACGCAACGGTATGAATTTGGGAAGAGTTCATGGCCGGCGATGGTCGATATGATGATGCCCTTTTGGAAGCATTATAGGTACGTTGATGATCGATATTCAATCCTTTCTTCTTCATCCTTTTTAATATATGAGATTTGGATGCGAGTAAGGGGTTGGTTGAGCGGTAATTCTACTGATTTTGAACTTGTTGGTCGTAGGTTCGAATCCCCCAAGTAGAAGAGGCTAGCCAAGCTTGATAGGGTTTGAGACTGAGGGTTGTCTCCTTTGATCAATCCCCACTCAACCAAACAACGACGGGCACTTGTCAAACAAATACTCGGTCCAGGGTCCACATACTTGAAGAGAAATCGTTAGAAGTCTTCTCGAGATATGCACATATCGAACAATGGGATGGTAGAATGATATGGATATACTTAGTTATTGAGAATTCCATTTGCATCGAGATTAAATCACTTAAACCTTAGTAAGTAGGTACATCCAAAAAAATATGTGAAACAAAATTACTTTGCTGAGTGATAACAACTGAATCTTCACTCGACCCCAACTCACATACAAATATTTAAAGCAAATTTCAGCATCACACAACTCCGAACCAGCCAACACAAACTGCCATCGATATCCACTTAAACCGGGTATGATCATAACACGATGGAAGGAGCAATCCTTGGTATTGAAGTCCAACAAGAATAAAAAAAAAAAAAAGACAATACTAGGGACAACAATGTATGACCATGAAGTCATGTTGGGCTCATTTCACATGCTAACAAAAAATGTAGAGGGAGAGATATATGAGTAGGGGGAAAAGAGAGGTTTTGGAATGATACAAGACAACTATAATCTAATTATAATTTGATGGAATAAAAAGGGAGAGTTTACATGGCCATTGGGGAGTGGAGTGAGACATGGAATGGAGACAAAGCTAAGCATGGTTTTAAAGGGACAAAACATATGCCCATGAAATAGTGTGCATGCTTTGTGCTTTGTTCTTAATCCCCCTCCATTTATATTTCTTAATTCTTAAAACCCTACTTACTTAAAACTAAACCCTAAATCCCATCCCATACTTAAAAAGAAGAGATAAAGATCATCCCTTTAAGTTTAACTAATGCTTCACATGCAAAGAAGTGAAGAACCAAGAAAGGTGAGAAAAAGGAATGAGAAAGAAGTGTGTTCTTGGGGAAGGCAAAGCAAAGCAGAGCAGTAAAAAAAAATTGGAACTTTTTTGTTACCTGTTCTTTTCCATTTCCTGTTTTTTTTTACTGTAAAAAGTTTCTGACTGTTAAAGTGAAAACTGAAAACACTTAGCCCTCGATTCGCGAGGGAAGGATTGGATTGGACAGCCCAATTGTATTGTGTAATTGTATGGTCTCTGCCCTCTCCAGTCATCCAGCTGCTGCTCTGCTCTGCTCTGCTATGCTGCTATATATATATATATATTGCTTTCATGTGGGATTCTCTCTTCTTTTATCTTTACTGCCACTCTTCTGATGAGGTTGTTATCTTTGTACCCTTTTTCTCCAGTACTGCCTCCTTGGTTATCTTGTCCGCATTGCAAAGTTAAGGAGGTTAAAAATATTGTTGATCTAGGTATTGGAGAGACATGATTCAGCTAACGATCGGTCGGTTTCGGTTTACTCGAGCGACGAGGGAACGAAAGACTGCATTCTTTCCACGGTGATTTGAGGGTACATTGCGTGGAAATAGGGACTTTCGATCACGCGTGGTAGGTATACAAACAGTGTGTTACGAAAGTCCCGTGGATGGATTGATTGAAAGAGAGCGTGCATGAGAATTCAACGATCCGATCGTGCATTGCATGAGGAACCATGTTCTTGGGGGGTGTTGATGTTAGAAAGTGGTATATGATCTTTAATTGAACATCTCTCAATAACTTGAGTTATTGGGATCACAACTAGTTCAAACTTCAAACTCCTACATAGTGATTTTCATTTGAGGGGTATGGTAGCAGGGGCGGACCCAGGGGTATTTAGGGTCGCCCGAGACACCCCTAAATTTTGGTAGATCGATTATCCAACCTCCGGTGATAATTTACGTATAGACAAAAAAATATATATAATTTGTGCTACAACTTTTTTGTTGTTATATTCTAAATACTATGTAATAGCAAAACCCTATTCTCTATCTTTAATTATTTTCAAAACCTAACAATTAATCTAATTAAAAGCTACCCTTAATTTGTATTGATTTTATGGTTGTACGACAAGTGTTGTGTTTTTTTTCAGCTTTGAGTTACATCATGAACAAATTTAGAAGTCAAATATGCGCCAGTTTGTGAATGATTGTCTAGTTGGATATACCGAGACAGATTTGTTGAGCAGTGTAGACACAAAATATATTTTATACTTTTTTTAGAATATGAAAATACATCATTACCTTTTTTAATTTGTACTAGTTGGGTTTTTTTTTAATTTAAGAATTATATATTTTTTATTAATTATTTTATTTTTTTGAAATAAAACACCGTATGTAAAATTTCTGGGCTTGCCACTATACAATAATAAGTTATATATATATATATATATATATATATATATATTTCAGAATAAATATTTAAAAAAAATCAAGTTATTGAAATCAACTCATTCCGCGAAGAGATTTTGATCAATGAATAGTTTCTCTCTATTGCGGGTGGGCAAATATAGGCAGTTGTGGCTGTCGCAAAGGGTGGAGTGACTAAGTGAGTGACTTTGTGATTTTGATGTAACAAAAGAGTTTCCTCTAAGTGGACAAAAAAAAAAGACCTGGTAGGCAAATGATTGGTTGACACATGGCAACCTATGATTTGACATTCCCTTATACGCAAATCCCAAAGGATATAGTGTTACGTATGGGTCAATGACCGTTTAGGTCCCTCTACTATAGTACTTTTAGCAAATCAACCCCTCAACTTCTAGCCCTTTCACTATTTTCTTTATGACCAAAATGTCCCTAAAAAAAACATGTGATCAATCGAAAGTTGTTCTCCGTTTTCAAAATAACCATTGTCTTTAAATGCTCTCAAATTCGGATTTCCTAGAGTCTCGGACAAACGAGTCGCTCCTTCAATACGCAAATGAATTTGTCATGTTAGATGTAAAAGACTGAAGTCGAGATTAGTTATCAAGGTTGCATACATTTTGTTCATAGACAACCGATCTGTTCAATAAAGGGCGATGTCGTTTACATCGAATGCCGGATTGGATGAGTTCGAAATTTTGTGTATTTTCATGCCATGCCACAAGGTGATATCTTTTGTTTGTTTTATGTGTACAACTCAATGCTCATCTCTCTCTGGTTGATGTAACCATTCGAAGCAGATCAAGATTTTCAACTTTCCTGGCCCCTTCTTTCTTGCTCCTACTTAATTGATTATATAATGTGTTTCCACTGATCACAGCTGCTTCAGTTTACCTCATAATTCTTTGAGATTGAGATTAGCTTAAACTAAATGCAGTTGCATCATTATCATTGTCCACCAACGTATTAGAAAGACCTTTAAATTCAAGAATTTGTTTTAACACTTGAGGTGTTAGCTAGAGCACGAGTTATAGTATCGGTGGCGGAACTACGTATTGTTTTCCAGGGCATATAGTTGTCTTAATATTTGGTCTGAAGGTTATAGTTTGTATGTATTCGTATGTTGAGAAAACAGTGTGGAGTGGTGAGATGATGAGGGGTTATTACCGGCCTTCCAAGACCTATGTTCCATTCCATAAAGTTGTTGCTAAAATTGTTTTTAGCACTCTTGTCACTCTAAATCCTGGCTTCGCCATTGCACAATACGAAGTAAAGTACGAGTACGTATTTGTCATTGAGTCATGCATGAGTCACTATTACTTGTCCGAGAAGTAAGGAGTTTTCCCAATTATATAATGATCAAATTGCTTTGTTGGGTGATTTTAGAACAAGCATATATAGCTCCATATGTAAAGTCAACTACTGATAATTGTATATGGATTCTTCAATTATGTCATTGGAATGAATCTGTTTGCAAAGAAAGATTGCAACTTTTTACTTGGCCTTTAGGTGATTATGTTAATTAATAAAAAAAAGCATGCGCAAAATCTCTCTTTTAATTGTAGTGATGGACCTTTAATTGTGTTCAAAACTCAATCCCAACTTCCATTTGCTAGCCCTAGTAGTAAATGGATTTGCAATTGAGTGGGTATAAGCCTATCATCATGAAATTAAATGGCCAAGTCAAAAAAGCCTCCCCTTTTGTGCTAGAAATGCCAATTATTCCATCTCATTGTGCTACAAATAGAGAGAGGAGAATGAACGTTTCTAGGTTTACTTTGTTTGAAAGCAATTTGGAGTGCTTGATGGGATTAATGGCAAGAAAAAATGAGAAAAGGTAGCTAGGTGCTAGATAAATCAAGTCAAACACCACTTGTAACTTATAAGTACATCTAGGATATCATATAAAATCAGTTAAAGATATTGAAAGATTTAGGAATTTTAGCAAATGCCAGGTAAAGATAGAGTTAATTATCTTTCTTCCAATGAAAAATAACCTTACGATAAATATTGATTCGGACGAACTCAAAATTTTGAAATGTAGCTGCTATCAAGGAGTAAGCAGCCGCAACTAGCATAGACATAGCCAAGCGTGACTGTATGACTGATGACAGGTTGTGTTGGTTGGGACATAGCATCAGAATCAGTATATAGAACTACTTGTTTCAACGCGGTTTCACAATCCAATTAGAGATCATGGAATAGTAGTTTCACCAGCTAAGTTCATGGTGTGATTTCCATATCCTAAATTAACCATTGAAGTCCATAAATCGACTCGCCTCCCCTTTACAGTGCATTAGTGCCATCAAGCAAGGTTGAATATGAGGCATGATATAAGCAGAGTCATCAATATTAAGATTAATCCGTTCTTTAGAGCATTTCGTTGTTCATTCTTTAGAGGGAGCCTCTTAATGAATACATACACTTCAACCAATTAATATTTCAAACAAAACATGACTCCTTCCACTAATTACATATCAATTTGTTTTGCTTAAATTGCAACAAATGGTAATTTGACTCATACTCTTTGATTTTTCAACACTTAAAGAGTAGATGAGCTGGTATGATTTGTATGATAATGAGATTCCCCTCATTTGTTGGATGAATTTAGGGAGAGGTGTTGTAGATTTATTCAGAAGCTAATAGGACAATAAGAGAGGGAAAATAAAATTTTCATATTGGTGGGATTTGCTACCAAATCATATCTACAAATCCCTCATTTTGCTCCTCTAGCCTTTTGTCTTTACCAACTAATTTAAAAGTTCTACTCTATCGCTTTCCAATTGGATTAATATATAAGAGAATTATATATTATCAATGGTTTCATGATCACAACAATTTTTGGCCCTATTAGGTTTCCACGAGAATCATTCCAACCAACTTCTTATCAAGGGTGAATTCTGTTAGTTTTATGTTTAATCATATATATAAGAAAATTCAAGGAAAGCCAAGGTTAAGTATAGCGTTAATTGCACCACATGTCGAGTTATTCAAAGTATTTTTTATTTTTGGATAAAAGTATCAATTCAAGGTAGAAGCGTTTCCACTTGTGCCATCGAGGCAAGCCATTCCCTCTTACTAGTTGCAACCTGCCATCCTAATATGATTTCAACTAAAAAATGACTCAGTCGCTTCATACATAAGAGAGACTAAGGCAAACAAAGAGCGAAGATCTTTGTCATTAACGTCCACTAGGGTTAAAGATGTCGGCGAGAACCGTATTCGAGCGGACTACATGGCTACTACGAAGCAAACTAGCTAGATGCAAGACATGGTAAAGGGACCTTAATGGATCAAGAGAGGTAACAAAAGGGATCATATGCCTTAAATATAACATAGTTGCCAATTAAAACATGAATTGTACAACTCTTACCAACAAATGATCTTTCTACCCAAAAAAAAATGTCCAACAAATATTCTCCTTTGACCCTTTTATGTACAAGAAGATGAATGCTAAATTCCAGGGATCAAATTACTCAATCAAGAACCTCTTTTTCTTCTTTTCCGGTCATAATTACAAAGGCAAAATCCACACACACACAAAAAAAGGGTGGCCCTTAAATTTACAAGTGCAGTAAATGCAACTGTTAGCCAGATTCCAAAAACTGACCAATTATGTATAGCACTCACTGACTCTCTGCTCTCCTCTCTTCATCACCCAGAAGTGCTAACTGGTTGGCAGCCTTTTTTATGTGTATTCATATCTCTTACAACAACCCAAAAGAAGAATCATAAAGGGATCAAGGAAAGTATACTATTGGAAGAGGAATCGATTTAAAGTTGGATATTTTCCCAAACAAGCTGTAAAAAGACTATGCATTTGCGAGCTAAACAAATGACAACTATGTATTTGCGAGCTAAACAAACGAAGAATCGTTTTATGAGTCATCACTCTTGAACCAATTTGAGACCGTATAACACCTGATTGTCAATATATATAAGGGTTACTTGTGTACGTTACTCTATTCTACTTGTGTATAGCGGTTAGTAACGATAGATTCATATCTATGTATCATCTATCCTGTGTAGAACGAGTAATACAATATGCACTAATAAGATCGACATTGAGACCATGTTGCTCTTGGTAGAATAATATTGTTCACGTCTACTAGGAAAACTACGTAACTCTCATAATATTCGGGGTTTTTTTTACTTGATTTACACAATAAATTAGTGTGGATCAATCAAGCTCTAACCATGATCCTCCTCAAAATTCACCCTCTTTGCCAAATTCGAATACTTTTTTTTGGTGGGCAACAATAAAATGAAGAAAGAAAGGGCAATTCATTTCCTCCATCTGCTTTTGCTCTCCCTTCCTCCCTCACCCATCTGCAGGCTTTTCTTTGGGTGGATTATGTTTTGTTCATTTTCGAAAAATCCATGGCCCCTTTTGCTCGCCACTTTGTCCTTTCTTTGCAACAACAAAACATTTTAAAGGTTTGAGAAAAAATGGAGAGGCCAAAACAAAAATCTAAGGCTGAATTTTGTTCCTCTCCCTTTTCTGCTCTGAATTTTCTTTTCGAAAGTGCATCTCTTTCTTTCTGTTTCAAACAGCACTCCATCTAAACTAAAGTTAAGGCAGTTGAACAGCCAGCCAGCCAGCAGTCTCTGGACCATTTCAGATCTTCCTTGAACCATTCAATCGGGGAAGTGGCTCAGTAGCAACCTCTCTCCCTCCTCCATTGAACACTCCATTCCAAGTAATCCTGTGGTTGGGGGGATTGATGTGCTTTACTCGATTTCGAACGAAACCCTTTATCGGTGATGATATACAGAGTCAGTAAGTAACTTTAGTAATAACTCAAGTTTTTTAGACTACTTGATTATCAGCATGAAGTTAAAAGTGGGTGAAGTCAGAGAAATATAATGAGGAACGACTAGAAATAAAAAAATAAAAAATAAAAAAATTGTGACGGCTTTTCGCAGGAGTATCCAAGTGATTTCACTTGAGATATCATTATCTAAACTATGTATTGGATCGAGTCTGGGGGGATCTGATGTGATACCCTAACTAACCTCTAATTGGTAAATACCAAGTTCCAGTTCTCAAAAATCCAAATTCGAAGATCAAGTTAAATAAAAGTTTAATAATCGACCATTATGATCGATATGCCCAAGTACATCCGACGACCTAGGAGTGTGCAACGGTCCAGATGGGGAATGAAACAAAATTCATGAGAATCACGGTTCAATAATAAGAGACATCTTAGGACCAAAGACCAGCAGTGCATTTGGTCCGACCCCGGTCGAAATATCACTTACGTCCATTTTTCTTCGGTAATTACAAAATTCATAACACCAAAAACCCGAATTACAGTATAATCAATTAAGTTGAACCGGTGCGCGGTCCATCCAAACCGATACACACTCCTACTCCACAAACCAACCAAACATGGCTAGATGATCATCGTTGGCATAACTCAAAATTGGATGAGTCATCACTTACCCTAGAAAGCATGAGGAGTGGTGGCGGTGGTGATGATGGAATGTAAGGGTTATAAATTGTGTAGGGACGATAGAGAGAGAGAGGGAGGGAGGCAGATGGCCCCAAGATGTCTTGGGAGCATTAGGACAGGATTAGGGAAAGGGTGCCCTCTGGGTGGGCACCTCAGCCCAATATTGTTGGGGCTGGGGTCAACTACAGCAAGCAAGCAGCAGCATATACATATATTTTCCCTACTAAAAAACCCACACAAACAAACTTAAAGCTCTCAAAATAGACAGCCTTTGTTCCCATGTGCTCTAATTTAAGAGCAACATTCCAAAACAACAACCCCCTTTGTGCCCCCCCATCTGGCTTCTTCCCCTCACTTAATATAAATCCTCCTCACATCATTCTTAATCCTTTTAGGGCAACATCGGTCTCAAGGTGATTAATTAGCCACTCTCCCATCATCATCATCATAGTTCAAAAGTCACTTCACTATCTCATCCTCTCTCTAAAACTGTTTATACCATGAATACAAGAGAGAGAAAAAAAAAAAACAAGAGTAAGTGTATGTCTAGCTCCATCCTTGTGAGATTTTTTGGGAAGATTTTTGAGGAGCAAATTCATACGGGTCTCGTCCAGAGCGCGAACGGTGTCGTATCAATGTGGAGTGTCCGGTCTGAATGAATAGTATCAGAGTGATTTCAAAGTTCAGATCTCCGGCGCCAAACTGTAGTTGTGTGGATCCTCATTGTCTCGCCAATTGCAAGTGGCGCGGATCAAATGTGGATCTACGTTTGTACAACGAATAAAAAATGCATGACGATGCAAGATGGTCGGTTGGTCGAATGGATAATCGTCTGAGGGGAAGATACTGACGTTTGTGGTTCTTGACTTGGGTGTGGGGGGGGGGGGGGGAACAATCCAAATAGCACATGGGAAAAATAAAAGAAATTTACCTTCTATATAAATGTCCTCCTAGCTCCATTAATACGAGGCCTTTAGAGAAGATTTCCAAGAGCAAATTCGTGTGGGTCTTGTCCAAAGCGAACTATATAGTACTAACGTGGAGCATGTGGTCTCAACATAAACTAAGGAATTTAAATTAGTTTCAAATGGAATAAGAATTCCTAGGGGAATTAGGATTCATAAATCTTACTAGAATAAAACCTTCTAGTTGATTCTTAATCCAATAAGGAAAATCTATCCTAGTTCCCTAATCTCAATAAGGACTAAGGAGAACCTATCCTAGTCTAGCTAAGTTCCCTAATCAGGAAATCTAGTTTAGTCCTCCAAGTCACTTTAGTAATCCTTGTCTCATACGGATTCCTAGCCTGGTAAGGAAAAGCAATTGCTGTTATATAATTTTCTTTGCTAGCTTCTTTGATAATATTTTTTTTGTTTAACAATACATTGGAAATGACCCCTACGATCATAGATAATGAATGGTTTAACAATTCATCGTCATTCCTAATCCAATAAAATTTAAGGAGTCCTTTTATCCTACTTTTTTACCATGTGTATGAGCATTTCTACTATGCTATAAAGTATTAGTGCTTTAATGTACAACTTGAAGTTGTACCATAACATTAAATGTATAAGTTAGGTTGTACCATAAAGGTGTTTGTATCATTATGTTATGGTACAATTTTACAACTTGAAGTTGTACCATCACATAAGGTACAAGTTTAAGTTGTACCATAAAAGAATTTGTACAAAAAGTATAGGTACAATCTGAAGTTGTACCATAACGTTAAATGTACAATTTCAAGTTGTATCATAAAGACAAAAACCTATAGCACCAATGCTATATAGCATTGTAAAATTCCTCGTTGTGTATATGTCTTCTTAACCTCAAATATCAAAGGTTGGATCCAAACCATGAAATATCCATAGTTGTTTGGTGTGGTCCAATCTAATTCGTTGATCCTAACAAAGTCTATGTGTACAATGATGATGAATACCGTTTGTACAACTTTGAACTCTCCTTCCTTAATAAAGCTTTTCACCTTCATAAAAAAAATGATGATGAATACCGAATATCATTTAATTAACTTGAGCGTTATTACATTTAGCTGGCTTTGGTAAATACAATACTAACTTGTATCCAAGTATTCGTTAAGGTACACTCTCAAGTAAATATGACAGTTTCGACCTAACTCGCATCCAACTTGTCACAGGTTAAGAGGGCAAGGCACCGGTCCTCCTTCTACCCCTATTCTTAACCCACTCATACATTACCAATTTACCATACACCAAGTGATACTTTAATTTTGATATAGCTAGTGAGAGTCCTCCATCTCTCAATTAACTTTCATAATCATGTCGTACTCCCGCTTTTTTATTTATTTTTTTCATTTTCTATGACGAAATTGATCATCC